GATGACGAGAGGAATGAAGCTGCAGGCCATCCATAATTACCCTATGAACGCTGTGAATCATTGTGGGTATTTGACGACTGGAACTTTTTCCGCTTGAGCGACCTCGACGAGTATGCTAAAGATTATGATGATGCTCTTGCCCCGAACATGATGAAACCGATAAGCGTGTTTAACAGCCATTGGTGCTTGAATGGAGCATTGTTCGCCAGGGCGCAAGGAAAGAAAACGCATTATGTACCGGAGCCCGGATGAGCTAGTGCCTCTCTCTCAGATTGAGATGACAGACGAAGAGTTGCGTAGACGAGGAGACGAGGCGCGGCGGATTTATAATGGCCCCTTCAAGGTATGAAACTTTCCCATGCCGGGAGCCTGCCGACATTTTGGGTCTGGGACGTTTGTTTATGGGGGGAAATATGGACCAGCAGGGATAAGCAGCCTTTCCCAACGCTTTGCCGCCTTCTAATCACTCTTTAAATCCGGCAACTCGGAGGTATAAGAGAGATCGGAGACAGAATCTATGCACGTAATGTAATTTAGCGTCTTTCAATCCCTGCTTTACCTTCTCATTATTTTCTCTCTCTCCTACTATACGCGCTTTGCGGCTGAGGGACTTTTGCCATTGATATAGTTCACTGTTCCCCGCCCTATTTACCTCTAATGCAAACTAGCTAGTTCTTCGTGGCCCCTCCCTAAGTACTCGAGTGTGGTCTACTACCTTCCTTCGCCCGCCTTTTCTCGGTCCCCTCTTGCATCAAGGGTTAGTGACGCTGCTATAGGAAGCGGCTCCTGTGATTTGGGATCAACGAAACGTAAATTATCACATGATGAACGTATCTTTGCCGAACTTAGACAATTTGAGTGACTAAGTGCTAGAAGGCAACAGCGATATTTAACGTAATGGTTTGTTGTGGACTTACAACGAAAATCATGGTCCGTCCACAAAGGTTCTCTCAAGAGAGTAGAGCTGCCTGTGATCGCTTGGAAAGTTGGGAAAACTTGGTCCATCCTAGGGCATCTTATATCAATACGGTTGGGTATACCTAAGACCCATGTAGGCCTTTAAGAGGGATACATTACGTTGTGGTTGAGCTAATTCCGAGACTCACTATACATATTACAAAGTAGTTCCCTCAAGGAAGTTCAGCCGCCGTCCTTGACCCTTCCGCCTCCGAGACCACACTACTACCCTGAAGCTCTGTCTTAGGCTGCTCCGCTGGAAGCTCTACTGATCTTACTGTCCGGCCTTGAGCCCCAGCCAGACGACGTCGCTTCCGACTCAAATGCCAAAAAGCTATAACACCAATAACAGCGAGTCCTCCAATACCCACCCCAACGCCAATACCAGCCTTTGTTCCTGTCGACGGGGTTGAATGTGCTTGTATATCGGACGTTGATGTTGTCGTGGGTTCTATTACAGTTCCAGATCGAGTTGTGGCTATCGCGTGTGTTGTCGAAGTCGCAGAAGCGGGAACATCAGAGGCTTGGAAAACAAGTTGAAAGAGAGGTGCGTCAACTTTGATCGTTGAGATGGTCATGCCAAAGGTGGATGTAGTGGCTTTAGTCGACGTAGAAGCAAGGACTGTGGCGGGTACTTGGTGGTAAGAGAATCCATTGCTTGTTCCCGAGGAGCAGTAGACAACTGGGAACGAGCCGGTAGAATATTGGGAGTAGCATGTTTGCGCACTTTCGGTGTTATCCCAAGTATATCCACAGGTGAATCCACTACAAGAAGTTCTCAGTTTCAGAAGTTCCACATTGATGTATCACATGTGATATAAAGAGGATTGATAAAACCATCCGTGATTTCCCCGGGAATCAACGAACCTTGGACAACAACCTATCGCGGTCTCCAGTTCAACCATCGGGAACTGGAATGAATACCCCGATGAACCACTATATGTCGCTGAACAAGCCGCGGAATAGCCAGCCGGACACGAAACAGCCGGCGAATAGAAACCGGCACCATTGAAAGCTAAGCCTGTGAACATGTCTTGGCCCGTGGCCTTCGGCCAGCATTCTGAATTGTCTTGAATCCCCTGGTCATTGTTGCCGTTGTTGCTGCATGTTTGAGCCTGCCATGCCCTAGAGCATGTCGGACACTCTAGAACCGCAATGCTGCACGAGGCGGGGTATGTGAATGAGGTTGTTAACGGGCCGAGGTTTGCGCGGGTTGATGAAGTGACAGTAGATGTCATCGTGAGGCTTCTCTATTGTCTCTGCCGTTGACATCTAATACGCGGCAAGTGACCAGAGCTGCTGGTATAAGGGGCAGGGTTTCTGATGTGATCTCTGTTACGATTTTCTCAGTTTTGTCTATACCATTCGCTGTTAGGGATTATCTCGGGGAGAGAACGTGACAAAAAAACAGGGATTGATACTCCTCAGCGGGTAGAAAATACCATGATGAGGTCGAGAGAGAGTATTCTAAGGGGTCGAAATGCTGGAAGAGTAGGTACCACTCGAAGTTGGCGCCTTTTTCCAAAATGAGCTGGGGGCCCTTGTATGTTACATCCTGCACGTGATAATGTTTCTGCAACGCTCTCCAGACCTCATTATTAGCGGTTGGCTGCAGTGTCGAAACTCATCACTCATTTTAGGTTCGGCCCCTAAATATTTTCCGGCCCCCATAAGGAGGGGGAGGCATGCAAGAAGGAGTAAAGATTGGTGGCCCCCGCCCCATTGTTTACTCCGCTAGAATTTATTCCTGAGAAGTTGGGTATCGAATTGGACCCTGGTTATCCTATTATAATTGCAAAGTCTACCAAGGTTCGTAGACTCGAGATGAGCCATCTCTTCAGAAGGGAAATTAAAAAATGATGTTGATTATCCAGTTCTGTTATAATATCCTATCACTACAATAATACCAGAGATAGGATGAAAGTACAAGACCCTGGACCCTGCACCTACAGTGTCGGCATGGCCCGTGCATCTTTATTACGAGCTGAAGTCCCTAGAACAGGTTTATCAATACTGCTAATACCACCGCCTCCGCTTGGCATTTTCCGTATCGTGGCATAAGGGTTGACCCTTATATGAGGTGCTGACTATGGACCAGCTAGTGCTCTCGATAAGTAGAAAGTAGGATAAAGGCATAAGGATATTACATGTAGAGTACAAATATAGCTCCAATATCAAGGGTTCTCCCCAACAATTTGATGGTAAATAGAAGTCGGTAACTACCTTGTAACGCCAGTAGCCATCCAGATCGAGGACCACTTTTTATTTTCCAACCGGGGCTACACCGACCTTATTCGCGAGTGAGAAAATGATGATATGTATACATTTATCCGCATATTAGGTCCAAAATACTCTTTTTGATCTCGTGCAGATGGTTAGGAGTGGCTGTGGCGTGGTTTTGGCGTGGTTTTCTTTATATCCAGTATACATATGAGCTCATGTCGTGGAAAATTGGAGGCGCACATTTCGGGGACATGGGATTTGTCGTCGGGAAACCCAAGTGTTTGTATGTTGGTGGTGCCGCCACTCTTTTCAGGTGGTGCCAACATCCTCTCCCATAGTCGAGACTAGCCCCATAGGTAAATGGCCCGGGTGGATTCGTCACGTGCCTACGGTGATAAGGCTATCGATAAAGAGCAATCGATAACAGATACCCGATAAGGACACCCAAAATCTTTTATCTTTTTTCTCCGTAAAGAGACATCACTACCACCACTACCACCACCTCCTCTGACAGCCTCCTTGTCAGCAACGTCACGATGGGTGTCCAGAAGAAGACCCGCAAGTTTGCAGTAGCGAAGCGCACCATTCAGCTTCGTGATAGTCGTCTGTCAGTCTTCGTTGCCCATCCTCACTCACGCGCCTCAAGATTCATCGTACTGACGAAGGTTTAGGAAAGCGAATGAGAAATCAGACAAGAACGATAAAGCCGGCAAATCTGGCAAGGATGAAGTGGTGCGAGAAGCGTGAGTCACTAAAATTTCTCGGAATTGTCCGACCGATGATGAAGACTGATGGAGATACCGACCGCTTCAGACCCCAGGCTCCGTCCTCCCTCTTCTTCCAATACAACACCGCCCTCTCCCCGCCTTATTCAGTGCTTGTCGACACCAACTTTATCTCCCACACTATCCAGCACAAATTGGAGGTCATTCCGACCATGATGGATTGCCTATATGCCAAGTGTATTCCCATCATCACCGATTGTGTCTTGGCAGAGTTGGAGAAACTAGGCCAGAAGTACCGTCTGGCCTTGCGAGTCGCCAAAGACCCACGATTTGAGCGAATCAAGTGCGACCACAAGGGAACATACGCTGATGACTGTCTGGTTGATCGTGTCATTAAGCATCGTGTCTACATCGTTGCCACTAACGATCGTGACCTCAAACGACGTATTCGGTAAGCTTTTCCCTGCTTGATGCCTCCTTCGCTGTACAGATTTTTCTGATACCGATTCTAGCAAAATCCCCGGTGCACCTATCATGAGCGTCGCTCGTGGAAAATACGTCATTGAACGACTCCCCGATGCCCCTGAAAAATGATGATTTGCGCCGTATGCCAACTTAACTCTCCTGTCGGAGCTGCCTCCCATGCCACATATGTGGCCTTGAATGGAGATTGGTGAGCAATTCATGACAGTAGGCCGATACTTTCAGCCGTGTTGAGTGAATGATCAGCCTTTCCATCTCTTTACAGCTGGCGGATTTCAAAGTCGCAGCGACATCGTGAAATTTATCACATTTTCGCTCCGGCTGATGATCTGCACGACGCTGATCGCTCTCACCTTATTCCCTTCATCACAGATGGTTTCAAAATGGCTCTACGAAAGTCGCAAGGATTTTTTTTTTCTTTTGCATTGCGTTCTGGTTTTTCCGTTGTCTTAGCGATGATTTTTTTTTCCTTTTCTCAATTGGGTTTTGTTCAGGTGATACCCTTAAAACGGGGTCTTGTGTATATATAGAAATCCGACTAAATGGAATTGGTCATGTATGTGTCACCGGAGCCGAGCACCTCATTGAATCATTAATACCAGCCCCCAGAGTTCAGCCGTAGGTTGTCATCAGTTGGTAAACCAAGCGTTTAGCAAGCCCGCTTCTGTTCGAGAATCGTCGAATGGTTTCTCCCCGTGATGGTAAAAGATTGTGTAAAGGTGGTAGGCTGCCGAGAATGAGCCTGTTCGAGCCTGTCAGGTTGTCATCCGGTAGGAATTGTAAAAGTTGGTGCAGCATCCGGAGCGAATACAAGACAGCATGAATTTGGGCAAGAAAGTGGACGTCCGTCCATTCCGTTTTTTGTCCAGCGAACCCTTTTGTCAGGTATCGCTCTAATTGCCCACCACTGGGAAGCGAGGCCTGGCTAGATGGATCGCGATAGATCTCAGCCACTGCAAACATCACCCAGAAGGTTGACGGATCGTCAGCCCCGAATACACTCTGGGCTAGATCGAGGCGTTTTTGAACGATTGAGAGATCTGACATCACGGTTTTTGAGCCACATAGCGTAATCTGCTCGGCAACAACCCGGGTCCCTCGGCGGACGAATTCGCAGACAGTGGTAAACTGCCTCGCTGGCGGATAAGCCTGGTTGAGGAGGGAATAGCCCAGGGCCCTATAAAAGCGACCAACTTCCCAAGCACATTTCCGGGAATGGTCTTCAAAAAGAATTCCAAGGTATATGTGCGGTTGATTGGCTTCACAAAAGGCATCCGGGAGCTCGTACTGCCAGAACAGCTCCGACACTCGAGGGTCCAAGTTCTGGTATACATGGCCTTGGACAGCCGAGGAACCATTGGACTCCGGCTGGTATTCACGAAGAAATTGATGATATTGCTCAGAGTCCTCCGTCGTGCCTTGGTTGTCTTTGGACCGGCGCAGGAGTTCCGAGAAACCAAGATGGGGGTTCTCGTTCAACTCGTAGGCAAAGCGCAGAATGTTTTTAATGCCTAGTCTATGGGCGAGATCATTGGGATGCAATCTCATAGCTTTAATTGTGGCATTGTCTTTATCCTCAGCATCTTCGACAAATTGCACAGTGTTCAGAAATACAACTGCGCCGTCCGGCCCTAGGTCATGGACTATCAGGTCTGAGTCGTTTGTGAGAATGGCCGAACCAGTGAGCTTTGACACTCGGGCACATTCTACATCCGCCTCCCCTGGAACCATGACTGCGATCTCCGCCCAGAGATAATCCCCGTCTGGTAGATGACTCGGATCACATTTGATCTCTTGCAGGATCTGCTCTCTATTCCACCGAGTCCGAAGGTCCTCAAAGACCGCAGAGACCATGAAAGGATTCTCGGGGAGGTTCCTCCAGCGCGCAGGGAGATTTCGACCCTGCCATAGTTGCGTGGGCGGGAGGACTACCTCCTCACGCCACTCGTTGCTGGAGGTGGGAGCCCTGCGCCGAGACAATTCCAGTCGATGCCTGGACTTTTCAATTCGTGCCCGTCGGGTTTCTCGCTTGGAGACGGGCAGAGCCCCATCAAAGCAGATTTTATGTCTTGTATAGTGATCAGCATGGGCAAAGAGTAAAAATATCAAGACAAACGGGAGGATTTACATTTCGATGCCCCGGCGGGTCAACTCCAGAAGGCAGGTCACTACTGCCCGACTCACCTCGTTGCAAGTCGGCTGTATGTCAAGCACGTCATGCACAGGGCTCATCCAGGCGAGCAATCGGTAGTAGACATGATATACCAGGCTTGGACCGTCGATTACCACAGACCGCACGCGCGGAGCTTCATTTGGCTGGTCATCGGCGCCCCCACCAAGCAAGACCGAATCGGCGTAGGGGAGAAGATGCTTGGTCAGGTACGGGATTCCCATGACCAAAGTATCGCCAGTCGAGATGCGCGATACGAATGGCGGGGAAGATATGATGCGTGAATGGATAAGATGAGGGGGATGGTGACGGCCAAGTGGGCTTATAGCCGCAGAATTTGGGGTCTCCACCATCCCACAATCACTTCCCTTACCAGGAATCATCGACTGTCAAGCATCAAGTATAAACCGTGTATCGTGTATTCATATATGAATCAGAGAAGAACCTTACAATAATAGTCATTACTAGTATTCCATCAGTGTAATATTTATAATGACCGAGGTCAAAAAGTAGATGTGCTATGTTCCTAATTTACACGCCGTTTGATCTATAGACATCGTAGACAAATCCCCAAATACAAAGCTCTTCTTTTTACTCGTCGTACTGCATCAGCGAGCGGATCGGAGGAATCCTGCAACACCCCGACAATATCCAACAAGGCTAGCTAAACGCTCGCCTTCCTGCTGCTGTTCGCGAGCCCAGGAGGTCAAAGCCTCGCGCAGAAGCCGGTACTCAGGCTCATCCCGATGGGAGCAAAGTCCCACCGTATCGGCGTGAATCTTCAAAAGCACCGCCATCCAGGCGTTAACCAGCTCGAAATCTCTGCGCAGCTTGAGACGCGCAGTGAGAGCCTGGACAAAGGTTGCCAACTCTGAAAAGCCATTGCGGACTCGAGGGTCCAGAGAGCGGATCTCCAAATCAGCCCGGGCGGGCGAGAGAGACTTCATATGCTCGATGAGTGGGTCAAATGTACCGTAGCGATGCACAGACTCCAGCAACCGGGTGATGGGGGATTCGGAGGAGCCCAGGGCACCGGACTGGACTTTGGAGATTCGGGATCTTTCGGCCTCGGCGCTTTGAGTCAGGGCTTCCAACTCTGCTGCATCAGCCGCAGCGGTGTCCTTGGCGGACTGCGAGTTGCCAGAGCCGAGAAGGGAGGGAAGGAAGAACGGTGCCTTCTCGGGAGCCTTTGGTGCTTCCTTCGGGCGATTGCGTTCCTACAAATCGTTAGTCAACTACGATCTCAAATGGACCGGCCATTGGGGGCAGTCGGGATTGAGGAGGGAGGAAAGAGAAAAACATACGCGAATAGAGTCAAGGTGAAGCAGTGCTTGCCATCTGCTCTTGGGAACCAGACTCAGAGTGACCATGTCCTTCTGGAGCTGGTCTGTTACCAGCACCGGTCCATCTGCCTCGTCCACTTCTGGTGCATCCACAAATGCCGCTTCCACAAGTCCTGCGCCGCTTTCACCAGATGAAGTGGGCACGCTGACGTCCTCAATGGCATCCTCATCCAAATTCTTGGTGGAGATGGGCATGAACAGACTGCGATTACTCCAAAGGCTGATTCCGATGCTTCCAGCATGGGCAGTGGCAAGGAACTCGCCCGTCGAGGACATTGCCAGCGAAACGCAAGTACTCGAAACTCGGAAGATATCAATGAGATGCCCGGTGGGCAGATCCCACACTCGGATCACTGAATCCATCGAGGCGGCCACGATCCATCGCCCATCATTGGAAAAGATGAAGTCATTGACTTGGCCCACGCAACCCCAGAACTCACGAACGAGCTTTCGGGTCTCGAGATCCACTACGCGGATGGAGAGGTCGTCACAGCTAAAAGCGACCAAATCACTGGTCTTGCTAAAGCGGAGCCCGGTGATCGCTGTCATGGGGTACCAGTCTAGCTGGTCGATCAAGGTGCCCTTGAGAAGATCCCAGAACTAAAGAAATGAGTAATCGGGTCAGCAAAACCCAAGGATGGGAGTGAAATGGAGGGAGTAACGAAGAACGCACCTTGACCTTGCCATCCAGGCCACAACTGATCACCGTCCGGTTCAAGCTATCAACCATGAGACCCGTGACGGCCTTGGTATGCTTCGATGCTGAGTGGTCTACGGAGTGCAACTTGGCATTTCGGGACTTGGGCATGCGAGGAGGGAAACTCTGGCGATGAAGACCCGACTGCATATTAAACATGTCGATAGCACCCCCAGCCGATCCGATGATTGCAAAAGTGCCACATTGAGACATGGCAACGCTCTATATAGAAAGGGGAAGGCACCCTCTGGTTAGTGACATCTATTCCCATCTGAAACGATAGAAGATAGTAAACGCTACATACCTTGACTTCAGTTCCATCACTGGTCGCAAACGCCCAGCGTCCCGCCTTCTTCTTGCCCCAGAACCAGGTGCGAGCATGTTTGTCGCCCCGGTGACCGGTAACGACGCTCTCCCAGCCAGTGGCATTAGAGGCATCCGTGCTGCCAAACTTGGGGTTAGACCATACCGGGCCCGCGGTAGAGACACCCATTCCACCGTCACGGTTGAGCGAGCTAGCGATGCAGGTGATCTCGGGTGCCTTCAGCGACTCAGCCGAGGTAGCGTTGGACTGGTCGGACGGGCCCATCTTCTTGGCCTTGCGCTCCAAATTGCCCTGGGACATTTCTGCGTTCTGACTGTCTTTCCGAAGACTGAGTCCCCACATACTACAGTCTTTGCTGGCACTGAGAAGCCATTTACCACCGGAATCAGATCCATCCGAAGATGCTGGGAGGAAGTCGAGGGCGTTGACGGCGGCCGAATGGCCGGCGCGAGAGTGCAGCAGCCGTGGAATGGGTGAGAACGGAGTCTCGTCGAAGATCCACGTCTTCAAAGCGTTATCATCACCGGATGAGACCAAAACTGGTTGCCCGTCCAAGAATTCGACTCGATTCACACCCATCGCGGCTTCAGTGTTCGATACTCGGTGAGCTCCGCGAAGGATGCCGGCCACACGGCCACCATTGTTCAGATCCCACATTGTGATGTCTCCAGTTCCGCTGGCGGCCGTGGCCATGACACCGGCCATCCGGCCATCGTGGCCCGCGCCAAGCCCATCGCTTCGGAACGAGATCGAAGTGACTGCGGCAGTTCGAGCGGCGCCAGTTCTCAACGACAAGACCAATTGTTCGGAGTCGACATTCTGGATGGCCAAGGAGCCATCCTTGTGGGAAATGGCGAGGAGAGACAGGGCCGGGGTTGGCTGCATAGCCGTCACAGGCGACGTCTGCGATGAACCGGACGGTGGCTGGAGAGTGTGGAGAAGCTTTCCGCTGCGTAGGTTCCAAATATCGACGGCACCGTCATTCCGACCGACGAAGACCTTGTTGAGATAGGTGGGCATGGTACACATGACGCCGGAGTAGATCTGATCTCCCGACGCGCCCGCACTCGGGCGGGGTCGCAGACTCGCATAATGCTCGTAGGTGCCCGTCTTCCAGACTTCCAGACCACCTGCCCAGCAACCGACTACCCAGGATCCGAAGACTGCGAGCCGCTCAATGGGCGCATCGAGTCCAGGGCTATCTAGAGATGCCACGCGCTTACCGCGCTTGAACACCCAGATGCCACCGGGAGACCGAGGCCGAAGGTGGCCCCAAGCCGCAAAGACCTTATCTTGCCAGGCATACGTGGCTGTGATGGAATCCGGGGTTTGCGGACGAGTCAAGAAGATGAGATTCAAGCCTTTGCGCACGTCGTAGGTCTGCAGGGATTGGCCGACGGAGGTGGTGATTTGAAAGGTGGATTTGCCTAGGCGCACACAAGTAAAGGGGACTGATGTTGGCGATACGAGTCCTAGTGTCTGTGACAATGGTAAGAACAAAATTGAGTCAGTCTACAAAGAACAATACAGGAATTGAAGCCAGAGGGAGCCATCAAGGAAACGTACCCGGAATGGCGCGAAGATTTTAGAGCCTCCTCGAGACGATGCACGAGGTGCCTGGTCAATGACCGTCTTTTGCCTCTTTGCCAGAGGCAAATCGAACGTATCGCTTGCCAGAGCCGGCATGGTGTTGTATTCGATACTGTAGTGATCATCTTGTCTTTGTTGGAGGTTTTTTTTTCTGCGGAGCTTGGGCCACACCGCCTTCGGTCACCAGCAGTAAATCTTTCCTCCATACTTCTTCGTACACGAGTAAAGTACATGATGTTAGTTTAGAATAACATAAAGTTCTTTATTAGAATTGTGAATTTGACTGATTCTTTGAAGATATTACTATTTCTTCTACATATCTCGAGAATGCTAATTACAATTCAATAAATCATTTCTAAATCTCCTCGTTCAAAGAAGAGTATTACAAGACTGGCCCCCTCTAGAAAAAAGCAAGTACACTTCGTATCATTTCGCAAGTAGTAATGGCCTTAGTGCAAGTCTTTTTTTACTTTATGTGGACCTAGCGTATTATATTCTTCTCCAACCTACTTCTATAGTTTCTCCCCAAATGACCGATACTGTCCATCTCTCAAGAAACTCGATGGGCACTTGAAATCATGGCCGAGACTCTGCGGGAGTCTCCGCTTCCAATGATCGCATCCGGAGAACCAAAAAAGAGAAAAGCCCAGACCAGAATCAACTTAGCAAACGCCCAGAAACCTTCAGCTGGACTTGCCCCCCGGCCATGAACCAGACATCTCTCTAGCCAGGACCATGTCTTGAGTCAAACCTCTTCACGCACACTCAGACTCAGCATAGTTTTCTGATTCATTCGTTTCTATCTCACTCCGAAGATCAATTCGATCTCCGATTCCCACCCCACCCTCACCCCCTCCTCCTCCTCCTCCTCCTCCACTCCTGCTATCGCCACACCGCAATTAATCCACCCGCCGTTCTCTTCCCGCAATTTTCCTTTCCTTCCTCCTCCGTGCCCTACATGCCATGGATCCCGAAAATGGCCCTCCTGGCGCCTCGCTCGCTGATACGCGCTCGCTTAAGAACACTGTTGAAAACACCTCAGGTGTAGGCTCGTCCTCGTCGGTGCCGCCGCCGCTAGAGCTCGAGCAGGAAGCAAAAGGCCATTTCCCCGCAGAACCTTTAACGTCAACTCGACTCCACGGCCAGCAGTCTCCCGTGAAACCGACAAGGACCGATACAATGCAGGACGGTCGTGCAAGTACCAGGATTGGCCACTCAACTCGCTCGTCCAGTCGGGCTCGTCGGCGATTCAGCGGGAGTACGGCCGCCAGCTCCATTAGTGAAATGGAGTCCACCGGTCCTAAACCCTGGCGACTTGGTGTCTGTGCCCTGGACGTCAAAGCCCGCAGCAAGCCCAGTCAGAATATCCTCACTCGCCTCCAATCAAAGGGTGATTTTGAGGTCATCGTGTTTGGCGATAAGGTCATTCTCGACGAGGCCGTGGAGAATTGGCCGGTCTGCGATTTCTTGATCGCCTTCTTCTCCGATGGATTCCCCCTCGACAAGGCGATTGCTTACGCCAAATTGCGAAAGCCATTCTGTGTCAACGATTTACCGATGCAGAAGGTGCTGTGGGATCGGCGACTGTGCTTGAGAATCCTCGACCAAATGGGCGTCCCTACCCCCAAGAGGCTGGAGGTGAACCGAGACGGTGGGCCGGTTTTGGAATCGGCAGAGCTTGCTCAGCATATTCACCAATTGACCGGCGTCAGACTGGAGGGCCCGGAAGATGGAACTGGTGGCGGTGCCCCGAGAACCCAGCACGTATCGATGTCCGAAGATGGCGAGTCCTTGGTGGTAGACGGTAAGATCTTCCGGAAGCCATTTGTGGAGAAGCCAGTCAATGGCGAGGACCACAACATTCACATTTACTTCCCTAATGACCAACAATATGGAGGCGGAGGCCGGAAGCTCTTCCGCAAAGTCGGTAACAAGAGTTCCGAGTACGACCCGGAAATGACCGTGCCACGATCGGTCACCGAGAAGGGGACCAGCTATCTGTATGAACAGTTCTTGCGTGTCGACAACGCTGAGGATGTCAAAGCATACACGGTCGGGCCCGACTTTTGCCATGCCGAAACGCGCAAGTCCCCCGTGGTCGATGGTCTCGTTCGACGCAATACCCATGGAAAAGAGCTGCGGTATATCACCAAACTGAGCAAAGAGGAAGCGGCCATTGCCTCCAAGATCTCGAACGGATTTGGGCAAAGGATCTGCGGCTTCGATATGCTTCGTGTGGGGGATAAGAGCTATGTGATTGATGTCAATGGCTGGAGCTTCGTCAAGGATAACAACGATTATTATGACAAGTGCGCCCATATTCTACGGGAAACGTTCCTGGCGGAGAGGCGAAAGGGCGAAGGGGCCCCGGAGCCAGCAGAGCCACCATCTCCAGATATGGGCCAAACCCGACGCAGTACGGCAGGGTCTCATCGCCAGGCGTTGAAAACTCTCCTCAAGTCGCCTAGTACATCCAGGCTCTATGGAAGTCAGACTGTGCACAAAACTCAAGAATCTGCCGCCTCCGACGTGTCTACCGGTGCGCCATCCGTTACGTCTTCTACTGGTCTAGTAGACAGCATGGATGTGACAGGCAACTCACTCAGCCTGATCTCTCGAGACAACCGCTCAGACACTCGTGGATACAGCCCTTCTAATACCAAATCCCCCGCCGTCTCCATCCATCAAACCGGCGACGGCACGGCTCCTCCGCTCCCGGCTTCTAAGCACTCGTGGAAACTGAAGGGAATGGTGGCAGTCATTCGCCATGCTGATCGCACTCCGAAGCAGAAATTCAAGTTCACCTTTCACAGTCAACCTTTCGTCGACCTACTCAAAGGCCACCAGGAGGAAGTCGTGATCAAGGGAGAGGCCGCATTATCCAGTGTTTCCGAAGCCGTGAAGATCGCCATGGAGCAGGGACTGGAGGACATGGAGAAGCTCAAGCTGCTCCGCACTTCCCTGGAAAAGAAAGGAGGTTGGCCCGGCACGAAAGTGCAAATAAAGCCTATGTTCCGTAAGCGCAGACCAGAGGAGATGCGAGAGCCAGGCAGAGCTACGACGCCTACCCCTCCGGTCGCCGGCGAAAGCATTCCCGAAGAGCCTCTGTCGCCCGTGGCCGGCGAGACGGAGGAAGAGGCCTTGCGTCGGTCCCAGACCCGCAGCGACTCGATTTCTGGTGCTACGTTCTCGCGCTTTTCTGCAGTGGAAAATGACCTGATTCTAGATAAGCTGCAGCTTGTCATCAAGTGGGGAGGAGAGCCCACACATGCGGCGCGATATCAAGCTCAGGATCTCGGTCTGAATATGCGGGATGATCTTAAGCTGATGAACAAGGAAGCGTTGAATAATGTTCGACTTTTCACAAGCTCCGAGCGGAGAGTAAGCACGAGTGGTGAGTTTATCCGCTTCCGCATTCCTCAACCTTCGCCCTATGCCTTGACAATCACATTGCGGATTACATGTATTTCTGTACTGACGATATTCACTAGCTCAAATCTGGGCATGCTCGTTCCTTGATCAAAAGGAGATTCCCGAAGACTTTATCCAAGTTCGGAAGGACCTGTTGGATGATTCGAACGCCGCGAAAGATGTCATGGACAAGGTTAAGAAGAAGCTCAAGCTTCTCTTGCGGGAGGGCTCTGCACCATCCCAGTTCGCGTGGCCCAAGGACAGCAACATCCCCGAGCCTTCCGTCGTTCTTGCTACGGTGGTTGAACTGATGAAGTTCCATCGAAGCGTCATGCGACACAACTTTGAGAAGCTCGAAGTCTCTTCGTTGAAGAATGGTGAAGAAGGGAATCTGTCAAACCAACAAGATGCTTCATCGGACCAGCCGGATCTTTCCAACATCCAAGGTCGCTGGTGTGCAGGGGAGGATCCCCGCCTATTTAGAGAGCGTTGGGAGAAGCTCTTTGCCGAGTTCTGCGATACCGAAAAGGTTGATCCCAGCAAGCTTTCCGAACTCTACGATAGCATGAAATTCGACGCGCTTCACAACCGACAGTTCCTGGAGTGGGTATTCATGCCTCCCGACAGCGATCGTGACGAGGATGACCGGAGCAGCGCCAAGGGCAGAAGTCCCTCGAAGTCTGACTCGGACAGTAAGGCTGGATCCGAGCCCGCCAGCGACAAGGCCGAGGAGCGCGGAGAAAACCAGACCTTTACCCATCGCTTCAATTTGAAGAAGCGACTTCACGCACTCGAATCGTTGCCTCATCTCCGCGCTCTGGACGATTCCTACGATCATTATTTCAAGCTGTTCCCTGGCTCCACCTCCACCAAGTGCAAGATGGATGAGCGCCTTTCAAAGCTCCGGGAGCTATACAAGCTAGCGAAGGTTCTGTTTGACTACGTCACGCCCCAGGAGTATGGCATCACCGATAGCGAGAAGTTGGAGATTGGTCTTCTCACCTCTCTCCCGCTTCTGCAGGAGATTGTACACGATCTTGAAGAGGTTCAGGCTTCTGACGATGCGAAATCCTTCTTCTATTTCACCAAGGAGTCCCACATCTATACTCTCTTGAACTGTATCCTAGAGGGCGGTATCCAGACCAAGATTGCTCGCCGTGCCATTCCAGAACTGGACTACCTGTCTCAAATCTGCTTCGAGCTCTACGAATCCCTGGATAGCGAAAACGAGATCGACCCATACTCCTATTCCATTCGGATCTCGATCAGCCCTGGCTGCCACGCTTTCGATCCACTCGACGTGCAACTCGACTCCCGGCACGCCATCGGCTGTGCTCCGCGACGCAGCCTTACTGCCCACCAGGACTGGAAAGAGGTGATTGAGACGCTGAAAGCGAAGTTTGACACGTAAGTAGACCTTCATTTCTAGGCATCCATGTCTGTCATCTTCTTTACTGACATTTCGGAACAGTGTTGAATTGCCAAAGTCATTCATTGCTGTGAATCTGAGTGACAAACACATCGCTTCTTCTCCACCGCCGGAGCAGGAAGAGTCATAATTGCTACACATAATTGCTTGGGCAAAGTAGCTATGACACGAGTTGAGTGTTATCCTTTTTTCTCTGCAAGTATTCTTCGTTACTTTTTTCGGCCCCACAATGTATCTTTAAGTCATTCTTACTATTGTATGTTTATGCATTTGTATCAGTTTCATGTATATTGTGACCTTTGCTTTGTTTGGGTGGGGTTTTGTCATTGCTAGAGGCTGGAGGATGTGATGGTGGCTTAGGTAGAACTCGAGAACAGAGAGTCTAGAAAGAGTCTGCGCAATCAACCGTGGGATTTGCATGAACATTAAAGAATTTCTCCAAAATAATACCTCTTTCGCAAGAGCTTCCATGTTATTTCCTACGTTGTGGTCGTATTTTGTTGTAGTTACATTCGGGAGTCACGCCTAGAATCAGCTTACGGCCCCTCCACTAGGCCTCCCAAGTCCACCCGCACATCCCACCATTTGCGACTTATCTGACTCCTATTCAGACGGCATGGCACCTTTCGAGCCGCCAGACCAGAACATCGACGAATATTCTGTCGATGTTGCTGCAAGCTCTTTGAGCTGGGTCTCCTCAACGGGAACCCATCGCCAGGTTGACTTGAAAGATATTGTGGGCGTGGTGCGGAACCCAGACTCGTCATCAGGGTATCGCGTGCTATTTCTCGAAAGCACAGAAAAAGAAGGAGAACACAATGAGTCCAACCTCCACCTTTTGAAACTTGATATTAAGTCTCTTCCCGAGGGCTTATCCCCGTTTCTCGTGGACATCCCAAGCCAGCTTCAACGAACAGAGCCCGTCCAGGTCGTGGTATCAACTCGGAGTGGCACGGGTACGGCGAAAGCTGTCTTTCAGGAGACCGTGGAGCCGTTCCTGCAATACCTGGGACTTGAATATCTAGTTTATGAAACGCAGTCAGCTCAGACAATCCTTGAACTTTCCCGATCGCACTTCTTGAAAGACGCCTGCGCGGGGATCCCCCAGACTATACTCTTGCTGTCTGGCGATGGAGGTCTAGTCGACCTAGTCGATGTCTTTTACAAATCGACAAAAACGCTTGAAGTGGCTCCAGATATTGGTTTAATCCCCTGTGGGACCGGAAATGCTATGGCCAGCTCCATCGGTTTACGAGCAGGTCCAGCCTCCGGCCTCCGAGCCTTACTACGGGGTCAGCCTTCTCCGGTCCCAACTTTCGCTGCCAGCTTTTCTCCTGGGAGCCGGCTCGTGCTAGACGAAGGCAGACAGCGTGCTCCGATCGATTCTCCGTCGAACGGTTCTTATCAAACGATCTACGGTGCGGTGGTGGCCAGTTGGGGGCTCCACGCCGCACTAGTTGCGGACAGCGATACCGCCGAGTATCGCAAGTTCGGATCGGAGAGATTCAAGATGGCCGCGAAAGAGCTCCTCCACCCATCAGATGGGACTTCCCCTCATCGATTCCAAGGCCAGATCACCTTGACCACCTCGGATGTCCAGACGGGGGAGCAGAGTCAGCGAATCCTCACAGAGAGCGAGCATATGTACGTGCTCGCCACTCTAGTGCCCCGCCTAGAGAAGGATTTCCTAATCTCGCCCGACACGGAACCACTGGGTGGGCAGATGAGATTCCTACGATTTGGACCTTTGTCTGGGGATGAGGCGATGCGTCTTATGATTTTGGCATATCAGGGGGGAAAGCATGTATGTGATGAGCTGGTTACCTACGAAAAGGTTGAACGGCTTCGTATCGACTTCCATGAGGACTTGGAACGATGGCGGCGTGTTTGTATTGATGGAAAGATAGTCGCCGTTGACGAGCGGGGCTGGATGGAGCTTTCGAAGGAGTCTCGACAGCTTTTGAATATTATCAAGCCGTGCGTGTAGTGTGGCTGTGTTGAAAGATAGATGTATATAGATTATTGATTCAATTAGACCGTTCTTTTGGCACCAGTGAGTGATATCATGGTGTTCGTCTACTTTTCCATCGTTCGCTTTACATTACCTTTATATAACTTCCATACAGAGAGACCGGTATAGGATATGTAAAAATACCACAGAGCCGCAAATGTGATAGCTCTACAAAGTATAAGCTACCTTCCACATGCCAAGCTAGTCAGACATTGTATGACGGAGTGTCAAATGTGAAACTAGAGGCCCCACTGGACTTAATTTTTTAATGGATAAGGTAGATCTGCTAGTATAAGAAAAGAAATCCTGTTATATTATCCTAAAATGATCTCTACTATCATAGAACTATTGGCAATGTCCAAACGTCCAGGCACAGCCGGAAAGACCGGCCAAAGGTAAAAAGGGGAGACGGGTGTGATCGTCCCTCAGGAACCATCTCCCGCTCACATGCTCACACGAACAACCCTCCAACTTTCTTCGCGGTCCTTCTCCCCTCATGCACCCTTACAGCCAACCTAAGCTTGCGATTTCCCTCGCGTACTGTTAGGTCATGGAACGATCTATCGGATCCGATGCTCATAACCCCCCGAACGTATTCCGCATCGCAGACTCCCGACCAAGCAGCGGCTGATAGCCGCACCGAGGGCGCGCCCCGTTTCTATACCCTCGCTGGGTGGCGCCAGAGTCTTGTCGAAGATAATCCAACTGCCGATATGCTGTTGGTTCATCAGACTGGAAGTGTACGAGTAGGGGAGATTATTCGGTACGTCCTTTTTGCTTCTCCAAACCCTATCCGCGGACATCCCGGAGATGGGCTGTTACGAGCAGCCTTGCTTGGCCCACCGGTCGTACAACGAGAGGAGGCTAACAGAATGTTGTTCGCCTGGCTAGATATACCTTTACCTATACCCCCGCAGCGGATCCAATCTTACCCATCCCTTCCGAGCTTCATGTGAGAGTGAAGAATACCTCCGCGATCCCCCTCCGCGCCGCCTATCTTCACGGTCCATACACCTTATATGCGGCCTGCTACCCGTCCACATTCGATCCCAATGCCAAATATGACCAGCAGAATACCGAGGGTGTCCCGCAGTTCGAGCCGTACCTTAAAGCGGGCGGCAACTGGGATGCAACCATCAAGATGCCGGCGCGCTTCGGGGACTCGCACAACTTGGCCGTGGGACATCTGGGGTCGGAGAGTGATCGGACAGTGACCTGGGTGATTGAAATAGTGTCTCAGGTCATATTTTCAAGCAGTGCTGCGGTTCATTTCGAGCTGCTGGTTGCTCGTGATGCAAAATCCATCGAGTACTTTTCCGCTGGTAACTCGGGTGCCGCTGGTCATGGACCGCCGGGCAAATTACAGGACCACTGGCCAGTGGGGGAGCACAAGGGGGCAACCCGTCATTGCTACAAAGGGTGTATACTCGAAATCCACTTCGCTGCGTGTCGATGATACGAGCAGCTTGTGGAATAGCCCGCCACTACCATCGTGGACATCCGAGGCCACAGATACTACGCCCGAGCGGACGGACTGCAATTCCGAGGACGCTTCACCTGAAGCCACGGGTAGTACGACCAAAGCGAAACCAAGGAAGAAGAAGAAGGTTCATCTAGTGGTAATCACTCATGGATTGCATAGCAATCTGGGTGCGGACATGCTCTATCTGAAGGAAAGCATTGACGCCGCTGCTATGGCCAAAAAGAAGAAGGCCCACTCCGAAGACGGCATCAAGAGCGAAGATAGCGCCGAGAACGATGATAATGATGACGATGACGAAGAAGTCATCGTTCGAGGATTCTCCGGCAACGCGGTTCGTACCGAGAGGGGCATTCAGTATCTCGGCAAACGCCTGGCCAAGTATGTTCTATTGATGACATACCCAGATCAACCATATTATCCTTTGAAAACTGGGAAGACAAAGTCTTTTCCTCGCCCGTTCAGTGCTCGGAAAGATCAGGTTCAACCCTCCCATGAGCCATTTTCATCCTCGGCGAATCACGAGAATGTCCTAGATGGCGATGACCACGCTTACAAAATCACCAGCATCAGCTTTATCGGACATTCTCTTGGTGGTCTGATCCAAACGTATGCCATCGCATACATACAGAAACATTCACCGGAGTTTTTCGAACGAATTCAACCCGTCAACTTCATTGCCCTTGCATCTCCGTTCCTGGGCCTTAGTAACGAGAATCCGCTGTACGTGCGGTTTGCCTTAGATCTAGGCTTGGTCGGACGGACTGGACAAGATCTTGGACTGAGCTGGACGTCGCCAAAAGTCCGCACTGGCTGGGGTGCTATTATTGGTGGTCGAGGAGACTCGGGCAAGGACCAAAGCCATGCAGACCCCGGATCAAAACCGCTACTGCGTATCCTACCCTGTGGCCCAGCACACGAGGTACTTAAAAAGTTCCGTCATCGAACTGTGTACTCCAACGTGGTCAACGATGGGATTGTTCCCCTGCGCACGTCATGCCTTCTTTTCCTTGATTGGCGAGGTTTGGACCGAGTTGAGAAAGCGAGAAGAGACAACGGTATCGTCGGCACTATGGCTGAATGGGGTTGGGCTGAATTGACTGGTGCTAATTCCAAGTCTCCACGGCTGGCTCGCCCCGATGAAATTCCACGCTTGGGCGAAGGTCAGGATGCGCCCAAGGACGGGTCTGCCGCCTTGACGGACGAGGCACAGCGCTTACAAGAGGATGAAGATCTTGCCCGACCCGAAGAGGCATCCTCGCCAGCTCCCGGTCAATTCCTTGCTACGAGAAAGTCGTCTCTGCATGCTAGTAGCGTGGGAACGGAGTCAGTACATAAAGACGTCTCAGAGAATAACTCGGGTCCTTTGAGCACTCTCCTCGCCTTCTTCCGCCCCAAGGAACCAAAACAACACCATCCCAGTGGCAAGCATGCTAAGATCTACAAGCGCAGCCAAACCCTCGCCTCGTTCGACCCCAACGAGTCACCCGCACCGGTGGTTCGTGGGAATTCTCTGTATGAAGAAGATATCGGAGTCAATACACCTCCCAAGACCACATTCTTCGAGTCAGCTGGAGATTTGTTGATGCCACCTTTACCCCCGACTGACTTCATTCTGGACCCTGCTGCCCGGCCTCGAACCATCTTCCATGACCGTATCTATCATCCAGAAGACATTCCAGTTCCATTACCAGTCAAGCGACGGACCTTGACATTCGCCTCATTACAACCCAAGCATGCAAAGACCGCACCTCCTCAAGCAACGCATTTGCCTTCGAGTTCTACCTCCAACGTCAAGAGCAGCGAAAGTGGGCTCAAGGTCGAAGAGAAAATTGCCAGGGCTTACCACCGCGATCTGACCTGGCGCAAGGTCCTTGTTCGCCTCGAACCCGACGCACATAATAACATCATTGTGCGTCGCATGTTCACCAACGCCTATGGGTGGCCGGTTGTGAAGCACCTTGTTGACACGCACTTTGGCCATTCCCCCAACGTTGAGATCGATGATACCCTGAAATGCAATGGCGAACGGGCCAAGGCCTTGAATGTTGGGCCCACCAGCTCCGGCGACGAAGTCGAAGGCCAGTCAGATGATACCACCGATGGGAACTCGACTGAGAATGAGCGTGCTGGACCAGATCACACACATGGGCCTGCCGAGAGCCCTTCCTGCTTGGAAGGATACCCTCAGCTGCACGATCTTGCCGATGCATTACCCGTTGAGGATGAATCACCTGAGACGGCGAGCACCCATACCCGATCCCAATCTCACTATACCGATGTTTCTCGACAGGACTCGGCGCGTTGGACAGATCGTCAGGTAGACGAAGATGACGACCGTGAATCTGGGTTGGACGTGGAAGGGCATACTGAGTTTCGATGGTCTCCAGCTCCACCGTCTCCTGCTTGAGCGACCAGGAAGTGCTTGCCAACATTGAAATTGTACATAATCATTTGCCTTCCTAAATACCCTGTAATTAATTCACTTCTATTTTAATTCGACCTTCTCTATACATATCGTTCCCATCTCCATTTTCAATCTCAGCATCGGCATCGACTCGGTCTTTCTAATACTCCAATCTGCCCTGGATATAGCTCCAGAATTCCTCCACCAGCTCCTTCTGACCAGCCTCCGGTGCACCTCGGATAGCCAAGTACCTCCGACCATCCAGAGCAGTCTCCCAGCCTCCAGGGTTACCATCCACCATAATACCTCCCGCCTCAGCCAAGATCACCCAAGCAGCACAAACATCCCACGCCCAACACCCACCCTCCCAGTAAAGATCCATCGTGCCCTCCGCAACAGCACATATATTAAGCGCCGCCGACCCCAAACTCCGGAACGAGCGAACCATCGCACCCCCATCCTCCTTCGACTGACCCAGTTTCTCAAATGTGCGCACCTTCGTCTCCCAATTAGGTCCAGTACGGTCCGAGCCCCATTCAATAGCAACCAGCGCATTGGGCAAACCGGACAGAGGCTCGACGTTGTCACCCTTCAGGGGAAGACGAGTCTCCTGGTTGCGGAACGCACCCTGGCCTCGAATACCTGACCAGAGAGTCTTGGTGAAGGGGTTGTAGACGACTCCTACGGCGGGGACTCGGCTGATGGCGAAACCGAGCGACACGCAGGCGTAGGGGAAGCTGTGGACGAAGTTGACGGTGCCGTCGATCGGGTCTACGACGAAGGTTGGGGCGTCTGTTATGGGGCTCGCGGGGTCGTAGGTTTCTTCTCCGTGGAATCTAGAAGAGGGAGATGGGTTAGAGTCATAATTGGGTGTATAATTGATGTGAATGTCTCAAGTATATTCTGACTGGCAGGTATAGGCTCGAGGGAGGAGGCGTACTCGTAATCGGGGTATTTCTCTTTCAATGAAGTCGAGATCATGTTCTCGACGGCGCGGTCATACTCAGTGACTAGATCGGCACCTGTAATTAAGAAGTGATACGTATTAGCAACTGCTTGCTGGTACATTGTGTACTCTTTCCCGATGCCGCTCGATGCCTGGGCTAAACGTACTGTTCTTCTTCGAGCCAGTGCCGCTGTTGTCTGGGAGGGCATTGTTGATGATATCTCCAGCCTTGTAGGCTAGCGAGACTAGAAAGTCATGGATTTCTTTCAAATTGGGGGTTGACATGGTGGGCGATGGAGTGTTGAGGATCGAGAAGTCGAGAAAAGGAGGAGAACAGAAGCCCCGCGGACTTGCGGACTGGCGGCCGGACGAGGCCCCTCATTGTGACAGCCAATGCGGGGTGTGTACAGCACTGGCAACTCTGTGAATTTATTGAGATGAGTAGGTATTTTGAGATAATAGGTATTAATGGAATGGTCGTACTATTTACCATTGGATGTAATTGATTTATAATTCCATGTGGTGCTATTATACTACCAAATACTATGAGATTCTATAGTCCTCCATTGTATATTCCGCCAGTCAGTGACGTCGCCCCCCACTTCGCCGAAAAAAAGTTTCGTGCGATCAACTCCATCAATACCACCTTCAACATATTCCCCCTCCACGATGCCGACAGAACTAGAAGAGGTATTTCATGTCTCTCTTCATGACCAGGACTATGGATTTACAAACTGACCTTCTCCCTAGCTGGTGGAGTTCCTTCACCACGGCAATACGCAAATTCGACAGATTGGTAAGACACTCCGCCAGCGCCCCGAAATTCGAACTCCCGTTTCCAAACCCCCAAAAGTCAACGTCGCATCGATCAATGTCTGATACGTATATCCTCCTTCAGCCTGTGAGAACCTAGTTGGTTTCTCTACCGCCCAACCAAGCCTTTTCAAGCGACAGCAACTACTCCCCGTGCGCGACCTGAAGCTGCTGGCCAAAGACTACACTGTGCGTGCGACCCTTTTCGGCTCCGTGGAACAAGTAAACTGACATAGACTCGGTATCCCTAGCCCATTGCGAAGAATGCCTTGACGATTCTTATCAACCTCGCCAGTGACGAGGAGATCCTGGAGTGCCTGGCCAGCGATGACGAGTTCCTTGAAATCTTGTTGAGGAAGCTCATGGTAAGTGCTTTCTTGTGCGACACAAGCCCACGGCTCCTTGGAAACTAACCTTGTACCGTCTTGTCTCAGAATGTCAAGGAGCCCAACGCTGACGAGTTTGCCATGTTGCTGGCTAACCTCGTCAAATCCGACCACCTCAAGAAACTCCACACACTAAAGCGGAAAGCCCCCGCGGCGGTTTCTACCTCTGAGAATGCCATTGACCAGCTGATGGATTGCTTTGTGAAGGGTGCCGAGGGTGATCTCAACAAGCACGCCAACTTCGATTATCTCTCCTACCTCTTCGCCGATCTGTCCCAAACCGAGACGGGGAGAGCGTACTTCACCACGCGGCAAGAGTACGACGGAGTGGTCCCGATCACTAAGCTGACCGTCTTCACGGAACACAAGAGCGACATTCGACGCAAGGGTGTTGCCTCGACCATCAAGAATGTAGCCTTTGACGTCTCTTCGCACCCTATGCTTTTCGGCGAGGACGAGGCCAACTTGCTGCCCTATCTCCTTCTTCCGATCGCGGGACCCGAAGAGTTCCCGGATGACGAGATGATGTCCATGCTGCCAGATCTGCAACTCCTGCCCCCCGATAAGAAGCGTGATAGTGACAACACTATCATTACCACCCATCTAGAGACTCTGCTCCTCTTGACTACGACTCGGGATGGCCGAGACAAGATCCGCGCCGCGCAAGTGTACCCCTTCGTTCGAGAATGCCATCTCCACGTGGAGGACGAGGACGTGCGCGAGGCCTGTGACCGGCTGGTGCAAGTGATTATGCGAGACGAGGAAGGCGAGGGAGAAAAGACTGACGCCGAATTGGCGGAAGCACAAAAGCAGATTGAAGACGCTCCTCAAGCGCAACCTGCACAGGATGAGGACGAGAAGGTGGTGGAGCTGTTCTAAGCATGTTGATGACCTTTTATATATTGTATATCCTGATAGACTTTTTGGGGGTATAACCCACTGATCATATACTATGGCTTTGCTGTCATCATCTATTCAAGAATATTCAAGAATTTATTCCAGATATACTCCAGATACATACTCCCATGTAGTTCTCTAAACGGGACTCGTCGAGATGGATTCGTCGACTGTGGGGCTTCTCCACCACAATTGCACCACTCAACGCTCCCAATTCCTTTAAGATCAACCTGACTGAACTGTCCGAAGCTCCGTTAACTCGCTTGACTCGCCTAAGAGCAAGACTACTGCACGCTCTAACCCCAAAGAAGCTAACATTTCATCATTGCACTCACCTCCCCCCACCGTCACCACGGCCGCCATCCCACTGCAGACGCGGAAGCGGACTTGTCCCCCGAACCCGAGGGGACAACCTGAGCTCTCCGCCGAATCGGACCGAGTCGACGATCCCGATTCTCACGTCTCCCACGAGGAAGGCGACACTCCCACGCTCACAGACACAGAGCAGGGCCCTCACAGACCCAACAATGGAAGTAGCGACCCGGACGAGCCCCTCGAGTTAACCCCGCCCGACGATTCGAAGTCGCTCGCTCAACGCTTCCGGGTTTTCATGTCTCGAGCCCCTCTTCTCCGGACGTCGCCCGCACTGGGCTCGTCTTCATACGGAGCTGTGCGTATCCCACAGGACGAGTCCGACGACAATGACGACGACGATGTTGATCCTGCTGCTCGACGAGATAAACCTGCCCCGGAACGGTCTCCCGGCAGGCTACAGCGGGCGAGCTTCGAGAGCTGTGCCGAAGGCCCTTCGACCGATGCACTCCACCGTCGACGATTATCCAAATCCAAGCAATCACATTTTTCTGGTCGGCGTATGAGCAGTGCTTTATACACGGAGGGCCACAAGCGGCGACCCTCGTCGGCCACTTCGGACGTAGGAATGGGCCCCGATTCCAAGTTCTCGTTCGCAACGGGGCTTGCGGTACCTGGGAATCCTGTGATGCAGGAAACCCCAGCATCCTCGCCGTACATGACAAGCGACGATGAGGATGTGTTGGATATTGAGGACGAAGATGCAAAGCCTTTCGATGAGGATCCCCCGGATAATTCGCCGTACGTTCTGTTTCAAATCGGTCCAGGTCCACAGATCGACCCTGCGTTTCCCCCATTGAGATTACGAATGGTTATTGACAAAGAAATTACAGGTATGCGCAAGTGCGGGCAACTGTCCCGGCGACGGACGATATTACGCTCTCTATCAATAGTAAGTCCTTTCCCACCCCGCAGGTTCATGCCCGAAGCTTCGATCTGCCCCGCTTGGTGAAACCCTGTCTGACATTTGTACCTCATATAGCCCCTCGCATGTGGATTCTTGCATTACTTTTCTCACTGACTGGCTCGGCTGCCAATCTTTTTTTCTCCCTCCGCTACCCGAGCGTCGCTATTACTCCGATTATTGCGTTGGTTTTGGTTCACCCATTGGGCAAGTTCTGGGATGTTCTGTTTAAACGGGCAGATGACCCCATCGAAGTTTTTGAGAATGGAACGCTCGATCATCGAGAATCACGATCGGGCGATCTTGATTCTCCTGATCCGTCTCTGCTCACGAGGATCCGACTTTGGTTTGGCCAAGGACGTTGGAACGAGAAGGAACACGCATGCGTCTATATCAGCAGCAACGTTTCTTTTGGATTTGCATTTGCCACTGATGTTGGTATCCTGCCCAATTCGCTACCAGCCTCATTCTAACAATAATCTCTCACCAGGTCATCGTCGAGCAACACAAATTTTATCAGCAAGAGGTTCCAATCTTGTATCAGCTGCTGCTCATCATTTCTACACAAGTCCTGGGTTATGCATTTGCCGGATTGACTCGACGCTTCTTGGTTCGGCCTTCGGCCATGATCTGGCCGGGGACTCTCATGTCCACTGCTATGTTTTCCACTATGCACAAGACCGCCAATAAGAAGGCCAACGGATGGAGCATCTCCCGGTACAAGTTCTTCATTCTTGTATGGGCCGGTGCCTTCGTCTGGTACTTTGTACCGGGATTGTTGATGCCAGCCCTCAGCTACTTTAACGTTGTGACCTGGTTCGCGCCCAAGAATGTCGTTGTGTCCAATCTTGTACGTTACTGGTTCCTTAACTTTGGATATATCTTTTGCTGACCGCTGTAGTTTGGTGTTGCTTCGGGTCTCGGGATGTTGCCTTTGACTTTCGACTGGGCTCAAATCGCATATATCGGGTCACCCTTGCTCACGCCATGGTGGGCAGCAGCCAATATTGTGACTGGCCTGGTGGTGGTTATTTGGATCATTGCCCCGATCTTGTGTAAGTCTTGAGAGGTCCTTAACAACCAGCCTGATGGCTGACTGACCATGTGACATTACAGACTATAAAAATGTGCTCTTCTCCTCATACATGCCCATCCTTTCTGCGGCAGTTTTTGACAACACAGGCCACCCATACAACGTGAGCCGAATCTTGACGCCGGACTTTCTCTTCGATCAAAAGGCGTACGAAGAATACTCTCCAGTTTATCTTCCCATCACCTATGTCTTATCATATGGTGTTCAATTTGCCGCTCTGACCTCCCTGGTTACCCACACCATCTGCTGGTATGGTAATGATATCTTGCACCAGACTCGCAAGGCCTTCGAGGAGCGTAGGGATGTACCAGGCTTTGAGACATACCAGCCTCTGCGAACAGAAAACGGACATGCTTCTCCACCGCGACACCCTCGTGAGGCATCGAGAGTTAGTTCTCACGAACCGAGTCGGGAGATGCCTTTGGGAATGGAGGATGTGCATTGCCGTCTAATGAGACGCTACAAAGATGCTCCTCTAACGTGGTACCTGATCGTGCTCATTACGATGCTGGTCATTGCCACCTACACTGTAGAGCAGTACGTTTATCCCCTTCTTATTGCCGCGAATCTACTGGCGAGTACTAACCATTGTCCTTCCTGTTTTAAAGCTACCCGGTCCACTTACCCTGGTATGGCCTCTTTCTGGCACTGCTTATTACCAGCGTGTTCTTCATTCCCGTCGGCATCATCATGGCTGTTACAAACCAACACAGCAGTCTTTATCTGATCTGCCAGCTCTTGTGTGGCATTGTCTTTCCTGGACGGCCAGTTGCGAACATGATCTTCGTGACTTACTCTTACATCAGTTCAGCGCAGGGCATCAAGTTCTCATCAGATCTCAAGCTCGGACACTACATGAAAATCCCGCCACGCATCCTCTTCGGTGTACAGATGGTGGCGACCTTGGTATCTAGCTTGACACAGATTGGTGTTCTGAACTGGATGTTCTCCTACATTCCCGGGCTTTGCACTCCCCAGGCTTTGAACGGCTTTAACTGTCCTATTGCGCGCGTCCATTTCAACGGTAGTATCCTCTGGGGTGTCGTTGGGCCTCAGAGATTCTTCGGTCCAGGTGGACTCTATCGACCTCTCGTCTGGGCGTTTCTGATAGGCGCGGCAGCACCCGTCGCGGCTTGGATCTTAGGTCGTCGCAGCAAGAAGAATTTCTGGCGGAAGGTCAATTTCCCTATTCTCTTTGGCAGTCTCAGCTGGATCCCTCCTGCGACAGGGCTGAACTTTTCTGTCTGGGCGCTTGTATGTTTTGTGTTTAACTACGTGATCCGCCGACGCAGGACCGCCTGGTGGGAAAAGTACGCCATGACGCTCTCAGCAGCCTTGGACTCGGGACTGGCATTTGCCGTGCTCGTTGTCTTCTTCTTCCTCATTTACCCTGGCTGGGTTGATGGGTTCAAGTGGTGGGGAACGGAGATCTATAAGCAGGGATGCGACTGGATCGCATGCCCGTACAGGCGTTTGGAACCGGGACAGAAGTTTGGCGAATGAGAGATTCCTGGCCTAAGATGAGAACTACATACACTTATATGTATAGAGTGTACTATTCAATGATATATGAAAGTAACGAATTCAGTTTTCTTTGATTGCAAAGTGAAAAGATGAAAGAATAATGAAGTATAAACCTGTCGTGGCGATACCCTTGCGAAAGGATGAGGGCAGTGCTTACCTAAGCGTGCGATCACTGCCCGTGACCTCCAACTCCGACTCCAGCTCCCCCCCAGACCTCTCGTCTTCTTTCATCCTGTTGACCCAGTCCCCATCTTACCTTCCCCGGTGGATGTGCTGCAATATCACTTTCTTGACCTGAGAAGACGCGCCATCACGCTCTCATCTCTGAGAAAATGTCAACTCCAACCAACGCCTCCAACGGCCCCACGCCAACGGGGACCACGGGGACCAACGGCGCTCCTCCTCCTCCGATGAGGATTCGCCGCGCCCGGAACGCAGGCGACCCCCTCGTTCGCCCAAAGAGAAGGCCCGCGAGGCCTCTGGGAGCTGCTCCCGGCGGAAATACCGCAATCAAAACCTTGCCCGCACGTCCTTCGGTCCCCGGCGCCGCGTCCCTACCACTGCCTCCCAAGCCCCGACCAGCTCTCGTCCCAGATCTACGCTCCGTCAACGGATTCAGCGGGCCTTTGTTATCTCAGAAATATGTTGACTACCCGCTCGTTACCACGAGAAAGGCTTTGCGCGAGGGGTTGAAACACCACGTTGCCCGGTTCTCTTCCAAACGAACTATCGACCCGCGCGATGAATCCCAGTTTACGCGCCCCGTCAGACTTCATCGCCGAGACCCGCGCGCCCGAGCCCATGAATCGCATGGAGAGAAGATGGTCGGACCTGACGGCCAACAGCTGGACGAGGCCGAACGGGAGGCCTTGGATGCTCGAAGAGCCGCGCGCGAGAAGGAGCGCGCTGAGAATATGGCGCAGATTGCGCCCTCGGTCGGGTCGACTGCAAAGAGGCCGAATGCTCCCAAGCAGAAAACACAACAAGTCTTCAAGTCGGACATGACCAAGGAGGAGATTGCTAGAGCTCGCATCAAGTATGAGGAGGCTCTACCGTGGCACCTTGAGGATTTCGATAACCGCAATATCTGGGTGGGCAACTATGAAGCTGCGTTGTCGGAGACCCATGCAGTCTTTGTCCTTGAGAACAACAAGATGCGCATGATCCCCGCTGAGAAGTGGTACAAATTCAGCGCCAAGCAGCAATTCAAGGCTTTGACCATCGAGGAGGCAGAGAAGCACATGTCTAAGCGCATGAAGGACCCTCGGTGGTTCATGGAAAAGCAGAAGGAGGTCGAGATGAAGAAAGAACTTGATCTATTTGCTAAGCAGCACAAAGTCTATGCCGGCAAACAAGGTGGCTTGAGCGGTAGAGAAGGCTTGGAGGCCAGTGAAATGGACTTCGAAGAAGACCGATTCGCCGATGACGAAGAACATGCTGATCTGTTCAACGACGAACAAGATGAAGAGACCAAGGCAGCTGAGCAGCGAATCAAGCAAGATCAATTGAAGGCGAACGTGTTCGACCTCAAGCAAGAGAAGGACTACGAGGAGGAGGAGGAGCGGGAGAAGAAGGAGCGTGAAGCCCGCAAAACCTTCGGCAAGAGGGTCCGCAAGGCTCTCAAGAAACGAGAGAGGAATTACGAGTACAGCAGTGGCTCCGATGTCAATCCATACACTGATGAAGAGGTGCGATCTTTCTTTTCTATTGAGATGTCGAGTATACAAAATACTGATTTGATTGCATACAGAGCTCTGATGACAGCGAGGTCGAACGCCAAAAGGAAGAAGAAAAGCGCAAGGCTGAGGAGGAAAGACTTCAGCGAGAGAAGGACTCGGCCACATCTACCAAGGGCAGCAATACACCCTCGGGTCGCCCTAAGCACACAGATGCTTTGAAGAAGCCAGCACCTGGCTCTCGCAAGCGCTTGGGATCCCCAGGCTCGGACGCAAGTGGCACCGACACTTCTCGAAAGAAGGCGAAGAACAAGCATCAGCCCACTTCGCGCCCAATGTCCCCATCTGCAGCACAGGTGAGTAACTATATTCGACTCCGGTTATATCAAGAGGAATGCTAATTGACTTATAGGCCGGTAAGAAACGCATTCGAAACAATCCACTCGGCGGCTCTGGATCCGGCAGCGAGGTCGATATCGGTGTTGGATCTGGAGGCGAGCTGAGTGAGAGCGGCAAGACCAAGAAACTAAGATTGAATCCCCCATCAGCCACTTCGCGCAGTGGCACTCCCCAAGGATCCCGAGCTGCGAGCCCCGTCGCTGGCAACCAGTTCCCCGGTAGCCGAGCCGCAAGCCCCGATGGACCAAGAGGCAAGTTTCTCCTGTGATTGATTCAACCTTGAATCAATCTATATGTATACAGTAGTATTCATGATGTACTAATACCTACCGACAACAGGCGCCGGTCGCTCCACCCCCATCCCATCCGGCCAACCATTCCCCACGCCCGCCGAAATTCACGCCGCGATCCCCGCCACCGGAATCACCAGTTCCGACCTTCTACGTATTTTCCGTCCCCGCATTGGCGAGTCCAAGGAGAACCATCGTCGTTTCATTGCCATCGTTAAGGACGTCGGTTTGTATGGTAAGGAGGACAGACTCTTGCGGCCTGGTACCTGGAAGGCTACTTAGGCGAGGGGTTGTTTGGCAATAGCCATGATTTAATGGGAAGTTGTAGGACTCCTTTTCTCTTTTTTTTGGCGGGAGTTGAATTTTCTTGTACGATAATACGTTTTAGGGAAGTGAGAATGGATTTGAGGGGTTCTTGAATGATACAAATTTCTTTATTTGTAGAAGTAGCTCTTCTGATTTTATGATTGCGGCCCGCAGAAGCCTCTAAGGTCATAGTAGTAGGATATCGTGTAGGTGTCTTGCAAGATGGTTATTGAACCATCTCTAGCATATGGACACTTGGAGAAAAGCCTCTGGGAAGACGGTTTAATAAGAAATCTCCCATTATGGCAATATAGCCTCGGCTAGATAGACACTCTACTGAACCAAAGAAACATTCTATAAGAAAACCAATTGAAAAAGTAAAACTAATAAAAGAGATGTAACAAAACCAAAACATATACATGCAACAACAATCAACAGCGCCAAGTTTAAGACATGTCACATCACATGACCCACGAAGCAGGCCATTCTATCAGACAAAAAAGAAAGAAAACACATTATCGCAGTGGGGAATCAACATCACAACACATCAAGAGACCCAACGAACACACATCTAAGCGCGGGCAGCGTTCTCAGTGCCCTCCTCATACTTCTCCCAGTTGGCCAGGATGGCGGCGATACGGGGAGAGTTGGTGAGGCGGTAGACGTCCTCGAAGTACTCCTTGGTGATCTCGAAGGGACGGGCAGTGACGTTGGGGATGTACTTGCCAACCAGCTTGGAGGGGTCGATGGTGGTCTTGTTGATCTTCTTGAGCAAGAAGGAGCGGAAGGGCTTGACACCGGAGCGCAGGAAAGTGCTGTGGAAGGGGACGTCGATGCCCTTGAGGGGGATGGTGGCGAAACCACGCTCCAGCTGGATGGGCTTGGGCTTGGCCTCGGTCTGCTTGACGCACTCCTGGATGATGCTGACCAGGTGAGCCTTCAGGTCCTCAAGCGACATGCTCTGCATCAGAGCGGGGATGTCGATGTTCTGGGCCTTAAGGAAGTTCAGGAGGTTGGTAAGGCAGTCGAGGGCGCGGAGCTAGAAGTTTGTATGTTAGTATATTTGAATGTTAGAAAGAGGAGGGGGAAGTAAAACTTACATCACCAGCAGCAACGTACTGCATGTTGGCAACGTTGTAGTTGACAATCTCCAGAAGCCAGCCAGTCTGCTCGGAGATGACCTCGACGACGTACTGCAAGGCCTGCTCGTTGAAGGTCTTGGAGATACGGCTGGGGTTGACAGCGCACATGGAGTAGTTGGAGCGACCTTGTTCGTCACGCTCGACAGCAACCTGCATGGTCAGACCACGGTAGAACACGACGGAGACCAAGCTCTCAATGGGCATGACGTCGGCAAGGGCAGCAAGGGCCGAGTATTCACCCAGGGAGTGACCGGCGAAGCTGCTGTCACGCTGAACTAGACCCTTGGAGCGCATGTCCTCGAAGCTGGCCTTCTCCATGAGGGTGAGGGCGGGCTGGGTGAACTGAGTGGCGGACAGCAGACCGGTGGGTGAGCGGTAGGTGTAAGAGGCGGTGTCCTCATCAACCTCCTTGAAGATCTTCTCGGACTTGATGGAGCCGTCGGCGTTCACAGACTCGAAGGTCATGGCCATGTAGTTCTGGCGGATGGCCTTACCACGAGGACCACCGAAGTAGACGGTGAGCTCCTTGGGGTTGTTCTTGACGATGTCAATGATGGACAGACCGTAGTTCTCCATGAAGTGGCGATCGGCACGGTCCCAGACCTCCTTGGCGACGGGGCTGCTAGCGTAGAGCTCCATACCCATGCCCTGCTCCTGAGAACCCTGGCCAGTGAAGACGTAAGAGGTAACGGGCTGCTCAACCTCGGCCTCGCAGACAAGAACCTTCTCCTCGGTCTCCTTGTTGCTGGCCTCGACCTTAATGATCTTGCGACCAGCAATCATACCGACGTGCTGCAGCTTGACGGTGACCATGTCGTTGGGCAGAACCATGCCGACAAGGGAAGCGTGGAAGCCACGAACACGGCCAATGTTGTTCTCAGCGGCCCAAGTCTCCACGAGGGAACGGACGGCAGCACTGCTGTACATGCCGTGAGTGATGGTACCGGGCAAGTTGGCGTAGCTGGAGAAGACACGAGAGACGTGGATGGGGTTGTAGTCACCAGAGACGCGGGCGTAGGTCTCGTTGGAGGCCGGGGCACGCAGCTCCAGAGCAGTCTTGCCACTCAGAGGGATGGGGTTCTCGAAGTAGACGGGCTGCTCGATGGAGGTACCGTTACGCTGGAGGTAGTCAATCACGGGGTTACCGTGAGAGACACCAGCCTCGTAGTCGACGGAGGCAACCTGGATGACCTCCTTGGTGGGGAGCTCCAGAAGGACCTGACCAATGGTCTGGACGTTGCTGAAGACAGTCTGGTTCTTGAAGCGGATCAAGCTCTGCAGACGGAAAGTGAGGGTCTGGCCAAGGAGCTCAATGTCGGACTCGTCCATGCGGAACCACTCCTTGGAGCGGAGGATGGCAACATCGCGGCTAGTGGCGAGGTGAACCTGCATGGGAACCTCATCCTTGCGCTGGAAGGTGTTCTCGAAGTCCGAGTAGGCACCGCGGTACAGGAACTGGCTGGTAACCTGCATGATGGGCTTGCCATCACGCTTGATGGTACCGCAGACCTCAACCATCTTGCCGGACTCCTGGTTGATGACGGCGTTGATCTGGGCAGTGGTGTCCAGAACGTCGCCAACCTTCAGAGGCTGAGCGCCGGGGATCATCTTGAAGCCGTTAGACAAGTGAACCAGCTTCAGCAGATCACCGTCAATGGTGCGAGGGAAGATGGGCATGGTGATGGCCTTCCAGCCAGCGACAATGGCGAAATCCATGGGAGCGAAGACCTCCTTGCCGGGACGGTCAACGAAGGCCTCACCGGTGTTACCAACGGCGTGGACAAAGTCAGCAACAGCCTGGCTGGTAATGGTCTCACGACCACCGTTGAAAGTGGCAGTGGTAGGAGTGTCGAAGGGCACATCCTTGTTGCCGAACCAGATGCGGTAGTAGAACTCCTTGATGCGGTCGTTGCGGTCGCCCATGACCTCACGGATGGGGGCATAACCGGTCTCGGGGTGGTAGGTGAAGAGGAAAGTCAGAGGAACGACACCACCCTCGGCAGTGCGGCCCTCGAACATGGTCAGAGAGATCTGACCATTCTCGTTGACCTTGGCCTCGACGGTCTTGACCAGCTTGCCGGACTGGTAGGGCTCACGCACGCTAACGACAGTCTTGGCGGGGTCGTTAGGGTTGGTGATCTCCACGTAGAGACCAGCAGTGGGGGCGACAATGCGCTTCATGGGGTTGCTCTGGAACCGGTGGCCCTGGACGAACACATCGGCCAGGAACAGGGCGTGGCGCCACGAGTAAGTGTTGCCAGCGAGCAGGCGGAGCCAGCGGTCGAGGCTGGGCAGGTCGGCGGAGGTAGAAGAGGACAGACGGAAGCTGACCTTGTTGGTCTCCTCGGAGACAGTCAGACCCTCGACCTCGGGCTCATCGGCGTCGTCAACCAGGTTGCCACCGAAGTACTCAATAACGGGGATCTTGGACTTGTCACCAGCGTAGACATCGCGGATCAGACCGGCAATGTGGCCCTGGTGGACACCGCCGAGGATGTCCTTGACAGGCTCGTCAATGATGTTGGAGAAGCGAGCAGCCATGGGGCCCTGCAAAATACAGGTACGGCCGACATCCTGGTCGACAACGGCCTCGAGGTCTTCACTCTGCCAGAGGGAGTCCTTCTTGAAGAAGTACTCGAAGTTCTCATCCAGGACAGGGACGAAAGGAACGGGCTTCTGGCCACGGCGCTGGCAAAGCAGCAGGAAGTGCTGAACATCCTGAGCGTTGATCAGCTGTTTAGCAGCCTCGGGGTAGGCAGCCAGAATGGTGTCAACGGCGGGGTAAGGGGTGTCGAGCTCGGAGTAGTTCTGGAGCAGGGAAGCCTGGCCATCGGCAGTGGTGAAGCGCTCCTCAACACGGCGCAGGAAGTCACCAGTCAGACGCTTGAGCGAGTCGTCAATCCAACGAGACTCGTGCTTGACGTACATCAGATCCACCATGCGGTGGACGACTTCGGCATAGGTCATGTCCTCAAGGTCAACAGTCTCGCCAGCGGCGTTGCGGCCGAACCACACCTTGTGGAAGTCATCATTGAGCTTCTTGATGATGTAGTTGCGCTGCTTCTTGAGCTCAGGGACACGCTTGGCCTTGTCGAGCTTGAAGATCTTCTGGTCCATCTCCTGCCAGAACAGGACACCACGGGTAGCCAGCTTGTGGATGGGCTCACCCATCTCGGAGAGGACAGTGATGATACCACCGGCAGCACCCTTGTAGGTCTTCTCCCACTCCTCGTTATCGACACCGGGGGCCTCAGCGATGGCCTTCTTCGCGTTCTTGGAAGTGTGAGCCTCCTTGGCGATCATCATGCGGCTACCGAACAAGCAACCATCGAAGGGCATGGGAGGGTAGCCGAACTTGGCGGACCAAGCACCAGAGAGGTAAGGGTAGGTGTCCTCAGCACCACCGAAACCACTACCAGCAACCAAGACAATGTTGTCCTGCTTGCGGATACGGCTGTACATCTGGAGGATAGGCTGGTGGAAGTCCTCGAAGGAGTGGTGACCACCGCCACGGCCACCGGTCCACTGCAGGATGATGGGGAACTTGGGGTTGGCCTTGGCGATGTTGATGACCTGCTGAATGGCATCACCGGAGCCGGGCTTGAAGGAAATGTGCTTGATACCGAGAGTCTCGATGTACTCGTTGGCGACCTCGATGGAGGGGACACCGGCACCGATGGTCAGACCCTCGATGGGGACACCCTCGGCACGCAGGCGGCCGATGAGAGGAATCTGCCAAGCCATGGCACGGGGGTTGACGTAGATCAAGTTAACGGTGATACCGCGGCCAGGCGGGATAACCTTCTCGATCTTGTTGATGGCGGCGGTCATGGTCTTCGCGTTGTAGTAACCACCACCGGCCAACTCAATGTGGTAGCCAGCGTTCATGGTGGCGGCCACGAAGTCCCAGGGGACGGTGGTAGGGGTCATACCAGCGACCATCACGGGGGAATACCAAGCAGGCGACTCATCTTGGTGTCAACGTAGGTCTCTCCGGTGGAGGTCTGCACCAGACGAGGGCCGTGCTCCTTGACCCAGTCCACGGCGTACTTGACCGAGTGCTCATCACGGTCAAACAGCTCGGGCTTGTAGCCAACCTCGGCGTTGGTGCCGTCCATCTCACCAGCCAGAATGACGCGAACACCGGTACCGTCCTTGTTACGGTTGGTGAGGACACCCAGGCCGGAGATACCACCGGGACCAAAGTCGACAATGTGGGTGGCACCGGGGAAGACGGTGGCTTGCTCCCAGTTGACGGCATCGTGAGTGATCATGCGGACCAAGGCAGGCACGGCACTCTTGTCACCGAGCTGGCGCAGGTCCTCTCCGGTCTTGGTGTTGAAGACGGGGATGAGGAGGGACTTGGCGGGGATGTCAACCGCATCCTCCAGATCCTCAAGAATGCGGTCGTAGGCGGAGGTGAGGTACTGGCTGTGGAAGGGGGCGGTGATGGGCAGGAAGCGGTTGACGAACCGAACCTTGCGCTGAGTGAACGGAACACGGTTCTGGTCGAGTCCAGTGGGGGCCTTGACCTTGCGCAGACGCAGGTTCAGACCGTAGAGGGAGATGGGAGGACCAGTCACCACGAAGTTGCGGGCACTGTTGACGAGGGAGATCGCGATGTGGCGGTCCTCCGGCAAGTGCTGGTTGGTGGCATCAATGTGCTCCTGGACAGCGGTGCGAGAGAGATCCCGAATGGAGAGCATGGGGGTGGGGGTACCCTCACCGTTCTCAATCGAGTCCTGCAGCATGGAGGGGGCCAGGGAAGTGCGAGGGTAGGCCTGCTGGCTTCGCAGACCGATCCAGAACAGCATGGTGAGGGCATTGCGAGAGGCCTGGGCAAAGGACTCCCAGGTGGTCGCAGTAGCAATGGCGGCAGCGGTGACCACACCCTGGGAGTGACCAGTAGTTCCGCGGATGCGCTCCACAAGATCACCGGGCTGCTGGCCCAGGACCTTGCAGGTCACGGTGTAGTGGGCCAATTGAACGAGACCGATCAAGGGCAGACTGACGGGAGCCGAGACGAGGTAGTCGGTATCGGGCTGGGCATCCCGGTCCTGCAGCCAGCGCATAATATCGAGGCCCTTGGGGTAGAGCTTGCTGGCCTCGGGCTCGCGAGACAGCGACTGCAGGAGCTCTGCAGAGGAGACAATCAGGTCTTCCACAAAGGAGGGGTAGGTGGTATAGACTGTGCGCAATTCGTCAAAGTACTCCTCGATGTTACCCTGACCACCAAACACCGTGTAGATGCCGGCGGCCTCGTCGGAGGCTGCGCGGAACAGAGCCGAGTCGTAGGGCTTGGTGGGCCGGCCGGCGGCGGCACGACCGGCGTAGTAGGCCTCGACCACCTGGTTCTTCTTAGGAACAATGCTGGACAGGGCGGCTGCGACGGCGTGGACATCGTTTCCGCGCATAAAGGCACGCTCAAATTCATTCAGAACGAGCTTGAGGACCTCGAGGTAGCTACCCTGAGCATCGTCCTCACCCTCCTCGACCTCGTGGGCGACATGGCCGATGTAGCGGGCCACCAGCTCCACGACGGAGGAGGGCTCGTCGTCCTGGGCCAATTCATCCGTAGGCTCGGGTAATGATGTGGTGAAACCATCCTTCAACTGAGAGGCATGGAAATGAAGCGAGGTAGGGACAAGGAAGGAGAACTCGAGGGAGCCATGTGAAAGGATGAGTGGGCGCAGAGACTGAGAAGACCGGGGCGTGTTGATTCCGGTCTGGGGACCGGTGGATGTGCCGTACATGATGATGTTGTTTTTCTCCTTGTCCTCTAGGAGACCCGGGCAATTAGGGTCGGTCGAAGGTTGAATTCTGTAGAGAAGAGGTTGATGGTGAGTCGGAATGTTCTTAGAGGTGCGGACGTCGCCCCAAAAAAAGTTGGCGGGGACCAAGCCCGACTTCTCGAGGAAAACTTACAAGGTAGGAGTCGTCTCGACCACGAGGAATTGAATTAAATAAAATAAAAGACGGAATTCACAAGGACATCAAAATGAAGAAGAAAGAGGGAGGATAAGGTGGAGAGGGAGAGTATGGGGGAGAGAAGAGGAGGGGAGGATGATGATGGGGGGGGGGAGGAGATAGAAGGAGTAGCCGGAGGTCGAGAAGATCTTCTCTCAGTATTCACTCCAACAGCAACAAGAAAATGGGTGACAATGGGTGGAACGGTGACGGTAAAAAAAAAAAAGAATTTCGCTGTTGAACTGTACCTGGCCCAAAAGGGTTTAGGGGGGAAGCAGACCCGCCCCAATACTCTGGCAGACTCCGCCCGACACAGTGGGAGAGAATTCCGTGCGGTGGAAGTATCGTACCATACGGCCAGAAACAATGGGGCGTATAGAATGGTATTGGGGATTACTCGGCCATCGGGGACGGGTTCCCTCTTATTTGCCACTATTCAACGGGTTTCCACTGGGCGATGACTTCCGGCCGGTCATGGAAATACGGGTAATATTGGTAACACCGGTATTACATGTAATATATTAGATTTACACTCATTCAACGAGTCTAGATGGATCTTTAATGTGGGATTGGGTGGTTACACTGCCCCATGGAATTATCTAATATGTACAATGTAGATATGAGCACGAAACTCGTGGTACAGGATATAGTCGAGGTCAGCAAAAATATACAGTTGGACCTAACAACATAGTGAATAAATCCATCAAGCCAAAGAAAAAGTGGGTCGATGGGGACAGTGATGGAGTGTTGGGAGTCTCCCCATTGGCCCCAGTTGGCCTGCCAGGAACGGGCCCCAGTAGTCGCCGCACGGCGGTTACCATGAGCTTCCAGAGCCCCCAACGGCCTCACCACTTCTCTCATCCCTTCTGTCCGCTACTAACCCAAAGGTAATTACTGAAACCTTGACTGGACCAACCTTTGGTCCTGCCTACCACGTTTTATTCATTGCAATTGTTCCCGTAACCCCTCCCGAGAAACCCGTATTGTAATTTAATCATAATTACTCGGCATTGATGGGAAGAGTTCTCTCCCCCTCTACTCCGTACAGTAGATACATAGAAGATCGGCCAAAATTACCAGCCCGTATCCGGTATTACCACCACCACCCTATCAAGGCCTATCGCTTTCCCACCTTTTTTTTCTCTCGTCGGTGGTCTTCAACTCCACCAAATCCTATCCTCTCCTCCTCCTTCTCCTCCTCCTCCAGACTTTTGGGACCTTATTTCCTTCTCCCTCCCTAATTGCTTGTTTTCTTATTTCCCTTCTTTTTTTCTTGTTTTCTAGAATCAATCCCTTCAGTGGGCTTTCAAGCGACGACAGTCCCCCCGTCGCGCCCGAATTCTAGACACACGTCCGACGACTTACCCTAATTACCTTCACAAAATCGACCGAGTTCTCGATACCCTCCAAACCTTCTTCTCCCTCGACCACATATATCCCCCCACCTTCTACACATAACACAATTCGCCATGCGTCCTGAGATTGAGCAGGAGCTGGCTCACACCCTCCTGGTGGAGCTGCTCGCCTACCAGTTCGCCTCGCCCGTCCGATGGATTGAGACTCAAGATGTCATCCTTGCCGAGCAGCGCACCGAGCGCATTGTTGAGATTGGCCCCGCAGATACCCTCGGTGGAATGGCCCGCCGCACACTCGCCTCCAAGTACGAGGCCTACGATGCCGCCACCTCCGTACAGCGTCAAATTCTCTGCTACAACAAGGACGCCAAGGAGATCTATTACGATGTTGACCCCGTCGAAGATGAGCCAGAACCAGCTGCCGAAGCTCCTGCTGCCGCTGCTGGTGGTTCTGCCCCCGCGGCTGCTGCTCCCGTGGCTGCAGCTCCCCCTCCTCCCAGTGCTGGCCCGGCTGCCGCGGTAGAGGATGTCCCAGTCACCGCAGTCGATATCCTGCGGTCCCTGGTGGCCCAGAAGCTGAAGAAGGGTCTGGCCGATGTGCCATTGACGAAAGCCATTAAGGATCTTGTTGGAGGTAAGTTTGGACTTGTTTATGCATGAAGATACTCGGACAATTCTACCGGTCAAATTAAACAGTGCGGGAAATGCTAATTGGTACTCTTTTTTTTTCTTGTCACAGGCAAGTCCACGTTACAGAACGAAATTCTCGGAGACTTGGGCAAGGAATTCGGTTCGACGCCAGAGAAGCCCGAGGACACCCCGCTGGACGAGCTCGGTGCCGCCATGCAGGCCACTTTCAACGGCCAACTCGGCAAGCAATCGTCTTCCCTCATCGCCCGTATGGTCTCCTCCAAGATGCCCGGTGGCTTCAACATAACAGCCGTTCGCAAGTACCTCGAGACGCGGTGGGGCTTGGGCGCGGGCCGCCAGGACGGTGTGTTGCTGCTTGCTATTACCATGGAGCCGGCCTCCCGTCTGGGTTCGGAGGGTGATGCCAAGGCCTTCTTGGACGACGTCACCAACAAGTATGCTGCCAGCGCCGGTGTTAACCTCTCCGCTCCTGCGGCCGGTGGTGACAGCGGTGCTGGCGGTGGCGGCATGATGATGGATCCTGCTGCCATTGACGCCCTGACCAAGGACCAGCGGGCTCTGTTCAAGCAGCAATTGGAGGTCATTGCCCGCTACTTGAAGATGGATCTCCGTGCCGGTGACAAGGCCTTCATCACATCTCAAGAGACCCAGAAGGCCCTCCAGGCCCAGCTCGACTTGTGGTCCGCTGAGCACGGCGACTTCTACGCCTCCGGCATTGAGCCCTCCTTTGACCCGCTCAAGGCCCGTGTCTACGACTCTTCGTGGAACTGGGCTCGCCAGGATGCCCTCAGCATGTACTACGACATCATCTTTGGTCGCCTCCAGGTGATTGACCGTGAGATTGTCAGCCAGTGCATTCGCATCATGAACCGCTCCAACCCTCTCCTCCTCGATTTCATGCAATACCACATTGACAACTGCCCCACCGAGCGTGGTGAAACCTACCAGCTCGCCAAGGAGCTTGGACAGCAGCTCATTGATAACTGCAAGGAAGTGATGGATGTGGCTCCCGTCTACAAGGATGTCGCCGTCCCCACTGGTCCCCAGACCAGCGTTGATGCCCGGGGTAACATTACCTTCAAGGAGGCCCCCCGTGCTAGCGCTCGTAAGTTGGAGCACTACGTCAAGCAGATGGCCGAGGGTGGTCCCATCTCCGAGTACAGCAACCGCAACAAGGTCCAGAACGATCTCAAGAACGTGTACAAGCTTATTCGCAAGCAACACCGCCTGTCCAAGGCCTCTCAGCTCCAGTTTGCTGCTTTGTACAAGGACGTGCTCCACGCTCTGAGCATGAACGAGAACCAGATCATGCCCCAGGAGAACGGCACCGCCAACAAGTCTGGCCGCAACGGTCTGACGCGCACTGCCGCCATTCGTCCTGGCAAGGTCGAGACCATTCCCTTCCTGCACCTCAAGAAGAAGTCTGAGCACGGCTGGGACTACAACAAGAAGCTGACCGGCATCTACCTGAATGTTCTCGAGTCGGCTGCTCGTTCCGGTCTCTCCTTCCAGGGCAAGAACGTCCTCATGACTGGTGCTGGTGCCGGTTCCATTGGCGCTGAGGTCCTCCAGGGCCTGATTTCCGGCGGTGCCAAGGTCGTTGTCACCACCAGCCGCTTCTCTCGTGAGGTCACCGAGTACTACCAGGCCATGTACGCCCGCTTCGGTGCCCGTGGCTCCCAGCTGGTTGTCGTGCCCTTCAACCAGGGCAGCAAGCAGGATGTGGAGGCTCTCGTGGACTACATCTACGACACCAAGAAGGGTCTCGGCTGGGATCTTGACTTTGTCGTCCCCTTCGCTGCCATCCCCGAGAATGGCCGCGAGATCGACTCTATCGACTCCAAGTCCGAGCTGGCTCACCGTATCATGCTAACCAACCTACTCCGCATGCTGGGTTCGATCAAGACCCAGAAGCAGGCCCACGGCTTCGAGACCCGCCCTGCCCAGGTCATCCTTCCTCTCTCGCCTAACCACGGTACCTTCGGTAACGACGGTCTGTACTCCGAGTCCAAGCTCGGCCTGGAGACTCTCTTCAACCGCTGGTACTCTGAGAACTGGGCCAACTACCTCACCATTTGCGGTGCCGTCATTGGCTGGACCCGTGGTACTGGTCTGATGAGCGGTAACAACATGGTCGCTGAGGGTGTTGAGAAGCTTGGTGTCCGCACCTTCTCTCAGCAGGAGATGGCCTTCAACCTGCTGGGTCTGATGTCCCCCGCTGTCGTCAACCTCTGCCAGCTTGACCCCGTCTGGGCCGATCTCAACGGTGGTCTGCAGTTCATCCCCGACCTGAAGGACCTGATGACCCGTCTTCGTACCGACATCATGGAGACCAGTGACGTCCGCCAGGCCGTCATCAAGGAGACTGCCATTGAGAACAAGGTTGTCAACGGTGAGGACAGCGGCGTTCTGTATAAGAAGGTCGTTGCCGAGCCTCGTGCCAACATCAAGTTCGAGTTCCCCAAGCTCCCCGACTGGGACTCCGAGGTTAAGCCTCTCAACGAGAACCTCAAGGGTATGGTCAACCTGGACAAGGTTGTCGTCGTCACTGGTTTCGCCGAGGTTGGACCTTGGGGTAACTCCCGTACCCGTTGGGAGATGGAGGCTTACGGCAAGTTCTCTCTCGAGGGTTGCGTTGAGATGGCCTGGATTATGGGCCTGATCAAGCACCACAACGGTCCCCTCAAGGGCAAGGCCTACTCTGGCTGGGTTGACGCCAAGACTGGCGAGCCCGTTGACGACAAGGACGTCAAGCCCAAGTACGAGAAGTTCATCCTGGAGCACACCGGTATCCGTCTCATCGAGCCCGAGCTTTTCAAGGGTTACGACCCCAAGCAGAAGCAGCTTCTGCAGGAGATCGTCATCCAGGAGGATCTGGAGCCCTTCGAGGCCTCCAAGGAGACCGCCGAGGAGTTCAAGCGTGAGCACGGCGACAAGGTCGAGATCTTCGAGATCCCCGAGTCTGGCGAGTACACCGTCCGCCTCCGCAAGGGTGCCAACCTGCTCATCCCCAAGGCTCTCTCCTTCGACCGTCTCGTTGCTGGTCAGATCCCTACTGGCTGGGACGCCAAGCGCTACGGTATTCCCGACGACATCATCGAGCAGGTCGACCCCGTTACTCTGTTCGTCCTGGTCTGTACCGCCGAGTCCATGCTCTCTGCTGGTATCACCGACCCCTACGAGTTCTACAAGTATGTCCACCTTTCTGAGGTTGGTAACTGCATTGGTTCCGGTATCGGTGGTACCCACGCTCTGCGCGGTATGTACAAGGACCGTTACCTTGACAAGCCTCTGCAGAAGGATATTCTGCAGGAGTCCTTCATTAACACCATGAGTGCTTGGGTGAACATGTTGCTCCTGTCCTCGACCGGTCCTATCAAGACCCCCGTCGGTGCTTGCGCTACTGCCGTCGAGTCCGTTGACATTGGTTACGAGACCATCGTGGAGGGCAAGGCTCGCGTCTGCTTCGTCGGTGGTTTCGATGACTTCCAGGAGGAAGGTTCGTACGAGTTCGCCAACATGAAGGCTACCAGCAACGCCGAGGACGAGTTCGCCCACGGCCGTACCCCTCAGGAGATGTCCCGTCCTACCACCACTACCCGTGCCGGTTTCATGGAGTCTCAGGGTTGCGGTATGCAACTCATCATGAGCGCTCAGCTCGCCCTCGACATGGGTGTCCCCATTCACGGTATCATTGCCCTGACCACCACCGCCACCGACAAGATTGGTCGCTCCGTGCCCGCTCCTGGCCAGGGTGTTCTCACCACTGCCCGTGAGAACCCCGGCAAGTTCCCCTCGCCTCTACTGGACATCAAATACCGTCGTCGCCAGCTTGAGCTTCGCAAGAAGCAGATCAAGGAGTGGCAGGAGTCTGAGCTGCTCTACCTCCAGGAGGAGGTTGATGCCATGCAGGCCCAGTCCGACGAGACCTTCAACGCCTCCGAGTACATGCACGAGCGTGCCCAGCACATCGAGCGCGAGGCCGTTCGCCAGGAGAGGGATGCTCAGTTCAGCCTTGGCAACAACTTCTGGAAGCAAGACTCTCGTATCGCTCCCCTGCGTGGTGCCCTCGCCACCTGGGGTCTCACTGTCGATGATATCGGTGTCGCCTCCTTCCACGGTACCTCGACCGTTGCCAATGACAAGAACGAGTCCGATGTCATTTGCCAGCAGCTCAAGCACCTCGGCCGCAAGAAGGGTAACGCCGTCATGGGTATCTTCCAGAAGTACCTCACCGGTCACCCCAAGGGTGCCGCTGGTGCCTGGATGTTCAACGGCTGTTTGCAGGTTCTTGACTCCGGTCTCGTGCCCGGTAACCGCAACGCCGACAACGTGGATAAGGTGATGGAGAAGTTCGACTACATCGTTTACCCCAGCCGCAGCATCCAGACCGACGGTATCAAGGCCTTCTCCGTGACCTCGTTCGGTTTCGGTCAGAAGGGCGCCCAGGTCATTGGTATCCACCCCAAGTACCTGTACGCTGCGCTTGACCAGGCTCAGTACCAGACCTACAAGAACAAGGTCGAGTCGCGCCAGAAGAAGGCTTACCGCTACTTCCACAACGGCCTTATCAACAACACCATCTTCGTTGCCAAGAACAAGGCCCCCTACGAGGATGCCCAGCAGAGCCAGGTCTTCCTGAACCCCGACTACCGCGTCAGCGTGGACAAGAAGACCTCCGAGCTGAAGTTCTCCACCACCCCTCCCAAGGCTGAGGAGAAGGAGAGCACCCGCCAGATGGTTGAGTCCCTCGCCAAGGCCAACGCCGCTGGTGAGAACTCCAAGGTTGGCGTTGATGTTGAGAACATCGACGCTGTCAACATCTCCAACGAGACCTTTGTCGAGCGCAACTTCACTGCCTCCGAGCAGGAGTACTGCCGCAAGGCTGCTTCCCCTCAGGCCTCGTTCGCCGGCCGCTGGAGTGCCAAGGAAGCCGTGTTCAAGTCGCTCGGTGTCAGCAGCAAGGGTGCTGGTGCTGCCCTGAAGGAGATTGAGATCGGAAGCGATGCCAATGGCGCTCCCGTTGTTAACGTAAGTTTGGTTACCCTTTCCGATACACGATTGAAATGATCGGCAGCGCTAACGGGAGATCTCCATTTAGCTTCACGGCGCTGCCGCTACCGCTGCCAAGCAAGCCGGTGTCAAGCAGATCACCGTCAGCATCAGCCACAGCGACTCTCAGGCCGTTGCGGTTGCCGTTTCGCACTTCTAGATTTCTCATCTGGGATGTGCAAACCGGATAACGAGTCTGACTACAGAACATGATGTATAGATGCCGGCAGATCTCCTTGATGTTGATGTTGACGTGACGTGATGTCTGATGTTTTTGCATTGTTGAGTTACCCACCCCTACTTTAGACGGCCTTGAGAAAGCGAAAGGCAGAGACATGCAGCGAAAGATAAAAGCGAGAATGACTCGATGAGGAGCGTCTCTTGGCTTTTTGAATTGCTTTACACTTTTTTTCTTTTCCTTTTTCTTCCGAGACGTGACGATTTGTTATTTATGCCTTGTGTGTTCGTCTTACGTTTCCATTTCTTCTTTTTGTTATTAGATTCGAGCCAGTTTCGTCTCCTGGTTCGTGGTGTTTATAATGGGAGTAATGATATGTTCTAATTTTCGTTCTAGAGTTGCTTTTGATTGGGGGTGGAGTAGAGAAATTTGAACATGATGTAGAAGTAATGTATAGAAGTAGAGTGGAATCGTGGTTGTATAATGTTATTGGGGATTTGAAAGACTACTACTAGCAACGAGAGGAAGCAGGAAGAAGGAAGACCCTATCCGCACTGGCAATCTGTATGTGCTATCTATGCTTTCTAGCATTTCCATGACTTCATCAGAGGCATAGCCGACTTGTTAAGAGGAAAGCAAACAATAATCGCCCCACGTAACGTGCACATATTTCCGAGTGTAGAGATACGAGCTCATTGCTGAAGGTTTGATCCGAGCCTCTACCGACGAGATATGAATCAAAGACGCGACGCCGAATTCAGCCTCAGTGAGTGGCGCACCGTAATCCAATGGAAGCTTGACCATCTATCCATCCCCATGGTTACCAAAAGACATGGAATTATGGCGACTCTATTTGAACTAATCAAAACACGCCAAAGACATAGTTTCACGTAGCGCGGAAGCAGAATCAGAAATGCGCAAGTCACGAAGAAGCCTGACCAGAAAATCCATGGTGATATAAGGATGTCTAAGGTGATGAAACGTCCCATCTGCAAATTTCTCCATAGTCCTGTAAGAGTCGAAGAATTCCACGATCCCGTCTGGAAAATAGTAGCGTGTCATGATCTCCATCAAAATTTGATTGCATTGCGCTAGACATGCCCTATCGACTGCGGTTAGGGGGGTTGATATTAGCAGGATTAGCCTCCACGGGGAGATTGAGTAGATTGGTGGGGTTCTGGTTCTGGGAGGATATCATGGTTGCTAGTAGTACCTAGGAAAGTGGAATTAAACACACAGTGGGAAGAAAGAAGTGGTATCTAAATGCTGCATAGGGAAATAGTCGTGGCATATCCCGGTATTTTGCAAGGACCCCGATTATTACTTTGTGATTGTTTGGGTAGGAGGGTAAGCTGTTCTTTATGTCTAGAACACGTAGGGTGGAGAGATGAATATGGGCAGTATGAAGGTAATATCCGTGAGTGAGCTGTACTGCGTTATCTGGTGTGTATCCCAGGGAGAATGTAGAGATCCTAATGGAACCAGGCCTAAAAGATTCGGCGGTAAACATACTCGGTCCTAAACTGTCTTGAACAGGAATATCACAAGGCTAAAAGGCTGGTCTTTTGGTATTTACATCACATAAAACGTACATCTATCAAACAAAAATCATCACTTCGAGTTCGCTGCCGCCCGATTCAACGGTCCCCAGTTCGCACGGGGATTGAGCTGATACCGCACGAGACGCTTCTTCGAGTGTGCGGCTGATGCCTCTCGACCAAGTGCAGCATCAAATTTCACCTCCAGCGTGCTGGGGTGTGCCTGCGCGGCTGGGCCATCACTGGCAGGCTTCTTCTGAACATCGACAGGCTGCTTCTGGGTAGGCTTCTCCTGCGCATCGGCAGTTTGTGCTTGAGTCACGAAGGACTGCCGAGATCCAGATCTGTACAGAGAGGCTTCGACCTTGGTGACCAGATCGCTGATGTCCTTTCCAGACTCAACGGCTGCAAGGAGGTCATTCTTCAACTGCGCTAGCCAGGGGTCTTCGCTGCTGCCCTTGCGCAGGTTGTCACGGCTCTTAGCCATGATAGCGGCGCCGGCGGTACCGGGCTTCAGGGAGGTCTCCTTCACGGGAGAGTGTTGGCGGACCCATTCACGCATGATTTCCCAGACGACGCTCCAGGGGGCGTCGGTGCGGATGGAGTTTGGTTTGGCGTGGCTACGGGTAGAGCGGTACCCGACTGAGCGAAGAGCACCTCGGAATTCGTCCTGTGGGACGGTCGCGCAATGGAGGACCTTTGAGAGAGCGCTTAGAGAGAAGTAGAAGGGGTACGGCTCATGGAGAGCCGGGCTCGTACGTGGGATGATAGCCGGGTAGTCATTTTGTTCGTTGGCGTTAGATTTGGCTGTCTCGGTTTCGGAGTCTTGTTGCTGCTTATCTGAGGACTGGGTGAAGGAGGGACTGAGGTCGAGGTCCTCTTCCATGGCGGTGGTAAGCATGCCCTCAATACGAGGAATAGTCTGATACGTCTCCGGGTCCAAAGTGGGAAGAATGTCCAAAATCCGCTGAATGAAGTGAGGGTTATGAAGAGGGCCAGCCCACATCGGACCTGCAAGATGTGTCTTGAAGCCGCAGTGCTCACAGTAAGTATTGGCCCTCGGGCCCTGGGCCAGCTTATAGTGATACAGGGGGTTTCCCTTGCGATCAAGCTTTTCGTTGCAGGCAGCGAGGGGCTGAAGCGTCCATGCACCGCATCCAGCATCACAATTGTATACAAGCATTGAGTTGCTGGCAGTGAACTTGACTTGTGCTGGGGAACGAGACACCCGCACGAACACACGGGCGTAGAAATCGATCGAGAGCGAGAGCAGTGGCTCAATTGCAATTCCGTATTTGGCAGCGGACATTGCCAGACTGTTCAAGATGAGGCGCAGGCCACCTTCATGCGAGTGCAAGCCCTTGATCGGGGTACCACCGTAAAGGGAGAACGCCTTCTCAGCATACCCGGTCGAGGCCCAGACACCTGCATCGGTGCAAGTGACACAAAGCAGGCCACCATCCTTAACACCCTGAATTGCCGCATCCAGGAAGGGAGCAGCGGTACCATAAGGATCCAGGTCGATCACATCGAATTTGCGGGTTGGATCACCGGCGGCGCCGTACATAAAGACACGCGCATCGCCCAGGTTCGGCTGGATACGGTCCTGCAGCTTGTTGTACTCGATATTCGTCCTCATTGACTTAATGGCGGATTCTGAGAGGTCATTTCCAACCACCTTGGAAACTGCTGGCAATTCGGAGGCATATCGGAGGGCGCGCAGACCCGTCGCGGAGAGGGCATCAAGGACTGTGAACGAGGGCGCAGGGGTCGACTCGGACGTCTCGATGGGAGCTGGCGCAGACTGCTCGGTTGTCTCGGGCTTTGCTGCATTCTCGCCCTCTGTAGATGACCGGTTAGGTGCCTGTTCGTCGGAGGAACCCTCGCGCTTGCGCTTCTTTCCCTTGTTGGTACCATTGCCTGTGGCGCGTCTCTTCAACTTCTGATCCGCCTTTTGTTTCTTCACATCCATCGCATGTTCACTGAAAGCGCGAATGGCTAGGACACTCAGGTCACGATTGAATTGTTGGATTGGGTTGTAGAAGACCGATTGGCTCTCGTCTTCGTCCTTGAGATCCCTTCTGGTGCCCTTGGAGGCGGCTTCCTGAGCCGGTGGGTTGAGGATATACGCCAAGCCCTCCTTAATCATATTATAGTCAGCTCCCTGGTAGGATACCAGCTTGCTGGTGGGAGTAGTCGAGCTCTCCATGGCGATCGGGGTATGACAGAACGGTCTGCGGGCGGTCCAAGCAGTTCGGAGTGGAGATGGTGTGCGAAAGGTGGATGATAGATCAAATGTGCATCTTGGGGGGAATGCGAAAAGCGACAGGCAAGACCGTGGGCTCATGGACTTGTTCCCAGGGCGCAAAGACCAGGATGACTCTGAAAAGTGGTGGGAGTTAGATCGTCGACTGGCGCTCGAAAAAAGTCCCCGCACGGACCATGTGACTTCAACCACCAGCTCCACTTTCTACTTCCTACTCTCTACTTTCCCTTTACTTCAAGAGAATACTTCAAAAACAACAGTCCATTAAATGTCAGCCGCTACTTGTCAGCTATCTCCTGGGTCTCTATCAACCCAGCATAGTGTTTGATCACATTCCATACGTCCCGGTTCAAATGACGATGGCCACGGACTCTGGCAACCATCTCGCTCGTCACCTTGACTGGCAGACTACTCTCCAAGAGTGCCTCCACTAGAATTTCCACCCGAAATCGGTCCATGTACTCGATACTTGTTGCGACCTCCAGCACTTGTTGGGCAACTTGATCATGCACACGGTCTAGCAAGAACGTAGTGGCCCCCGACTCTAGAGCTGGGATATCAACGCTCTTCATGAACATTTCAATGAACATTTCAACGCCAGGCTTAATATCCGGGTTGAGATCCCAAAGAAGCTGCAGCATTTTCGCTCCATATTCACCTCCCGCCGCAGCAATCAGGGTCTCGGGGGTCACGATAGCGTCGTCCAGCCGGAGAAGAAATTTCATCCCATCCAGGGTTCCCTCAGAAGCTGCCTTAAGGAGCATCGAGGAGGTGGCATGCGTTACTGATCCGCGTTCAAAGACTAACTTGATCATTTGAAGACTTCCCGAGACCGCAGTCTCAATATTTTCGTCGGTGAATTCGAACGGTTCGAATTGTGCCTCAAGCATCCGCAGAATTTGAAGCCCTGAATGGGTATTCTTGATTACTGCATTGATGACTTCGGCGGTTGCTGCCTCAATCGGGATCTTCCGGTGTATCAAAGCCCTTGTCATCTCGTCTCCAAAGCTAGCATTACTCACCGCCCCGATCAACATGGGCTTGGTGATCAGCTCGGCGCCATGTCGGTTCAAAAGCTGCGGCACATGCTCCCCGTATTCCATATTCTGCAAAGCTGCTCCCATAACGGCATCCGTGACCTCTAGATCTCGCCCATCGTTGAGGAGCATGGTCATCGTCGCGCTGCTGGTGAAATTATTCTCCCTAGCGATATGAAGCAGCGCTGACTCCGGCACTTGCACGTTAGGTTTCATGTCCAAGAGGTATCGCAGAGTCTCACATTTCTCGCAATATCCAATCAGCTTTGCCCACGTCTCATCATCAATAGGCTGACTTGATTTGGATACGAGGTATTTTAATATCTCTTGTCCGTTGGTTTCGTCATTTTTCACAGCTGCTTCGAGCAGCTCTGGGGTGACTTCGCAGCTCCCACCAGCAGCATTAAAAATCAAGGGGTAAACCGTTGGGTTGCCGTATGAAGCCGCCCGGCGCAACAGACGGGGAGTAATTGGCCATCCATGATCGAGAAGAGTTTTCACTACCTTGCCGGTCCTATCCTTGGCAAAGGCCTGCGTTATGGCAAACGTTTCGTTGAAATCGAGGGATGTGAAATCGGGGGGTCCAACGCGCTCGAGAAGGAGAAGCAGGATGGGCATAGCTTCCTCTTCATGCTCAGGCTTACCCGCTAAGCGGGCTATCCAGGAGATGACCTCGAAATTGATAGATGCTGGATCGGCTCTGTTAATCAAATTGATGCAAAGCTCAGCATCAAACGGCGATGTCCTTATGATAGCGATGAGCGTATCCGAACCAATCTCAATATCGGGTTCTCGATCCACAAATGCGATCATAGCGCCTCGGCACCGCGAACATTTCCGAACCATCTCTTCAGTGATACGTAGGTCTTTGTTGTGATATAGCAGCATGTATATGATCTCCGAATCCAGATTCTTAGCATTGAGAATCACCTTTTCTGTGATCTGAGCTGGCTCGACCAAGTCCAGCATCCGTCGAACTACGTCGGCTTCCACGTATTCATCGGTTCGACGAGGATCCCCCAAGTGATATAACACGTACTCTCGCAGTTTTGCATCGCCCTGCGGGCCAATGAGCAACTCTGCAGTTGAAGTTGAACCATAGCCCTGTTTAAAAGCTAACAAGGCGCCTTCTTCTTTCACCCTGTCTTCCAGGCCATGATTCAAGGTCATACGGACTATCTCGTCGAGCCCAAAGAAACATGCAAGCAAAAATGCTCGGTCGTGCGGGCTTTGGTAGTTTGTCATGATTGTCCCCAGGTTCCCAAATCGTAGAGAACGCAGGTAGAGGGCCCAGCAATTCAACGGGCAATTATCGTCGGAATCATTGAAGAGGAAGAAATGCAGCAGTTTTTGAACGTTCAGATCCTCCGCTGATCGGTTCTGCTCACCAGAAAGCACGCAATGGTTAACCCAGAAATTCAAGGAATAGTCATGGATGCCTTCTTCGTTTGAACTGATTTCAGAAAATGGCACGATATCGAGAGGCACGACTCCTAGCTTGTTGATAAACTCATTTGCGCTGGGTGAGTCACTTGCACAGATCAACGTGAGAAGAGTAACTTCTGCTGCGAATGTATTCGTCCACTCGGTTGAATATTCGGGTATCTTTTCGAGAAATTCACGGACGGAGAGATGTGCGAAACGGAAGAATCGATCTCCTTCTTCAGTTGTGGATGACACGACAAAGTTGCTCAAAAGGTCCAAAATGAACTCTTCGTCTAGGTCATCAGGGCCAAGGTCCGTAAAGGCCGTTATGGCCAGGAAAAAGTCACGATGTGTGAGATTTTGTTGTGCGCTGAGCATCCACTTGAGGGTGTGTTGGAACACGACTTGATCTGTCTCTTGGGTCGTTTCGAGCGCTTTGTCGTATAGATCTTGATATAGAGCGCTTAGATCTCGAGGGATGCGAGATAATTCAGATCGAATATCCTTTTCTGCTCGAATACCTCGAAGACTTTGCAGCTGTAGCTCCGCCCATCGGAACCTGGATACATCGTCAGTTAGCCTTCACCCAAAATAATCACAGTTTGTTAGATCGCTTGAGGCACTTACATCCCCTTGGCCTTGGAGACGACATCCTCCTTGATCAACTCCGTCAACTCCTCTTTCGTCTGTTTCTTCCGAATATAAGCCAGCAACTGCTTCTTCGCAACAAGCCTATCCGTTTCAAACTCAACGAATTTCCGAATATCATCCTCGTTCTCCAATGACGTGACCTGAAGCCCGCTATGAGTCTGAAGAGAAAGTCGCAAATCTCCTTCTTCGCGCGAGCTGACAAAAACCTTCACCAGGCTGGCTGATTCGTTAATTGACTCTAATGCCTCGACAAGTTCCCACCGCGTATCGACATCACATTCATCCAGAGCATCGACCACGATCATGGATCGATCATATAGTTCAGTCAACTCCCGAATCAAGTGGCACAATTCGACTATACTCGGTGTTCGCCTCGAGCCATCAACAGAATGCAATTTATGGTATAAAGCCAGAGTAGGAGGAGCAATTGACTGAGTTTGAGACTGGCGAGAAAGTTGGCGCGCGATACAGGCCAGAATACTTCGTGGCTTTGCACGTTGCGGCTCTGCCGTGTCGCGCGAGCAGTAGAAGTACGCTAGGGCGTGCATATCATTTGACTCTGAAGCTTTCATGATCTCATCGATTACCGTCGATGTTAGACAGCTTTTGCCTGAGCCTTGTGTACCGTGTAGCCATAGGAGAGTATTCTTGCTGTCGTTCTGCCATTTGGAGAATTCGGGATGTTGAACGACCCATTGACATGTCCCTTCCAGTACTTTGGGCTGGATATCCGTGTGGTGGTCATGGTAGGGCTGGGATGAGAGCCAATCCAGCATATCTCTCCTTTGCACATCTGCGAGAAATGATTAGTACGGGGTCTCTTTCGTATGAGTTGGTAAACCTACTACTCAGGTAATCTTCGACTTGCTGAAGTTGATGCGCCGTTTGCGAAATAGGCTGCTCTATTCGATCCAACGCATCGCGCAGTAAAGCGATATTGTTTATCTCCAGAGACAAACTTGCGAATTGATCCGCAGTCTCATTGGCCATTTCTGTCTTGACCAAATCAGCACAATGATCAGCCTCCCGTTCCTCAGTGTCCATTTTCTCTAACAGATCCTGGAAATCGTTCTGAGCAAGGATACCACTCTTCAATATACGGATACCAGTCCGCTGCTGAAAATAGCGATTGGCCTGGACGAGATAATTTAGCATCGTGGTATACAGCCTTACGACCGCCTGTTCCAGTAAAGTCGTCGCTGCACTAGAGCGTTGAAGATAGAGGCATTCGACTATTCTATATCGAGCTGTGATTCGGGTAATCTTTGCTGCGCCTTCGACGACAAAATCGAACTGTTTGAAGTCGTTGGTAGCAATCTAGATCATAAACAAATCCGCTTGATTAGCTTGGAAGCGCGATCATTGCCGTTAGGTACGACAAACCTGTAAAAGAAATCGAGCCCCGGCCCAAGGCAAAGCCGCATAGCCTGGGTCAAACGAAACAGCCTGGTCTCCGACATTCTTGAAGACTTGAATCCAGTGAGTGATCTTGCCTAGCAAGTCACGAACAATAATCTTATCCTTCCTGCCAGGCAGCTTGATCTGCCATCGTTTGCGAATACATAGCTCATAGGCCTCGTTAGTTGTGTGCGTCAATAATTCAACTATATCAAGAGTTCTTTGGTCGCTGATTTCGTTGTTGATTTCCTGTCCAAAGGCGAGAAGGCTCTGGTCAGCTTCGTCCAGCTTCCCCGCAGCACATGTCCATAGTGACTGAGTATGGCTACCCATGGTGGACTTTTGTCCAATCCGAGATACAGAGGAGGAGTAGAATCAGCCGTCGCAACGAGGAGATCCAGGGAGACCAAATCGCCCATATGTTATGAAGCATGCGGGGAGCGGAGGGGTAGCTTAGGAGTAGGTCCTGGAGACTGCGCCTTGTCGAGTGGGGCTCAGCTGAATATGCCACTTCACTAGCGCTTAGAAAATAAATGAGGCTGTTGGACAAATCAGCATACGATTGGACTCTGACAGTCTCGAGGGCTGTGAACTACAAGAAATTCTAGCACGCTAGTTAATGTTGAAAAGTGTTGTCTTAACGATCAAGACCAGCTTTTTCAGAACATCCATGCCGAATATAAAAGGATTCGCAAGGAAAATGCATGTAATATCTCAATGCTTGTTTCTTCATCAGCATATCGATTGATGTATATAATTTCTTCACAATTTCCCAGGACGCTGCACGTACAATAATGCCTTAAGCAAGAGTCAATGTGATTGACAATTTCTAAGAGGATTTCATTGGGTAGCTCGACAATAGAAATTTTGATTACGTGAATAAAACGTTGATCTGGCAAGATGGTTATATAATAATATCTGCTAGGGTTTAAAGACGGCGAGTTTTGATGAGATTGACTACCTTGGCCGCAAAGTCCATGGCGTAACTATATCTGGACTATCAGAATAGATGCAAACAAGCAAAGAAAAGAAAACAAAAGAGCAAATATCGCAAGTAAACAAGAGGCGAAGGGAAACAAAGAAAATAACAGTCTACTTCCGCTTATAACCCTTCAACATTTCCTCGAATATCTTGGGGAATGCATCAGCCGTGCGGCAATCTTGCAACATTATCTTGAGCTGCTCTTTAATGTCATTGCAAGGCGCATGATTATCCGAGTCACGCCAATCCCTCAAAGAAGCCATTGAAGATTTCGTGTCGGCGTGATCAGAGCCCAAAACTCGGCCAAGAAGTCGAATACACTCAGTCATCAAATGTGAGGCCATCTGGTCATACTTTGACAGCTTCAAAGTATTGGCAAGATGGTCCATACTGCTCAGAGTGTCGGTATGCTCTGGGCCAAGCACTTTCCCACGGAATACCCACACCATGATCCCGAGTGACAAAGCTTCTCGGAGTTTTGCCTGATGTTGGTATATTAGTGCGAGAATGCTTATGCTTGTCAAAGTGTTTCGGTGTTCAAACCCAACGAACCAGAAGCTATCTGCGCTGATCTCTACCCATTTCTTCTCTGCTTCTTTGTATCTCGCTGGACTCAAATGAGCCAAGGTATAGTTCCCCCATTCGATAAGAGTCTGATCTCGCATTTGCACAATTATGTCACTGGTTCTGTCTTTCAGAGATCCCAGCTGCTCTTGGAGACATAAGCCCAACCCACGGCTGGCCTGACTTAAAAGGCTTTGCATGTCCCCTAGCTCGAGCGAATGCTTCCGAGTTGCCAGGATTTGAGCCCAGAGAACTTCCGCGTGGTTCCATTGTTGAAGGTTCATATATACGGTCGCAAGGGATGCGATGCTTCGCAACGTATCATGATGCTCCTTTCCAAGCACACTTTTTCGAGTCGCCAAAATTTGGGTGCGTAGCGTCTCGGCGCGGTTCCATGACTTCTGCCTTTCATAGACAACTGCCAGAATCTCAATACCGGCTAGGGTTTGAGGATCTTCTTGTCCAAGCATATCTCTAAGCAACTCTACCGCTTCGGTGGCTGGTTTCTCGGCAGCTTTCAATTTCCCTTGCATGATGAGAGTGTATGTTAAGTCAATTATTCGCTTGGTAGTTCGCTTGTCCTTTCCCCCGAAAAGCTTCATGAAGGCATTGATTACCAGTGCCAGGGACTTTTCAGCCTTTCTCCACCGTTCTTGTTTGTAATAAACCGAGGCTAGCTCGTTCATAGCCTCCAGAGTACGCTCGTCATCGGGCCCGAAAGCTTTCTTGGCTCTTGCAAGGACTTTCTTCCACATCTTCTCGGCATTTTTCAATTGACCGTCTTGCCCATAGATTGATGCGAGGGATTTCATGGCCATGAGTGTATCCGGATACTATGGCGAGTTGACCCGTTTCAGAATCACCAAAACCTTCTTCGCGAGCCCCTCGGCCTCTTTAAACCGACCCTGGCCCACGTAGGTCTCCTTTAGCATTGTCATGGTGCCAACAGTATGCACATGCTCTGGTCCAAGAGTTCGCGTGCCAGTCTCAATCACCTGAAGTTGCAGGGCCTCAGCTTCCTTGTATCTTTTCTGCTCTAGGTAGACTGCTGAAAGATTATTCATGGCAGTAATGGTAACAGGGTGGTCAGGTCCGTTTATTTGTATCGAAGTCTCAAGTGCTTCATGCTGGAGCTTTTCTGCTTGCTCCCAGAGGCTTTGATCATAGTATAGCGCTGCCAAGTTGAGGAGTGTTGCGAGAATAGACGGATCTTCGGGCCCAAGAACCCTTCTCTTAGTCTCCATCACGTCCAAGAGCATCCTTTCGGCATCCTCCCATCGACCTTGGCCTGTATAGACAGTAGCCAGATTACCCGCGCTGGTCAGCGTGTCAGGATGCTCGGGTCCCAAGGTTTTCAAATATGTTTTATATACCTGAACACGGATATCCTCGGCCTCTTTCCACTTCTGTTGAAGCTGGTAGGTTGTTGCATTTACACTCATGGCTGCCAGAGTACAGGAGTGCTCTGGTCCCATATTGTGTCGGTGGAGTCTCGCCGCTAGCTTCCCAAGGCGTTTAGCTCCCCTGAAGCGGCGCTGACTCTGGAAAATCGAGGCTAAATGGTAGACGCTTCTTATTGTGTCGGTGTGCATGGCCCCGAGTATCCTCTTGCGAGCCTTCCAAACCTGCGCATGAAGCCTCTCAGCCTCCCCAAAATTACCCGCAAGGTTAAACGCCTCCGCTAATGCTTCTGAGCTTCCAAGTGTCATTGGGTCGGAATTTCCAAGGATCTGCTCGTTCACTGCGCGTGAATTCTCGGCCATTTTCATTGAACCAGCAATATTTTTTGTTTCGATGGAGAACCATGCTCCTCTCAAAAGGAGCATGGCCCAAATCCTCAGCGAAACTTCAGATTGCGGCTTTGCTTCCATTGCGCGATGGATGTGAGGAAGTAGTAATCGACACATTGGCCAACTCTCAAAGTCTCCATTTGGAAAGGCTCTATTGAGAGCTTTAATGAACTCTTCCTCCCACTGTTCATGGTGTTTGTGCGTTCTGAGCCACTCCTGTGTGGCCAGCTGGACCAGACGATGCATTTCAAAGGTTGTCTCATCTGCAGCAAGAGCTATCATGGAGTAGCCTCGCAAGGTAAGAATGTCATCTTCAAACCCCCAATCTTCACTGGCATGGCCAGGTATGTTCTGACCACCATTATGTGAAGGCCCGCTCTCGGTATGAACTTGAGTACCACTTCTGTTCTTCAATAGGCAAGTCGGAATTCCTTGTCTGTCACAGAAGCTCATAAGGGACAGCAATCCCGCAGCTGAGGGCCGTTCTCGTTGTATATGATCGAAGGATATCTGCCAAGTCAAGAGGCTGGCATTCTCGGCATCCCAGTCTCTGCGATGTTGGTGCTCAGAATTCTCAAGCAAAGTGACTGTCCTCTGGTCACTCTGGATATCTTTCAGGTACTGTGTGACTGTTACGCGCGGGGCCCTCTGTTTGATATAGGACGCCGCTTGTACGATCGCGAGGGGCATGAAGTCAAGCGCTGCTACTAGTTCAGCTGTATCCTCTTTCGAGCCTTGTCCTTTTGTCTTTTGATCAAAAAGAGTGATCGCGTCACTTTCGCTCATCGGCTTGACCATTAAAAGGCCGTCATCTTCAACAATGGTGGATGCTACATGCCGACTTCGACTTGTCAGGAGAATAGATCCTTCAAGACTGCTGGGAAAGTATGCCCAGATTGGCGGCTCAGTTGATGAAGTCGAGTGAATGAATTCTTTATCGTCCAGGTTGTCAAGGACAAGGATCCATCTGCCATTCTTGGAATCATGTAGCCAGTCACGAAGAAGTTCAAGGGGATTAGACTTGGGATCATTGCGACCAGGTGTCTCTAAGAGATTGACTATCTGCCAACAACTTTGCTCAAAGCGGGTTGCGTTACTCGCGTGGATCCAGAAAACCCACGTGTCTGGCGATTCGTCCCGTACTCGATAGCAGTATTCAATGGCAATTTGTGATTTCCTTGGAAGCATTAGCAAGGCACACTTGAGGTCAGCGTTGGGAAATTTACCCAACACCACCAAGCCCGACAAGCGCTACCCGCGCACCAGGTACTGTAACTTTCTCATGTAGTTGGGCAAGGACATTCCCACAATTGATAAATTCTGAATCCCGACAGAAAGGCACTGTGGAAAAGGGTGTTTTCGGGGTCTTGGGTCTCTCTGGATCGACAAGCGAGACAAGTCAGTCGACCTTGTCTCGTAGGGGATGATAAGCGTGAAAAAGTCGTGGGACATACCCAGCGAAAGGTAGACTGTGCCGTTGTTGACCCCTACCTGGGCACCCAAATTTGCTTCACCGAATGATATAGTAGTCGACATCACTGCATCTTTTGACGTTCCAATAAAACCTTGGTGGAAGCAATCTCCTCCTCGGGCTGTGGGGAGCGAAGGACCCTACCTTCGTCACACGGTCGACACGTAGGAACGGCATTTCTTTTAACCCTGTCCATTCCTCAAATCGAACGTGAAGAATGATTTAGTCTGCACAAAGCCTCCAATTTGAGCTGAGAGTGCACAGGTTCCCCAGTCAACCGAAAGGAATGCGGCTGATAGTAAGTCCTTGAATTGGCAATACCTAAATCCACCCGTTACAAAATCAAATTTCTCACGGTGGATCGAAGCTGTATATAATTCGAGTCTCTCTGAATATTTTACTGTCGGATTAAAATCCATGCCAACCTTTTTGATAAGTTTAAAGCTCTTGGCTATGAGAGATGAACCTGCCCTGACAGGTTAAGTCTGGACACTATTCATCCGAACATGAAGCTTATCTAAGTATTGCTAGCAGGAATTAATTTCTGTTCAGTCCAAGGTTCAGTTGGAAATGGGCAATTCGTTGATGTCAAATAGCGCAATCTTATAGATGTCCATGACCTCACTCAACTGTGCAAATATACAATCAAACTACTGGAAATCCAACTTCATCGCTCCTTCCCACAACTACCTCATTCATTCTTTGAAACACTAGTAACTCCTTCGACAAGTTATCCGTGATGAGCTGTTCTCAATCACAAACTACATTGTCTGTTGCCAGCGTTACACCAACAAAAGTCGTCGTCGAAAATATCAGCCAGGTTCGAGGGCATGTATGAGACGCCGAGCACTGCTGTACTGTCACTCTCGTTGTACGCTAAGACCAGGCATGGCGACGAAGTCACGTCTCCCCCAGATTCCACTGTAAAGACAGGGAGATTGTAGAAACAGGTGGGAAGAGTGGTGCTCGCCGTCAAGACTAGATCGCTGTCCATTTGACCTCCGTAGTCACCTGTACTGTTCTGACACTTGTACGAGTTGGTGTATAGTTCCTCCAACTCGACATAGTACGTATCTGTTAACTTTGTCAAGTCGTCGCTCGCTATCGGGTCTGAAAAGTCACTGGTAGCTGTCAGGGAAAATCCTGAGCCTGGGTATTCGAGAGTATAGCAATATCCGTCAATGATAGTGCCACTGGTGACATCCGGACATTTGCTGACTGTGTGGGCTCCCTTCAAGATATAGTAGTTGGCTGAAGCAAGGGCCGTGCCGGCAAGGGTAGCGAACAATTGTTGATTCAGGTTATCTTCGATATTTGACTGGTCTGTCCCACTCAGCTCGTACATGAAAGGCCCGTCAAAGAAGTTTGCAATGTCGTGGGTGTATGTACCACTGATGAGCGACGAGGGCCAGCTCGAGATGTCCGCATTGTCGAACATGTCCTCGAGGGCTTTAGTCGATCCATCATAAAATGCAGTGTAAATATCCGAGATTTTGTTGTAGAGATCAAGCTCGACAGTGCTATCGTCATCGTCATCAGAGTCCACGTTCGTGCTGGCCTCCGAAAAAATACCACTCGCAGTTGCTATGAGAGTAGTTGCCAACCCATCGCCAGTGAGTCCAGAAATAAGGCTGAGAGCCCCACCGAAGTTGGACAAGAGTGACGCAATATCTACAACGTCGGGGCTTTTCGTGGGGAAGTCAGCGACAAGCTGCTCGACTTTGTTCGTGGCATTGAGTGTCGCCGTCGAAAATAGATCGTAGTACTCGTTCATATAGAGTCGGAAGTTGGCAACAACAAATCGGGCCCAGTAATGTGACGGTTCATTGAGTTCTGAGCACTCGCTTGATGAAGGAATGTCACAATTGACGTCTTCACTCAAAGAGGAACATTCCGTAGTTTGGTCGCCAAAAAGTTCTTTGTCCCAATATCCTACAGCATCGTTAGAGATAGGCTTAATATAGCAGTGAAAAAAGGGTCTTACCGCCAGCTTTTCCGTGCTCTTTTATGACCGAGGTGAGCAAAGCATCGATATAAGCCGCCACATTTCTCTCCGAGCTCGCCTCTTCAGAAGCTTCTTCAGATTGGTCCGGGAAATCGCATTGCGCATCATCCGTGAGATCAGTACTCAAATTTGTAATCACGAGGCCATCGGGATCGTCCATAAATTGCTCGAGGTCAATAGCCCACTCGGTTGTACCACCCATATTGAGCCCCTTGTAGTAGGAGGTACGGGTGCGCTTCGTGGTGGTTGTCATGTAACCGACCCACTGTGTGTCGTTGTAAACAATGATATCCGAGTCACTGTCATCATCGAAGAGTACTTGGACATTGGAACTGGTCGAAATGATCTCATCAATCTCCGCATTGGAAATATACCCAGCAGTTTGAGTGCATCTTCCGGGAGTAGCACCCGAGTCTGGCCCAGTGTAGGTACAGTCGGGACCAGTGCAGTTGGCGGTGGTCATCTCAAACGATCTACCGTAGCTCGTCACACCGACCATCAGTTTGTTGGTTTGAGCACCTCCTTTTGTGACCATTGACAGCGCATAATTCGTTTCGGTAAGGTTGACATGAGATCGTAGACAGTTTCCATCCACACAACCATCATCTGAAGAATCATTGCCATAATCCCATTGGCCGTGTAGATCGTAGGTCATATAAATGAAAAAGTCCACAACTTCATTGAGATCAGAGACTGGGAAAGCCTGAAGGTACCAGAAAGAGGCTGGCATGGCAATTGAGATGGTGATATCGTCGCCAATGAGTGAGCGCAGAGCTTTCAGAAACGCCACGTAATTGGTACCATCGTCGTCACTACCGGCAGGGATACCTTCAATGTCAGGCTCTCCAGGATACTCCCAGTCAAAGTCGACGCCGTCGATGCCGTTTGTTGAGATGAAATCAGCAAGATTCTGGGCCAGCGTATCGCGATTTGCCGAAGTAACTCCATCACGGAAAATCATGTAAGTGTCTGTGCTAGTGGAAAAGTCCCAGCCGCCAAACGAGACAATCCTCTTAACATCGTCAAGGGCTAAGAAATCGTTAAACATGTCCGATTGTGAATCGTTGATGCTGATTGAATAGTCCGAACCAATCAGACCAAATGCATAAACAATGTGGGTGTAATTTGAAGTGTCAATACTGTAGACGTCCATGGTAAGACACGAGCGATCCTTATTGAAGGCTTCAAAGTAACCCAAAGCGAGAAATTCTTCGGGGCCGTCAGAGTCGTTGGTGATTGCCGTTCCACAGTTTGAGATGCATCCATTAGTGCCTGCTTCGGCTGTTCCTGGATTGCCAGTGGTTGACTCAGTCTGTGTGCAGAACTCAGGTGTGATACCACACTCGCCCCAAACGTCACAGCATGCATTAAGAGGACAAGGGTTCATGGTTGCCCAGAGGCCATACTCGGTTCCATTGGCAGTAGTACCAGGTACCTGTGGGCCACAGACAGCATTCTCAATGGCTGATGGGAATGGAGGATCACCGGTGCTAAGACAGATGTTTTCGCCAGCCTGAAGATCGTCACATCCAAGCCATCCCCAGGTGTTGTTGTTGTAAGAGTCGATCTCATCGACCGTGATATCATATGCGGCTGCAATAGCAGAGCAAGTGTCTCCCGATTCCACAAGGTAAGTATAACAAGTCCCATTACTATATGGCTGGGGAGAATTGTCCGGGAGATCCCCAGAGGAGCAGCACACGTATTGTCCAACAGCCAGCGTAGAGCACAGATCGCTGGCGGTATTGTACTCGTAGAATTCGGTTGCGGTGATCCCGCATTCGCTGACGAGTGTGGTACAGGAATCCCCTGAGACGACTTGGACAGTAGAACAGTCACTTCGGCGGTGTAAGGAGTGTCCATGTAGGGAGCTTTCATGACGGGAAGGTGTATGGAGTGAGCGTCTTTGAGAGGATATAGAGCTGTCTGTACCCGTTTCAACTTCCAGGGAGGACGAGATGCTTTCAGAAGAGTCGAAGCCAGTCACACACCCGCTAAGACTCCATGTCTTGACGAGCTGTTGGACAGCGGGCAAATCATCATCAGTGCTGATTACCAGACCAACAATATAATTGGAAGTTTCGCCACAATACTGGATGGCCATCTGGTCAGAGGCCCCTTTCTGGTTGATAAAGCTGCGAATCTCATCGGCAACTGTGCTGGCAGTACTCGATCTTTCAAGCCTGCCACCAACATACAGACCCACAGAGACATTGCCATTATACCCAAAGATGGTGCTGGATTTTCCGTCATTGGCAGAGCTTCCCATATAGGCTGCAACGTCTTCAATGACAGAGAGAAGTTCAGTGTCAGCTGTGGAAGTAGAAGATCCCCACGTTCCCACTTCAAGGGAGACATCCGTGGTATTTGTCGAGGCCGTGGATCTCTTTGAGGAGACGTTTGCATCGGTGCCATCTGTAGTGCAGGCATAGATGGTGGACTGAGTCTGAGTATCATTGAGAGCGTTATGAATGGTAAAGTCGAGCAGCATGGTCTGGTTGCACGCAGTCAGACGACTAGTCGAGTGATAAGAGACCCATAACGTCGTGTCATTGGCACCGCAGGAGTATGGACAGTTGTCTATGATGTTCCTGCGAGCAATTGACTGGGTGACCAGCAGGCTAACCACCGTGGTGGCAACCACTCGTATACGCATATCGGTTTCCTGATACGCAAGTAGTCAGGCAGATAGAGATAGGTCAAAAGAAAGAAAGATAGAATAGGTTTGTAGAAAAAGAATGTTGAGATCACAGAATCAGGGAAAGAAAGAATAGAAATTGACAAGGAAACACAATCCTGAATGATAGACAGAGAATGAAGAGTAGGTTGAAGTAGATTACTGCTGGAAAGCTCTCTTTTATATACCTGGCGTAGGCAAACACAATCCATAGCCAATGCCTTGAGGCGCGGCATTGCATACACATGTGCATCCGATACTCAAATCAGATAGTTCCAGTCGGATGAAAATCTGGGGGCCAAACTTGACAATCTAGTATTCTGTAGTCATTTTTCCTGTCAATTTCAAAAAGCGTCGTGTACTCCTTGTTCCAAAATTCTTGGCATAAGAGTTGTATGGCTTTGATACTGCACTAATAATGAGAACCGGCCTTGCCGAAATTCGATGTGGCAGGGTTTTGTTTAGTGAACTGGTTACTCAATCTAGTATAGGCCGGTTTACCATGAACGAGGCTATTTTAGATTAGGAGGACTTTGGGACTTTGATGTTGGGATGGTTGTAAGTTGGGATGGATATCATTCTATTTTATGTTATGACTTGGGATTAGATATTGGTATGTACATGTGAGATGAGATAAGTGGTATACTTCCGGACTGAGTGTTCCTATATAACATTTCTATGAACCTAGTGTTGGCTCTGTAGGCATATCTACGGATATCATTTTCCCCCACTAGCGATCCCGCTACCCCTCTGCTAGACAGTAAGAGAGTTGCCACCCGAGTTCATAACCCGATATAGTATCTAAAAGTGCGTTAAAATTCGTTGAATAAGAAGTAGTCTAGACTGATTGAAATGGGAAGACTTAAGAAAGATACTTACTTAGCATCTATACAAAAAGTGATGAGGCTAAATTTGAACCACGGCGTTGTTTATCATGTATTATTGGGTATCGACCACGAATCCGCCATTAACAAGGCTAACTAATAAGTTGCGCCTTCTCTTTCGGTTCCTGAAATCGCTTCCTTGGCAGGGGGGCAACATTCTCTTATTGGTGAATAGTGCCGCTTAGTAAAGAGACAAGCAATGCTATCCGTGCTAAGGACTGCCGTGTGGAAGGGGGAGGCTCTTGGCACTGGTAACCGTGCCGCTGGGTAGGACCTCTTATACTGAATATCTGCAGTCATCCATAAGGACATGAAGAACAATATGCCTTGATGTTTACCCCGCAGGAACGGCCCTAACCGCTCGGGGAACTTTAGTGTCGGGTAAAATTGCCATCTCAAACTTCGGCATGCCCGGGGCTCCGTCGGGAGCCAATGAGCAGCTTATCAGCCCAGGTGAGTTGACGTATACCTCCGGGCGAAATGGGATATTGTTGAAATTCAGGGGGCTCAATCAGGGAGTTCTAGGGAATTTCAGGGACTTCAGTGTCTGGTCCCTCTTTCTGCGCGTGATGTTATCAAATATGGCTTGCTTAATATCAACCGAAAAGTCTTGACTCCGTATATGGAATGGAATTATTTTGGAACATAGGGAGGCGTATAAATCTATGTGATTAAGCTTTCTCACACTTCTCTAGATCTAAGCTAATCTAGATTATAAGTGAGATTCATTCCATAGTTGATGTGGGTAATCTAACATGCTAAGAGCTGCGCAATTTGAGTCTTTGTCAGGCCTGACTTGATATCAAGACTAAGAGGGGCAATAACACCGCTAGACTGAAAATGATCCAAAGGTTACATTCTTAGTTATTATTTAGTATAGAATATATGCTATACTAACTACCCGATTATTCTCAGGCGGATCTTTTGACCAATAGAGTATCATTGGTTATTATATGATGAGACGGTGTGCCCGGGGTCAGGGATGTAAGACTCTTGCCGCGTCACTATATTCTTGTTAGTACAGAGCCAGTTGTATGCTGTCACGAGCTGAGGTCCGCGGAAGATGATAAAGAAAAGAATCGAGTCATGGAATCTCCTTCGGTGTAGAACCTCTCCGCCCCCACGAATTCAAGATTTTTCACATGATCGTTGTTCCAATTGACCTATCTTTCTTTGCATCTTTCCGGTCTGTCCCTCTATAATGTCTAAACTAGGGATACAATATTACTTCATCGCACTTTGTTTGGCTCTGCATGCTGTTGCATATGATTGGACTCCATGTTCTTTGGGCGCTTGGATTCGACATCTTCAAGAATGTTCGCAACCATGCTATGGCGAGGCATTCTATGATACTTTCTACAACGTCACTGTATGTGGAAACTATTCTAGCACGCTAAATAGCACCAAAAAGTCAGATGTCAAGTGCCTTTGCCGCCATCAGCTTGCCTCAATATCGGATGCGAAGAATGTCACGCAGTGCGGTGTCAATGACTGTGCCTACTACAACACCACCTATTACAATCTTCAGCAGGATGCATATATAAGGATGTGCTCCTGGTCATACGGTTAGTCGAAGATCGGGAAATCCTCTGTACAAGACTCTACTAATCGCGTTGTTGTGGCAGGAGAGGGAACGTGTAACGGTACTACGACTTCTATAGCCAGGTCCTTCGTCCCGCAGTCCCTGGGTTTCTTGACTGGCCTTGGTCTCATCGTTAGTGCCTTAATATAATGGTGATGGAGATCGAGCTCAAATCGTGAAAGCGCAATAAACCTGGAAAGCAAGCAAGGAAGTTTAATTGTGTCTACACAAGAGGACTAGAAACAAAGAAGACAAGAAAGAGCCCAAGTAGGCCAACAATGGACTGGTCCGGGAAACATCCGGCAGACAATCAATATTGTTGCCGGAGATCTTCTATAGGGAAGATCCGACATGGAGATTACATCCAGGTTTTGGAAGGTGACTATGATATATGACCGACTTCGTTCAAATTTGGGCCCTGGATCAACCAGCGGAGGAAGCGGGGGAACCTTCAATATGTGCTAATGCTCCAATGTGACTCGATAGTATTGATACAATGTTAGTGGCTATATGACGACCTTCCATTATTTATGTAAATATTCCTTTGAGAATCGGACAACCCTTATTCCAGTCTGTTCGAATATCCATCAGGGTCATCGCTAGTCATATTCTCAACCCTATAGAACAGTAGATGAACCGATTTCTATTACATATTATCTCGGTAAAGGGAATTAAGATTTGGGGGTGGTGAATGCACCCGGCCAAGACCTAAAATGAGCTATGGATGTAGCATCTGGGCCTAGCGTTGTTGTCTTCTACGTTAGATGTAGTAGGATACGCGATAGAAGTTATCCAGGGTCTTCTACACTATGTAGAGAGTGGATCTTGCCTCACGGCCTATCAAATTTCACCCATCTAGCAAAAGTGGATATAGATTCATGCTTCCAATATCCCCATCCCTGTTCTCATTTGAATCGACTACACTCCTTCTAGGCTCATATTCGACGCTATACTAGAGTGTAGGGCGCACTTGGAATTGATCGCGTACTATAGTTGGCTTAAGTACGGCTAAAGCGGACAGTAAGACCTATTCTCCACACCATATGGGTCGTATATGCTGAAGACAAAAGAATGCACAAGTGCATTCTATGCCAAAAGCCTTGTTTTTTTGGATCCATCTAAACACTCGAGGTAAGCAATTATAATGATAGGAATGATTCTTCCTGCAGCAAGACACAAAGACGAATACCCCCATAAGCACCAATACGGGATTATCGTGTCGTCTGCATGACTTCATAATATGTATTAAGAATTAAGCCTAGTTTACAGCTAGAGTTACAATATATGCATTCGTCCATCATCCGTCGTCACCACCAGCAAGCCCCATCAAGCCCTTTACAACCAGTCTCCAATAACCGGTACATGGCTATACATCTCATTCCACCCCTGAGCCTCCCATCCAGACCCCTCACCACCCCGTCCAACAATCCCCAAAGCACCTGCCAACCAGAGAGCAGCACCAACAGCCGCAACCCCATTGACCACCCACCACATCTTGTGCTGACGCTTGACACGGTCCTGATTCTCGGGATACCCCAGATAACCCTCAAGCGAACCCTTCGAACCGCGCTCTTTCCGCGCAGTAGTAACTCTCCACCCCATCCAAGTAGCCCACCCACCAATGAAGTGCCACACGCTAGCCGTGACAAAGACCAGGTAGAAAATATTCCAGAACACGGGGCTCCGCGCAATACCATGCGCGACATACCCCAGTCCCACGCCGGAACTGCCGCCCTCGACCATATACGGCGTCACGCGATTAATAACGGCATGTAGACCGACTAGTGGTGCGACTAGGTACCCCGTTTTCGCCTGGACGGAGACCTTGGGCCAGAAGGAGAGCAGATTGCGCTGGGCACGTGTCTCTGCGCCATAGAGGCGAGCACGGCGCGAGCCGCGGATGTTGCGCAGAGCGATGCCGGAAGCGATATGTGCGAGGATGGGGACTGTTAGGACGAGATGTTCCAGGCCGGGGGCTTGGTAGACTGGTCGCGTGAGCAGGAGGTAGGGTTCACTGGCCGGGACGGAGCGGGTAATCAGCGGGATGAGGGAGGTATTGGCGAAATGCAGGATGAAGAATGCTGTTGGTGGGTATGTAGAGTATTTCTGGATGCCGGATACTAAGGGGAATAGAGTTAGATCGTAAATGTAAAGCTGTTTGGTGATCCAATTGAGCTTGGTAGAGGTTTGAAATTGTTACATACACAATGCATCCCAACGGTGTGCGCGCAGTCCCAATTTCGGCGTCGGGAAGCCGCAAGTGCGCGAGGGCTTGTCTTCGACGGTTTGAGGGAAGTATTCGCCATTCTCGAGGGAGTCCAAGTCTGGCGTTGAGGGTGAATCGTCGACTGGAGACGGGTCCAGCTCCTGCATGGACAGGATGGACTTGGCGTCAAAGTCCTGGGATTTGGTGTCCAGGGCGGACGGCATTTTGGAGGATTTTATGGGTTTTCACAGACAGGAAAGAAACAAAGAGAATATAAGGAAAATCGTGGACTAAAAATAATTCATGACTCGTGGAATTGTCGTGGGAAAAGAAGAAGTCGAAATGAAAACAAGGAACCGTTGGGGGAAACGAGAATCCGCCAAACTCGCCGCTTCTGATAGGCGCAGAACTACTTGCGGCCCCGACGTCAGTCGATCTTCACAGAGTCCGAGGATTATTCTCAGTATTTCTTTCTATTCACACCACACATCATGCCACCGGTATGACACCTCCCTTTATAGACAATTCTATAAGATTTAACAACTACTAACATCTTCCCAGCGAGCCTTTACAAACCCAGCGCCAAAGGTACCACCTCCATCTACATCTCCAGCCTATACATCCTCTCCACAACTTCAAAACTAACCACCCAACCGTCCATCTTACAGACGGAATCCGCGCGATCCGCCCTAAGCTCCTTCACCTGCACCCTCTGCAACAAATCCTACTCGCGCCACCCCGAATACGAAGCCCACATCTCCTCCTACGACCACCAACACCGCAAACGCCTCCAAGACCTAAAACAGCTTTCGCGGGACCCCAACGCCGCCGAAAAAGCGCGACGCGCTGAGCGCAAAGCAGATGCCGAGGCTGGGCTGAAGGTTCTCGATGCGCCGGGTGGAAATGCTTCGGTGAAGGGTGTTAAGAGTGGAGGGGGCGCAGGAGGTGGAGGTGGGGGGTTCAAGAAGGGTGGGTTTAAGAGTTCGTTTTCGACGGTGAAGGGGCCTGTTGCGCCGGTTAGGAAGAATGTTCTTGGCGATGATGAGGAGGAGGATGATAATACAGGGGAGGTTGGTTCCGCAGGTGGGAAGGACAAGGCTGATGGTGGTGTTGGAGGTCAGGGAACGCGCGGGGAGGAAGTTCGTCAAGATGCGGAGAGTGATACTGATGAAGAGTACGCTCGAGATCGAGACGGGGGAGGGTATTATGATCCTCGAAGACCCACGGGCTGTTATGCTGGATGTGCTGGTCTGACGGAGGTCAAGGCTGTTTCATGATACCCCGAGACAAGACTGGTCTTGCAGCATGTATGATTAGGGGTTTGGCGTTCAAGCGAGGGATACGGCGTTTATACTACCGAGTTTATCAACTACATTCTTCACCATACGAGAAACAAAACGAGCGTATGGACCTTCCAATGTCTATATCATTCTAAGTAAAAGAACTTACGCTGGGGGAACACACAAAAAGAGAAAAAATAGCACAGACCCAAGGAAGGTAATCGTACACAGCTTTCCAAGAATCTGCCTAGGTGGCAATAGATAATGACATGATGATGGGGGGGAGAGGACACAACGATATAATAAAAGAAATGATGGAGACAGATGGAAAGAGAAAAAAGGTTGAAGAGGGGGATACTAGACACAAGGTTTTATTACTGCACGCTCATTGCGATTCCAAAACTTTACAACCGCAGAAGCTTGGCGGCCTGGCTGACGATGGTGTCCTCCTGGGGGAAGGACATGTTCTCGAGGCCAAGGGCGTAAGGAGTGGGGACCTCAGCACCGGTGACACGGACAGCGGGGGCAGTCAGGTAGTCGAAACCGTACTCCATGGACAGAGCCAGGATCTCGGAGGCAACACCGAACATGGGGTAGCCGGACTCGACGGCCATCAGGCGGCCGGTCTTCTTGAGAGAGGCAATGATGGTCTCGACATCGAGGGGCTTGACGGAGCGCAAGTTGATAACCTCAGCCTCGACACCGTACTTCTGCTTAAGCTCAGCGGCGGCAGTCAGGGACTGGCCGACGCAGCGGGAGAGGGAGACGATGGTCAGGTCCTTGCCGGGACGCTCAATCTTGGCCTTGCCAATGGGCAGGACGAAGTCGCTCTTCTGGGCGGCCTCGCTCATGGGGAAGGCCTGGCCGTACATAAGCCTATAAAGCGGAGACGGAATTTTGTTAGTTATCCATTGATTGCCGATATCGATCCCCTGATTTCTCCGATCTCCGGAGAAATCCAAAAAAAAGTGTGGATATGGCGAACTTACTCGTTCTCCAGAACAACGACGGGGTTGGGGTCGCGGATAGCAGCCTTAAGGAGACCCTTGGCATCCTCGGAGCTCCAGGGGGAGACAACCTTGAGACCAGGGATGCTGCCATACCAGGCAGAGTAGTCCTGGGAGTGCTGAGCGGCGACACCGGCGGCGAAACCGTTGGGGCCACGGAAAGTGATGTTGCAGGGCTGGATACCACCGGACATGTAGTGAGTCTTAGCGGCAGAGTTGATAATCTGATCGATAGACTGCATGGCGAAGTTGAAGGTCATGAACTCGCACTAGACAATTTGCGATTGTTCGGGTTAGTATACTCCGAGATCCAGTCTAGTTGCGTTTTTGGGGACAACGAGTCTCCGGAAAATTACTCACAATAGGGTGCAGGCCGGCCAGGGCAGCGCCAACAGCGAGACCAGTGAAACCGGCCTCAGTAATGGGGGTATCAATAACCCGCTTGGGGCCGAAGCGGTCCAGAAGACCTCGCGTCACCTTGTAACTGCGGGAAACGGGGAACGACGTCAGTACTCGATGTCAATTGGGACAACCCAGTAGCAGATATTGCTTTGGAAAGCCTGTAGAGAGATAGAATTGGACTCCTTACGCTCCGTTATACTGTGCGACCTCCTCACCCAAGATGAAGGTCTTCTCGTTGCCCTCGAGCTCCTCGGCGAGGGCCTCGTTCAAGGCATCACGGACAGTGACCTGCTTGACACCACCCTCAGTGGCATAGCTGCGAGTGCGCAGAGCAGACTGGGCGAAAGCCGGGCGCAGGGGAGTGGTAGTGAGGCGCGAAGAGAGCAGCCGGGATGCTGGGCGGAAAAGTCGGGGAGCGGCCATGGCGGGGAATTGGCAAGAAAGTCGGGGGGAAAAGGAGGAGGAAGATGAAGCAATTGACAAGGTCCGCAAGGTCGAAGAAAGCCGCACGGAGGCGATTGGAGACCAAAAGACCAAAAGACCAGAAAGACGACGTTGGGAAGGGAAGGGAAAGCCGCGCTTGAATCTTTGAGATGCAAATCCGAAGATGTTGGGCGCTGACTCAGCAGCTGCCCTCAGCAATCTCACCGGCAGCTCCTTCCGTAATTAAAAGAGCTTCAGAGCTTCCCATCGGAAAGCTTCTTATCATTTACGATCTTCTACTTCTTCTACGGATCCTCTACAATCACTACTGAATAACTACGACAATACCTTCATCTCTTCTTCTCTGGGGGTGTTTTCATCCCTGGCGGCCCTCCCGTTGAATCATGTTGTTTTCGGCGTTGCCCTTCCTCTTCCCGTCGGCGCTCGCCGCTCAGCCCTCCGCGCCGTCTCCCATCTCCGCTCCCCTACGAGACCTCGAGTTCGGGCAACTGAATTTCCTCCATACCACCGATACTCATGGCTGGCTGGCTGGTCACTTGCAGGAGTAGGCTCCACCGGAGGTTCTCCGCTCGTAAGCTCCCCAACTGATGTGGTTGTAGGCCATCCTTCTCGGCGGACTGGGGTGACTATATCTCCTTCTCGGAGCGCATGCGGGAAAAGGTAGAGGCCCAGGGACAAGATTTGCTGGTCATCGATACGGGTGACCGTGTTGAAGGCAATGGTCTTTATGATTCGTCCGAGCCCAAAGGTGTTTATCTCTCGGAGATTCTCCGCCATCAACATATCGATGTGATCACTTCGGGAAACCATGAACTATACAAGCAGAACACTTCGGAGTCCGAACTCTTACGTACCGTGCCTAATTTCCGGGGCAAATATCTCGCCTCGAATATTGACATTTACCATCCCGAGACGGGCGAGCTGGTCCCGTTGGCCCCACGGTACAAGAAGTTTACTACTAAACAGCAGGGCATTCGCATCGTAGCATTCGGCTTCTTGTTCGATTTTACCGGAAACTACAATAACACCGTGGTGCAACGCGTGGGGGATACAATCAAAGAGGACTGGTTTCAAGAAGCCATCCGGGACACGGAAGTCGATCTCTTCCTAGTGGCCGGACATGTTCCCGCCCATTCATCAGAGTATCGGGCGATCTACAAGGAAATTCGCGGGATCCAGTGGGACACGCCGATCCAGTTCTTCGGCGGACATCAACATATCCGTGACTATGCAAAGTATGATTCCAAAGCCGTTGCGCTGGCTAGTGGGCGATTCATGGAGACCATTGGATTCATGTCGATCGATGGACTTTCTACCACCAATGGGCCAAGCAAGACATCGCACCCCACTTTTAACCGGCGCTATCTTGACAACAACCTCTTTTCATTCTACCATCACACGGGACTGGACGCCGAATCTTTCCCAACTAAAAAGGGCCGCAAGGTCTCTCAGCTGATCGCCGAGTCGCGGACTGCACTGCAGCTCGACCAAGTCCATGGCTGCGCGCCCAAGGATCTCTGGATGTCAAGAGTCCCGTATCCAAACCCCAACAGCATCTATACCTGGCTGGAGACCAAGGTGCTGGCCGAGACGTTGAAAGACGAATCTCGGGGCGAGAGACCATCCGTGGCTATACTAAACTCCGGTGCTATCCGCTTCGACATCTTCAAGGGTGAATTCACCCAGGACACTACCTGGACCATCTCCCCATTCACCAATGGGTTCCGCTATGTAAAGGACGTTCCGTACGAGAAGGTCCAACTGATCATGGAGATTCTTAACCAACAGACCAAAATCTTGTCCACCGTGCAAGACGAGACGGAGCCCTCCTTGCTCCCTCTAGTATCTCCCGAGCAGCTTGCACGCCCCGAGGAGATTGTCGTCGATGACGACGAAATGTCGGACCAACGGATCACCTTTGACATGAGCGGCTCAAGCCAGATGCCTCTGTCTGCCCCTAACACTGCTGGCAAGATTCTGCCAGGGTACACAACCAAGGATGACGCCGGTGAAGATGGAGATGATACGATTCATGCGCCAATCTCATTCTACAGGGTTCCCAACTGCATTCAAGCCTTGATCTCTGCCAATTCCTCTGGTGTCCCGGAGAAGGTAGATCTGATTTACATTGAGTTTGTGCAACCGTACCTAGCACTGGCTGCCAAGTTTGCTGGTCTTGAGCTCGATTTCGTCAAGGGGAGTGATGTGTATATGCCGAATATCACTTTGACGGATCTCATCCTAGAATGGGTGAGGAAGCACTGGCAGTGCGAGTGATGCTGTATTACATATGCCTATAGCTTTATTCCCTTGTTTTTACCAACTAATGTTATCATGCATGCATTATGCATATTGTTACACATACTTTTCGAAGTAACCATAGACATTGTCCATGTATATTCATTCTAATCAGAAATTATGATACACTAGATCTCTTTTCTTTAGGAGACTTTTACTCATCACCACCAGTAAAGGTAAACACACCCTTTCCACTGCGGTATCCTCCCAGAGTACCCTGGACACTCTCTGCAAGCTGCGCCCCCTCGGCATCCCACTTCCACTCCACATTATCAACGGGGATATCCTTGAACCGACCAGAACGAGTCAACTGCAGAACATCCTTGATCGTGTTCTCCTTCAGCGCCGGGTTCTTATCACCCCATTTGCTCACCCAGAACCCATCAAAGGTCAAATTCTTGAAGATCAACAAGCCCGAAGGCAGAGCAACAGGCTGTCTCGACATGGCACCATAAGTAACCATATGCGAGTCCGGCGCCAGAGTCTTCGCCAAAGCCGTAGCATTCTTACCACCGACACAGTTCAGCGCCAGACGAATAGGCTCGCGGCCCTGACGGGTAAACTCATGAACCATATCCCTAAATCCACCCGTCAACATCTCCTCCTCCGTAACAACAACCGTAGCACCGAGATCCTTAAGCTCCTGCTTCAGCGCCTCGGTCTCCTCGGGCGTCTTCCGCCCCCGAACAACATTCAAAGACTTAATCCCCCACTCCCGACAAAGCTGGATAGCAGCGCGTCCAACACCGCTATTCGCCCCGTTCTGAATAACCCACTCCTCACCAGCCCGCATCCAATCCCACTCGCAATAGTCCCGAATCATCCGGTACGCAGTCACCGGGTTCACGCTAACGGTACCAACCTGCAGCGGGGTGAGACCGTCCTTGTTCTCGATGCGGATGAGCTGGGACTCGTCGAGTTGTGCGTGCGTCCGCCAGGTACCCTGGCCCGTGCGCTTCATGATCACCCAGTCTCCCTTGGAGAGATTCTTGACTCCCGCGCCGGTGGAGATTACCTCGAAGGCGCCCTCGTTTCCGCCGACGGCGGCGGGTTCGGCGGTGCCGAGGGAGGTGTCGAAGGGTGGTTTGCTGGGGTATACGCCTTGGATTTGGTTGACGTCTGCTGGGTTCATGGGTGCGGTGAGGAGGCGTAGGTTCACCTGGGTGCCGTGGGGTGCGGAGATAGAGTGTTTGTGTAGACTGGTTCGCGGGTTAGGATTTGAAGATGGCATTGCGCTTGGTAGATATTGGAGGGCGCATGGAAAGAGATTGAGTCGCGACTAACCTGAGGACATCCTTTGGTTCACCGTACTTCGAGTACACCAGGGCCTTGGCTTGTGTGTAGCCGTACATGGAGATGTACCGGCGGCCCTGGATGGGGAGTGTGGAGCTGCTGCTGGTGCATGGAGCTGGAGCTGGAGCTTTGCCGGTCGCGGCGAGGCTCGCGGTGCGAGCTGTGCCGGGAAGGCGAGAGCTTTGGGTAGCAGCTCGAATTGCGCTACGTGATAGCATTGTGGGATATATGTAGGGTTGGAGGGGAGAGAAGAGAGAAGGAAAAAGTTGGGGAGACTTTGGCCGAGGGTTAATTAAGGCGGGAAGGGAAGAGTGACGTCTTTTCGGCGATTCGAGCTCGGGCCGAAGGAAGAGCAGAACTATAAGATCAAGAGTATGGTTGAAATTGTACAATGAGAGCCTACGGGTATTTTAAAATTGAGATATATACATTTATAAACCAGATTTCTGTTAACTGTTAACAAGGTAGTGTATATATTTTTTTCTTTTTGTTCGGTGACTGTGTAAACTGGGTAGGACTGGGTACATAGTGAATGGTGAACTCCGCGGACTTGGTTTTAGCCGACTTGCAGTCTCAACGCGCAACGGGCAACTTCAGTGTATACTCAATCATCTTTCAAACTTGGCCTAAGGCATTATTTTGAGTACCCCTTCGACTCTTACCCTGTAAATTCAGACAGTTATAGAAATTTTTTATATTTCCTCCGCAGTTCGACTTCTAAAAATCACACAGAAAGATCATCTCGCTACTTTCGCACCTACATATCCCCTTGATCTTACTATTTACTATGCTACAATCTATACCTTTTCTATTAACTTCTCTCTTCATTCTCACAATTAGAGCCGCAAGGGATAATCCATAGAAACAAGTATCCAGGCATTAAGTAACATTTACACAACGCCGAGAGGTAAACACCCAAATCAACCTATTCATAGAATCCGATACGAGAGCCAAGAAATCCGCAACGAGAGGAAAGTCTTGGCCCAGCCGTATTATTATTCAGCTCAAGTCCAGCATGAGCTTGATCATCATACAAGGCTACCTGATTGGGCCATGCATGTCACCCTCAGCCACCCCGAAGCGCGTGCAGATCTTTCCGGGGCTTCATCAATCATGAACCTCCTCGCAAAGTCACCTAGTATGACCAGCGCCATCGCATAGACTTGAAAGATGAACAATGAGCGACAGGTATGAACTATCCTAAGCAGTCCAGAAGTATCTACGCTCGTACCTGATCTTGCTCCTACGTGCAAGTAAAAGAACATTCTCAAAATCAAGAAGACAGTGAAGCATACTCGAGGCTCCAGGTTGAGAAAAATGAAACCAAAACAAGGATTCTGGAATCAGAGCCTCTCATGGTACCAAGAGCTATATCATAAAAATGGCTACTCGTCATTTAATCAAACAAAATCTTCAAAGTAAACCAGAGCAGAAAGAAATCAATGGGGCCGTTGCCTAACGCCTATCAAAAACACTAAAGCTGATAACAACGATAGCTAGAATAACGTCTGGGGCAATCAATCTGGACGCAATAAATGCACACGGCAAAGGAAGAAAGGGACATTGTCGCTGTAGGACATGATCATAAAGCGCAACAGTTGAAAGTGGAGATTGGGATGTGTGCAATGCTTCAAAGAGAAACACTTAGCACACGATGCAGCAACCGAACCTGCGACAGTCATAGGTCTCGAGTTATTACATATGAAGTAACATTTTGAGAGCGCTCTTGAATATTCGACTTGGCACAGTAAACCTCAATCGAGGATTCACTGACTTCGTATTCTCTTTTAGTATTACATGAAACGTTACTATGCTATATTTGGCTACTCATAAAGGACCCCACGATACCAAGTCCGAACTATACGAAGTCATCGTCGAGTCCCTTCCTAATACAACATGGATTGACGATATTCTATTCTCAGCCTCATGGATATCTGCCAATACCTTCACAAACAATGCTTGACAGTATAACTGCCCAGCAATTGAGTGCCTTTAGACCATCGTATACGTCCTTGGCAGTTGTTTCCAGTTACATTTTTGATGGCCGATCTTTCGTGATCAACTATTTTTGTCTTGAGATAAGTGGAGATACGAGAATTGGACACTTTGATTGTCAATTCACATCGAGTTCACACAAAAATATGTAGAGCAATCGAGTCCCTGATCAGATATAAATACCTTCAACAATCTTGCCCTTAACGATCTTCATCAACTCCTCCAAACACAAAGCATCTTCCACAAAGACTTCCACAATATCAAACTACACTACAAACCTTCCATTCCATCCAAACCCTTCTTATCCAATCATCAAAATGAAGTTCACCACCACCGCCATCGCCACCCTGATCACCGTGCTGCCCATGGCCAACGCATGGATCTTCTCCACCACCGCCGGACAATGGGACGGCGAGAACAACCGTCGCTGCACCAAGGCATCCTCCCGTGCTGGCGAGATCATCGACTGGGAGAATGAGTGGGGCTCAGACTGCACCCTGCGCGTGTATAGCGACAGCAAGTGCCGTACCCAGATTGGCATTGCTTCGGATGATTGGAATGATCACGAGTTGAGCACTTCGATGGGGAGCTTTAAGGTTTCGAGCTGCTGAGTGGATTTTTATCCTTGGGGTATATTAGAGGGGGGGCATTAGAGGGAGGGAGGAACTCGGGTCTTCTAGTTTTGTCTGTGTCTTTCTGTTATGATTTTTGAGTGTATCTACTTTTATCTTTTGCGTTCTTCTTGTCGCGAGACTACGTTTCGACTCCAATGATTGATTATTCGTGTTTTTGAGATACATTTGCTATTATCGATCTTATATGGACATTTTGGTATTTTGAAAGGCCTTTTTAACAACTTTGTAAAGCAGATTTCTGCAGTACGTTGTCGATTCGTTGTAGCATTACTGGCAGACTTCCTTGGATAACAAGATCAAATATATACCCTTAGCACTAATGATTGAGTACCTATAGGATAGCCAGAGCAACTGACTTAGGGAAAAACATAGAAATATTCCTTATTAAATAGCGACTATTTATCATATTCTTCTATAAGTTCCACGAGTTCTTTACTGTAGTTCTCTTGTATACTTCTGCATCTTTGCGGATCAGGTGGAACCTCGAAAGCACGGGCCACCAGGCTCGGACATCTCAATTCCAGTCCGCAGCTCAATCACTTCGTATTCACCAGAACTCAATAGACCCTCGATGTCCCTTTTACGCGAAGCGGAGAGGTGCCTCGTAAACCAACATGCACATGCCCTCAACGCCTTCATAACTCCGCTGCCCCGCGCGGGGCAATGGATCGATCGCGTGAAGGAAGCAGACCAACGCCGCGAACAAGGTAGGGCACTCGGAAATTGTACACAAGCACATAGCATTAAAACTGACTGGAACCCTTTCTGTGGTAGGAACCCCCAAATCCGCCGTTGACGGACGCTTGATCTCGATCAAGGATAATATCTGCACACGCGATCTACCAACAACCTGCGCCTCAGGCATTCTGGACAAATTCACCAGCCCATACAATGCCACCGTTGTCGATCAATTAGCGGCTGCCGGGGCTGTGGTTGCTGGAAAGACCAATCTCGATGAATTTGGGATGGGATCGCACTCAGTGCATTCGCGGTTCGGCGCTGTAAAGAACTTGCGACGGGATCGGGATGGAGAGGAGCTTTCCGCTGGCGGAAGTTCAGGTGGGAGTGCGGTGGCTGTTGCTTCAGAACAGTGCTACGCGTGAGTATGGAGATGCCAGATAAATGTAAATGTATGCTAATCCCTATGGTTATGGTATAGTGCCCTTGGAACGGACACTGGAGGCTCCGTCAGACTTCCGGCGGCGTACACAGGAACCGTTGGGTTTAAACCCTCGTACGGGGTACTCTCACGATGGGGTGTGGTAGCATATGCCAATTCCTTGGATACAGTAGGAATTCTGGGGAGGAACACCTCCAGCGTGAGAGACGTCTTCTGTACGTCTCTGTCTCCATCCATGAGCGTCTCGAAACAAGCTAACAAGCTTCTTAGCCATCCTAAACAAACACGACGCCCGCGATCCAACCAACATCACATCCTCCTCACGCTCCCGAATCCTCTCCCACCTCCAAACGCCACGACTCGCCTCCCGACTAACATCATCCCCTCTCCGCATCGGCGTCCCGCTAGAATATAACATCTCCGAGCTCACACCCTCTATCCGCCGAGCATGGCTCCTATCCCTAGCCCACCTCCAAGAACAAGGACATACCATTCACCCCGTCTCTCTACCAGCAACCAAACACGCCCTCTCCGCATACTACGTCCTCGCACCCGCAGAAGCATCCTCGAATCTCGCCAAATACGACGGTGTCCGATACGGAACTCGTACCGAGGGACCGGACAGCACTGGAGAGAAAGATGGCTATCTCTACGCTAACACGCGTGGCGCTGGTTTTGGCGCAGAGGTCCAGCGTCGTATCCTCCTCGGCACGTTTAGTTTGAGTGCGGATGCGATGGATAATTATTTCATCCAGGCGCAGCGGGTGCGTCGACTCGTTCAGCAGGATTTCAATGCCGTCTTTGCGGCTGCGCATCCATTCGCTGCGACTGAGGCGTCGGAGACAGATCGTCCCGCAGATGCGGAAGTCGATGTCATCGTTTGTCCTACCGCGCCGTCAGCACCACCGCGGATTTCTGATGTCTCGGCTAGCTCGTCGTCCTTGGATGCATACGTGAATGATGTTTTCACGGTTCCGGCTAGTCTGGCTGGATTGCCTGCTATTTCGGTGCCCGTGACTGTGGCCGAGTCTGAGCAGAATCCTGGTGCGGATGAGGTGGCTGGTATTCAGGTGATTGGTCAGTATGGCGATGATGAGTTGGTGATGAGGGTTGGTGAGTTGCTGGAGGGGAGGAGGTTGGATGGTTAGGACTAGCCCAGGAGTCTGTCTACCTTTCAGATCATGTCTTATTATATCTGTATGACTACAATGATACCATCTGTTTCTGTATATTGCATTGTATTGGGTTATCCATTTTTTATCGTACACATGTTGATCAAAACGTTAGAATAGCTGGGCTTAGGCATGGTCTGCAACATCAAGTCATCTCAACATCTTCATCCGCACCTGCCGGAGCGTCAGCAGCATGACTCGGTGTCCCAGCCGTACCAACACTCATCGCATCCTCCAGCACCGGATTCGCAGCTGGCGTGGCTTGATTACTATTCACAGCAGAATCAGAAGCCCCCGCCGCACCGGCCGTAGCAAGCGCAGCGCCGACACCATTCTGCAAGACCTCCGTGCCCCCGATGGCACTAGACGCGGTACCGTCTAGCTCCGCATTATTATTGCCAATCACGTCGCCGTCGACACCGCCCCAGGTGAACATGGCTTCGACCTCGTCGACGATATCGGCAACCACGTCCTCGACGATTTGATCGTTGAAGCGCTCGCCCATGGGTCGGACGGGACCGCCGAGCTCATTTTGCTCGGGCGGTCCTACCCACCATGGGCCTTCGAAGCGGCACTCGACGGCGCCGCCGCCGTAGCAGCTGACGGCTGGGTAGTAGCCGATCATGCCGTCGTCGGCGTTCTCGCGTTCGCCAATGCCAAGGTTATTCGTGCCGTTGGCGAGACGGCTCGCTGGTGGTAGGAAAGCATACAGCTCTTTGAAGGGTGTACCCATCTTCACGCCATTCTTGAAGATAGTTATGCTGGAACCGGGTAATGTGCGGAGAGTGGGATCTTCACTGTTCAGCGGGGAGGGAGGCCCGAATGTGGGGGTTTCTTTCAGATTGAAGGCGTAGTCGCGGAGGTGTTTCGTAGAAAAGACGTTGGACTGTTGCCAGCAAAAGTCGGATTTGTAGTGGAAAGGGATACGGTCTCGGATGATATTGGCAGCTGTAGGGACCCCGGATGATGGCTCGGATCCATCGCCATCTACAGCGGGGTCGTACGTGCCTTCGACGATTTTCTTGTGTAGTGAGAGAGAGGGAAGGGTGATTAGCATGCCGATGATATCGCCCTCGTTGATGCCTTCACCCTTGGGGAAGAAGAATTCGCAGCGCATGCGATTGACGACTTCGCCGTTCACGTCCCGAATGCCATATCCGTAGCAGTCGACACCCACGTTGACATCCAGATCAGCCTCACGTCGAGCGAAACCGAGTCGGACATGCCCACGAGGGGATGCGCCGGGTCCGCCTTTTTGAGGTGCTGCTTGTGCATCATTCACTCGGCCACTGATGACCCGCGCCTCGTAATAATATGATCCCTCCCGAGCGCACACGTTTGCGCGCGCCGTATGCCATGCATCACTTGTGGTTACCGCCCTAGCGTCCTGCGAGAAGAAAATCGCAGCGGGAGAGTCCTCGAAGCTGAAGCGTGTGTGGTATGGTTGGACATCGGTCTGTCGGTACTTGATATGGGGGAAGCCCGGATCACCGATCGCGTAACTGTAGCGGAAGCCGTTCTTGTTCGTGAGTTTATCGACAACCTCGTAGAAATCCCACGTCTGTCCCAGGACCTGTGAACTCTTGCTTGTAACAAGGTTGAATTGGCGCGGTTGTGGAGGTGACCGATCTGATGCCCGGGGCTCGGCAAGTAGCAATGGGCGGAGAATTGAAAGCTCTGAGCTGGGACGGGCAATGCTTGCAGCCGTTGCGCGTTTCTTGGGCGGTGGTGCGCTTTCCGGATCTAGGCCTTTTGCTTCGCGTTTTTTGCGACTATCTCGCTTGTTGCGCTTCGCGCGAGCTGCATCACCACCCTGTACCGAAGCATTGCTGGCGGGGGCTGGAGAGGATCGGCTGTTCAGGTCGGACAATGCGCCGCTGAGGAGGGGGCCATTGCCTGGTGGGAGGAGAGGGGAGTTGATATTTGAAGAGGGCGCTGAGGATCCGGGAGCTTGGGACGCCATTGTGGTGGGTTCGACGGAGGGTGAAGAGCAGAATTGAGCTGATGGGATGAACCTCGGATGGGTCTGCTTGAAAACAGCTAGATTGAGCTGGGTGAACGAGCAACTCGAGCTGAACCGGTTAGCATATATAGTCAAAGCATCAAATCTGGCCTTATAACTTCCAGGCCACGTTATAAGCCTCGCGAAACTGCGGCATCGACAATTACTTACCTGAATGGCGCGGGTCCAGTAGAAAGATGCAGCCCCCGACGCAGTCGCACAAGCAGTATGGAGATATGAATGAGGTCGTCGCTGAGTCCAGTGGATGCACTAGTTCAAGTTTCTTCACAGTCCATCCAGGATATCTCAAGGAACCAGAAGATGCACGAAATGACTGAACTTCGGCGTACCTGACGAGCGCGCCATCTTGAAGAAGCTCTCGCGCCAGAAAAGCATCGGCGATATGCAAGGCGGTCAAGCTATCTGGGTAGGCGGTGTAGATGGAAAAAAGTGAGTGGGTCTCCGCCTGGCAAAAAAAAAATACTGATTAGATCACATGATCCATAAATTTACACACAACTGATCGACGGATTGTCGTGCAACAAACTCCGAGCAGCCCGACGGATTCACGCATTTCCTTGGTTTCGAATAAGGCACCTGGAGGAAAACATTCACTATGCCCAAGGCTACCAGCTCCCGAGCCGCCGCCGCCGCGCGCAGGCACAACCCCCTCGCGGACGATATCTCTGCCGTGGGGCATCTCCGAACAAGCAGCACCAGCAAGAAGGGCAAGCGCCAGTCGCAGGATGACGACGAGGAGGGCGAGAATGGCGAGCGCTATATTGATGCGAAGATGTCGCGCAAGATTCTTCAGATCGGTCAGGAATTGGCAGACGAGGATGCGGCCGAACAAAAGCTACGATTTGGCGGGGCTCCGGCAAAGTCGAACCCAGCCTTTGACTTTGACACTCGATTTGAAGATGAGGCTCTGTCGGATGATGACAAGTTTGAGAATGATGGCTGGGTTGATGAGGAGGAAGAGGTCGAGGACATTGTAAGGATTTGTTCTTTAAAGCGTGCAGATTATCCTACCGGAGCTTTCCTCTAACAACGTTTGCAGGAGGTTGACCCCAATGACCTGGATATGTTCAACAAGTTCATGCCCGGTGGCCACGATGAGGATCCTATTTTCGGTTCGCGACAGCCTGGAGAGCAGATACAGCAACAGACAACAAACCTTGCCGACTTGATTCTGGAGAAGATTGCCGAGCATGAAGCCAAGCTGAACGGCGAGAACGTTGGTGGACCCTACATCCAAGGTGGTGGTATCCCCGAGGATGCTGTGCAGATCCCAGCCAAGGCTGTGGAGGTATATGAGAAGTATGTGAAAATTCCGAGCCATTTTCTGCTTCGAGTCTAACTAACGGAAATCTAGGGTCGGCATGATTCTCTCCCGCTACAAGTCCGGTCCCCTTCCCAAGCCTTTCAAGATTCTTCCATCCGTGCCCAACTGGCCGACTCTTCTCGACATCACCCAGCCTGAGAGATGGACCGCCAACGCCGTGTATGCCGCGACTCGCATTTTCATTTCCGCCAAGCCCTGGGTGGCTCAAGAGTTCATCTCGACTGTGCTTCTGGACCGTGTCCGCGAAGAGATTCACGAGACCAAGAAGTTGAACGTCCACACCTACAATGCCCTGCGCAAGGCTTTGTACAAGCCCGCATGCTTCTTCAAGGGTTTGCTGTTCCCGCTGGTTTCTAGCGGCACTTGCTCCCTCCGTGAGGCTCACATCGTCTCCTCGGTGATCGCCCGCGTGTCCATTCCCGTTCTTCACTCTGCTGCTGCACTCCTTCGCATGTGTGACTTGGCCGCTGAGCAGTCCATGCGCTCGCTCGAGAGCACCGGTGCCGTCAACACTTTCATTCGGGTGTTCCTGGAGAAGAAGTACGCCATGCCGTACAAGGTCATCGATGCTTTGGTCTTCCACTTCCTGCGGTTCCGCAACGAGACCGTCGACGATATGACGGATGGCCCCGGTAGCTCCAAGGCCTACAAGCTGCCCGTCCTGTGGCACCAGTCTCTCCTGGTATTTGCTCAGCGTTACCGTAACGATATCACCGAGGATCAGCGTGAAGCCCTTCTGGATCTGCTCCTTGTTCGTGGCCACAAGGATATTGGACCCGAAGTCCGACGTGAATTGCTCGCCGGCCGTGGTCGGGGTGTCGTCGTTCTGGACCCCGAGCAGCAGAATGCTCTGGATGCCGGCGATGACACGATGGATGTGACTATGTAGATGCTCCATTGAGCGCTTGATTTTCTTTTCCCCCTTGTCACCAAAACCTTTGCCCCCCTCTCTGCATATACCACCTACGACCTGGTCATGAGCACGTACTTGATGGAATGGCGTTTACTGTTTGATTTTCTTTTTTTATGTGGGACTGCATATATTCCCCTTGGTGTCGGAACTGGTGAAGTCGATAGAGCAGAATAGCGTCTATGGATCAACAAAAGCATGGCTAATATACGTCTTGGGTGAAATTTAGTTGTAAGGTAGAAGGTAATGATAGTATTATGGCCACCTCGAAGGGGTTATCACACTTTTTTTTTCTCATCGGCAAGCCAGCAGATAGATCTTTCTAGGGAGCTAGAGATCTCAGGATGGCGATAGAATCATTGTCTTCTCTATCGAGTGTAGATAACCAGTCGAGAATGGAAATCTCCATAAAATCGGGTAAACATCGTTTCCGTCAACTCTCCCCTATCAGGCTACGACGAGGCAAGTGAGAGCCCTATGAAAACCAGGATCTCTCCCTATTTAAAGCACTTGCATTTTTCATAGCGAACATAAAACCGCTTTCCTCGCCCTTCCAAGATCTTTCCTTTCTCTTCTACTCCCACAACCTTTTCTCTCTTATCACAAGCCGAGTTACCACTTTCTGGTCACTCTTCACCATACATTTACCCAACATCCACTCACTTACATATCAATCTCCTTCTTTCTTCCTTCATCAACTTCTCTCTACATGCTCCAACTCATACATCCATCTACTACCTTCTACCTTCAACCTCAACATACTTCGATACCCTTCACCACTCTTCTACATCCACGCCCATCTCCCTCCTTCTCTCACTTTCTTCTACCCACACATTTCACATATAAACCTCTTCCCTGTCCCCCACCACAGACATGGCCGCCAACCGTGTCTCCGCCAAGTCCCTGGGCCTCACCGACAAGGAGGTGACGGTCCTCTTGTACGGGATCCTATGCCCATCCCCAGACGGCAGCCGGGTAAGTCTCTCTACTACACATTCTCTTCCTTATCTCTATCTCTCACATCGCTAACTTGATTGTTTACCAGAACCCGGTCGACTACGAGAAGTTGGCCCGAGAGCTCGGTTATGCCTACTCCTCGATCAAGGTCTTGTACGGCAACGCCCGTCGCAAGCTGATCCGGGAAACTGGCATTAGCCCTGCTACTCGTGGCTCTGCACCTGCTACCTCTGGTGCAACTGATACTTCTGCTGGTTCTACTGCTGGTCTTGGTGGTTCTGCCTCTGCTGCGGACGAGGATGAGGAAGGTGAGACTTCCTTTAAGCCTCGCAAGGTCCGACGTGCTTACGATTCTCGTAAGCGCAAGGCGAGGGAAATTGACGAGGAGGATTATTAAGGTTCTCTACTTTGAGGTTTTGACGATTTTTGCGGTTTTTGCGATTTTAACGAAATTGACGGTTTTTGGTGGACTTCACGGTTTTTAACGATTCTCACATTTCATATTACACCACAACGCTAGATAACGGTAAATTCGACGCCAAAAACGGCTACTCTTGACGCTGTTTTAAAGAGTCATTTTTACCATAATCTTAGTCATCAGGCACCCACGTGATTCTTTTCTCATCACAATTTCCGTATGCTCCCTGAGCACTTATGGTTGCCAGGGGATCTGCTCACCCTTCACGCAGGGTATTCAGGGTAGACAATCAAGAATTTCGTCATGTCACGTCGTTTATGTTATCTAATTGTAGCCGCTAAATACAAAATAGGAAAGGTCCTTCAGTAAGGTGCTAGACTATACTCGAGTCGGCTCTTTCAATACTGAGAGACCCTGCCCCCACTAACCCGTAGCTCCTGTTCGCTACGCGTCGTTCAAAGGCCGTCTAGTGTTTTGTCTCTTTGATTACCAGATGCTATCTAGGCGTCAGTCGTTACCGCTTTTTATTGGTTTTTTTTATTCTTTTCCGTGATATCGGTTTTCCTCTTCTCTCGATCTGCTACTTGGGTCACCTTTGAACTCCCTGCCCGATCCGTTAGTGGCACTCTTAAGGCCATTGTCCTACAAATGTCTGCCGCACTTCCACCGACCGCATAGGATGGGCATCAAGTTTTTATCTGTGGAGCATGTTTCGCAGGGTCTTGCTAACTACATAGATGACTAGACCGTATATGAAAACTAGTGTAGACCGAAGTACCACAGTACGAATAGCAATGAACAGGCACTGTAATCCTAAAATATTGATGCTCCAACTACTTTATATTCTCCCTACACCAAAATTCTTTACAAGAGGACGTCCACTCGTGTGGACAGGTCGATCAACGTTAAAATGATCGATCCAATTTGAACCTTTGGAGACATTCTAAACGGTACTGCCTCTCTTATGTATCATCATCCTGCTTGATTAGTCTAACCGTTCATATATGTTCTTAATCAGTTGAATTGAGGCTTACGAGACAAGGGCGCGAGCTGATGAAGCGATACTTCCTGTACATGCCAGAAAAATGCACGAAAGCTATGGATGAGGCAAGCGTTCGTTGTTAACCGTTTGTAAATAATGCCCGAAATAAACTATTCTGCCTTCACCAGACTGGCAGAGAGTTCGGTGTGTTCGCCGAATTCTAAAACCTTGCTCTCGAAGGAGAGATGTCCGAAGATGCGGTGCCTACCCTGCTAGAGAATTCAGCTTATCTTTGATCGTGTGCATCGGGCGTGAGGGGTAAAGAAGAAGGTGTCGGTGCTCCTACTAGATCAAGCAGGCACATACAACAACGCCTCATACCAACAGCTACTGTCTAATATTAGAAAGTTCAAGCTTGAGTGGTTCGCGGAGTGGGTTCAGTCATGCCTCACAGGGAGGACCCACAGACTAAATTACTGGGCTTCCTCACCGATTAATTTCCAACGACCACAAGCATCTCCCAAGGCTCACCACTCTTCCCGATCAACTTCCTGCTTTTTAATACACCACTGATCCTTGCATATACAGCTAGAGTCGAAAATAGATAGCCCTCCAGATACACATCAATTTGTTTCTCGGCTCATACCGCAAACCACGCTAGTCCGCATTAGGTTACAGTATAAAGAAACCCCTGCTTGACCATATCGCGGTTTTCAAGCTAACTATCAGATTTCAACACTCATGAGTCAGTCCATATAAAAAACTGTAAATCTCCACAGTATATGCCGAGACGGTTCGAGAGCTGCCGCCGTGGTTGAGCCATGCACCTGTTAGGACAATTTTCGCGTCTTCGGCCATGTTCTGTGGTTGCCGTGGTGTCGGTTCTGTGGTTAAGTTAGCTGATACCCATCATAAGGCAGCACCGCCCGAAACTCCACTTAGCCCAATACTGTATCGGCTGTCCCACTTCGACGTCATCCAGACTTTATTAGTCGCGACACACTGCTTGATCAGATTCACGAGAAAAGCTCGATCCGGGGGCTCATAATAGCGCTTGTCGGCATTGGTAGAGTGGAATTGGTGCTAGAGGGCCAGGGGTTCTCAACGAAATCGTAACTTGCCCAACATCGACGACCGGTTCTCTTCAACAACCAATCATGAAGCTCCTGGGCCTCGTTGCATTGTTTTACTATGTCACTCCCTCTAGCTGCTGGCCTGAAATCAAAGACCAAGTCAGTCTGCAATGGTCGATCTGCGATGCGAATCCTTACACCGTGTTGACGAAGCTGGGCGTCGCTGCCCGCGATCCAGATAAACTGGACCCGATAACCTACTATGATACCTCTCCCCCGCTGTACACGCCCCAGGGACTCATGTTCCGAACTAAATTTCGTGGTGGCCAAGAGATCTCGATCGTGAAGGTGCAGTTGGCGACACCTGGTTCTCATATGCGCCACCACGCGAACGTGTGTCGGTGGGATCGATACGGCAATAAGACGACCTTTATTTGCAAGAGACAAAATTCCCTAAAGGGAACTAATCTCTGGAGTGCAAAGCAAAGGCAGTTGGCGGAGGAGTTCCAGAGTGATATTACCTGGGAGAAGCTCGTTGGATACGGTCCGTACCTAAATTCTAAATGGAAGGCGCTACGCCTGGCGGGATACGGGGCTGTCCTAGACGATGTGGCTGCCCAGTCCCTGCACCTTATGGAGCTAGAAGTCAAGGTACATCGGGCGGAGAAGAACAGGGTCTATCAGGCTATTACGGAGCATCTTTACGGGCGAGGAGTGGAGATATGTGCCCGACAGGAGTCTAAGACTATGCGGTTGTTCCGCGCGATGGGCTACTTCGCGACGCAGAACGAGTCTCAGGATGTGTATACTCACGATCTCTAAATAGGAAAAGTCATAAACCAAAGAGGTCTTTACTAGTGCGCTATAGTGTGGATCCTAAACTTCTAAATACACACCGCTGACCTAGCTACTAGCTCAGGATAGGGAGCGGGACCAGCACACCCCTAGAAGGGGCCACCTGGAAAATTGGTGAGAACTAGCGGGGTATTTCCTTTCTATTTTGACCTAAATAGTTATAGGTGCTTCGAGAAAATTTCTCTGGTACAGCGGACTAAGAGATGTGTTCGCGCAGTCCCTTCGTGGTAGTAAAAAGATAGTCGCGCTACTTAGCCTCACTGAGGTTGTGATTAGAGCGCTTCTAGTATTAGCGGTGTGATGTTTTTTCTCCGGCCGATACGATTTAAAGGAGCATTGACACTGTCGACCTATCGTAAGTTCCTGCGGAAATTTTTGATCGTACGTTTGCTGCATTTAGGTGCGCTAGCCATTTTAGAGGTGGTAAGTGACTGACTTTGTATTATATCGTTAAGAAAGTGTAGCTTTAATAGGGCAGTCTCGGTGCTATACTATGTAGATTTTTTAGCAATTTTCGAGATAGTAGTGTCGGAGAGAAATAGATGCCGGGACCTAGGAGATCGATAGGCATAGAGGGGCACAGATGTGGCTGTGTATAGGATTTTCTTGTAATATACTGTACTATACGTCACACGTTCTTACTAAGAGGGAAAAAGATACTAGTATATAGAAAGGATAATACACGACTCGCTAAAACGTAGGTTGGGGGGTGTTAGATTACGGTTTAGGAAACAATTGGGGTATGCACTGTGAAGGAAAGAGTGAATAGTATAGAGTATAGATAGTGATTGTTCTCAAAAACTCACATAGTTTTCAGGACAGGTCGAGTCGATTAACTGGTAGTAGGGGAGGAGGCGAAGTTACCATAACAACGTGTAAGTACGTTATATCCTGGCCTTCGCTCCCAGGAACACCGGAAGTAGGCGGCAGTGCAGTTATCCTCGGAGCACATTAGGGAATAAAGAGGCAAAATGAAACCAAATGGGCTCATTAGCCTGAGCATTGGGGTGAGCCACCAGGCTGCTCAGGGAGCCATTCATGTTCGCTCAGTGATCTGCTGACGGCACCGGGGTGACTAACTCGCCCTATGCTTCAGGAGTCAATCACTTCCCAAGGCGGCAGTTATACCGTCACCTAGATTACTTTTCAAAAATATCAGAATGAAAGTTTCCAAGGTGATCTTCATGATCTTATAATATTATATGTAGTATTTAGAGGACAGAGAAAGACTAAGGGTAGTTTCACAGTTTGTGGGTTTGATATTAGTGTTAGTTACCTAGAAGTATGTAATAATCTACTTCCTGAATGAACGTTAACATAAGTTTCGTTATGATTCAAAAGATAAGCTAAAGGATCGTTCTAATGCTACTCGGAAAGACGATTAAAAAGACGATTAAAAAAAACCTTTTAAAATACCTTTAAAATGATAGGTAGTTAAAGCGTATCGTATCTAGCTCGGTTTTTCCTCTAGTCATATATTATATTCAAAGAGAGTATTTCAACTTAGTTTAGACTTTAAGGTATTATGAAGAAACAAAGGAGTTTGACTTTTGAAATATTCAATAACATCTCACAGCGCTCTTCCTTTATCTTCTAAATGTTCCTTTATCTTCTAAATGCACTGGATAGCTATGTTTGTGTCCCATTGGTTAATTCCCTACTCTATAGAAGTAGACTTGAAATACATTACCACTAGTTCAGGATTCATGCTTTTTCACAAGTATATGCACCTATATATACCAGATTTTGTCCGCCGGGTGGGGCTTTCCTGTCTGGGCTGCCGCCGCTTTAATGAGGGCGATCATGGTCAGGCTCAGTGAGTAAATCTCAGCACGCGCTCCTGCTCAGTGATCACTCAGCCATCACTTAGTCACTAGCTATCATTGTCCAGTTAGAGAGCCTCACTCCTTTCCTTCCAGTCTAAGTTAGGCTATACCTAGAAAGGATATACCCCATAGGGCCATCTATTTTGTGAACACTAGCGCGTAATGGTACGTGTGAGGTCTTCCTACCCTGGCGGTCTCCATTCAGTCAAAAAAGTACGCTATTAACCCTAAGCCAAAACAGGATTAAGGTGGCCTATCTTATTCAAGATGATACTGTTTAAACTAGTATTTACACTAATATATATCGTGTTATCATGTCATAAAAAACATAAAAGGAGACGTTGTCCCCATCCGCTATCCTATTAAACATAATATACTTTTATTACTTATAGCGGTTCCTTAAAGACTACCTCTTCATCTTTAAGCTCATAATTAATATCCGGTTATATATCAAAAGTCCTTTTTCTCTAAGCGCGATAAGAAGGCTAAAGAAAGGCGCTCTCTCTTACGGCAGATAAACGGCTATGTTCCTAGAGCCCACAAGGAGGAAGATACTATTCGAAATAAAGATAGAAAACTTCTAAGGACTAAAAAATTACACCAACAAACCTCAAATTTCTAGCTTAAGTGAGTTTTAGCTTTTAGTGTCGATGGTATAGCTAATTATTTCTTAGCTTCACAATAGATCTAGAAAACGAATTTCAAGAATATAAAACTATACTAGGTTGCTTGCCTCCGGGCCATAAAATAGTAAAAGCGTTTATTCGCTAATATGCGAATTCTACTAAAGGCCGACTCTATAAGAGTAGGAAACTAATAGTGAGAATAGTAACGGTAGAGGCGGAGCGATTCTTTAGTGGATTTAAAGAGTCTACCGGCACCGAGGTCACTGAAATAGATAAGAAAGAAATATACGACGTTAGTCCTTATTCATCAAAGTTTTTACGATAATACTAACTCTATTATCTTTAAGTTATAGTGGATAAGAAAAAATAAAAGTATAACTTCATAAGGGAGGATTTTTTGAAAGTTATCTCCTCGAATGCTCTCTTTATAGGAGCATGAGTTGGATCATTTATACCTTCCGATAAGAATAAGCTCAAAAGAGGTCTTCGATACGAAGTAAGTTAGTAAAATATCAAAATTTATTATATTCTAACCCCTAATTTTAGCATATTAAATTAGTTCTTGTCGGAATCTAGCAGGATAGCATAGATTCGTGGTGGTGCACACAAGAAGATAGTGTACGCTTAAGATTGATAGGATAGATAAGACTCAAGGATGTGAGTATAAAGTCAAGAGTATTTCTTAGAAAGAGAAGAAACACCAAGATTGTGGAAGAGAATCACCGATCAAGAAGAGAGATCAAAAGGGATGATAAACTTGATTTAATTTGACTTGGAAACATAGCAGTATTTATATCTTAAGGAATATGGTAAAAGGTCATATAAAGAATCAGCAGATTTAGGAGTGTTATATAGTCTCCTGCCTAGGTAGACAATTCAATGCGAGATCGTTGAGGATCAATCAGATAGACCTTATAGAGAAGATCTAGAAACAATGAGGGGTTATGTAAGTGGGTCTTTCGTCACATGACCTCACAACACCCATTTGTTAACACCTAGGGATTAAGATCTTCTAGGGTTTTCTAATACGTCTCGAGCGCTAAGAGATGTATGCGCGAGGATTCCGTTCCGATGTGTGTTCGTTACTAAATCGCTAAGGATTCAGGGCGATAGTTTGTGTAGCGACTGTGCACAGCTGACACGTTAAAAAATGCACGTAATTTTGGGGCTAACATGCCGAGTTCCGTTGGAAGATTGCTAACGTGCATTAAGCTTTTCGGATTTACTTAAAGTTGAAAGAAAGGTGGTAAACTTCTCCATGGAAATTATCTGGCATTCTGAGATATCGTAACAGGCCCTTCCGCAAATTGCATGTAATGATGCACAATTATTGGTATCCGCGTGGGCAGTAAGGCACGGGTAACTCGATGGGTATACCACCCAATTCGTATTAGTAGATACAGGTACGGGGTGGATCACCGGTTGGGTTGACATATCCCGTTAGGTTGCAGGTTCGGGCTTAGGGCTGGTTGGGTTCAACAACCCATTGGCGGGTCATGACGAAGTCTGCCCATAGCTTGTAGACCATAATTTCCCATCTTTGATGCCGTATAGTTCATGGTGTTATGAGATCGGTCCTGGGAGAACAGTGAATATCGATATTTTAAGAGGCAAGGATATATTTATGCGTGCTCACGCTCTTGGAAGACTAATATTAGTCTGAAATTTGTGAATCCAATGACGGGATAGCTGGTCTAGGATCTCGGCGAGGTTGAGCTTGAGATTCTAGGGCTCGAATGGTTTTGTTTCGTAACTCTCTCATATATTCTCGCTGCTCGGTTGGATAGTCTTTGAATATAGAGGAATCATCTGGAGGGCTGACGATGGTGTACATTGCGGATGCCCCAGCAACGGCACCTAACAGACCAAGGAGGATAAGTATAATAATGAGAAAATCAGACATATTTGAAATGAGTCTGAACAAAACATGAAACAAAAGGGTGTGTGAGAGCATATCATATTGATGTAGTGCTATTTATATACTGGATTCCAAGGCTGTAGTTTTAAAAAATATGCCGGTAACCACCATGTGACACTAACTTGAAATAGCGTGGTCTGTTAGATACACGCGACTCCACATCTATGCATAAAAATATGTCGGCTATCGTAATCATAATGAGCATGCTCGTAATTATTGCTCCCAGGCTATTCTTAGGTTGTAAATACTGTAAGGCGATTAGAGAAATGTTTTGAGATGTTTTCTAGTTGTTAATAAAATATCAGACATGTGTAAAATTATCATTACTAGATAGACAATGTAACTAATCTTTCTTAATTGCAGCCATCTATAGACAAACAGTTCGTCCTGTGTATTGAAAATCGGTAATTACTAGACTTCATCAAGGTCTTTTTCAAACCCACTTCTAATTAATCTGAAGGTGTCCACCCAGTCTAAAGGCACTGCCTCTTTACTGGGGAAAAGCTCACATTTCAGCTTCTCTGGGAAATCTCCAATATACCACAGATCTTTGAACAAATTTAATCTCCATGGGTACATAAGAAAGATTAGACGGGCGGTGAAATCCCGTGCTTGCAGGAGGGTTGTAAAGTCAGACGAGAAGGAACAGGGCCAGAGGTATATTGATGGGGTCCTTCGACCGGTATTTTTGCAATCAAACATATCAATCAAGCCTTGAACAGTGTCTATGTAGACTTGTTGATTCGGCGAAGAACAATCTGTCTTGGTCTTCAAAAGTTGATTGAGTACCTGGGTTCCAAGACTAGGAGAATAGATATATCAGTGGGAGAGTCCTTCATTGGGTATTTGAAAGGAGAAACATACTCGTGTAATTGCGAATTTGCATCATGTTCCCTGCTGGATTTGGGAGACCTTGGCCCAGGGCCCCTGAATTCTGGATATTCATCCGTTGAGAAGTTGCTCGACCTGTACAGGTGTGACATATTGTTGAGGATTTCGCAGCCTTGTAGAACGCGTTTGATGTGTATGGCTTCGCACAGATAGCTGGATGGGGCCAAGAACTGATGCCGCGCAATCACAAAGAGTGAAATGAAGATGGAGCATACAAGCGCAGGATCGGCCGTGGGTGTAGACATGTGGGTGACTATTGTCGAGAGCTTCGAGCAGGCTTTGTCGTGATAGCCCAAGGCAATCATAAACCAGAAATTCCTTTGGTTGGGCTCGACATGAGCCATGTGAAGGGCAGCGAACGCCAAAAGACTATCTAATGCGGATGTCTCTCTTGTAGCAACTTTCGGTGCTATGACATGCCAAAAGTTATAGGAAGGACTGTCACCTTCTGATTGTGTCATGGCTGGATCAGTGTAATAATGATGCAGTAGTGTTGCTTCAACCAGTCGTGGGTCGATATGTAGAGCCCGCGGTTCATTCAGGGGGAAGGCCTGACATCTAGAATCCGCAAGCTGATTCTCCGCACCATTGACTCGAGGCGGTAATCGTTTATACTGGCAATGTAACCCTCGTGAACTACATAACTTACATGCCGGTAGCTGTTCGTCACACTATATGGGGGGAAAGGGGAGATTAGTCATTTGCCGAAATTGTCTATTGCTGGCAATGAGACCAAGATGTTGTACTAGTCCATACCTTGACATGTCTTTTCTTACACTCACTGCAGCCATTTTTCGACTTTTGATGAGGACGTCGATACGCCGGCATGGCGGTGGAAAGATGTGACGCGGTAGGGTGGGGGGACGTCTCCCAAAGCGCTGTTCAATGAGAAGAGGACAAAAACGATAATTTTCCGTTTCGCATTGAAAAGCATAACTAAGTAGATGGTAGTCTGTGATGACTCATCAATTTTGGCCAATCATTGGTTTGCAAGTACGGAATACGCAATACGATCATATCCGATTGGTGCTCGGGTTTGCTTTCCTTATGTCCGAAGAGTTTTTGTAGGGAGCCAGCATTGACCAATCATCGATCTGAAAATACGATGGAAATACGATGGTGGATGAGCTTGTCTTTTGTGCATCCATATATACCATATGGAGAGGTACCTACCCATTACATGGGATAAGAGAAATTAAGAAAATTGGAGCCAGGTCTTCACACATAGGTTCTGAATATTTAATAAAAAGAGAATACTGGTGCAATTTTGAGCAGAATCGGCCATGAAAAGCTTCGGACATATGTACCAGACACAAAAAAGCTGGACAAGGCTGGCATCTATCTTGTCACAAGCAGTCTAAAAGAAATCTTGAAACCAGATATATTTAGCCGCTTACGAGTCTTACCAGCAGTACGGAGTACGAAGTTCCATGGGGCTTTCATTGCGTAACCTAGTACTAGTTTGCTCAATATACGAATGTCATAAAAATCAGACCCCTAGACCCACCGACTCCCATGAATGCTCCAACAATAAGTACTCTGTAGAGATCTGGCTACTCGGTATTATTCCTTCATTAATGATTAGCACCGGTATTGGAATTTCTTCCGCGAAAGCTCTCATGGTGCGCCTTTTGTTACCGATATCATGTTGCCTGGAGTACGTGTTCTCTGTTCCTACATACCGATTTGACGTATGCAGAAATCAGATCAGTTTTCAATTTTTGATAAAACCTCTCTCTTTCCCAAATCCTGGATGATCTTCTAGACTTCCTAAAGGAAATTCCAGGAGAGTGACGACTGCATCTTTCAGCCAACATTCCCTTTTTGGCTTCACTGCCACCGAGTCCTTCGCTTGATCAATATTTTCTGCATTTCACGTCCCCATTCTCGTTCTCGGCCTTCTTTTAATCGCTTTTCCTACATTGGACGCTGCAGTTTATTCCCCGCCGCTCCTACTCGCAACGAAATAATTTCGGACAGATCATTTCTGTACAATTTCACACATCATGACGACTACTGGAAATCCCTACACTTATTATGTTCCATCAAAAGTAGCCGCTATTGTTTTCCTCATCATCTTCATTACTTTCACGGTTCTCCATCTATGGAAAATTTTCACCACGCGAAAATGGTTCGGCTTTGCCTTAGTAACCGGGGCCCTTTGTAAGTGATCAATGTTCCAAATGGTTTCCTACTTATCGGCTAACGCTTTTTTGAAAAAATAGTTGAAATCGTGGGGATGCTAGCCAGAGCCTACTCCTCTGATCACTTACTAGAGAAGGGGCCGTATATTATCCAAATTCTGTTGATCCTCCTTGCGCCAATTTTGTTCGCGGCCGGTATTTACATGTTTCTCGGCCGTTTGATAAGAGCCACGGCATATCCCCAGTTGTCATTGATCCGAATCAACTGGCTCACGAAAATTTTCGTCTCGGGTGATGTCCTCTGTTTCCTGATCCAAGCTGCAGGTGCCGGCAAGCTTGTGGGTGCTGACACAAGCGCCGAAGAAGAAACTGGAGAGAACATTATTTTGGGTGGCCTGGCTCTCCAAGTCCTATTCTTCTGCGTTTTTGCTGCGTGCGCCATTCTTTTTCATGTTCGAACACGACGAAACCACATCCTGAAATTGGTTGATCCGAGACTTCATCTTGAGCCGATGCTTTACTCTCTATATCTATGCAGTATTTTGATCACAGTTCGCAATGTTTATCGATTCATTGAATACAAAAGCGGGACTTCGGGATATCTGGAGAAACACGAATGGCCGCAATATGGACTAGATGTCGCTCTCATGGCGATTATAATGGCTATTACGGGCATCTGGTACTCGGCGAATGTCAATGATTCACGCCCCGGTGCTTACCCACTGCATCAAATGAACGGGGGCATTTGAAGAGCTGGCTGTGTGATTACCCCTTTCCTGTTGTCGAACGATTCAAGTGGTTGGCAACCAGCTTTACCTATGGCCATCCGCATCCTGCTCCCGACCCTTTTTATTCTAATGTACATTACAATTTTATGTCTTTGTTTGAAAGGTAGGAACTGTCAACATATACAATGTTGTGTGGTCATGTGATAACAGACCTACGTATTGTCAGAGCAAAGCTGTTCCGGTCCGTCAGTGTATTTAGTTACCAGTATCCACTAGTCCAAATACTATCGTTTTTGCCCCTTTCCAACACTTGTCTAATCCCCCACCTTCTAGTTAACTAACGTAATTCCCGCATGACCGGGTCACCCACGCCCTTTAGAAAATTTCAAGATTGATTATCTCAACCAACACCAATTAATTCAACTAGATAAAGCGATTTTTACATACATGGATCCTGTGGCCAATCTCCCTGCAACTGCTACTACACCTAGGCGGGGCCCTAGTAGGTGGTGGATTTGCCTGGCTAGGCAATTCGCCCTGCGTATGCTGCAAGACATCCATATAAGGCTAAAATCGTAGCTGGAGCTTGATATAGCTTAGTAGAAAACTGCAGGTTACACTTCAATTCTGTGGTTAGTGATAATACCTCTATCCTATTCACTCCCCCGATCATTCCTTCCATTCATGACGATGTTTCTAACTCGGTCTCTAGCAGTGTAATGATTAAGATATCAGTACCCAGGATGGTAGGCACTGCGTGTATTGCCCTGCTGGAGGTATACTAACTAAATTGAGATTAGAAGAGATTTACCCTGAACCCCTACACAGAGATATCCTCTTCTTCCCTTCTCTCTCTTATCTTGATGCTTTTGTTGAATGCTCAAGTTGATTTTACCTTCTTCCTAGCACGTAATAGGTAATCCATTGTTCAGGAAGCGGTTCCTAGGACTTCGGAAATAATGACCACCATATTTTCTCTCTCTGTTAATGAATTCGGGATCAAAGTCTGTAAAAACCTTTCGCGTGTACTAAACTCTAATAGTTTATCCTTTAACCTGGTGGAGGAGGAGTTCTAGGATAAGGAGCTTTAGTGCTAATAGTGGGTCCTTAATTATATGGTTCTTCTTGTTTAGTTTAATGATAGCTATTGCTATATCATTTTCTAGCGAAAAAAGTGCGCTTTCAGTCGTATTTGTGAATAATATATAAAAGCTTACTAAAAGTTAGGACCTAGTCGTATAGAGCTTCGTTTTCAAGTATTTCATAGATCATAGATACCCACATGGAACAACGCTAAATTAGTTGCCCTGCTTGAATCTCGACGAAATATTGGTGCTGTTCTTATCTACCTCCTGCTTGGAGCAATTCTCCGAATATTATTTAAACTTTGTTAAAGGCCCGGGTTAAGTCGAGGCATATATCTCTGTGATTTCCGAGGGTAAGGTAGAGAAACTCATATACTTCATGACCATGCTTCAAAGAGGAGAGTGCCGGGGATTTCGATCTTAGGATGAACTCCGTAGGATATTTTCTATAGCGCAAAATCGGTCATTACAATCGGTCGTATAATTCTGTTAAGAGTTCGTCGCTAGGTCGGACATTATTAAGAGGTTTAAGAAGTAGTACGTTATGATATACGGATTGAGCGACTTGAGAGATTAGTTCGTTAGCATTGAACGGTTGAAAATCTATCTAAGGTACGATTAGTGAGAGAAGAATAGATAAGCATTACACTCACTCTCGCTCGGCCGAACACGTTGCCTTATTCACTATACTAGGTCAATTTCTAAAGGGCATCGAAGTGAGGAGCATTTATTTAGATTTATATTCCTATTTAGAATGCAGCAATAGCATCACGCACTGGTTAGACCTAAGCTCCTAGGAACTTAGAAGAATATTTTATCTAAATAGGCTATTCTATTGGTATAATAACCCCGGGCATAAGATAACACTCTAAGGGGTTCCTAGGAACATACTAACGCTCCCAAGAGCAATTATTTGGTTATGCGCGGATAGCAGATCCTACGTTTCTTGTTTATATCCACTTAAGATACAGATATGGCATAACATCAAACCCACAAAAGATCTTTAACTATAAAATGATATATAGATTTTTCAGGGAGACATCTGCAAAGTGTCCAGTAAAAACGCAGAAAATTTCGTAGTCCACCTAGAAAACGCATTCCATCATGTCTACCTCCCGCAGTTCTATCGGCTCAACCACTCCGCACATGAGATGACGCCCTAAGATATTCTTGGGAGCACCTTAATATTCCTAGGAAAAATAGCCGATCTGAAAGGTCCACTTATATCCACTTAATATAGCGAACATGGTATAACGTCGGAACCCTGAAAGATCTTTGGCTATAGCGACCGTACAAGAGTATGAAAATTTTCACAGAGAGGCCGCAAATTAGCCAGTAGGAATGCATAAATTCGTAGTCCATCTAGGAAATACACAACATCATCTTTGCTTCTGTAGGTCTCCTAAATCAGGCCAATGAATTACGGAAAACGAAGCATGCTCCTAGGAGCACCTAGTCTAACATAAGGCAAATGGTCGGGTTAAACAACGTTAACTACGTACATCATATCATGCCTGTTAAGGGAAAGATCGCCAAGTCAGTGGCAAAATCACAAAGCCAACGCGTTGATGGAACATAGTAACTGCAAGGTAAATATCATACAGGGGTCGAGCTAGCGTGCAGCGTTTTATTGAGCTTGCTTACTCAGGTTGCTCCTTCCTGGGGGCTTAGTAAGGAAATTAGGGTGTTGAGGTCAGGCTCAGTGATCGGGTCCGATCAAGCTCACTGAGCAAATCTGGTGTATATGTTTACTACTTTCATTTTCTACTCCCAAGATCTGGGTAACAGTCAGTCATTTAGTTCATTCGGAGTATTACAATAGACATAAACCAAGCTATATTCTCCATTTTGAACCTGGCTCCTGAAATCGAAAATCGTTCCTGAATACCTAGCCCCTCGATTACCCCTCGGGGACTCGGGGTATTCATTTCCAGGCGATCATTTACCCGCATAGGATTAGCGAGGGGCTAATGGTCTCGTAGCTTAATTACTCCGCATAGACGAAGCAGAATTTACCGAGCAAAATACGGGATATTTGCGGGGTGTGGGGTTTAATTTCATTATAGCCTAAGTGAGTTCTGGGGAAGGCATGGTATGCTTTGCACTAAGTATTTCCTATTTCTATAGCCGGTGAAGGCAGGTCCCTCCAGTATCTTGCTGTGGACATAGTAGGTAGTTATACCTATAGCTTGTCTACCTACGAGGGTTGTATGTAGGATTGACCTAAGAGAAGAAGATATTTACCGTAGCCTGCACAGGCACAACAAGACAAGTATCGACAAGAAGTATATCGACAGTTGCCAGAAAGAGTAGAGAATCATACCATGTAACTCGGGTTGTGGTCGTGGGTGAAGGGAATTATGCTTTCCTAGATGCTAGCCAGTATGCAGCTATCTTGAGAGGGCCGCGTTATCAGAGTCAGGGGTATCACATATTCTCATGTCGGCTCCACCCATGATAGGGGCATTCTGATACTTTAATATACGTTCCATATGAAATTCATATCACAAGGGGAAATTAATAGAACACCCGAAGAAACAACCTGAAACAAAACCCCTATCCCCGACATGTGTCGACTCTCCTCACTACTGTAAGTACTCCGGACAGTATGTACTTCGCAGATGAAAATGAAAGGATGGTTCATGCGCTAAGACGCCCGCTTAGCGTCCACCCCCGCCACGAGAAGGATTAATTAACTTTACACATTCTGCAACGTCCTCCGTACTCCGGAGAAGAACACTAATTAAAAGCCTCGTACTTCGAACTCTTACCGAAGTGCTTTCTTACACCTATAGGAGTCCACCGGATTCTCCGGGAGTTGGATGCTGTACAAGCTAAGGTCGCTAAAATGTAAAGAGGATACGATTGCGGGCCACCCTTCTATCCGAGTGCGACGCGGAGTTCCGGCGGGACTTGAGTTTCGCCAATGCGACCGCGGGGCGAACGCACATGTCGGAGGGGTGGTCCACCGTGTGTATGAATATGGGAGTTGCGATAAGAGGACGGAGGGGCACACTGCGTTGTTATTTGGAGGATGAGGGAAATACACCATTTCCCCTGGGGTTATTAGTTTTTAATGTGTTGCCATTTTCTAGATGTATTGTGTAGCGATTGCATATTCAAATGTGCTAGAGTGTATATACATCGCAGATAAATCTAATCTCCCAGGAAAAGCAAATAGCAATAATTGGCGATCTTCAGTATTCTACACTGTACATATGTATCCAGTCCCACCGGACTCATATCAGAATGTATAATCTATCAGAAATATGGCCTCATTTCCGGTGTAAATGAGAGGAGTCACTCCTTTCGGAGACTGAAAGTTGCAAACTCCTCTGAACCCCACCGTTATGCAGTTGCGGGCCTTAGGAGTAACGACTTCGTATAGGCTGACTGGGGGGCCCTACTTGTATCTACAAAGTATACATAGCACATACAACTGTATGTATGTACTGTAGGATCATGCAGTGTCGTTTCAGCTTCTCTGCACTGCCGAATGTTAGCCTCGAGTTTCTCGAGTCGAGTTGTGATTATCCTGTCGAAATGTGGGGGGGGGGGGGGTTCTTCGTTCTTCGACAATCTTCGGTAGGATTTCAAAAGTGGACTCGGACTAGGATCAAGGGCCAACGTGAATGCAATAACCATCATATCTGGGGGTTAACCCCTGCCTGGCACCTCCCTGGAAATGACATTCCAGGACTAAACTCCGTATGGAGTACGGTCGAAACTACGCACGTACTGTAAAAAAGTACTGTCGGAGTGCATCTCAGGGGCGACGAGATACCGGAGAATTAACGGCCGGTGGCGAGGCAATTCTACTTGAATGGTTAGATCTGATTGGGTCTACGGAGTACACTAGGGGCTTTTTCTTTGTGTCCACAGTGCAGGGAGATGCAAGCTGGGCGAGACTTTGCGCAGGGACCACCGGGCATCCACAGTAAACGCGATCTGCTCTCCACCGTTGCGACGGAGGCTTAGGATACAGGAGAAGGGGAGACAAGATTGGGAGTTGGACTTACAGTGCTGTACAAGTTAGTGGATCCCACTACTGTTCCAGACAGATGTGGCGGGATAGTCGGGAGGCATCAGTCCGTGGTGAAAGGGGAGAGTCTATTAGGACAGAGAGTCAATTGATCTGTTGATTGTATAACTGTAGTACTATAATTGTATATTGTATACCTCGATGATCGTCGAGTATATGGTGTTATTTCTATATGCAACTGTCGTAGTTGGGGGCCTTGGGGTCTGAGATCAAGTGCCGTATGTCGCAGTCAGGCCTATTCATAGTAGCAGATACGGAGTCGCAGATACGGAGTGCCTGGAACCTAGGCCACTCATAGTCTCCCAATACTTCCAAGTAGTGAAACGAATGAGCCGTGGAATCCAGGGGCGCAGGGGCTGAATTACTGTATTAATACACCCACGCAGGCATTATGACTGGAGGGGTAACTCTCTTTGTTGTAATTTACGTATTGACCACGTAAGCTGACCGGGGCTGACGACTCCGCCCCTCAAAGGGGAAATCCAACTGGCCCCCTTGGGTACCTGAATTCACATACATTCTTCTACTGTACAGGAAGTACCTCCCCCGCTCACTCACTCATCCCTGGTCCTCCCCCCTTCTCCCTCCGTTTGACCACGCTGGCCTCTACTTAAACAAGCCACTCTCCCGCTTTCAGTCCACTCCCTCAGCCCAACCCCAGAAGACCATCTGTCCTCTACCTTCGCTGAGTCATTCCTTCCTCTGTCTCGATCCATTCCGAGAGGCAGATTGACGGTGCCCGACCGTGATGACAGCGTGGCCTTGATCCAGGCAACAGAGAAGCAACCATCCTCTTTCACCTCAACGCCCGCTCTCTACACCATCATCACTCGACGGCACCGGCCATCTGCTTGAAATATACACATAAACAACTATATCCTATCCTCCACCACATACACACACACACATCATGGCAGAGACGACGTCACTCCGTGACTTGGAGTCTCTATCAGTATCCCCGGAACCCGAGATGCCTTTGACCGTTTCTCCCGCAGATACGTCATTGGATTCACCAGGTCCGGTGGACGAGGACATGAAGGAAGACGAGAAGAAGCCCGCGAAGAAGAGAAAGTCCTGGGGTCAGGAACTACCAGTACCCAAGACCAACCTTCCTCCAAGGTATGTACCGAGTACCACCGAGCGAGTTTAATGTCGCACAAAGCCTGTCTCGCGAGCCCAACCATCTGACTTTCTCCCCCCTCTCACAGGAAACGAGCCAAGACCGAAGATGAAAAGGAACAGCGCCGTATTGAGCGCGTTCTTCGCAATCGTGCGGCCGCTCAAACATCCCGCGAGCGCAAGCGTCTAGAGATGGAGAAGCTGGAGACCGAGAAGATCCGCATGGAGCAACAAAATCAGTTCCTCCTGCAGCGCCTTTCGCAGATGGAAGCCGAGAACAACCGCCTGTCCCAACAGGTTGCTCAGCTCTCTGCCGAGGTGCGCGGCTCTCGTAGCAGCACTCCCGTCAAGGCCGGCTCTCCGGTTCCCAACTCCTCCGCCACGACCACCTCCCCTACTCTTACTCCTACCCTCTTCAAACAAGAAGGCGAAGAACTCCAAATGGAGCGTATTCCTTTCCCTACCCCTTCCACCATCACCCTCGACTACTCCCCAACTCTCAAGCCCTCCACTCTGGCTGAGGCCACCCCCGACGTGACACAACATCCTGCCGCGATGTTGTGCCCATCAGACCTGCAGTGTCCGTCGGCGGCCTCGAAGGAGCAGGAGCACTCCCTCTCTTCGACCTCGAGCTTCCAGCTCACTCTAGCAACGACGTTGCAGCTCCTCTTTCTGACGATGACTTCCGTCGCCTCTTCCACAGTGACATTCCCACTGCTTCGCATCCTTCATTCCCTGAAGACGGGTTCGCCTTTGGCGCTCTCGACGGCGGAGATCTATCAGCATTTCCCTTTGATTCATTGGTTGATTTCGACCCCGAGTCTGTCGCCCTCGACGGCGACCGGCCCGTCCTTTCGGATGAGACTGCTCACCCGACTGCTTGCATGCAGCCCAGCCTTGGCGCGTCCACTTCGCGATGCGACGGGCAGAGCATTGCAGCTAGCGGTTAGGGAGCAGATGATCAGCCCGCGGGGGACGGTGTCGGCCACGTCTGAGGGTCAGCAGAATTGGATGTCCTTGTTGACCATGGCCTGGGCAATTGATAGTATCACCAGCCAGTCGCGACGACGCGGGCGGACCACTGGAGCAGTTTCATCATTATCATCATCATCATCACTGTCGGCTGTGAAGGGGGCTGGGATTGGCAAGATTCAATCTCGGGTCTCTTCATCTGGGCGACGACGCAGTTACGGAAAGATGTGTCAAACTCATCATCAACATCAACGGAGTACACGGAGTTCCTGGAGTTCATCAACTGGTACGGGCGAGACAATGTCGTCGGTGCTTATGGGTAAGCAGCTATAATAGTTGCTGGTTGGGGGAATTCTTCATGGGAGAACCTTGGGATAAGGGATCCTCATTGGCTGTATACTAGCACCTTTTTTCAATCATCCAGCTTCAAAACAAAATGACTGGCTCAGCTTTAAGCAATCTTGATATGCATCCTTTGTAAAGTAAGAGCGAACTTATCGTAGTATTACTCGTATCAAACTAAGGTTAGTCGATCCGTGGAGGTGGCATGAGGATGGCAATCTGGCAGCCTAAACCAGGCAGGCGATGCAAAAGTCAATTCAAAAGTGCCATAATGCATATTTCTAGTAGTATTCATTGTCAGATAAATAATTCAAGAGTTCTCTAATCGATGTCTTGACTTTTGACCACAAATACTGGCTATTTGCGTATATCCGCGCTAGTCACTGAATGCGGTCAGTGACGTTTGCCACCCCTCCTCTTTGCGCCGAATCCTCTCAGCCACAACAACTCCATCCAACTTTCCTCCCTCTTCTCTCTCGACAACACTCTTTTCTTCCTCTCAAACCAAACTGCAAATACCATCGCATCCATCTGCCCACCATGGTCCGCAAAGATCCCATCTTCGAAGCTCGCACAAATGTCAAGGTGAGTCCCGGATCACCAATCTACTCATCTCTCCCCGCACGCCATGCCATACACATACGGGGATAGCCTCACATTCCCAACCCCCATCCACCCCCTAACTCAGACACAATCAATACTAATACGTTACCAGCTCCACTCGAACCGCCTCAAAAAAGAAGCCTCCCGCGCCGAAGCAACCTTCAAATCCGAAAAAGCCAAAGCAGACCGCGCAATGAAAGCCCACGAATTCCAAATCGCCCGCATCCACGCCTCATCCGCAGTCCGCGAAAAGCGGCGCCAAGTCACGCTGAAAGCCGAAGCCGCCCGCGCAGACGTAATAATCAACGAACTCAAAGCCGCCCAGAGCACGCGCGACACATCGCGGACTCTTGCGCTGGCGAGCCGGGGACTGGACGCGGCGAGCAAGAGCGTTAATTTGGAGCATTTGGTGGCTCATGCGAATAACTTTTTGGCGAGGAGTGAGGACTTTAAGATTGCGGGGGCGGCGATTGAGGATGTTGCGGCTGGTATTAGTATGGCGGAGTATGGGGCTGAGGGGGAGAGTGAGGTTGATGCGTTGATGGGCCAGTTGGCGGATGATGCGGGGGTTGAGTGGAGGATGGCGCTTGAGGATGAGGCTGGGAAGGTTCCTGAGGGGAGGGTGCAGGAGTCGCATAAGGTGTCGGAGGGGGGAGTCCCTGGGGAGGTGGAGGATGGGCTTGGGGCTAGGTTGAGGGCTTTGAGGGCTGCTAATTAGCGGGGAGAGATCCATATGGCTTGGCGGTTGCTGGGGTTTCTGGTTATACCGGATGTGCATAGACGGATGATCTTTTCTATCCTGTCTGTCCTGCTTTGTCTTTGGCCGTGGTCCATTCAGTCCTGACTATGGCTATATCATGATGTTACGGTTCTGCGTTTGGGAGTGTCTGGCCCTGTGATTCTACTTTCTTTTCTTTCATTGCTTCTCGCGTCTATGCTATTTTCGAGGCGTTTTCCAATGGAGGGTTTATTTGATGTAGATTCATCGTTTCGAGTTTCTTTGCATATATGAGTTTCATGGGAGGACAATGATCATTGTTCAGAACTGTAGACATACCCCATTACACGGTAGGAGACTATCCTTGAGTTTTAGCTATGAGATAATGAGAAGGGTTGACCATCATAATTTAACGATTCGTAGTATCAATACCAGATCTGGTATAAAAGGCTTAAGATTGTATAGATACCACTACAAAACATCAAGGAAGTTTCCGCGTATAAAAAGGAAAACAAGACTATCACAAGCCTTGCCTCCTCAAAACAAACATGGAGAGTCCCATTGAGAAAAACTCATATCAAAAGGCCTTCCTCCCCTATCAACTACCATCAACTCTTTCACATCCATTTTTCTTGAATCGACTTGTTGGCTACCACTCCTGGGATCTCAATATACCATCTACCTTCCTCGACCTCCCCGGGGAAATCCGCAACAAGATTTATAGCTATATCCTGTTGAGTCCAGGTGCTGTAAACATCTACTTTGTAGGCGTCCCCCCATCACCTAAAGGGGCTTGTATGCGAACGGTGGGAACGAGACGCACTCGAGCATCTCCCAGCACCCGAGCTCAACCTCTTATTTGTGAGCAATGCAATTCACAAAGAAGCCAAGGCATTTTTCTTCAGCTAGAACGTATTCAACTTCGCCTCATGCGAGTCATAGATGGTATCCCGCATCTTCGAACGATTCGGCTACGATAACGTCCGCCAAATCGAGCACATGATGATTCACATCCCGGCTACTGGAGGTTTCTTGGTAGGCGGGCATCGGGAACCGGACGTTGAGATCGTCAAGTTGGTGCGAGACCACTGCGCGAATGTGAAGAATATCACGATCTCTCCTTATATCTGGAGGGCACTGCAGCCAGATCGCGATGCGGATGATCCAGAGCAGGATATCGAGGAGAATGTGGCGAAGGTCAATACTCTTTTGAGATCTATTCCGTCGCTGCGGGGGATTTTTGTTAGGATTGTTCCAAGGAGTCATGCTCGTCGTCCAACGTGGAATGAGTATTTGGGGTTTATGGAAAAAGAGGTAGAGAGGGTTGGGTGGGAGTTTGAGGAGAAGGACATGGGGGATTAGAGTGGAATGTTTGGAGGGGTACTGGGTTTCTGGGATATGGGGGGCCAACTGATGATTTTTCAGGGCGATGATGGGGTTGATTGATCGGAATAAACGATGTGATTTGAGGTTGAGAGTATGTTTTATTTTTCAGCTTTTAATAACACCGATTGTTTGGCGATGACGACTTATTTGGCTCAATGACTTTTGGAGCTTCAAAAATATTGGTAGAAGGTCCTTAGTTCAACTGGGAAGCCTGCTTCGGGAATGGTATCTAAATTTGAAGATCACTGGAGTGTTTTGACGGTAGTATACTTGGTTCAAAAAGGGACTGCATGATCTGATGAGGAATAACACACGTTTTAGCTGTAGGTACTAAGAGTATATACTGTCGATTTTTGTGGAGACAGATCACCTCTAGACTGTTGAACTACAATTTATGATGGGTTATAAGTATATGATCTCTAAAGTTGGTAGCTTAATGATTGAAGGTATCTAGCCCACCTATCGATATGTAATTCGTTGAGTAATGCGATCTCTCCATATGACTCCAGATCTTTTTCATACGCAGCGCTAGAGTATATATTATTGTAGTCATACTGGAGAAGTTCACCACGAGGCTCAAGAAGACCAGCCCCACTAGGCGGCAGTTGACCGAGATTTAGAATCTCACTAGACCCCGAGACTCGCCGCATTTTTCAGGTTCGTTCCGCTTTGAATCACGTTGATTGTTGATTTCTTTTGAGAGGCGAAACAGAAAACAATCCTGGTCAGCTGATCATGACTATGTAGCGAAAATTCTCTCGATCACGCTCATCACGATCATGCAAGACAATGTTATCTCCTCCAACTCTCTATCTTGCCAGGCTATTTTTGCAAAGCCACAATAAGCGAACCAGTCACCGCCAGCGCCAACCAGCGCAATCCCCCAATAGGGACTAACCCCAAACCTAGCCAACTGCTAAACCCACGCTAACAACTGCTAGGCCCTGTCCTTAGCCTCCTCAGACCCTGAGAGCCAACTTGTCCGGCCAATCGCACCACGGCGACTCCGGCCTTAAGCCTGACTTGGTTCGGGGGCAATTTCCCCCTGGTCCCTGAATGGGCATTTCCGACATGGAGGCGCTTTTCATGGACCCCCAAACTGAAGCCTCGCCAGGTGCAGGGACTGGGAAGAGGCGCCGGTGGAAATTCTCTTAAATGGCACCCCCCATGGCCAGAGCCTCATCGTGGTTTTTCTTTCCCTCGTAGCAGGGGTGTCGCAGTCGCAGTCGCAGATCCAACTTCCAAGGCCCAGTCGCCATGGCGCCTCCACACTCGTTTCTTTACTTTTTGTCGCTCGTTTTGACTTATCTAACTCCATTCGTTCTCGGCGCGCCTTGGATCGTGACCGACTATTTCCAGGTGGTTCCAGAGGAGGTATACGGTGATTACGATACCTCTAAGCATGAATGGTCGATTATTACCACTACGACCTATGAGGAGATCATCCCGACCGCTACTTCGTTGCCGGAGGCTATTCAAACCAACGTCGTTGTCGAGACAGATTACTATGCCGGTGCCGCAACCCTCGTCGAGAAGCTGTACCCGTCTGGTGCGGTGGGTACCCCCGTGCCTTACAGCGCAAAGTACGGTTATCAAGACAATGGCTGGACATCCACCATTTGGGTCGTGAATTTGACTTACTCTGCACCAACTGCATGCTCGACCCAATGGACGACCACCACCGCTGTCTCGGTCACGCCTCCCCAGGACCGCACTTTTGACCGTCTCTTGCCCACAACCGCTGCCTATACCTCGTATAGCGTGTATAACGCAGAGGGCTTCCAGTCATCTACCTACATGTACAAGTACATCTGGGTTGCTCCCACCCAAGTGCCTTCTACATCGATGAATCAGTTGAGCGACGAGTACTATCCCGCAACGCTGTACAATAACAACGACAAGAACTGCCGGTACGAGGGACACGGGTACGATTACTCCAGCAACCCCTACGACTACTACGACGACTACAATGATGGACTCGCAATCTCCCCGCTGGCCATCCTACTCATCTGCGTGATTGGCTGGGTCGTCCTATGGTTCCTACTCGGCATCCTAGAAGCCTGGATCCGATTCCGCCGCCTGATGACCGGCTGGCAGACACGCCGCGGAATGCCAGTCTGCTGGGCCTTGACAATCATGCCACTCACACTATTCTGTCTATGCTGTTTCCGGAGGGGATATCGTGCACGCACGGCACATGACTCGGCCGTGCTGCAGAGTCGCTGGAAGAAGATGACTGCGTGGCGCAAGTTCGTGCTCTTCTGGAAATGGGGTTTCAGATACAAGTACCCGACTATCCTGGGTCCTGCACCTGAGCGTGTCATGCCCAGCAAGCGGCCTGGCAAGCATCCCGGTTCGTCTATGGGTCCGCCTCTGTTGTACTCGACCCCGCCACAGACTGCGGTGTATCCGCCTGTGTCCCCGGTTGTCTCGTTGAATCGGGAGGCTGTCCCTGGTGCCCCGGGGCCGCAGATGAGTCAGGCAATGCCGATGCATCAGCATCCTCTAGCACCTGTACCGGTACCGCAGCCTGTCCCTGAGGCCTCGGGTGCGTTGCAGAGTGTCCCCGAGCAGGGGCATGAGCCGCAACAACCTCAAACCGAGGGCCAGACACAGACCCAACCCGAGACTCAGCCTCAACGTCAAAATCCCACCCAGGACGGCGACATTGGACGGGCTCATTGAGGATGAGTTGAGGGATTTCGATATCATTGAATCTTTGTTTGCAAGGGCAGCATTGATCTGTCTAGACACGTCTTTTACGACTTGGATACCATTTACAGCCAGCCGGCGTTTTCTATAATTATTAATTGTCATATATCATTGTATGAGCATATTGGAATTGAAAAGTTCTATCTTGATACCACTGCGTCTAATCATTGTCTGTTTGGGAATTTTCTGTAAACCAAACCTAGAGGTGGAACTGAACAGAGAAGCAGCCGGATTCGAGTATGATCATGATTCTATTCATAACCAGCAGGTTTTCAGTTGTTGTTTCTATATCTAGAAGTCGAGTATGTCCGAGTATGTCGTCATTTAGACTTACAAAGTGGCTCAGCTGGGTGGAGACACTTACCAGGGACGCTGGTCTGGTAGTGGATGCTAAATGACAGCCCCGCCTTCAGCTGAGCCGATCATCACGAGTCCAAGTCAGCAGCTGTTGTATACACCTTCCATTTCAAGGGACTAGTGACTCACTTGAAGCGCTAACATATAGCCCGACCATCTCGCTGTTGATTTGAGCTATCTTCGCTCTTTAATACCTTCTCGCGCACCATCAACAATTTTGACGAACACACGACTTGAAACGATTCACGTCATTTGTTCACGCAAATCGAACTATAATTAATTATCTCTATATCGCTCATGGAGGAAACTTCGCCTCTCGTTGAGGCCGCTCGCAGCGGCGATCTAGATCTGGTAAAAACCCTCATCGAAAAGGACGCCGATATCCAAAAGACCAACGACCGTGGCTGGACACCGATCAATGCGGCTTCTGACGAAGGCCATATCGAGGTAGTAAAACTACTTCTCGAGCATGGAGCAGACCCCAACACCAAATCCAATTCAGGCTGGACACCAGTTCATTCAGCCTCTGATAGTGGTCATGTTGAGGTTGTTAGACTACTTCTTAGCCGTGGTGTGGACATCACGGTTCCGAATGAAGAAGGGAACTTGCCTATTCATTCCGCTTCTGGACTTGGCCATTTCGAAGTAGTGAAACTACTCTTGGAGCATGGCGCGGACTTTACTGTGCTTGACGAGCGGGGCTGGATGCCGATTCATGCTGCAACGATAGGCAATTTTGTCGATGTAGTGAGGATTCTGCTCGGGCATGGAGCGAATGTGGAAGCTCTGACTCGAGACGGAGACACGCCGCTCAATATTGCGTCTCATGCAGGTCATATCGAATTGCTCAGGGTGTTTTTAGAGCATGGTGCGAAGATTATGGTTCAGAACAAGGAGGGATGGACATCGGTCCATTTGGCCTCGGGGAACGGTCATGTTGAGGCAGTGCGCCTGCTATTCGACAATGGGGCAACTGCCACACTTCAAACTACCGATGGAAGGACACCCATGTGGATAGCCGTGGCTGAAAGCCAGATCGAGGTGGTTAAGTTGCTTCACGAGCGTGGAGGCGACTTCACAACACCTCATCACGCCGGTCTCACACCTTTATCCATATCCGCATACGACGGGAACGCCGAATTAGTGAAATTGTTTCTCGAGTGGGGAGCTAACCCTGAGTTATCCAATCCACTATACATGGCTTCGGCTAGTGGTCATACTGAGGTGGTACAACTACTCCTCGATCACGGAGCAGATCACACGATTGTCCACAAGGATGGACGCGCGCCGCTTTGTACAGCCTCTACCTATGGCCATACAGAAGTTGTGAGAGTACTTCTGGAAAGAGGTGCTGATCCAAATTTCACGACTGAAGATAAATTGACTTCCCTATTTTTCGCTTCCGTTGACGGCTATACTGAAATAGCCAGGTTACTTCTGGAGAAAGGTGCCGAGCCTAATTTTGCGGGACCGAGAGGAGTTACACCCCTGATTATGGCTGCTGGTGAGGGATACGTCGAGATTGCGCGACTACTTCTGGATAATGGGGCGGACATTGCTGTCACGGACGGTGATGGGAGTACAGCGCTGCATTCTGCTTCGAGGAAGGGACACCCCGAGGTCGTTCGTTTGCTTCTTGAGCGTGGTGCGGATGTGAGACCAGGAGATACACGGACGGAGAGTACGCCGCTACACCTAGCCTGCTACGGTGGGTTTATCGAGATCATCAAGTTGCTTCTCGATAAAGACGCAGATGTCGCGGCTGAAGCTGAAGATGCAAGCACTCCACTGCATTATGCTGCCTTTTGTGGACAGGTCGAGACATCTAGGCTTTTGCTAGAGCACTTAAAAGATGGCTTTGATGCTCGCGACTTCTACGCTCGCACTCCACTTTTCTGGGCTTCCGCCATGGGCCATGATGATGTTGTTGAGCTTTTTATTTCGCATGGAAGTTCAGTGGATGCCACCGACCGCTACGGCGCGACACCTCTCTTAGCGGCCGTGAGAAATGGGAAAGAAAAAGTTGTGGAACGACTATTACCTCTGTCAGCAATCGATATCAACTCTAAAGATTCCCAGGGTCGAACCGTGGTCTGGTGGGCGACAAGGTCTGGAAAGCCAGAAATTGTCCAGCTGATTCGCGAAAAGGCTGAGATATCTGATGAAGATGACCTCAACCTCAAGATGGAAGGTTTGGCGGTCACCAAAGATTTCGAAGAGAAAGTTGATTGGTTATGTGATATTTGTACTCGGCCATTCTCGGGCAAAGAATCGTCTTATCAGTGCGTCAAGTGTGCCAAGTTCGAGATTGATGTTTGTGTGGAATGCTTTGAAGCCGGGGCCGGATGTTTTGACTCGTCTCACGAGTTGGCGCTTCATCGGCGTGATGAATCAACCTGAATTATGGGCTTGTGAGATGGTTTAGGCCGTCTTGTATGATAATGACTTGGAAATCTCCGCTTATGTCGAAATGACACGTCCATGAAAATGGGATCATACCCGTTCTTAATGATTATGAAATGAGCTTTCTTTTACCACATCTTCTTTGTAGGTCCTTTAAACGATTAGTGTAAAGAGGACGTAAACAGGATTCTCATTCCATGCATGCACCGTAGAGGACATATGGTGTCTAACTAAAAACCGTCATGAGACCATTTGACACGAAATACTCACTACCTCGGTGACATTCCCGAGTCATCGTAGGAGGCATATTCGGTAACCCGATAACTAAAGCCCTGCCCGAGACCCGATCGGTCACATCCCTTAGTCAAGAAGATTTATATCATCTATGCTAAATTAAGCTAATTCTAAATAGAGAAAAAGAACCTCGGTCCGTCTAAGTACCGGCATATCCATATCCATATCCATATCCACCAAGAGTATGAAGCAAACCCCTGCATAAGCAAGCCCAAAAACCGTGGCATCGGCGCAAACCGTGCAGGATTCGGGACCATGAGTGGAGAGAAGATGTCTCGGTCTTCCCGAGAGGTTGCGTCAGTACCTAAACTAACAGCAAATCTTCAATCAAACCCAACATTATCAATCCAATTCGAAATCCGTTGGGTCATCGGACATGATACCGTTTCAAGGAAGACGGCCCGGAACGTGCTGAGCTTTGTTGGTGCGATGATTTGTGCAGAGCTTGGTGTTGGCAGGTCTTGCTCCACAATTCAAACTAAAACGAGTCTAATTACACTAAGAAAATTTCTAGAACGGCTTTTTAACTTGAGATGATTGAACCTCGGCATTTTCCCCTTTCGGTAGGTAAACTTGCCTCGTATTATTTTCGTAGCTCAAACCAATACTATACACCAATGGAAAGTATAAACGACTATTCTAAATCTAAAAGCAGAATACCTCATCGCTCATCTTCGACACCGACCCGGGCGTCTTGAATCCAAGTGTAGCCAGGTTCTTCTTCGTAGCACCGATCATACCAGGCGGTCCACACAGCAGGACCTTCGTGTTTGGGCCCTGAGCAGGCATATGCTCACGCAGCACATCAGCATCAACAAAGCCCGTGCCATAAGCCCAGTCCTCCGGCGCAGTATCTAGCATATACCAGACCTTGAAGTTACCAGGATACCTCCGGGCGAAGGCATCAAGTTCCTCACGCAGTAAGATATCAGCCTCGCTGCGGTTCGCGTAGACCAGACTGATTTGCGTTGTGTCGGCGTCATTCTCGCAGATCGCCCGGATCAATTGGTACATGGGTGTGATACCAGTACCGCCAGCGACCATGCCGATGTGGCGGGCCACATCTTTGGTGTACTTCATCGAGCCCTTGGGTCCACGGAAGGGGACTTGTTCGCCGATTTCCAGACCGGAGAGGTACCGGCTCATCAGGCCGTCCGGGTAGCATTTCACCACGAGCTCGAGGCGCCCACGGTCGAGGTTGTTGGAGGTAGGTGTGTAGGAGCGGGTGACCGTTGCGCCATCGACGATAGCCTTGATGGCGACATGCTGGCCGATGGGGAGACCGAGGATTGTGTTTGGCTCGGGCAGGCCAAAGATGAAGCGGTAGACGTTGGGGGAGAGTTGGTGCTTAGCTACCAGTGGTAGGTCTTGGTAGGTCTGAGGCTCAAGGAACCCGCGTGTGAGGTGCGGGTCGACGCGGACAACCTTCTTGGCCTTGATGCGCGGAGGATACCGCATGAAGCCGGAGTCGATCTTGGTGAAACGACTGGCTTGCTTGGCTGCGTAGACACCGATGGCGCCGCAGATCAGGCTAGCAGCGAGGAAGCCATTTACGAAACCGCCACGCGGGAGACGAATAGTTTTGAAATGGCGAGGTATAATGTGAGAGATAGAGCTCAGGCTGTTAGAAAGGCATGCACTGGAGCTGTAGATGTAGAGAGCTGGGATGATGGTGCTCAGAGTGCCGGCCACGCCTGCCACGGTGCCTATTGATGAAGATTTGGGAGGCTCCGGTGTATTTTGTGAGACGACGCGCACGGCTTTGGGCCGCACATACTGCTGCGCATCTTTGAGAGTACCCACTAGGTAGGGTTGCATAATCTCGTGGGCGTCTTCAGAATGACCGACATCTTCGTAGGCCGCGGTGGCATCCTGGCCTGCTACTTCAACGAGGACTTCTGCGCCACCGGGATGATCTTGCAGATATTCGGTGATATCGAAAACTATATGTAATTAGCAATTGACTCGAGGAGTATTCAGCAGATTATCTTACCTTGTCCGTGAATGACAATCCACGTATCAGTCTTGGTGTTATGCGCCGCAATATCTTGCATAGAATACTCAGGCAAGACCACATTGGCCTCCTTCGTCTCTGAAGTAGCCATTTCCAAAGCTTATAGCAAACAGTATAGAATCGTCAAGTCAAAGCCAAACAGCGAGAGGGAAGAATAAAACAAGTCGCGCAATCACCGACAAGTGACGACCAAATGTATACCCACTCCACAGCCAAAATGTATCTCCCGTCTTAACATCCAATCAAAAACAAAGAAAATAACAACTCGGTCATCTTCCATGCATAAATTCCCCCTTCAATGTGTATCCACCATCCAAAAACACAATTCAACCTCGGCGCAATCAAAGACAATCCAGGAACAAACGGCATCTTCTCCGTCGTACCCGACTTGAACAGGTAAACGGCACACCGACCCCGAAGCCGATCCACTGCGATCCCGAGAAAAAAGGCACCTATCGGCCGCATTTACCCTCCGATCGGGAATGGCGTCGGTCCTGCCAGGTACATAGTGGGGGGCAAATTGTGCAGACTGGGACGATCATCGCTTGATTCGAGTTGGACGGTGGGCCCGCGATCGCAAATGCTGAAACTGCCGAGGCAGGCCATCAGGCATAGAGACTGCGTAAACTGACATTTCGTGTAGTTGGGCAATTATGTAGGGCAAGATGATTGCCAATTGAACTGATAGGAGTGGAGTTGGTCGGATTGATTTGGATTAGAAATAATTATATTAGTTCGCAGGGTTTCCGTGGTGGTTCTCTTTCTTCTTTTTCTGGATGAACAATCTCATAACCGGTCAATATGGTCGTCAAGCAATTTTACCTGCTGGGAGAGCCTAGCTCTACAGCAAGGAATGTTGAGTTTGAAGAAAAGATTGACTTTGAAGGATTGCAGCATTGGATTGCTGGCCAGTTTGCCATTGTCGAGTCAAACGGTATGTTCCAGCGAAGTACTTTGTGAATGACAACTTTAAACGTTTTAAACTTTACGTATGTTAAGCATAATCACTAAACTAACATATTTTTCCAGGCATTGGCTTCCAGTCTTCAGAGGCTATGCTCTCGAGTGTCTCCGAAGTCCTCTCCTCCGCAGACCCAATCGCCATTTCGATAGATGGCAAGCCCGTCCGCGAGATCCCCGGCCCTAAAGGCCTTCCCTTCGTGGGTAACTTCTTCGAAATCTACCCAGACCACTTGGGTAACCACCAGCGACTCTTCGATCAATATGGTCCCATCTTTCAAACTACCAATATGGGCCGCACAATCTACCACACCAATGACCCCCAACTAAGCGCAATCGTCTTCGCAGAGTCAGATTTCTTCAGCAAGAAAATCAACGAAGCCCACCCTCTGTACCCTATCAAGAACCAAGAAGCAGGTGTCTTCCTCGGTGATACGGATACCCCAGAATGGCGCGCCGCACACAAATTCCTGCCGCCAGCTCTGGGCCCCAAGGCCGTGCGCCACTATGCGCCGACGATGCAATCCACCGTTGAAGACGCGTTTAGCGTATTCGATCAGCTGGATGAGGCGGGCGAGGCCTGGAATGTGTACCAGTACATGCTGAAGCTCGGTTCGCAGGCGGTTGGTAAATTGGTGCTGGGTATTGACTTTAAGCACTTTACCAGTCCGGATGCGCCACCTCATGAGCTTGTGTATCGTATTGCAGAGTCGTTGACGTTGAATAAGAAGGTTGCGGCGCGTGGTGATTGGTATGCTAAGCTGCCCTTTGGTGATCCCAAGAAGTTGCGGGATGCGAGGTGGCGTATCATTGAGATGGTCAATGAGTCTATTGCGAATGCAGAGCGTGGTGGTGTGGAAGACTTGCCCTTGCAAGATGCTGCGCTGAAGGCGACGAACATGGTTGGTAAGTATACACTAATGTCTTTTACGCAAGCCTATCTATATCAGTCTATAATATATTCAATTAACCACGCACATAGACTACGCAATTCGGGCAACAGACAACAAGGGCGAAAAACTCCCCAAAACAAGCCTCATGCAAGCCCTCGTCGTAGCCACCGGCGCAGGTTTCACAACGACCAGCTCCCTCCTCTCCTGGCTCATCTACTCCCTCGTCAACTACGACGGCATGCAAGAGCGTCTCCTCCAAGAACTCATCGACAACGACATCAACGCAGACACCCAAATCACCGCCGACCTCACCGACAAACTCACCTTCATGGACAAGTTCATCAAAGAAACCCAACGCCGTCACAACCCCTCCTACCAACCCGCCCGCACAGCAAAGGTCTCCATGATCCTACCAGGCGGATACAAACTCCCCGCCGACGCAGTTGTCATCCCGGCCCTGCACCACGTCCACAATAACCCTGCCGTGTGGGATAACCCGGCACGATTTGACCCAGATCGGTGGGATACTGATGCGGTGCGGAATCGTCATAAGGCGGCTTATATTCCTTTTGCGGCGGGCCCACGGATGTGCATTGGTTTCAACTTTGCATTGCAGGAGGTTAAGGTGTTCTTGCCCAAGTTGTTGTATCGGTATAAGTTTACGAGGGAAAATGATGGGCCGATTGAGTATGATCCGATGTTCCAGTTGATTCGGCCGAATAATTTGTATGTTAGGGCTGAGAGGAGGGTTAAGTGGCCGCCTAAGACGGAGGTTTGAAGGAGGATATGTGGTGGTGATGTAAATACTGTATGAATAGAGATAGATTGGTAGATAGAGTATAACAGTGAGATGGTGTTGTACAGTAATTTGATCACTTCTATTAATTAAGCTTCTTTTCAGGTTGATCTTTAGTGCTTAACTCATACAGCAGCCATCCTTCTGGTTTACTTGAGATTCTCATTCAGGCTATTCAATTGTGACAGAATTTAAGAAACCATTGTTTTAGTCATTCGATCTTCTGGGCAGTTCTCAATAGGGATTTACGACTGTGTACTGAGGCTTGGAAGCGGCTCCGGGACTGGGAAAGCGGATACTTCAAGAGCTATTTAGCATGCTTAACGAGCCCTACTGGATTGACTTTCTGGCTTGACATCGATGACTCTCAAAATCCAGCTGAGGATATCTTTCTTTGTCTATTTATAGTTGCATGACGTCCGGCAAGTCCACACTCTCCACTGCCGTGTGCGTGTAGAAATATCAAGATCCAAGGCAGGGATAGCTGGTCTATGAATATTGCAATATGTTACACCACAACGCTAGGTAACGGTAAATTCGACACCGAAAAAGGCTACTCTTGACACTGTTTTAAGCGTGGTGTAGTTATACCGTAATCTTAGTCATCGATTTCACACCTGATCTAACTATACAATCATTTTCGCCCTATTACCGGCTAACTTGTTCTCCTTCCGGTAAGCTACCTCCGCTCTGTTGCAGTTTTAGCAAATATTTACTATAGATTTAGTGGCCTCTAACTTGACAACCTTGGGGTAGGGCTACTCTAGCATGTTCCCCTCATCCCCAGGGTTAATATAGTCGTCCTAGAAGTTCTTCTTCGTTTAGAAAAGGATCGCCGCTAGGTCGTGAGCGTTACTAGTGAACCGCTAAAGTCCCCCGTCAAGTCATCGTTCTCAAACTCCCTCCCGCTCATAACTCCAATATATTTTTGCTGTTACGAAACCAAATATTGGCCCACCGCTCCAACCCGGCGTGCTAAACATGTGAGCCTGAAGCTCGCGCCCGGTAGCGCCTTCATGATCGACCTGGTAAAGTTGCCCGCCGGGCTCCAATATTTACATAACCGTTCATCACGTCCCTGGGATATCCGACAGAAAACAACGAGCTAGGAGGCAGGTACTAGAAGCTATCGCTCTAACACCTGCTCCAGAGTCAGCCGTACCTGTCGCCGAGCGGGTTGTTGAGACGACAGATGACATAGTCCACGCCGACCATATCATCGGTATTCCAGACGCCGCGGAAGTCTGTAATGTAGCTGGAACCTTATGGCTCACAGTCGTTCTTGTAAGCTGGCACGAAGCGCATCCACCACCCGGCCATTGCTCCCGTGCCAGAAGCTGCGCGTGGGACGTAGTGACTAGCAGTCAGAAGCAGGTTGCAGCCGATGAGAGCCGCGCTTCCGGTCCAGAATGGCGCTGAGAAGTTAGAATTGGTACTGATAAAGAGCCTCCCGCTGTAGTAGAATGGTTAAGAGATGTAGTCGACCACCTCATCCCGCTCCACGACACGATCAAGACGCGAATCTCCTACTATCCTTTTGAGTTCGCCTGCGTTTTGGGCTCTAAACTCTATGGTCTTACAACTACCCAAGTCAACGATTCTGAGGTCCTCGGGAGTGAAGCTGTCCGTGGTGGTTGGCGCTTGGATCAACGAGGCCACCTGAGAGAGATCAAGTCTCCGGCCGGTTTTCCGGCAAGGGCGTCGATTTTGTGGACATAGCTGCCGTTAGCAATAGTTTCTTGGGACATGATAGAGACAAGTGAAGTCTTTATAACAGGTTTATAGTTTTTGATACACATATTTATAGTATATCTGATACGGAAGACAGAATAGCTGCTCCGTCATTCTTATATACTGGTCAGTGGTGGACAAGGGCTGTATTTTTTGATGGAGCTCTTGATCGATGATCTGCTCTGGCTAACGCTAATAGACTAAAGATTAGACAGATTATTAAAGTTCAGCAAGATAGATTTGTTAGTATCCTTGCCATTCAATGCCAATTTACCTTCCCATATTCCATATACCCACCTCTCGATGTGCTGGCTTTATCATGGGTAGTATGACTTCCTACCAAGGAGCCAGCGCAGCTATTCTCGCTGCAAACGGCTATGATGGCAAAGTCTCTTTGTTATGACAGGATGATTCAATGCGCGGTAGCACATGTGGCACAAAGAAAATCTAGTCCTCGGGAGACCCAGCCGCAACCCATCTCTAGATTACGGTCCGCACACATTCGTTCCCTGGTTCGGCGCCGATCATCAATCAAATGACTTGACGTCAGCAGGACTTGCAATAAACCAGTCAGGTATCATTATATTCTATTTTATTGCTTGTTACTTCCTCTGAGGAGGAACCTTTCTGAGAACTTGATTCACCTACGCCGACAGTAAAGTACAACTCATGAGGCTGAAATGCCCATTTCCTCGTCAACAGGGCGGACTCTCCCTGACTGATTGCTCCTCTCCAACTGCGGCACATGGACGTAAGAGTCGGGTTGATTTATGTCAATCACGTCCTGAATCATCTTGTACTGATCGAAAGCGTCTTTGATCAGGCTCATAACGTCTCGATTTGCCTGCTCGCCCTCGCCATATTTCAGATTGATCTCCACCTCTTCAATAAAAGTCATGAGTTTTTTGAGCTCAGCCATATCCTTTCGTAGACGCTGCGGCAGACCGCGCCCCTTCATGAGAGCAAGGACACCAGCAATGACAGTATTCACTGCCCCTAAGATGGTGATTGCCAGCATATGTTTGTCTCCCAATGGACCTAGCGCTGTAATCGTAGCACCCACAATCAGCTGGAGTATAGCGAGGAAGTTGAAGACGATAGAAAACAATCGATTGAGTGAGGTCTTGTGAATCTCTTGGGCCCTTAGCTTTTTGCATAAAGCGCTTGTGGCCGCGCGGAAAATCTCGTAGTTGCGAGGCGAGGTGCCATCTCTTGAGGATTGCGACGACTCGGGCATGATAAGTAATTTGTGCGAAGAAGACTTTGGCTGGCCTGAAGCTACGCTGGTGTGGGTGAAGACGACAAAATTTGGGGTTCGAAGGGAAATGCAAACATATATCGCCATAACTTGTGTCTAGAATGTCGTAGTTATCTCTTCTGACTCGGCTTCTTTCTATGGATGGGCTTAACATTCTTGTCGATTCTTCTAGACCGACGTGCGGCGAGTGGGGGGTTGTCTCTGCGTTCCAGGGGTTAAGGTATCTAGGAAACGAATCTCCTTGCGGCAAAATATTTTGTTGCATTTAACGGACGTCATGGAATCAGTAGGTTTAGCTTCGGAGGCTTAAGGAAGTGTCTTTCTTATATGGCGAGTATTTCAATGTACTCTCCATTAGTATGCACAATTCACATGAAACTCCTAAAGATTTTGGACTTAATTCATTGAGTGTTCCAAATGAACAATTACGGGACATTTTAGGGCATAAAAATATTGAAAAACAAACTAAAGAACTTTTAATTCACAAGCGAGGGTACAGTCGTGATAGTTGGTAGGGAAAACCTCTCTATCGAACTTGTTAACGCTCGGGATGAGTCTATTGTGAAGTCGCACGATGCTTACCAATGGAATTCGAGGTTCCCATCATTATTACTGATCCTCTCCGCCAGATTAACATCTCTGTTACGGAGGAACGTGCCATCCGAGCCGCGAAGATCAGCTCTCAGGATAGGATTATGGCCAGCGCCTTCCTCAGGATTGAATGTGATGTTGGTTGCCTGCTCTGTGAACTCGGTTCCCCCCCACTGGAAGCGACCTGTCTTATATTAGTGCGCGACATTCTCCACATCAAGTCACAGAGCTCGATACATACCGCCACTATCGCCAAGGCAAGAGTCCAGCCGGAGCTTGCTCTTGTTCCAGCCGCCCCCGTTCCTCTGGCAGTAGCCCACGAGGTAAGTGTCACAAGGATACTGCTCGATGTAAAGGCCCCTGGTTGCATCCATGACGAGTATATTCAAAGTGGACTTGTTCAAATTTGCCAAACTTGCGACTTTGTTGAGCAATGGCGACTGCCAACGGCCGGACAGTCGACGAAATTTATAAAAGAACTGGACGTACGCTAGTCATGGCTAATTTGGTTCTAGAACTATGATGTAAAGTCTAGAACTACGATATAAAGTTTCAATAATCTCTGTCGCTTCTTCCAACCTGGTTGATTGCGGGTGAGTTGACAAAGTGGCATTTCGCAAACTATGGGTATCCGTTGCTGGCCAGACCACCACATCCACATGTGCACGAGTCCGGTCGGTACAAGCCCAAAGTTTGGTTCGGATCAACGAACCGGATCAGCCCACTACCGGCTCTCTAACGGCACTGGTTCCTGTGTTCTCCGGAAATTCTTCTTTCTATCTGGTATCATGGTCCCCAGTTCGGCCCATGTCGCTCAGCGGCCATCTGTCGGGGCCAGATCCGGCGATCTGCACTGGGGGGTGAAGCACTAGGCTTGGAACCCAGTTGCTTGGCAGTAGATCTAGATCCCGCGGTCTGAATCAGTAAAATATCGATGACCCGACCCTCAAGCGTGATCCAGAGGTATGCATGTTCGCGTGAGTATACTGCCCCCAATCTGGGACCCCGATGCCCTTCGAATGCAGTCAGCATGTGGCTGCAGATGCAAGGGTCAGTCGGGTATCAATAAGGTCTACTCTAGCGCAGTATAAGCGGGTGCTCGTGTCTCCTACAAGGTAGAACCTTGAATTTGAATATCCTAAGCTGGATCACGGCAAAACAAACTGGTGCGGAACATCCATTCGCCCACCAAAACCATTCATCAAGCCTCATGCTCGGCGAACCATCAAACCCCTGCAGGCCAATCTTATTCGAGACCTTAAAGAGCAGGTTCGCGCCGCGGCTCTGAAAACTCTCAACCCAAAAACCGCGACATCATAGGAGCCCCCATCTGAAGCCGCAACCACCGGCTCCAAGGTAGATAGCTATTCCTGTATCACGCAAAAGCCGACTGCCACGGCATTCGCAGGAAGCAACATGAGATCAAATAGGTCGATTAGCCTGAGCACTGGGGGTGGGCCGATCAGGTCGCTCAGGGAGCTGCTCATGTTCACTCCGTGATCTGCTCAGGGCGAACATGGTGGTTACCTTACCTTATACTCGGGGGGCCGATCATTTCCTGCGGCAGCATTTTACCGTCACCTAGATTACATAGGTAATACTGCGATTAGCGCTCGAGGCCGTAGAGAATAGTTAGAAAAAGTCGTTATGAATTACCATAATTAGAAGTGTATGCGCAGGTGCAAAAATATCTACCAATCTATCAGGTTGGATCTATCACGAATCTTGAAAAAGGATCTGATTAGAGCAGAATTGGTTTAACTAATTCAGCCAATCAAAATGCTACACTGACATACTTTGTTTCTCTCCTCCGACAGTTTAAACTGCAGCCTGTTCAGTGATGAATATCGACTCCACACCAAACCCACTTCAACCAACCATCTCACCCGTAACAATCACCGAGTCCGAGCTTGTCATTCTCGGATTTATTTACTCCAACCACAACTTCTCCGAGCTCACTTCTCCCCCTCATCCATCAACCTCCGGTGAACCACCAGACCAGACCATTCACAAACATGACGGAACACGATCAATCGCTCTCGCGATCCGGTCGCATCATGACCGCTCTATCTCACACCCTAGAGGAACTCGGTCTTGTTACAATGTACCACTCCACCCGAGACGTCAAGTTCCTCTGCGCCCAGCGCTTCGTGCGGCTCTTCGCGTATGGCGGGTCAACACTCATTCTCGCGTCGTACCTATCAGCCATTGGCATCGCGGATGATAAGATTGGGCTGTTTATGACCCTCACCCTAGTCGGTGATGTGGTTATTAGTTTCTTCCTTACGCTGTTCGCGGATGCGATGGGTCGCAAGGCGGTTTTGGCGTTGGGATCGGCGTTGATGGCTGGTAGTGGCGTTGTTTTTGCCATGTCGGGGAATTATTGGGTGCTTCTTGCTGCGGCGGTGTTTGGTGTTATTAGTCCGAGGTGAGTCTTCTCCTCTCCTTTTCGATCGTTGCTGTCAAGGTGCTGTGTAATTTCGAGGTAGCATCTAGAGTGCTGGATTTGTGTCGGTGCGAAGTCCGATGTTTTAGTACAATCCCCCGCTAACCCTTCTTACCGCAGTGGGAACGAGATTGGACCCTTCCGTGCTGTGGAGGAGTCTACTCTCGCTCATCTCACTCCGCATGAGAAGTTGCCCGATGTCTTTGCGTGGTACTCGCTGGTCGGTACCGCGGGTACTGCACTCGGCCAGTTGATTTGCGGTTGGACCATCAGCTCGCTGCAGAACCTGCACGGATGGGCTTTTATTCCATCATGCCGAATCATCTTCTTCGTGTATGCGGGCGTTGGTATCGTCAAGCTTATCCTCACGTTGGCACTGACTCATAAGGTCGAGACGGCCAAGAAGCAGAAGGCGCGTGAGCAGCAGAATGGCGAAACTCGACCACTGCTGGCTGATTCTGCGCCTGCTGAGCAAGAGGCTGTGCCGAAGAAGAGGTCCCTCTTTGCATCCATTGAGAAGGATCTTTGGTCGCTAGTGATTCGATTGTTTATCCTGTTCGGCATCGACTCGTTTGCGTCGGGTCTCGCATCTCTGTAAGTCAACCAGATAAATGGCTGTGAATGTGTCATTACTAACAAAATCAGCTCCTGGATGACATACTTCTTCCACCGCAAGTTCAGCTTGCCCGAAGGCGAGCTGGGTACCATCTTCTTCGTGACTAGCTCCATCGCCGCAGCATCCATGCTTGTCGCGTCCTCGATCGCCAAGCGTATCGGCAATGTGAAGGTCTGTTTCCCACCCCATCGCGCATCCAATACCTACTTACTAACCACCATCCCAGACAATGGTCTTCACACACTTGCCCTCGGCAATCTGTCTAGCCCTCATCTCCGTCCCCAACAGCCTCCCACTAGCACTAACATTCCTCGTTCTCCGCGCATGCTCTCAAAACATGGACGTGGCCCCACGCTCCGCCTTCCTCGCCGCAGCACTCCCCTCCGACAAGCGCACCGCCATCATGGGCGCTGTCAACGTGGTCAAGACTACCAGCCAGAGTCTGGGTCCCCTTCTTACAGGCATCCTTGCGCGTAATAACATGTTTGGCGTGTCGTTCATTATCGCCGGTTGCTTGAAGGTTACCTATGATCTGGGCATGTTGGTGAGCTTTGCCGGCAAGGAGGCGGAAAAGCGGAAGCAGGTTGCTCGTGAGGCCAATGGGGATGAGGAGGAGACTCGTTAGAGTAGGGATTGTGTGTGGTTTGATTATGTGCGGCTGGGAAGTCGTACGATGTCATACTTGTATCATATTATTGGGCTCGTGCTGTGCGGGATGATGATTGATGTCGTACCGCAGACTGCGTTCTTTGGCACGAGCAGGGAAAATTACCGGAGATTTAGGGCTTTATCAAAGTGAGTCGACTTTATCGTCTAGTATTATGACGGCATTTTGTATGCTATACTTGTTTAGAAATTGGGCTTTCCTTCTATACACATATAGATCCCCGTTGGCTAAACTCTAAGCAGGAACCCTTAATAACTTTAAGCGCAATTGCACTGGTAATTCTCATCGTAGACGAAGGCGTCGGAAATATCGCCGATGGTGCCATTTGGGGGCTATGTTTCATGATAGATCACAACAGCTACCATCACTGAATACAGAAGTAGTTAGTTATCAACGATAAGAAGTAAGCAGTAAGCAGCAATGCCAAGCATCTACCCTGCGCCATTCTGCGTTGGCTTCGGAGTAGTTTTGTGGAGTTTTATTTAGGGCGATTCCAGCCGAGGAGACCCTGAAAGTATAAGCATCACCCTCCTCTCTGGAATTCAATTCCTGTCTACTACATCAATTCTGCTACCTTCAACCGTGACGCAAATATTTCAAAGCTCCCATTACACTACCAGCTAAAAGATTAATCCGCCGGAAATAAAATCCACGACGGGTAACTCTCCCAAAAAAGAAACCCTCGCCTCGCAAGAGTCCCCAACTTTAGGCAACCGCTTTTCCCCAAAAGTTTACCAGAACCAACACACCAACCACGACTCCCCAAAATGAATAGCCTTCTCATTGCCCATAGACACTAGGCAGAACCCAATTGCAGTACAGGAACTGCAGTAGTACAGTAAATGATGCTGTACGACCCCACTAGCTCATTCATATAAAAGCCAATCACCCGGATCGACGGGAGGTTATGGCAATCAAGCTTCGGCGCTTCTTCTTGGCTCCGTCATGGCTGTCCAAGGGTCCACCGTTTGTCAGTCCAGTCTAGAGGGTGCATCTGTATCTGCACCGGCTGGAACGATGTTGCAGGGGATCCCTGAAGAGGAGGAGGATGTCTATCTTCTAGACGATTATGATCCGGAGGGCCAGCGGCAGAGCCAGGAGTGGAATCCTGGTGTTTTGAACACGCGAGAGAAACTCAGAGTCAAGTCTTCAAGAAGGGCTTCATTGGGATCGAGACTGTTGCCGTGGAGATGTACGCATATGCAGTACGAGTCGAGGATCTGGTCGAAGAGTGTGCTCTTTTGTGGATTTGTGAAAAGGCCGTTTTGGATTCTCGTCGCTATTCTGTACGTTGGCTTTCTCGTCATCTCTTGGACTTTATATCCAGCCACGACACCCAATGCTAATACTATACAGCGGTCTCGTTAGTCTCTTCTCCTTCGCATGGGATGGTGTCCTCTCCGTCCTCGCAGACAGTCGCGATGCAGGCATCTTCCCCGGCCAACGGCCGTCACTCTTCTCGGACTGGGTCACACACGGCGTAGTCCCAATCGCATGTCATTCACACAACGACTATTGGCGGCGAGTTCCGCTATTTTCCGCGCTGGCAGCAGGATGCACCAGCGTGGAAGCCGACATCTGGCTAGACGGCGACGAACTACGTGTCGGACACACGATGCGCACTGTTCTCCCGAATCAATCACTGCGCAGTCTATACATCGATCCACTCCTCGATATCCTCGAACAACACAATCCCGCCAAGAATATCTCATCGGGAGAAACAAAATCATTAATAGAAGCAGAAGACTTTTCCCCGGTCGGTATCTTCGTCACGGAACCTGATCAACCTCTGATCCTACTCATCGACTTCAAAGCATCCCCCGAACTTCTATGGCCCATCCTCATGGAACACCTCCAACCTCTCCGTCAAAAGGGCTACCTCACACACTTCAACGGAACGACACTTATCCAACGCCCAATCACAGTCGTAGCAACGGGCAGTGCACCCTTCCACCGAATCCAAGCCAGCAATACATACCGCGATATCTTCTACGACGCACCCCTCGACAAACTCGTCCCTATCCCTTCAGCACGCAAACCCGAACTGGAACCCGAATCCGAATCTAAGACAAGCTACATCCCTGATCCGGACTCGGACTCAGACTCTCCATACACAAAATACAACAGTTATTACGCCTCCGTCGATTTCCACGCTAGTATCGGTTCTCTCCCGCTAGGCCGCCTATCGCAGGATCAATTGGCCAAAATACGAGCTCAGATTGCGGCTGCGCATGACCGAGGCTTAAAGGTTCGGTATTGGGGTACGCCTGGGTGGCCGGTTGGATTGAGGAATTATGTGTGGAGGGCGCTGTTTAGGGAGGGGGTTGATATGTTGAATGTAGATGATTTGAGGGCGGCGAGTAGAGTGGATTGGAGGATGAGGGGGTGGTGGGGGTGATTTAATTGGTAGTTTCTTGGTATATTTTAAAAAAAGCAAGATCATTTCACGTTTTGCATTGTTTGTAGAGTGAGTCTAGTTAGCGTCTTTCTCGAGTCTGGTTTGTATGGTTGGAACGTGATACCCCGTCGGAGAGGTTCAGTGTTGCAACCATCTGCGGGTATCTACAAACCCATTCCAATCCCGCGCCGCGTCGTAAACAATGTCTGAGTCCATTGTCTCATAAACCATTTCCTCCAAATAGCGCTGCATGCCCAGTAACGGACATTTATCATTGAGCCCTCTGACAATCAAAATAAAGGCCATGTACTGCTGACCACCAAGACAATATCGTCGAAAAAGATGTGCGAAGCGGATATCTACTGGTACCCCATCTTATCAAGATATTGTCAGCATAGAACGGTACAGTTAAATTGGACTATACTCACCTTCTTGATTCGGATCTACTCCTGTGATGAGATGGAAATCACCATTAACCATGAATGCAACCCTGGCGTTTGCTGGGATTATGGGTTAGTTCAGTTTCTCCTGGCTTGTGTATATGAAGGACGGGGAGAGTACAGTACGGACCTAGGATCTGCTCGCGAAGGCAGTGCACTTGGAGCGGGTTCTTTTCGATGGGGTCCTCTTGGCTGTCGTAGAACCTGCAGTCATGCATGTCAATCTTCATGGTGTGTTTTTTGAGTCCAGGAGATTTGTTTGGAATGGGTGAGGGGCTGCTCTGTTGATGAGAAGGAGGACTCGTGAGAGTGGACGGGAGTGGAGGCTTTTCCAAAGTGAAGATAAGGAAGAGAAGCTTCCTGACGCGTTTTGAAAGAAAGAAAACGGGGGTTGTTTTGATGATGGCGTCGAGATAGGGAAATTCCCGTTTTTGGAAAGTAGGATGCTTGTTTGCTTCTTTCGCGTAAGGAAAGCGAGGCTGAAGGTACATAAAGAAGGACAGAAGTGAATGGTCTTGTGTATTCTGTATATGACTATACTGACCTTGTCTCGAAGAATCTTGATTCAACCGGGGTAGTATATCTTGGGCGTGTCGACTTTTACAAGCTTCTTGGCCACAGCCTTTCAACAAGATGCGCCAAAATAGGGCGACATATGCTGTTAACATAGTTCTGAATGAGACGGTCTTGCCTTCTAATTCCTTGATATAGTGCATGTAGGCTTGATTGGTATTAGACATGAGCGTACATTTCGTTCAGGACGGTGTCCAAGATCCAGTTTCATTCAACTTATAGATTCGTCGCTCGTTGTAATATCTTCCCTTTTTAATCAGGAGGATTCATGGACTACTTCCCATTATACTACCAGGATGTATTTCAAATTCCAAATATCCAAATCCCAACCGAAATATCATATCAACAAAACACATCCCTCAAAGAACCATGATAAAGTTCGGGTTCCGGTCATCATTATATCCAGCATACTTATCATACTTTCCATTCCTCTTATCACGATTCACCTTTGCGCAATACAGCACATTGAACAGAATCCTACAAATATTAGCATCATAAACAAGATCTAAGTCAGACAGGAAGGAATTAGAAAATTCAAAAACTCACATAAACCAAGCAAACACCAATAATCCCATAATAATAGTATGTCCACGGTGGAAATACGGCTTATCACGAGTGGGATAGTTGAACGCTGCAAAACAAAAACAAACCCATTAGCTTCGTTCACCACAAATAAAATATAGATGCAAGTGTAAGTGTAATCGGGAAACATACTCGCAACAAACCCTCCACAATTCGCAATCGCCAATTGCATCGCAGACGTAGTCGCCCTCTTATAATGACCAGCCGAGTTATTCGACATCCACACCAGGATACAGGGTACACTGGCGTATTGGCCCGTCGCCATGAGGAAGGTCATTCCGTATTGGATATGGGGGTTTTTGACGTTTGCGATGACGGCGTAGCCGATTATTGCGATGGGCAGGGTGAAGAGCATTATTGTGCCTCGGAGGCGGAGTCGGTCGGAGACGATTGCTACGAGTACTGTTTGTTTGTTAGATTTGTGTCGCACCTTGAGAAGGATTAGGATGGGGGGTTCGTGGGTGGTGGGTGATTTACCTGTGATTACGGCTGCGACGGCGTAGGGGATGACGGACCAGAGTTGGACTTCGTTGGCGTCTTTAGCGAAGCCGAGGTTTTGGATTATTGTTGGGAGCTAATGAAGTGTTAGTTGTTTTTCTAGAATATTGGGTTTGAGGGGGTAAGTGGTTTTAACGTACGAATAGACCGAAAGAGTACAATCCGGAGAGAATGGCAAAGTACGCAGTGGCGGACAACCAGAGTTGTGGCTCTAGGATACCTCGACGGACTTCGGACCATTTGAATGCGTCTTCTTCTTCAGCCAGGGTCCTACAATGGGTTAGCTGAGAAGAATTTTGGAGAGAGTGTGAATCATCATACCCATCTGCTGACTTGGGGTTATCCAACAACAATCTCTCCCGACCAAACTCTTTCTCTTCCTGGGTCAGGAAAGTCGCAGACTCCAGAGAGTTAGGGAGGATGACGAAGCTCAGAGCACCGCACGCAAAGGTCTAATTTGTATCAGTCATGGTCTGATTTATCGCTATCTGTGGGACGACATACCAGCAGTCCTTCAATGATTAGAATCCATCGCCAGCCTTCCAATCCACCACGGGGTCCAATTTCCGCAAGTCCACGAGCAAGTAGACCTAGTCTGATTAGCCTCATGCCTTGCAAGTGGTATAAAGTCGCTACTTACCACCGAATGCACCCGACAACGACGCGGCAGTGTAAAACAAACCAATGCGCAGCGCCAGATCTCCACGTCGATAGAAACTCGACAAGTATAGCACCTATAACCATGAGAAAATGTCTAGTATATTTCGATCGCTGGGTCATACCATGCCAGGGAGCAAACCTCCCTCCGCAATTCCAAGTAGCGCCCGCACAGCAACGAAACCCGCATAATTCTTAACAAACCCGAGACACATGGTAATAATACCCCAAAGCGCGGTCAAAAAAGGCAGCCACAGCTTTGGGGAAGCTTTCTTTAGCACGAGATTACTTGGCAATTCACTGGTAGATTTGGTGGTCAGTTCCAGTTCAGGCCGGATTGGACGCCTTGAAATCGCTTACCTGCAGATATACGTGAGATAAAAGACCGTCAGGCCGACGTCGTATTGATGGTCGGTGATCTTGAGATCCTTCTCCAGGCCGATAATTTTGGCATTTCCGACATTTGTACGGTCGAGGAATGAACAGAGGAATAGCAGAGCTAGCATGGGTAGGATCCTATAGGTTGGTTAGGGAGTCGTCAGATACCACGTTGTGTATATCTCCTAGGGACGTACCGAGTATCCAGCTTGAAGAGAACCCGACGTGTAAGCTTTTGTTGGTGCTCATGGTCGCCGAAGCGATTGAGTTCGCTCCGTTTGGGATCCTCGACTTCCATCACGCCCGGTTTGTGTTCCATTGTAATTAATGCACGATGGTCTCCGTCGAGTCCTAGTGCTTTTTCTCTGCAGGGCAGGTGGAGAAAGGAAGAGATGCAGAGGAGGAGACAAGATTAAGAATGTCAGCGAGCTGCAAGGGAACAGATAAAAAGGAAGCACATTGCCCGCGTTCGGGGGCCAGTTCTACGGCCGACTCGTTAAGGTTTAGGTGTGTACACTGCTACTATTACTACTGTACAAGTATTTTTTTCTGCTCCTCTCGTTTTCCCCGCAGTTCCCCGGATTCGCTAATGAAACCCTTTTTGTTGGGCGGGACTTTGTGCTTAGCAGGTTTTGGCTGATTCTTAGTCTGCTTGGCTGTTTCAATGGTAAATTATGTAAATTACCGTACGGACGTCACCCGGTATCGGCGTCCACTTCTGATTGCCGGACCTCGGGTCTTCTCTTGCTTCAAATTGGCTTCGCGGGAAGCATCTTGGGATCTTCAACAATCCATTTACTCCTCTCCCTAAGCATACCATGTCGAGACTCTCCCCAAGCTTGAAAGCATTGATCAATGCCCCGGCTGCACGGCCACATACCGTGCCGGCGCCTCCTAATATCGCCCACGTCTACCGGAGTATCCAGCAGACAGCCGCGGCGAACAATGTCTCGCAGCCCTCATGGCTCGCGCTCTCGGTAGGTCGCCGACCATCCAGTGCGACTGTGGAGTACTAACACCATCTAGACAGCCGCAACAATGACCATGAACTCCCCCGAATCCCTCACAGCCCTACACCAACTCGTCTCCTCCACATCCCCATCCACGGCAGTCCAATCCGCCGAACTCATGCGCGAAGTCGGCCTCAAATGCATCAGTTTCAACGGCATCCCCCGCACAATTAACTGCCTAAACGCCTTCCGCGCCGCCCTCCCCGAAGAAATCACCTCTCACCTCTCCACAACCCCAACCCGCACGCCCACACCGGAGAACATCTCCTCCATCTCCGCCCGCGGCCGCGCCCTCTGGGACTCCATCTACCGACCCTTCGAGAACAAGCTGTACTCCAAGCTCGCCGCGTCACACCCGGATCTGCCCGTGCACATCCTGCATGCGAACTACGGGGCGCTGTTGTCGGATCCGCCAAGGGAGAGTGGTGCGTCGGCCGGACGGGTGTTGACGTCTATTGTGGCGGTGGCTTGTTTGCGGGCACAGACGGGCGTTGGGCCGCAGGTTTTGTCGCATGTTTTTGGGTTGAGGAAGGCGCTTGAGGATGGGAGTTGGGTTGGGGATGTTGAGGGGGAGGAGGGGGCGAGGTGGTTGGCGAGTGATGAGGGGAATATGTGGATTTTGGAGAGTGTGGATGCTATTGTTGAGGCTATTGGGGGAGGGAGTGGATCGAATTTTGCTCCTGGGAAGGCCAAGTTGTAGAAGGGGGGACGTTATGGGATAGAGATTGTTTGCTGGTTTGTTGATTATTTTGTATATAGCATGATGTTATGCAGTATAGACAAGGGGAATGAATGTACATGGAATGCAATGCAGATAGGATTGCATTATAGGATACTTCGTCAGTAGTGCTCATTGAGTACTCCAAGATGTAAAGACGAATGGGATAGTCAGGTCCAAGAACCTTGTATCATCGAGGATATCAAAATTCTAACAATGCATGGTCTACAGTATATACAAATCATCCCATATAATATCTCCCTCTTACTCCATAATCTCCAAAGTCTCCGCAACCTTAAACTCAGCATCAGTCTTACTCCGAACCTCCTCCACCTCCACACCAGGAGCCAGCTCTGTCAGCGTAAGTTCGCCCGTCTTCCTGTCAACCTGGAAGACACACTGTTTCTTGTCAGTTACCATACTTCACCAAATATCGCCAACATCACTCCCAGGTTCTGACTCACCAAATCCGTGATAATAGTGCTAACAACGTTCGCCCCCGTCAATGGCAGACTGCACTTTTGCACGATCTTGGGTGATCCATCCTTGGCTAGATGGCTCGTCGCTACAACGATCTTTGTCTGATCCGGGTTTGAGATTAGATCCATGGCACCGCCCATGCCTTTGAATACTTTGCCGGGGATCATGTAGTTGGCCAGATCGCCGTTGGCGCTGACTTGGAGGGCCTGGACAAGGAAGTAGTTAGTATTGATGTGTTTGGTATACACTTGAGAATCGGGATTAACTTACTCCCAGGATTGATACGTCGACGTGGCCGCCTCGGATCATGCCGAAGGATTCGGTGCTGTCGAAGGTTGCAGCGCCGGGGACGAGCGTTACGGTTTCCTTGCCGGCGTTGATGATGTCTCTGTGAGCGAGTTAGGAGATTTCTTCTTGAGTCTCATTGCAGGATAAGACGGGAGACTTACGGATCAACCTCGTCCTCAGTGGGATATGCGCCCTACTAAAGTCAGTCCACGAATCTCCAGATAGCTTCCTTTCCACAGAACATACCATGCCCAAAATACCATTCTCCGATTGAATCCACACTTTGACATCCTTTGGCAAGAACGAAGGTGCGAGCGTCGGAATACCTATTCTCAGTGAGTTACTGAGACCACCTCTCCTACAAGTCAAGATCTGATACTCACCAACGCCCAGATTCACATAGTATCCCTGCTTCAACTCCTTCGCCGCCCGACGACCAATCCGCTCCCTCTCAATCTGCGCCGCATCCTTAACAGATCCGTCACTGCTGCCGGTCTCACTCTCGCGCAGCTTCTTAATCTCAATGTGCTTTTCGTCGGTAGCGGGCACGATACGGTCCACGAAGATACCAGGTAGATCCACGTCGTTGGGATCGATTGAACCGATGGGAACGATATTTTCGGCTTCGACGATGGTCAACGTCGCGGCTTTGGCCATGATCGGGGCGAATGCTTTGGTGGTGTATCTACAGCCATGAGTGATGAGCGATGAGTACCGTTGACGGGATTCAGTCATGAGATTGGTTTATACTCACCGGAACACGCAGTTACCAGCCTCATCCACCTTCCACGCCCTCAAGATGGCAACGTCACCCGTCAAGGCAGTCTCCATAAGATACGTCTTGCCATTGAACTCGCGTGTCTCACGCGGCTTTCCCGACTCAAGCACCTTACCAGACTCATCCATCCGCACGGGGATCTTTCCCTCCTGGATAAAAGTGTCTAAGCCAATCAGCAAACTATAACCCTCCCATCACTCCTCCTCGCAGCAGAGGATATTACTTACGAACACCAGTCGGCGTAAAGAATGCCGGAATGCCCGCACCACCAGCTCGCAGTCTCTCCGCAAGTGTACCCTGCGGACACAACTCGATCGCAATCTTTCCCGACAAATACTTCTTCTCCAACGCCTTGTTATTCCCCAAATACGACAGGATCAACCGATCAATCTGGCCAGTCTGTGATAACGTCGATAGTCCGCCCTTGCCAGCTGCACCGGCATTATTCGACACGGCAGTCAGCGAGTGCAATTGCTCCGGGCCACGACGGTGCATCGCATTGATTAATGTTTCTATCGCGAATCAGCATGTCACTACACCACCACCTTTTTATACTGAATCCCAGCGCTGAACGCAAACTCACCCGCAACACCACAAAGTCCAAACCCAGAGCTCAAAATCGTCGATCCACTCTTAATATCCGCCACCGCGGCATCAGCATCCTTGAACACCTTCGAGCCCCCGCGCTCAATCTTCGGCGCGAGAGGACTAGCTTGTGCCGTGGAAGAATACCGGCTTTGCATGTGCACATTTGGCCGAGCCATTCGCGGGGCTAGAGGCCGCGTACTTGCGACCGCACATCGGACACCGAGGTATAGCCGTGGTCGGCAGGATGTGAGCGCTTTACGCGATAGCGTGGATGAGGATACTCGTAAGGATGCCATGATTTCACGTCTTTGTGTTCTCAAGTCAGGTTAGTGGGAGGAAAGAAAGAGAAGAGCTGTTGATTAAGAGCTCTCTGTTGACGGTGGTTCGGGGCTACTTTTGGGTGCCGAGTGGCGCCGACCGAAAGCGGGTCGGGGGGAAATGCACGCCTACTTACTGTACAGACGGAGTACTGTAGTAGGGGAGTGTTGAATCGGCATTGTTCGGGGCGTGTTGGAAGCCCGGGTATTCTTTTTACTCCGGTTTTGCGGCTATCATTCTGTGAATCGATGCAGTACTTTATACAACCGAGACTCATATCTCCATTTCACCCCCGCAGCCGCTTCTGTATCCGCCCCCAAACAGACCGAATCCTCCCTCCACCTTTCCCGGACACTTTCGAACTCGCTCCTCCATGATCCTGCTGTCCTCGTAATCCTAACCCATCATCCCTAGAACCTCTCTGCCCAGATTCACCACCATGGCCTATCCCACCCTCCCATGCCTCCGCCTTCTGCTGAGCTAACGTCATCGCTTCAGACTGGACATCCTCTTCGCTTGTATCACCTTGTCTATCTGTCTGGAGTTCTATCTCGCGACGGCGCTGCTTTTCAAGGCCTCGGCGGGCGGCGGCTTGGATGTTGCTTTCGCCGATCATGCTTGTGCCGGCGGGTCCGGGGGCTAGCATTGTGTTGTCTAGCATGGTTGGTGATAAGGTAAGATTGATCTTGTATAGTTTTGAGAGAGCGTTGAGTATGGGGTGGTGTTCGTGGTTAGGTATTTGGAATGTAGAATGGATTTAAGGTATTCTATCATCGGAGCTTGTATTAACGCCATGGAACGTCGTGATTCTGTGGTCGTGACGTTCTTGGCGATGACGTTCATCGGGTCCACCTGACGAGTTGCAAGGCTGAACTGGTACATAGGCATGTCCAGCTGGCCAGGGCATCGAGTGCCTATTTTCTACTTCTAGTACTGTAGAAGAGAGGCGTTTGCATTTAGTACACAATCGCGCATGAAATGGAGTTGCCTCCAATGAAATGGATATCAACGAGCATCAAACTATATACAACCACTTAATCAAACATCAAAAACTAAAATCAGTGCTCGCAAAATCAAGCCAATCCCAACTAAGCATATCATCCACGGGTACATCTGGTATAGAAGCTCCAAAAGCACTCCCAGCACGATTAACCGCATCAATAATCTGGTCATCCGACATGGCCGAGAACTGCATCGGTTCCGTCCACAGATCCCCCGGTGGGAGAACGCGTTGTGTCGCCGTCAGCGAGGGACCCTGTTCACTCAGACAAGTCGTCGGGATAACGGGCTCGGCCAGATCGAGTGTCCGGGTATCAGTCCGAGGATGGGAAGTAGGCATGGCTGGTCCGCGACGGATGAGTTCACGTAGGAATCGTCCGTATAACACGGATGCACCGTTGCGGTGAGAGGGTGTTGCGCCGATTCTTTCGAGGACGCCGGCTGTTTCTTCGATTAGTGTTCGGACGCTGGGTGCCAGACTTGAGCGGCTGTCTCCTGGTGTCACGCTGAGACTGAGGGCGGAACATGCGGCGAAGGAGATCATGATGACGGTGTTGTTGGGCATGGATTTTAGCCGGGATTCGCCTTGGATGGCGGCTCGGAGGACGTTGAGTGCTGAGGATAGTCCTGCTGCGCGGAAGAAGCGTTTTACTTCGACCGGGGCGGTGGGGTGGTTTATTACGCCGCCGTACGTGGATAGTTGAGTGTGCGTTACTAGAATCTCGACGTATGGTGGCAGAGATCGTGGGCCTCCTTCGCTGATGGCTAGTGCCCATGTTGCGAACCAGCGTTCGTAGAAACTCTCGATGGTTGTCTTGATCGCTTGTGCAGCTTCTGATCCCGTGTCGACGATGCGATAGCTGTCACAACTTGATTTGACCTTTCTGAATAGCTCGTCCAGGTCTCGGCGCAAGACGGCCATCGAGTTCATAGGCCCGTCGCGGCGATCTGCGATGTCGGATCGATGCCAAGAGTCGCAGTTTTCGATGAGCGCCGTTGGAGGGACAGTATAGCTTCTTCCCCGGGCGAGACAGACTCCTCTTTCGACCACGAATAGCGCAATCCAGGTTCTCTCTCGCCGTCGCAGTAATCGACGGCCCCATTCAGAGTGAGGGTCGACGTCGTCAAATCCATCCATATGTAGTGCTCGCTTAGCATCTATGCAATCAGCCCGAGCTAATCGATGGAGCAGATCTTTTTCGAGGCTCGACGATGGCGTGACGATCTTGTTCAAGGAGAGGTCTAGGGCCACTGTAAGTGCCATCGCAATATACGAGCACGTATCATCGTCTCCGAGTCGTTCTCCAGGCGCCATCCACGGTACGTTCACCATAAACGCGAGAACAATTTCGACCGACCGGTAGCGATGTGTCGTGACCCGCTTAGCAAGCCATTTGCAATGTCTAGACAGCCTCTTTGACAGGGCAGCGGCAGACGGCAAGAACAGAGCTGCTCCAGACATGATCGAAGTAAATAAGAATGCGGACTGTGAGCGCACAAAGGATGCCGTATGTATAAGGGGATCCAGTCCCCATCTCGTATGTGCAAGATTTTGATAGAAGCTACGTTATAATATTAGCCTTGCTATACGAATGATTGTCAGGAACGACTTACAAAGAAAACAAAGACTCTGCCTCGTCAAAGGTGACAAGTCCCAGATCTACCGGATCCAAGTCCGGCCCAACATCCAGTTTCGCCTGCGCAGGTACAAAAAACGACTTTGCACTCACTTCACCCAAGCCACTACTGTCCTGCGGCACTGCCGAGGGAGCGACGGACGGGGCCGACGGCGACTTTTGAACATGTCGCACGCCTGTGGGAGATAGCTGCAGGTCTGAAGCCCTGGCCAGTAGCTGAAGAGGATTCTCTGCATCATCCAGAGTAAGACTCTCGTCTACCATCGCCTCACGAGGAGACAGCAGACCGCGCACACGACCGCCATCGACAAAGGCATCCGAATCCCCCGTTAGCTGGCCCTGAAATCGACTCAGCAACTCTTGGAGTCCTGAAATAGCTTTTTGAGCATCATCCGGACTAGAAGAGTCCACTTTGGGCCTCTTGATAGCCTGCTCAATCTGATGTATAGCCTTCTCCAGGCCCTTGCGCTTGCTACGATCAGTCAGCCTCCATACACCTCGAATACATCAACTCCGTCTCATGAGAGAAACAACACTTACTTCTTCACTCCCTTCTGCCGCCCTAGATGATGGCTCGGCACGATACATTCTGCATTGCTCTGTCGGCACTTCTCGCATCGCGAGTGACCCGCCGGGCGGTTACAACGGATCTTGCTTCGGCGGCAGTTTAGACATGCGGGTTGTTTGGCATTGGGCTGGTGGGCAGGAGACGAGTCGCTCGCCGACCGGGCCTCCATTTAGTTATTCACTACACGGCTGGAGAGGTCATGAGACAGATGTGGTACTGGGTTGGTCCATTTGCGCGTGGGCTCTTTTGGGGCGGACTTGACCGTCGGGTCGGCGTCGGTTGCGAGGAAGGTGGAGGAGGAGAGTTGACCAGGCCGAATCTTTGCCTCTTTCTCTTGAACTACTTCATCAAACCATAAATCTGTTCGCTTTCCAACCAGCCCTGCCGGGCTAGCTCAATCGGTAGAGCGTGAGACTCTTAATCTCAAGGTTGCGGGTTCGACCCCCGCGTTCGGCTATTCCTACAAATAACCTGAGATCCTTTCTTTTTTGTTTTTGATGTTTTGACTCGATTTGAATAAAGTGCTAAATTTGAAGAGGGATTCATCTGATGTTCGGTTCATTTTATCTAATCTTTTTATTCGTCGAAAAGGATTTACTAGAACCTATTATTCTGATATGGCGACCTAGGATTAGGTATGCGAGTCCTGGTGGGTGACTGGAATATATTACCGCAGCGAAAATATATATTTGCGACATCATGCCATTATGGAAGATACACCTTGGCAAGTAGGTAAGAATTCCAACGTATCTACTCGATGAGCCTACTCCCAGCCCAGGAGATTCTAAATTGGACCACTACGGTACTAATAGGACACCGAATGAACCCAGATAGGTTGTTCGAACTACCTTGTACAGCACCTTCAACATGCATAACAAGACTCGTTGGATTTCACTCATAACTAAGCTATTACACAGATTTGTGATTTGACACAGTCGCGTCCGCTGGTAATCAATTTCCGAAAAAAAGTACACATCCTAATCAACATTGAACATTCATCCTCATTCAAACAGACTCGGTCGGGTATATGGATAATTTTCACTTCTGGCGCGGGCTCATCAAAGTCCACATGTCCAACGGCTTAATGCTAAACGCGCCATTGGAATGCAACTGGTAGTTCTTATCCTCCAACTCGAACGAGACATCCTTGATAATGCTCGCCAGCGTGAAGAACGCCCACTGCCACGCCCACTTCTTACCGATACACTCGCGCTTGCCATTGCCGAAGCCCTTCTTCGCGGCAGCTGGTAGCTGATCCCATTTCTCACCGAGGACTTGCTCCGGCTTGAACTCCTCGGGGAATTCGAAGACGGCTGGGTCGCGGTTGACTGAGTTTAGGATTGCGATCATGGGCTGTTTGTTGGAGATCTGGTACTCGCCGCCTGCCAACAGCACGGGCGTCTTGTCGTTCTCGTCCGCGGGAGGGATGGGCTCGATGTTGAAGCCCGGAGCGGTGGCGGAGAGACGGATTGCCTCGCGGAGACAGGCTTCGACGTAGTTGAGCTGCTTTAGGTGGGCGAGGTCGATGGGGCCGTCGCCAACGACGGAGTCGATTTCCTCCTGCGCCTTCTTGAGAGGTTCGGGGTTCTCCATCAGGTAGTACAGGGCGTAGGAGACGAGGTTTGCAGCGGTAGCCGCGCCGATGAAAATGGTCACGATCTCATCGAGATGCTCCGAGTCGGTGAGCTTCTTGCCGGTCTCCGGGTCGACGCCGTTCAGAAGGGCATCCAGCATATCCTTGCGAGCTTGATCGGGGTTGTTAAGGCGGCTTTTTTTAATGTCCGTAGCATAAGCGCGCATGGTTCTCGTGAGAGACCAGAAGCGACCCAGATGCAAGAGATTCAAAGGCATTGGGCGCGTGGGTCGCTTCATCGCCTCCATTGTAGCACCTTCCCACGCATCGACCATCTTCCTCGCCTTGACGGATTCTGCGTCCGTTCCGAGCACATGTACCCTCTGGTTGAAGAAGCACTTCATACAGGAGGCCAGCAGAATCCGGTCCACATCATCGGTAGCTAGGATACGCTGCTTGGTGCCGGATGTCCATTTCTTGGTCAGATCGGGGATGACCTCGGCCATGTCGGCGAAGACAGCGTCTGTCGCCTCTTGGGTGACGTGCGGGTACATGATGCGGTGGGCTATGCCCCATTCCGCCATCTCACTGTGTTTGGCAGTGAAGAGACTGTTGTGCACGGAAAAGCGAATTTCCAGTACGGGACCGGTCACACATTTGCGGAATCTTGTTTCGTCGCAAATTTCCTCGAGAAGGGCGACGCTGCCAATGAAGACAATCTGGTGGCCGAGCGCGTTGATCTTGAAGATGGGGCCTATCGTTCATGATTAACTTGGTTGACTTGGGAAAGCTGTTTCCAACCTCGGTACCTACCATATTGCTTGGCTAGCTTGTTCAGCGAGTTCCAGGTCTCGTTGGGGTTGACGTCAAAGATGTTACCCAGCAGCGGCACGCCGGGTGGTCCAGGAATCTCAGTAGGCATGATGAGAACGAGATTGGGGTATATCGCTTTAGAATACACAAAAACAACAGCAGAAATAAATCAGAGGAAGAATCAGGGGAGAGCAGGAAAAAAATTAAGCTGAAGCGACTCGAGAGCGGGGAGAATGCAAGGGCCTAAAAAGAGCAGAGACCAGACCCTCTCCAGCTTCCGCAACTCTTCAGCTTGCATGGTTTCCCGATCGACAGATCTCATTGACCTTGTTCATTGGACCCGGGAAGGGAATTAGCGTCTGTCAAGGCTCCATCGTTCATCACAGCTGGTAAGATCGGCGCGATCGCGATGTAATAGCGCAGATTGGCGGGTGCTGATCAAGCTCTGATAGGCAGTTCAACAGAGCTATCTGGAGCCCATCTGCAGCCCTCGGGGGCCACATCTGGAGAGGTCTAGCGCACTACGGGCTGTAGTGTAACCATCGGTAGGCAATGAGGTTCATCAGAAATGTCAGCCAGCCAGCTTGCTTTCCGCGGAGCTTTCGATCATCATGCCCCTTCGTGTTCCATCATTCTCGGAGTCTTGATCCATCGGTCTCCGAGCATGTTTCTGACCGCTCTTGCAAGGCATATCCCCCTTTGTTTAGTCTGTGGGGGTCCTGCTGGTTTGTGCGTTATGCTGATGATCGTCTCCATCTTGATTGGCGTAGTGGACACCACACACGGCCTATCCCGAACCACAAAAGTCTGAGTGGCTGTCACTGAGCTCGGGGCGGCGAGTGGGTCTGTAGTCCGTGGTTGAAGTGCTGGGAGGCTTGTTGACATCATGTTGATGGTCCGAGGGGGCTTGGGGTGGGGGGGGGGGGGGGGGCAAGGGTTCCATGCTGCAGCTTCCTCCAAGGTAGACCTGTAGAATGAGCGACCGAGTTCTTCCAGGAATAGTTCGCGGGTGCACTCACCCACTCATCTTGCAGGGATCATAAGCATGACCAGTCTGTATCCATACCCACCGATCCCCGCTGATTGCGAGGATAGCCTCAAGCCATCATCGGGCAGGGCATTGCCTAGGGAATTGACCCTGGTTACCAGTCAGAACCCCCTCTTCCCCCTTCCCTTCCCCCATTCGTCGTTTTCTAGTTAGAGTTATCCCCTTAAATGCCGTAGTGCCCGTCGTGTTGACGCTTGGTGCCGAGTTATGCAGAAACACGATCGGACAAGTGGGGCTCGCATGAAGAAGCTGCCCCTCGAGCGCTGAAAGAGCCAACCGTGACTCTCGACAATGAACGACTAATACGGACGCATCATCGCACTCTGGGACCTTGTCCCTTTGTGTATGAAACCACCGAGGCCGATGGAAAGTCCATCTGGGTCGTAAGCATTGGGCCCAACGTGCCAATGTACGACACGCATGCCGGCGGGCGCGAGATCCACATCCATCCGGAGTATTTACTCCCTCAACTGTCCAAAGTGTATAGTGGGAGTCGCCCGGATCCCCTGCGTCGTCGGATCAATCCCCGAAGGTTTCTCACGGCTTCGGATTTGGAAATGTTGCGTCGATTCTTTCCTGCAGCCGTTGGGGCTCGCGTGCTCATCTCGGGGTTTATAATCGTGTTGTTTCCCACTCGCAAGGATATCGAGGCTTCGTGGTTGGAAGGATGTGTGCCATCATTTGGTCTACTGCGATTAGGGTATGGGAATGCAGTTCATTACCCAACGGTCGCCGTCGCCGATAGTGGCAATGCAGTCGCTAGCACGCCTGAGAAGAGCGAATCTGTCACATCCCTGGGTCTGAAACTGCGATTTGCAGATGATTCGCAGGGCATTGCGATTGCGACTCACGGTTTTGTTGATATGAAAACCGCCCAAGGAAACATTGCGCACAAGGAGAGAAGCTGGCTGGCAAAAACCAAGTCGACATTTTCAAAGGCGACAGCGATGAAAGTCAAGGAATGTGTTAAAATGGCAGCTGCAGTGGACTCGCCGCTGGGAAAAAGCGTGTGGTTTGTCCAGGAGCCAAAAGAGGTGAGTATGGCAGTCAGTAGAGTTGACTCGTGACTGCTCGTGGCTGACGCGACCAGAAAATCGGCCATGTCACGACAACGTACGACCATCACATCGCTCGCTTTTCCACTTTCCCTCAGACCATCGATCACGACACCTCAATTGTGACAGGAGATCACCTCCCAAAGGTGTTGAATCCTCCACGCGCGCCCCGAATCACCGGCTGGGGCAACTATTGCGACGCATTGGATGGCCAGTTGTCCTTCACGATGGCACTTAGTGCATTGAGCGAGACATCCAAAGAGAAGAGCCGCATGGATCCATTCGGCACCATGCAAAAAGCTGTCGTCGAGGGATCAGAATATCTGTGGAATAGAAAGGCACGTACGCAATCGGCTGCGCTACTGTGGCGAGCGATGCACGACGGCACCGAGATGGAAGGGCTCTCTGGATCGGTGCTGTGCCTGGGAGAACCGACGGATCCTAATTGTCGTGCGGTTTTGTTTAAGCACTTTGAGACGCCAATCAGTCCTCAGCACTTTCATGTGAGTGGCGTGGCTTCTGCTCGGGGTGATACTTCGTGGTCGAGTATCAATGGAGGCTTTGTACTTCCTCCTGAGATCCGCACGGCTGAGATCATTTGCGAGACGGATGAGTCTACAGGACTGCCGCTAGAGGAGCAGGCATGGGATATCGAGTAACGAGGTCAGGTAAGGCCGGCTACAAAAAATTGGGCAGGAGTGAAATGGAGCATCGCTTCCGGAAGGTCGTATCCTGATATACTAATATTCTCAGCATCTATCTTCCCATTTATCTACAACATGAGTTTCGCTTCACGCACACGGTCAAAGGCAGTATACCAGGAACTCTCGGTGCTCAACTCCCCATTGAAACCCAGAGCCCTTGCCTTGCTCAAATCCAAGTTGCGATCAAAGTCCATGAGTTTCATCACACTTCCTCTTGAGCCAGTGTTCCGAATGCTGGTGTACATGATATCTTCCTTGAGACCACGCTCCTTGCAGAGAGCCTGGAACTCCTCCTTGTGGCTCTCAACGTACTCAGGCCCGGTCACGGCATCATCGCTTGGCCCGACGCCCTCTAGCCCAAAGTACGAGGCGAGGATTGGCCAGCGCTTCTCCCATGACAACGGAGTTGCATCATCGCCGATGTTGAAAGTCTGGGCGTGGACGTTGTCCCGGGGCTGGAGGGAGGCATGGATACAGAACTGTGCAATGATGTCCTGGTTGGAATCTGTCGACAAGAGTTTCCAGCCAGCTTCGGTGCCGGGGAATGCGACACGAGCTCCGGGTCCTTCGAGGGCTCGGTAGAGTCCCAGGAAGATTCCCGTGGTTTGAGCGATGCAGTTTGCATTTCCGAACGGAGCAACGCCAATCTAGGATGTGGTCAGTATAAGTAGGGCTTTGGCCGAGTCACAATAGAACTCCCGTCTTTGTCGAACGTACGATAATATCTGGCCGAACCTCGCACCATGACCAGGCTTTACCGGCAGACAATTCATGTAGCAGATCGACCATGTGATAGTAGAAAAGATTCTTGGCATATTCGTCCGGAATACGTGGATAGCTTTCTTTCAAGGGTGTCTGTCCTCGGAAAGGGAATTTATCGAACATCATGACTCCGTATGCCTATCAAGGTGTCAGGTTTGATTATTTTGGGAAGACGAAGGGAGACTCATGAATGATACCTTAGTACCAGTAACGAGGGTGACAAATTTCAGCGCAGGAGACAGATCCTCGATAGACTGCACCGCAGCCCGTAGCATCTCCTTGTTCAATCGACACTCCTCTGCGCCATCGCGGCTCTCACGATAAGCTAAAGAATTGAGGGTCAGTATACAAGAACATAACACGTCATAAGCATGAATATCTTTACCAGCATAGTAAATATGGCTAACAGTCTCCACAGATGAGATCTTGCCTGCAAGGGCCTTTTTCAAAGCGATATCATCCCCAGCCGAAAGATCGATGCCAGAGACGATCTGCAGTCGATCGCCAGCATCGCGAGGCCACCCAGCATCCTCAGGCTTGAAAGGACGGTTTGCAATAGCAGTTACTTTAGCAAAAGTCCCCGTGGTAGGGTATCCGGACAACAATTGGTTTACCAGAGCCCAGCCGTTAATTCCGGAGCAGCCAAACACGATGGCATGATTATTTTGGTTGGTAGTCATTGCAGGGGGGATCTAGACACAGACAAAGTACGTAAACTGGTTCAAAGTTTGGGAATAACAATGGACATTGGTGCGCGCGCGTGGGAAGAGAAGAATAAGGAGGATTTGATTAACGCGGACGTACTTGTTTAATATGGATAATATTCCGAATATGGTACCGTTACGGGGCTTTTTTGAGACAGATTATTCATTTGACTTGCGAGATTGACAGGAATCACGCTAGTTGGTAAACAATAAGTAATGAAAAGAGAGGCGGGGCGCCTGGCGTGGTCTGCAAGTCGAAGAATACAGTAATAGGATCGAAGATTATAATCGAATACTCCGTACAGTAGTATGGACTTCGCTCGGTCTATCTATGGAGGAGTTCCAGAAAATACACGCTGCAACATAGTGACCACGTTGACTCCGTCGATCAATTCTGCTCTGGTGCGATTAAAGTAGCCTGGTGGTACGGCGGACGATATCGGCCAATCTCCAAAACCCCTTCCCGCCCTTACTACCGCCCCCATAAGTAGACTAGCCTACTAGGCCCTTGTCACCGCCCTTAACTATCTTATATAACCAATCAATCACCTAATCCTCCTCCATCACCATCGAATGCTCCTCCATTATCATCGAATGCTCCTCCATTATCATCGAATATCACTATGCCCCGGCCTTCTGTTAACCTTGATCCTTACCAGGAGGAAATTACTAGGCTTGTTTATGCGAATTCTACCAATGAGGATATCTGTGCTTTCTTGCTAAATACATATGGTATTAGGATCTCTCCTACTACTTTATGTAGACGGCGAAATGCATGGGGTCTTCATACTCCATATCTTACTACCAAAAGGATACTCCTAATGAGATCAATCGTAATCAGATAGTATATAACCTTCTTCAGCTATCGTTAGATACGCAGGAAATCCTTCGTCTCTTACAAAAGAAGGGGATACCATCATCTGAACGTTCTCTTTATCGTATACGGCAAAAGCTTGGTGTTAAGCTACGTGTTAACGATGCTGCTGAACGAGCGTCTCAGGAAAGAATTATTGAGAGGATTCTTACTGCAGAGGATCAGATTGGAGATATTGAAGGATATGGCCGACGTTACCAGCAAATTCACCTGCGTAGCCAGGGAGTTTTCATCGCAAGGTAAGTATCATATGGTCGTGTTTATCGGTCATATAGTCGTGTTCATCGGTCATATGGTTGTGGTTATCGGTCATATGGTCGTGTTGGTTAGCGATATGTTTACTAACGATTATATAGAGATCGTGCCTATGAAATCTACCGAACTATTAACCCAGATGCGATTGATGACCGCCGGTCTGGCTTTCAACGCCGACGAGGTGCCTATATATGCGATGGGCCTAATGCAATTTGGCATCTTGATGGCTATATGAAATTAGAACCTTTTGGTATTGAAATCTACGCAGCAATTGATGGCTACTCTCGATATGTTATATGGATATATATCGGGATATCTGCACGTACTGCAGTAAGTGTCCTTCGGCAGTATCTTGATTGTGTGAGATCGAATGGGTATATACCACGAAAGCTTCGGGTTGATCTTGGTAGTGAGACGGTATTGATTGGTGATGCCCATCTTACTCTACGAGAATCGCTTCTATCACCATCGAATACTCCTCCATCACCATCGAATGCTCCTCCGTCACCATCGAATGCTCCTCTATCACCATCGAATGCTCCTCCGTCACCATCGAATGCTCCTCTATCACCATCGAATGCTCCTCCATCACCATCGAATGCTCCTCGATCACCATCGAATGCTCTTCCATCACCATCGAATGCTCTTCCATCGACATTATCATCAGTTTCTCGGTTTCGAAACTACTTTATCTACGGGCGTAGTATTGATAATCAACGTATTGAATCCTGGTGGGGGCAGCTTGCACAGTCAAGTCTCTTCGTCTATCATGAGTATTTTAATATACTCTTAGGCGATGGAATCTATTCAAAGCAGTGCATTCCTGAGCAGGTAAGCAGCGGTATATCCTCGACAATTTAACCTAGTAATCCCTACTAAAAGATGTCTAGATAGTACTTCTTGCCATCTACATGCCTATTCTACGAGCTCGCATTCAATCATTCGTGAGCAGTGTATGGAATGTACACCCGATTCGTAAACAGCCTAAGCGGCCACATGTCGTTTCTGGTAAACCAATGATGAATTACCACTATCCTCCCGAAGGTATTCCTGATTGTAAGGAATCTTTTGACCCTTCTCTTCTCCAGAGGTATGATTCTATGGTTAATTCCTTATATTCTATGGTCAATTCCTTCTATTCTATGATTCATTAATCGTATACTATGATTCATTGATCGTATACTATAATTAATTCATCTTATATTAGGCTCCAGGAGGATGTGGCAGAATGGGATCCTGCTGAATACCTTCCACCTTCTACACTAGCTTGGTGCCGTCTACAATTGATAGAAATTGGCCAGCAAGAAGTGGGCGAGCCGTTTGACCCTGAAGACCCTCTCATTCAGCTTCTAGGTGATAGAAAGCAGCCATATCGGAAGGTATATGAGACTATGCGTGCTCGGGCCCTTCTACACGACCAATTAGGTACTTTACCTATATTAACACTAAGTATAAAACCTACCGGTGCATTCTCATGGGGTCCGAGCGCCCAATGGCATCAGGGCGCATAAGCTACTTAATCTATAAGATTAGAAGACGGCATAGCATATTCTCTCTTTCATCGAACATATTCTCTCTTTCATCGAACATATTCTCTCTTTCATCGAACATATTCTCTCTTTCATCGAACATATTCTCTCTTTCATCGAACATATTCTCTCTTCCATCGAACATATTCTCTCTTCTATCAGGATGGCATCTGAACTATCTTTCCCCCTCGCTACTCTACAGGCTACTCTTAAACAGCTATTAGAGACTATATCGGCAGCTACAGATCCTTCTTCATCTACATCATCATCAACAAGAACACCAACAGCTACACCAACACCATTATCATCATCGATATCTGATATTTCGACATCAGCTTCGCATATTCCAGCATCAGCTTCGCATATTCCAGCATCAGCTTCGCGTATACCATCGCAGCTCAATTCGCGTTTTGGAATGCTTTCTGGTACTACTAGCCAGGTTCGCAGTGCTTATATTGGACGCCCACAGGCAACTATACCGCCACCACCACCAGAAGAGGTCACAATCAATGTATCCTTCTATCTATTAATAGAGAGTGAGGATATTATACCAATTAAAGGTAATATACAATCTTCCCTCTATCATATACTTCTATATTCTTACCATTTACTTCTATAGGTGCACATATCTCTACCAACATAATTCCTTCGCAGGAATGGCTCACTATGGGTAGTTTTGCATACTCTCTGGTACAAAAACTATGTTACCTACCTATTAATTTCGAATTCAACCACGACGATGAGGCATTCCTAGCTAGGACGGTTACACAGTATACAAAGAAAGGACCATTAGAAGCGCAGTATCTCCTACCTACTAGTCCATCTGGGTCTACTAGGTGGACTTCTGGTCAGTTATGCCGATTGGTCAACCAGGAGAAGGGGGCAAAGGTCTTCTATGTTATTATAAAACGATCAAAAGAGACCGTGGAAAGGATGGCACATGGACTACCATCTCGAGCTACGATATCAATTGAAAGACAGCTAGGATCTATGGAAGACTCGGCAAGCATCATGGAAGACCCGGCGGGCATCATGGAAGACCCGGTGGGCATCATGGAAGACCTACCACGAAGGAAGCGAAGACGTGCTACACCACCACCAGTGACGCGGCGGAACTTACGTCGGCGACTACAAGGATGACAGAGACTATGTATTTATACTAGAGGAGGGAATTACTACTGTCGGTAAATCATGTACTTAATAGTTATATAATTTAAATTATCCTTTTATTATATCAGTCCTTAATGACGATAGAAGAGCATTCAATGGCGATGGAGGAGCATTGGATGGTGATGGAGGAGCATTGGATGGTGATGGAGGAGTATTGGGTGATGGACTTAGAAGTTTAGATGTAATTCTGCCGTTTTTCTGCCAGTTCTATCTAGGGGTTTTGGAGATTGGCCGTTATCGGCCGCCGTACTGGTGGCTTGGTGGCTTCAGGCTGGGCTTGTTTAGTGCTTTTATTGGCAGGGGTTGTCGTAAAACTTGACTAAAAATGGGTTGAATTCATTCGTATCCACACAAATGCATTATTAGCGCGACTTCAACGACGGGGATCCCGCCCGGTGCCCTAATTGCTCGACGTCCACCGCTGATCACGCCAGATACCAATTTCTGAGTCTTGCACTTTGATGATCGCCTGATAAAAGGCCTCGATTGAGCCATTGAATCGACCACCATGTGAAGACTTGAATGGTCGCGATGCTACTTTCATTTGATGTATGAAAGGCAGTGATAACGCCGAGGTACGTGGCTGTATAGGGCAGACCTGTAGCTAAATCTAAGGCGACCCACTCGAGGATCCATTCACCCCGCTTGTGTTTCGAAGATACAATATTCCCATGCCCGTGGTCCTCTAGGGCATTTACAGTAGTACTGAGTTCTTGAATTGGGACCTGAATTCTTCCGGTGGCGCAGAATAATGTTTCTTGTCTGCGGCTGGGAAGATATTAACTTAGGACGCGGCGAAATGCCCCGCTCCGAAGGATTCGTACTACTATAGGAGAACTTTGAACAATCAAGCTCAAGGCTGAACGCTAATTACCAATTCCATTGGCCCCTCTTGTTAGCCCCTTTGGCTGGCAAAGTTTGGGTTCGACTGGGATGCTGAGACCAATCCAGAACCCAGATCAATGTGCGCATACCAACAAGGTTTAATCTTGCAACGCTTGTATTTTGGAAGAATGGGAGATCCATGGTCGTTGATATCATTCTGCCAGACCCCTTTTCTCTAATTCTTCAGTAATTGTGGTCACTTTTTGAAGAGAATTCTAAATATCGCCCGCTAGGGTGAGTCCTAGACGGCCTGTCCAGCTTTTTCTTTTGTCGACAGATCTCCGATCTTTGTCAGTATGGCTGAACTTCCTGCGAGAGATCAGTCTGGGGGCACTCCATCCCAAGCGCAGGAAACGAAAGTCCCGGCAATTATCATTTGCAATGCGATTCTGATTGTCGCGTCGACATTGGGTATATTTGTGCGCATATTTGTTCGACTTCGATACATTCATTTTGGGTTGGACGATTGGTTCTGCGTGATCGGATGGGTACGTCCTCCTCTCTGGAATTATGGCCATTGATGACAGATGTTATCTATACTGAAGTTCTGACTGATTACATATAGGCTCTCACATTCGTAGAATGCCTTGTTTGTATATTGAGTATGTACCTTGCATTGGGGGGAAAAGCAGCCGATGAATTTGTTCGCGCAGTTGATACTAAATCTTCTACTAGTGACAAATTACGGATATGGCAGACACAGCGACACAATTCATGACTCTGAAAAACTGGTTATGTTTCTCAAAGTAAGTGTCCAGTTCCTTTGATCTCAATTGGAAGATGCTAAGCCTGGACTGCACTTCTATAGCTCGACTTTGTCACAGAAATTTCCTACGTTCTCGCTCTCGGGTGCATAAAGATTTCATTCTGCCTCTTCTACCTCAAAATATTCCCGGGAAAATGGTTTAGGATTATGTGCTGGTCAGTACTGGTCATTCTAGCTGGAGAGACTACCGCAGACTTCTTCGTGGTTATCTTCCAGTGTTCTCCGGTTTATAAAGCATGGGATGCCGCTGGCGTTGTGAAGGGAAAGTGTTTGCAGCTCCTTACCTTCTACTATATCGCATTTGGAATCCGATTGGGAACGGATGTCGCCCTTCTTGCGCTTCCTGTACCGAAGCTGCTCAAATTGAAAGTCACGGGCGGGAAACGAGCAGGTCTGATTGTGATGTTTGGACTGGGTGCATTGTGAGTGTCCGAATGCTAGTTTTACATAATCTCTTTCCACTAACTAACCCTTCCCCCAGAGTCACGGTGACTGGTATCATCCGAATCACCTATCTCAATAACTTCTCAATTGATCATACGTGTAGGTTTGGACACCTCTCCTTTCAAGGGCGACAAACTAACCAAGCAATCTAGGGTCACTCGTCGATACTCTCAACTGGTCATCCACCGAGCTTGGAGTGGGAGTTTTTATCGCCTGTGTCCCTTCCTTCAAAGCCCTAGTGACATTCCGCTTCCCCAAACTGCGCTCGATATTTGGCCTTTCAAGCGACCGTAGCTACGGCGGGCGCTATGAGATGTATGGAAACGGCACGGCCAGTCGACGGGCGACCCGCCCGGATGATCCTCGATCGTGGAAACGGTCCCACAATCACACAGGCATTGGCACGGGCAAGCTGGGTGGCACACAGACACAAACCGAGATTGAGGCAAGTCGCAATGGCTCCGAAGAGCGTATTATCTCCCACTCTCCCGAAGGGATTCAAGTTACGACGGATGTGATGGTAGATCGAGCAGAGCACCAGCAGCCGGGCGACTCAAATTGGCCTCTAGGACGGTGAAAAAGTAAACATGAAAAAGTGGCAGATTAACGAGTGGGGGCTAACAGTTGCATCAAGTGGGCCTTCTTGTCTCTGTGCCTTGTCCACTCCCAAGATCCATTCCATGTTCTTATTTTTCTTAATTTTTTCTCTTTGTTTGTTAAGGTTTTCTAGAAATTGAGATTTATAATGAGGTGATTGTACTACACATATTGTACCATGGTACTTCTATGGCGATCGTAGACGGGAATTTAGGCATTCTTATCTGGCCCCTCCTGCCGCTGTAGCATTACGTCCAGAGCTTGCAAAGCGCAGTGCTTTCGAAATATAGTAAGGAGAGAGAAATTGACATTCGTGTCTCCGAAGGATCTCTTGGTAGTGTCAAGGGGGCTTCTCGGCGCCAAGAAGCCTTGGTACTCTTGGTATAAAGTGATGTTTTATAGTGACAGTCGTGGGACAGGGGGACGCCTAAACCTGATCCTGGCCCTGCAGAAATCTGCAAAATTCCAAAACAAGGAGGCGAACCTGAACCGTAGATCTTTGTTTCTCACATGGATAATGGATGTTCATGAATCTGGTGTTCTTCACGGTGGACTATATTGTCATACTCACCATACAAAATTCTCCGTAAACATTTCTGTCCTTTCGAAGGAATACATGTGGGCCATACAGCTACTTACACTTTGCAAGCGCTAGACAGGGATGTATATGAAGGTACACACTATAGTGACACTAGGACTAGGATATCATTCCTCTTTCTGTACAGGTGGGTCCGCTGAGAGTTAAGCAAAAAGCCAACCGGCACTACCAATCGGGCTGGAATCCACACCTTCATGCGGGGGCTAAATCAGTATATTATCTTCCAACCACTCGGTGAATTAGAACACTCATTCCTTGAATCCATTCAAATTCTGGACTAATATTATAGTGACGAATCGAGCGCAGCTAGACCACATCGTAGCTGGCTTCGTTCCCCCCATCCGTGCTAGCTTCCTACCAACCACTTGCCGGCATAGAACCGGCGTTTTGCCGACTAGTGAGACGCATAGGGCCAAGAAATTCGGCCAGAGATTTGTCGGTGTTTCACCCTGATTTGGTAGCTCGTATGATTGTGTGTTTTAGGCGAACAATCTGGGAATTCCGAGGATTCCCTTAGATTGTGGCTCAGAGCAATAACCAGGAGCCTTGGGAAGAGGCCCAGACTTGTCTTTTCCTGCGTCGTATTACTACATTGTATGTCTGCCCCACGGTTTTTGCTCGGATCAATTCTTCTTTTCCTTTGAAGTATTGATCTTCTTCCTGAAATCCGGCACTCGAGTCCTTTGTCCACTATTCTTTCGTCCTTTTACTTTCATTCTTGATCGGCGCTGCCAACGAGATGGAGACACACGGAGATATCAAGTCTACTGCCGATGCTGAGTCTGCGTCTATTCGAGATACTCCGACAATGCCTACTACTGCACAGGCGATGGATCTAGATAACCTCCCAGATGGGTATTATCGGAGCAAAAACTTCATCGGCTCGCTGCTTGCAGTCTGCCTCATGGCAGATAGTTTGTACCTCGGCTACGTTCTGCCGGTCAACAGCTTGACCAAAATCAATTCTGATCTAGGCCCAAACCCGAATTACAGCATGATTTCAACTGTTTCCACTCTTCTCGCAGGTGTATGTTGTCACGGTAGCCCTGAAACCGAGCCCGAGAAATCGTAAACTAACCTCCCGGTATTAGGTTGGTATCCTTCCAGTTGGACGTCTAGGTGATATCTTCGGTCGCAGATATTTCCTGATCGGTGGTCAATTACTAGCTCTTATTGGGGCTATAGTTTGCTGCACGGCAAAGGATATTCCTACAGTGATCGGCGGCAGTGTGTTTATCGGTTTGGCTGCCTCTGTTCAACTGACCTTCACCTTTGTGATTGCCGAGTTGGTCCCCAACAAGTATCGCCCACTCGTGAATGCTGGAATTTTTGTTATTACCCTTCCATTTGGTGCATTTGGTGGATTGATCGCTCAGCTGTTGATCGCGAATACCGCTCAGGGGTGGCGATGGGACTATTACCTGAGCATAATCGTTTGTGGGCTGTCTCTCATACTCTTTGTTTTCTGCTATTTCCCTCCAGGCTGGGAGGTAAAGTCTCAGGGACGGAAAACTCGTTTGGATGGACTGAAGACATTCGATTATATTGGTTTCATCCTATATGCTGGGGGTCTCGTGCTGGTCTTGCTGGGCCTTTGTGAGTAGTTTTGCTTTCCCTTTCGTGGAGCCTGTCACCCACTCACTGAAAAATGCTGACAACCGGTTTAAGCCTGGGGAGGCAGCTCGTACGCGTGGAGCTCAGCCCACGTGGTTGGTGTCCTTGTCGTGGGGTTCGCCTCGCTGGTTATTTTCGTGATTTATGGTAAGCGACCCCGAGATCTCATGTTTGGAGATGTGATCTGGTTTGCTGATTTTTCCGTTTAGAAATTTTTGTTCCCTCGCAGCCATTGCTCCCAATGTCATTGCTCAAGAACCGTGGATACAGTGCGACCGTTTGTTCTGCGCTCGTCGGTAACATGGTCTACTTCTCCATGAGGTTGGTCCACTGAAGTATTGAATGAATGGCTATGTGTATATCTGACTCTTTCTAGTCTCCTCTGGCCAGAAGCCATCGCAGCTCTGTTCACGACTGATCCAATCCCCGCTGGCTGGATTTCGGTATGTTCTAACTTATCCAGTCTCCACCCAGGAACGTTCCTAACACTGATAAGATCTCTACCGGTACTGGTGTCATCGTTGGCGAGATTGTTGGCGGTGCACTCATGAAGTCATTGGGGCACAGCAAGATCCAGCTCATCGTATGCACGGTTTTTATCACGGCCTTTTCTGGAGCCTTAGCTTCTCTGAACCAGCACCGAGAGGCCTATGGCATCGCAGTATGACACTAAATTATCCCTTGTCATCAAGTCCTATACTGACACTTGATATACAGTTCACGGCAATTGGTGGTTTCGCTGTCGGCTATCTGGAACTCATCACGCTTATCATGTGCCCGTTGTATTGCAAGCCCAAAGATATTGGTCTAGCTAGCGGCTTCCTTGGCTCCGCTAAGCAAGTCATGGGAACGATTGCCAGTAAGTTGCCAACTTTCCATCTTTCGAGCTACTGCTCCCCCGAAAAAAAGTCTAATCAGTCCCCAGCTGCTATCTATATTTCAATCCTCGACAACCGTGTCGCGGCTACTTTGCCATCCGAGGTCTCCGAGGCCGCACTGAATGCCGGCCTTCCCAAGTCCTCTCTGGCGGCGGTTCTTGAATCCGTCTCCGAAAGCACTAGTATGACAAAGATCCCTGGAATTACCGAGAAAATCATTCTCGCCGTCACCGACGCTGTGAAAACTGCCTACTCGGAGTCATTTAGTACGGTCTTCCTCGTCAGCATTACGTTCGGCGGTCTCTCCATCATTGCTGCTCTGGCTTCTGTTTCGGTTGATGATAAGCTCGATAATGTCATCGCTGCTAAGCTTTCGGGCGCTGGTGCAAGCCAAGAGGAGGTTTACCACGAGGAGAAGAATTGATTTTGATGGTACTGATTTATTCGGAGTGGATTTCGACTGTTTTTATGTTTTCAATTGGAGAAGAATGCTTTTTTGGGTCAGCTTGATCCAGGGCTATTACAACTATAACTAATCTATCTTTCAAGTGGGCTTCTCTGCCGTTGCACCCAGTCACTTCAAGGCTCAATTAAATCTCGGTCCGCACCAATCGCGATTTTTGAGTAAGAAGTGCATTGAGTAGTATGGGTCTAATAACTCGTGTATAAAAAAGACGCCAGGTCTCATGTAGTAGTAGATATTAAGCTATGTTGCGAAAACGGCCTCAAATTGCAGATGTGATTTTTTCTTGCCCCAATCAAGAGATAGGTGTCAAGACCTGATTATTGGTCGAAGGATTTGGACCACACCACCCATACAAATCGCAGCGACACTGTTCCTCAGTCGCACAGCTAAGACGATAGTTAGCTTCAATTCTCAAGTAGCGCACAAGCCTTCAACATACTAGACAGCAGGCATTCCGAAAATGATATGCCACAGCTTTTCAATCAACCAACCAATACCATAGTTGTCCGTCATATCAGTCGTGGCAATCCACTCCAGTATGCGAATATAATCACTCTGAGGACGTTCCTGAATTCGTTCCCGTGTCACGGCAAATTGTGCGCAGCATTGATGCCCAATATCAGTTGGCACCTCGCTGGGGTCAATTCCAAGGAGATAACCCAGAACCTCGGGTAGCTGGTTGATCATGTATTGATAGTCGAAGTCAATGGCTACGGGGTGGGCTTGGAATATTGTGCTTGGGCAGCCGGGTCTGTTTGTGCATCGTAGATTGACGTAGCCGTTTATGCTGACGGCTTGATACCGGAGGTTTGCGAGTACGTTTGGCGTGTTTGGCCCCGCTACGTCGTTGTGCCATTGCTCTTCCCGACCGTGGATGAAAATTGTGTAGGGTGCAAGGTTATCGTAGTGGTCGATGATATAGCTCAGGTATGCACTTGCTTCGTGGCCCTTTCTGGAGTATGGGACGAGGAATTCGCTATCGGGTTGCGCATCTAACGAGTAGATGTAAGATGTGCATTTGCTGTTGAAATCTGTTAGCCGGAAATCCCCTGATTTTCAATGACGCTGAATATGAGGTAAGAGATTTACATACTAATCTTCGCAAAACTCTTCTATCCAGTCCGTTGATTCAGGTCCAGATCTTGCAGCCACAATACTGACGTCTTCTGCGTTTTCATGCGGTATGAAATAGCGCTGTAACGAGCCACTGGCCGTTCGATCCGACTGAGACGAGTCTTCGGCCGAGGCATCTCCATTCAGAGAGGAGAGTGAGATTTTGTAAGGGCTAGTGTTACCTGGTAGATGATCTTCTGTAAGCTTCGAACGAGAAGGAGATTATCGGTGTCAGGTTTTACCATCTGATGTTATATCATTCTCTTGTGCATCCTCCTGTTGAAGACCAGCAGTTTTCGACCGCCATAGCGTCTGATCTGTTACAGTCGCAAGATTGTGCATGCGATAACGGACCACCAGAATAGCAGCGGGTACCATTAACAGGAAAAGAATCCTCTTAAAGCCGGTAGTAGGTTTTAGGAACATCGAGAACCCGAAGGATCTCGATGAGCTTGGTCTGTACATGATCGAAGGCAAGGGCATGCCAAGCCGTCAGTTAATGATCGCCAAACATTAAGCGGGAATATCCGTATTAAATTGCATCTGAAAGGCCAACGAGCACATGTTTCCTGACATGCTTCGGAGATACCAGGCAAGCTCGCGATGAGTCTATACGTTTTTGGGTGTTCCGTGGCGGAATTATCGTTCTGAGCTGCGTTCTGTGTTGCCATTCCCTGCCGAACGGACGTTTCTGGCCATGATCAGGGACGGAAACGGACAATGTTGCAGATCAAAGTGCCCAGACCACGATCGGTTATTTTTGCCCTTGAAGATTGGAATGATTCGATTGGATGTAAATTCAAGGAGTAAACATTCTCTAGCTTTCTTTGGCATTGTCCGGGGTGCATATGATCAGCCCTATGGTCTATGTCTTTCGGTAGCTCCATACTGTCCGCGGGCGCTATCTAGGTCACATCCGCTCCTCGGCCTTTTCCACAAGCAGGTAAATTCCATATATCCTTATCTCTCATTCAAGTTTTCTGGAATTATTCGCTCATCGCCCGAGTAATGTCGTGCTTGTCATCGGTCTGGCCAACCTTGTCTTTTGCCGTTTTCGGCCCGAAGCTGTGAAGCATCTCGGTCGGGACAACCGAAATTCGGCATCTTCGTTAACCCGAGGCACTTAGACAATCATGCTCTCGACTCTTTAGTTTTGAATTCGGAATTTAATGAGAGCTGAATTTTAGATTAGAATAATCGGATTTGAATCATATCCTAGAAAAGAAGTACTGCCGACCTCGCTGCCTCCAGGGTTGGAGACCTATGTCGAGAAAAAGAATATTGAATCTACAATCTGTAGCTATGAAAATCTACATAAAACAAGTTAAAAGAAGTCTTTCAAGTATGAGCGACTGGCACGGTTATATTTTGTCGACTCATAAAATTCACGAAATGCACGCTTGTGGCTCGAGTACATGGGCAACACTATAAATTCCTTCGTCCGTCATAGAGCATATTGACCTCGTCGCTGTCAAGTATGACAAAAATATTATTAGACCCTCCTTACCAAGAGGCGACTCAATTTCAAAAACACCAATATCCAGAGAAGATTCCACGCTCCCTGCCTGCTTTATCAGTCAAAACCTCCCTTCCAAACAAGGATCAATCAAACACCACTTACCCCTTCAATCAGAAATCTCAGCGGCAACCACCTTCCACGACCGAATATACGGGATATCCGCATCAGGATTCGTGCAAGTATTATTCGCAAGAACCTTACTCGGCCCAGAACAATGCTCGTAAAGGAATGCGCGAACCTCAGTCTCCTCCTCCCCGAACGCCGAAGCATACGAGTAGGCTTTTTGGTCTTCGTCCAGACTGATGCAGATCTCATTTCCCATTCCTTCGGTCGTAAGGAGTAGTTCGCCGTTTTGCGGCGCGTCGCCGCAGCTAAGGCCGTCCCATGCGTCGAAGTACCACCAGTCTGACGAGGCGGATGCGAGGAGTGCGAAGAGGGGTGCGAGGAAGAAATGCATAGTTGAAATTGCGAGGACTACCCTGATCAGATACTGGGGATCGTGATAGCTGGAAGTGTGCCTTATATGTCATGGAGACCGCTTTGGGATGACTTCCGCTTTAGGAAATGGAACACTTTCCAGATGCAATCCCTTGTTGGTGGGGGAGTGCTGATATCATTGGGGGCATGTAGTATAGGTCAAAGGACCGATAAGGTATTTATCCCCAGGTGTTTTATTGTCGCCATCGTCAAAAGTACGCCGGGTGTTTGTTCCTTTCGATCGCATGTAACTTTGAACTAGCGACAGGAACAGGGCATAGAAAGATGACAACCATGGTCTTTCGAGAGACCCTCTTATCTGATCTATTATTTCCAGTAACATACAGGCCAAGAATCAGTTTGGATTTGGGCTGCCCCTGTTAATCAGTAAACATATGATTCTCTTCGAGCATGAACTTGGATTTGGACAGAGATCATCCTAAGTGCATGCGTAATACGCCCTCCAAGATAATCGTCTCATCACTGAGATCTCTCAAGACAATTCAATTCATAGGGTCCCTTCCATCGTTCTATCAAGTCATTTCGACGAGTACATAGCTTTTAGGAATCTGATGAAGATGCGATTGATCGTCAACATGCTTACATAACCTAAATAGTCTCACGCTGATCCGGCGCCGATTCCCGAGTCAGGTGACGTTCTGAGATTTACACTGGCGAATCAGGCGGTAAACAAGCAGTCACTAGTCGGCCCAAAAGGGAAAAGTCAAGACACTAAAAAAGGTGACGGCGTACGTATGCAATGATGCGGTCATGCACGCCACATTGGACATAGTGGCTGCAAGTCAAGAGGGGTTTGAGAATCTGAAACACATAGCATATGCAATATGGAGTATCTAGGAAGCATACGAGAACCGAATTGAAGAGTTGATGTTTTCATTCTTGGAAACCAGTGGCAGGTCCAATTGTATGGTATGGTATGGTATATGAGACGCAAAAAATGGACATTTCATGAAAAAAGAAATCCACAAGATCAAGGACCAGCCTGATAGTCTATATCCCACAGAAAGTGAGGGTAACCGATAAAAGGACGAGTACCAACTGGGTATACACCACGACCTGAAACACCGGCGTAGAAGCCCCAAAAAGCAAGCATGATTCTATAATTTTTCGTTATACTTGCTTGGCGCGCCACACAAGTATTCACTCCACTCCGCTCACGATGATCGTTTAAGAATAGTCGATGGTGACGGCCAGACGGACAGGGCCGGAAGAGAGGTTACCACCGATACCACCGACGTCAGTCTCGGCCTTGGTGTAGGCGTTGCTAACGGTACCAGCACCGGAAGTGATGGAAGAGCAGGTAGAGCCGAGAGCATCGCAGATCTTCATACCCTGGACGGTGAGGCTGGCACTCTGGGCAGCAATAGCAGAGACATCGAAGCCAGACCAGCCACTGTTGACGGTGGAGCCGAAATCGAACTCACCCCAGGTGGAGGCGTAGCCACCGTTGGAGTCGGTGGGGATAGTAGAGCCGGAAGCAGCGGCGAAACCACCGTTGGTGTCCTCGTCAAAGGCGATGTACTTGGTGGCACCGGCGGCGAGAGTGAAGGTCTTGCAGGCGTTGCCGTACCAGCCGTCCATCTTACCGTCGGAACCGTACTTGTTCCAGATGGCAACGGTCCAGTCGTCGGTGTTGGAGCCCTGGAATTGCATCACGTACTTGTACGAGCTGGCGTTGGAGGCGGAAACTTCAATGATGTTGCTGCCGTAGGGGTTGCCAACGTTGCCGGTGTAGGTGTCGCCGCTGCCGCTGCTGCTGGTCTGGCCACCGAAGCCGGAGGTCGAGTAAGTGCCGCTGGAAGGAGTGTTGGTCCAAGCACCGCCGGAGGAGGTGGAAGAGGACGAAGCAGCGCTGGTGGTGGTGGCAGTTGCAACCTGGCGGCGCTCATGGCCTTCGGGACGAGCGATGGCGCTGGTAGTGAGGGCTGCCAGCAGCAGGAGAGGCTTGGCGAACTGCATAGTTGCGAGGGTTTTTATAAAAAAAAAATGAAGGATTTGTGGTCACGTCAAGTGATCAGAGAGAAAAGAATGTCCTGGACAAGTCGTAATGAACGGACTTGTAGAAAGGAATGACAGAAGTTATCGAAACTTCCTGAAAAAAAGAAGGAATGGTATGAAGAGAATGAAAGTGGTGTGGATAAGAAAGAGAGAAGATTATTGCAACCAGCGAGAAGAGCCATTATATACCTTCTTTCTAGTCCATTCATTCTGCAAGCGACAGAATCTGATGGGCCCCGCGCCACGTCTTTTCCTCGCCTCCAGCCCAGATGACCAGTCGCAGACCGGCGTGCCTGGTACCTGAACGGGGCTATCCATGGGCTGGTACACCGGGGCTACTGCACGTACGTCAAGGGCTGGAGTGGTTTGCGAATGGGAAGCGATGGAGGTGCGTAGACATTTGGGATTCCAGAAGGGCCGACTCCGTGGGTTGACGTGTGGCCAGTTGGGCCCAGTGGGTTACGGTGGCTTGTGGGCTTGGTCTCGATTGGCGCTAGCATCGGAGAAGAAGTCTGGCCCATTTTCTCTGGAGGAGTTTGTTTTTTACAGCGTCCGGAAGGTAAATATCTCATTGGTTGGGGATATTTCAGGCGTGAAAGGCGTTAAGGAGGGAGGAAATGTGGTTGTCGTGATTCGTGGAGCCCTAATTTTTGGCTGTCGGGGGGAACCACCGGCTGGCCAACGTTCGGGGATCTTTCTTCCACAACCTTGAGACTTCGAGGCTTTGTGTCTGGATCAATGGTAAAGAAGGACACAAGGAATGGATTATCCGGAATTCCTTGGTTCAGTAACAAAAGACCTTTCTTTGAAAAAGGGGCTTAACACTGGCACTACATTTGACAATGGGACTGAATTAAGTTGGACAAAATCGTCACTAGGCTTTTATAAAACTAACTATGTGTCTAGCGGCACTTGAAACTCGGCCAAGCCCCGTGTACACATACTACGACACCGGATAATCGCAGTGGACACTATCGTTAAACTCTACAGCGTCGTGGCTTCCTCTCCTCCGGCGAGGCATCTTAGCGTCAAACAGTGGGCCACCGTTTGCTCGGCAGTGTAGTTCGGTGGGCGATCAGACAGCCTTAACTACGCGCTAGCGGATTCTTACGAACTGGACTGGATTCTAGACCTTCCGGCGGGGTCGTCGGAGGCAATTGATCAGTGCAGATTCTCGTTTGACCGCGTATTTGCAATTCCTCCCACCATTCTTTGATCTGTGTGACTCTATGAATATATGGATTGCATTGAATATTCACACCCCTCTTCTCGGTTCAGGGGTAGTTGACTATTCAGGTGGTTACGTGGTTTTTTCCCGACTATCGAATTTGCAGCGCCATGGACAGTCATAATGTGGTCCAGGGCAAGAAACAAAGCATTACAATTGGATGATAATCCCCGTAAAGTGGATGAGGACTGTAATATAAACCAATGATAATGCTTGATTATGTCTTGGCAGGGCAAAGCATGGCCTCGAGCCAATCACTACCCGTTGCGGATCATCAACTCTGGTGAGCGAGAAGAGATTTCCATGGGACGAAATCAACACAACCTGACTTTTGTGTGTTCTCATTGTTAGAATGGAACGAGTCTTTCATGTGTTACTTCTATTAACGCCCATAAGTTTCCGGGTAATCGTAAGGACTACAGTTGTAGAGTGGTGGAAAATGGCCTTTTGCCATCCATCATAGATCTCAGCAGACTGGCAATAGAGTGGTATAAGGCTGTAAATACCTAGTCTTCAATGCAAGGGTATTCTATTATCCTTGGTTTATGCGAAAAGACTACCCACCGATCTCTTGCCGCTCTAGACTGATCTAGACAGTAGGATTGCAATGAAAGGTTATGACTACCCGATCAGGAAGCTTAGCCGCGCGAAGAAAAAAGAACCCTGGACGAGTCACACTTCCATTTGCACACCTTTGAGCCCTAGAGTAGGCCATTGTGATAATATTACATTCCAAATATCCTTCTAACGGCTTTGATCGACTGTTGTGGGCCTATTTCTTACGCCATTCAAACTTTTGCGTACTCCGCTTCTTGTTCCACTGAGGGGGTTTGTCAATAAGGTCTGGGCTCAGTGGAAGTCTCAGCCGGTGAGGATTGCAAGGAAGATCTGAGGATCTGGATTAATACGAAGGAAAAAGGACACCCGGGCAGAATCTGCGGTGATGCTTTTGTAGTAGGAGGTGTTGATGTCATAGCATGTGTTTTGCCGAGACAGTCGAAGTTTAAACGATACCACCATAAGATAGGTCTATGACGAGGCATTGTTATTTTTATCATTTCTATGAATAACTAAAGAACAGCGAGAATATTTTCTTTGCGCGATTGAAAGTTTGGTCTTTGTTCGGGGTGAGTCTAGAAGCAGTCTGTGAGGTCATTGTTAGTTACATCCGTTTTGAACCGATTCGGCGACACAAGATAAAAGAAAACCGCCAAGTATTTTCATTATGGGAAGTAAGACACGAGAGGGACTTGAACAAAACAGGAAACTGAATCCTGTATCGAGAATGTAAGTCGAGTTCAAGTGACCCTTTAAGAGGACCCGAATGTGGTGGACAAGGTCAGAGCATGGAGTTTCCAGAGACGAGGTAGTAGCATTGCTGACTCTGGAGGTACCTAAACCCCCGGAAATTTCCGAGGGCTTGGGCTTTGGCTAGATTTGTGTGATCATCAGTCAAAGCAGAAGAACCGTTTGCAACGTCCCTGATCAGCTCGCTTCAGAGGAAAATATTATGCGTAGGAATAAATTAAGTTCGAATCCATTATGAAAATATGGGCTTCCCAGAGCCCTACATGAGACGTGATCACATAAGTCATATCATACCGCAAACCACAATAGTATCCTCCTAAGACACACAGTCATAAACCACCAAATCATAATATACCAACCGCTCAATATACCGTCGAGACATTCTGCCCCCAGGGCAGAGACATATTTGCAAAGAGAAACTTTGGATGTGTCGTATCATTCTTGACCTTCAAAGCTGTCGAACTTTAGAGGCGATACTGCTTCTTGATCATATCGGCTGCCTTCTCGGCCACAGCGTAGAGTGTACTTGTCAGATGCCCACATAGTTGGAATGGCAAAACGGAGGCATCGATAACGCGGACATTTTTGGTGCCGTAAACTTTGAGCTCGGGGCTGACAACACCTCCCATGTTGCGTGGGAGCATGCTGGCAGTTCCAACTGGGTGGAAGTTTGATCGATCTGAGTTGCTGTCAGTCAGCTTTCTAACGCTTCTGGGCCATTGCGATATATACATACAGTTTGACTTGACCCAGTCATCCCATTGAGAGTCGGATGCACTGTCGGGTAGATTCTCCATCCCTGGAGTATACTCATCTCCCACAAAGTCACTCAAAGGAGCCGTCATGAATGCTTTACGAATAAAACGGGCAACGTCGACCTGAGCGTCGAGGTCCTGTTTGAACATGAAGTAATTCGGGTTGATGGAGGCCGGCATCGATGCGTTGGCGGATTTGATATGGACACTGCCTCTCGAGAACGGAAGCAGCGGCCAGTATTCAGAAGAAAACGAATCGGCGATCGGAAGGAGAACGATTTCGGCGAACGGAACTTGAGATTCGAAGATCAAATCATACTGAAGCTTGAAAGCGGCCAGGATATTGGCTTCTTGAACTGCACCCTTGGATGAGTTAGACACAACCTTTGCATACTCAGCCATGCTTGAATTGACATAGGAAGCGACGTTGGAGACGTTGTTTCCATATATCTGATTAGCTGACGGTAACACGGAAAATGTCGGAGAGCCGAGCCAAAATTCTGTCCCCTGATAGGAAAGGCCGTTGTTCGTCTGATCCTGCAAGTTCTCACCAACGGTGGAGATGTTAACCTTGATTGGGATGTTATACTTACGGAGAATATCCGGGTTGCCAACACCGGATAACTCCAGGAGAACGGGCGATTTCAAAGAACCAGCTGACAGGATGACTTCCTTGGAGGCGTATATCGTCTCGACCCCATGAGCGGTCGTAACCTCGACTCCAACTGCAGTTGCCTCGCTGTGAGAATTGCTGGACCATATGATCTTATTCGCAGACGTGTTTGTGATAATCTTGAGATTAGAACGGTTCTGGTAAGGCCAGTAGTAAGCTCTAGCAGCGTCTTCGCGGACATTTTCCTCTGAATTGACTGTGTTAGGGTGAGAAGTCAGGCCGACCATACTACCACCGTTGACGTCGCGATTAAAAGTGACACCTAGTTGGTTAAAAGTTTGATCAAGCGCGGGGAGCATGGTGCGGTTGGTGATCTCCGTGGGCCAGCCCACTTTCAGAGGGCCGTTCATCCCGTGATAGGTGATATAGTAGTCGGCACCTCGAGATATCTGGTTCAGAATTGGTATCTGGAACATTTCGGATTTTTGATAGTACGGGAAGAGGCTGTCCCAGTTCCATCCTTTGTTTCCGAAAAGTTCCCAAGCATCGACTTGGACGCTTTGAGCTCGGGTATAAGACATTCCTGAGGAGTAAGAGTCAGAACGAGTTGTAACCTAGAAGCAGGGGACGGGTTTACCGTTGATAGTACTTGTTCCGCCGATAGCCTTCCCGGCGCGCATTATTTGTTTCGATCCACCGGCATATTCTTGATCTTCTGTCTGATAGGCCCAATCAATATGGGTTCCGAAAGCGCGGCCGTAGCCGAAAACATTGGTGACATTGGGATTGTTGAAGACTGAATCCCCGGCTTCGATGACGGCGACTGTGATTGCTTTGTTTTCGGAGAGTCTGTTGGCAATAACTAATCCACTCGTTCCTCCACCCACGATGACAAAGTCATATTTTGGTCCTGAATCACTCTGGCTGTTTGCTGGCACTGTACCTAACAAGTAGGTCAGAGAAGCAATTGCGACGATGTGTGTTTTCATTGAGAGTAAGGGGGGCTTGTGAAGGAGATAAAAGCGCGAATTGTTTTGGAAAGGATGAGACTTGTTTGTATAAGGCTGCCTAGGGGAAAAAACCTCTATATGTGTGTTTTGGTTCGTTGCTCTCAGGTCCCGTCGGGCCCCCCGGCCAACGTTGGAATGCTCGCAACGACCTTTTTAGGAATGTTCGTCGACGCATGGGTGATGATAAGCGACTGGAGTTGAAGAGACCCACATGATGATCATCAGCATAGATTGATAATCTGTCAGTAACATCGCAACGGATAAGCACCAAATTATAAATTTCCTGCCTCCATATGGGCCTTGTACTCCCGAGAGTTTAGGGGGTAGGATCCCGATATTGTGGATGTTGACGTCAAACAACGTAAATAGATAACTATCGCCGTTGAAAAGACTACGCAAACGGAGCCTGGTCTTTTTTTACTTTTTTCTACCCTCCAGGTAGTTTTTGGTCCTGGACCTTGCCATTATTAGAGCATCAAGCCATCCAACAGATACTGCACCACCTTCATCCCATATAGTCACGTGACTATAATGCGTCCAATGCTCCCTGCGACATGGTGGAAAGAGTTATTGCAATTACACGATCTTCATGAATATTCTTATGTTTTCATTTAATGAGAATTTGAGAAAGGTCTTATACGGTATAATAAGCTGAAATCTCCATTTGTGTCATCCCCTACACTCCCGGTGTGTATAATCTACATCTCAAAGTATATATCCCTGAAAATACTTCTCAGATCCACCTTGAAAATCTGAAAATCGACCAAGGTTTTATCCAATCAACCTTATTTAAAGCTTTATCCGAATCTCAACAATCCATTAAGAATAGCAGTTTAGAACATGGATATGCGTGAACATAGGCGATGACATGGCAAAAGGCGGTGAGCACATGTTAGAGCAAGGCTGTCTAGTCACATGATAACAACATCAATTCTCTCGAATACCTCTCTCAACGTCGATTCGCAGAGTTTAAAAAAGCTATCATGAGGATAATATCAAAGTCGAAGCAACTGAAAGGCGGTGATTTGATCCGCACGTGGATAACCCAAGCCGCTGGTAGCTATCGGGGAAGCGGCCCCGCAAATGTCAGCCTCGAAGCCACAACAGAGCAGGCATGACATAGCCACGCTCGAATCCAGCACTAGCGAGTGACTACATACTCGAAGGGGCTGAGTGAATAGAAGTTTGAGACGGGATGGCACAGACGCACTACTTGCACAGCTGATTGCTGTTTGCGCCGCTCTCCTCAAATGCATCACCTTTGCCCGACAGGACCCCAACCAATAGTGCGACACGACTATCGAGGGCAGATCTCCACCCGGGTTGGTGGCGCTTGAATGCTGCTAGAGGACCCCGAGCAAGTGGTCAAACAGACGTCTTTTTGGCCCCCATTTGAGGCCCAATCTCCAGATTCTGCGCGCTGATATAATCATTCCTGATTGGCAGCCCCCGAAGGGAACTGGATGGCAACCCTCCAGCCGCTTCCAAACTTCCTCTGGAAATCACCCACAAGCCCTCTGGCTTCAGTCTTCTTAGCTACTTTCATTCTTTTGCCTCTCGCCGACTGAATGACATCCATCATCTGCATGCCTCTGCGACTAGCACTTAGTGCCTGACGGTTTAACAACTCGGCGCTTCGGATGTTTATCAGCTGAGCTTAGGCCCGTTCTTAATCAAGTGCACAACAACACTACTAAAATGGATGGAAGAGATCACACAGACGAGGATGGCACGGAATCAGATCCATATCGGCCGCCGAAGAGGCAGAAGACATTTCACCATGATGCCTCGGCTACTCTGGGGCGTGGCTTATATACTGTCGCCTGGATTTGTGCGCTTCATATTGAGATGGCGGCAGCTCTAGCCATGCTGGACGAAGTCCACGACCCTTTGCATACATACCCAGATGATAGCAACACTTATAAACTGGGGCGCATCAAACAGCACAATGTCGTCATTGCATGTTTACCCGCTCATCAATACGGAACGAATAATGCGGCGAACGTCGTGACCAACCTCAAACGAACTTTCCCATCAATACGTGCCGGGTTGATGGTCGGAATCGGCGGAGGTGTCCCGAGTAAGGCCGATATCCGCTTGGGTGATGTTGTTGTTGGGACCCGAGTTATGCAGTACGATCTCGGAAAACTCCTCGGGGATGGACGAATGCAAAGGACAGCGATACCAAAAGTCCCCCATCAGCTCCTTGGCACAGCTGTATCGGCCCTCCGATCAAAACATGAACTGGAGCCTAGCCAGATTCCGTCCATTTTGAAACAAAAACTAGGGGCATATCATGGCTACGGTCGCCCAAGCTCACCAGATCGCCTCTTTTGCGTGGAATATGACCATGAAAATTCTAATTCCACCTGCGACGATTGTGACCAGTCTAAATTGATCTCTCGCTGTAAGCGGGGTTCAGGCGATATCATGATTCACTACGGCGCGATCGCTTCAGGTAATCAAGTGGTCAAGGACGGCAGGACCCGGGATAGCATTTCTCGACAGTTAGACGTTGTTTGTTTCGAGATGGAAGCGGCTGGCTTGATGGATACCATATCATGCCTGGTCATTCGAGGGATATGTGATTATGCAGACACTCACAAGAGCAAGGAATGGCAGAGGTATGCGGCAGCAACTGCGGCCGCATATGCAAGAGAGTTACTCGAAGAACTTCCAGTGACTGAAGGATATGCAAAAGCTCCTTTTTTGCCTGACCCCCGTAAGTTGCCTTAGTCCCGATTGTTCCTTCACTAAGAAACTTACTCATTTCTCACTGGTAGAGGAAAACCGAGTCCATGAGCGTCGACAGCGGTTGCTGGAATCATTACGATTCGAACAGATTGACTCTCGCAAGTTGACTATCAAGACCGCCCATGCTAAGACATGCAAATGGTTTCTAAGCCATCCCGACTATAAGACCTGGCTTGACCCGTCAATGTTATCGCAGCATCACGGTTTTCTGTGGATCAGTGGTAAGCCTGGTGCCGGAAAGTCAACGATCATGAAGTTTGCCTACACGAATACGAAGAACAAAGCTCGCCGTCAAGGCTCCGTTGTGGCGTCGTTTTTCTTCAACGCTCGAGGCGAATACCTGGAAAAGTCAGTTTTTGGCATGTATCGATCACTACTTCTGCAATTACTTGAGGGATATCCTATTCTTCAATCTGTGTTGGATGAGTCCGATCTCATCCATGACCAGAATGGCTGTCCTTCTTTGAATGTTCTCAAGGATGTATTCTGTGATGCTGTTCTAGCTCTCGGTACAAAGTCATTCACCTGCTTTGTTGATGCTCTCGATGAGTGCGATGAGCAACAAGTTGTGGAAATGGTTCAGTATTTCGAAGACCTCGCCGAGCAATCCGCATCTCGTGGCGTACCATTCTGAGTCTGCTTTTCTAGCCGCCATTATCCTTACATCGTCATAAAACAAGGAATCAGACTTACGCTCGAGGACCAGGCAGGCCATTCTGAAGACCTAGAAGCATACGTCTCAAGCCACCTCCAAATTGAAGACCCCGCTATTATTGACGAGCTGCAGCCCCAACTCCTTGGCAAGGCTGCTGGCGTATTCATGTGGGTTGTTCTTGTCGTCGATATTCTAAATAAAGAGCACCGACGGGGTGGTCTGAGCCTTCGACGGAGACTCGCAGAAATTCCGAGCGATTTGAGTGAACTGTTCAAGGACATATTGAGGCGCGACAACGAGAATGTGGAGGATTTGCTGCTTTGCGTCCTGTGGATTCTCTACGCAAAACGACCGCTGCAGCCAAAGGAATTCTATCATGCTTTGTGGTCCGGACTGTCACTCAAAGGCCTCGTGGATGACCGACCTCCTACATCCGAGGATCCGGACTCAAAAGACAGCTTGAATAGATTCAACAGATGCGTTATCAGCTCGTCAAAAGGTCTTGCCGAAATCACGACGAAATCGAAGAAGCCAATCGTGCAGTTCATTCATGAGTCGGTCCGGGACTTTCTGATCAAAGACAAGGGTCTCCAGCAAATGTGGCCGGAACTAGGTCTTGACCCGGAGGGCCCAAGCCATGAAATGCTAAAACAATGCTGCAACCTATATACGAACCATGTCTCTCCGCCAATAGTCGCAAAACTCCAAGATGAAGAAGACATCAACAGGGAGCATGAGGTCCGGAGACCATACCCGTTTCTGGAGTATGCCTGCCAACATATCTTCTACCACTCGGACGCAGCCGCCAGCTCTGTTCCTCAAGACGAATTCCTTGATACTTTTCAAACTTACGATTGGATTCTGATCAACAATCTTCTCGAAAAGCTCATGTCTCAGACATACAGGTCAAGTGCGAGTGATGCAAGTCTGGACTATATTCTCGCAGACATAGGGTGCCCCAACCTTATTCGCGCGAGACTGAAGCATAACCCTGATGTCCATCGCCGTTCCCCAGCTGAGAGATACAAATACCCACTTTTTGCCGCGTTGGCCGCCGGTAACAAGGAGACTGTCGCCGCTCTTCTGAATACTCCCTCCCACATCTATAATGGAGAAGATCTCACGGAAGGCCTCAATAACAGAAAAGATATGAAAGCCTATGGGCGCCTGACACCTTTGACTTGGGCGGCGCAGGAAGGACGGAAGAGCATTGTTGAACTGCTTCTTCTCCAAGACGTTGACATAAATGAGGAAGATTGGAAGATGTTCACTCCTCTTGTTCGGGCTATAACCCACTGCCATGAAGAAATTGCTACCCTCCTCATTACCAGCGGAGCGGATGTGAACATCTGTGGGCCGCTGCACGCTGCGTGCTGGGGAGGACTGGATAGTCTTGTGGGCCTTTTGCTCGACGAAGGAGCAGAGATCGACCAAGGTTATTCAAGCTCAAGCACGCCGCTTATTAGAGCCAGTGAAGGTGGTCATCTCAGGACTGTGATGCTCTTGATTGAGAGAGGAGCAACATTGAACTTTCAAGACGAACATGGTGTTGCACTACTTTTGGGTGCATCTACTTCCAATTGCTTGAAGTTAGCGCAGTTTCTTATCAAAAATGGGGTAAATGTGAACGCTAAAGATGAATATGGAATCTCGGCTCTTTCGAGGGCATCGCAGTCGGGAAGTGAGGCAGTACTTCAGCTTCTTGCTGACAGTGGAGCTGATGTTCATGCGAGAAGCGACAAAGGATCTACACCCCTTTTCCGGTCTGCAAATGCAAGGATAGCCAATATCCTTATCACAAGAGGGCTAGAAGTCAACATGAAAGACGAGGGTGGAGACACGCCCCTCATAGATGCTGTTCGGCGTTCAAACGATGTGTTGAAGCATCCACGCCGCAAAAGAAGAACCGAGGCCAGCTCTACAAGTGAAGGTTCAAATTTCTCTGCCCGGACAATTATTGCCAACGAGTACGACGGAGTAGTAAAAACCCTTATTGAACACGGAGCCGACGTTAATGTTCAGAATCGAAACGGGCAGAAACCGCTCATGATGTCTCTGCTCTATAGGAACACAAGTTTGGCGAAGCTTCTTATCGAGCAAGGGGCGGACGTCAATATTGAGACCAATGGCGGAGAAACACCCCTTCTGATAGGTATAAGGGGCATGGAGGAAGAGATCGTGAGACTTCTTATTGAGCGAGGAGCTGAAGTCAACGCAAGAGATGATGGTGGAAACACGCCTTTGCTTATGGCTGTGCACTGGAATCGCGAGGTCATTATGCGACTTCTCATTGAGCGAGGAGCTGACGTCAACGTAAGAGATGCTTGGGGAAGCACGCCTTTGTCTATAGCCGCGAAAAGAGCAGATGGCGATGCCATTGTGCAGCTTCTTATTGAGCGAGGAGCTGACGTCAACGCAAGAGATGATGATGGAAACACGCCTTTGTCAGAGGCCATGAAAAACGCAAATGGAGAGGCCATCGTGCAACTTCTCATTGAAAATGGAGCTGTGGACAGCGAGTTGTCTGAGTGAGATACGCTCTGAAATCATGTAGCATCATCGTGTCTTGCGACTAGATATCGATGTGACAACATGTTGCATGCTGCCGTACCGTTTTCTTCCTCGGCTTGGAGATATTGAGAGTGTCCAAGGAAGAGTTGATACTATTTGATCATCAATTTGGCGATTGTGTAGTCTCAAGACTGGGGAGTATTGGGTCTGGCCATTCCGGGTCTAAGACGATGTCGTTTAATGGAGCAGTCATGTAAGAAGTACTTTGAAACTTAGAATCGTGCTATGCGGTGGATCAATTAGAACGAATTAGTCCAGAAGAGGTTCATTTGCACAAGCTCTGTTGATGGAGGACTTCCATTGGATACTTTGATGGGCTCGAACTAGATCTTGATATCGGATGCTGTATGGGGCAATGTCATTTTATGTGCCCAAAAGTATTTTCTGTAATGACCAGAAGTCTTTCAAAATGCTCTGATATGTCAATTCAATTCGAGTAATATGCCTGCCAGAGATGAATTGATATCAAGTTACTTTTGATATTGGCACAGTATGAACCTGCCCCAATGTCATCTACACTGGTCCATGGTCTCTATTCCCTGGTTACAGGGTTGCCATGGCGTTGATGTTTGCTCTTCCGTTTAGGAGGGTGAGGTCCTATCGTGCCTTCCTCAAGTGTGTGTTGACATGTCATTGTGGTGGTTGTCATGAGGGTTTGTTGTTCCTTCCTCACGATGATTGCCCCCGTTGCCATGGCCATGACTCCCAGACTCCCAGACACCCCAGGGCTCCCCTTTTTCTTCCTTCTCCTCCCTCCTCCTCCTCTTCTTCTCTCCCCTCCTCCTCACACCTCGGTGATCTCCTCGTTGGCCCACAAAGCTTTCTTGGTTCCCCCTCTGCCTTGGTGTTCTGCTCGTCCTCTTCCAGAGGCTTTCCCCCCTTTTTTATTCTCCTTTTCTCCAGACCCCGACATTCCGATGGCCTTCCCAGGTATCTGTTCTCCTCGATCTGCCCGCCTCCTTCTTACTGGGAGTGTGGATTTGCCCGAATTCGCCTTGAAGACGGTAGCTGATACTCGACCCTTGGCGAAGGAGCCGCCTATCTACTTCCCCGGTTTGAAGCCACTCGTTCGTCCCTGGCGTCTTCCTCCTTGGCTTCGACCTCATGTCGATGACTTGGTCAAGAAGAAGTCGGGTTTGTTTTTTTCCTCGGCCGTGTCTCGTCCCCTTCGTGTTGCCCGTCTTCCTGTTTTGCCCCCGCCTGTCCCCATCCTCAAGCGTGCTGAGGGTCCTGCGAAGCTGAGACGTCAGGTCTCCTTTGGAGATACCGTCGTCCATGAAGTTGAGCGGTTCCCTTGGCGTGTCTTCCCTCCGCCTCGCTTTGCGGTGTTTGAACCCAAGCGACGGTTGCCCCTTCCTGTTCCCTCTCATCCGGCTACTCAGGAATTGCCGCGTCGTGCTTTGCACCTCGAGGTCACTGTTCGCGGGCCTACTTTTGGTCAGTGGATGACTGGACTCGCTGTTGGCGTTGCTGCCATGACCGTCCTCTCGTGGTTGCGTTGATTGGGGGTTTTTATGTATTTAGATACTTGCTTCTGTTTTCTTGGTGCTCTTTTCTCGGTGCTGTTTTCTCGGTGCTCTTTTCTCGGTGCTCTTTTCTCGGTGCTCTTTTCTCGGTGCTCTTTTCTTGTTCTACTTCTTCCTGTGGGACCGGCCTTTTTTCTTTTGTCTTTTTCCTCTCCTCTTTTCTTCTTCTGATCCAGGGAATCTTCGGAGACCCGCCCGGTTACGCTAATCGGACCACAGATACGACTTCGCCGAACGACCCCCAAACGACGCCGCCGAACCGTCAGAGTTGCAGAGGTTTTGCCCACCGGAGGCTATTAGGGGAGGATGGTGGCGGGCTCTTGCCCAGGACAAAGATATGTTGCCTCCATGATACTCTGATGCGATCTCTACTGACATTCCTCTTAGGTTTACAGAGGTTTCTGGGTCCCGATTGCAGACACATGGCCGCTGGAGGCAGACCGGGGAGGATGGTGGCGGGCTCTTGCCCAAAAACAAGATATGTTTTGCCCATAACATCTTGATGCGACTTTTACTGACATTTTCTCAGTTCAAAAGATTCCACTGGGACCCCATTTCGGGATGGAATGGATGCCAAGGGCAGATTGGGGAGGATCGTGGTGGGCTCTCGCCCAAGAGAAGATATGTTTTCTTGGCGGCATCCAACTCATCTGACCTTTTGCTGACCACTTTGACATCTCGATCAACTCGAGCGCCCTTGGGATGATCAGGCTCTGTCTTGAAAGTTGAATCCTGAAGATTGTCTTTTCTCCCCATGGTTTCCATGTCACAGCTCAAAGGTTTCACGGACCTCTTGGTGTGCCGGAAGACATGCCCTCGAGAAGAGAAACACCTTTGATGAGAAATTGTTTGGACGGGTTCTCGGGATGCAAGAGGATCTTATCATGGAGCTGGGCTGAATCCTGTTGTTTGACTATACTGACCTGACAAGTTGTACATGTAGAGACTAATGCAATTCGTAGTCAAATTGTTCATGTTCTCCATCATGACTTCCATTTTGAACTTCCTGAGTATAGTCCAACAAGAGTTTCATGACTAACTTCTGAGGCCACGGCTTGTTTACGGGCTCGCAGCCAGCGCTCCGTCAACATGATAATCTTGTCAAATAAGTATGTCAACCCCGGTGATGCCAGAAGAGTATCTCAATCTGTCTGTACTGTAATGATTTTCTTGTTCATCAAGTTCCTGGCGCTGTAAATTCTCTTCATCGACAATGACTGGTGGTGCACAGGCCATACTGCTGTCCATATTGTCCGAGGATGGAGCTTGTTATGACCGTCTCTCCGGACAACATGTGGCACCGATGCAAATCAGTAAATTGTAGAATGTTATGATCGGTATTTGGAAGGCTGGTTTAGTCTCTGGACTTGATCTCTTCAAGTTAGTCGGTAGCGCACCCGCAAGGTCCTACGGCCTATGGTCGCATATCGAGCAAAGCTATCTCGTATACGTGATGCGAGGAAAAGGAGCAGAAGATTATGGAGGTATACTGAAGTCGCATCACTACCAGAGCTTATGAACTTGAGTATTTTGTGGTTACCCTGCTAGATTGACACTTCAGTGTTTTTCTACTACAACTTGCCCTTGGGGCCAACATGCTCCTTTTCCCGTAGAGCTTTGTAGAGTGCCGTTTCCAAGTCGATCAACAAACCAGTCACCGCCGCATCCCCAGGTGGCAGCAGCTGAGTGAATAGTGCAGCTGTAATGTCCGTTTTTTGGTCGATCCACTATTTCCCAAAATGCACATTAGTAGACGGATTTTTGATGCTGGCAGAGTACCAAGGGTTTGTTCTCACCCAATGTAGATTTGGCAGCCCACTCCAGCTAACTGTCCCACATGGCCGACGACCGGGAATGTCCTTCAACGTTACCGTCCCAGCCAAACAATGATCAGCCTGGTCGATATCATCAACTGATTTTATCCCGAGAATAGTTCGCATACGGCTCCCAAGGGGCAGCGGCATTGCAGCCCGGGACGCATCACTAAGCTGTGGTTGAAACAGTATTTCTAAGCTATCTTTCGTCAATAACGGCTGTCCACCTCTCAGCAGAGTAGTTAGAAGTTTAATATAGTCGTTTGGTGTACTCCAAAGCCCAATACCTCCTAGATCGTCTTTCAGTGGTTGTCCCAGAATGACTGGGCCGGCTTTAATAGATTTTGTTCCCTGGCCAACACTTATCCGGTTTGCCATTTCTAGTTTCGGCGGGAGCGTATCTGGGTATAACTCTGGATGGAAGGTTGTTGATGTTACTCCGAGTTTGGACCAGATATTCTTTTGCATGTATTCCTCGAGTGAACAATTGCAGACATTTTCGATCTGTGGTGATTAGTTCGTGGATAGCCAACTTTGGGTAAATTGTCAACATCATGTTCGGGATGACGTACCAGGCGACCAGCCCAGTCTAAACCGGCTCCGTATCCCCATGAGGTTCCTGGCTCGAAGAGAAGGGGGTGTTTATATCCTTCCTAAACATAGAAGTTATAAGTTTTGGATTTGGAAATTTAGCAGCGTGATAGAACTGACTATGCTTCCTGTGAATGTGTGTGCCGATCGACCCACCGACTTCGACCACTCCTTCAGCAGATCTGATGAACTGTCGTAAATAAAGCCAGAGGTATGACTCAATAGATCACTGAGTGACCCCATATTTGATTTAGCATGTTGATGGTTAATCCATAGGGATGAGCCCGATGAACGCCAAGGGAGCTTACCGAGGAGTTATCTTCCCTAGGACCGGCCGAAGCTGTGGCTGCATCGATCCTGGAGGATCACCTATCAACCCTCATTAATTGAAATCACCGAAGTGTCCAGAATTCAATTCACGTACCCTGTTTCATTCCCCCCAAGATCTGTATATTCGCAAGCTCGGGTACCCTTTTGCGGACATCCTCATCTAATGAGAGAACTCCCCGTTCAACAAGTTGCATAATGGACACCGCAGTTACAAGCTTCGTCATGGATGCAACCCAATATAATGCATCGAATCCCAACGGTTCTGCATCTTGTGTATCTGTTTTTGTTCTCCCGGAGGCGCGACTGTAGATTCTTTTGCCTATTTGAGACTGTCAGAGCGAACGAAGAAATAAATCGAATTGGACATTACTGGGTATTGACATACCTGAGCTGTCTACAACAATAAACACCGCAGCATGCAACGACCCAGTTGACGGGTCTGTAAATGCGTCTAGAATGCGATCGAGGGACTCCATGGCTGGGTTTGGGCTGTGATAGGCTGCTGATCGCTATGACTAAACTAGGATAGTGGCAGACCCTTTTCATGCAGGGTCTTCCTCAATACATTAGTCGACCTGTCTGTTTACTTTTTATCTTGACGGTGGACCGTGGAGAACAGCCGAGGTACATTGTCGATCGTCCGCATTGACGCGACCGAGGCTTAAGACGTTGCATTGTTCACGGTGGGCTTGGCATATTGGAGATTATATTATCAAACCTTCGACGACAGTGGAGGAAACTCATTGGTGTTTGCTCGCGCAGTTGCCACACGTTCCAGTCCTTCTGTGCTCGCTTGAGTAGTTGCATTCGCCTCCAGATAACGGTTGCTGGTTACCAATTTTCTACGGCAATATTGGGTTTGCAATATACTCGGCAAGGCTTCAAAGTGGGTTTTCATTACTCACACTTCGCGAGAATACGACTTCCCCGCACCACAATATCTGAAGCCCCCGCTTCCCCGGATTCGGGGGTTTCGCGGAGATTTCCCAATGCGCTGTAGTGGCTGGTAGCAAATGCCTCGGCGATTAAACGGAGGCTTGCACCTCATATATTCTCAGAATATTTTATCAGGCTGACTGGATTACCATGGTCTTATCGACTTCAACACAATGATGGATTCGTGATTAGCGATTTTCAACAGTAGTCGCAATCAACAGGGAATAAATGATTGAAAAGATTTGAATACCACTCCATGTTCCGCAGTGTACACGCGGAGAATATCCTTCCCCTAGCCCAGTGCAATTGAATCATCTTCGCATGCGACTTGTCTAGCTTAGGACAGCATCACAGACGCCGCGAAAATACCCACTACGGCATTAAGCATAACCGTGTTGGCTGACGCGCTGTTGCCGGTCGGGGTTGACGTTGAAGAGGCCGTGCTGGTTTTGCTAGCGGTAGCTGAAGACCCGGAAGCATTGGTGGAAGAAGCCGCCGAGGTTCCAGTGGAGGAACCAGCAGAGCTGGTTGTCGAAGCTGTTGAAGCAGTCGAAGCAGTGGCACCTGCGGATGTAGCAGTGGTGGAGGAAGTAGTAGAGGTAGTCAGAGTAATACCGCAAACTGCCAAGGCATCGAAAGTGAATGGCATGTTTCTGGCGTCACAATCCGCTTGCTGGCGCACAATGGAATCTGATTATCGTACGAATGCTGGTTAGTGGTCCATGTTTGACGCGAATAGAGCGTAGCGGAGCTTACCAGGCAAGACGGAGCTGGCGCATTTCTTCCCCATGCAGCAGAAGTAGGCTTCGCGGTATTTCTGCTGATCGCACATGCAGGCTGCATCGTTGGCGCAAGACCCGTTGAAGCTGCTGAAAAAGCACCCGTTCTGACCGAGATAATCATGTAAGTTACTAGTCTCTCGCGTCGCGACGAAGCACATTTTAGCTGAAATACAACAAGACACGAAAACTTACATCGCAGGTCGCGTTTTCATTCTGCTCTGTTTCATTGTAGGCGGCAGCCACCAGAGGCGCGCCAAGAAGGCCGACGAGCGCCAAAAGAGAGGAAAGTCGGACCATAGTGATGAATGTTAAACGAGTGACTAAAGCGAGCGACGAATAGTGAAGACAAAGGTTGGATGTTTTTTCAAAATCGCCCCCAGCCGAACGGCGAGGGCCCCTGACTTTTGTAGAAAAAAGTAGGCATCGTTCGAAGAGCGCTAGCCTGAATGGGGCAGCCTTACGATGGTTTGGAGAGCCTAGTGCTGATTTCTGACTCGATTGTTTAAGTGGCATTGCAGCAGACCCATCGGGTGATTCGGGTCGAAGCGGCCAGTGTGACCCTTCAAGAGCCGCATAGAGGGTCTATTGGCTCAGGTTGGGGGCTAAGTTCGGAGTCAGTCACCGTATGGGGCGAGTTACCGCATCAGGCTGGGGCTGATGGGGATGAGTAGCCATTGAAAGGGCTAGTTATTCATGGAAATCATTTTCGATCCTCCAAGCGAGGGTTCGTGGGGAAAACAAGCCAGGAACTATTCGGTCTTAGTGGAGGATTTACCCGTTAGCCGGTACCAGGCACACCAATCAGTGCACATGACCCCCTCGGCTAAGATGACCGAATCTCCTATCCTCATACATGCATAACCTATCCCCCCGGGTAAGTTTATATAGGGGATTTTTTGATAGGGGATGCTAAGGCTATTTTTTGAAGATTTCTATTCAGTGGATGCTTGAAGTGAGAGAAATGAGTTCCACTTACAGTTGGGCCTTGATGGCCGAGTAAGATGACAGAATCGGCATAGTGAAGGGGTGGCTCTATGTCAAAGAGTTTAAAAAAAGTAAGTTGTGCAGGTTGGACGCACTAATCATGCCGAATGTTGTAGCTAGTACGACCGTATGCTTGTTTCTTCTCAACAGACCACTAGAAGAGAACAGAGAATGGAGCATATGTTGTAGAGTTCTTTGATCAATGCCAGTCATGACATTATCCAAAATAAGGACCTTTTGTTTTGAGTACAGCGCCCTCGCTAGTGACTGTAAGATAGATCAGCCACGACACAAAAACAGCTACCGTGAAGGAGTGTAACTCACTATAAGCATCTGCTGTCCACCACTTATCCGAAATCCACGAACACCGACTTGAGTATAATGTCCCTTGGGCATGTTTTGGCCATCAACGTCTAAAGCACACGCTCGCAGAACCTCATAGTACCATGGCTTGTCCCATTCGTAAGATCCCGGAATGTTGTCTCGAATTGTTTCTGAAAATAACCATGCTGTCTGGCCACAGTATGCTGCCTGGGAAGCACTTGTCCACATGCTACCAAAGTATGGAATTTCATGCAAAAGTAGCTGCAAGAACAGCGACTTGCCACATCCAATCTGACCTGTCACCATGGTAATTCTTCCTTCGTCGATTTCTAAGGACAAATTCTGGAGGCTCGGTATTTTCATCTCAGGGAAACGCCCGCTGACATTACGAAGAACGGCAAACTTTCCGGGAAACGTTTGCTCAATGTCGACATGACCGTGAATGATTGAATCTGGTGGAATGAATTCCCTTTTACCTTCGGCATGTTCATATTCCGAATCGTTTTGTGTAGTTAATTGGCGCACCGGCTTCTCGTCCAGAGTTAGGTATTCTTGTATTCTTTGGAATCCCTTCAATACCGCTATTAGTTGCTCGCCGCCCTTTACCAACGTATTGACTGGTTGCTCCAGAAGGGAAAACAATGTCAGAGTGGAGAAAGTGACGGAGTGGGTCAAAGCGGTGCCATTCCTTTGTGAAAGTAGGCTGTATACGGCGAACCCTAGCATAGGCGCAAATGTGGCAGATGTATAGGCTAGGATATTGTATCATTAGAAATTGGGGGACCAATGAAGATCTTTTTACTTGCACATCACGACCAGCAAAACATCAAAAAGTCGGGCTATCCTGGAGCTTTTGATCTCCTTAGTCCTAAAATCTGATATTCCAGACGCAACGGGCTGCGATATTCCTCCAATACGGATGGATTTCATTGTAGAAAGTGCTTTGGAGGTCACCGAAAGACGCTGTTCGATAGCTTCCAACCATGGGAGGTGAGTATTTCCTGCTGCAAGTGCCAATGGTAGTCCCGCAAGCACACAAAATAACCAATCAGCGGTTGTTTTTCAAAGAAATAAGGCAAACAAAGTCCAAAAGAACCTTACCAACAACAAAGAAGGTAGAAACCAACGCGGCCACGTGGAGTAACCGAAACAACAGCCAGATGGCCAAACCCGCTTCGATGAGACCACTGTAGAATTCATGTAATTCTAAAAGTCCCGTACTGACCCAATCAACACCCCCGGTCAGACGCGTAACCCCCGCCGTGTCTGATATATTTAAGCATGAAAGTCGAAGGGTCTTCTGGAATATCATCGTGCTCAAACTGCCGCGGGCCATAGTTATCACACGATACGTCTTGTGCTCATAGACCGCCCTGGTGATCTGCCGAAAGTGGTCAACACTTCTCCTGATTCAAGCAGACCGAACTCACTTACTGCAAGACCTATGTATACAATAGCGTACGCAAGAATCAGATAAAAAGCCTCCGTGTGTGAATTCGGTGTTGCGACCCCAGATACGAAATCCAGCACACACTGAACCAAAATAGGCTGCGCGAAGGAGAACCCTGTGTGGGCAAGACGCGGTATCACCCCCGTTGTAAATTATACATTCGTATCCCAAGCAGCAAGCATGCAACAATTGCGGGAAGTATGGTCAATACACTCTCTTCGAAGAGCAAGGTCAAGTCATATCCTCCAAGGCATGATGTATAGACCACTGGACCGAAAGTTGCATCGTTCTTCTCGAGGCATTACTGCGATTTGACGCTATGCCGATGGCTCCTGTTGCGTTCCTGAAGTGGACGAGGGGACCTTCAAGCTACAATGAGGGGTGGAGGCTCTACGCCAATAGAAGAGAACAACCAAGGAGGTAAAATATACAGGAGTCTGAAAAGTATCATAGACATTTTGTCATTTAAAGGCCAGTTCCGTCTTTGCCGAGGGCTATCGAAGATGTTCTTCTGACAGATTTCTCGTCCTATACGGAGGAGGCTCGCAATAATAATGATCGAGACTGCCGAGTGACGAGGGGGAGACCTCCATCTGAAAGTCGTGAGTCACGACGATGCTGGGCTGACTTTTGCTTTCGGCACGCAATCTTGCGCTATGGTTTGCATTGCCTGTGGGATTATGACGGCGATGGTTCGTATTTGAGAACAGCTCCACGCTGCCTCGATGCGGTTGCTGCCAGTAGCTTGTGCCCTGGCGTGTACTGCTGATAAGATTCGGGAACAACCGATCGACAAAGACTTTCGTTGGAGGTATGCTTGCTGCAATAATGGCGCAGCATATCTCTATCGTCGAAGAAATCGAGACAAAAGCGGTGTTCCAGGAAGCGTCTTCAGTGGTGTATAATTTGATGACATATACCAAACGAACCACACCGGCGACACATGCACTATTCACATATCAGAAAAGCGAAAGGTACTGTTGATGGTGAATTTCTTACAAGGCCCCAAGCGAGAGAAGGAAAACAAGGATCATCTTCTTTTTTCGTGATATATGGAGTCCTAAATAATCACGTTGTCAGACAGGAGAGCTCACATATGCAATCAGGCAACCAACCTAGAATTGTTCTCATTGGAAGTATCAAGACCACAAGGTCAGACGCCAAAAATAGCGACCCGAATGCAATCCAGAACGGCAACGCAGAGAAGCAGGTAAAGCTGTTAAGTTTATAATTCCACGGATTCCAAGCAGCGCCAATAGGATGACATCTGAACGATGCGCCTAGAATAAAAGTTAAACCCATGGTAACAACGAATGTGAGAGTTCCAATTATCGCCCATCGAAGTCCTGGGAATAACCGTAGGTATAGCATGAGTATCGAGGATTTCACGAGAACGGTTGCAGCGGTATACAGAAGGTGGGATATGAGTCGATACTATGAAGTAGAAACAAATATTTTAGCAGAAGGGATCAGTTGAATAGGAGAATAACGTACCTTGATGGCGACTTGGGATTCGGCGATGGGAAGTGTACTCTCATGTCGTCCGGTGCCGTACTTGACTCCTACGCATGGTTAGCCCGGCCCAAGATTGAAGCGTAGACCATATTCACCTATCACAATGCAAATGACATTTGCAATCGTGACAGCGGTGGCTCCCATGATTAACCAGTCATCTGCCCCTCTTAACCGCAGGACAAAAAAGCGAGCGGCGATGCGGAGAGCCACAATAAAAGTGGTCACAATCATCATGATGACTGTCACGATCACAACCGCTCCCCCTTTATTGGTATAGTCCTATGTAAACTTGTTAAGTTGTCTCATTTCTCCTCGTTACTGCGAACAGCCATACCTGTACCCCATCGGTCGTTCCCAGTGGGGATCCCCCGATTGGAGAAGGTTGGGTCCCATTTCCAGCTGCATGCTTGTCGAAAGTAGGTGTTGGTGTAGACATTGATCCGGGCCCTAGACTGGGGAGCCCATTGGGGCAGGCAAGGGAAGAAGGTCAGAGTTTTCAGCGTGCGTCAGCCTCTCTCGGGGCCACGAGTCCTGATATATCTTGCCTCTTGCTCTGCTGATGATGGCTAGACTCTTCAAAAATTACCGTTGAAACACGGATTACCCCCTGATTTCTGCGTCTTGGCAATTCATCCATGTTATCACTCCATTGGACAAGGTCTTTCAAAAAGCCGGAGAGACTACTTATTATATGTACCCCGCAAGTTAGCCCACAATGTCTTTTCGATTCCGAGAAGCTATTGACGGGAAATTCCCAGGGTCTGCGTATAGAGCGAGCAAGGGTCGAAATGAAAAAGTGGAGCCGGAGTAGAGTATTTGGTGTGTACATTCTTGTGACAGTCGAGTATGTATACCCAGAATAGAGAAAAGGGTGGAGCCGAAATGACGCCCGACATCTCGGGAGAGGTGGATCTCGTTCGGAACACCTTCGCACCCTGGTCCAATGATTGTCATGCTTGGCTGAAGGCTAATTCACATTTTTCGATGACTGATGTAGTGGTTGTTTGAGAAAATGGAGTAGATTGAAGATGGAAAAGGCTCTCCGGCTGATAGGAAGGGTCAAGTGCTGGTGGTCCCTGGGGCTGTTTTGCCAAGGGTAAGGGGGGACTAACTGATGTCCAGACTCCGTCTCATACTTTTCTTGAGTGAGAGCTTTTTTTGTACACCTGGCATATTTAATGGCATATTTAATACCGAAGTCGTGAAGACTAGCCCTTGAATATCTCAGGCTATACCCTCCTTGATCCCCGACTGGTAGATGTTCCCTGAACTGTTTTCAACACACAGAGGATCAGCTTAATTTGGAAAAGAAAAGCCGAGACACGATTATACCTAGCTAATAACAGCATAGAAGCTAAAATTTCAGATGGTGTTTCCCTTCAAAGTCGAGAATGTCAATGCGAACAAGCTAGTTGTTCCCCAGATACATGCTATCTGGTTAATCGGCCAGAATTTCTCTAAGCCAGGTTAGCAATTTCGAGTGAGTGGAACAACAAAATCAAGCATGCAAGGACGTACAGATAGGCCTCCCCCACCCCAATGTTGTTTGTTTGTGGGATTGTTGCTATCAGTTCGGGGGATCACCGAAGAGTCAGGAACTTGCCATTTACTAACCACAGAAGGTGGTGGTGGCCGTCAGCTACGGCGTTTGCCTCTTTACCTCTCTGCCTCTCCATCTTCCATTTTCTCCATCTCTCCATCATTCTCCACCTCCTTCATCTCTCTGCCTCTCTTTTCTCTACCTCTCGTCTCCTTAACTCTCCCTCACTCTACCCATCTCCGATCATCATTCGATACCATCTCACTCACTATCAATCTTCACCAACATCAAGTACGGTATGATAATCAAGACCGCAAATCTCGTATCGACAGCCTACTGATGACAGAGAACAGAACGAGACCATGAGCGACTCAGCTGGGCCGGATTGCCCAGCTGGACAATCCGGGGACGAGCAAGGCGGCACTGATCCACTTGACTTAGTGAGTATCGCTTATCCCATCTGTTCATCACTTAGTAACAGTTTGAATCTAGCTTCTGGGTGAGAATCTGAACACTGCGACAGTCTTCATGCGAGAAGTTCTCTTTTACGTCGGGCGGGTTCTTTCTTTAAAGGACGTCATCGAGAAAGAAAAAAGCGCGCGGGATTACGAAGAGAATTGCAGGCTATGAGGAAGAGCTTACAACTTCACGCATTAACTACCTCCAATACAAGCGCAAGCTTGAGACCGCGATCACAGAACTGGGTGATGAAGACAGGGAAGTGCTGGTTGCGGCCCACGGCGAAGACTTGGCCTACTCCCGGGTTGAAACAACTGCCGGAATCGATATTAAACGCGATACTGGTGCACCTGACTCGGTGAGTACATCTTATCCTAGCTATCCATTATTTACTAACGCTGTGATCTAGATTCTAGGCGAAAATCTGAAGACCGCGACGATCATGCTGAAGGAGCTTGTCCTCCACGTGACGCAGATTTACGCGGCTTTGAGGGCTTCTGAGGACAATGCAGCAAATGCTCAGGCTGAGAACACCTCGACAGATGAGCTAAAAGCGGCACGTATCTCCTACCTTCAAGGCAAGCGTAAGCTTGCAAAGGCGATTTTTGAGCTATCTGAGGGGGAAGAGGAGGTGCTGATACAGATCTACCGCGAAGACTTGACCTACTGCCGGGTCGAAGCAGGTGAAGGTATTTGAATGGCGGCTCTTGGTTTTGAAGCAACGACTACTGAGAATGAATCTGGGATGTGAGAGAACTAAGTTAACTTCCCCATAACTAAAATGCCTGTGAAGAGCGTAAAACAAAACCAAGGAAAACGGGCGTGCAGAGAGTATCATGAACGGCGGGAAGAGCCCAAAGATGGCAAGGGGTCATGGCAGGGAAATGTTGTGATCACTTCGAGGAACCAGCGTGTTCGTTGGCCAAGTGCGCAGCGAGGTTCACAACTCGTCCTTCGAATTCTGTGATTTTCCCCTGCGTAATGCTGATTTGTTTGGCCAGCTGTTCCATGCCATTCTTCATCGTAGTGATGCTTCTGGCCATCGATTCACCGGCGTTGATCGCGTCATTGTGAGTGTTGATCATGGTGTTGTGAGACTTGGTCAACGTTTCGGTAAAATCAGTCAGCGCAGCCATCTGGGCGATGATTTGATCCTGATTGGTCTTGATGGCAGCGATTCCCTTCAGCAGTTCTTGTGTCATGGTCATGGTCGCTCCCGCGGGCTCGTCTTCATACGCGCTGTCGGCCCGATCACGGGCGAAACTGCAGCGCTTGCCCTGGTTATTATGGTGGCAGGAGCCACAAGCAGCCAGCCCTCGGGATCGTCACGCAGAGTGAAAAGGGGCCTTTGTTACGGTTGCAGTGACTGCAGGGGGTGGAGGCGACGTCACCGACTGTCCGGATCGCAAACGCTTCAACATTCTGTCTATTGTTGCCGAGGCGGACGACAAGATCACGGCCAGTGACGAAGGCGCCGAGGCGGACGGCAGGTTCCCGCTTTGTGGGCATTCGAGAGAGGACCTGGAGGAGCATGCTCTTGAAGCCCTTGCCGTCCTTGGCAAATGACCATTCCATCTTCTGGGCAATCTCTGCCTATGCACCAGGGGCCGCTATGGCGCGACCTGTGTAAGGAGCTGGGAGTTGCTCCAATGTGCCCATGGCACCGGTGTGGAGTGTGTCTTGGTCGCTGAAATACGTCAGTTATAATCAGTAAATTTGCAGAAATTAAGAACGTACACAGGCATTTTGTCAGAGAGATGACAAGCTTTCGACCAGACAATGGAAGGAGGGCTAGGGAGAGGGGAGGGAGGGAGAGAGAGGAGAGAGATAATGATGGTGTTGATGGTGATCGTGTTGCTGATGAACAACTGTTGATGATAGGAGAGAGAGGAGAGGACGAGAAAACTAGAGGCTGGAGGGTATATATGCTATTTGCTCCGCGTCTGCAAGACATCTAAGTCAACGTCGCCACTCGAAGACTTGTTCCAATGGTACATGCAAAGGCTCTACGCTAGCTGTCGTACCTGAAGTTGCACTAGAGTATCAAAACCGGTGTATTTCACATCTCATGTCATTATCTGGAGATGCCACAGAGGTTCAAGATGAGAACTTGCTCGCGGCTGCGGTGATACTGCGATTTTACGAGGAATTAGATGGTAAGCGATCCATCACTGGATGTCCCACCAAGAATAATTTGACAAAGGAAATTTAGCTACCCTCGTGGGCATTGATGACGAGACATATCTGCGTGGCACGCAAGTCTTTCTAGAAGCCCAAGCTAGCATGGCCGTAAATGGGCAAGGATTACAAAATGCAGCATTCTGGGTCGGATTCCGCCAGGAGTTTCACAGGGCCTTTATCAAGCAACGGCCATTTAGGTTTGACCTAAGTTGTTGCCGAGACTCGAAATACAAAACGCTTGAAAATGCCGATGACTTCACTTGGCCAATCGAGTCATGCTTCATTGTGCTGAGACTTTGGCTTTTTGCTATGGTACAGACGGTCATGAGCCCCAGGTCTACAATAAGCTATGTGAGTATAATAACCGGTGGAACGATTGTAAGCCATCAAGCTTCAACCCGATATACTTCAAACCCCCCGATCGATCAAAAGACGAGGTTTTCCCTCAGATCTGGTATATTGGGGATTGCCAAGGTAAGAAATCTACTTTGGCTATTATCGATTGTTCAGGGGGATATCTCTAACTTCAATCCAGTGACCGCTATCCAGCATTGGCACATAGCCAGAATCTTACTTTCTGCTTTTGATCCCACCACGCCCCGTATGGGGCCGAAGCAAAAGCGAGCTACGACGTATCACCCAAGACAAGTTGGCAGTGCTAAGATGAATTCCAGGCTGAAATCAAGACGAATGTGTTTCGCCTTTGCGGAATCGCTTGCTCCAACAAAGCAGCACCCGGACTCATTACTGCGTGTATGGGGGTATCCTTGTGTCAGTAACCGGCCATCTACCCTTAAGATTCGATATCACTAAGACTTTTGCTAGGCGGAGATCGAGTCACGGACAAAGTGGAACAAGAAGCGCTGCTTCAAATACTCATTAAAACGGAGGAAATCCATGCATTATCCACCAGGACCACCCCAGGGGAGCTAAAAGAGGCGTGGGATTGTAGTGTTCATGGAAGAATATATCTGGGTTCAAAGAAGGAAAATAAAATAAATAGTCCGGGCGGTAATACTAGAACTACCTATGGAGACGCCTCAAAAGATATCTAGAAAGATCCCTCAAAAGAATGGTTGTCAAAAACGTATCTAGCTAGACAGACTATTGTCTGACGATAACTGGATCCTATCTGGATCGACGGACCGACCGTAACCTCTTCGGCTCGATCCTCGATTGAAGCTGGTTGGAATTTCTTGGGCAAAGATTTCGAAAACTGAGCTGGGTATGTATTTAAGGACCCTCATTATTAGTTTGAATCAACGTTATTACATTCGACAAGGCCAAAAAACTTGGGCGATCCGCCCAGTGAGCGAGAAATATGTGGCCTGAACACGCCACCAGTGCGTCCCTCGGAAGAAGCTATTCAGCTTCAGTTGAGCCACAATCATTTCCCAGGACAGAGCTCAATTTATCTCTCCGTCGGTCTGGTTTCGAAACTATTATTTGTGACCGCACTCGCGCTTCCTGGAGCCATTGAGTTGTGAGGGATTTGGCCCCCAAAAAGGACGCGAATGCACCCCGCGCGTAAAGCCCCTCTTCGGGTTTAGCCTGGGACTTTGCCATCCCCTGACAGGTGCTTATGCGAGATTTGTCTCAATCCCTAAAACTCTCAGTCTCGATCGATAGCCTCAAAGAACCAGGGGTAAGAGACGTTGGAGGGATCCTCCGTTCGGATCTAAATAAGCACAGCAATTTGAACAGAATATCTTGTGATCAGGCACACATTTTGAGAGCAGAATTCTGACCGTCATTACTCATTCCGCGGTCATCTCATAGCTCTCTCGATTACCGATGGTCGGTGTTCCAGGTCGTTCCAAAGCATGTCGTACCTGCAGGCGGCGCAAGAAAGGTGTAAGTTGATAGGGCTTCGGCTTCCTCTGAGGAATGTGTCAGCTTCAATGATATTGACGGAGCCACTAGTGCGACTTAGAGCAACCCTCATGCGGACAATGTAGAAAGGCCTGCATACCATGTGAAGGCTACTCCACGTGCTTAACTATACATCGTTACAATTACGATAGCAAACAAGGTTCGGGACTGTTAAGTCTTGAAACAAAAGCCGACACCCAAAGCAGCCTAGTGTTGATCCCCCGGACCAGGGTTTCACCAATCAAGGCAGAATCGCCTTCGTCAGTGACTGTCATGGATCAGGTCACTTTTTCCCGTGCAGCTTTGGAATCTGCTCTTGAAGGGATGTTCTGGGACTCTTATCTTCCAAACAGTCGCTGCTCGTCCCTCCTAGATTATAACCAGCGTATTCTTGGAGGTTCGATCAGCGTGGTGAGGGAGTTGCTTCCTAGCAGCCTCCTGCTTCGCACTGCGGTTGGAGCTATGGCCCTTCGGTCGGCGGCGAGCACTAATAACGACCCACACTCGTCGAAACAACAGGCAATGAGGCTCCACGCCAGTGCGTTGCAGCAGGTGAGGAAAATACTCACCACCCGTGGCAAAAATGACCTCGAGGTTCTCAGTGCTACTCGAGTGTTCAGCTTCTACGAGGTATTTTCTCAATTCCTGTCAACATCTTTATCAAGGTTTTTCGATTCCTTTGGTGTTTTTAATTCCTAACCCATCTTTTTTTTCTCTAAAAAACTAGGCATTGTATGGAAGCGACTGGGCTGACAGAGGGGAACACTTTCGAAACTGGAGTGTACATCACTCTGGCGATCTTGCACTGATGGTTTCAAAGCCGCCGAGTTATTATCGCACAGGCATTGCTCATCGACTCTTTGTTGATGGACGAGTCAATCTGGTACTTGATTCTTGCATTGCAGCTTGGAGAAAGACTAACAGTTGTGGCCACAGGCTCTTCACGCACTGACAACCCGAAAAGGGACCATCTTGGTACAGCCAGCCTGGCTAAATGATCCGTGGGAGATCCATCCAAAGACGGTTAAAGATATGTTGGTGGACATCATTCTAGAAGTTCCCTCATTATACGAGGGCATTGATGAGATGGAAAGCAACCAGCGCTTCGACTCCAACTCGCGCCAACCGCTTCAACAATCAGCATATGCTACCATCGTCCGTTTACTACAATGGGGCGAAAAATTTGCCATTCAAGGGGTATCCTTACGACCAAACTGGCAGCATCACCCTGGTTTCACAACCGAGGAGATAGTTGGGGTGCATCTGATGACTTTCTACTGGGCCACGCTTATGCTGGCACATGGCGCATATCTGACGATCTCGAATGGGGAGCCACATGGCCTTGATATCGATGCGGATGATTGTTGTCGCAAAATCATCCACTGTATCCCGTTATTCCTCCACCCATCAACTGGTATTTTCCGCCAGCATCTCATGCCTTTCCCAGCAATGACGGCCATACGACATCTAAACTTGACACACCCGTCAGTATTGCGACCAGAGCGCGAGTACCTCTTATCGATCTCCGAGACGCCGCAGCTTGCTGGAATGCGAAAGTTTATGACAAGTCTGCATCCACAGCTATTCACGGACGCTGAAGATATAGTCACGGAGCCGGAAAAATAAGGAGGTTTGGGGACTGGCCAGCCAGGTGCGCTTCCAAATTTTATCCTTTGGGCCTTATTCTGTGTCATCCTTCTTTTTTATTTTTATTGTATCGGTGGAATACAGTACTTCAGCCTTTCAAAAACAAAGCCTTTAAGAAGATGATCAGGAACCAAAATTTGAAAATTTCTCCAAGATATGGAATTTAGAGATAGAGCGCTATACAAGCCAGATATACCTTGGGGTTTAAAACAGCCAAGCACTTCATACGTTTCCTAATAATCAATCGCAATTATGAGCGAGAGAAACCGTTTTTGGATTGAAAGTATGTCTCGGGGCAATGTCGGGGCAATGTGCCCCAACATGACTGTTCTTTATGTGCCGCTTTTCTAGAAAATGAAGTCTTACACCGATGCCAAACCCCACGCATCAGACTTTGGCTGCTTCGCGATGATTTACAGTGACTGTTTGCCCTGCGTCTCAATTGGCAGGAAGCACATCGCCACAAAAGAAGCCAGGATCAACGCACCCGCAGCATAGATTGGTGCGACCGGGTCAGTGCTAGCATAGATTCCGATGATCGGCGCCATGAGACCAGCAATTCGGTTCAAGCAGCTGGCAATACCAGATCCCGTGCCGCGATTGGGAGCGGGGAAGACTTCAGGAGTGTAGGCATAGAGCACACCGTACATAATCATCTGGAAGAAAGACTCCAGCGATGAACAGACCAGCTGAACGTTAGAATCCTTTGAAGCCGTGAAGCAGAACAACAGGATTCCTGTGATTAATGTTGAGCCGGCCATTGTTCCCTTGCGACCAATATATTTGATGTCAACGGTAACCCATCCAAGAAGCGGCCCGGGGATTCCGCAGACTGCAGTGATGGCGTAGTTCCGGTAGGTCTCGTAGGTTGTAGAGTTTTGGCTCAGGTATTGTGGGAGGAAAGCATTGAAAAGTGTGTAGCCCATTCCGATGCATGTCCAGCAGAACCAGATAAGAATAGCTAAAAGCTAGTTAGCAATGTACATAGAACGGGATAAGCCACAATATCATACTTGAGACAGCGGTTCGCTTGTTTTTGAAAAGCGGTGCAACCTGCTGATACGAAAATCTTTCAAGAGACCTCCTAATGATCTCTACGGTAGACAAGCCCTGCTTCTTATCCTCTTCAGGGTACCCTCCAATCTCGTTGAGAGTTTCCTCGGTGAGCCACGTAGTGGTCTTGTTTTTGTGGGCGATTCCTTGGACAGCAGCCACGGCTTCCTCCTGACGACCGCGGGAGACGAGGAACTTAGGCGACTCATACAAAGTGAAGAGGAAGAAACGGCAGAGGAAGCCAACGAATGTAAGGGCTCCTAGAGACAGCACGAGGTATCTCCAACCCCAGTTGTTGGCTTTAGTGCATGTCGCGTAGCTCTCGCAGGAAAAGTTGGGGATGAAAGCCCAAGCAAGCATACTACGTCGGAGTCAGTTTCAACATAAGAAAATATAGATGGTCACGTTGCATACCTGGCAATCAGAGTACCGACAGACCACCATGTGGCCAATCCACTGAGAATACTACTGGAGTTAGGAGGAAGGCATTCCAAGAAGACGGCCGCATCTACGGGTAAATTTCCACCGACACCGAGACCCAAACAGGCGTAAAGTGCACATGTACTTCATTCAATGTCAGCTTGGTAAATGTTTAGGAGCAGGATCCAAGCTTACCCGATCCAGGTTGGCGCACCACCAGCAGCAAGACCAAAAGTGCCGCAAATACAAAGTGTCATGTTGAAAGCTGGACGTCGGCCAATAGCATCTGAAGCAATACCCCAGAACGAAGCACCGATGATCAGACCAACAAACAGAGAGCACGTGGCAAATCGAGAATCTGTCTCGGAGATGCCAAATTCCATAGCGACTGGAGTCAACGTGAGAGCGACACCCTGCATGTTGTCAGCTAAAAACTACAAATTCGGTCGAGCAGTGTCAACCATACCTGCAGCCAGAGGCTATAACAAAAAGTTGTTAATACGGTGCTTGTCAAGGCAATAATTTTAGCAACTTACTTATCAGCGACCCAGCCCATGCCGCAGAGAACAAACAGTCCCCACTGATACCGGCCCATACCGATGTCTTGGACAGCTCGATTGATAATTTTTGCCTTTCCTTCAATTTCACCCAATTTAGCTTTGACTCTTGTTTGTGGAGGGTGGTTTTTCGAGGCGATATTCAGTCCACGGCATGAAGTCATGCGAAGGTGGTATACATACGGTCATAAACAGTGTCGTGCCCTGAAGCAGCGATATCCGATTCAACTTCAGCTCGTAGTGCTTCCAATGTCAGCGTGGTACCAGCGTGAACACCGCTAGCACCGTTCTCTTGAAGAGAAGCCCTGTCAAGACTAGAGTTCGATCCGGCATCTTGAGTCTTTGGTGCAGATCCACTAGCAAGGGGAACCACGACCTCAGGGAATCCTCTGCGGTCGCGGTTGGTAAAGAGGTCCTTCCAATTCACGTCAAACATGGTGCGCGGGTTTGATTGATCGCAACGGGGCAATGAAGCAACTGATGGGTAAAATCACCGGTTGGTGCGACGGAATGATACTACTCGTGCGGGGGGTTATTCTTATCGCGGTATATCGTTACTATATGCTCGTTAAGCCGGTTGTGGCGTTTGGCGCAATGGTGGGTGGAGTTCACAGATGCAAGGGCTTCATCAATTCGAATTGCAATGCGACAGACGGAGGGAGTTGCGCGGCGGGATAGCAAGTAGAGTCGAAAGTGTCGCAACGGGAGTGAAACGCAACTATTTGCTGCTACTTTCAGAGTTTCGAGCTTGTGCTAGATGTTGAGTATGGATCGAGTTTCTCTGACTTGAAACTATCTAGCGATTGGAGGTCGAAAATAAAAACTTCCCGGTGACTTGAGCTGGATCTGAGCAAAACAAAAGGGTTGGTTGAAGTTGGCCCGTTGGGAGGAATGGTCAGTATCTTCTCCAAGGATTGGGGGTAGTCGGCGAGTAGTCTTGATCACCGGTTGAGAGTATAGGAAGAGGGTAAGGAGGCAGAGCGAGGGATTAAGAAGAATGCCCACTTATGATCATTATCATTACTCATAAAAATCTTTCGTGAAGCCGAAACATCCTTAGATAATATAAAATTACTCGTGTGGTACATGCAATGTCGGCCAACCAGGCAAGCTCCATATGGCCCTATGGGTCAAGCTACAGCCACTGATGCATGGCGTACGCCCAGAGTATCCACACCTGATCCACTCGCTCAAGCCTCCTTTGGAAGGACAATTGCAATCCGATTTCCGGCCATCTGCCAAGAATGCTAAGCGAGGATTGGACAACGCAACTCTCACATTTTTCCGTGCCTTCATGGGCATGAAACCCAGTTTATGTGTGTTATCCTACCCGCTGATGCTCCACTCAATGCCAACACCCAACATTCTTTACATAATCTTGAGTTTGGGCCTCCTTCATATCCCCGATCGACCCCGATTGGCCATGGTGCAAATTCATGTGCTGAGTAAGCCACATGAAGCGCCGGGGCAGGGCTCAGGTACAGTGGCAGTAGGCATTGGAACAATTATTATTATAGATGCACTCGTAGTGTTCATCCAATATAATTACGAGATGATTGCTGTAACCGAATGACCCTCATTTGTTTCATCCCTTCGAAATAAACAATCTGTAGGGAGCTATCAGCTAAACGTAGTTTGAATTGGGCCTTCGACTAAACAACTGCTCGGTTTCGAACATAAGCTTCTCCGTGCTATCAACGAAAGTAAAATGTTGGAACCTTGGGATCCTGTAAGAATCTAGCTATGGAGTAGTGAAGATACTCTCGGGTCTGGTCGACTATTTTTGAGTCTTCTTACCATGACATGCCACCTCATCATAAACGTAGTAGTGCCTGGATTTCCGCAGGGTCCCAATGATCGGCGACATCTGTTCCCTCTATAGTCGATCGCGGTCGCGTGATCATCGTTGACTTCGCTCGGACAAGGTCCAGGATATGTAGTATGGAAAAATATAGGCTAGGGCCTCTTAAAATATCCAAGACAGCCATTCCCTCAACGACCGTAATTATGTTTTCAAGCAGAAGGTCGCATGGCTTCTTAAATGTCGCTTTTATATTTTTCTTCAAGCCATACGAGTTGCTAGGCAATATAAGAGAAGGGATGTACCTGAGCAGCCACAAGTTCTTACGAATATTTTAGACATCTGTTCACTGTATTCTGCTGCCTCGGCCATCTACAGATTGGTTAGTAACCAGCTTTGACACAAATCGTTAATCTAGAGATTTATCATACCTTGAAAAGAGCCTCTTGTCCCACTTTTATGGAGCATGAACATAGAGCACGGAGTCGCATGTAGCGCAGACATACTGTCGCATAAGATCGTGGCTAATCTTTTTGGCGGGTTCAAAAGAAGGGCTATGTTTGAGATCTATAACGACAGATGACAACACGGAGCGAGAATATTTGCCATTACGCAAAATCCTCCATTTGGTGATAGCGGGGAGATAAGCCGTTTCACCGCTTGAACGCGATTTTAACTGCAGTATTGTGAGCTGTGAGGCAGAACGTCCCGTTCGCCGGGAGCGCATATGTCATCTCGCTCTTTAGTTCCACCACGTCCATCATTGGAGATTCGATGGGTAGCTTAGTGGTCTGGCTGACTGTCATTCTTTCAATGGAGTAGACAAGGCACCTTGCTGCACATTCTGACTTCGAAATCTCCTCCATCTCGAGATGGATATGCAGGGGGCCGGCTAGGAAGCACGGAGCAGAGACTGCCGGGCTGATGACGCCAGTAAACGTGTCACTGGGCGCTAAAACACAGTTACTGAATGATTTGCAGTCAACAGGCGGCGTATCTGCAATTGGGACCGCACTTTCCACGATTTCGGACTCTGGAGAGACACCAGCGACCGACGTCGTTCTCTCCGTGGCGCTATCGACCGGGCCTTGTGCAGCGCTCATCGTCGATGCCGAGGCCCACATCGGAAGCAATGTACTTTCGTTTGGGTACGGACGGGGTCTCATTTGACCTTTGTCCAGGGCTTTGATAGTCTGTCGAGCATGGTCCAGAAGGACTTCATTGAATCGATGCTCTAGCGTCTTCAACGGCAAAAGCATTGGCAGTCGCCAACTAGGGTACAATCTCCCATGTGTGCGTGTTGTGTGCATCTTGCCATGACTTCGAATGAACGCATTGCATAGAAAACAAGCATCCTTGCTGGAACCTATGGCCCGGGGGAATGGTGTAGATGATTGAATTTCACAGTAGGCGATCAGCTGGACTTCTGCATGTATTTTGCCCTCCTGGAGAGTTCTGGTCGTTTGCTGGGAGAAATGGTCACTTAGATTCTTGGCCTTGTCACCCCTTATGAATCGAGAGAGTTGAGAGATATTATACTGTCTGCCATTGATCTTCCCTAGCCGAGCAAGTACGGTTGAAAGTCTGGGCGAGTGTGCTGGGTGATGAGATCGTTCAAAAGCCTCTTGGGGTAGGGTTGCCAGATGAACCTCGATGTTTCGGACAAGAGCGAACTTCTTGGCAATGCGATAAAGCGCACGAGCGGATTCTTTATATCTAGATACTTTTCAAATAATGTTGAGTAGAGTAACAGTAAATGTCGAGTCTTTGATCACCCTCGTGGGGCCAGAGGGAATCAGGTGGAGGAGTTGCTGCAAGCCAGGTACATTGTTCAATTGGTACATCTTTTCCACAATATCATTGAGACGAGAAGGGACGCGATAATTAGACCATTCATTGACTGACTGGATCACGCTTTTGGACTTTTCTTTAAATAACGATAAGCATTCTCCAAGATTGGACTGGCTGAGCTTTTGGGGATCTATTTGCCGAGTGGCCTCTGTCGCATTTTGTAGTAGGGCTTTGATGGACGCTTTAGATTTGTTTAATTTTTTGCCAGTGAGCCGTAATCGAGACGCAATTCGAGAGGAGCACATTTGTACGATCTTCTCTAGAAGCTCTTTCGTGATCTCCGTAGAGCTGCCTCTCTCTGGTCACTTTCGAATCAGTAGCTACAACGAACGGAGGAGACCAACGAACCATTTAGGGATCCTCGAAGTACGTTAAAAACGTTTTCCAATCCCATTTTCAATGATTGAAGTAAGCCATTTCCGTCTGTATATGTTCTCTTATTGACCGCCAGGAGAACCTTTAATGCACCGCCATTAGGATCCTGCTCAATACATACGGCCGGAATATAATCCGGCCCATCTTTAGTTTTAGCAATAAACGAGAGGATTTCCACCAGGTCGCTTTCTTTAGAGAATGGTAGTACATAGCCCTTTTCGGAATCTCTGAAAGATTTGATGGGCATTTGTTTCGGTTGTTCAGGGACTTCATGGAGTAGGTAATTAAGAGCAATATTCTCTGCACAATCTACCGCAGCAATGTGCAGTTTACCGGCCATTGTGCCAGAACCATACAATCTGAGCGACCGTGAGGAATGTCCGCTTGGATCTCGATGAGATCTTAATAAATCATGAGTCATTATATTCTTATGAGAATTGGGTCACAGGGCAAACATACCCGGGCAGAAACCACTTGAACTGGCTGTGAGGGAAGAAAGGAGAGAGATGCAGATGTTCCTTGTAAATCGGACATGTCACATCCAATCGTAGGTCAACATGTAGCGCGGAGATCATGCGTCCATTTCCATCGGGCTCTGCGGCATGGATGGCAGGGACCTCTGCTGCTTGACGTGGCAAATAGTGCGGCGTCCAGCCTAAAGACGGCGGTGCTATATGATTCGCATGTCCTGCATGGCCACTTCGGCGAGGAACCAGAGTAAATGAAAACAAGTCCATATTCCACGCCAGCTTCCATTTTTTCAGTCCCGTCGTTTCATGCTTAGGTGCTTGTTACAAAACTATTCGCTGGGCGTGCTCGCTCAATTACACCAACATAACGGGGGACTAAGGGCTAATTTCAAGGGCCTCTCGCTATCCACCCGTAAGCTATATACGGTGGCGGCTGTGATAGTGATTCTTCATCATCTGCCAAATTGAGTGGTGTACGTGAAGCAAAGTGTAGTTCATCTTCTAAGCGCCCAGTAACCCCGCAGATTTCGAAGCCTTGGTGTGCCCCCAGGTGTATCATATTGGCCCTGGGGGGTCTGACCCCATGCAGCTGATTCGGACCATCGCTGAAGCAGTATTAACTTGTGCTCCTGTTGGGGCCAGACTGAGTCCTATGCAGGTTATCTTGGGCATGTTGGCATTCTGGGCCACTGGTATCGTGAGGCGGATTTGCGGAAACAGGGGCTTGCTTATAGGGAAAGTGGGGCGAAGCGAAAAGCTGCCTCGCACGTCGGCATGGCATTATCTTTACCCACAGTACCGTATCGTGGTCAGCCTCTGTCATAACAAATATAGTGAATACCATCGCTAAATTCTTAGTATTCTCACTCCATAGGGTCATTTCTCAATTCCAGGGATAATGCGGCTCTTTTCAGTTCGAACCAATCGTACTCAAAGCGATAGATAGCTTGATCCAATTGAGAGCGAAATGCTGGCTTACTTCGACAATTATTCGCTCTCCGTATTCCACGTTAATCATACTTAAGGGCCTAGCCATCGAGCCCGATCCGACCTAGTTCCTCTCCTCAATGAGGCTTTCCTTCATTCCGGCAGATATTCATCTATGTTTTAACATAGCGCCCGGTTTTTTGTCACTGCGAGTCTCTGTGGTTCGCTATAAATGATAAGCTCTAAGAACTCCTCTTCGTTTAATTGAAGTGTGAGTCAAAATTGCGTCTTGAAGCATTGAAAACATCCTTGCACAATTAATATTTATCTGTTCAACTACCTAAATTCAATTTTCAATTCCTATATTTGCTCTTTTCACTTATGGAACCTTTTATCCCTCAAGGGTCAAATCACACTAATGTTCCAACCATGCCAGGCTTAGAGAGCTCGCTAAATGCCAGACTTGGTATGCCAAGTGCCATTCATGAATACTGTCTAAGTGCGCACAATGAAGGGCATACAAGATGCATATGGACCTGCATGAAAAAAGGGAAGAAATAGATAGCAAAGGACATCAAGGTTGACCAAATGGATGGTGTGTTGGGGATCCCTGAGCTGCGCAGGCAATGCAGTTGGTGGAAGCGCCATTCCCTCTACTCAGTAGTGGGGGTCAAAGAAGTTATGGTACAGTGCTTGCCTTCGTCGCTCAATTCGAAACATTGCTGACGAGTCACAGTTCCGTTTCGCAAAGTTCGACAAAAGAACGAAAGAGGTTTCTGTTTACGTGAAAGACTTTGACTACAAGTCCAGAATAGCGGAGATCGAGTCTGCTGTTAACCACTTGCCGAGTATTGAAGATCCTTGGGAGTGTGGAGTTGATATAATGGGAAAAGGCCACACTCCAGTTGATATATGCCCGAACACAGCTTACGATAGCATTGACGGCGAACCCTATTGTGTTGCTCAGGAGCTCCGGAAACGCACACTGCAACGAGAAATGTTGGAGTGGTTGCCAGCAATGATAGAATTCTATTGGCAAAATGGAATTGAATCAGACCAAGTCGAATTTCTTGAGAACGGCAATTTTGTGAGGCAATACGAGTAAGGGAGCTCTGGATTCACCTTTTTGAATTGGTATCTGACTGGGCACTATAGGGACCTTGCATGGGACCGAGGCACGGATGCACTAAGTCCTTATGGACGAGTAATATACGGCTTTCAGTTGATTGAAGGCTGGCATATCCGCTCTATTTTCTGTCTTTTCATAGGTTCTTTGTTCCTAAGTGCTTGCGTCGTGGCGATATCTACTGCGATTCTACACAGCTTCGAGGCGGGATTGACGGCAGGTTCATACGCACTTGCAATCGCGGCTGTGACTCTTGCTGGCTTGACCTTCTTTAGCGCCATCATTTGAATGACGCATAGCATCTCCAATGGATGGGTTACCCTACAATATAGTCAATTTCAAAGTGTTTAAATATATTGATAGACCTCCGTAAGCTAGATAACTGGATCATTTGGGACACTATTGGTCGGAAAGATGTTAAAAGATACATGACGATCTACCTAGAAGATGGGAGGAGATATAGGATACGCTTAATGTAGGGGATGATATAACCACACCAAGCCCCGGACCTAACCTGCAAGAATGGCCGGAAGAAGTATACTTCGCTAGCCAGTAGAGTCCCCTCCTCACAAGAGGGGATATAGCGAGGCTGGGGTTACCACTCCGACCCCTAGTCAGGCTGGAATTGTTAGTAACTGTAATAAATTCCATGAAGTTGTTAGCGGGGACGGTTGTTACCCCATTGATAAAGCGGCGGGTATTACTTTGGCCTAGTACTCCGTAAATGGCACTAAATTTTGGGGGCCAGCCAAGGAACCCCAGCAAATGGACTTTCTTTGTGCTACTAAAAGTGCTAAAAGTTGAACTAGGCCTCGATTTTCTCTAGTACAGTATGTCTTTCTGGATCCTGGCGGCGTTAAGCCTTGCGGGGCCTAATTTCAGTGGCCTTGCAATCACCAATCCCATTCGCCTCCCCAGCAGCTAGGCTTTCGGCTCGATTTCAGGCCGAGTTGGGTTAAGCCGGGTTAAGCCATGTGCTAGCTCGAAAAGACCCGCCCTGATCATGAGGCTCCATGATAACTCGGCTTTTCAGTCTCCAAGCAGCTGCGGGTAGCATCCGACAAAGATTTTAGAAGAATACGAGGAAGATTCTTAGAAATAGTTTAAAATGGACCTAATTGAAGTCCTAACTACAGACTAGTTTGCGTTGCATTGTCCATAGGGCCTACGGACTATAAGGAGAAACTAAGTCAGCCACAGTTCAGGGTCGCATAGTCCCTATTCCAACTTTCTCAGGGTCACATCGTCCCTGCACCCACCATCCAGCCCTAGTCTATCTGGGGCTGGTTGGGCGCCTGGGGTCGACCCCGGTTACTGAGCTAAATACCCGTCGGCTTTTCACGTTTTCCCACGTCTTTGCAGCCTCTTTCACCAGCTTGTTCTTATTCTTTCTGTTTATTTCTTTGTCTTTTAGCTCCATACCCAGAGAGCGTTCTCCCCCTTAGCATTCGATTTTCCTTTCGACGACATAGCACAATGAGACGAATTTTGTCCACATTAGCTTGTTGCCTCCTTCACCCCCTAATCGCATCCGCGATAGGAGACGCGAGATACAATGCTTCTCTCCCATTCCGACCGAGCAATATTACAGGACTAAGTGATATCTATCTTTGGGTTGGGTCGTATGTTAGCTTTTATTCACCTACATCGCTGTTGCTAACTTTCGGGTGTAGGTATTACAATGCCACGACGAAGATAGAGTTCACGCCCGAGATCGGATCGACAACTAACAACTCTGTATGCAAAAATCTCCAGGGCCAAACATTCACAGCGGAATATGAGTCTTTACTCGCTATCACAGAGAGGGGCCCTTACAATCTGGGATCAAACCTAGTCAACACCCTATTGACCCTCTGGAACTCGGATGTAAACCTTACCTCGCTCTCCTCGGGGTCACCATGGACCTCCTCGTCCCTAGACTGGTATCTCGAGTCAGCCCCGTAAGTCAAAACTCACCCTAAATTGAAACATGTAAACCCTTTCTGACTAATTCTAATTCTTGAAGCTGGGTGTACTATGCGAACAATGGCTCAACTGAAAGCGATGCGGGTACCGATTCTTCTGTCAAAGATGTCTTCAATTTGACCCTATCGCCAGAGACTAAAGGACCTCCATACAAACTAACAGCAAACATCAAGGACGCAGACTTGATGCTGAGTAGTTTTGAAATGGATCTCAAGTCTTGCAACACTTCCACTGAGACCAGCCAGAATCGCATGACGCTCGTTGATCGTGATTGGTCTAATAATGCGGGTTGGACCTGGATATATCCCACGGTTGACTTCCAATTTGATAGCCGAACGGCCAACTTCACTTTGAATGGATATGCCGCTGGGTTTCCCTATTTGATCAATAGATCCGATCCCTCGAAGTCACTAGGTCCGGATGAGGTACAGGGGAAGATCAAGGTGTCCTTCTTCGGGGTCATCGACTCTTACCACTCCGATACTTTGGTCAACAGCAGCTCAACGCCCACCTGGCTTCGAACCGTCGGTTTTGGAAACAACTCCGCGAATATAGGCTATGATAATGCCTCTCTTGGCTCGCCCCGTCCATGGCACTGGGGAGCTGTTGCGGTTTGCTCTGTTGTTTCCTTGGTTTTTATGTATTTCTAATCACCCTCTGACGAATGTATATATGAATATAATTAAGCATTAATCAAGAAACCTTGTTCTAAATTTGTTTTCTTCATCCCAAAATTGTCTCCGTATCTTGAGTAAACACACCGAACTTTGTTGAACGCGAAGTTCTCCGGGTCACCCCATCTTTACAATATCGAATTCGATGGAACAACTTTGGATTTGACGTGAGACGAAAGACATGGACATCTTTGAGCTAAACTTACCGATTGAGGTACGGTATTAATACTGTGTAAAACTGAATTAACTGTCATTATAAAGTACGCATAGTGCTCAATAACTGTGAGAAATGTCAATGTTATTTTCAACCTCGGTTGTGCCACTTAGTCCGGGCACTTACAAATTGAAGTAGTCATCAAGAGAGAAGAGAGGTGCTGGTAGAAATCCCAGTCGAGGGACCAGTCGAGGTGCTAGTCGAGGTGCTACACCGATCGATGCAGAGTATCCAGTACACCCGTGATTAACCTAAGACCATATCGCGCACTCACCGGTATTATTCATCATATACAGAACGCTAGCCTTAGCGCTCTATATATCAGCGCAAGTGAGAAGGGCGAGAAGTAAGAATTACATTTTCTGCCTATACTGTACATTCATTCTCGAAATCGGCTCGTCCCCGCCCCGACATAGAAGTATGATACTATGTCCATAGAAAATCATCCAGGAAGCTATGTGGATAAGTTGAAGGGTGTAAATAATCCTTACGGTTTGGCGCAGTGGTCACGTTATGACGAGGCTGAGATTCCCCCTCTTTTAGTCAGAGAGAGAGAGGAAAAGTCCATGTGGTGATCTTAGGATTGTGGCCTCCCAACCTGATCCAGTCGGTTCAATAAGGCTTGAGCTTCCCTTATAAGAGCCCTGCGTGCATTCTTGACTGTCTCGTTTCGCGGTTCGATCCCATCGGCCTTCAACATCACACGCGCCAAAATCGTCTCGCTCAACTTGCGGTACTCAAACTCCAGCTTCCTCGGGCTGGCGGGTGGATCAGCCAGATATTCCTCACAGAGGGGGGTCAACTCTCTCCGGAGGTATTCGATCAACGTGTTCGCCTGCTCCAGTGGGGTCTTCAACGTCATCATGCGAGGTGCTGGAGGGATTATTGCTTCATAACGCCGCTTAGGAGCGACACTAGGCACAGGGAGAGGGCCAGTTGGCTCGCCGCGGGATTTCTTCTCCTCTGCAATCAACAGAAGGCGCTCGAAGTCTTCCTGTCCCGAGTCAACGTGTCGCTGGTAGTAGCTTTGAACCTGCTCGATCACATTAGCTCGCAGAAGGCCATATTGTGAGAAGTGGGAATTGTTACCATTACTGTAGTCTTGGTCTTCATGAAATTCGAAATGCCTTCGAAATCACCACCAAAGTGGGCAAGGAGTCGGGGGAAATCCCGTTGTTCTGGAACAGACCAGTAACTCGTCGGTTGGAGTGATCCATAGCCAGTGGATACCCGCACCTTCCCACCGTTTTCCCTGGTGGTGTCATTTGGATTCTTCGGTCTTACCCCATCGACAAAGTTATCTTTTTCGATGTTGAGACTAGTCCCAGTATCTTGGAAAGAATGGTCGAGATACGATGAATTCGCTGCTGATTTGACCTCATGCAGGAGAGGACCGGGGAAACTTAAAAGCACCGAATCTGCAACTTCCGAATCTGGCGGTCGAGGCAATTGAATAAGTTCATCACTCGTTACCCCTTGAAGTGGAAGGCGCGGCGGTTGATTAGAGACTGGACGCGGCGCAATAAATGATCTTGAATCAGGGGGACCGTTCAGGCTATGTTGGATAACTCGAGGACTGTTTTTCTCATGCCTGCGTTGATCTACCCGGAGGGCATTCAGTTTGCGTTTCTTTTCTGTTATCTCACAAGAGGCGTCTGTTGATATCGTCTTCGCTATTCTTTTTTTGGGAATGGAGCTTGTATTTTCCGACTTTGGTAACCCTTGTGAACCTCTTGGCTTGGCGTTCATGCGCTGGGCGCGAGGTAGATTGGACGTAATCATGGGGGCTTGTCAAACGACACCATTCCTTGCACTCGAGGGGTCGTTTCCGTGGCGCATTCCCTTACAGGGCCTTCTGGGCATTAAGAGCCAGATTAGGGGGCCAGCATATGTAGGACATGGGAAGACCCCTACTTAGTCTTATGGAGAAGCAGTCCTGAGGACTTCAGCTTTCTCAAATTAGGTCAAACGACGTCGAGGTGCTGAATTTAGTTCCACTTGCAATGGACCAGGGCTTAGAGGGTGTCGGACCTCACATTCTGTTTCAAACGTTAGAAGAAGATAACGAAGAGATTTGAAACGATTAGGCAGCAGTGCGATGGCTAGGTATCCAATTGCAAGCCTCTACTAAGCGCCGGGTTGCCTTGTACCCCGCGCCAAGTCTAAGGCTGAATACAATTCCCACCCCCGCAGATGTCTCACAAAACCGTCGCCTTCACCTCCATTGCTAACACCACTTCAGTAAACATGACTCTTACTTATCATAACTATGGTGTCGTAGTTCTTTGTGCGCTCAGCATAGAGCTTCTTGCCGTACAGGCCTTGTTCGATCAAGAGTATCCGTAGCTGAAAAGTGTTAAACAAGACATAAACCATTACTCTTTCGGCCGAATGAAGGACCACTAGATGGTAGGGACGTGCCTTCTATCTGGATAGCATGGTACAAACGGTCCAGCTGCGATAATGTGGAACTTATAACCAAGTTTTCCGAAAGTCGAATATTGTCTGCTAGTAGGAATCGGTAGAGATGTACGCTTGTTAGTAAATAATATCCGGCTCGGTGATATCAGATTCGAAAAGTGAATAACTAGCTATTGTATAGTACGATATAGGAAAGATATTAGAGAACGACCGCTTTAAAAGGACTAGAACGCTCTACTAACTACCTTGTCTCCTAATAATAGTACTTAGTATTCTCCGGTCTAATCCTAATCTAGAATCTAGTTTGCTTTAGCGCTACCTAGAGATAATTAGTTAATGGCGACCGAAGTATCGGTTTTCTAGTCGGGAAAATGATATTTTATATACTATAGATATTCTTTATCAAATAACTGATAATACCTACTAATATTATCATAGTAATAATATTAGTAGGCACTAACGATCTTCTGCCTAGCCTTCAATATTTTATGGCCCAATTAGACCAGGAAACTAAGTTATGAAGAGTGCTAAATCGCGAGTCCCTTAGGGAAATATAAGTTACTATGACTGGGCTGGGACAATTGCTGAAACCGCTTAGAGCCGAAGTTCAGGGAGCAGTAACATTATTTATACAGTTACCTACCACCCCACGTCCATGTCTATGTATCCATGCTCGAGAACCAGTCTGACTTTGTCAACTGATGAGTCACTAAAGCGTGCTTGGACTTGTAGTTAATTGTAGTTCAGCGTTCCGCAGGTTCCACACGCCAAGCTGGCATTAACTGGAAGTCTGCACATTATTTAGTTTGAACAAATCAGCCTCGAGCTATGATTCCTGTGAAGGGTTATCTCCCCGTAGAACTTGCCTAATGTCGACCATATCCACCAACAACTCAAACCCAAGAATATTATTGATTTCACTTGACCGGGAATCATTCTTTAAAAAGCGACCTCCGCCAATACCTCAATTATTTACATGATAATGGCTCTGAAATTTCACCTTATGTGCATTACAAGAATAGAGGCGCCTTTCAAAGGAAACCCATTGGATAGACTTGAATATCATCGTCGGTCTAGTCGCCTCACCTGTCGGTGTGGTGATTCAACCGGCCACCTCAGCTCCGCACCCAAAATTAGGGGAGTTCGCTGGCTTTCGCTTTCAGTATGCGACTGCACCGAAAGAACTCCCTGCAAGAAGCTTAGACTATTCGGAAGGGTGGAGCTTAAAAAAGAGGTTATACCCACCTAACGCACCTATTATCCGACCGTAAAAGGTATTTTAGGGCTGCTGCTCAAAGAATCGCCTTATTGTGTTGCATCAAGAGTCTCCGTATTCTAGGTCTGCATATCTCCATGTCGCCCGACCTTGCCAATGACACAAATACAGAAGCCATCGCCTATTCCGGAGCACTGGATAACCTCCACTACTGGAATATATGTCATTTTCAAAGTCCACCGTTTCGCATAGTAGCACTGTAGCATTGATAGACGGCATCTTCGAGTCTACTTTTTGGCATAGAAAAATTAACAGTGGTCGCCTGAATGAAGGGGTTTGTTATTGGGATTGTAGAAAATGAAGTGAAAGATTTACAGGGTGTCATAGCTAGAAAAGGGACTCCAGAAGCTCTCGGAGACTCGCAATTCGCTGATGAGGTTGTTGCAAAGGTATAAACAACCCTGCCAGTGCCTAACGCTTTAAACGGGGTCTTTGTTAGGCGTGAAAGAAGCGAAAGGCGAAAGATTTGTTACTTAGGGCTGTTTGTATTCCAGATGAGACAATGATTTTGCAAGTATCATTGATCACTAGCATTGGTCTTAGGGAGGAAAATAAACTCTGCTCAAGGTTGGGACCTTGTAGTCCTGTTGCTTTTTCTCTTTACCTGCAGGTAAAAAAAGATTAGTGTCTCCGGGCAATTTCAGGCCACATCTCATCATGATTTGGAGGATCAGGCCCGTCAAAATAGGGAATATGATGAGCATCCTCCTTCAGGTATGTATCCAAGTCATGCCTTCTCTTGCACCAAATACAACGAACATTCCCATTAGTCGGCGATCGCTTTCCACATGGACACCAAAACTGAACAAAGAGAATTATCAGCAGCTCGAACACTGCGATCTTGATAAGTGAAAATATCCTCATACGTACCGCTAAAAAAGCATCTGAGTCCATAAGCCATAGCCCCCGCCCGCCTCTGCCCGGCGGATCACCCTCCCAAACCCGTAAGGTGCTAGTCTTATAGTACTCCTTATCCTGTTTTTCCTCCTTCCACCGACACGTATAGCATATCCAACGGGTATACTGATCACAGTCACAAATCTCCGACAGCCGCAACGGGAGTGTGCTCTGCACCTTTTCATCACATGCTGTACAATAACACACGAGCGTGTGATTAGTGCCATCGATATCAATATGTGGTCTGCGGTGGGAGTGATATCTAGGTGCGTCTCTGACGCGTGGCACATATCGGATTCCTAGGTGGAGATTTAGTGGAAAGAGCCCCGAGCAGGCGGGGAGACGTACTTCGCAGACGTTGACACCGCATTTAAGACATGGGGGGGGCATCATATGGGTCGCATTTTACATTCCATAGACGGACTTCGATTTCTTCTTCCCATTGCGGTCCATACTCCAGACCAAAATTGACATATGGGCTATATACCCAAGGTCTGTACATTCCAGTGAAGTTTTGGCACTTGAGTAAACCCTGGCCGTCACAGATATTGTGGCGCTTAAGACTGTTGAATATTGGTGGTGACTCGAGGATGACCGAGTATAGTTCGTGGCATGTCAATGCGACATTGAATACGTCCAGAGCACTTAGATGTTGAGCCGCACGGTTGAGCAGTTCATACTGCGAAAAAAGATAATAGAGATTTCGAGGAGGATCCATAGGATATAGACTTTCTCATCTCTTTCTTAACTTTAAGAAATTGAAATGTTCCTGGGAGGTGGAAGTATCGAAGATCAGCAATAGCGAAGAGGCTGCTAATCAAGGTGTTGGGAGGGGCAAAAATACGAGAACGAGCAGGTTTCAGAAAGTGACCTAGAACGAGCAGCGAGGGGTAATTCGGTTTTTATTGCTGGTACAAACCCACAAAACAGATTCGCAATATGAAATCAGATACAGTAATATTAATGAATCGCCAAGGCATCGCTCTTCGATCTTTATAGTTTCTATGCGGGATTAATTTATCCTGGAGGGTCGTTTTGTCAGCGATTGTACTTGTCTACTCACTTATCACGTGCCTGCCTGTTTTTGTCGTGATGATTTACCTTGATCATGGCAACATATGACGATCAACGGGCCATGAACAGCTGTTCTTTTCCCGAGATATTCTTAATCCAAGAACCCTTCCACGTTCCATAAAGCGTGATATTTAAATCCATAGCTTCCCTGTTGTCCCTCCCTCTCATACTGTCCTCTGCAGAGCATTCCAGATGGACGCGAAAGCCCCTTCCAGCCTCCCACCGGTATCTGCTCAACGAACACAAGCCTTCGAATACCCCTTAAGTCGTATACTAGAGACGCTACGATTTAGTAGAAATCCAATTCGGTATGCCTCTTTCCTTCTTTCAGATATAAACAGTATACTAATCGTTGTGGAGATTTATGATTTGTTTATGCGCATTTATTATTCTCTTTACTATTCTATGTCGTCAACATTGTGACGCTGATTTATGTCGTTATTACCCTCAAAATATCACGGAAGGCCGAGGTCTTTTTCCCCTTGTTTATGGGGTATGGTTCAAGGTCGCGACCAGCCAGAGACCTTGTGGCGGAAACTGAGGAGCGGGCGGTCCAAGTTGAGAAAGTGTCAGTATCTGTTGACCGAAAAACAGATAACCTTAAGGAAGTTGATTAAGGGCGCTTGAAATCAGTTGTGTATATCTCGAACTCTATTTTGAAACTAAGCTAGTCTATCCTCTATTCAGCTGGCTACAGGATGTTGAAAGGCTTTGAGTGTTTTGAAATAAAAATACTGACTTTCCTTGCAGTTTAAAGGCTGCTAGAGCAGTATTACCACTGGGTGGGAGTATTCCCTTCCAGTGAACTTTACCACTATAAATACCGCTTGAAATAAGATTGTTCATGTAACACTAATAAATATGAGGATTAGACCGGGAATGCAAGTCTCTTCTGTAAAATTGAAGTCCGGCCTGGAATAATATATAGTGTATTACCCATATTCTCTATACTGTTCATGTGACCATTCCTGAGTCTGAATACAGCCCTCGCAGTGCCTAAATTGGGTCTTCTACATATCTTTGGGTCTCCCGATCCATCTCAAAATTTGTCAGTCAAGCTCAACATGACTTGTACCTGTTCGCGGACAGGCGCGATCTTTATGGTCGGTCATAGGCCACAGTGGCTAGAATGTGGGGACAATGTGGAGCATTGACCACCACTCAGCGACACTCACCATGAGTCAGTCTGAATCACCCCGGTTTACCCCACGTCATTTACCACCAAGTCTACCCTGAAGGATTCGGTAGCTACACGCTAAATAGATTATAAATAGGCCATTTGGGTCTAATCTGTTCAGCCATCACACCATTTATCCATTCAAAGATACAACATTTAGCCTATCAGAGAACCGTTATTCTATCGTGGACACATCATTCGCCATGTCAACCGTTTCAAATCCACCCAGCTCTATCGTCTTCTACGATATCGCTATGCGCCCCCCAGTGGAGAAGAATTGCTGTGGAGTAAACCCCTGGAAGACTCGACTGGCACTAAACTTCAAAGGTGTGCCATACTCGACCTCGTGGGTGCCTTTGCCCAATATCGCAAAAGTCCGCAGCAGCCTCAAAGTACCACCCTGTCGCAAATTTGCCGATGGCAGCGACTTCTTCACGTTGCCCATCATTGAAGATCACTCCACTAATTGCTCGGTGGGTGACTCTTTCGATATCGCGGTCTATCTGCAGGAGACGTATCCGAACTCAGGCGCGGGTGACCTGTTTCCCCCTCAGACGCTCGACTACGTCTTCACGCCCCCTGCTGCGATAGCTGTACCGCTCTCCGACTGTCGCGAGGGTGAATTTTCCGAATACGCCAAGTTCAACATGTATGTTGATGGCGCCTTCAGCACACACGTGCAGCTTACGGTTCAATGTTTCCCATTCGACCCTGCTACTGCGGAGATCAGCAAGGCCGAGTTTGCCCGGCGTGCCGGCGTTTCAAGCTGGGATGACTTTTCTTTGGTTGGAGAGGCGCGAGAGAAGACGAAAGAATCGTTCCGGGAAACCCTTGGCGAGCTGGCCAAGCTATTCCGAAAGGACACCAGTGGACCCTTTGTACTCGGAACTAAGGCTTGCTATGCGGACTTGATTGTTGGGGGATGGCTCCGGATGATGCGAGCTGCTCTGCCCGGGAGTGAATGGGAAGAGCTTCGAAGCTGGCATGATGGCATTTTTGGGCAATTGCATGACGCATTGGAGGTATATGCGGAGGTGAAATAGGTCTTGCTTGGGCATTCACTAGGAGTTCATTTTCGTTAACCAATCTCCATTGAATAAGCTTCGTGGTCAAAAATTGCAGGGCTGGATTCCCTACCGATTCATCTATTTAACCCAAAACTAGAGTTTCTTACCGGATTAGCTTATGGTCAAATTTCAGATAGTGCTCTTGACCGTGATCTAACAAAAGGTACGCAATCTATATCCAGTCGTCTTCAATGTCAGCTAGTAATTTTGGGGGCCCTGAGCGGATGCATCTAAAGTGGCCTTACTCTCGCCAATAAAATAACAGCCATGCCACCCCAGATGAGCGCAAATTCTCACCAAGTTCATCCCCATCTAGGAAATCTATGCAAGAGTATTGCATGTCTGTCAGAATAGCGGAGGTAATCAATATGTCCTCATAGACTAGCATTACATCGGAGGATCGAATAACCATAATCTAATTATAAGCAGCTCAAGAAATTCTATATGAGATCTAAAAGCCAGACCTTAGGCAGACATGAAAGAAATTCCAGTTGAAATGTTTGTCTTGAGCTCATCCAGGGCAATTTCAAGCAGCCTCTTCTCATTCTGAGATAAATCGCCAATGGGGAGGACCTCGGTCGCACCATCCTTTCCCAGTACAGTCTTGACAGCAAAATAATCGACGCCAAGCTGAGAGGCAATTGCCTTTCCACCTGGAACACCCGGCAGATACACATATGCCTCCTCCGTCACAGCCTCGCCATTTCCTGTTGACAAAATTGCCTTGACGAAGCGGAAACCGGCATATGCCATGCAGGTTGTAGCACTACCAGCTCCCTGCTTGCTCTTGACGATCTCATCACCACCAAATTGCACGCCTTACACTGTCAGCATAACTCTTAACTCCTATATTTGCAAATTGCCTACTTACGATTGATAAAGGTCTCGATGAGGAAGCTCGCGCGGCTATGGTCGCGCTCGCTGGCGCTGGCCAGGCTGACCACGAGGTTATCTCGGCAGAGATACAAACCATATCCCGTGCGCTGCAAGAGGCTGGTAGCTCCGAGCGTGGTTTTGTCGACCTTTTCAAGGATAACCGTCAGCGTCTCTTCTATCGTTTTTGCCTTGCCATTGGCGTTAACTTCGGTGCACAAATGACGGGTGCCAATGCAATTTCTTATTATGGTACAACCATATTTCGGTCGTCCCTTGGCTTACCAGCGCAAAAGGCATCACTCCTTAATGCCGGCGTGCTCACTTGGAAGATCGTTGCTGCCATCTCAGCTTATGTCACCGTTGATCGCTTTGGGCGAAAGCCGCTCTTCATCATCGCCAGCATGGGGATGAGTGTAAGCATGGCTTCACTGGCCGTGAGCGTCTGGGTCGTACAGAATCACTATACATATGCAGCCTCCGTGGCGGCCACTTTCTTCCTTTTCTTCTACATGACATTCTTCCCACTCGGCTTCCTTGGTGCGAATTTCCTGTATAGCACGGAAATTGCCCCGCAGGATCTGCGCATGCATCTGTCCGCCATTGGAACAGCGACACATTGGCTTTTCAACTTTGTCATTGCGGAAATTACACCCATCGCTTTCGTGACGATCAAGTACCGCTATTACATTGTGTATGCCGTCATTGCTGCCTCTGTTGCAATTTTGATATTTTTCTTCTTCCCCGAAACCAGAGGCCTCTCGCTTGAAGAAATGAACAACCTCTTCCAGGATCCCAAGCACTGGTGGCAAGTCACCAACTACTCCAACGCACTGCGAAAGTGCGGAGTACTGGAGCTTGAGACTAGTGAGAAGATGGAGGCAGTCCGTCATATTGAAGAAGCCGATAATTGAGCAGTCAGTGTGTGATTTTTCAGGGTGGATCATGTTGAATTCATCGAGTCCCACGGTAGCTCTTGGGTACCTCAATTGTAGGGGTAAATCTTGACATTCAAGTTATTTCTGTTCTGGCTGTCACATTCGGCAAGTCCATCTGCGTTGCTGAATACAGTGTTTTGATCCCACATGTAGGGACCTTTCCTGCCTGAGTTCTTTGCATTGTAGTAGCCCTGATAAACTAGTGAAATAATTCCCAGATACGTTTCCATCACGTGGTGTGCCTTGGAGCTGTTGGTCTAGATCCAACAGAATGAGGCCGCAGAGACCTTGTTTGAGACTGTGGCGTATAAACGCAACCTAAGCACCTGCAAGCCAGACCATGGCGGGAAAGCCTCCACTTCGGAGTTTTGTAGGGCATTTGGTCTCTAGATCAAGCGTTCAGGTGCGATAGGTGCGTTCAATCCGTTCCGCGTGTCTCTGGTCCCGATCTCGACTCGTGCATTGACTGAAGACCATAGTCCTAGGGATTTTATTGTGACAATTCCCATCGTGCGCACTATGGGCCCTGTATTTGGCGGTGTTCGGTTGTGATTAGAATCGGTATGCGGTTCGATAGAGGATCGTGAAGCTCGAGTCTGGCCAGCCTGCAGACATCCGCGTTAGCATCAAGGGTCTCAAACTGATGTCCAACAGCCTGGCAACGAATGGTCACTACATAAACACTTCATAGGAGCGGTCATACATTGGAAACAGCGAATAACGGGTCGGTCACGGTGAAGCTGGTGAAGACAGAGCAAGGACCACTAACAATGGTGGTACTGAGCAATGCCATCCAAGCCACACCGGACAGCTCTGGTATAAAGATGCCTGTGTCGATACGATGTTGTGCTGGGATGGGAGACGCAAAGGGATGATGGCGTGTCAAAGGCGTGGTTGATCTATCAGATAGTCAGCAAATTATTGTCAACAAGCTTACGAGGCCAAGGGTGAATAGTAAAATAACAATATGGCCAAGAAAAGGGTAGAAACAAAGTAGTGGAGCTGGTGGGTCTCGAAGTAAAGCCATTTGTTTGCTTCTGAGAAGCTATGTATTACTTCCAGTTCCAAAATGGCAAGAAGGCCCCTTGGTAACCTAGTGGTAAAAAACTAGACTTACTGCACACCTCTGGCGAGTGGGAGGTGTTCGAAACCGGGTGGTGTCAATGCACTCGCCTAATTGACGCCGCTCTCCCCATGATCGTCGGGTTTAAGTACCGGACGGCCAGTGGGGCGGAGTTAGCGGGTGACCGGGGCCAATGCTCCACCTGGGCGGCCCGGTTTCGGCCTTCTTTTTCTTCAATATATTTCTTGTACATTGTATTATTTTTCTCTGTTGTTTTTGGTGATGTTGAGGACTGACGTGTGGGGTGTAGAGTTGGAGGTGCGGGTCACGTCTGATTAAAGTTGTCACAGGGACGGACGAGCCGCATACCACGTAGATGGAATATAGTATACAACTTTAATTAATGTTCGATGCCTACATAGAGGACAGTATTGATGGTTTTCGTGTGCTAAATGGAATTCTTGTTCCCTCTAATAAATCTAGAAGATCTCTCCACCCGTAAGTCAACATTTTTGTGTGGTGCAACAGCAAGATATCCGATTAACGCATATATTCGGGTGCGGTGGAAGGGAGTCGGCTTGTCGAAAGCTGGACACTGTGATCCACATACTTTGGGTACATCCGACCTCGAGTAAATGTACATGGAGTTTGGGATTATATTGAGCTTCTACGGACTTCCCCACACACGAGGAGTATTCTGTTCAATTTACATAAGGTTTGGCACCAAGAATCATAGAAACTGATTTGTGGAGTATGAGTGGGGGAAATGTGGATACATGTTGCAGTGGGGGCTCGAACCGACGACTTCTGTCCCGATTTGGTGGGAGACGCTGTCACTTTGGACTTGCGAATAGCTTCACCCTCGATGCCAGGATATCAGCTTCAACCCCCAGAACTCAATCAGAACTCATTTGAATTGCCTCGAATTTGCGTAGAATAGCGAATCCAAATTATAGAAGCTGTTGCCCAAATTTCAAAAAATTTAATCAAGTGTAAGGTGGTGATCTTCCGGTCGTTATACGCAATGCGGCATACCTGAACCCTTAAGTATCACTTCCCGGAATGAAAATCAACCAACCCCCTCCGGTGGTCGAGTGGTAATGTCTGGATTCCCGGCACTCCCTGTACTAAGGTGAAAAGTGGCCTTTGCTAACCTTCATCCCAAAGCAACGGAACCGGGAGGGAGGCATTACTTCCTCGGTCCGCCGTCACCTAGGGAGAAGCCTGTCAGGAGCTTTGCCAAGACTACACATGGGGCAGACCGGATGAGTGGTTGCGTCCACGGAGCCCGTAGCTAGTAACATTGCCGATGCCAGAGGGACCCCTAGAGTGTGGGATCGCAGACGTGTGATCCTTGAGCCCATATAGGTCTGGGACCCTCCGAAGCACTGGAGGTGTGGGGACTTTTTTGTTATTTTGATAATATTTTTTGTTAATCCTTCCCCATCCCCATTACTCCTCTCCACCCTTTTCATATACTTTCCCCTACCTCGAAGGTTACCACGTCCTCGATATCCTCCACCTCGAGCATATCGAGTCCTCGACCTTGATAGACCCACCAGTCCCGCATCCTAGTCTGAGTGATCGCCATTACCCGAACAGGAATTTGGTTGCTGACAAGCTACTCTTCTCCAGATACTACATTCGCAATACGCTTCGCCGTTTCCCAATACAGGGAATTCGTCTTCAGGAACATGAAACAATGTCGATCGTCGCCGCTGATGACTACATCGTGACAAAAGCAGTATGGAACTGCGATGCGATGCTGGAATATAAATATCGTCGGGTTGCCAACCCGGAATTATGGCCATGCTAGCATCGCAAGTCCCTGGATACTCCATTCAACCATTCGTGAAGCTACAATGGCCATCCTCAAGCCCACCCTGCTCGCTGCATTGGCATCAATGGCTGCGACCACGCAGGCCCAGTCCACCAACCCAAGCGTGGGCAGCAACTCCAAAGCCCAAGGTGCAACCGACGACGTGACCCCCAGCACCGGGCCAAACGGGTACCGCATTTCTTCCCTCCCCAACTACCACTCTACAAACACTAACCACTCCACAGATCCGAGGACTGGCTAAACACCGGCATCACGGGAGACGGCTGGACACCCCCCTTCCTCGCCCTCTCCGACGTCCTCCACATAACCCTCGACCAATTCTACAGCGGCATAGGCTCCCCCTGCGCCCAATACGATACATACTTCCAAAACGCATCCACCAAATACACCATCGACCCCGTCATCCTCGCCGTCATCGCCATGCAAGAATCATCCTGCAACGCCAACGCCGGTGGGCCCACCCCCGGCCTGATGCAAGTATCCTGCGACAACTATCCCAACGGCCAATGCACGGATTCCATCCAGGACAACGTCGATGCTGGGACGAACTATTTCAAGTCCCAGCTTGACGCCGCTGGGGGTAATGCGATCCAGGCGTTTGGCGCGTATAATGGGTGGTTTACGGCGGGGAGCGGGTTGAATGGGGGCAAGGGGTTGACGGAGGGGTCTCCTTGTTCGGCAGAGGGGAGGGCAAATGGGGTTCCGCAGAATTTGGATTATCTGCATCAGGTTTTGAATGGGTGGTTGATGGGGTTGGATGTTTATGGGGGTGATAATTGGATTGGGACTTATAAGTGTGATCAGAGTTGTGCGGATGGTAGTAAGTGTTAGATTAGATACGGCGATGAGATGTCTAGAGATGCTCATTGTGAAAACTCTGTACATTGAAATTGAAATGGGGAGTGTTTGAGAATTGTGATAACCCTTGCAGGATTGAGTAGAGAGTCCAATCTGTACACACATTGATAATGGAGATTTTCTCCTCGGCGGAATCCAGTTCCTTTCTCATGCAACGCCAACCCAATGCTATGACTCATATAAACTCTCCTCGGGCGGCGTATCCAACACAACCGGCTCAACCGTCCTATCCACAAGTTTCATATAATGCTGTTTCGGCGTATCTATATACTGCGGATCAAAGTCACGCAGCGCCAGGCCCATAAACCTCTTTTGTCGAGGGTTCACCCGATGCCATACCGCCCAAAAGATTTCATTCAGTCGAACTGCAGACTCATATCCTCGCTCGGAGCCAAGTAACAACGCCTTTTGACACCAGACGAATTTCTCCCAGTTCCCTGCTTCAGCGTAGGGGTTGAGGATTTGACTTAGGCCCCATAGTAGCGTAGAGTAGCCCCAGGATTTCATAGAGTCTTGCACGCAGTACGGAACGGACCGGCCGATTTCGTCGTGGTAGAACATTGAAAGTAGCAAGTCCACGTCTTGCGTGCGGTCGATGGGTATGTCGGATTCGTTGCTGTGGGAGAGGACGAGGCCTCGGGCTTCGTAGATCATGCGATGGCTGATGGATAATGCGACCCAGAAGACGATATGTAGCTTTGCGTTATCGAGTGATGAGAAGCGGTACGATACACCGAAGAGATCGTCTGTTGGGGAAAGTCGTGGGTTCAATGTTGTACCAGGCTCGCATTCTGAGGGTCCGCCGCCGAAATCCTTTTTGTGAGCTGCGTACCATGCCATCAGGGCGTCCTTGTGTGCGATGCATTTGGCAAGGACTGTTTGACAGGCTTGATAGTCTGAAGCATCGACGTTGTTGATTGCGTCTACTATTGGAGAGGCCTCGCCATAGAATTTCATTAATCCGTTCACGGGTCGATCGTCGCAGGGTTTTGTGAGGTAGTCATAGTCTTCTGGGGACATGCCCCTGCCCGTTGTTGAGAATAGCTGAGATGAGTTAGCGATATTTCAATTAAGAGACATCGAGGCCGGAACATACTATTCGTAGCTTTTGGTGTTGATTGTAAATGGCGTCGATTAAAGGGTTCTTCCCTGCCCTTCGACGAAAGTGCCTTAGGATCGCATTGGTGCCTGCAATATGTGCGACCCATACATGCAGGCCATGAGGGCAGTAGCATGACTATACGTAGAAGATCCACATTAGCTTCGATTGGTCTCCACCTCCTGGAAGCTTCTTAGCAACATACCTCTATTTCTTGAAAGACAATCGTCGTATACACGATATCGTCGCAGTAGTTATTCTGGCTCATCATGACCGAAAGATGGCGGATGGCACTATTATACAGCTGAATGCCATGATGAAAGAGATGAGAATCATTTCGCAGCTTGCCCAAGTAGAAGCACGCCAACGCTGCGATCGCTTTATCCAACATCTCCGTCTTCTTCGGTAGCGCTGAAAACCCGGAGATCAGGTAATGCCACACATCCAGCGCATAACTCGTATCAATGCTCTGCGGGAAATAGATATTCGCAAATTCGGAAAACACTTGACTGCGCATCGCTGGGCCTGAGGCCACAGCCTGCGGCATAATCCATGGCTGTTGGGGCTGCAGCGGGGGGCGTTTAGCGACTTGAAGCTTCCCCGCGCCCTTGGAAGAACCAGCACCACTCGCACCAGCAGTAGTGCCACTATTAGTGGATCGTTTGGACTTTCCAGTAGTCACTTGATGAACGAAGAAGCGGTCCCTGTCGTAGCCCAAACATTTTATCCCCGTCTTTAGGCACCGTGCGCACTCGGGTTCCTGTTGATCGCACTACTTTCCCAATCAGTCACCGTTGCGAGGCTGTCACGCCAGCAGGCAAAAAGGAAAAAGAGACAGATGCCCACCTTGATCTTCCGCTTCCGACATGTCCTGCAACCCTTGCTCTGCCACGGAATGCCACCCATCTTCGCTCCTGCACGACCTCGTCCGGGGGGTTTGTCGAGCCGATATCAATTCCAACCAGGACTAGAAGAACGGGGGGAGATAATGTAAGATTCCTGAGTCGGGGATACAGCTACGGGCGGGGGGTTCCCTTCCTAGGGAGCTCTCAGCCTGGGCTTCTGGTTTGTCGTGGGGCTGAGGAGGGGGGTTTTGGCCCCGATTCTTGACGATGCATCCAATTAGATTGGAGATAAGGCCGAGTTGGGTTTAGTTTAGGCTGCGGTGGACGTCTCGGCCAGTGTAACCGGAATGTAAAATTCCAAATTAATAATTTCGGGGAAAGCCCGGTCAAATCAGTTGTGCTGTGGATGTTGGTGGAGTGCTGAGATGTACATCCCTGCTCTTGGATTAAGGTAATAAGGTTTTATGCTTAGGTTGGTCACGTTGGTGGGCTGTTTTAAGATAGTTATCTATGTTGTCGTTTATCAAATGGTATATTTTAACATATCATAGTTCAGATTACGCTACAGAGTCTATATATGCTAGAACGACCATACTTCCCCAATGGGTGCCAGGTCCATGATCTATCGTAGGGCCATACGTATCACTGACGTTGACCGGCAGTGGCCACTAGCTAGAGTCGATGATCTGAGACCATCACAAACATAGACTTGCACAATTTAATATTCAAGACCTTCCTCATGTCTCAGCATTGGCAAGTCATTGCGCCCGCGCGCAAAGAAACCACTGGCATCTTGGGCGACTTGATCGACGCTCTACTTACGGGCAGCGCGGCTGGTCTCGTTCCACTTTTAGCAGTCCCACTTAATGCCCACCGGTCGGCCGATCACAACAACACAATCTATTAAGCAGGGCTAACATGTTAATTCCAGTGAACACATCGATGGACTTCTCCCGGGCGAAAATGCCGAAGATAACCAGGATGACGATTTCGAGTGCACGACGCGTACTCGATGCAACGGTCTCTCCCAGAACCACTCTAGCAAAGCCGCGAGAATTGAGCATCACAATGCAACCGAAGTCAGTCTGACGAGTCCGAAATCCCTTTTCAATTTCCCCTCGGAGATTCATCACCGCATTTTCTCGTTGCTCGATGTCGTGGAAGACGTACTGCGGTTTAGTCTGACAAATCGATACTTTTGGGCGGTCGGACTTGCCCATATTGAGGAGCATATCATCGCTTCTCTCGCGCCGTGGGCCGGCGAGAAGATCATTTGTGTTAGCGATAAAAGTGATCCTCATGATTTCCCGCCAAACCTACTCACTCCGACCGAAGCCGAGGAAGTCAAAGAGCTGAACAAGCTGTACGATTTCAACTCATTCTCCATTCGGAACACCTACAAAAAGATCGGTGGACCTCCCCTTTCGCAGAAACTGCAAATATGGTTCCTCGATTACGAAGCGGGTCACTACATGGGCACCGCCAACAGAGCAGAGATCATGATGGGTCTCAAGCCTGAGATTCTGGAGTTTTATCCGCGCGACCAGCGGTGGATCCTGCGGAATCTGACTACTCGGGAATACGTGCGAGGAGAAGTAATTGCACTGAAAGAAGAGTTCATCCACGGTCCACAGATTGAAGTCTTTGGCTTCGCTGAAGTGTTGATATCCCGGATCTCTTGGTCGACGCAGCCTGAAAAGATTGGTGGGGGGAATAATATTACTCGTGGGAAATGGGCGGGTCATCGATTCGATATTACTCCTCTCGCTTGGCTTCAGGAGAAACATGGGAAGGAACCTTGGAGGGATGTGAGTAACGAGATACTGCGAGAGATTGATTTGATTCTTGGAGGTCGAATGGGTGATGACTGGCGCGACCAGATGGCACGGAACTATCGGAAGCATGCGAAGCAGGCTCTTGTTGAGTATTCTTGATTTTCATAGCAAGGGCTAAAAGTGCACACGATTGTCAAGCCATACATTTTACATTTCATTATAGATTAGTTTCGATGTTCAATTTTTACTCAATCACTTAGCCAAGGACCATATGGATGCACTCTTGACTCTTTGAGTGTAGGCCAATTCTGAATGATATCTCGCAAATCGTTTCGCCTCATGCTACCAATCTTTTAGACATTACACATAATGGGACATGTGGCTTCTCTCTCGCTTCATCAATTTCTATGGCTCAGAACCACTCTTCTTCTTTGGCCCGCAGAGATTGTTGGGTCTGAATAGTAAAGCCCCCAGGAGCAGTCTTCAAAGTCTTCCTGAAAAGACAACATACGCCCACCCCAGCTCTGACAATCTACATCCACCAATACTCTCTTGGGCGAGATGAGAAGTCCTGAAATGCCCCTTGGGGCTCAGCGGATATTCTCGGGCGAAATGTCAAATCTTGGGAACTCGCAGTTTGAAACCCTCTTCCAGAGGGCACCGGGATCTCTGGCACACGATCACAGAATACAGTTGGTAGCTGGAGCGGTGGGCGGTAGTCGAGAACTTAATACCGTGAGAATATGTCAGTGCATTTGCTTCCGTAAATGTAATATGACGATGGATGTGGTTACCAGGCCGCTTGGTTTGACGTCTATTACGCTTGTCTTCAAGGTTATTGAGACTGTGGGGATGAGTTCATGTATAAACAAGGCTTTCCTGGTGTAACTTGTACTTCGCTCTGGAATTTCGAGTCGAGCTTACCAGGAAAGTAGGAGTGCGATTATGAAATAAACGGAGATCGCGAGAATCACGGAGCTTAGTGGAACACATGTATTTTGAATTTCGTCAAGTACTCTTGTACAATCTGGGATTTGCTTGGGGAGATAATCCTTGATGGTTTTCGGAATTGATGTTTTATGTAGATTGGAAGGTAGTCTCTGATGTAGGATTGAATATTTGGAGGAATCATTTTCATTGGATCATAGAGCCGACTTTGGAAAGGGATGAGACTTGCCTTATAAGAAGAGCAGATGGTAGAATCCGGGATTTTGTGTTTGGTAGATCTTTTAGTTTCTATCTATAGCTCGTTTGCTGTCCTGGGAGGAAGTGAAGATGGAAGCTACCAGAATAGAGTAGACGGTAATGTGACAAAGAAAACAGCACATTAGCCTGCTTAAGGACCATCTTGTTTACCGAAAATGACGCCTAGTATCGCCAGAGTTTTGGTTTACTCAATAATAAGATATAATTACCATAGTATTGCAAATTTTTCAGGTCTGAGATATGTCTAATCAGTACAGATGTGACACATTATAGTACCAGTATATCTGTCAATAAGAAGACCCCCGATGCAAATACTGGGCCTCAAGTAAGTCAAGTATCCGTTTAGCTATACTTCTTATTATAATATTAGGAAGAGACCCAACAAGGCAAATGTCAAATTGCTAAAACGCTACATGATGCGCAGATACGCTATGTGCAATGCAATATGAAAGATACATCCATTGGTAAACCAAACAATCAAGCCTCAATCAAACACCGATGACCCTGCGGAGCCATCAAAAAGAAAGACTTCATAACCATGTCCTCCTCCTTCATCCCTTCTTTAGTTGAAATGCGCGCATGGGGGAATTTCCTGAAGAAAAGCGCCGTACCAAGACGCAGCTCCATGCGAGCGAGATGCAATCCGATACAAACTATCGACAAGATTAGCAGGGACAGAAATGCAAGGAGCTTCAAAATACTCACTCCTTGAGCCTCCTCCAAACGGCAACGACGCATCCTTCATATCTTTCGTCACTTCCTCCCATCTTTCAGGCTTGAAGTCATGCGGGTCTGGGAAAATTGTGGGATCCCGATGCATACTGTAGGACTGTGTGGACACCGTGGTGCCACCAGGAACAAAGTATCCACTAAACGTGGCTCCTTCGGGGGGAGTAGCCCGGGGTAGACCTAAGGGGACGGCCGTGTACAATCGCAGTGTCTCGTTGATGACCTGATTCAAGTAAGGTAAATCGCGCAGATTACGATCAACCACTGGCTCGGGCACGGTCGCCAGTTCTTCGACCAGCTTGTCTCGAACGCGGGTGTCACGAGAAACAGCCCAGGTGAGATATGTCAACGTGACGGCAGTGGTGTCACTCCCTGCAACGATGTATCCTTGTGCCTCCTGTCGAATTTGGTCGTGGGTGAGGCCGCTTTTCTCGGAGTCGAACATTTTCGTGAAGAGGGTTGGCTTTGGATCGTTGGGGTTCTCGGCAATCATTTTCTTGTATCGCTCGATTGATTTTAATGAGTAGCTTCCCATTCTCTTTCCTGCATCTGCGGTCTGCTTGAAGACTGGTAGTGGCAGGTATCTGCCTAGTCTGACGAGGAATGGGAAGGTAGTTCGGATTGGCTGTAGACTGGAGATATGTTCGAGGTCCACGCTATATTGGGTTTTCTTTTGGGAGTCTTCATTAGCCATCATTCTAAACAGTTTCGGTTTCAAGCATGCCCTACCTCTCCAGCTTCGAGCATCCGGAACGATTCTCCAAAACTAAGCTCGCCAATGACATCGGTCGCCATAAACAGCCACCACTTGAAAACATCGGCTACACCACGCTTCCCCATCTCCTCCGTTATCCTGTCAACTGCCATGTGTACCCTCGACGAGATGATAGGCTCCATACGCGTCAGTGATGAATCCGAAATAGGCGAAGCCAACAAACGCCGACGCGAGGAATGGAGACTCGGGTCTGTGGTAGTGAACACATTCTCTAAGTTATTGGGAACGAGCTTCCGATACCAGTCAGATTTCAGGAAACGACTGTTCGTTTTGTGGATTTCTTTGACTGCGTTGATGTCGCAGATATCAATACGACTCGGACCTGTGCGAACAATCGGGCCTGGTTGAAACAAGCTTTTGGTCAGCACTTTATTGTGACCGGGACTATATGATGACTTCAAGGAGGCTACTAACCATATTGTTCATGGATCTGATGGATGTAGAATGGTATCCGGCCGTTGAGCCAGTAGTAGATATAGACAATGTCTGTCCATTTCGAGATCTCAGGACCCGGTATCCGCGATAGTGGACTAGTAAAACGCCTGTATAAAGCATGCTGCGAATATACTTAGCATCCAGGTTCATCCCAGAATCTGACAGACTGAGCTTAAGCTTACCAGGCATAATATCCCGATCAAAGAACCCAGAATCATCGGGGCGTTGCTGACAAACTCCATGACTCCGACTTGCTGCAGACCTTTGCTTTGCTTTTTCGGCGATAAAATGCAGGGTCTGGGAGGATTTATATATCCCTACACATATGTTGGAGGTATTAAGTATAGTACTCGATTTCTTTGTTAGATAACCCCACACTCGGTAGCGCCCGCCCCGACGGTCCGACTTGAGCGCGAGGGCGAGAACGAGAGCGAGGGTGAAAGGGGTAATGGACGAGTGACTATTCGGTCATTCGCCAACAGCCGACGAGGATGATCTGCAATGGATACATGCAGATGTAGCTAAAGTGGGGTAGTGTTTGAGACCCAGCCTTGTTTCGTGGAAACTCACATTTGAGTCTTCACCGACAAAAGTAGGCAACCGAGAAAGTATAAGAGGTGATCCTAACTAATCTAATTGTGGCCGTCGGAGAAGACGTTTAACTCGATGGGATAAGTATATTGACGCATAGTGGACTTCGAGTTACACTGTTCTTTTAGCGGTCGTCGTAAGGCCACCCAGTACATCCATCTATCCGTCATTCACAACAGACCTACATCGACAGTATACTTAAAGTTTGAGCGGCAATAGCGCTGAAAGAATAAGGCTGTCCTACTGCAGTGTTACACAAGTCCAACGAGGCTATGTCTGTTTTACGGAAGACTACCGCCAGTTAGGACTCTTATACCCAGGCGACATTGTAATGTCTAACGGTCGGGTGGCATATTAACCTCATATGTGTAATATGTTTCTATTTCAAAGGATGAGATCATCTATTTCGTGCAGGGTACAGGGTATAATAAACAAGCAAAAAGAAATGTACAGCCCCGACGTCCGGACGAGACAACCACGATAAAACCCCTATGCAAGCTTCGGCCGCTTAGAGTTGAACACAGAGTCCGGCCTGGAGCGCTTGCGCTCAGCAGCGTCCATCTCGGCTTTCATGATCCTCTCCTGCTCCGTCATCTTCTTTGGCTGTGCCATGACAGGTCCCTTCTTTCCAGCCAGTGCATTCTTCTTGGGGCCTGAAGCAAACACGTTCTTCGGTTTTTGTGCTCCGCCAAAGGACATTGAAATCTTGGCGGGGGCTTGAGAAGGAGCTGGGGTGGATGTATTCGTATCTGTCGGGGCAGGAGAATCCTTAGCATCAGAAGATTCCTCCGTTGCTGCTACCGTCGCCTGGGGTGCCGCTGGGTTGGCATCTGTCTTGGGCTTCGCGCTGAATCCGAAATTCAACTTCACTTTCTCCCCTTCTTCCCGCTGTAGCAGCCTTTCCTCCGCAGTTTCCTCCTTCTCTTTTTCCCTCGCATTGCGCTGTGCCCGCTCAACCTGCTCCTGGATCAAGCGCTGCTCACGCTCTTCGTCGCCTTTATCTTGTCGTTCTTTCTTCATAATCGCCTCGCGTCTGCGCATCGTCTCTGGGCTGTTGTCGATCCATGAGATGAATAGGCCCTTCTCGGTCTCCTCGACTCGACAGATTCCGTTCCGCCCCAAGTGTGCAGTGAAGGCTGATAGCGATTTCCATTCCGTAGCGTTCATGTGAATATGGGTCTTGTCGGCGATGACTTGTTGGTAGAAATGATTGGCGTTGACCTGCTTCTCGCCGTGTGCTATCAAGGATTTCAGTTAGTATCCATGTCCAATGAATAGGGTAGGGCAATGCGCACTCGTTTTCAAGAGATCAACAAAGTTCTTCAAGAACTCGTTGGAGAATTGTTTGATGTGTTTCTTGGGATCTTCGCCGATGAGCAGCATTTGACGGACATGCGCTTCGCTTTGGACATGGCACCTTGGAAACCCATATGTTAGCTCCCAGATCTCACAGCAGCCTGAAGTAATGGGAAAGTACTCACTTGAAGCCATTCTCGTCCCGCATTTGACGCTCACTTTCAAATCATTGTCAGCTCCTGGATCTCGTAGCAAAGCATTTAGACTTACCATGCTTGGCAGTACCATCTCAGTCTTCCCAGTCCTAGTAATTCAAGAGCGCAGTCAGTATTTGTAAACCTCGGCATGCGAGAGCTTGTCGACCGGAAGAGCGCAACGACTCGCAAGAACTTGCTATCCTCCAACAAAGACTCACCTTTGCTCTTGATCTTGTTCCCAATGGCCTTGGTGCTACCTAAAAGTAGAGTTAGCTACATGAGCTGACCAGAAGAGTTGTCGAAGAGAACTTACCGGCCTCTGCGCGTGGCATGGTGAAGGGTATGTGCTGTAAGCAGGAAAGGCTCGAGCTGAAAGAATATTTGAGGAGTCTGAATCAAAGTCGTAGTATCGAGAGCTTGAGTCGAGAACAAAAGGGAGGACAATGTCAATCGTGGATTAGTGATCTGTGACAAAATCACTGGCGCGGTGGCGTTGCGAACGATATCTCCGTGTCACGTGCCGATAGCTAATCCAGAGTGGGGACCAACCAAATTTAAGGTACAGAACAGGACTTTGACTGGCCTACTATTGATTACTTCGGAGTAAATGTCCGGATTTACGGCTACAAGGAAAATTGATATTGACACATGTCCCATATGAATTTGTTTACACTAGTCCTAAGGGACAGAACCGAACTCCGGAGTCCCCACCCAGCACCTGTATCCTGAAAGAGCTTTTCTAGGAAGCATCAAAGCATAAGGAAGGAGTACAAGACAATTGTAGGCGAAAAGGTTGAACCAGGGTTCTTCGAATATAGCAAAAAAAAAGCCAGCCCACTTCGCCAGATGTTCCGATGTTCCGTATGAAAAAGGACTCATTAAAAGAATCAAACAAAAACCGCGCTCAAATCGTATGAAGCCGTCGTCATGGCCGTTCTCGTTGAGGTCAGGCCCCGTCTCACAGAGAGTACTCGTGGATGGAAGACGGTCCGTTCTCGTTATATTCGACACGGGTCATAAAGCCCTTAGACAGACCCTGATCAACCACGAAGATGACCCGAGCAGCCATCTGGGTACCGAGGAAGGTAGCTTCCTCGGCGCCGTGCCCGCCTTGAGTGGCGCTCGGGCCATGGCTGGCACCGGGGGTGTTACGGTTGCCCTCGTGCTTGAACTCGGGGAAGTAGTCGGGCAGTCTCAGAGGCTTGATGGAAGTCGGAGTCTGCGAGTGACCGGTCGAGCGGCTGTGGACGGAACCGTTGGGATCCATGCCGGGCGTGCCAGGGACTATGCCAGGGTTGTTGTGGGTAGCTGCCACAAGAAGAGGGTTTACACCATGGGCAGCCGGGTGATACATAGGGCCAGGCTGGCCCATGGGCGCCGGAGTATTAGTGCCGCCAGTAGGAAGAGGTGTGGTGAAGGCTGAAGGGATTTCAGAGGTGAAGATGGTTGCAGAGGGAGAGAGTAGGTATTTCTGGGTGAGGACTCCAATAAGAGCCTGAGCGAAACCTGTACACGTTCAAAATACTTAGTCAGAGTCCAACACGGCCGAAAGGATTGGATGAAAATCCATAACTTACCTCGAACTCGGCTACCACATCCGACGATGATAATGGAGTCCCAAAGCTCACTACGCCTAGTCGCGTTCTGAACAGATAGGATCGTGTGATAGACTTGGGCGGCGATATCTTCAAGGATGCCGCTAGTCAGTCGGTCTCCGCAATTCTGCACCGGCGTCGCGAGGAGGAAGCGCTCGGCGCCAACCTCGATCTCCCGAGTGTGACGAATGTATCGACGGGAACCACTAGTGGGTGCGCTATCGTCATCCAATGGGACGAATTCCTCGAATTGGAACGTGGCCTTCTCCTTTTGATGGTTAGGGGCGTTCTTCTGCTTAGGTTCCGCACCACCCTTCTTGCTGGTCTTTTCCTTCTCCATCTTGGCAAGATACTCTGTGGTGTTACCGCTAACGATGGCAGCAACGTCCAGAACTCCATCATCCTCCTCGCCGTTGGTATCGGTACCGATCTGGGTGCCCTCGCCTGGGCCACGAGGAATAGCATCGTTTCCACCTGTTCCACCAGTCGATGCAGCAGCTGCCGGGTTTGTGCCTTGGCGTGCGGTAGCCGCAGCTCTGGGAAGTGGTGTACCGGGAGCTAGAATCTCGGCAATGTTGCTCCGCTTGAGCTGCTCGCACATCTCACAGGTGAAGCCCTTGGAACCGAGGAGCTCGACAAGTCGGTCGGTCATAGCATCACCGCCGCATCCTTCCAGAGCAATGCCCCGGCCGTATTCGCTGACCTGGCAGTCCGTCACTGCAGTCACGTCCACCTTGCTTTTGCCAACGTCAATAACCGTAGCGGTTGTCACGCCGTAGCCGTAGCATGTAGCTACCGCAGAGTCCATGATGCTAAACGCGGGCACCTTGAACTTTTCAAAGACAAATTGAGTGATCGCCTCGCGGTCGCGCATAGTCCAGGCCGGCTGCGAAATCAACAGGATCGGAGTGTGGAATGGAGGGCTAAGGGCGTTGTAAATGTGAGTCAGGAGGGCGAAGAAGCAAGGCCAGTCGACAATGCGTCCGCCGACGATCGGATACACGGCGCCTTCATCGGATGTGACGTCCTCCTCGTAGAAGGTCTCTTGGACCTCAGTCTTTTCAGCACCTTCAGTATTTTCCTCCGCAGGCTTCTCGGCATTCTCAGCAGGCTCGGTCTTGTCCGCGCCATCTTGGCCAGTGGACTCCGCGTCCTTCATTTCCACATCCGTCTTGGGAGGCTCGTTCTTGGGCGCGCCGTTGCCATTGCTGGATGCAACTGGCTGGCGTCGTTCGCGGACTCGGTAAGGCTCGAATTCTCCCTTCTTCTGGGCAGGGAACATGCGCGTGGGGAAGCGAAAGCGCGCAGGCGTGAATGTTTCGGGCAGCCCGAGCTGCGCCAGGGTCATTTGCGAACCTGGCGCAATCAACTGGGACAAGAGTTAGGAGACTGTGTTGCTGATGGAAAGCTCATAAATAAGGGTATAAAGCTTCACGTACCAGGATATGCTCATCCTTGAAGGGTGGCATGATTGAAGGTTTGCGAATGGGAGACAATGGAACGTCGTCGACTTTCCCTTCCAAGGCCCTTCTGGCGCTCGCTCTGGTATTGGGGCGTCCCATCGTGGTTTAGCGTAGTTAGGGTCTTGGCGTGCTGAGTCACGTGGGGCTGTAAGCCTGAGGCGATAGAGCCATATGATTGAGTTATCGCCTGAGGAATCAGGCGAAAAGGGAAGGGTCGGGTCAGGTTTGTGGCCTGATATTTCAGGTGTCATGGAAGAGGTTGAGATAGCAAACAGCTGGCACGGCTCGAGGAATTTTACAAGACAAACACACTATTCTAGGTACTTGACACGGTTACTCCCGTGCAATCCAACTTTCGTGAACAGGCTAACGTAGAGATTCGAGGTTCAGGTCCTACCACGTAGAGAGTCTGCGTTCTCTGTTCGCGCAACGACTAATCAGCCGCCATCGAGGGCGTGAATACTTAGTACGCTAAAGACAAAGATCTATATCATCTGTTTGTGGAGTTCCACGAGTAGTTTGTTCAGAAGTCTCATAATGCATTGAATGTCAAGATATGCCATTAGTTGTATCGCGCCTGAATTGCATGCTCCAAAAATCACAGAAAGATAAAAGAACCATCGAAAAACTCCAAGACCACACCATTCCCGTAAAGACAGCAAAAATAACGCCCGGCATCCGTTTTCCTCTATGACCAGCATGAGCTCATTCTAGCACAAGAAGCCATCTTATTCCGGACCTGCGTTGTACTTCTCGGTGGCAGACCGGAAGAGTTCCTGCTGTTGCCGGAGGAGCTCCTCTTCGGACAGGCCACTCTGCTCCATCTTGCTCTGCTTCTTCTCCCGTGACTGTTGGAAGTATATGTTAGCTGGGGCAGTCGAGAATACCATAGGAAGATCTGGCATTGAATAGGCCCGTGTATGCGCACCTTTAGCTGCTCTCGGTGCTCCTCAGCCACCGCAAGTACATCGGGGATGTAGTCTGCAAAGCCGAGATCCCGCAATGCCTTCTCAACATGCTCGCATGCAATGGTCTTCTTGGCTTCTTTTTCGCTGATGTCGTTCGCCTCGGAAGAGATCAGAGTGATGAACTCGACGCAACATTCCATGAGCAAATCGCGCGCATCCTTGGAGAAGGTCTGGCCCATGCTAGGGGGAGGATTTCGGTGATGATCTTTTGGACCGTCGCTATAGTGAATCGGTATTAGCAAGGCCTGATCAAACGCGCGGGACTGTCTCTGTAGGCGTAGCAAACAGAGGTTTCCCCTAAAGGGATCAACGCGATTCAAATGTTGGGGCGCGTCTGAAGCGAGACTCAATTGTGGGATCCAGTCATACCTTTGGGCAGCGACAGGTCATCGTTTGCTAAGGTGAATCCAAACATGTCAGCTTGCGCGCAAACGTCATCAGTGTTAAGACAGGTATGAGACTTACAGCTGAACTCTCGATCGGACATGGTGGGAATATAGGTGGTAAGAGATGAAAGAGTGCGTCGACAGCCACGAGTGTAAACAAAGAGAAAGGTAGTGACAAGGGTGAGCGTAACACTTTTTTTCTTTGAGTTCCTGCGTGGGGCGAACTTGAAGCATTAAATGCTCCCCGAGGCGCGCTTGAGACTCGGGCCCATATATTTTCCTGCCGGCAGATCCTCACCGCCTGCAACCACATTTATTCTCAATTTTTTTTCTTCCAGCTTGCATTTCCTTTCTTTCCTTCATCAACCACCTGCTCTCGATACTCTTCCTCAAGAGTGGATTTTAATGTGAATTCCCTCTTGAGGCTGGTCACTAATGGTAAGCTTCAATTCCTCTTCAAATTCCTCCTTGCATTTTCTATGATGAACAACGTTGTCGCCCCTATCATACAAAACCGTGGTGATTACACTGTCCTAGCCAAACGGACGAACTGATCTTTGCACAAAACTCTTGCTTCTGCTCATGACTGCATTATGAAGAATCTTCGACTGACTTCTTCAAGAATTCTAGGATTTTCAAATCTGTTTCTTTGTGGGATGGGAAAAGATATCGCGGGCTGCCGCTTAGAATTTTTCAACACTCGGTTCAACCCATTTTTTTCTCCAGCATATTCGATAGGTACGAATCACAATCACTCTTTCTCAATACACACCCTCTTTGTATGATGATCATCCTACATTCCATGCTAAGTATGAAGGTGTTCTGCACCTAATGCTTATAAAATGTACCTGCTTTTCATCTTTCGGCTGATTACATTTCATCTGCCCCTGACTTTTACACCCATTGCTTTTATGGCATTCAATACTGATTGCTGTATAGAACTGTTCAACCCATATAACTTGAATTTAATCATAAACAATGAAAAATATAAATCTATCCCTGGAAAGAGTCTAGCTCCTTGTCGTTCCATCTGCGTATTGTTAGCATCATCCGAGTTTTCGTAGAACTGTAGCACATACGAGAAGAACCGGCCGCTAAGGTCCTTGGGTGCGTCAAGCACCAGCTTGGCCATAACATGACCCGGCTGCTCGGGCTTGACAAGCTTGCCATCCTTGTGGGCACCTGCAAATTTGGAGTGCATCTCGGCATCGAGGTTTGTGGCGTGGTCCTCACGCAGCTCCCGCTGCATCTCGGTGTCGACCATGCCAGGCCGGATGGCAATAGAGGTGACATCGGGCTCTTCATTGCCCAAGCTCATGGCGAAGTGGTTCATTGCGGCCTTGGTAGCTCCGTAGAGACCCCAGCCACGGTAACCGGATACTGCGGCACCAGAGGAAGTGAAGATAATCTTGCCCTTGGACTCGCGAAGAGCCGGGAGAGCTGCTTTAGTCTGTAGACTGGTCAGTGATATAATTGGGTAGTCTGGTATGAATGAGTCCCGTACGAAAGCAACCAGACTAAAGAAGTTGACATCAAAGTCTTTCTTCCACTGGTCAATATCGGCAGCGGCAATCTTGCCGACCTGGCCCAGGATGCCGTGGTTCAGCACCACTCCGTCAAGCTGACCGAAGGATTTGAGGGCGGCATCAACTGCCTTTTGGGCGAGAGAGAAGTCAGCCAGGTCGCCGTTCACCACCTCAACCTGCTTGCTGTACTGCTCCTTCAGCTTTTGGAGAGGCTCGACGCTGCGGGCCACCACGACGACATTGTGTGCCTGGGGAGCTGTGAGAAGGTACTTGGCAATGGCAAGACCGATACCTGGATGTTGTCAGTCTGAGCTACAGAGGCGAGCTGGGGGGCACCGACCTCGAGAGGCACCTGTAACAATGATAGTCTTGGCTGACATCTTGAACACTATGAACCTTGTCAGTAAGCTTTCAAGTAGATTGATAACAAATTGCGTTGACAGGGTTTGTGGACAAGGGACCCTCTGCCTTCCACTATCGGCCCTCGCTATAAGAACCCAAACACACAAGCTTGGTCTGTACACGAAGAAGATTATCTCACGACAAACGTTCTGAAAATTAACCAGGAAAAGAGAAAGTAGCTCACAATTCAAGTTATGATATACACGAGTAACGTTGTACCTGGAATGCCTCGATATGACTGGATCGATGGGACCTGCAGAATGCTGGCAGAAGCCGTTCGGTGCGGGGCTTATTAATCTCGCGGGGTGCCCGAGGCATTCGGCCTGCCGACGTCATGCTGTGCAACTCTAGAGGACAGATTAACATTATTCATGATAATAGAGAGAAATTGAGTGTAAAACTCGACTATAATTGGATCTATATGAATACTTTGGCGAAGTTAGAGATCCCCTCGAAGGATGGAATTGCTGCGACTTCCAGCAAAACAATACGTAGAATCGGCAATATATATCTGGTTTGACTACAGACTTCGGGTATTTTTTAGACCTTGAAAACCAGATAAATTTCCCCCAGAAACATAGCGATAGAGCAAATAATATCACACTATCCTGTAGATTAGTTGTTCCACACTTGAATAGTTCCTGAAGCCTTGAGAACCTGGAAATTTAGCGTCGCCTTGAACTCCTCTGGAGTGTAAAATCATGACTTTTCCATGTCAATACGGATGTTCGGAAACGGATGATGGAATCCTTGATATAGAGCAAGTAGAAATTTGAAAGCCTGAGATTTTGGTTCAATTCGCACCCTTAAACACTCTTCTTATACAAAGAATAGTCATTCCTGACATATCCAAGGCCCTGCTTACAATGCATCGGATGATAGTTGTTCCGGTTTAAGCTCCCTGGCTTTAGTCAGCTGTGCCACTGGAGCTCTCCAGAAACTTCAGGCATCCGATATCACCAAGCAATCATCCGCTCCCTCGCAATTCTTCTCTCGGTCGCTTCTATCGCCTCCCCTGCGCGGATCACCTTCATCCTTCAACCTCCCTACACGACTCTTACTCCGGCGACCGAAAACCTCCACATCAGCCCATCATGGCCAACTACCTCGCCTCCATCTTCGGTACCGAGCAGGACAAGGTCAATTGCTCCTTCTACTACAAGATCGGCGCATGCCGCCACGGCGACCGCTGCTCGCGCAAGCACGTCAAGCCCTCGTACTCGCAGACCGTCCTCATGCCGAACATGTACCAGAACCCGGCCTACGATCCTAAGAACAAGATGAACCCGAGTCAACTGCAGAACCACTTTGACGCTTTCTACGAGGACGTATGGTGCGAGATGTGCAAGTATGGCGAGATCGAGGAGCTGGTTGTCTGTGATAACAACAATGACCGTAAGTTTGTACCCGCGGTGTTTTTGATTCCACTCAGGAGCTTTGGGTGTAAGTGGCTAACACCTTGTCTTTAATACAGACCTGATCGGCAATGTCTACGCTCGGTTCAAGTACGAAGAAGACGCACAAGCAGCATGCGATGCATTGAACTCCCGGTGGTACGCCGCACGACCCATATACTGCGAACTATCACCCGTGACGGATTTCCGAGAAGCGTGTTGTCGACTTAACAGTGGAGAGGGATGTGTACGCGGGGGATTCTGCAATTTCATTCATCGCAAAGACCCCGGCCCCGAGTTGGACCGCGAGCTGCGACTCAGCACAAAGAAGTGGCTCAAGGAACGGGGTCGCGATGCTCGCAGCGTTAGCCGCAGCCCGAGCCCTGAGCCGACTCGACGGAGATATTAAGCGTCGAGTGACGGTGGTCTCCTTTCTCTCGTTTCCTTTCTGCAAATGTGCTTTTCCTTTCTATTCCTGTCTTCATACTCCCGGCGTTGGGCGAGGTTTGTGGACTGATTGATGCCGCTTTCGAGGCTTTTTGTGCGCAAGCAGCGCCGTAAGGACTGGGGGTTCAGCATATGCTTTCGCTGAATGGCATCTTGTATTTTACCGCATGATATCAGACCTGCAAGTTATCGATTTTAACATGATTGAACGTCCTCTGTTCTGCTTGTTCTTGTACACCGCGCTGCCTACCGCCTTGAAAGCCGGCTATACTAGTAGATACTAGGTGCTTCCTATATGGCAGAGGTATGCACTTGTAATTGGCCTCTTGAGGGAAAGGGATCCTTGTAACTTTGAGGAATCACTAATCTTGATGTGGCACCATGAACGTCGATCTGGTTTGACGGGTATCTGCTCCTTGACATGGCATACTGTACTACAAACACTCTACGTAGATTACTTATAGAATATGGGGACCTATGAACTCGATGCCGAAAATGACAGCCTTTGGCGCCAGAAACGGCCTCCTTTCCACCAGTAAGTTTGGACGGCGAGCCGCCATTTCAATTTTTCTCTCTTCTGTAATATGTCCAATATCCCCAAAGACCAAACTCCCCCTAAACCCCCGCCTAAGCCGCAGGCAGATTCTGATACCCAGCCGGACAATCATTCGGGTCGAAGAACATAGTGCCCCAAGTACAATCGCCACTATCGGCAATCTCAGTGCCTGGATCCCAGTCCCATTAGCCACTTCCTTCCTTCCGAATATTCACTACTCCAAGACAAGGAAAGGGAATAGAAAAAAAATTAAAACATACCACTTGCATCGGTCAATCCGCCTAGATACCAAAACACCTCGCCATACCAATCCGGCCAGGTCACCTCACCCGGCCGACAGACGAACCAGTCTCCAGCTTTCTGCTGTTGACAGACGCGAATATATGCCCAGCCGTCAGAGATCTGGATGCTGCTGTTAGGGCCAACGTAACTGGTGCTGCCGTCTTTCTTGGCGACGTTGATGGTGTAGGCAGAGTCTGTGTTGTGCTGTTATGGAGGTTTGAATTGTTAGCCAAGGACGTAGGTATGGGAATGAAACGGAGTGGGATCATACGAAAGTGGTTGCGTGCACCATAGTGGCGCTAAGTGCAAGGATTCCAGCAGAGGCTGGGAAGGTGAAATGCATATTGGAACTAACGAATGCGGTACTGGTATTAATCTTTCTGGTTCTTAAGCAGAGTTGAAAAAGAGGATGAGATGGTAATTCTGAAACTTGAGTTTGTCCTTTGGAATCAATGAATTTATATCAGTCAAGGCTGATGTACTACTGCCTTGGTCCTACGGCCGCATACAAGACATTTTTATAGATCGTCAAGTGGGTCTAGCTTACGGCCGTAGGTGTAGCCTATGTCGAAAGACAGGTTAACTAAATGACCAAAATGCACAAAGAGCAGCCATAGGAATTCTTAAGAATCTTAAAAACGACTTGCTTTGTTAAGTGTAAGTTGTGTTGAAAACCTTAGTGTAGTAAGTAGTCAAATGCCGGCCATGCCTTTAATGGACAGCACTTCTTTGTCCGCGGGTCTTGGCACCCCACACGCGGCGCGTAGAATCGCGTCCCACCACTTCCTTTAAACCTTCATATTTCGCAAGCAGCGACATTCTCTCCACTTTCAATCCTACTGATACAGCTTATCCAGAGACTCCGGCATCATGGAAGTCAACGGATATAATGACAGTAATCGCGCCTTTCTCCAGGCCTTCATGGCCCGCTCAACCATGACCTTCGAAGAGGCTCAGCCAGTGCTAGCAGCCATACTCTCCGCTCACCGTACGCATATCTCCCCTCTTTCCTGACCATTATCTTTGACAACGTCACTAATCACCACCATACGAGCAGAAGGAGAAACCGTTGAATCAGAGCATATCACCCCAGAGGACCTCAGCTCCTTCGTCGAGACAGCCAACTCCGCAATCTCTCCCTTTGACCTGGAAATCAGAACCTCCCGCCGACAAGACCCTCAAGAAACCCACCAAAATGCCTCAAATACACCTCCCGTACTAGTCTACGCCCTCGTCAATACCACCAGCGATCCCCTAACCCAACTCGCGACCACATACTCCGCCGACGAAATCGCATTCGTCAAGCGAGTCCTGGATTACATGTTCGACACGAATAACACACGCCGATGCGAGGGGATGGTTATAAGCTCCATGCAAGCCGTCCAACTCCACAAAGCAGGCGGAGACCGTCGGCGAACAACCAATCTAGGCACGCAACAGGCCGAAGGCGGCGCGGCGCAGAACTTGACTATGCATCAGGCGCAGGATATGATGAAGTTGTTGACTGAGGAGGGGTGGTTGGAAGTTAGTAGGAAGGGGAATTTCAGTTTGAGTCCGCGTGGGCTGATGGAGTTGCGGACTTGGCTGGTGTCGACGTATAATGATGAGGATGTGAATGGGCAGACGGTTCATCGGATTAAGAACTGTAATGCTTGCAAGGATATTATCACGGTGGTCAGTATGCGATTTGAATCTTCTGGGTGGCGGGGCTTTGCGGTGTACTGATTATGAGCTTGCAGGGCCAACGGTGTGATGATCGGAATTGCTTGGGTCGTCTTCATGATCACTGTGTGCGCAATTTCTTCCGCGCCCGACAGGCAGAGAAATGTCCTGTCTGCAAAAAAGACTGGTCTGGAGAAAACTTTGTGGGTGAGAGAGCTGTCGAGGCGGCGAATCGCCCGAGACCGAGTCGGAGTATGCGACAAGAGACTGAGGCCTCTCCTGAATTAATGGATGAGGATGCTGGTGCTTCTGAATACAGTGAAGAAGAGGAGGGTTGAAATTGAGCAAATGATCGGTGCGCATAGTATGATCAAGGATCAGAATACTTTGCCATGCACCTTGGACAATTTTCTCCAATACCTCTACTAAGTCCTAGAGGCCCCTCTCCGCACCATAGGTGGATGAGTGTTGCGATCTTCAGGCACAAGTCCTTAAAGAGGACGGTTATGCAGGCATGTCAAGTTCCAGGTTCTCCACATGGGCGCAAGAGAGAGCGCCGATTCATCCGACAACCAGATGGACGTACCATAGCTCTGATGAGCGACATTGATCGCCCGGTTGTGCCGCTTCTCGAGAACTCCGACTGTTCGCTATTCGTGATGTACGTCTTAGTCTAGAAGATCCAACCGCTCGGCAAGAGGCCGACGCAATCCCATTATGGTTCAAGACACACATTCCATTTAGTCGATATTCATCCTACCCCGTAAGGCCCTGCCGTAATTGAAGCTGCGCTTGTTGCGAAGCCTGGCTAGACTGTACGGAGTGCTGTTGATATGCCCATTTTTATTGTTTAGAGAACCATCAAGGGTAGGTGCTTATCACACTTGACTTATGTTTCATGCAGGGTCAATTTGACCTTTCTCGAGTCTCTATCGACATAGACTTGAATAGAACGGAAGTTTACCAATGTCTCTAGTGTATCATGTATACTATGCACTAGTTAATGCCTCAGGCGTGCACCCAAGCGTTTTGGCGCTCGACGGTCGGACAACCTTAAAATGAAGAAGAGACATCGAGAACATTTCCATCAATTTCCCCGATGGAATAACCCGAAACAAACACAAAAGTACTTACGCACCGTCCTCTTGGTCCTCATATATTAACTTCATTCTCACAGGGACCTGCCTTTCCCGGCCAGCCATGACGGGCTTTTGTCGGGCATTTTATGGGCCCCGCGTCAGTGATCCCGTCCGGGGCTCCAAAATCACCTCAATTGACCCCACACGAACTCTGCGCCAACCCTCTTTCCCAAGGATCCGGGCTTAATGACGAGATGCCGTCTGCTCCCAACAGAATCGCTGCCTGGTAACCGGGTCCGGGAACAAATGACATTCTCGGTCCTGGAATCTTCGGAAACTAAACAAGTACCGGCATCGAGCGGCACAACTGACAACCCCCCAGAAACCCAGATTTCCCAGAACCTACACAATCTCAACCTAAAATCAGCCCACAATCGTCATGGCTTTTTGCCAGTTTCCGGGTGGAGATGTCCTTCTTAGCCGGTTCTTCCGGCGCCACCAGAAGCCAAAGACTGGGGGATAAATGCTCATCAAGTCCAAGTTGTACCAGCCTCATACGACATTTTTTGTCTCCACGACTCGGCTTGGCGGGGCGAAGCTGCACAGACAAAAAACTCCACTTGGGGGAAACCCAGTGGAAGGAGATCTGCAGCTCGTATAATTTGCCCACATCGAAACAAAAACCCAGTCACTGAGTTTTGCTGTCGTAACCCCGACTGCAACGTGAAGTAACTTTGCTTTCCCCACATTGAACTCACGGGATGGCTTGGGTCTGAGCGAGTTGGGTACTTTGTACTCCTGCTTTGTACAGTATGTATTAAGTGCCATGTGGTTCTGGGATCGGCGCTCTTTTTGCTGAATTCAACCGGCGACGACTGGACTTGCATTTAAATAGCTAGCGTATTGCCGTCATTTCTTTTTTTGACACTTTTGTATTTACTTGAACGTCCCTCCTTCCTCCCTCTGCCACCACTTCTCGAGAGGAGTATAGTCGAAGGACCCCCCACTTCTTTCCCACTTGACCACAGCCGAGTGTCCTCAGTGGGAGGATAGACTGCAAAATGCAGTTCAAAGTGAGTATTACACTCCACTACATTCCTCGGGCCAGTATTAACCCCGCTATAGTCTTTCCTTTGGACGGCACTGCCGGTGCTCCTCCAACTGGACTCACTGGCCGTTGCGGATTCTCCAGCAAGCCGTGTGAACAGATGCTTGAAGGCCTATGCCGGAAATGGTGCATCCGCATCATCCAAAAGCAGAAATGTCTATCAGACCGACTTTGAAGGCGTGACCTGGGACGACGACAATTGGCTCCTGACAACCACTACTCTCGAGCAAGGTCGTTTCCAAACACGAGGCTCCGTCGCTAACGGCTACCTCGGTATCAATGTTGCCAGCGTCGGTCCATTCTTCGAAATGGATGACGAAGCTATGGGAGGCGACGTGATTAGCGGATGGCCGCTCTTCTCGCGACGCCAGTCGTTCGCAACGATTAGTGGTTTCTGGGATTCCCAGCCTACCACTAACAGCTCGAATTTTGGCTGGATCTCCCAGTACGGCAGTGACAGCGTGATCAGTGGTGTTCCCCACTGGAGTGGTTTGATCTTGGAGCTTGATAATGGTACCTACTTGGATGCAAAGGTTGATAACTCGACCATCTCGAACTTTACCTCTACCTATGACTTCCAGGCTGGTGTCCTGTCGTGGTCCTATCGATGGAAGCCCGAGGGCGATCATGGTACCTTTGATATCAAGTACCGCCTCTTCGCCAACAAGCTGTATGTCAACCAGGCTGTTGTGGATATGGAGATTGTTGCCTCCCAGGACTCCAATGGAACTATTGCCAATGTTCTGGAGGGATATTCTGCCGTTCGCACAGACTTTGTTCATTCCGGCGAGGACAATGGTGCTATTTACTCGGCTGTGCGGCCAAATGGTATCGCCAATGTCACGGCCTATATCTACGCCAATCTGACCGCCACTTCTAGCGTGGATCTGTCTTCGCGGAAGCTGGTTGATAACAAGCCATATGTCAGCTCCAACTCTTCTTCTATCGCACAGACTGTGCCCGTCACTTTCAAAAAGGGAAAGACCGTGCGTGTCACTAAGTTTGTCGGTGGCGCTTCTACCGATGCGTTTGCCAACCCTCAGAATGTCGCCAAGGCAGCGGTCTCGTTTGCGGCTATGAACGGATATGCCAAGTCACTTCGCACTCACGTTGTCGAATGGGCAAGTGTCATGCCCGTTGACTCGGTCGATCATTATGCCTTCCCCAACGGCAGTCTGCCCGAGGACAGCTACATCGTCGATTCTGCCGTGATCGCAGTGGCCAACACCTACTATCTCCTGCAGAACACCGTCGGCAAGAACGCCATGAAAATGTCCAACAGCACCACCCTCAACCGAGACAGTATCTCCGTCGGTGGTTTGACCTCTGACTCCTACGCTGGTCAAGTCTTCTGGGATGCCGATGTCTGGATGCAACCCGGTCTGGCTGCGTCTCACCCAGAATCTGCTCAACGCATTACCAATTACCGTGTGGACAGATATGGCCAGGCCCAGGAGAACATTAAGACTGCGTATGCTGGCTCGCAGAACCAGACATACTTCTCTCCTGATGCTGCTATTTATCCCTGGACCAGTGGACGCGCTGGAAACTGTACCGCTACCGGTCCTTGCTGGGATTACGAGTACCACTTGAATGGTGACATTGGCTTGTCGATCATTAACGAGTGGGTTGCTAGTGGTGACAACAAGACCTTCAAGGAGAGCTTCTTCCCGATTTATGACTCGGTCGCAACACTCTATGCCGATCTACTGGTGAAGAACGGATCCTACTGGACTCTCACGAATATGACTGATCCTGTGAGTATCGACCTCTGTCTTCACTATTGATGACAATCTAACAATTTCCAGGACGAGTATGCCAACCACGTCGACGCGGGTGGCTTCACTATGCCGCTCATTGCTCAGACTCTGTCGTATGCCAATCAATTCCGCCAGCAGTTTGGTCTCGCTGAGAACGCCACATGGGACGAGATGGCAAAGAATGTCCTGGTCATCCGTGAGAACGGCGTCACTCTGGAGTTCACCACTATGAACGGCAGTGCTGTCGTGAAGCAGGCCGATGTTGTCCTGAACACTTATCCTCTGGACTACACCACCAACTACACCACCCAGGATTCCCTGAATGACCTTGACTACGTAAGTGACAACTCGACCATGCTCATTCACAAGCATGACAAGCTAACACTCCACAGTACGCAAACAAGCAATCCCCCGACGGACCAGCCATGACATGGGCCATCTTCTCCGCCGTCGCAAACGAAATGTCTCCCTCAGGCTGCTCAGCATACACCTACGCGCAATACGCCTTCAAGCCCTACGCCCGCGCCCCCTTCTACCAAATGTCCGAACAACTCATTGACAACGCCACCACAAATGGGGGCACCCACCCAGCCTTCCCCTTCCTAACCGGCCACGGCGGTTCCAACCAAGTAGTTCTATTCGGCTACCTAGGACTGCGCCTCCTGCCCGACGATATCCTCCACGTCGACCCCAACCTGCCCCCTCAAATCCCCTACCTGAAATACCGCACCTTCTACTGGCGCGGCTGGCCCATCTCCGCATGGTCAAATTACACCCACACAACACTCACCCGGGCAAACAGCCAACCCCTCGACACGGCAGACACCCGCTTCAAGAACTCCTCCATAACCGTGCACGCAGGGCCAGAATCAAACTTTACTTCCTACAAGCTATCCACCCACGGCAAAATCGTCATTCCAAACCGCCAAATCGGCTACGTCAACTCTATAACCGGAAACCTAGTCCAATGCCAACCAATCACTTCCTCAGATACCTACGAACCGGGCCAATTCCCCATCTCCGCCAACGACGGCGCAACATCCACAAAATGGCAACCAAGCCTCGCCTCAAACCTCAGCGCGATTACAATCTCCCTAGAACACGAGGCAGGCCAACTAGTCTCGGGCTTCAAATTCGATTGGGCCCAAGCACCACCGATCAACGCAACCATCATCTTCCACAACAAGACCCTGTCCAATCCCGCGCAGACCTACGAGTCCGGGTCTAGCAGTGATTACCAGGTGATTAGTTCGCTGAGGAATATCACCTTGTCCAATCCGTATCAGGAGGGTGTGACCAATTTGGATGCTATCGCTATTCCGGTCGGGAATACTACGAATGTGACGCTTTCGAGTCCTGTGCCTGTGGCGCGGTTTGCCTCGTTGCTTATTGTGGGTAATCAGGCGCTTGATGAGGTCGATGTTAAGGCTGGGAATGGGACTGGTGCGACTGTTGCTGAGTGGGCGATTATCGGGCAGAACTCTAGTGACAGTCAGAGTGGTGGTTCTGCTAAGCGCGCTATGAATGCTCGTATCGCGGCTAGTATGGCTGGCTCGCGGGCGTTCATGGAGCGTCGGTATAAGAATTCTGTCAAGAGCGGATTGTAAGTGAACCGTCTGGAGCAGATTGATGAGTGATCGAAGGAGATGATTTGTATATATAGTATTCGCACCGGGTTTAGTTCTATCGTTGAGCAGAATAGGATTTATCATTCCTGGTGTCATCGTGATTCATTCCTGCAGGATGTAGTACATACAACGGCCGTGTCAAGACTCAAGCAACATAATAATAATCATAAAGACGATCTCGAAGACGAGTCATCCCCAAACAGTGATAATATAATAGAGTAACTCATCCTCTGCGTTTACTCATCCAGCGCAAATCGATCCAAGAACTTGAACGTAAGTAGTCCATCCTTCACATGGTTGGCGAAATCGTCATCAATCGCATCCGCGACGTACACGCCGTCTCGGTCAGCAGAGATCTGTGCATCATCCAGCGCAAGAACACCCTGGCCCAGAGTACCGACGGGCTTGCCAAAGCGGAATGCATCGACAAGAATCTCCAAGGGCCGACCAGCCGGGTACAAGGAGGTAGCGCCCGACGCCTTCGCCGTGGGCAATGCGGTAAAGGAGTTGGAGCCGAACAGCCCCTCGGCGCCATCTGCAACGATCACGGCGTCAAAGTTGATGGCATCCGTTGCCGAATACGTCTGGTTCACACCATCGGCCAGTCGCTCGCCGACAACAAACACATCGACGCCAACTTCTTTAAGCTGGCTCTGAAGCTCGGCGCCTTGGGCGATAGACGATGCATTCGAAACGGAGGCAAGAATGCCCACCTTCAGGCCATCCAGCTTCAACAGCCTCTGTCCGAAGGCGCCGATGTTCGCCGTTGTGTTATCGTGATAGTAAGTCGGGTCAGGCTCGGGTACTGTAGCACCGATCGCCTCAGCGACGCGCTTTGCAAGGTCATTGCTGATGCGGTTAAGCTGGATGATGACGTTGTCACGAACGATGGTGCTCTTAACATTAGCACTCTCGAAGCGCATCGCGTCCACGACGAACTGCTTTTCCGCGGGCACGAGCGAGTTCCAGAACAGGCGCGGCTGCGACCAGACATCCTCGAAGGTAGAGCTGACGGCACGAAGCAACTTGCCGCTTGTTGTACGGCTGGACGCGGTGAAGAAGCCGTTGCCGACGGTTTGATTGGCCTGTTTCGGGGAACCGTTGTTGAGCGTGTTGGGTGTGTAGGCGTTCGGGTTGAGGGGGATGAACATCTGGCCAGCTCCATCGCGGTTGTTGTTGTGAATGGGGACGCGGGGACGATTGATGGGAATCTGTTCGAAGTTGGGGCCGCCATTTCGATTGAGTTGAGTGTCCAGATAGGAGAAGAGGCGACCCTGGAGAAGTGGATCTTCGGTGAAGTCAACACCACGAACGATGTGACCAGGTTGGAACTAAGACTATCAGCAAGTGTTGACTGGCATACAGAACGGAATATGTACCATGACTTGTTCAGTCTCTGCAAAGTAGTTCATTGGGTTCCGATTCAACTGCATCTTGCCCAGCTTGGTGACTGGCACGTATTCCTCGGGAACGATCTTGGTCGGATCAAGAAGGTCGAATCCAAAGCGGAGTTGATCATCTTCGTCCATGATTTGAACGCCGAGCTAGGTGCTGTTAGCAAGATGAATATCTGCTGACGGTGGAAGTACGTACCTCCCACTCTGGATATCGACCGGCTTCGATAGCATCAAACAGGTCCTGACGCATAAAGTCCCCATTCTTACCGGACACCTGCTGTGCCTCCTCCCACACCAGGCTAGCCTTACCCTGAAGGCCCTTCCAGTGGAACTTGACCAGCTTGGATTCACCATCTTCGGTGACCAGACGGAAGGTGTGCACACCAAAACCGTCGACGTGTCGGAAGGATCGAGGAATACCGTGGCCAGCCATTGCCCATAGAAGCGTATGCAGAGTACTGGGCTGCTGGCTGAAGAAGTCCCAAGCAGAGTCGTGCGCAGTCGCTGCTTGAGGGATCTCATTGTCGCCTCGAGGCTTCACTGCGTGGATCAAGTCGGGGAACTTGATAGCATCCTGGATGAAGAATACGGGGATGTTGTTGCCGACGATATCTAACTTTTGTCAGAGGTATGTCCTGACAGGGTTTCGAGGATCAAGATAGATACCAAAGTTTCCTTCATCAGTATAGAAGCGAGTTGCAAAGCCGTGCACGTCGCGAGCCGTATCGGCACTTCCGCGACTTCCAGCGACGGTTGAGAAGCGAACGAAGACGGGGGTCTCTTTGTCCTTCACAGAGAGGAAGGAAGCAGCGGTGATATTCGACCAGTCACCGTAGGATGTGAAAACACCATGGGCACCCGCACCACGGGCATGAACAGCGCGCTCGGGAACCTATTCAGCCAAGCGGTGTCAGCTCATGATACCCATTTGGCCATAATGAAAGAAGGAAACATACTCGTTCATGATCAAACCGTTGGATCTTCTGGCGGAAGATAAAGTCTTCCAGAAGGGTGGGACCACGCTCTCCAGCCTTCAAGCTGTTCTGATCTTCAATTGGACCGCCAACATCCGAAGTCATGAAAGCGTCCTCGTCCTTCAAGTAGAAGTTGGACAGGAATTCTTCGGTGCCTGCAGTGGCATCTCCCTCATCACGACGAACCAAACCAGCCTCGCCCGTCATGTATGGACAAGCAGCATTGGCAATGCCAACAAGGCCCGTAAGGAGGGCAAGTCCATGCATTGTATAGAATGCGAGAGGTAACTCAATTCGGAAGGGAACAATATAGAAGACGAGCAGCAAGAATAAGAATCTTCGCACGTAACCTGGGGAGTTGGAGCAGGTTTGTTTATATAAAGAAGTAAGCTGTGCCGGGGGAAAAGGATCTATTTGACAGTCATTATTCTTATGAAAGAGCCAATGACGAATCCAATTCGATCGAATGATGCAGGGCCAAGGAAACCACATGGGCATCGCGCAGCCACGACGGGCTCGCGCCTGCCAATCCAGCGGAGACGTGATTATCCTAGCAATAACGGGCTAGAACTCCAGTTTTGTGATATGACTTGGCTCGTCGGCTGGTGGAGACAAAAAGGTCTCGGCATCGTGCAGGGATTCGGCATCGTACAAGAATACGCTTCCTGCCTGGAACCCGTTTGTCCTTTGGCTGGTCTCGAAATTAGGACTGATGTGGTTGGGTATCCACCGGAAGAACGAGGAACTTGTACGCCCAATAAAGGGCGACCAACAGACTGGAGGTCACAAAAACCGACGAGTATCGTTGCAATGGACTAGCACGGCAAGGAAGCGATCGTCCACCGGCCGAAGGGCTGCAACAAACATCTTGGCGGGGACCGGACCCAACCGGAGTAGAAGCCTAGAAAGGAAGACCAAGAATTGATCAGAGTGTGAATTGAAGTGGACATGCTTCTTGGCTAGTGATAGCGTTCTTCAATGGAAGGAGGGCTGATTTTCAAGCGAAATGGTCGAGCCCGTCGTGCTTGGTAATGGCGTTGGTCTGGACGGGGAGCCACTGATCTGCAGTGCTCCATTCAGCGCTGGGGGGTTTGTAAAACCTCAGATGATGTCGGACTTGGCAGCATAGGGCCAGTAGCGTTGAAGTTAGACTAGTCCCTAGCTTCTCATCACAACAATCAACTTGCGGTACTGTTAGTTAGGTCCATCCCAGTAAATGACGTATAGAGGCGGGTTGGGCTTCAAGGTGGAGCTAGGGGTTCTTGCATGGTCGCAAATTGAGGCGTCGCGTCCACAGCTCTTGTTGATTGCAAGTGCCGAGCATCTCGAATCAGACCCTATCGATCTGATTCATTTGCCCCGGATCATATACCCACGACACGTTGGCGATGGGCAGCAAGTACGGAGTACAAGGTACCTTGATCCTGGAGATTGCAAGGGACAGGGATAAGCAGTACCAAGGCGCAGCGTCGCGTAAAATTCTCCCCTGTCTACCTGCAATGTCAATCTTCACCGTACTGAGTTGATAGATTTCTCTCCGTAGTTTTGCCGATCTTGGCTTTCCTGACCAACCCGGGGAAGGGGGGCCTGTGGCTGACTCTCAATGCTCATGGCTGGCTGGCCTTCTTTGCTGTCCAAGCGGCAGGCTTATTGCAAGTGGCAGCTGGAGGCCTAGATGAGGGGAATGGCAAAAATATACCTGGCTCTTGTCTTGCTCACGCGTGGTTCGTCATAGCATCCTTTCATTGCCGAGTATATGGCGGCAAAGCTGGGCATTGCGCGGGGAAGCTTGGCGATGGAAAAGAAATTATCCCTATAGAGTTGGGGAAATTGACTTTGACAATAGGATACTGAGTTTCAGTCTCAAATAAAGCCACGATCTTCAACTAGCCAGTCACCTCCAGGGCTTATCTACACATCTACGGCAATTTAGGAGGCCTCTGTGGCCATATACCTACGGAACAGACTGCTTCAAGAACTTTGCAAGTCTACAGCCTTGGTACCTCTAGCAGCGGAATATATTTCTACAGACGCATGGTCGAATACCAGTTACCTATTACCACAAGAAGATCATCCCTTCATTCGAAACTCTATACAAATCTAGACTACTTCCGCGCCATCGAGGCAACTGTACTCTCAGAACCAGGTAGGCTGTGGTCCACAAACCCGAACTTCTCATACAGGGGAGCTCCAGCCTTACTGGCATCAACATATGCGCCAACTCCTTCACGATCGGCCAAATCACATCCCCATTTGACAAGCATAGAACCTGCACCTCGCTTCCTGTAGTCCGGGTGTGTACCCAGCATGTCAAGATCTAACATCGCAGATTAGCACTCAACATAGCAAAAAAAAGCAAATAGATTTAGAATGTAGATCTTACAATAATGCTTCAGATCCCCCATGATTCGAATCCGATTTTGATCGACCCCGTCAAAGAAGGCAGCACATTCATCCGCAGGCTGGTCTTCATGCCAAGGTGGATAGCGAGTCCCCCGATCGGAAAGCATGGACAAGTCCCATTTGGCATACGCAATCATCCGCGGTCGGCCCTGCTCATCGGTAGAAGCTGTGTCGACCACTTTTATATACTTCTGGAATGGCTTGTTGATCATATCATCGTGATTAGCCTTAATCCACCATTGACGGAATCCGGGTGTGTCGGGGAACAAGTGTCGCATGTCAGGGTCTGTGAAGGCCGCAAACCACAGTTCCGCAATAGCGGGGGCATCTTCGAGAGTGGCTGGTTCGAGCTTGAGAGTGCCCGCGGTCGCCATGTTGTGATCGGGCTTTTTATGTCGTGGAACTGGTGTTGTGTTTCACTCGAGCTGTTGCTGGAGACGAGGTGGTCGTGAGTGAAATGTGGACGAGACGGTCGGTGTAGCCAGATTTAAATTAAACCACCATGACTGCGTTGGTAATACTAAATCTCTTGTTGAGGCAACCCCTCCCAGACTCGTAGACTAATGCGAGCTTCTGTTCGGTCTTACTGTGGCGCCTAAAGAAAGTGACCAATCACATCTAGAAAGACACGAATTGAAACGCTACCGTGGTATGGTCCAGATTAGAGCTGAAAATAAGCTCCCGTAGGATGTTCATTTCAGGAAGTTGCTTTCAATTCCTTTAAAAGGTTAGTATTATCGAGCGAATAAGAATGGCTTTTGCCGTCTTGTCGATCTCTCTGCATTTGGGGCTGATGTACTAATCTGCAGGAGCCTTGTACATTCCAAGACTTGCCCCTCATCGCGGGGTTCCACATCACAAACGAGCAACTCATCATGTTTCAAGACTTTGAAACTTTCTGCCAGCTCCCTTTACACTATATTATCGTGGGAGGCGGCACTGCAGGGTTAGCAGTCGCAGCCCGTCTCAGTGAAGACCCTGAAGTAAACGTGGGGGTGATCGAAGCTGGTCCTTCAGCGCTAAACGGGGAAGATGGCGGTGCGATTACAGTGCCAGGTCGCTATGGCGAGACTATCGGATCCAAGTATGACTGGCAGTTTGAAACCACTCCTCAGCCAGGTATTGGAGGGCGATCGCTCAAGTGGCCTCGAGGACGAGTACTGGGTGGTACCAGTGCACTGAATTTCATGGCTTGGAATCGTGGCCATCGCGAAGACTATGATGCGTGGGCCCGGCTAGGCAACAAAGGCTGGGGATGGGATGATTTACTGTAAGTTCTATCGCCATCGAGTCGGGTTGCTGACCATCTCTCCCCGGGTTTGATGTGACTAACAGTCGCAGTCCGTATTTTCGACGAAGCGAGACCTTCCATCAACCCAGCGCTGCACATCAACAGTATTATCACTCTTCTTATGACGATGAATTCAATGGGACCAGTGGGCCTCTTCATACCACGCATATTAAACAGTACGGACCAGCACATCAGTACTGGCATACCGCTCTTAATGAATTGGGGGCGGCTTCTAGTCCCGATTCCCTCGCTGGCTCAAATTGCGGAGTCTGGAACATGGTGTGCACGATAAACCCTCATCGACAGGAGCGAAGTTACTCTGCATCAGCTTACTATGCGCCGGTCGCAGGGAGGAGGAACTTACATGTCCTGACCAATGCGACCGTGCTGAATGTGCTGATAGAAATGACCAATGGCGAGTGGAATGCGACTGGCGTGAGAGTGCGATATGGCGACGAGGAGAAGGACATCAAGACTATCCGCGAGGTGATCTTATCCGCAGGTAGTATACAGTCGCCGCAACTATTAGAGCTCTCGGGCATTGGTCAAAGAAAGGTGCTCGAAGCGGCTGGAATCGATGTAAAGATCGATAACTCGAACATTGGAGAGAACCTGCAGGATCATATGAGTATGATTTGTCTCCTTGTTTGAGACTAGAGCTCAGTCTAACAAGTTTACTAGTGACTGCAACTATTTTTGAAGTTTCACCAACCCTCTCATCTCGCGACGACATTCTCAACGACACTATCTTGCGTGAGGCCGCCGACCGAGCATACTACGCTTCACAAACTGGGCCATGGACTGTGTTACCCTGTTCTGTTGCTTATTGTCCTCTAGCTCAAGTGGCATCTTCGACCGAACAGGCCCAGCTACAGATAACGGCGCAGAATATTGCCCAAGAGACGGGACGGTTACAGGACGAGCTTCTCGGTGAACAGTTCGATTCAACGAAGAAAGTGCGAGGCCAACTAGAGTACATCTTTGATCTGGGTAACTGGAGCACATATTTCAAGTCAGAACCGGGAAAGAAATACGGAACTCTACTGCAGATGCTCCAGTATCCGTTCTCTCGAGGCTCTATTCACATACCTGCTCAGCAGGACCCGTCACGCAAAAGTTCAGTTGATGATAAACCTATCATTGATCCACGGTACTATCAAGGACCTGGAGAGATTGACCGGGATGTTATGGCCCTAGGTCAACGAATGGCCAAAAGAATATCTCAGACAGAGCCTCTCGCGAAAATTATACAGAAGCGGGTCTTTCCTCCTCTGCCTGAAGATTTGGCTTCTGAACAGAGTGTCTACGAGGACTTTGTTTCAAATTATACAGTTACAGATTGGCACCGTACGTCCAAGATCTCTTGTGTGATATCGCTGCATAAACTAACTGTCGATCTAGCGGTTGGTACCTGTGCGATGGGAGGACGTGAAGGAGCAAAGGCTGGGGTCGTCGATGACCGCCTACGAGTGTACGGGGTACGAGGCTTGCGTGTTATAGACGCTAGTATCATGCCTCTACAGGTTGGCGCACACATTCAGGCAACTGTGTATGCTATTGCAGAGAAGGGAGCCGCCATGATTCGAGAAGACTGGTCTTGATCTACTTGAGGCGTCGTCCATGTCATCAAAATGAGTCAATTCTCCATAGGTCAATGTTTCTAGAATTTTGCTGACCAATTCAAGCAAGAGTGTCCTTGACTTGCTTGACAAAGTCGACCACTGTCTCTTTGAAAGTGTGATATTTCACCCCGAGCTCTCGAGCAACCGTCTCCCCGTCAACACCGTAAGAAGCATGTGGCTTCTCCCCTGCCTTGTAGTTGCTCGTGACCGATCCCTTCGCCCAGTCAAAACTCTCCTTCATAATATCTGCTGCGTATTCATACGAGAAGGGCTCAGGAGACGCAGGGATAAATCTCTTTCCACCAGCCTCGGGCCTAAGCAGGGCTTGAACATGCGCCTCAGCTAGATCTCGAGCATCGATCCAAGCCGGCACACGGATTCCGGGAAGGGGGTCAACACCCGCAGCTACACTCCAAAGAACCGCGTTAGACTCATTCAGTTGGTCAATATTGGGAACCGGGTGAACAACGGGGCCGAACACCATCGGTGGGCAGAGGGCGACTAGGTCAAACTGCGGCTTTTCAGTCTTCACGAAGTCCCATGCCGCAAGCTCTGCAAACTTTTTGGATCCGCGGTATGCGACGATTGAGGTGGATTTGGGGTCAATTGCCGTTTCGTATGTAAGAGGGTTCCAGTGAGTACCGGTGTAGGTGAAACCGGCAGGAGGATTGCTGTCAATATCAACGACCGATGCAAAAGAAGAGGTCAACACGATACGCCGGACTTTACTCCCTGGTTTGGCTGAGGCGGACAGTATAGACTTGACGCCGTTTATAGCAGGTAGGATGAGTTCCTGCTCATTGTTGGTGGTATCGTAGAAGAACGGCTGTGAGCCCTGTTAGTGGCATAGAAGGGCATCTGAAGAGATCGAACTTACACTGGCAACATGAATGACAGCATCGATGCCCTCCATCGCCGCATCAAAAACACCAATGTTGGTAAAATCCTCTACCACCACGAAATCCAACTTTGGTGCGTATTGTGGACGAGCTGCTTTCATCTGTTCCCCCTTCTTGGCCGATCTTGTGGCACCACGGACTGAGATTCCACGAGCTAGGAGGTTGTCAACGACATGGGCGCCGATGAAGCCCGTGGAGCCGGTGACAAGGACGTGTCTGCTTCGGTTAGCTTCTACATAACCTGATAGAATGGAGGATGAATCGTACGTGGGCTGCTGATATGACATTTTGTGAGTGCCTGCAATGTGTCAAGCCGGAGACTTGAATGATTGAGACCTCGAATAGCCCCGCGTGGGGTGGACATGGGGTAATATCTACTCGGACCAACTCCGATTACGGAATGATGGGCGAGAGGTGAAGAACCGATAGTGGCACCCCCACCTTTAATGTGGGGGGCCACTGATTCCATCAATAGGGTCTACAAACAGGGTAGAACGAAATATGCTTCTAGCTGTCGTTTCAGGATCTAATTAAACGTGAAGATGCCAAATTATGGTTTATCTCTATGCAGCGACAACAATCGTGAAGTAGCACCTGTGGACGGACTGCTCGATTGGTTGAAGTCAATGTTGCAGCTATATTGATAAATATTACAGCAAAGCATCTATAAGTATATACGATGGTTCAAATCAAGCTGCTATGACAACGTCCCTTCGAGGAATCCCTCTAATCTTCCTCCGCAGGGTCAAAAATGGGCCCAGCCGGTGTCTTCTCCAGTTTCTGACCGTCCTCCGTGATAATCTCCTTTGCAGGTATAACCACAGCAAATATCCTGGCAACATCCTTGCCACGATTTACCCACTCGTGATTCGTTCCCCGACACACAACGACATCATGCGGCTTGAGAATTTTCTCGACTTCATCATCGGTGATCAGACCCACAGTCCCAGACAGGACGACGGCATAGTCCAAGCTCAAGGTTCGATGCATCCATCCTTTTTCAGCGGGAGGGAGGTCGAAGATCCGACAGGAGGGACCTTTGGTATCGGCCAGAGGAACGAGAGTTCGGTTCGGGTCGGGAAGTTCGCGCATATTATCGGCCGGGAAGCTGCGCGATCGGTGAATTTGCACAACGCCAAACCCGGAGTTTGGGCCTGGAGTGGTGAATTCTGGGACTGTGGTTGGATCATATGGAATGAGTGTTTCGTCCGCAGCAAAGTAGGCTTTGCCTTTGGAATCGTGTGCAGTAATCACGCGACGAACAGGAGTGTCCATTTTCCACATGCGGTTGGAGGTGTAATTAAACGCTTGAAGAGAGGACCTCACGAGATAATTTGCTGGTTACTAGGCCCTTGTCTTAGAAAATTGCTTTAACTTATACTTTCGGTGCATCAGGGGTTTCTCTATATTACTATTAGTCCTAATTCTTCAAGACGGCCCTGTTGAGAATGATTGATAATCGGAGCATTTATAAGCTTGGGGCCAAAACATCCCACTCCACCATCGTGTCGATGTCTTGATTGTAGAAGGTCCAATTATCACACTAAATTGGCTCTTGGACTAGCCTCGAAAATTATAACAATTATAACCCCATTTAGTAAGGCTGTCCTCATTTACTAATCTCCCATCAATCATGGCGCTGTACGGCTCGGGCATTAGTGGTTTAAGTCCGAAACCATGACAAATCTCACCGGATTATGAGCCTCCTCTCAACAAGTACGACAATGGGTGAGCTAAGTAGGGAAATATTGACGATGAGGAGATTAAATAAGTCGTATAAATGAGCTTCGGAAGCAGTCAAGCTGATGCTTGTGGGTGGTATTGTTACTAACGGTATGGATACGCACTCCAAGATCACCGAGATGGAGACTGGGAAAGTAATTCTGTACTGTAGAAGGAGTTTCTATTAAATAAGTTGTCCACTGTGAGGAAGTTCCAAGTCGTACTTCATGCGATCTCTTTATAATAGATTTCCCCATTCGGAGTTTAGCTTGCATTTCCCCGCACTCCCGTGACATGTTGGCCAAACCAGACACTTGCTGACACCATAAACTTCCACCTTTCAACACTCTACCACCATCCAGCTATCACCGAAGAAATATCATTCATCAAGTCAATATGCCGACCGCAATAGCCAAAGTTGGAGATCTGGTGCTGGCTGAAGCTGACGCCTGGGAAACGGTTGAAGGGAATGTATACGTATGTTGACGGAGAATGGAAAGACTAGATCCATGTTAACGCCACTCCATTTGGCAGTTTCCGCGCTCCGCTATTAAAGATCTGGATACTTTCCAGAGTTCTGACACGAAGACGTTCTGCCCGTGGAAGGGTGAGGCAGAGTATTATTCGGTAAAGACCGGCGGTATGTTGAATGATCGTCACTTTGTGGAAATATACTTACTGATGGAATGTTCTAGACGCTGTCATCCAAGATGCTGCCTGGTATTACGCAAACCCGTACGAAAAGGCGATGAATATTAAGGATCATATCGCATTCTGTAAGCCGAATAACTGCTAATATGAAGGATCGAGCTGATTCTTACCGTCTGAACAGATAAGTCCAAGGTGCAAGTCACTGTGGAGTGATGAGCGCTACACTCTGGCATTTGTAAACTGCATTGGAATCAAAATGAATTCTGTTGAAAGTGAGAGAAGAAAATTTAAATCAAGTAGCCTAATGCAATAGTTGAGACCTTCCTCCGGTCCTCAGAAGAAAGCACCGATACCTAAACCAACCAAAGCAAGCCAGCTCCCCGTGGCTTTCACATTTGCGGCCCCCTTAGACGGCTTCGCAGATTCCTTATGAGTGTCCAATATCTTTGCCCCAGTAGATGTCGGGCTGGCTTCGTTGTTGGTACTCGTTGCGGTTACACGGACATTATTGTAGAAGTCCATCGTCTTCCACGTGTCTGGTACGACGGTATGTCCTTTGTCGTAGGCGTTGGCAGTAGCGCAATCAGAGGCACTGGATGACTGAGCGGCGATATAGTCTGGGCTGTCGGGGCAATTCACGTAACAACTGTACGTACAAAGATCAGCACTCTGGAGCGAAGAAAGGACCATAGAAAAGACGAGTGTTTAATGAGTGATTGAGAGGGCGGGAAGTCTAGATTGTACTCACTTTGCGATATTTGCGGACCCTGAGCATTTGCAATCCCAGTTATCCGATGAGCATTTTTCAAGAGCCTTCTTCATGATTGCAACACAATTATCTACAACCCTGCTTGCCATTAGACACGTTGATTCATAGAAGAGTTTGCCGTCGGTACCTACTGTTGAGAAGCGCATTGTGTACTGTCGCTTGGCGTGGCTGCGCTCTGAGACACCGGTGTAGGCTCTTGTGCGGCGGCGAAAAGAGCCGACACTGCTATTATGAGAGGAAAGTAGCGCATGCTGACGTTCGACGGATATATGAGCAGAAAAAAATTAGTAAAAGCGATGGATATGCACTATGATAGAATGAAAATGCAAAAATTGAAATAACGACAAGAAGAACGGGCTCTTTCGTAAATCCGTCCTGAAGATATAATAAGATAAGTCTAAGACCACAAGGAGGAGGTTACATTCGAGTGGTGACGAAATTAATGGAACCTTCAGATCTCAACCTAAGTGATCTGGGCCTGTTCCTGACGGCACGTTGACAGGAGTGGGGATTGTAAGTGACTTGCTCCATGGAAAGGGACTCTGGGCCCTCTGAGGAGATTCAAAAAAGTGAGGAGCGATTAAGTACCATGGAAATCGAGAAACCCAGCTGTCCATGGTTGTAGAAAGGAAGAAATTAGACGAATTCGGAAACAAGCTATAGGCTATGATCTAAATTGCATATTAGATTATTAGAACCCGTAGCGCTTTCCCTTGATGCCGGGTCGAAAGCTAGAAAACTTTCGTGCCGGCTTGCCGAGCATACATTCGGCCCCCGATGGATTGAACTTGTTAGCATTCAAGAGCTGCCATGTCGTCGTAAGATCTTAAGATCTTCTTAGGGTGACATTCCATTTCCCGAAGGGGTTTGGGTTGCATTCTTCGGTTAACCCCAATGTTTCCGTCAACCAATGGTGACGGCGATGTGGCCGGATGAGGAATGTGCAGGACCCTTATCTTCTTGATCTCATTATCTCCTCTGATCAAGAAAAGGTGGCGGGTACCTGAATTAGAATTACAGGATTCTAGTGCATTGACACCAGGGATAATTTAGCCGACTGCACGCATGCGAACAAAAAGCCGTTCGTTCTAACAATGTGGCTATTGTTCGAGGATATTTCGCCAACCAAGGATCCGAGGTCTAGATTTTGGCGAATTTAGTTCTACGAGGCCAATAGATCAAAGGCTTTGCTTCAAGTATTTTCTCAATCCAACTCAGAAATATGATACTGGGAAGGGGGGTCTTTGATGTACTGAGAGACGGACCAAAAATAGTTCTCCCTACACTTTGATCGGAAAATGTTTTAATGATTTGTGGGAGAAGGTGATATTTATGGTCACTGGTATACTCCGCTGGCATGACCTGATCCGGACACTGATCGCGTTTGTTGCGAGGGTAGCAAGCAACTTTGCAGCATGGATGAACCAGAAGAAGTGGATTCATTGACAATGTTACCATCGGCCTATCGGGATTTGGGCATGGGAATAGGGCGATGAGGCGATGTCAAGTTTCTCAAACGAAAAAGCGATTGTTCAAGATCCACAATGATAGGCGACCAATTAGCCAATAGAATAGAACATACGGTAGTCATATGTACTCCAGGCACCTCTCAATCATAGTCCATAATTGACCACTGAAGAATCGTAGACCTTAATCTCCTCCTGGCTTCTCATATTGCTGATCATATACCTCTTCGTCCAGTTCCTTGCCTTTAATTGTAATCTTCTGCATTGGCAAAAAGACAAACAGCATTCGACACCATTCCGTCGAGCTTCGATTCCGAAAGCAATGTGCAGTGCCTCTCTGTACGCTTACGTCGCCTCGCCGTAGATGCCGACTTTCCCCGGAGTCCAGTATCAAATCGACTTCGCCCTCCACCACCACTCCGTAGTCGATACTAACAGTGCGGTGCATAGGGCTGATCTTACCGGGTCGAAGATCAATCATCCTGAATGTAGTTCCTGACTCTGTTGTAAGTCCTGGTGCTTGGTGGAGAAATTCGTCGTAAATCGCTATGTCGGCTTCGTCATCGATGTTGGTTGGGACACTTGTGGTGGCGTATAAAAGTGCTATCTCGCCATCTTCGCCGGCTGGCTTCGATGGCATGTAATCGGGTATTTGCGCATGGGAGACAAACACTGCTTCGCCGTCGGAACTGTGGGTGGTGATATAGCGGTGGATGTAGGGGAGGTCGTTTTTCTTGTGGGGGGACATTATCTGTCAAGTGCGTTCGCATTTGGTTCTGGGGAGATGGTCAAAAGGTTGAAAAAGAAGTATTTGATCAACAGTGAATACTGAAATTCTATCCTTTAGAGTTATAATGAAGCACGGCGGAGATGGCGTCGTGCATCATCATGGCATCATTCGAGGAGCCAAAATTGCGGGCGGCTTACCCGGTGGCACAGACAAGATTGAACGCCTTTACAAACAGCCTCAAATGGATACTTGATATTTCTGACACACATTGGAACTATTTGAGCTTCAGGGCTGCATTGTAGGCTTTGCCTTGATCTGTGCAAGCTTGTTACCCAGGTGGCTCTCTAACATACGTTTATGCCCGTTCGAAATCTTCAAGCGCTCGTCCATCTGCCTTGCCGCTTTGGCAATACACTCATCAAGACTTGGGACCCCTTCGAACTCTCGATCATCTTTCTTTGTCTCCACCACACTACTCCAAAGGGCCTCCAATTCATCCCTCCAGCCAAGCTTGTCGGCAAATTTACGTACCCCATCATCACAAGAGCCAAGCACACAGACATCCTCTTTTCTGCTACCGATATCTCCGGATCTCTCTATATTGATCAAGACCCGCGGAGTCCCCTCTTTGACAAGTCGTGGTAACTGTGAGCATGGAGCAACCTTCAAACTCGTTCCCATAACAAGCATAAGGTCTGCCTCTGGCACAAGCTTCTGCTTTTCATCAAATTCAAGAGGCAGAGATTGCCCGAAGAACACAACATTCGGCTTGACTGCACCGCCACATTCGGGCTGCTGGCAATAAGGCACTTCACCCTCACGGATCGCCTTTTTCATCGAATCCTCTGGGTATTCGGCCTTGCATTTCCAACAATGCTGACTCTTCCAGTTGCCATGTGCCCATATGATCTTGTCTACAGGAACACCCATGTCCTGCTCAAGACCATCAATATTCTGGGTGAAAGCAAAATGCAGCACATTCTTTTTCGCTAAAAGTGCGATGAAAGCATGAGAAATAGTTGGTTTGAGATTTCCCGGATGGCGAGCTTGCGCAATTGCATAGAAAGGCTCCGGAGTGTGGGAAAAGTAGCTGATGTGGAAAATTGCCTCTGGATAGGGGAGATTCAAAGGCGCGAGTTTGTCGTAGAGACCAGTGTTGGGCGATCTGAAGTCAGGTATGCCCGCAGCAGTACTGATACCAGCACCAGTCAAGACCACCACTCGAGTGATCTGGCCGTTCTTAATGCGGCTTGCAATGGCTTGTAGATCGATCTCTTCATCCGTATGAGCAGTCGCTTGCGACCTGTTCTCGGTCGTGAAGGCCATCGCGTTTTTGCCCTTTGATCTGTCTTAAGATCTAATGGCAGGCTAAACAGACACGCTCGAGAGACTGAAACAGGCAGCATAAAATCAAAACATCATGTGACGGGGCTTTGTTGACAACACTGCATGAGCCGCATTGCTGACATTGGTGCCTGCAGGTCGCCCCCAAAGTGGGGCATTGGGTTCGTTGGACTCAGCAACATAACAGTGTACATCGGCTACGAAGCTCAACAAAAAGATAGATCGAGGAATCACTTGCACGAGTCATCTTGGTAAGCTCGGTCAATCAGATTGCAACATTAAATCAATATCTTGATAGGCTCCCTCAGTTCCTCATCCCGCAAACCCCCAATTATGGATGCGTTTACAGTAAACAGTTCGCTTCTACGGTCGGGCAGAAATATGCCTTGACTAGTTCCCACCCTGTGAATAGAAAATTTCTAATACCCCCTCCGGCGGCGATAGTGCGCTCGTACGCATTTTGGAGTCTATCAAACAACATACACTCGGTACCTGCCCCTTCATGGATTTGCCCGAATACATGTAGCCTTGGTCGAATTCTCCAGAGTGCCTCCAGTAGACGAGGGCAGCCCAATTTTAGCAAGTCAAGATGGGCAAGTGGTGGACCGTGAGTAACGAGCACATCAATTCCATCTGGCACCGAACTAGTCCACACGTCTTCACCTCGAGGATATTGAAAGGCCCAGTTACCGTGGCGTATAGAATAAGGACTCCCGTAGACCCTTAGTTGGCGACCATTCGGACAGGAAATCGTCACCTCCTCGTTTTCTAGGTAGATAATATCGCCCCAGTCGAGTTGAGCTCGTTCAGAAGCTGCCCCACCTGATAGGTTATAAAATTTTGAATCAAGTAGTAGATCATGATTGCCGGCAACAACAATTTTGGTGGGATGGGGCTGGATGCGTAACCAGGCGAGTGCTTCTTGGAGTTCCTTGAAAGATCCAGATTGCGTGAGATCACCCGCATGAATTAGAATATCTCCATCTGGAATACTGATCTGAGCGTTATGAGTGTCGGAGATACAGACAATCGTAGTCGGACTTGTGAGCGGCGTAGCTGGAATGGGTTTATGCCAACCGTAAAGTGTGCGCGCGAGGAATATACATGGCTGGTCTCGGAACTTCTGCCATGGCCCTGGTCGTTGTCGATGAAGGAGTTCGCTGAGGTTGGACATCGTCGAAGATATATGAAGGCCAGAGAGAATCGGGGATTTAGAATGGTGATTTCACACGATATGAATGTCACCTAATCTTCTAGATCATCGTAAGGAAGCGTTAATCTTCTGACAGGATGGCATTATCTAAATGGGCTTAGCGTCGCTTAGTGATCTAAACAATCTAGAAAAAGTGACGTCATAACACAATAGCTTGAAGGTCATTCGCTTCCAGGGACAGTAGCGTTAGTCAGTTCCGTCAACAGATCCATCCAATCTGGGGTGTTCAATGCAACATGAGCACTTTCGTCAAGCATCTGACTCCACAAATCTTCCAAGGGAATCTGCCCAAGTTCGGAATTAACTGGGTCAATGGACTGGTCATGCTTCTGCTCAGGATCATCAAAGCGGACAGTTTTAGAGTCTTCAACATGCCCGGCGGTTTGTATATCACTCTGATCGTGCAAGGCAGAGGCATCGAAGCCAGGTGAGGATGGTTGTCGGGCTTGTGTCCCACTGGATGTGATTGGTCTCCTCTCTTGTTTCCAATGCTTGCGAAGAATGCCCATCATCGCGTTGATTCCTTCTCGAGCAACCGACGAGCATTGCTGAGCGCGGCTTAGCAGTCGGCAAGCATCAAGAACCTCCTCCTTCCTCTTAGATGCGAGAATATCGTCCCAGTTGAAACAAACATCAATCAATAAGATAACTGCTGCCATGAAAACATGATGCATGACTGCCCAGAAAAAAGAGCTGTTAACTGTGAAAAGAGGTTCTTCCTCGTCCATAATGCGCTTAACTTCCAAGACCTTCCGGGCAGACTGAAGAGACACAACATGCGAGTAGGAGTATCTTGGGTCTCTTGCACCACGAATAAAGTATTGACGATGTAGCCGACAAAGACGTGAATGGTAGCCCTGTTGGATAAAGGCTCGCTGCCACGCTATTTCCCGTCGCTGGAGATAAAGAGTCGCAAACTGACGGCGTGATGATTGGTCAAAGCGGAAGAATGCTGGAATTTCTGAGTATGCCTGTTGCAGCTTGCGATCCAAATCAAGTACAGTCTCGTAAGGAAGCTCTTTGCCTTGAAGGTGGTAAGGTGCCGCTGCATCGACAATCTCCCGGCATACTTCGGCCAATTTCAGGCGCTGTAGGGTATATGACATGCACGTTGGCATAATCAATGGCAGCCCAGTCTCGATTCCGATTATATCATCTTCTCTATTCAACGGTCGGCGCACATTCATGTGTTGAGGGTGGATTGTGTACGTCCATTCTTGGGGGCCACTCAGGAAACCGATTAACCTGGGACGAGATTGTGAGCAAAATGGCATCCGGTGATAGAATAAGGAGGGTTTATACCAGTCATAAGACGCTAGATCCCACCACAGCCGGCGTTTCAACTCAGTCTCAGCCTTGTCAATTCCCTTTTCTTGACGCTCAGCTACAACTCGAGGGGAATCGAGTAGATGGAGACCGAGACTTTTAGCCTGACTCACAAGCCCACCATGCAAAAACAACGAGCTCACACATGAGTTCAGGGTTAGGCTTGACAAGTGATGTCCGATGATCATGGCTGCCTGCAATCCCTCTATCGTTGGATAGGCAACGTAGTTGCTCTGAACCAAGGCCGCGCCAGCGAGAAACGCCATCTCGCGACTACAGTTCTCGGCAACTTCTGAAGACTCAGTGGATAGCAGCTGATAAAACAAAGCAGTTGCAAGAATGCTGAAAAGGAGAGCGATACTATTCAAGTCCTCCGACCAGCCGCGGGCAAGTGCACGGTACAAATAGCGGATATTTTGCTCCGTTCTGGCGGGAACAACAATATGATACTGGTAGTCGAGGTGACTAAGGTAATAGTTGAAAAGGCTTAACGCATCATCCTCTGGCGGCAGAAATGACGCCAGATGAACGGTGGCTGGATGTTCAGAAGACACATAGCCACCATCACGAATCATAGTCAGAAAGCTGCTGATGGCAGTCCCCTTGTGTGGTCGGGAGCGGGTTGCTTGCATGGGCTGAGGTCTGGACAGCTCTTCTCGGAGAGCTGATGGAACAGCACTCGGGATCCGGTGACCCATGAGGATATTCTCAAGCCGGTCTGCCGTCATGAGTGGATCCTCTGTGCTGCGAGTCTGAACACTCTCGCGAGAGGCCTCTGTCGCCTGTATCGGTTGAGAGGACGTCACGCTATTGCACGGTACATCACCCACCTGATCGACGGGTGTTGCAACGGGGCTAGGAGCCACTGGGCCATTACCGCCGTATGTGCAATCAATTCGTCGAGATTTACAACTGCCACAGGGAACCTGTCGGTCGCATTTCGTCTTTTTCTTTCGACACGACTCGCAAGACACTGGGTCTTGTCTAGGCTGCTTTTGTGGCGTGGTACTCTCGTGTGCTGATTTGCGCTTCATTGCAGTCTCCTGGTCCTGGGAATGAGTGCAGGAGGAGGTTTTCTTGAAGAAGGAGGAGTAAAAAAAACTAGATGACTAGCAGGAAAGTTGGAGAAAGGGGCTTTATTGAGGTGGTCATGGACAGGATAGCTGGAAGTCGTGGTGAATGGTCATTGAGAAATGGATCATTGGGCCTGTAAATCAATGGATCTTGTTACTGCAAGGCGCGACCACGCATGATGTAAAACAGGTCGCGTTTGTTGTGGAAGGATGAGGAGGAGAACAAGCAGAAGGGGACCGGACTGTCCGCGGACAGCCCGGTCTTGGCGTCGCCGATCGAGACGGAGCCTCCGAGGAAGCTTGCAAGTTGCTAGAAATATTTCTTCACGGGAAATTTTGTACATAAAAGCTTGCGATTCGCCATAAAACTCAGATTCATTCCAATTTTTAATCTTCATCTCCTTGAAGATTTTCCAGGCTCTACTTGACTCTGATTACACCGTTTCCTCTCGCTTCTACAGCACCCGCGCACAGGATTGACATTAAACATGGGGTCTGACGAGAAGTTACAAAGTGAATACACGTATGTGATTTCAAGATCTTTATGGCCGGATATATGAAAGACTAAACAGCTTCGAAATGCAGCCCCAGAGCTTGGCTCGTCATCTCTGGAGCGGCTACCTGCCTCTTCTGCACTGTGGGCTTTATGAACTCCTTCGGAATCTTCCAAGAGTACTACGCAACAAATCAGCTAGCCCAAAGCTCCCAGTCGACAATTGCATGGCTTGGCGCAATATCCATTTTCTTTCTATTTTCGATATCTGTCGTTTCTGGTACAATGCTTGATGTGTTTGGCCCCAAGGTGAGTCGGTAGATGCAAAGAATTCGCGAAGAAAAGAAGAACTAGTCTAACAAACTACTTCCTTGAAGCTGCTGGCATACATCGGATCTCTTGGAACAATTTTCGCAGTTATGATGACGTCCCTATGTGAGGAGTTCTATCAGTTTTTCTTAGCACAAGGCGTCCTCCTCGGGATATCTATGTCACTAGTTACATGGCCGATGCTGGCTCTCGTAGGGCAGCACATCAAACGCAAGCGCGCTTTGGCCATGGGAATTGTGCTTGCAGGTTCATCCCTGGGTGGGGTTATTTGGCCCATTGCCGTCGACAAGCTGTTGAAAATCCCTGATATTGGGTTCCCATGGACAATGCGCATTGTCGGCTTCATCATGATTCCATGTCTTTCTTTCTCTTGCGTCGCTGCCAAACCACCGATAATCCCCAATGCAGCCGTCGAAGACATGGACCACAGCCGGGGATCCAGTACCGACAATGCCATTTCTCAAACAAAAGACACTGACAGAAAGACCGAAGCGATCGCATTGCTTCGCAAGCCAGAAATGCAACTTCTCTGTGGCGCCATGTTTATTACATACTTCGGCATGTTTTCGCCCTTTTTCTACACAACTTCATTTTCTGTTGATAAGGGCTTTCCCTCGAGCTTTGGCTTTTACACAGTGTCAATTGTCAACGGCGCGTCTTTCTTCGGTCGCATCCTGCCAGGTATTGTTGCTGACAAGTATGGAAAATTCAACTGCTGTATTGTGTCGACCCTAGTGGCGGGTCTCGTGGCCTTGTGCTGGACAAGGGTGGAATCAGTAGCCGGATTGGGCATTTGGTCCGCAGCCTATGGATTTGCATCTGGGGTGGGTATATTCCCAGTATCATTGCTTTGAACGTGCTGACCGAAGCCTTAGGGTATCTTATCGCTTCAGCAAGCCTGTGCTGCCCAAGTGGCCACTCCCTCTACGCTGGGTCTGGCTATTGGCAGTGTTAGTGGGTCTACGGCATTGTCGTAAGTCATTACTCTAATTGAATATGAATGATTTACTAATATAGAGCTCATAGTGCCATGGCAAATGTTCCCATCAGCGGTGCGTTGGTTGAAAAATATGGGTACCTATCGTTATCTATATTTTCGGGGATCTCGCTATTGCTGGGTGGCGTCTTGCTTGGGGCTGCTCGTTTGGCGCAGAACCGAAAACTTGCTGCCATTGTTTAAAGTCTTCCCTTGATATTTTATCCCTCGTAAAGGTAGATCCGTGGTTGACTGAAAAAGGGACCGAAACTCGTGTCTCTTAAATAGTTGCATTCGGCATGTCGTGCTTAATACTCGGCTTAATGGTGATTTGCGCATAGAAGAAATAAATAGGTTGGGATAATCAAGCATTTGTACAAGGAGCAATGAGTTCTGATGTAGCGAAGCAACCCGTAATAGCCGGCATCAAAGCCTACGCAATGCAAATTGTGCGCTTCCTAGATAGTATAGCGGAACCCTGCCACACCAGCAATGATAAGCTCGCCGCGATCTGCCTTCTTGTTACAATGTCGGTACCAAAGAGCCAGGGACAATACAGTTAGAAGGAAGACAATATTTGCGCTAGTTATATGCATTAGCATGTCCTTTGTGCAGTTTTCAGTTGTTTTAAAATGTTACATAGGGGTACTTACCCAAGCGCAGTATATACACCCGGCCGGTATCGAGGTGCATCTTTCTCGAAAACCAGGCTGGCAATAATCCCTCCGATACCGTCGAATGCAATCAGAGTAGCGCTGGAGAATGCACGTGTCCACTGGCCTCGGATATTATTGGCTTGCCATGCCATGCAAGCGGGAACATTTGCGTTGGCTCCTGCAACAGTCAAGAATACTCCAACGTATCGAGCTGCATTACCCTTCAAAAATCCCATCATAGGCAGACCAATAAGCGAGAGGCAGACGTTGAAAAGTAATACTGGAACCCGTCTTTGAATTGTATCTCCAACCCAAGCCGTCGCGAACATGACCAGAACCGCGAATACCCATGGTGGTGCAGAGAGACATTGAGATGCTCCAACCCCGAATCCCATGCCATCAGAAAGAATGAGAGGAAGGAAGTATGCCATGGCGTATGTGTTGATAGTCAAGCAGCTGCAAGGTAAGTTTAGTGCGAAGACCTTATTGTATTGAGACTGACTACTTACCCGAACAGGACTGCAAATCCCCAGATCTTAATATCAAGTGCCGGCTTTAGAAAACGTCGAAGTGTAAACGCCTCTGGCTCCGCATCCAGTCGATCACGATCAATGCGGCGGATGACGAAAGCACATTCTTCCTCAGTGAGGAAATTCCAGCTCCTAGATGCTTTGTCCGGGAAATCAACAATGAGAATATAACAGAGAATACCGAGACCAACGGTTATCTGATAAAGTCAATATCCAAAAAGGAGCATAGATGATAGAGACTTAACATACCACTCCTTCCATGATGAAGATCCAACGCCAACCCGAAATTCCCTGAACACCATCCATTTGGATCAATCCAAAGGCCAAGATACCTGCCAGGGCCGATGCTACACAGCCCACGCCGTAGAATACGGAGAATCGCTTCTGTACCTCATCTGAGAGGATTGGCATACATGGATTAGTAGAAAATTATAGATGTGAGTATCCGCCAGTTGAAACTCACAACGAAGGTACCAACAGGATAGCAAATACATGCATCCCGGGAAGTAACCCGCTGCAAAAACTCCCAGGAGTATACGGATGGCGAGAACCTGACTCCAAGTCTTGGCAAATCCCATACCCTATGACACAGTCAGGATAAAGTTATCTCAAGATTGACAGTGGAGAACTCACAAGCATCAATATTCCCCAAGAGAAAATGATTACTGATAGAAATTTAGGGGGTCCAATCTTCCTGATTAAAATTGTTGATGGTGGTTGGAATGTCACATAGGTGACAAAGAACATTAGAACCACCAAGGACTTGATACGATTCATTAGTGCCACGCGTGGTGCTTGGGATTTAAAGGGGGTGACGGGACATACATATCGATAGCCGACAAAATCAAGGTCCTTCAGCATTCTACGCACATCAGTTACTCTTGACTATGTATGTTAGGATTGTGATTATTCTTACCCTGCGATGGCTGCCATTCCGACATTACCTCGATCCATCAAATTAACAGAGTATCCTAAAGCAGCACCCAAAACAAGGCGCAAATCAATGCGCCGCATTATCTGTTTCTCGCGGTGAGACAGAATGTAGTCATCCTGGGCGGATTCCTTGGCGACATCCACCGATTCTGTGCCCGCGATCGCCATGATGAATATTTCAACAAACAGAGAATCTAAAAGGCAATCCTTGGAAGTGATTTGCAATTTTATCCCACCGGGTATACGTGTGCTATATAGCCGCCTGAAAGCCCCCTCGCTTTCACAACGCTCCAAGGCCCTAGTGCTCGAGAGCTCAGCGCATCCACGAAAAGGTCAAAAGAAGCGAAATGTGCGACACAGACCATTCAGAGCATTTCTTCTTTCGGATCCGAAAGGTCTATGTGAAGTGTCAAACCAATAGAAAAAATTCGTCGCTAGTAGTGCCAAATTCCTACTTCCCTAAGCAACGACTGGATGAACATCAAGATTCGCTATTCCGAAATGCTGCGTAGACAGGGATCTTTTGGCAGCGAGTGAGGATATCGAAGACTGCTGCACTCATTTCAACTTTGCAATTAAATTGTGCCAGGTCATCGACTAGGATCTCGGAGCTTAGTGTGACTCGAGCCGAAGCAATCAGGCATACGAGGGCCTCGGATCGGATCCGATCCGCTTACAGCTTCAATCCACCAGACGCCAGATCAAGAAGGCTTGATCATCCTCGGCTAACAGGATTGAAAATGTATAATTGGATCATCGGGAACAATTATAGCAATTTCCAGATTGAGTAAAATTACTGGGTATGAAGGGATTGAAGCGAAAGGAGTGCGCAAAGCGCTTGACCAAATTATTGATCTGCCGCTAAATCTTCCGTGTATATAAGGAGATATTATGTTAGTTTCATCATTCATCGATCCCTATTTACGACTAGTCACCAAGTCGGGCTCAAGTTGACCAAAAGGAGGGACTCGGCGCAGGTTCTTAAGAGTACATTTTTGTACTGGCGAGAATGACATTATGATCATTTCATTAAAATTTACGTTGATCTCAGATTTATTGATTCCTGAAGAGCAGGGTCTCGGAACCGGCTGTTTCTTCACCTCGCTTCGACAGGGTTACTCCGCGAGTTCCTACCCCGCACGCCAGCATCCGACTCCGGGGTACGCACAGGCTTCATTATTCTAACTTGAAAGGCAACGAAGCGGGAGTCCGACACCCTATCCCTACCAAAGGTTGCGACCCCTTCGTTTAACGGATCCGAAACGTGGGGTAATCGAGTTCTTCACGACCTCGACCTAGTTCGTCAAGTGCTTCCATGTGACCTAAACAAAACACCAAGATGAACCGTGTGTTTACATCGTTACGACATGGGCGAAGAATAAGCGAAATCGTCTGTATATAACACGCTCTGAATTTCCTCAAAAGATACCCGAAGCAGGACAACTTCATTTACAATCCACCTGCCAGAATAAATCTTCAACATGACTTACTGGGGAAGCCTCATTGGGCTGGCTAGCTTGGCAGGAACTACTTCCGCTGCAGCCCTGGGGGCCTATAATGTCGACCCCAGCTCTGTATCGGTATCCGGCCTTTCCAGCGGTGGATTCTTTTCAGCCCAGCTCGGCGTGGCATATTCGAATGTCTTCCAGACTGGCTTTGGTGTGTTCGCAGGCGGTCCATACGACTGCGCCCGCAACCAAGCGGTAAGAGCACCCATTCGTGGAGCACCTCTCATCAATGTGATCAGCTAATCCCTGAATTGACCTATAGTATACCAGCTGCATGTATAACCAGAACCCGTCTATAACTACACCAATTGCAAACATGAAGTCGTGGAGTGGCAATCAAATTGCGCCAACTAGCAACTTGAAGAATCGCAAAATATATCTCTGGACTGGAACTTCGGATACAACTGTGGGACAGAACGTGATGAATGCGCTGAATTCCCAACTAAGCAACTTTGACACTTCGGCTGATGTTTCATACGTGACTACAAGCGGTGCTGTCCACACCTTCCCAACTGACTTTGATGGCTCGGGTGACAACTCATGCAGCATGTCCAGTTCACCTTATATTAGTAACTGTAACTATGATGGCGCTGGAGCAGTACTGAAGTGGATGTACGGCTCTCTCAACGCGAGAAATACCGGGACCCTTTCAGGCTCTGTTGTTTCTTTCGCACAGACTGGTGCATACGGCGCTTCTGGAATGGACACCACCGGCTACCTCTATGTTCCTGCTAGCTGTCAAAGTGGTACCACTGTCTGCAAGCTTCACGTTGCCTTGCATGGATGCCTACAAAGCTATAGCAGTATCCAGATGAAGTTTGTTCAGAATACGGGCTACAATCAGTGGGCTGGTAAGTGGGAGATGTTCTTACATTATGCGAAAGTATGACTGATTTTCCCCCAGATACCAATAACATCATCATACTTTACCCCCAGGCGATTCCTGACAATTCCCTGCATACAATTTGGAGCGGCACTCAACTGAGCAACCCGAATGGCTGCTGGGATTGGGTGGGTTGGTATGGTTCGAATGCAGACCAGATTGGAGGTAAATGGAATTTCCAAGGAATAATTTTTGAAGTAGTTCTCACTATTTATAGGAGTCCAAATGGTGGCCATTGTCAATCAAGTTGCGCAGATCATGAGCGGTAACTCTGGTGGTGGTAGTACCCCCACCAGTAGTACCACATTGGCCACGACCACGAAGCCCACATCTACGACAACGTCTTCGGGCAGCACTGGGACAGGTGCGCCTCTCTATGGGCAGTGCGGTGGATATGGCTGGACTGGACCTACAACATGTGCCCAAGGAGTTTGCACTGCCTACAGTATGTTGTATGCTCAGTGCTTGTTACCTTTATAGAGGTCAAGGAGAGATTCGCGAGTGAAAGTTCTCGTCCTTCTGTCGCAGGAGCCTTACCACGTATCGAGCGAGGTGCAAGTTGTTAGGTCCAAAATACCAGTCTATTTATTCCCTGATAAGGCTTCATTAAGCACATACGACCATAGGGTGTGGAGAACAGGGCTTCCCGTCCGCTCAGCCGTACTTAAACCACACGCCGGCCAGTTAGTAGTATGGTGGGTGACCACATGCGAATCCTGGCTGTTGTATGTTATTGTATTTTTTTTTATCAAAACCTGAAGTACGTAGTCCCAGATAACTGAGCGAAGTAGCGGTTGAAGAACTTTCTCAGGCGTTGATGTGCAAAACTCCAATGTAGCCACCGCACCCCAAGGTGCCTTTCATACAGCTCTTTCCTGTGGTGAGGAAAGCAAAACGCAATCGGTTGATTGAGCTTTGTTGACTCCTCCTTGGTGCTCATTATCGAAGAATAATGATGGACTGAACACAACGAATGCCCCCACTGCTACCGCTATTGGCCCCATATCGAAAGCGACGAGATACCATTCAGTGCGCACCAAATGGCCATTCCATCCACCCGACAATTCGGCGATTCGATATGCATTGCGAATAAACACCATAACTGTTGAAACCCACATAGCGAGCATGGTCGGCCATCCAGTGACAGAAAGTTGCCGCATACCCTTCGAACGCATCCTGAATATTGCCCCCAACAACAACAGCACAAACAAGACGGCATTGCTGAACTGAAATATGATTCCATCCAGCATGATGTGCGATCCATAGTTTAGTTGGTCCATGTTCTGGGCACTTGACACCAAAACTCCTCCTACGGTTTGAATGGATAATGAGATGATATCCAGGAGGATAAAACCAATCCAGAAGAACTTGGAAGAGATATGGAACAGCCGAGGCCTAGTATTTTGGATACTGCATCTTATTAGCAAATTCTTCCCTTACCTTTTGATCGGGTTGCTTACATTTGGCAAAACAGGACATAGTCTGCGGCGGAAACACAGACCGGAGTGATGCCGAGGCTGCAAATTTGGATCATGAATGGCAGCCAATCATCTGGCTGAGATCGTTTCAACAATATATTCCATGTGCATTACTGTATGAATTCACTTACTGTGATATGAGCCCAGAGTCGCGCCCCCCAACCGAGAGCCTCCCCCACAGCAGCGAGGGCAATGGTGGCCATCCAGTAGTGCTTGTATCTTCCAAAAATAATTTGAAGACCGCATAGGATTGCTGTTGTACCAAAGTAGACAATTCCAAACAAGGCTGCTGGCTTGCTAGGGAGATACCCGTAAAAATCGGTTGACTGAGACATGATGCTAAGAAAGATGTCGACTTGGCTTTGGGCATTGTGAGTGAGAACGACCGGAAAATCTCATTATAAGGTAAATGGTGTGATGTCGACCTTTTTTTCATCCGAATAGGCATCCAGATTTCATATCGTTCTACCTATCCTTCTATTCGGTGGTTGGCCATGAGTAGTGGCAGAAGTTCCGCGAAATCACCGCATTATTTCCGCTAATACACCTTGATTGTACATGTTAGTCACGTGCCTTCGATTTTCCGGGCATGAGAATCTGCCGCAGAATCTCCGCGCAAGTCCCGCTTTCCTTGGTTCCTTGATTCCAACAAAATCGCCGCCAGAACTTGCGCTCTCGAATTTACGGTGACATTCTAGAAATGCAGCTCAAACGAGGACTGCCGCGAGAATCATGCGATTTCTGCCACCGACGAAAGGTCAAATGCGACCGGTCACTGCGCGCAAGGCAGGGTCTTGCCTCATGTTCTCAATGCAGCCTGCGCCAGGGACCTTGTATTTTGAATGACCCAACTGAGAGACGTACACGACGGCATGCCCGTCAAGCTACCCACGGAGGTAGCGCGGGCGTGGCGCTAGGCGACGGAGGATCACGGATGGTTCGGGTTGACCTAACACAAGGGGATAACCCAGCAACATCCCCGTTTGCTTCGGCATCTCAACTCGAACCTCTACTGCCACTGGAGGAAGATCCTTCGACATTAATACAGTATCCCGATGATATGTTCGGTGAAAATTTTCTTGGTCTGAGTCGTGACAATATCTTCTTTCTCGATCAAGTTTTCATGGGCGACGGTGCAGGATCATTTGAATGGCTCGGCCAAGCGCAAGATGCACACCACGATACGCAAGCTTGTACTAGCGCTGATGATCAGATTCGTAACGACGAACTACCACGGCAAATTCACACAGAGCCGCTTCAACAATTTCCTTGGCTGGACAGTGTTGTAGACTCGAACAACGCTTTCACTACTGCACTACATTGCTACTTCAAGTTTGCGGCGCCATGGCTGCCGATTCTGCTTGAGGACGCCTTCTGGCAAGACTACCATAACGGACGCTGTAGTCCTATTCTGGCGTCTGCTATAGCCTGTCGTGGGATGCCTTTCACGACTGTTCCCGACAAATGGGATCTTCAGCAGCGTTTTGCCCATGACTTTCGAGAGGCATTCCTAGGTGCCCAGAGCACGGCATCCAACGACGGAACAATCAGACTTGACAATGTTGAGGCGCTGGCTCTTATGGTAAATTTTGAATACGAAGATTCTAACAGTCCGCCGCTCCATTCAAATTTAGGAAGACTCTTTTTAAGGCACGAATCGCTCGTCATGATGATGTTGCAGTTCCGTATCCAAGAGCGTGTCTCCACGGGGACAGACTCATCAGTGGCGTTGGCCAGAGCTCGGGAGCGGCGCGTGCTCCTTTATTGGCACGTATATGGTCTTGATGCCTTCAATTGTCTGGATCGTAAACAGATATCTCTGATTCCCGACAAGGATGCAAGCGACAAGGACACTCTTCCCCAAACCGAGGCTAGGGACTTCCTCGATGCTGTCTTTGAACTCGCAGTGATTGCCCGAACTATTCTGCAACAGTTAGGCAACAACTCGGCAAGGCGTCGTGGGATTGAGTCAAACGATGTGCATGACATATATGCCCGAATCTATCAATGGAGGAACCACACTTGTCCCCGTCATTTGCGCAGATATGAAGAAAGTCCAGGGACAGTGACGACTCACGACAATAATGGTCACTCAACTGGGATACAGCAACACATCAATCTTCATCGAGCTGTGCTATGGGCATTAGAAATTAATTGCTTGATGCAAGTTGAGTGCTTTGTATCCGAGTTCGGCATCAAGGAGAGTGGAGATCTGCGGGCAGAGATGACTAGATCGCGTGTGGAATATGAATGCCTTCGTGCTCTGAATGACATGTTGGCTATATGTCGTTGGATCGATTTGAACACCATCTGCGATGAACAAGGCAAGCAGCACTCTCTGGTCGATCTCGCGCCGTTGGCGCTACGCAATGTGTGTGCTGGGCTATGTTATTGGGCATGTCAACGCGGTATTAAGGCGATTCAATTTTCCAGTACGAAGGCTCCCGACACAAAGGAGCCTCCAATAAACAGTCAAAACCGCCCTGCTCATGCTTATATTGAAAACGCGCAGCTACTACGAAACGAAGCTGCGAAGGCAACGTCGCACAGGGACACGGCGGATATCCTTGAGCGCCTCGACAAACAAATCGCCGCGCTCAAAGCAGAGTTCGATAATGATCCTGTGCCCGGAGACTAAACGATAAAAGCCAAATTCTGGATGGAGCGAACTAGATCCTCGGAAGTAGGCCATCCTGCGCAGAGCCACCTTGAAGGCCATCCTTGCGATGGAAGTGGATAATATTGCCCGCCTGCAGGGGAAGAAAACAAAGGCGAGATGACTGGGTTTCGATATTTAGGAGATTACATATACTGAATATTACCACCTCTGCACATAAAGAAAGATGATATGACTGTCTCTATCAATATGGAGGCTTATTTCCGAAACACGGAGCTGAGAATCGCACCTAAACTGCACCTAACTGACAACTTTTCCATAACAACTCGCGTGATGGAGTGCGGTTTAGGTGCACCTTAGGTAGTTAAGAATGTATCATCCTCGAAGCACAGACTGGCATTTTGACAGAAATGAACACCGTCAAGCAGAACATTGCGGATCTGAGAGCCTGCCGCAAGGTTCTTTACGCGCATTTCATCATTTCTTAATATCTCTATCAGCCCATGAGTGGAGCTTCGTTCCCCCGTCCCCGGAAGGTGTGCAGATGCCAAGAAACCAGGCATCCCAGGTGGATAGAAGTGAACCATTCAAATCGCACGAGGCTTCAGCTGAGATCTGTGCGCCAGTGCTGGATGATCTCCTTTCTTCTCGCACTGTCTGCGGTATACCCACCTCAATTAACACAAACCCTTTTCTAGGTGCCTCATCCTCGATAAGAGTCATATGCGGCCGTAGAATAAGATGGATGTGGATTGGACCATGGCAAATTTCATAAGAACGCGTGTTAAATTCTTGATTTTAGGATGTTCTAGGGACTATGCCGCCTCCAGTTCTTCCCATAGGTCCAGTCCAACCATGCAAAGCCCATGCAGCCAAGGCACAAGCCACCGAATAATGTGAATGTCCAGCCTGGTCCCATCGAATCCAAGCAAACCTGGAGAAAGGCAAGACCTGCACCAGCAAGGGAGCATCGGACAATATTGTTTGCTGCCTGCGGTGCAGCCGGGGATTCGGGATTCAAGTCGGTGAGAAGCTTGCCACAACACTGATTCGATTGGAATTCAATCAATTTAGCGATACCGCTCTAGAATCCTGGTCAAAGGGAGTGCCCGTTTACTTACATTGAAAGTGATCGCAATTGCGAATCCAATCATAAATTGTAGGATAAGAGGGAGCGCTATATGCTATATGCCCTGTACGTTAGTTCTACCACCATCTAGCACAACCAATTATTGTATTAAATAAAAGAGACCACTCACGGTACTAAAATGTAGGGTCCATCCATATCCAGCGGTGGATATTCCCGTGGCACCTATGGAGAACCATATACTTCGAAACCTGGCCTTTTCGATGAGAAATGTCGTCATATCATCGCCATGTGTCCTGTCAATTGTGAAGTCGTGAGCACGAGCTGTCAGGCGGTAATAACGATTCATTATCTTGCCTAGTTGTGAAATAACTTAGTCAAGTCCGAAGAATATTTTGCATGACACAAGGGCAAAACAGTACCCGAGCAGCATGCACCAACACATGATCCGACCCCGAAGGGAAGATACACTAATCCTGCCTTCAGCTCAGAGAGTCCATATATCTCAATGAAGAGGTTCGACAAAGAGCCTTGCAAGCAGCTGAAATTCATATAGTAAATACCATATATGGCAGTGATGAGCAGACTCAGCAACTTGCCTATGGTTTCCATCGCACTCCCGCGTCCTATGGAAATGGATGCAGCAACAGAATAGGCTGTTGATCATGCTGAAGGACAGCCAAGGCTGGTATTTAAGGTTCTTGGGTAGAGTTGGAGGGACCATTAGAAATTCCAAAGCGGTCATTCGCTTCACTTTGGAAGACTTCTCATTCTTAAACTCGAAATATGAAAGAGAGTCTTTTCTAGCTTGTCGATTCTACGTCACGGTATAACTCTAAAGTCCTGAATAGATTCCATTTCCGACTTCATATATAGCCAACGAATTTCCGTTCTAGCCCTTTCCCCTTGATCCAACGCTTTCATACTTTCTCGGTATTTGTGGGATGGTTCCAGAGTTGCTGGGATGTGGAACGATGTAAGCCGGATTACATGGCGTCCCCGAAGTTCGGGGAATGACAATCGGGAATCGCCATGCGCGAATTAGAGACACGGCCCTAGGGAAAACCAAAACCTCGTCGGGGACAGTGAAGAGTTATTTGACTGGGGCACCTTGGTTTGATTATCTAGATGCGTGGTACAATGGAACCCTTCACGTAGCAACACTCCACTACTGTTGGTATTGGTATATAGAGGACAGAGCCAATCGAGAATTGCCCATAGCGATCACATATAGCTCTCCTAAATACTGATAAAAATTCCAGCACTACCTGAATTGCTGGGTTTATGGATATTCTCATCGTGGGTGCTGGAATTGCCGGCCTCGGCGCTGGAGTTGCTCTCAGCAGAGCAGGTCACAAAGTGACGGTTAGCATATTCCTCCTGCCCTAGCAATCCGCGGCCATTCTACATCTTCTAACCTGTCGCTGGATAGAAGATTCTCGAGCAATCGTCATTAATGCACGAAGTTAGCGCAGCCATCACCATCAAGCCCAATGCCTCGCGCGTCCTCAAGTCATGGGATTTTGTTCCAGAACGGTCTGGTATGGTGGCTCTCCGTGGAATGAGTCTCATCGACGGCACAAGCATGAAGACTCTCGTCCCAACCTACTATAAGGACTGTGAATTAATGTGGGTGTTGCAGATGTATGCTGTTCACCGTGTGGATCTACATTCGCAGCTGAGACAGCTCGCTACCCAAGTCGAAGGACCAGGGCGTTCCTGTGAGGTGCGAGTGCGAGCCAAGGTGGTCGACCCTGATGCTCAGACCCAAAAGGTCACGACAGAAGATGGTGAGGTCCTCCAGACTGATCTCGTTGTTGCGGCAAACGGGGTGCACTCCACAGCTGTGAAGCATGTCCTTGATGACGACAAGATTGTTCAGGCTGGAGATACCGGCTGGGCATGTATGCGGCGGCTGGTACCGAGAGATGAAATTCTAGCAGATCCAGAGATGGCACACATGATTGTCGACTTTGCTGCGAGATACTTTACGGTAGCTGATGGAGCCGCTGGTTTGATTTGTATCCGTGTCGAAAGTGCGTTGTGTTCCGTTTCAACATGGATTGATTACGACCTTCTCTATTCTCCCTTTTGTTTGGCTATACATGCTGGCCATTTTCCTTAGCAACGAAGTCCAGATTTCGTATATCTCTTGAGGGAGTTTGACACATTGCATGTTGGAGAGGGTAGTGTACAAAACTGTTCTGGTTGTTCGAAATGACGATTTGCACCGAATACTTATGACGCATCTGAACTAGATTTCCAAGCGATGGTCAACCCAAGCATGCCCTTAGATTATTCCAAAAAGCACTTCGCTCCTGCTCTACAAACTGTCATTAAGTAAGTTGGAAAGTATCTTGAGTGGATAAGAATATCACCTTCCATGCTGCGCAATCGCTCACAGTGGATCGGAGGAAATCTCCATGTCCTGTGGTACTAAATGCGAACTCCAATTATTAGCGAAAGACACACGTTAGCTGTTACTGTCTAGATCTTGGCAGTGCATTTATTCGATCACTTGTAAGTAACATGAATTCATGAAATCTATTCTCTTTAAAATGTCGCACAATTGATAGAGTGGCGCTTGGGAACAGACTGGTGATCATTCCAATTTCTGAGCGATCGACTTGATCAGTCCCTTAACCTTCTCCAGGTCCCACTCTTTCAGTGCCAAGAGAGGATTATCATCCCGTACCCAGGGGTGCGCAAGGGCCTTGTTAGCGAGACAGTACTGAATTTGGACCTCAAAGGTTGCAGTACTGATATTGCCGGTCTTGAGATCAGTCATCGCTTGCGCCAAAAGAGGCCCCATGTCGCTATGCTTGACCTCCCATCCCTCGGTTCCTAGAACCTCCTTTGTGGCGGCCAGGATCTGGTTTTGCGACATGTACACGGAGTGAACATAGACCGGGCGGTTCAGAGTCTCTTCCGGATGCAAAAGAACATTTGCAGTCGCCGTACCCACATCCTCCAAAGTCGACCATGGAACAACGTTGTTTCCATCACCATAGATGGAAGCCTTCTTCCCTTCGAAATCCAGCCCAAGGAAACCGGTGGACAAACTCCAATCAAGGAAAGCTCCACATGCCGCTAGGGTGTACGTCAAGCGGTTCTGAGCCGCCTGTTTCTTCACGGCCTCGTAGGAAACCTTCTTACGCCCGAAGACAGGCATGTCATGGATACCCAGCAGTTCAGGATCGAGTCCAAAGTCGCTAGTAATGCTGATAACGTGATGAATTAGGATCTTAGTTGAAGTCAATTCGTTATCAAATTGAGGGGCAAACCAACAAGCGATACACTCCTGCCTGGACTGCGGCGTCAATCAGGAGAAGTGGCGTTTCAACCTCGGGGGAGAAGGTAGTGTCAATTACTGCATCTTGTCCAGCGAGGACAGCGGATAATGACTCCACCGAAGTAAAGTCAACAACTTCCACGCGCGCGGCGGTTGGAAAGGGCTTAGGAGTGCGCGTGAGCACTGTCACGTTGAATCCGAGATCAAGTAATGCAGTAAACACCCGAACTCCGACATTGCCACTAGCCTAAGAGCTTGTTAAACTTGTACGTAGGTGTAGGCTTTTGGCTACCCTTACCCCGGCAAGAGCGACGTTCTTGATTATGTGTGGCATTTTCATCTTGACAGTATTGATTGTAGTATATCACCCGGTGAGAGGATCATTAATTTGGAACAGTGGCCCATAAACTCACAAATTGATTATTATTCCGATATTTAGATACTTTGATGTGCACACCCTAAATACAGGTGATCTGCGTGTGAGCGGCTTTAGTGGGAACCCGATACAGACTTGGCCGGAGATCGAGATGCAGAAAAATAAAGTTTAGGCCTTAAAAATAGTATTTCTTTTTCGAACTTGCATTTATTCCCGATTCTTCAACAAGTACGTACATCTGATGATCTCCGTGGCCTTTCACCTTCCACATTCACATACATCCGGTCTCCGAGTCTAAAGCCGGACACGTGGCACTCCCTATCTCCGTATATCTCCACGCTTTGGAATTAGTACCTTGGACCTGATCACTAGAGTTGAGGATTTTCTTTTGCCTCAAACTCTTGCATGTCGATACATTAATCTCAAAGTCAAACTAAACTTGTAAATTGCTCAACCCTTGAGATTTCTTGAATATCTCCACAGTTCAGATTGACTGAGCAGTATAATGTCCGAATCAACTATTGTCCTCATCACCGGTAAGATTTCAGTTGCATCCTATAAAGTCAGTATTTCTCACTTATTTCAGGTGCCAATTCAGGTGTCGGCTATGCGACAGCCGAAACCATCGCATCCCAGCCAGGCTACCACGTAATCTTGGCCTGCCGAGACATTTCGAAAGGAAATCAGGCGCGCTCTCGGCTCGAAACTACAAACCTAAAAGGAACACTGTCTGTTCTTCAACTCGATGTCGAAGATGACAATTCAATCTCCAAGGCCGTGAACTCTGTTTCCGAGAAATTTGGACGAGTCGACGTGTTCATCAGTAACGCAGGCACAACTTCACCCGGTTCCACGGGACGCGATAGACTGCAAAAGATATTCTCAACGAACGTCTTTGGTGCCATGCTTGTTTCAGAAGCTTTTATACCCCTCCTGCTTCAATCTAGTCGCCCGTGTCTTATTCAAATTTCAAGCGCATTAGGCTCGGTCGGACTGGCATCTGATCCAACCAGTGAGCACAGTATTCCACCGTGGGATGAATATCGCATGAGCAAAGCTGCATTGAATATGATGACTATCCAAATGCATAAGCGACTGAAGGACCAGAATGTTCGCGTTTTCGCCTTTTGCCCTGGCCTCGTGCGATCAAAACTGAGGGGTGATTCGGAAGAAGCAGTCAGTGCTCAAGGGCATGCTGGTGATCCAATGGAATCGGGAAAGGCAATTTTGGACATTGTGGCAGGTCGGAGAGATGAATATGCTGGCAAATTTGTCTGGAAGGATGGATATTATCCTTGGTAGTTGTCATGCGCATGGAACATAGAAATAGAAATCGCGCAAACTCGCAATCTAGGGGAACCATTTTTCGTTCCGTTGCAAGGAATAAGAGTAACTAAGCTTCCGACATTTCGTAGTTTCAATCAATCAATCAATCAATCAATCAATCAATCAATCAATCAATCTGATCCAGTGTAATATCTCAGGTATTGACTCTACCTTAGTAGCGGATTCTCCCTACCCCGCCCCCGTGTCTTGGATATATATTTCATCCTCGTGTCAAGATATTTTCCCAGCCTTGGAACCCCTAGGCATTCCAGGTCCTGGGCTTCGAAATCCTCCTGGGATCATATTGACAAGTCCCCACACTCCTACTGGAAGGATGAAGCCAAATGAAAAAGGGTCCTTCGACAAGCGATTTCCTATTCCATTTCAATGTCACGTGATTATATGTCAGCTCCTGATTGTTAAAATAGCCATTGATGAACGTCGAAATAGGCAATTTATTTTAGTATAGAGCATCAAATATTTGCTCCTGATTATGCTAGAATAATGCCAACATGAAAGGAGCACTATTGAGAGGTCGTCTGTCTTGATGGGCAACTAATGTCTCGCTCATTGTCACGGGCCAGTGCCCGATATAGGTCACGTGTATCACGAGACCTTGGCATGTTGACGTGGGGAACGCACGGGATAAACTTCTTCTCCTTAAGCTTTTTGTAAACAGCATGTTGGCCTAGTCAGATTGAATCAAGTCTTACTTCAGCCCCTTCACATACAAAAAGCTTCTTTCTACACCTAGAAGTATCATTGGTCATTGGAAAGTCCTAGGAAAACGACCTAGGCACTCATTGGAAATACCCCTGAATCCCCAGCGATTCAGCGACGAACACCTATTAGAACGGAATCCTCGCGCATAAACTCTTAGCGCTCGAGACGTATTGGAAAGTCCTAGAAGACCTCAATTCCTAGGCATATTAGATCATTGGCACATTGGAAGCGGAAGGTAGACGAAAAGCGACCGAAGCATTACCGGCACGCTACACAACCCCTGGCAGCTATGCAGCACCAGGAATCGACGAGCCCTCCTGGGTGGGCGCAAACGCTACTGCAACAGATAGCACAGACCCAGGCTATGCAGAACGAAGAACGGGAGCGGCACTACCAACAGGAAGCTGCTCAAGAAGAACGGATGCGTCGCCTGGAAGCAATGCTAGAGCGCCAAGTCTCACTGGCCACAACGACAACCGCGACGAACGAAGGACAGGCGACACCAGCGCGATCGGCTACCGAATCGGTGCCGATCTCCCCACGAACAGAGATCATTCACCGACCGAAGCCCCGTCTCCCAGACCCAAAGTTATTCGGGGGAAGCACGAGCGATTGGCCAACCTGGCGAATTTCGATTGAGAACAAGCTTAGCGTAGACGGCGAAGCTATTGGTTCTCCCCAGGACCAATTCATATATGTCTTCTCTAGACTAGAGAAGCTTGCATGGAAGAACACCGGAACCTTTGTGAAACTCCGCCGAGACACTGGCGAACCACAGGCCTTGCTCGACTACCTCGAGAATATCTACGGAGACCCGAATGTCAAAGCACGCGCAGCCAGGCGACTCCACCAGATTCGGCAACCGGAAGACATGAGCTTTTCTAGGTTCCTGCCACGGCTAGAAAAGGAATTCGCTGATGCAGACGCTCTTGATTGGCCTAATGAGGCTAAGCGACAGATTCTTCTTAGCGCACTCAATAAGACAATGACGAATTCGTTAATGAATCGGGGTATCCCCGCTACCTTTTCGGACCTGATTTCTCGGCTTCACGAGATTAGCTCCGATATGGATGCCCTTGACATCACAAGAACGGAACGAGCACGCAAGTCGCATACGCCTGGACAGAATGACGACGAAATGGATTGGACGCCTACTGTGTCGGTAAACCGAACCGAAACCTACACGAAACACCACCGATCCAGGACTGGAGTGCCGAAGCAGGCTCAATGGGTTAGCCAGGACGTACTAGAGCAGCGGCGGGCCGATAGGAAGTGCCTACGATGTGGAAAGGTCGGCCACTTTATCGGGACGTGCACACTACTACCAGCACAACGGCCTAGTAGTGCACGGATTGCGTCCGCTTCGAGCAAGAAGGGAAAGGAGCGTACGGTCAAAGTGAAGAAATCGAAGCCTGTGAGCGACCAAGATTCAGTCACAACAGCCTCTGACGACGAAGATGTGACTACTGAGGATGGATCGGGAAAAGAATAGCTCCTGTTCTGAGCCGCGAGCAGGAGCAAAAGGGGGTCGAAAAGCTACTGGAACGTGAGACATTACCGTTCATAGTCGATGCTAGAGTGAATGGAATCCAATTTACACAAGCTCTCGTCGATAGCGGTTGCCGCTGTTATGCAACAGTAAATGAGTCCTTAGTCCAGTTATTCGACCTCCCGCGCATCAAGATACAGCCACGAATCCTCGACGGAGTTATACCGAATCAGTACCGAATCACCCACGCCACCCACTTCGACCTTGATATCCACGGCCATCAACAAGGCCGTGTGTTCGCCTATATTATCGGACCACAAAGTGATAGTATGATACTAGGAGACCCATGGTTACACGACGTGAACGGGCGATATTCAGCAAGAAGAGGATACCTAGATATTTTCACAAGGTCTGGGGAGCGGACGAGGTGCTGGAATCGCACAGATCGCACTATTGGGCCTATTGGGGTGAGGGCACTACGTGTTGCCCAAGCCGAGGCACTATCTATCCGGCAACTCATACAGAGCGTATCGGATATGAATCGCCTGCGAATCGGTAGGGTTTCGCTAGACGACATCGAGAGAGCACTTCGTCCTAAGAAGCATATCGACCCAAAGGACAAGCTACCAAAACACTACTGGCGGTGGATAGCGGTTTTTAGCCAACAACTTGCTGATCAGCTACCACCACACCGGCCTGGGGTCGATCACAAGATCCCTTTGAAACGCGACCGAAACGGCGTCGAAGAGCCACCACCTTATGGTCCTCTTTATGGCATGAACAAGGAAGAACTCCTTTACCTACGGAAAACGTTAACAGACCTACTCGGGAAGAACTTTATACGTGTGAGCCAATCGCCCGCGGCGGCACCGATCTTGCTAGTCAGAAAGCCAGGTGGAGGCGTACGCTTCTGTGTTGATTACCGAGGGTTGAATGAGCGAACAGTGAAAGATCGCTACCCTCTACCACTAATTCGAGAGACATTGCGGAATATAGGCCAAGCCCGCTGGTTCACGAAGCTTGACATTATCGCGGCCTTCCATAAGATTCGTATTCACCCTGGAGAAGAATGGAAGACGGCATTTCGGACGCGATACGGGCTCTACGAGTGGAACGTGACGCCCTTTGGGTTAACCGGCGCACCAGCAACGTTCCAGAGGTATATCAATCAGACGCTACGAGAGTACCTTGACGACTTTGTGTCAGCATACGTCGACGACATAATAATTTACACCAACGGAACGCTAGCGGATCACCGCCGAAAAGTCGGCGATGTGCTACAGAAGCTAATGGATGCTGGGCTACAATGTGACATTGCGAAGTCGGAGTTCGAACAGGACTCAGTGAAATACCTTGGCTTCGTCGTCGAAGCTGGAAAGGGGATTCACGTTGACCCAAAGAAGGTGGAAGCTATCAGAGCATGGGAGAGACCGAAGTCTATACGGGATGTGCGAAGCTTTATTGGGTTTGCGAACTTCTACCGGCCATTTATACCAGGATTCGCCGACCTTTCGGCACCGTTAACACGGCTAATGAAGAAAGACGCTATATTCAAATGGAACGACGATTGCCAACAGGCCTTCGCGGAACTAAAAGAGCTATTCATAAACGCACCAATCTTGGCACATTTCGAAGAGGATCGCCAAACAGTCGTGGAAACTGATGCCTCCGGCTGGGCAACTGGCGCGGTTCTATCGCAATATGGACCGGACGGGCAGCTATGGCCATGCGCCTATCTATCTCAGAAGCTATCTCCAGCAGAATCAAACTACGAGATCCACGATAAGGAGCTTTTAGCGATTATACGTGCTCTACGCGAATGGAGACCCGAGCTGAAAATGGTGCCTCGATTCACTATCGTGACGGACCATAAGAACCTTCGATACTTCGGAAAAGCACAACATCTTAACGAACGGCAGATGCGATGGGCAGATCTCTTAACAGAGTTTAACTTTGACCTCCGTTATCGCCCTGGCAAGCTTGCGGTGAGGCCGGATGCACTATCACGACGGAGTCAAGATATGCCTAAGAGTATCACTGACGAAAGGCTATCGAACCGCTTCCGAGTCCTACTCAAAAGGGTCAAGATCAAAACGGGACGACTAGACCCTCAACCAGCCGAAGATCGACCTAGCGAGGAGGTCGATTTCGAGAAGGATATACCCCTCTTCGAAGAAGAAGAGCTTCAGGCAGAATGGAAAAGGGCGAGGGCGTCCGACTCGATCTACCAACGAATCTCCCACGCTTTGCTAACAGGGGAGCGCCGAATCGCTACCGAGACAAACATCAAGACAAGCCTATCGGAGTGCCATTTAGACGATCGGGGGTGCTCCATTTTAGACAACGGATCTGGATTCCCGATAATGAGGTCTTACGCACGGGGATTATACAGAAGGTCCACGATTCACACGTCACGGCGCATCCTGGGCGAGACGCTACCTATTCGATACTGTCTCGACGGTTCTTCTGGCCAGGAGCAGCAAAGGATGTACGACGCTTTCTGCGTAATTGCACAATCTGCGGACGGAGCTCAGTATGGCGAGACACGAAGCATGGACTATTAAAGCCACTACCGATTCCACAGCGAATCTGGGCCGAGATATCAGTGGACTTTATCACCGGGCTGCCACCCTCCGGCCCTACAGGAGCGACGAATTGTATGGTTATAACTGACCGGTTGACGAAGAGCGTGGTTCTGATCGGAATGAAGAATACGACGGCAGAAGATGTAGCGGAGGTGTTCCTCACACACTTCTATATGCATCATGGGGTGCCACTAACGATTGTGAGCGACCGTGGCCCCCAATTTGTGAGTTCTTTCTGGGAAAGGGTATGCGAAAGGCTATCGATTCAACGCCGATTATCCACCGCTTTTCACCCCCAGACCGACGGCGCAACAGAGCGTGCTAATCAGGAGATCGAACGAATTCTACGTGTGTTCACGACGTACGCACAGGATAACTGGAAGGATCTACTGCCAATAGTTGCTGTGGCAATTAATAATCGTGACGCTGCTTCAACCGGAATCTCGCCATTCTTCTTCACCCACGGCTATCACGTCGACCCGATTGGTATCGATGAAGCAGGGCAACTAGAAGACGCCCTAACACCACCACGAAAGGCAGGCGAAACGTTCGTGAATCGCCTTCGGGAAGCCACCGATTGGGCCCAGGCCGCCATGGCTTCTGCACAGGCCCTTCAAGAAGAACAAGCGAACCGGCGCCGACAGGCCGCGCCTGTCTATAAGAAGGATGACTGGGTCTGGTTAAACCTTCGGAATGTACGCACTCAACGACCGTCAAAGAAGTTAGATTGGCTGCACGCTCGATACCGAGTAGTAGACGTTCCGTCACCGTTCACAGTCCGACTAGATGTGCCCACTGGTATACACCCAGTGTTCCATATTGAGTTAGTTCGTCCGGCAGCGACGGATCCATTCCCATCTCAGCTAGTGGACGATCTACAGCCACCGCCATTACTGGTTGCTGGAGAGGAGGAATACGAGGTTGAGCAGATCTTAGCTGTCCGACGGAGGAAGATTAGGCGAGGATATCGTGACGAAGTACTAGTGAAGTGGAGAGGATGGGCAGAGCAGACGTGGGAAACACTAGATTCAGTGCGGGATTGCAGCGCCCTAGATACCTTTGAGGAGCAGCACGGCACTGTTTCGGACGTGATTCGTCAGCAAATCGGCACCGAAGCCCATATCGTCGTGCCCCTAACGAGACTAAGACTAGGAGGGGGTATTGTCACGGGCCAGTGCCCGATATAGGTCACGTGTATCACGAGACCTTGGCATGTTGACGTGGGGAACGCACGGGATAAACTTCTTCTCCTTAAGCTTTTTGTAAACAGCATGTTGGCCTAGTCAGATTGAATCAAGTCTTACTTCAGCCCCTTCACACTCATCAAGAGAATAGACTCCGTCATGCCTACAGACCTACCATTATCTGACGGTAGAGACTGAGAACTAATTCAACATTTCAATATACCAGCTGATCTCGCCAAGCTGCTCTCCATATACATTCCTTATTCTGTCAAAAAGTCATCTTTCCATCTGATGCTCTGTGAAAGAGATACCGCTTTAGGCAATTCAAGCGTCCGCCGTTCGCAAAAGGCCGCATTACCGCTTTCGGACAATTAAGCGGCTAGCTACCTACGAGTCTACGTGAATTTCACAAGTTATTGCTGATATTGTTCGGCAAGTCAGACAGTTTTATTCTTGTCACCGGATATCAATTAAACGATGGGGTGTCGGCAAATTCCCTGCTGATGGAGATATAGCACGGTCGGGGAGGGCCGACTGGCTAATGTAGCTTTATGCTTAGGTGGCTAGGGCTGCTTGTTGTCGGAGACCTCAGAGGGCAAATATCTCAATTTACCACGGTTTATTTCGCAGTCCTTTTCCTGCTTGAATTTTATGGATTTTACACAAGACTTACTGCTTAGATGGGGATTCAACCAGAGAGACAAGCTAGGATGGGGCAGATTAATGTATGAGTGTCATCGACTCAACAGGACCTTGTTGGATTGGGAGCATGTCTGCAATTCACTGCTCAAAACCATCCAACTTCTTCAATAAAAGCTAACCACTATCATGCTACACTCCTCGCCTAGTTATGGGTAGATCAATGTGAAATTAGAATAAAGGACTTTTTTCTATCCTCGATCTATCTCTATGTCCAGACATCAACAAATATTACTCAAATCATGAGACAAAGAAAAATTAAAACACAGAAAGTAACAAATCGCTCGCTGACCAATATCTATTTTCATGAATGACCCACAATATCCAGCGGGGGCCGAGGGGGGAGGGCATATAGTACAAACAATCTAATCAATGTACTTGGGGATGGTCTTCAGGATACCATCCCGGGCGATGTCCTCCATGGCAGTGGTCATCTCCTGAATGAAGCGCTTATCGCCACGCAGATCATCACCGAAGAGGTTCTTAATGCTCAGCAGCTCGGCGGGGTTGGTGCCACCGGCGCGAGCCTTGGCCTGGAGTTCCTCGCGCATCGGGTCGTCGACTTCGAACTTGTTGCCGTTGTCATCGACGCCGTTGATGTAGTGGAACCAGGCGGCGGCGATGAAGCACAGACGGCGGAAGGGGCCGGTGACCCAGATTTGTTCGGCGATGGAGGGCATGATGAATTGGGGAATTTTGCCGGAGGCGTTGAGCGCGACGCGGGGCAGTTGGTCCATAATAGTGGGGTTAGAGAAACGCTCCATGAGGGTGTTGCAGTATTCGTCGATGTTGACGCCCGGGATTTCGGGGAGGAGAGGCTTGACTTCTTCTTGCATGTATTGCCAGACGAATTTGCGGAAGAGCGGGTTCTCCATCACCTCGTGCACGTACTTGAAGCCTGCCAGTTGGCCCGGGTAGCCGATGGCGGAGTGGCTACCGTTGAGCAGGCGCAGCTTGTGCTTCTCGAATTGCTCGACGTCGTGCACGTCCTTGACAACCTGGGCTCCGACCTTTTCGAAGGGAGGGCGACCGTCGGAGAACTTGTCTTCAATTACCCATTGCATGAAGGGCTCTGTGACAACGGGCCATGAATCCTCAATACCGAAGTTCTCTGCGAGGGCGACCTTGTCGGAGGGGGCGGTCTGGGGGGTGATACGGTCGACCATAGCGTTGGGGAAACCGCCCTGCTCGGAGATCCACTTTGCCATCTCCGGGTCGCGGAGGCGTGCGAATGACTCGAGCATGTGACGTGTGATGGAGCCGTTCTTCAACATGTTATCGCAGGACATGACGGTGAAGGGCTTGAGGCCTTGCTGACGGCGACGAACAAGGGCAGCGTAGAGGAAACCGAAGGTAGTACGGGGGGCGTTCTCGTTGGCCGGGTCGAGATCGTGCTGGATATCGGGGTTCTCGCTCTGGAGCTCGTGGGTGTTCTCGTTGTAGTAGTAGCCGCTTTCGGTAATGGTGAGGGAGACGATGTGGGTATCGGGGTGAGCCATCTTGGCAATGACGGCCTCGCGGTTATCGGGGGCAAAGAGGTAGGAGTTGATGCTACCAACGACGTTGGCGAAGCTGCCCTTGGCCGACCGTTCAATGACGGTGTAGAGGTAGTCCTGAGAGCCAAGAGCATCCCGCATGCCGGCATCGAAAGGCTGTAGGCCGACACCGCAGATGGCGTAGTCGGTCACGCCATGCTTCTGCATCAATTGATCGACGTAGACAGCCAAGTGAGCTCTGTGGAAGCCACCCACACCGACATGGATGATTCCCTCCTTGACGGCGCCACCGCGCTTGTAGGTTGGGATCTTGACTTGGGTCTCACCCGCGGTCGCGATCTGCGCCAGGTTTTGGTTGTTGAGCTTGAAAGGTGCCATTGTGAAAGGGGGAGGAGATGGAAGGTAGATGACAATGACAAGGGGAGAGAGAAGCGAATAAAAAGGGAGGAAGAGGAAAAGGAGGAGAGAGAGAGTATGTGAGAGAGAAGAAGAGAAATGCAGCAGCTCATGAAGGGGACACCGCCGGTTTTGACGGATCGCCGAAAAATGTCGCCGGGAACAGCATTACATCATGTCATGGGCGGTGGGGGGCCCAGATCCATGGGAGAAGCTGGAGATTGGAGAATCTTGCGAATCTCTGGGTCTCTTTGGGGCAAAATGGTGGAGATAAGGGGGAGGTGGAGATAAACTTGGCCATCACGGAGGCAACTTTCTGTTTTGAGACAAGACTGCTCCATAGTTAGACTCCATAGTCGAGGTCATCTGGTCATGGGCAACTCCTTAGCGAGATCATTAATTGGAAGACTGGAGAAGATGGCTCTGCGATAGACTGATAGTCGATAGTTTGAAGATAAAATTAGGAAGGAATCTGGTCATTCGCAAGTGAAGAGTTTTCGACAGAAAGTCAGCTGCCCCACACCGCCCTTCGGACCCAACTTGCCACCCGATTTTTAAGGGTTTCTTATACTCAACAGTATACTGACTACGGTGTACACTGGTACTTTTGTATATCACTGCCAGATTGACTCTCGGATCTTCGCCTAAAAGCTAATGCAAGCCGCCATGCTTGTCTATTAACGCACATCCTGTACCTCATACTTTGACACGCAATTTGAAAATTCTGTCTACTCGCCCGAGACATCTACAAAGTTCTTCGTAGTTCTTCGCTATGGCCCCCTATTTCCTGATATTCCTTTTTCCTCTCCACAGCTAAGAATCCCAATCATCATTTCAAGAATGGTCCCGTGGAATTAATAAAGCCCGTTCCGTACTTTCCATCGCGATCAAAGTTTGATTGTTTGATCGACGTCCACCGGCCAGGTGTCCACTTGCTAAGCTCCTAGATCGGATGGACCCCTGGGAAGCTCATTTAGGAAATCCAAGCGCGAGATATATAAGCTCCGGCCATGATAAAATGCTCCTTATGGTTGAACACAACGCTAAGAATGTTCGAGAACTGAGTTTCGTACCTCTAGATAGGGGCTTTGCTAAGGTGGGGCCATTTACGCCTAGTATCTGCCAGTTGTGAACCTTTGCCGTATCGCAAATTCTCCTAGAATGTCGCTATTTGGAACTCAACGTGGCCCAGGGAATTTCCATCATCCGCATTTGGACGTTCGATTATATTTCATTTTCCTATTCTCAGCCACTGTCTTTAGGTTGTCTAAGGGGCTGTTACACAGAGGCCGATACTCTTAAACAGCAGCAGAAATATTATTCTGCGACGGATACGAACAGCGAGTCAAAGCAAGGTACTAGGCACGCCATATGAAACTCACCTATCATGACCCTCCGCGTTTGAGCCTCCTATCAGATTTTGCTTTGATGTGGCGATTCTGGTAGGGCTGGTGGCGGGACCGGATAAATCTCGGCTTGGAGCTATCAGATCAAGCCAATTTCTGCATGTCATCGGAGGTGCAGGACATGAGCGGAAAACTGGAATTTTGCAATCACTCCCGCAATCATCGGTCATCTGGAAATGGAAACAGACCATAACACGGTGTATCTATGTTGGCTGTCGCTCGGTCTCAAACGTCTGTCTTACGGCCAATTTTGAGGCCAAGTTATGGCACATGTAGGGAAACCCGGTGTCTTGCCTGTAATTTCGATCTCGGTTTATAGGGCGCAGAATTCTACTTTGATTTAATGCTTGAATAGCTAGTTGGCCAGTTTTATGGTAAGATGGATAGGTATGCCATATCCGAGCTGCTAGAATAGCTGTATCGCCATGATTCATCGAAGAATGGAAAGGGAACGATTGCAAAAAGAACTGATATATCATGGTGCAACACTCACAGTGTTGGAGACATTGAATGTCTTGAGCGCCTCTTAATGCCGGGAGAAATCGTGTTTGTCTGGAACATGATGAGATTTTCATTCACAAGCTAAGACATCTCGGAAACTGATTCTGGGTCACATCAAGTCATGCATAGACTTAATAATTATATTCGAAATCACCCCATTCATATACATGCGGTAATACGCCCATTAATCATCAATACTCAAACGACAGGAAGATTGATCCCGTTAAACATGCGCAGATGCCTGCCCCTGGAACTCCCTGTGCTCATCAGCCGGTCCCTTCTCCCCAAGAGCATTCGAAATCTCCTTCTTCTCAGTCCAAGTAATAGTCGGCTTCCAGCCAACACTCTTCCTCGCAGAGCTAACCTCATTGTACAGCTCATCAACCTCCTCCAAGGTCAAGCCCTTGGTCTCGTAGATCATGGTGTAGACAAATGTAATGCAGAGGAAGCAGCAGCCGAACCAAATGAAGAAGATCTTGGATTGCAGGTTCGCATTTCCGGGTCCGTAGTTGACCAGGTAAGGGGTGGCGAAGCTTAGGGCCCAGTTGAGGAGCCAGTTGGTAGCGGTGGTCATGGATAGAGACTTGGCTCGGACCTTGAGGGGGAAGATTTCGCCAGTGACAACCCTGGAATTTTGTTAGCTGAATGTATGATTGGGATTGAATCAGGAAGGAGACGTTGAACGTACCAGGCGATCGGTCCCCAAGAGGCTGCGAAGAAGAAAATGTAGATGCAAATGAAAGCAATGGCAGCCTTTTGGGCAGCCTCGTTGTGGACGACAATATTTCCAAGGGCATCTTGGCTGGTGGTGGTTGTACCAAGAACAGCAACAAGGAGTTGAGAGACAGTCATGCCAATGGCCCCGGCAAGCAGGACGGGACGTCTTCCCCACTTGTCAATAGCATAGAGACCGGGGATAGTAGAGCCAACATTGACACAGCTAGTAATTAGACTGATCACAAACTCATTCTTGAACCCAGAGTTCTTGAAGAACTGAGTGCCATAGTAGAAAATAAAGTTGATACCAGTCAATTGTTGCAGCGCCTGCAGGAGACAGCCAGTAAGAAGACGCTTTCCAAGGTTACCCTTGAAACACTCCACGTAGCCAGCGCTTCCGATGCTCATCTCGTACTCGTGGTTTGCCCGGATCTCGGCAAGTTCCGCAAGCAACGCGGGGTCATCGCCAGGGAGACGTCTGAGTTTGGCCAGGCTCCTCACAGCGCCTTCGTGGTTATCTCTCTTGATCAAGTAGCGGGGTGTTTCGGGGAGGATGAGCATGCCAACGACGAGGATAATGGCCCATGCAAATTGGACAGCGATCGGGATGCGATATGAGCCAGTGTCGTTACGAGAATGGGTAGCGTTGTTCACGACTGCGGCTAGCAGAAGTCCAACTGTGATGGCGAATTGGTATGAGCCGACAATGAATCCACGGATCCATTTTGGGGCAGTCTCTGATTGGTAAAGGGGGACTTTCCAAGGAGGACTCTTGTTAGTACTGAAAGTAGACATGCAGTAAGACAGGGAAGGTACTCACTAAGCGCCGAAATCAAACCAACACCAAAACCAGCGAAGAAACGACCCGCCAAGAAGAGAGGGATAGCGGTTGCAGCAGTCTGGAGAACAACTCCAAGGGTAAAGACACCAGTCGAGGCAATTAATCCCCAACGACGACCAATGAAATCTCCCATGGGGGCAGCACCCAGAGCACCGAAGAAGGTACCCGCAGATAGAATCGACACAATGGCTGAAGACTGGCTGGAGGTGATTGTGAGGTTGCCATCAGAGTCTGTGTAGCCAGTTGAGAATGTCCTATCCCAATAGGGCATGGCGAGAATGCCACTGATTGTGCCTGTATCGTAGCTGTATAAATCATGAGCTCATATCTAGAGGAATGGGGAGCTGTAGTAGACGTACCCAAATAGAATACCTCCGAAAGCGACGAAGCCACTGATCAGAATGGCAGGCCATGCCTTTCCCGCAGTGCCCTCGGGCTGTTTGAGCAGGATGCCCATGTTTGTGATGAATTTGAATTGAAACAGAAAGAAAAGTCGGTTCCAAGAATCAAGACTAATACCCTAGCAAGGTAGAATAAAGCTAGAGGATGTGAGACCTGGAGAAGATAATCGGGGGATGCAACCTGACATTTATAGTTCGATGATCAGCAACGCGGGGACCCCAGCTCTCAACGACTCACCCCCTTACCAACAAACTTCATCTCCATGGTCTAACAACCCTCCGGCAAGGATGTCTGGGGTGGTATCTCTGCGGGGAGAAGTGTGTACTGTCCTGCCAGTTGTTGGTTGATTGCGGAGCGGTGGAGTCGCTCCGCGATCGGCTCGGGTCCATCTCGGAAGGACCTCGGGCAGGCTACTCGGTGTGCTAATCGTTATAGGCCATCGGAGACAGTCTAAGGGCCGAAAAGAGGCCCGGCTCCCGGGTTGCGACATTTTTAAAGTTTGCTACCTGTAGGACCCTTTGCCGTCCGAGTCGGGCGCAAAAGCAACGACACACGGGCCGTACAGGCAGCTTGGCTATCAGACACTTGATGGCTATGGTTGGTTGTTTTTTTCGCCACTGCCGGCCAAGGCTGCTCCGTACTGTGAGGGATTGGACCCTCCAAACACTAAATGACGAGGGTTTGTAGAATGTAGAGCTTACCGGGGGTTTCTCGGAGAATTTATGCTTAGCGTGAGATCCCCCGCGCCCTGGTGGGTCCTGATGCAACAACAGGACGGATAATGGCCCCTACAGAAGTCTAGTGGTAAATGAAGTCTGGGGTTTTGACAGGACAGTTGAACTTGGCCGGTGACCCAAAAAGGTCCGAGAATATCTGCTGTGCTTAACTGGTGTGGGGTGAGATATTCGGGGGTAGTTTGGGGTCAATCTTACATCGCTATCAAAGGAGTAGCTTTCGGCCAAAGTTGCACCTGGAACAAGGCAGAGGACTACTCTGTTCCGGGCAGGACTATGATTGGATCATAATACGAGTATCATAAGCCACTTCCTTTTATTGACACTCGGGCTAGTCAAAGCCAGAATTTTACAGATATCCCCCGCCCGATCTTGTAAAGATCCCGAGTACTTTTGAGTTTTTCGGTGAACTGCAAGGGCTAGAGGCATCCGATAAAGACGTATTTCATTGCCTGACTCGGCCGGTCGGTATCTTGCAGTGGCCTTTACGGAATGGGATGAGGTAGAGATTGCCTTGCTCCACGGCCGTTGGAAGTTTATTTGAGAAGCTGGGAGCCGGATGAGCAATTCGGGCCGCGGGAGAACGGAGAGAAAGCGGGGTTAAATTAACCCAGAGGATGTGTCTCCAACTTTTAGAGATTTTCGGAGCCGGTAAGCAAATATAAGGAGTCTTCTTAGGCAAAACAGACAGGTCAACGGGTTGTAAAATGCCGACTAAAGGATCAAGCTTCATTTGAACACCATGATGATAGATAGACCGGGGCTTATATTTGAAGCATCAGCACAATATAGCAAGCAGCTAAAGGCTTAAGGAATATATCGTTTTATTCGGTGTAGAAGCCCCATCCGGAGTGCAGCTTCCACCCCTAAACATCTGTTAAGGCAGACTTCTTGTCCTGTTTCAATAGTATGTGTGATAAAATTTCGACAATAATTCAATTGGAGCATTTCCACCGGGTAGCCTATCATCTTGAAAATGCCAGAGTCCCCAGGAAAGTTAACTAGAGGACTTCGCCACCGCCTGCCTGTCAAGCTCCTTTGGGCCCAAGTCAATTATCTTTCGCAGAACCCATTAGCTCCTGCTCGTTTTCCCACGCCCCCACCACGTCGAGAATTTCAGAAAGCTCCTCCTATGTGCCTTTTTTGACATAGATCTCTGAAGTCTGGAGTTGCTTGAATGGGAAGATATAGTCGAGTGTACTTGCGAAACGTCGGCTGCAGAAAGTGGTTGCAATGTCTGCGGCCGACTCTTTGCCTGCATTACCTCGAACGCCAGGTCCCATTCGGCGCATCGCTCGTCCTCTATTCTCTGCGCCTCCGTCCTCTTCCCTCCTAGAAGGGTAGAGAGGCGGTCTGCCTCTTCACCACGGCGAACAAGTTCCAGATATCGTAAATCGGCAAGAGAGAAAGAGGTTATATCTATTGGAAACGACAGTTAGAAAGGGTTTGCGTGATCGCGGTATAGCTGAGAGCGTACTTTGTGTTCCCTTCTTTCTCCTATCAAAATCAATCGCAAAGAAAGAAATTGACCTATCCTCATCTTCAGAGCTATCATCATTGTCTGTAAAGTAATGATGATATTGTAAGAATGCTTTAGTGTCAAAGAGGAAGCTACCGCTTAAGATGATATCCGCAGGTGCGTTCTTCAGAATGTGAAAGTTCAGAGGGTAAGGTGAGCTAAATTCACCATCACGACCAAAGCACCAATTGACATCATAGGCGATACCAGCCGTATTCGTGGTCGAATTATCAGCGAATGTTAGCCTTGTTTGATATTCAGGTCCAGTGTGAATATACACCCCAAGACTGTGTGCATAAGCCTCATCCATAAGCAATAACCTCGAGCCAGAATCAGCGAGAGCTGTATGTACCTGGCCATTGATAGACCCCTCAACCATTGGAGTAGATGCCCCAAGGTATAATAGATGGAACTGCGAGGCACCTTTAGTAACCCGTTCTTTCACCCGACGATGGAAATTAGCGGCGTTTGAGAACGTCTTGGTGAGTTTCAGGAATGGCTTCCCAATAATCACATTATGGACGCAGGTAGGGAGAAGCTCGAATTCAAGGTTGTGCACCTCAGTTTCATCCTTAAAGCTGAATGGTACCATTGCAGTTCCCACAGTTGTGACTTGTTTCCCACTACCGATGGTGACATTGCAGGAAGCATTCCAGTTTATCCGTAGCCCCAAGTGCAATGCATATTCTTTGTCCATGAAGTTTCTCTCTGCCGCATAATCCCCAAGCACGTTCGCGGAATGTCCTGCAAGTTGACAAGGTATATCGAAGACACGCACCTCGCGATCATGGGAAAGAGCACTCCTCGATTCCGATTCTTGCGTGTCATGCACTCCCGTCCTCTGATACGTGAATCGTGGGTTGTTCAATGAGCTTGGAAAACTCAAGAAGTCATGATCCCTTATTAATTGCTCCGAGGGAAAACGGTGTTTTTCCTGTCGTAATAACTCCAGCAATGGATGGGTACCATATCGCCACATCCGTGCAGGCGTCTTGTATTTCCTCGCAAGGCGCTTTAGTACCAGGGTTGCCGACGTATATTGCGAAGCCAAGAAGAAAGCTTGCTGCACCTGTAAGAGTGTGCGATGCAAGGATATCATCGCTTGCCATTGTTGCCCCGATAATTCCGCCCTCGATTCCGTCTGTGGCTTGTCGAGCTCGATGCACTTCTTCTCCACCATCACCAACCCGGCGTAGATTTGTCGAACTTCATTCACTAATTCCTCTTCTGTGACATGACTGGGTTTCTTTTGTATGCAGGAACCTTGATCACCATCCCGGAATGCCCTTACCGAGCGAGCCCTCGGCTTAGAATGGACCAGAAGCGGATACGCTGACAGAGGGGTTGAATCGACTGTGGAGGGCTCTGACTCCCTTGTTCCATCTACAATCGGTCTACCAAAATATCTCCTATGAACTGTCAGAAGATGAATAAACGCAACCTTCCTATCGCATGACATACCGTGAGGGACGACCCCGTCGGCCCCCATGTTGGCGGAGTCCTCTTTGGGCGGTCTGCCGGGTTAACTTTCTCATTAGAACCTAATGTAGAAAATGGAATGGGCGGGCTGGTGGATAAAGTAGAAGTCGAAAATACAAGGTCCAAGTCTATGGAGGCCCCGCAAGTTGTCAGGCAGACTAGCACAGCCACGTTGGGCATACTCGCGGGGAAGAGAGTCACATGCGGCCGCTAACTCCCTGCCGCAAGTCATCCTCGCCCTATGGTCTTATGTGTTGGGATCAGTGATGATTTGATCGCATCACATAAAGTCTACGATTTCTTGACCTGTTCTTAAAAGGATGTTACTTGGGCTGCCACGGGACCGAGAAGACTAAAGGTGAAGAATAATTCTTTTTCATTGCATAGAGGCACATATATGCCTGTTAGATGCCACAGAGACAGACTCTGGCGCGGACATGGGGTTGGGGCGAGGATCTGGAGCACCGCCAGTCACATCTCACCCGACGCAGTCAGGGAACATTGTTTCTTGCTGCGTCTTTCAAAGGGGTAATCGATAATGTGGAAGATTTGGAGTAGCTGTTTAATTTCTGGCATGATGGTAATAGGGTCTGCTTCTATGTCAAAAGTGACTCGGCGTTGTTGCGACAAACAGATCCCACTGAGCGATGATGAGTCGAACAAAAATGCTTTCGAAGCCACGCAACACCTCAAATCCGGGTTCATGCCCAGGAATAAACGGACGCGCTTTGAAATTATCTGGACCCCTCACGTCTCCTATAGAAGCTGGAGATACCCCACCAGGATACAGTAATCTACTGATCAAGGAGAATATTTTCCTCAGGGGAGGAGCTGACTAGTAGACCACTGGTCTCAATTTGATGCTGGTGACTCTAGTCTCATGCTAGGAGCGCGAGGAAAGTGAAGGGCGAGACAGCTGCCACCCCTGGATTTCCTGCGCACCCCCTGGATTTCCTGCGCACCCCCTGGATTTCCTGCGCACCCCCTGGATTTCCTGCGCACCCCCTGGATTTCCTGTGCACGCCCTGGATTTCCTGCGCACCCCCTGGGATCTCAGGTATATGTCTAACGGGAATTAAATCTGTTTACGCCCGTCATGAGTATACGTATCTTTTCGGAAGAGTAAGTAGGCTATCCGGAAGGATAGCCTACTTAAAATCTCTCGATGCAAGCAGGTAACTGTCCTTCAAAGTATGTCTAATGAGATGATTTCGATGTTTGGTCAAGATTCTGAACTTACTATCAAACTCTACTATATAGCAGACTGCCAGATAGACTACTTTGTATTATTATGCCAGGCAGAAATCTATGGCCCCAGGGGGTGCAAGTGGAAAATCTAGGGGGTGGCAGCAGCCTTGGCCAAAGCGAATGCCTAGTTACCTGTGTCGGCTGCTTACTCAGGCCGGATTCCGAGTGCTCAACATTTAAATTCACGTTAACGGTTTGGAATGTTTGATTAAATAATGTTGGCTAGGATCAAGAATTCCATTTTTGTATTGGAAAATCAAGAACGAATATTATAGATATCTATGTTTCAGACTCAACTATCCCTTTAGACTGGATAGCTTACTAAAATCATTCTACTAACCTAATTAATAGTCATTTCTTCTCGCTAGTCACGACCTACGCATTCCCATATATGCGGTTGTTATGGGGCGCACATTTGCACATGACTAAAAACCCTAACTCTACTGTAGACCCTGGCAGCAGAAATTATATGTTCTAGAATCGCGTAATTGTAAATTACTCAAACTCAATTACTGTTTAGGCATTCCTTCAGCAGAGTTACAGTATTTCCGTTTCGCATTCCGAGTCTGTGTTTAGAATTCTCTATTTACGGGATGCATGTTTACTTACACATGTTTGTGGGTCCCATTCTTGCGGGTTCTTTTTTTCGCGGTGAGATGAGATGCTGGTTCAGTATAGTACGTAACTCTATGTATGGTATGTGAATGCTTGATCAGTTCTAGAATGGCCATAAGACTAAGTTTTACAAATTGTTCAAGTAATCCTTGGAATATCTTACGGAATGTGTAGGGTTAGGAGTATAAAGTCGCATCTTTCCCCCCCCATGTCTCTTTGCTTCTCACCACACCCAAAGCAAAACACATTACTCAAGCTCTCTGCGACCGCGCTCAAACAATCGCGTAAGTCTCTTATACCACTGGATAAGGGCTTTTTATCTAATAATGTGCAGAAACTACTGAACTCTCACCGAACAAAAATGCGCTACTTATCAACTGTCATGGCGCTTCTTGCAGTCACTTTCACTGCAACGGCGTGCAACCCAGGCACTTACGAGTGTGGATCTAGTGGTGGGGTTGCTGTTGTCAACGTCTGCAATGGTCAAAGCGCGTTAACCGTTGCTGCGCGTTGTAACCCAGGGCAGAGTTGCACTATAGAGGGTGGTGTTGGTTATTGTGTTTGAGAGCAACTTAGCTGCATGTCGGAAGAGCATGGATCACCTTTCGTGATCTCTATCGCTCACCCTGCTTGATGGAGATTTCAACTTAAACCTGTTAAAGTGAAGGACGGGTCTTCGATGTGTAACTCATCTCTTACTAGCAATTGAGCATGCATACATGTACTGGCTTGCATAAATACTCCTGCCTAATTCGAGATTTTCCAGATCCCTTCAGCTATTGAATTGCTTCTAAGCCTACCTGGACATACTTTGAATACTCATTAGCTAGCGCACAAATGAGCCTTCGCCTACCTACGGAGACGTCATATCCCAGTGATTACAGTCCCCTGGGAGTTTCTGCAAGGCAGAAGCGTCCCAAAATGAAGAAGATGGTCACACTGGATTGAGTTATAGGCCCAAGTCGACTGACAGGTGGGAAGACAGACAAGACCTGCAAATGAGTCATTAAGTTGTGTTTCAGTCGAATATTGTAAAGAGCCAGGTACGACTCGGAGATCGATAGAACCGATCACATCTATCATAAGTCACAATCAACTTAGTAAAATTGTACAATCGGTGGTTGGTTGGCGTAGAGCTTTGGCCTAGCGGTGTGTATTCTGGTGGATGTCGGATGATATAACAATATCGGAATCACAGTACTTTACGCCTACACTGCACCCGAATATGTTTCTGATAAGCGGATCCTCAGGTCTACCAGTTCGTCGTTGACAAACCGCCAGGAAATGGGTTTGTACTTGATCCCCGTAAGAGACAACGTGAAAACCTACGATCCAAAAAGCCCCGGGAGCTTGAATCTCTCTGTGGGTGTCAAGGCACAGGCCTACCATAGTGCTAGTCCCGCGGGTAGATTGTCAATTTGGTTAATTCAATTCCATTCTTACTGGCGAGATACTCCATATGTTAGAATACGGGAGAGCTGTTCAATTGTGTTCATTCACATCAGAGCTTCTGTACCATTTCTTTGGACTGTTCACAGTGTCATTGAGCGACAATAGCTGATAACAGGCCAGATGGTTATGGACGTAAAGCGAATCTACTTTTTGTGGTCAGGTGCCCATTACTGTGGGACATCAGATATTACTCTGGGACACCAGAAAGGTAGAGGAAGCGCGCGGGATTTCCACAGATACAAGCACGGAGTAAGGCCAAGCAGCCATGTCAACCCGTCAGGGTATTGGGGGGGGGTTTCGGTTTGAATAACACAGTGGCTTTAGAGCGTTTGGGTGAAGCAGCCCATGGGGCCGAAGAATAGGCAACGCAAGGGGTCGGCAAAACACCCAAAAGAAAACATACAAAATCCAGGATTCGCATTTAGTCACCATAAGTACGGTCGTATTGCTTAACAGTTGACTCAAGTCAGGCAGGCGGTCTTAAAGCGGCATGAGAAACACCACTTGCTAAAAGTGGCCACTGGCGGCTGCCGTATGTAGGTCCGATTAGCTACAGTACTAAACCCAATCTAGCACCTCCTATAACTAATTACTACGTATTACATGCTGCTACCTTCTCACGCGGCCACGCCCAGCTCTTCCCGCAAATCTTCTACACACACCCAAACCTCAAGTCCTTTTACAAGATAAGCCGCCAGCGGAGACCAAATAATGAACGCGATCAGTCACCATCGCAGCCGAATTTACAAAAACTCTTTTGCTCTGAGTGTTAGATGGGAGCAAGATAACACGGATGTCTTCGGAGACACCGAGCGTTTTCAGGCGATATTAAGCACACTCAATCTGGACTGAGCTGAAGTTTTGATCATGGCAGAAGCGGATCCCACCCAGAGCTGGACACTTAATGATAAAATATCAGGTCCATTTTCAAACGCACAGTAGACACACCTTGCAGATCCATCGTTCTTATTCACTATTCTGGAGAGGTTAAAGGGGGGCAACTCTCTGCTGCTGGAGGCCCGTCCCGCCCAAGCATAAACCTCCAAAATATCATCGATACCGTTGTGGCAGGGAATATCCAGGACTTCGACATCAAAGACACAGACACTGTTTCGTCCTAGATTCCCATTCCTCGTATGCAGCAACACGGGTGTTAAGCGACACGGCTCACGTTATCCAAATTCTGTCTACGACCGATGATCACACTCCAGAGGGCCTTGTATCGCCGTATATTACCCTAAATACAGCCGCTACCTCCACACCCTCTACTCGTGTACTTAGTTCTGGTCGCTCTATTTCCGGGCCTAACTTGCAATCTTACTGAATGAGGCAAACCCGAAATTTTCCAAATCAATAACCGGGTTTAACGGAGTGTATGAAAGGCCATATGGCAATCATAGTACATCCGACATCTATATACAGCAGTATTTCAAAAACTTGAAATAAGAGATAAGCCTAACCAGAGATGCTATAATCTGCTATGTTCCTAAAGATCTTTCGGTTTGTCTTTTGAATCGTTTTTTTTTTTTTTGAATCGCCTCTTGAGACAGCCCTAGTAACATCTCTCTCTTTATCTCTTAAAGTATAAACGATAATATGGTTTAGAGCCTTACTTGGGGTTGTTACTATTATGGAACTTCACTGTATATACCTCCCTATGTAACATAACCGCTGGTCGCTGATGCCCCTAGTATCGTTATACCATTCTGGACTAGCAAGGCGCGCTCTGATTGGGCTCAGTGGCATAGTGCCATGAAAGCGGTTTGTAGAAGTATAATCCAAAACAAAATCCAACACTATTCGAGACCCTAGGGCGCATGAAGAACTTTCCTCGTACTCTATGTGGCTTATTTACGGTGGGGAGCCCTGTTCTCCACACAGCACGGTTGTATGTACAGGGATGCTCCGTATTTGAGAATGCAACTCTATGTGGAAGGACATTTCACCCAGAGGGAGGAGTGGTTGGGCAATAGGCAATCACTTGATCCGTTCTCGATGGTATGATCGTCTGCTAGAAACCACGATTTCTTTACAAAGGTTCACCACTTGGAACTCGAGGAAAGATAGTTCCTGATACGTTGGATAATTGCCGTTGAACGTGGGGGTTGGTAATCGCAAACATAGCTCTGGCAGGCAGGCTGATTGACGACAGACAGAATCCGCCTCAAGAACCAAGAACTCCGCGCAGAGTTGTGCATGTTTATTGTATTTGGTGCTTACTAGAGCGTAGACCATACTCGGCATGACTCGTACTAAGAGGCCTCAATTGCTCCGAGTGAATCATCTGTTCCCACAACTCCTCGCCTCCTGATTGACCGGGTTGATCTGTGTAGAAAAATCCGCCCAAAATTTCCCGCGCTGCACCCCAGTCACGGATTCCCAAGTACAAGGTCAACTCAACCAGCTGCACAATAAACCACGAATAGCCATCATGTCCTCGTGATGCCATGCCGCCGATGAACAGTATCCAAAATAGTACGTCGGGGGCGGTTTCTTTGATTTGTGTCAGGATTGGGATCGGTGCGGTGGAGGATAGATATTGTTGTAAAGCATTCACCATTGGTTGCATGACTGGAAAGACCTGGAAATGCCAGACACACATGTTCAAGTAGATGAAGAGGGTGATGCGTAGGGGCTCGTTTAAAAGGGTTGAGACCGAAGCCGAAGGGTCTGGTGGGTAGCGAACAGAAATAAGGTGGTATTCTAGGAGCACAAAAAGGTCGTTATCTGTTGGAACAATGATTGACGGTCGTAGGCATGCAACCTCATAGTATTGAATCGAGCGTTGGGCCATGTGAAGAAATTTCTTCATACTGTCTTCTAGGCCCTCGTACCAGGGCGCCGCGAAGAATGAAGTCCCGAGAACACATAGTTGAGATGCAGTCCTTTTGAATCTGTCATCCAAAAGGGCGATGAAATTTTTTGTTGAATAGAAGACCTCTATTTCTTGTCGAATTTCGTTGCGCCAGGTTGCTGTTAGAGGCAGGGTCGGGGGCGTGTTTGTCAGAGCTGCTCTCATAATATCACCACTGGATAAAAGAGCAAATTGTTAGAATGAAGAAAAAAAGATCAGATGCCATTAAGGTATAAGGCGTACTGGTAGATTTTAGACAGAATCATGTGGTCCATCGCTTTGAGGCCACCATTGAGCTGGATCAAAACTTCGAGGCCTTTTGTATGTGCCACGGCCGCTTCGGCACTACCTTGGATCGCCTATAGATTGTTAGAATTTGTACATTTCGAGCCGGATGGGAATGAAAAGTACCTCAATTGCCCGGAGCGACCCAACAATAAGGACCGTTGACTTGGCCGCGGCTGGGTCCCGGAGAAGGCCGTTCAACATGTTTATCATGTTTCCTTGAAGGCGGAGATGCTCCCTTACTGATTGTTGTAGATGTCTAGAGGGAGTATTTTGAAGAGTGTTCATCGCGTTCTGGTGGCCTGCAGCCGAGGAAAGTAGTGCTAATTGGATTACTGGCTGCGAAAGTCCCTGCTGCCACCACCATACACTCATGCGTGACTGATCGAGGGGATAAGAGCCGGGAATGGTGAAGTGTCGCACTATTCTATATCAGATGGCACATTCAAAACAATTGTTTAACGAGGGAAAAGTGGTGCGCTAACATTGATGGAAGAAAGAGTTCATAAATTCAGTCATTGGAAATGCGCTTGTAGAAAAGGGGTCTATGAAACCATCACCCAGCAGTGTTTTGGGGGACCCGATCCTTGCCAGCGGGACGATCTGCTTGAATTGTTGAATATCCGTGCCAGCTGTAGCTGCATCCAATTCTGAGCTATCTTGTTCGATCTGCTCAGCTCTGCCTGGTTCGGCCTTCTCTATCGCGGAGGGCACATATGGCAATGGAAGGCGTTGGCGAAGGACAAGCGTCGAAGATTTTAGCCTCCCTATCGCCACGAGACGCTGTTTGCGTTGATTAGTTCTTTGCACAAACCCATATTTTTGCTTCTTAAGTGAGCGATTCTGCCGGTTGTCATCTTGATGATCGATGAAAAGAAAGTCTGTCATGGCGCAATGGGGAGCCCCTTGGCGAAGGATTGAGGGACCCTCACGGATAACAGAGCCGTGTGTTTAGCGGAGAGAGTTTTTCGGGGCCATTTCCCTTCCCGCCCCACGTCGATCATTATGTAGGGTGCAAAGCTCGCTAATAACGGAGCGCTGGCGATTCTAACCCGAGATTGTGCGTGCCGCCTGATTCCAATTGATGGAACAAAGATAAGCCCCACTCCAATGCGCCGAGTACATCTTTATGCAAAGGCAACTCCACCCGGTGAAGTGCGCGGTCGGGTTGGCCGATCAATGACTTGGGGTTGAAATGGCGCAGAATCGAATCTTGGTGGTGAGAGCATCAATCCCGCTATTCGGGAGTAAGTATAGGACTTTGCTTGTAGGAAAGTACGCTGTCACTGACCTAGCCATAGGGACCATTGTGATTCGGCATAATCAGATTATGCCTTAGATTGAGGTCCAGCATGTTGGGGATTCAAATTGAAATTTTCCGTTACTACATGTCCGAGGAGGAAACGGGAAGCCTGGCCGTCTTATATAGGACTGGGACTGGGTACTTTGAAAATAATAATGCATGCGTAAGAGCTTAGGTCATGCCATGATGGCACGACTAGTTCTTGTGAGGCGTTCTGTACTCTGAACCGGCAAATCGTTGTTTGTGAGTGTTTCTGAAAGAGGCTTAGCGGCCATCCCGCACAACCCAAATATGGATTATTCATACATGGCCAAGAACTCGGAGGTACGGTCGGAGATTGCCACCAAATAAAATCCACTACATAATTAAGAACCCTGCCGTATTTGTCCAAAATCGCTCTTAAGTTTGGCCGATTTTTCTGGCTTTCTACTAATGCTATATTCTTCGGATAACCCTCTTTCCAGCGCAACTAGGTAACTGTGCATTAAAAGGGAAGACTTAGACGTTAAATTTTCCTAAAGTAGCTCAACACAGCATGACTTCGACAGATTTTGTCGGGTGGCTTGAATAATGCAGTAGCTTTTAAATGCTTCGGTTCAATCGGAGAAAATCAATATTTCAGGTCACTGGAGTTACACAATGCTGGTGGAGACAAACAGGTGGAATTTCCCGAGATAGTGCTGGGAGATGGATATATATCCTACGCAAGGTACGGAGTAGATCCGCCGCAAAAAGGTACAGCAAGGCTGAAATCTTGAAAAGCAGAAAAATCAGGGGTATCAGCAGGGGAAAATAAAATCGCTCGGTTTTATTTTGGTGCCGAGTTTGGCCATCCACATTATTCCGAGTGCATGAACGGCATTTGCTTTCTAGGTAATTGCAAGCATCAAGATGGGATACATGGATAGCATAAAAGCCCAAATCTGTGGACACAGACTTGAAGGGTCCATTCTTTGTAATTCATCAGATTTAGTAATTCTGTATGATTACTATGTTATCATTGCGACCGTCATCAGGCAAGAAGAAAAATCAGGTCTGAGTAGTGTGTAGTCTACGAGAGGTTGTATCTAGAGAAGGAGAGATTTGAAAAAGAGACTGATACATGAAGGTGTTAGGCTTCGTGTTTGATCAACAAATCAGGATGTGCCAATTGTTCTACTTTCCACAGCCGCCGGCAGTCATGTCCGTCACGTTTCTGCAACATGCAGGGCGGCGCCATGCGGAGAGCGCTCCGACTACGCAAGCCACTTCGTAGTGTTTCTAACGTGTGGTTTTTTGCACATTCCTAGCGCCATACCTTGGCAAGACACTTATTTCAAAGGTGGAGATTGCATATGCGGGGTTGCAGAATGACGCTTCTGGGATCGCCAGGAAGAAACAAAACCTCAACTCTAGCAACGAGAACCACATCTCTGTCACTTCTATACTACCCGATAGCTAAACTTTTTTACCACTATGGATCTATCAGGATCTACCAGAGAGCTCCACCTGGTTTTAAACTCGTTCTCGACCATAGACAGACGGGTGCCCCGCTAATCTTGCAGTAGCCTGGGGAACACCTGTTTCTCTAGGCATGTTTAATTATAAGCTTCCGCTAGAGCTAAATTCCCTGTTTTGGTCCGGGGATGTCCCCTTATTATCCATTCTCCGCGTTTCAACTTACTGTCCACTGTGCTAGTAACGCCTTATGTGAGTTCCTGCTCATTTCCAATCCTTACCCTTACCCCAGATTTCCCTGTGCCGTGCCCAATGCCGTGTCCAATCTAGCAATCGCCAATCTGCACGACCTATTCTGTCTTCGTACCAGTGATTCATTTCCCGAGTACCCTATCAAAAAGAGTCAGTCACAGTCGGCAGACGGTCCGAAAAACCCATTTCCTTATGTGATATCCTGCAGAACTGCGGGATGTTGAAGAACTTTCTGCAGTGGACAAGGGCCAACACGGCTGTATGGCCGCGGAGGAAAGGGGAATTAGCGACAGGATCGAAAATTTAGGCTCGTGCTTTCATATAAATTGCTTTGGAACCACAGTGTCCAAGGAAGCCAATACTCCAAATCTGCCAGAAATCCAAAACGAAGATCTAAAACAATGAAATACACTCTGCTGCTGGCTGCCAGCGCTGCCCTGGCTCTTGCAGGGCCTCAAGCCCACTCTAAGCGGGCCTCTTCCTTTGTTTGTATGTGTAGAACCCACCAATCCGAAGCGGAAACTGACCATCCTTTGTAGGGTTTGGTACAAGCGAGTCTGGAGCGGAGTTTGGCAATCAGAACATTCCGGGTGTTCTGGGAACCGATTACATTTGGCCGGATACTTCAGCCATTCAAACGCTACGCAACGCGGGCATGAACATCTTTCGGGTGCCATTTATGATGGAGCGATTGGTTCCCACTACGTTGACCTCAAGTCCAAATGCGGCTTATCTGGCAGACCTGAAGAGTGTATGTTGTCGTTGTCTATAATACAGCCCACGCTAATCGTTTTATAGACAGTTGAATACATCACGTCTACCGGCGCATACGCTATCGTGGACCCCCACAACTTTGGGCGATAGTAAGTTGATTCTTTCGTCAAACTTAAAGAGAAACTCTGCTCATGGGTGAGTTAGCTATGGCAATATCATCAACTCCACAAGTGACTTTGCCGCGTTTTGGACGACTGTGGCAACAGAGTTCGTATCGAATGACAAGGTCATCTTCGACACGAGTAAGACTCAATATTCCACTAGCCATGTTCCTCTTCTAACCGACATCTGCAGACAATGAATTTAACACCGAGGACCAAACCTTGGTACTGAACCTCAACCAGGCGGCCATCAATGCCATCCGAGCTGCTGGCGCCACCTCGCAGTATATCATGGTGGAAGGAAATTCCTGGAGTGGTGCCTGGACGTGGACGTCAGTCAATACCAATCTCGTCAGCTTGACAGACCCCAACGACAAAATCGTCTATGAGATGCACCAGTATCTCGACTCAGATGGGTCCGGCACATCCGACACATGCGTCAGCTCGACTATCGGCCAAGAGCGTGTGCAGTCAGCGACAGAGTGGCTGCAAAGCAATGGGAAACTTGGGTTCTTGGGCGAATTCGCGGGCGGCGCCAACTCGGTCTGTCAGAGCGCCGTGACTGGAATGCTGGACTACATGCAAGAGAACAGTGACGTCTGGCTCGGAGCATCCTGGTGGGCCGCAGGACCATGGTGGGGAACCTATATCTACTCGATGGAGCCACCCTCGGGACCTGCTTATTCTTACTACCTCAATATCTTGTCTGCCTACTTCCCTTCAAGCTCGAGCGGTTCCACAACCACAACCACAACCACCTCCGCTACCTCCGCTACCTCCAAATCTACATCGACGACCACGACTGCATCGACCACAAAGTCGACAAGCAGCACAACAACCACAACTAGCACAGGATCAACCTCTACTGCCACGGCAGCCCACTGGGCACAGTGCGGCGGCACTGGCTGGACGGGAGCGACGACATGTGCTAGCCCGTATACTTGCCAGGTCCAGAATGCGTATTACTCGCAGTGTCTGTAATCCAGAGGTATCAGAAATATAACAAGGGCCATCCTTCTTTCATCTATTAGTCTTGATCCTTGAATCTCATGCTTGACAACCCCCATCCCGTCCAACACTACTTGTCGAAGACTGATAAACACCTTTATAACCGTCGACTGTCTCCCCCACTTCTTCAAATACAATCTGTGCAAGCTTCGCATTCTGGTATAGTACAACCCCATTGGGATTCTTGACTTCCATCAAGGCACCCATCGCCCCCTCGTATCCCGCGTCAACGACTCCGGCATGGATACCTATACCAGACCGCCATAGAGACGATCTAGGAAACACACTTGCCATGCAGTTTAGTGGGATTTGAACCGTTTCGTTGAAATCAACCAAGTAGGCTCCTTGTTGTAAATTGATTTTTTGGGTGTGATCGTCGAAGGGCAACTGTGAGACTTTGGCGGACTGACGATTCGTGTTGTCGAAATCGATTGTAGCTGCTGAGGTCCATTTGGAGACTTGGCGTAAGGTCAGGTCTATGCCACATGGTTGTTGCTGCTGCCCAACGAGTTGCAGGTTCCGTACCAGCTGACGGTTGATAATCTGGAGACCGCTCAGAATCATAGCTTTTCAATGGGATGCTATTCCCCTGAATAGTTGAAGTCTCAAGCGTAGTATGATATGTGGATTTGTCTACGAAGGGGAGACGGATGATTGCGCCATAACTTCTATCTATTTCTACCATGATTGCTAAATTGTCACACCGCCTGTTTGGAACCAAATGCATGACCTACGTCGCCGGGGCAACCACGAAATATAAAGCCTCATCACGCACGTCGCGAAAGGGAAAAAAAACAGGTAGCAATTGTACTAGTGTACGGAGTACATCGTGCATACATCGAGTATCTTCCTCTTATCTATAAACATTCACCGATTTGGGAGCTGCTTCAACAACCAGCTCTCGCCATCAAAAATACCTCCTTCAAATCCTTGAGTTCCGTTCTCCATCTGTCTGAAGAAATAAACATTCGAAATCGCGATGCCATCAACCTCCAAAAAAAGCCAAATAATTGCACTGTTCTCGCTAACAGCCTCCACTCTGTGTCCCCGTAATTCAGGAAGACCCCCCAGCTTGTCCAGAGGACCTGCAATAAGCAGTACGTAAAGCGACGGGTCGCATAGTTGAGTGATGGCTCCATCTGCAAAACAAGAGATTGCTGGAAGGTAATAGGTTGCCATTTTGGTCGCACGTTCGGTTGAGGTGTTGAATTTGGACGAGGTCAAATCGGCACAATACGACAAGATGTGACTCTCTGCAGCGGCGATGACACTGGCTGTATCTTGCTTGACCGTCATGATTGTAGTTTTGATTTTGCAGGGATAGTGCACGCTTGGTATTGGAAGAGATAATCTTTGAGTGGTTTCCTTGGTTACAATTATCATCCTCGAGTCAAGGAACCAGGTTCTTATAGGAGATAGTTAGGTTAGTCTAAGGAGGATTACATATTGACCTGATCTACTCCCGCCGTTTCTCCGTGGGTCGGTCGAATTCGACCGATTATGTGCCATACCGGGAGAAGGTCCGGAGAGTTCGCGCTTCTCGCAATTTAAAACTTCCCAGACTCTCAAAAGGCCGAGAAACTTCTTATCCACGCTCAGCCCAAGGGGTGTGGATTCAAAAGCTGCTCATGGCCAAAGTGTCATCCTTCATCAACTGAGGCTATCACCAACCTTTATTGACGACTAGCAGCCCTTCCCAGCTAGTCTCCTATCGGATTTTGAGCCAACCAGGAAGCGCCATATAGCTCGCTTGTTCACGGCGAGGGGAGGCGTTGTGTTGGTAAGATGTGAAATCTGTCATCCGTTGGGCTAATCTTTTGACTTTCCTAATGCTTTATTGTAACCGAGGACGGTCTTAGCAGGAGAGATGCATGCAAAATTGCTGTTTTTCCTATGGTACGATTGACATGGAAATAGCGGAGTTCTTCGCTATTAATAAGCGACATTAATCATAGTTATATTGGTGGAACAGCGTTTCGAGCAATCCCGCTTGCCGAATATCCGGATTTATGACTATAATGTCCAACTACTCATGAGATCTGTATTCAACAGACTGTCAAAGAATATCATGTCGCTGTCCGGGTAAAGCGACTGGCTTAGATCAAGACCTCCATCAATAATGTTTGGTGTACCACCAAGTTGAAGATGACCACCAGAGCACTGCAAAATAGTATCGCTTCTCGCCAAATCGTTGCCAGTGAATTTTTCGTCATTATCAATTGTTCCCTGTCGGATTCTTGTTTCTGGCAAGGATGGCAAATTCGGAGTGTTATGAAAGCTCATCGGCGAAGAATACACAGCTGACCCTCCATGCCGAAGGGATGAAGCTGTGTGGCGCGGGTTTGCCCCGAGCATCCGCTCTCCTTCAAGCGGATGCACGGCACCGCTACTTGCAATCCTGATAGTCCCAAAAAAGGGAATGTCAAGACACAGATTGCGAGGGGAGGTTCTTTTGTAAAGAATATCTTGAAGTGTGCGAATAACTGAAATGCTCTGATCTCCAACGGACATACCGGCACCCTGTTGTTTGAGCCTCTCGAAATTCCGAACAACTGTTTCTACAAGCTCAGAATCTTCGCGCCTTCCTTGTAACATAGCCTGATTCGAACTTGTCTCCGGATGTAAAAGCCCTAACAAGAGGGTGGTTGTCGCCGTGAAAGCCTCGAATTCAATAAGATTTGAAAAATAGAAACTCCGTTGACTCTCACGAATGGCAAGCCATCTCCAGATGAGGTTTCGGCTGGCATCCAAACAGGAAACACGCGAGTATTCATATCGTCGATCAGCTGCCGTGCGTAGCATAAATGGCAGGTGTAACAATGTTGCTAACTCGAAGTGCCAGACCTGGCACATTACCCGCTCGAACTGAGTAGAAGACTTCTTTGTGCGGGTTTCTGAAATATTGGTAGGTATTTCCCACCAGGAGGAAGGCATTCGTTCGGCGAGCGCATCAAGTTTTTCACTAATCCTTTGGGTTGTGGAGAATGAGTGTGTCGAGTCTTCTTGGTTGCGAGCAAGTATGAGACCCGCTATGTCGTATAAATGCTTGTGATAAACTTCTTCTGGTGAAAGCCAACTAGCACTGTCGTCAAAAGGAAGAACAGCCGAGCCTGTGGCTGATGGTACACCGAGTAGGGTAGAAAGGTAACGTTCCTATTTGATATAAGTCTTGATGCACAGATAGAAAGCATGAGTATTAGCTTACCCCTCTGGCGACCTGAAACCACAAATGTTGTCTCCTTGTCGTCGAAAAATCATGGTTTTCTTCAGATGTACTGACAGACACTCTGTGTAGACCCAGAAGCTGAGATAACGTGACTGCTTTTCGATATGCAAGCCATGATCTCCGAAGGTTCCCGGCATTAACTTCATGTATTCCTTGAAGAGCCACACATTCTACTCCTTCAATAGTGGCAGTTATTTCATCATCAGATGTAACATTCTGAATTAGAAACTCCATGATACCGTTCATTCTTTCTCGAATTGGCGACTTAGTTTCAAGCTTTTGCATATCGAAATCAGGTGGCAACTGCTGGGTGCAGATAGCTATACAGAGAAGGAGTCTTGCGATCATCATAGGGTGTCCTTGTGATACGGTGCTGACGTTGAATATACCATGAGAGTCATTTTCAGTTGATTCAGGTAAATGTGTCATGATATGTTGCTGAATGAGCCACCACCCATGAGTTGAGGAAAATAGAAAATCCACGTCTGCCTGAGTGGGTAGCATTCTGGCAAGTCGTTGGCGCAGGATCTCAAGCTTTCCAACCGCCGAGCTGGCTTCAGTCTGGTCTCTGGAATTTTCTGGTGCTGCTATGAAGAGAGGTTGAGGCTCATCTACTATCACCGGGATAGATGAAGGAGTCAAGTTGCCAAGTTGACCCTGGGGAATCCCCGCCATCAGTGTCTCTAGTAACGATTCTACTCTGGCCATGCGGCGAGCTAATGCTGAGTCCTCGGCATGGTGTGATTGATGATCATCCACGTACTCCTGACTGAGGCAAGGGGTACTTCTCTCTGAACAGGCAGTGCATATTCTGGATTCTGGAATTGGAATACACTTGATCTTTCGCCGCTTGCCTGCTGATTGTCAGTTGCACTCTGAATTAAGGAGTTTGGGTGCTTACATTCCCAGCAGCTTTTCGTTCCTTTGCGGAATCTTTTTCGCTGGGGCTCTTCAGGCATTGGCCTGCCGAACATCTTCAAATTTTCTGTTGGCTGTGGTGTTTTTCGTTGTCGTAAAACATTCAGTTTTCCCCGGGGGGGGGGGGGGGGGGGGGGTGGGGGAATCGTTGCTGACGTTCGGGCTAACACGGTCCAATTCGGCCGAGCAAGAAGGCTTAGTTAACTATTGTCGTGGAAAAGTGGAGAGTTTCATTACAGTGACCTCGGATTGGTCCATTTCCTTCCCAGATTTTGTATGTGTTTGTATGTAATATGCGGGTAACCTTTCGACATCGGTATGGTCACTCGAATACCCGGTTACACCGCCATGGGACAGCTCAACCTGCCCCTTTTCCAGTCGTTCGAGTCCTTTCCTTTCTTCAATCAATCAACCTTGTCCGTATGATTCCGATAGTTCTCATTCGTCCATATGCATACTAGCCTATACCAATTCAACCGGTTTTGATAACTATTTAGGCCGAAACTCGCTTAATAATCACTTATGAAGTTGGAAGAGCTAACTAGTTAGAGCCACTTTTTGATAGATGTCTTCGACTTCAGGGCAGTTTTCTATTCTAATTAGGTAACCACGCATTAAGCATCTACCAAGGTGGTAGAATGAAAATGGAATAAGTCGAGAATACTGATAGAAACACAAAGTGAGTTGAAAAGATGAGCATAAAGATAGGACAATGTTATTGACACGACAAAAAAATTCACGGCACGACAGAGCTAGTCCTAATTAGGAACGTACCCCCCAGATACAAAATGCTACCTTCGACATCCACATAATAATTGCCAAGCCCTTATGTATGCATATTCCTATACATAAGCGCTTCCCGCGGATGCTCTAGTGTCGTCAGCGGTCATACCCGCCTCTATCACATGACCTCTATTTGTTTATCTCCATGACATACCAAGTCGGCTTCCTAACCCACTTCCTACCATCACCCTTTTCTAAGGCTATTTTACAACCACCTAATTCATCTAAACATGCAGGGATTTGAAGCAGAAGCAATTTCAAATTTCAGAGGCTAATTAATATATTATCTAGATCGATTTCACCCTCATACACGCCCTTCCCGCCCAATCCGCGCAGTACGCTTCCTAACAACCTCGAAACCAGAAGGATCTCGCTTGGTAGATCGGTCTAATCGATTTGACCGGCGGGTGGCTTTCTTGGTGGTCTTCAAGTTGCTAGCTTTGGTGGTTTTCAAGTTGTTAGCTTTGGTGGTTTTCAAGTTGTTAGCTTTGGTGGTTTTCAAGTTGTTGGCTTTGGTGGTTTTCAAGTTGTTGGCTTTAGTGGTCTTTGGCTGTTTCTTTGCTGCCGTGGCATCAGCAGTCTCCTTCGCTGCCAATACAATGGGGTCTTTTCGAGCATGGTTAGCTCGCCCGGGGGGCGCCCTGCAGCTTTCGCGATTGCTGGCTCCTTGACTTGAAGCACACTTTGTATGTAAAGTGGCTGGTAATCGTCTTTAATTGAAGTAAGGAGCCACCACTGGCGATGGAACTGATCCCTTTCGAGAGGCAGATTGCCTTCAATAGCCACCAAAATCTCATGGATGCATGGTAAACCAAGTGCCTGCCGATGGTAATTGGTGCAATCGACCATCTCCAATTCCTTCTTCCTATATGCATCTAGTTGCCTAGCAACCGATTGAAGGGCTTTCCGGTGCACCCAACCAAGAACCTTACGAAACAGGGGCGTAAGGAGGTTCCCTGGCAGCTTCTCACGCTCCTCCGCAATCGATTGGTTGATGGTAATATGGCGAGCACTGACCGCAGTTCGAATCCCACACATAACAGTGTGGAGGTCGCCAACTGAATACTTAATGAATCTCTTCAAATAGGCATGGGCCCCTTCCACTCGCGAGGATGAAGTTTCGCCGAAATGGAAGGTGTTATTAGTATAACAGCGGAGAAAGCGTTGCTGCATACCATCCTTCATCCATTGATTCGAGATGTAGTCAATTGCCTCTGTGAAAACCTGGTGCTTATAGTGCTTCTTAAAGCTCTTCCAAGCAGTCTCCATCTCTGCTATTGTAGGTGCAAAGATGACTTTATTGAAGAGGTCCTTTGCAGAATTCCATCGCCCGTTGATATCGTCTCGAATGTCCCCTTCCTTCTCAAGATAGACAAGAAGATGCTGGGCAATCTTCGGCCGCAGTCTCTTCTTAATATTCTTCTGGATATGCCATATACAAAGCAGGGAGGTTGTATTTGGAAAGGCCGTTGCTATAGCAGCCAGGAGACTCTCTGCATCGTCAGAGAATATAGTTGTTGGAAAGGGGATTTGGTGCTTAATAAGTTGATCCCGAAGGATCTCCAGAACCCACCGATATGCACCCTCTTGCTCATCCGATATAAAAGCGCAGGCAATATAGAAGGTTTTCCTATTAGCTGACCTTCCAACAATATTAACCATAGGCATATTGAACCGATTGGTCTTGTATGTGGCATCAATCCAAAGGAGAGAGGAAAATCGAGCGAGAAGGTCGAGGCCCGAATGAGATGCGCAGAGTATGTGTTGGACCCGGCTTTCTCCCCCTCGGTCTCCTTATAAAAGACGTCCCAGCCCGGCAGCCCCATCAGGAGGGCCGAAGTAGGCGTACGTCCCCTAAGAAACCGCTTCCGTGCACGATAGCGAAGGTTCGCCAAGTCTCTTGGGTTGAGGCGAATGCGGGATTGGTATGGGTCTTCTGCATCAACTTCGGCCTTGCTATAAGCTCCCTCTTGCCGTAGGATACTGATAACTTCGAGGTTCGAATGCCTTAGCATGAATAGTTGAATTACCCGCTCCTGGGTCTCCTTCATCTGCTGGCGCCGGTGAATTGGGTGTATTGCAGGTGCAGAAGCCGTGTGGCCAGTATGAGAGCCCTTCTTAACGGTGAAGAGCCAGCCGTTGGTTTCCTTCTTAAGGTAGGCAGAGAAGTGGCAACCGCAGCGGCGAGAGGTAGTCTGGCGGGTGGTTTTAGAAGGGTGCTTCCTAGGCTGGCCACCCCGATCGCACTGGAGGGTAACCGACCGATCGTTCGAATTCGCAGTGGTAATGGCGTATCCTTGGTGAGAGGCAAATTGGTTAAGGATAGCCCGGGCTTCCTGGCTAGTTTCGACCTCGATTAGCCAGTTGTTCGGCGGTGGTTGAAGAGCCATGTTGAATTGGTAGGAGTTGAATTGGTAGGAGTTGAATTGGTAGGAGTTGAATTGGTAGGAGTTGAATTGGTAGGAGTTGAATTGGTAGGAAGCGAATTAGAAAGAGATATCGGCCCTAAGGAGAGAATCAATTAGCCATTGAATATAAAACTTGGTGGTAGGAAGGGGGTTAGTATGTAGGAATGAGTTTGGAATGCCGACCTGGTATGTCATGGAGATAAACAAATAGAGGTCATGTGATAGAGGCGGGTATGACCGCTGACGACACTAGAGCATCCGCGGGAAGCGCTTATGTATGGGAATATGCATACATAAGGGCTTGGCAATTATTATGTGGATGTCGAAGGTAGCATTTTGTATCTGGGGGGTACGTTCCTAATTAGGACTAGCTCTGTCGTGCCGTGAATTTTTTTGTCGTGTCAATAACATTGTCCTAAAGATAAGGTCAATTTCAAGGTAACAACTTCCTAACAGCCATACTGTTCGGGCATTAATAACTACAACCTACCGAATATAGAACGACTATCTACTATACACATTCCCTTCCGCCTTCTCTTTCGTCGTTAGAAGGTATTTATCCATATCAGGACTAGTTCGCCTGGGGTGTCTCTCGGCTTGATTTCTGATTTTGACAGAAAGTGCGGCTCCTGAGCGATCATTTACTAACAATATCGAAATACTCTTCTTCACTTTCACTCTTTCTCTAACCTCGGTTCAATAAACAAGAACTACATCACCCTCTTACCCTCATACCTACATGTCGGTCTTCAACGAACAGAGGATACCTCCTTTCTTCTTTCGACGCCTATCAAGCATGACGCTACCCAGCCTTCCCTTCGCCAGTTATTCGCTGGTTTTTGTCTCATGGCCTTCTCGGAGCCAAGGTACTATGAAGGACGGGCATTTCAGCCGAGAGATGTAAGTAATATTGCGGCCAAGAGAGAGACATAGTGATAGTGCTAATGTATCGAGAACCTACGAGGCCCTCCCTCTACCCGTGTTTCCCCTTCTCATTTGAGAACTCCCAACAAACTACTCCAATCATCAACCACCGAACAGGTCACCTCAATCAGTGTCATCATCAACACTGATACATCTGCTCCTACGGTGATTAATTGCGTTCGCCAGTTATCCGGTCCAGGGAACAATTTGAAGGCAACCTGGCTAGCTAACATGGATGGAACGCTAGTGGCAGTTCAAATATGAGGAGCTGTAAGTCAGATTACCTTTCTTGCCTACTGTTGGAGTTACTCATTTCATTTAGGCTCGATGCCGAAGCAGAGGTTTACGAGCGTCTTTGGACTTCGCAGCTATCTGGCCTTTCGAATTTCGCCAAGTGGACTTTAAGAAGGAATTTCGCCAAGTGGACTTTAAGAAGGGAAATTGTTTGTTCGAGTATTTTCCCATCCGGATATGCTCTGGTATTAGAGTATCGAGACGGGATCTGACTTGATCGCTTGTGGCGTTCTCTGTCTGTGCTGGAACGAGCTAGTGTCCAGGCTCGTTGCCTTCAGGGCATCAATACTTTGCGACAAGCAGCCTCCCGGCTTGATGACGTGGGAAAGCAGAATGTTCTCTACGACAAGGAGAATGATATGGTAACTTTACTCGACTTTGAGATCGCCCGGGAAGTTGGAAGCAAGTCGGTTATCCCTTCGAATTATGAGATGGATGATATTTTTGGTTTTGAGTACCTGCTGGGATGTCCCTCTGGTGGCTAATTCTATTGTTATGAATTTGGTGTGGTAATCCCTGTGTACTACGCTATCTTTAGTTCTGATTTGGTGATGGGGCACTCCTCTCGTGGCTAGTTTCGGTGCTTTGCTTTGCTTCATGTATGGAATTAACTGCAATGGCAAAGCAAATCAGATTATTGACCGCCTTTTCCATTAATGCGGCGTGCAAGATACAAATGTTTAGTATAATACCCATAGAACTACTTCTTAGCACTATTGCTCTACGCCTAATTAGAAACAAGCCTCTGTGACGAGTACAGAATAGTTCAATAAGAGTAGCCCCGAGCAGTGGTTCCATATAGCTAGGCATTAACAGTGGGGTTCTAGATTTTTAACCATCCCGACTAAATTATGAGTCACGCCTTAAAGAGATAAATCGAGAGATATGAAGATAGCCTTTCGAAAAAAGATTTAAAAAACATAACGAAAGATCTTTAGAAATAGTGGTGGCTATAGCGTGTCTGCGCAGACCCTTCTTACTCTGTCTTGCTTCAAGCTTCTAAAATACCACACACAACACGTATGGACGGCCTCACCTTGATAGGGATTACAGAGGTATCGGGCATACCATTTCCGACTCCTATGGTACGTTCTAGATTGACTGCGACAGAGGACCATTTATACAGGCACCATAGGCATGGCATTGAAGTCTGTCTCAATATTCCTATAAACCTTTCCCACCTGGCTTGCTTGTTAGATGAGTAGCATTTTCCATGTTTCTTGCATCTACATGGGTTTGATACCCCAATTAATTTCTTCTCCTATCGCTTTAGGTCAAAAAAGGTAATTAACTCATGGATGTTTTTATGCCATTCAACCTTGCTAGGTCCCCCACCGCGGGAGCTTAATCGTCTGGGAGTCAAAATCATATTTTCCCACGACGACCTCCACGTTTCCTATCGCTTACTCAAAGGCCTATTCCAGAACCTCCCCGCCCAGCACAGCCCCTTTGAGTAGGCCCCCGGACTTTTTTGTGGCTTTAGCACAGGCCTTGGTATCTGATAGCCATTTTCAGTAAGAAAAACGGTACTCTTAACGCCAGATATCATTGAGCAGCACTTTTACAGCAGATTTATAATGGAATGTTGTTACTATTCAGAGCGGTTTTAAAGCACATCGGACCGAGCGTGAATCGGGTCAATGAAATTGCTCATGCATTACGACTGATTTTCCCGGTTTATCACCATCAAATCTATAGAAAGATCTCCAGACCTCGCTTACCATGATGTGCAGGCTATTTATGGAAAGTAGAAGCATAAAGCCACAAAATGCGGGGCTAAGGGTAACTATCTCCGATGAACAGGGTCCGGCCGGAGAAGGGTCTTCGGTAACCGGTCCCTGCCGTAGATCGGCACCCGCCGACAATAGTACATTAGTTACTCTGCAAAATCTCGCTGCAAGAGTTAGCTCTAGTTGTTCGAGTAACACGGCCGCGTACTTGTGGAGGCTGTACAAATACCTATTTGGTGAGATTTCGAAAAATTCGTTTTTGATTTATTCAATTGGACTCGGAGATATTTGTGCACCCTATGTCGTGTCTCAGAGCCGGAATCGATGAATAGCTAAGGGAATCGAGTATCAGCAAAAGACCGACGACTGAAAGACTGCGATTTAAATATACGTCCTTGAAAATTTAGTAATTCTAGAGATAGCAGCGCATCACTCGACTGTTTACTAGATAGAGCAATCCTTGCTAAGCAAAAATCCCCACTGATGACAACCAGCGGATCCCCGAGGCTATGCCGACCGACGCCCCCATTGGATGGATTTATTCTTAACTCCATAAAGCCCCCTATCATTGGCCCCAAGCTTAATTGAGCTGACACTAATGCCAGTGGCTGACAACGCCAAGCTCCAGTCGGCATCCCTGGTCTCGGCTTTACTGGCAATGTTTAAAGGTACTTGAACCAAGCGTCTTGGCCACAGTCCCTGAAAACTTGGTGCCTAATCTAGATCAACCGTTCAGGGCGGTTGTGATCCACAGTTTGATGACTGCCAAGAAAGCCCTGCTCGCAAAGTGTGGCTTGGGTAGCAGGATTCTGGGCGCATGCTTGGCATTCGATAAATGTTGACAAGATGATTTTTAATCCAATGTTTGGATTTGATGGTGGAACGGAATATAAGACGCACTATGTACAGTATATCTGATGTGAAATTCGGTGTGATATCTGTCTGTATCTATTTCATCGACTCGTTGGTTTATGATGATTCTAAACGCTACTTCCATGCAGGCCGTTACTTGGGGTGGGAATCCTCTTCAAGTTAATGTATCAACCCTGCCGATACCGGAGATTCTTGACTCAACAGATGCCATTGTCAAAGTTAGTCTGTCAGCTCTTTGTGGTGCCGATATTCACACTTACAATGGGGTTTATGAGGATAAAGAGGTGCCATGGGTGATGGGACATGAAGCACTCGGGATCATTGTTGAAGTTGGCAATTCAGTGACTTCCTTCTCGATTGGCGATAAAGTTGTTGTTCCAGATCAAGCTTCGAGTAGTCTTGAAGATCTATCCACGGCTGAGTTGACTGGGCTGGGGCTTGGTTCGGACTATTTCTTAACGACGGGTTGTCAAGGTAAGTCACCAACGATTCCGGTGTTATTCTTCCCGACAGATCATTCCAATACTGAGATTGAATAGCGGAATATGTCCGGGTCCCATTCGCAAACGACAATCTCTTTCCCATCCCCTCACAAAGCGACGACGGCTCCTCAAAATCGGCTATCGAAAATATCGATCTTGATTACCTCCTCGCATCAAGTATCTTCGCTACAGGATGGGGAGCTCTCGATCTATCCGGTTTTCAACCAGGAGATTCTGTCGCTATATTTGGTGCGGGTCCCATAGGACTGATGGCTGTCTACTCAGCTATACTTCGCGGTGCCACTCGCGTCTTCCTCGTCGACGGCGATCGTCAGCGCCTATCGATTGCGGAGGGTCTCGGTGCTATGCCAATAGACCTTACCCACTCAGATCCAATCACGAAAATCCTCCGCCAAGAACCAGATGGTGTTCTCCGGAGCGTTGATTGTGTTGGGATCGAAGCGGCAAACAGACTTGAGCTTAAGGAAGATAAGGTCTTGCAGAATATGACAGCTATCACAAAAGTTGGCGGTGGGATTGGTCGAGTTGGCAAGTTCCACGACACGAGCGACTCGATGAGTACTTCTCCATGGCAATACATCCTGCCAACCTTCCAGCTTGCTATGTCTGGGTTCTTCAAGAAGGGCCCGCAGGTCAGATCAGGTGCTATCGACTCGGCCTTGATCGCGCCCCAACTTATCGAGATGATATTAAAAGGCAAAGCAAAGCCTAGCTTTATTGTGAGCAGCATCATCGGTGTCCATGAGGCGCCGGAGTTTTATGAGAGGGCTAGTCAGCATCTGGAGACGAAGGTTGTGATCAAGTTCCCTTTCTCGTGACGGGCACAGTAATACTGGGCCAATGAATTATGTGAAATGATTCTCATTACAAAGCTTGAAAATCCGAAACCTTTCCTTTCAAAACAATCCACTCCAAGAAGGACCATGGCGTCAATTAACCGGTCTCATCAACTTGGCCAAATTGTCAAACGCCTCGCGGCGTTTATCAACGATCTCATTAAACGTCTCCGCAGGACCGACCGCACCAATAATGATCTGGTCCTTACCCTCGAGAAGACCGCTGTGCGCCTCATCTGTAAACCTATCCACAGGCATACCCAAATCTCTGCCCTTGTCACCCATGTAATCGTGTAATTCAGCTGGGATGATTTGTTAGAGGTATTTCTCAATCGAAGCCAGGGATTAATACCCACTTTGTACAGGCGGAGGAGAGACCTCGATGACCTTGACATTTGTGTTTCGAAGATTCTCGCGTAGACAGAGGGTAAAGACGTTCAAGGCCGCTTTGGAGCCGGAGTATGCAGGGAGAGTTGCGGCGGGGACTATGGCGATGTTGGAGCCAGTACTGGTATCTCTTAGTATAGTTCCTTCGACTTTAAAGTTGCAGGTTTGTTTCTTACAAGATAATGCTCGTTGGTGTATCTCTTTTCGTGAAGACTGGGACAAACGCATGCACAAGCGCGACAAGGCTAATGTAGTTGATGTGGACTTCGTTCTGGAACTTCTCCAGATCAAAGCTAGCGGGATCGCTTAAGTCGTAAACATTCTGGGTACCAGCATTGAGGAATAAGCAGTCAATGTCGGGATACGATTGAATCACACTAAATGATCAAGTCAGTCATTTTGCATGATCAAGGATGGATGATCAGATATGCACGATCAAAGAAGAAGCGAAGCGTCGACCTACCTCTGAGCAAAACCCGGAGTCTTCGAGATATCAGAAATATCAAACGCAACTCCACTAGCTTTTTCCTCACCATACTTCTGCACAAACTCATCTAGACGGTCTTGCCGACGACCAACGGCCGTAACCTTGACTCCCGTCTCAATGAATCGATCAGCCATAGCACGGCCGATACCTGCCGTAGCGCCGATGAGGAGGACATGTTTGTAGGGGAATGACATATTGCTTGATGTTCTGAAGAGTGGAAATTTGACGAGGATCAAATTCTGGATAAAGAGTTGGTGCCAGGTTGATGAGGTACACAATGACGAGGGATGAGACATTCATCCTCGTTGGTGGTGCAGGTATTATATTTCCAGGCTAAACCCCGAAGCCGGGGTATCTCCGGCGATCTGTGCCCTGATTTTTCAAGGCAATGATTAAATCTTTATATGATTTACCGCGGAAGCGTTTTCCAAATTATGGCGCACAGTATTAATTCTGGCTCATAAATGGCAGGAAAGATTGTATCGTGGATAACCCCGGTAGGAACGGGTCTCATTCTAGTATCCAATCTCCTGATTGCTGTGAACTTCGCTCTCAATTATATACAAGAAAATAAAAACATCACTCATGATCCAGCCCAGGCTTACTGCGAAGCATAAAGCTTCACGGGCACACCATGATCATGCATCATCGTCAAATTCGAATTCTTGATCGGCTCCAGCCGGGTATCCGGGTCCGCATTCTCAAGACAATCAAAGTGCTGCAACAGTCTGACGACGGTATAACTAGCCTCGGTAAGGGCATATTGCTCTGTATAAAGATCAGTATGAATTCAAACCTCGCGTAGCTACATCAATATGTAGGCATGCACGAAAGAAGGGGTTCGCTTACGGCCAAGGCAAATACGCGGGCCACCGTTGAAAGGCAGATACTCCCAGCCATGCTTGGCGTTCTCTTCCCAGCGCTCCGGCCGGAACGTGCGAGCATCTTTGCCCCAGAGATCGGTGCGACGGTGCATTGTAAAGACATTGTAGGCGACCAGTGTGCCCTTTCTCACGTATACCGGGGATCGACGGTCGGCACCTCCTCCGACGGGGAGGGAAGTGTCTTTCGTCGCGACACGGAAGTTAACAGGAACTGGGGGTTGAAGACGGAGAACTAGAGTCGCAGGTGAGTAGCTGTCATCAACAGCAGATTCGCAAGAAGACATACCTTCGTTTAAGACATATCGCAGATAAGGAATATCCTTAAGCTTAGTCTGCGTAATCTCGACATTCGCACTCTTGCTATCCCCAAACGCATCAACAATCTCTTTACGCAGTCGCGCAAACACCTGCGGATACCTCGCAAGATAAAAGAAAGTCGACGACAGAAGACTCGCCGTGGTATCACGACCAGCAAGCAAAATATTCAACATATTATCCCGCAACATCTTCGGATCATCCGTCTCCGCCGCCAAAGCTTCCAAAAAGATATACCGACCGTCACCCTGCTTGCGATCCGGATTGCGCTTCGCCTCCAGCGCAACGTTCACGTAGTGATCGACGACCTCGTGGACGCGGCGATTCGCTTCGCGGAATTCCTTGGGGTTGATCACCCAGTATAACCCCTGTGCGCGCGATCGCGCGGCGAGGTAATCCTGGGCGGTGGTGAATGCTTCGGCGAAGCCTTGGGCGTTACGGACGGCGGACTTTTCGAGGACGCCTGTGGTCATGGGGGACATGCAGCCGACGGATTCGCCGAAAAGGAAGTGAGTGGCGGAGTCAAGGGTAAGGAGGAAGAAGAGGCGTTGGATGTCGAAGCTGCTGCGGTCTTTGGGGATTAGGTTGATTAGATGGGTGATGTGGTCATCTAGCATTGAGAGATCGGCGACCTGGGGAAAATTAGACGATGAGCTTCAACAGAGCTTGAAAAGCTGTCTTTAGTGTATGCAAGGTTGACATACCTGATCCCTGGTAAACTGCGGCCTCAACATCCCACGGGCATGTGTCCAACCAGCTCCATCCAACGTAAAGATCCCATCTCCCAACAACGGATAGAACTGCTCATGTCTCGTTCCCAAACAGAAATCCTGGAACTGCGTCGCCAGAATAGCCTTCACATTCTCCGGCTCAATAGTGGTAAGCAACTTGCGCGACAAAAACCGCTGCGTAAACGTCGTGCCATGAACGTCGAACTGATCGCACAAGTAATCAATCCATCTCTTCTCGCGGACGGCCTTGCTCAGCCGCAAAAACGCCGGGATGCCGAACCAGGCTGAGTTGCCGGTCGCTGGGGGTTGGCAGTGTAACTGCTTGGCGAGTTTCCGGTGATGGTGTAACTGGACGAGGTAACGCAGGACTACGAAGGTTGCGTATAAAGCGCCGAATAGCACGATGGCCGGGCTGAGGAGCATCGTGAGTAATTGCGGGGCCCGTAAATCTCCGATTAGATATGACGTGATGCGAGATGGTAACTGTAGACGCTCAGTGCTGGTGGTGATCTATAGTGATTAAGGAGTGGAAAGAGGCATTGTCAAAAGAATGGAAGAGGTATGAGTCAATGGAAATACGAAGTCGATTAAAAGAAGAATCCCCGATCAGCCAAATTGAATGACCGCGGGGAAGTTTAAAATCCTCGGCAGCTCAGCACGTGCTGATCATCAGGTCTTCCTTCCGGAACAAAGTTAATGATTGACTTCTCTTCTCTTCCTCCCGACATCGCAAGCACACCAGAAAAGGGTTTAGACTACCCGAAACTGCGAAGAAGATTACACATCATATTTGCGACTCTCCAGAGCCAATCAGCAAGAATTATCTTATGAACAAAACGAATGAAAATCCACCAGCGACGGGTCTCCACCACGCCGATCCCTGAAGGCCCGCCTTAGTGGGTTCCTCTTTCCCCCTTCATCGTCATCCCCGGAACGAACTGCCTGGACAGTTCGGGTCAATCCCGACGCATACTTCACAGAGCAGCACCCTTAAAACAGGGCAACCATGATTTCAACGCCTCGTGAAAGTACCCCCGCGAGATCTTCCCCGGACCGAACCCGGTAATCAAATCAAAACAGTGCTCCGCATTCTCCATAATGTACCCAAACAGTTTATCCTCCCCCGTCTCCACGCCACACTTGGGGATCTCCGTCGTGAACGTCACACCCTGCGGCGCGATATCCTCGGTGGCTAGCGGCGACAGCGTGCGCCAGGGATCGAACTGGCCACCACTCCAGTACACGTTGGAGGGGCGAATGGTCCAGCCACCGGTTTCCTTGTTTGTCGCGTCGACTTGCGGGGTTTTGGGCAGGAGACCGCTTTTCACGGCGTCGGGGAATTGTCGGTTACAGGTGTATTGTTGGTATTCGAGGGTTTGGAATTTGGAGAGTAGTGAGTGTGGGCCGAAGTTGTTGCTTTGGTAATATCCCCATTCCGTGCAGAATTGCCAGGTCCAGCTGATCGTGTCCGGGTCTGTGGATTTCGGATTCAGTGTGCACTCCAACGGCTTCGTGGTGTCAGTTTGTCGGCAGTTAGTGTCATAGTTGAAGTTGATCAGGTCCACGAACGTGGGCCACGAGGCGAATCGCTCGGCGACGTACTTCTTGCCCCGGTAGGGTGCGAATCCACGAGGCCCGGCTGGTTGGAGGGTTGCTGCGTCTGTCTCGAGATACTCACAGAATGCGCCCAGGCCAGCGTCGCCGCCACCGAGGCCGTAAGCCTGGAAATAGCCATAGATGCCGGCCAGAGCTGCGGTGAAGTCGCCGTTGTTGTTCTTCTCTGCGCCGCTGCCGAAGAAGAGCTTCTTGATTGCGGCAGCTGCAGAGGCGTTCTTGGAGAGTTCATCGTCGATGTACTCGAGTCCCGCTTTGATGTCCTTGGTGCAGTTCGAGTATCCGTTGGCCACCATTCCGGCATAGACTTGGTCAAAGTACATGCTCATGTTCACCCGAGCTTCGACGGGAGCTGAAGATGCATACGAGGCGAAGATGGTATCGGGATAGGCGTCGCGAGTGAAAGCAGATCGCATGCCGGAATATGAGCCTCCCACCATGACCCACGGCTTAGCAGCCGGGGTCAGATCCTCGTCGTGTCCGTCGAGTGTGAAATTCTTCGCGAAGAATGGGATGTCGGCCAAGGCTTGCTTGTTCGTGAGGTATTTGAAGTCTTCGGGCGGGGTGTCCTCGCTGACGTTGAAGGGCAATGATTGTCCGTAGTATCTATACCATGAACAGATTGGTAAGTAATTATCGCAGAGAGAACAGTACTAAAAGCAGCACACAAACAGGAGATGATGAACAACATACCGATGCTCCCATACAATACCAATTGCCCCAAAGTCATCCAGCATCTCCATGAGGAATGAAGTCGAATTGCCCAAGTGCTGCTTCGCTGAGGCTTCTGCGGTCGCCTCGCCGACATCATACACGATCACAGGCCCTCCCTGCTGGTAGTATCGATCATTGACCCAGTAGCGATTCTCATAGCTTCCGACAGAGGGATCACCGTGGTCAATTGGAAGCTGTTCTATGTCAACACCACCCATCAAATCAATCATTCAGTCCTTTTTGATCTCACCGAAACAGTCTTAGCAAGCACACTATCCGAGTCAGCATCCTGTGCTAGCGCATGCGCAGACTTCTGCTGCTTCAGCATGAGATCAGGATTAATCCCCATCTCCGCAGCCATCCTTAATTCCCGTCGAATAGCACCCATTCCCATAGCGGCAGCTGTACCAGACAGCCCAGCCATGGCAACAGCCACCCGACCCAGCACAGAGTACCGCATGATTCCCTAACTGAGAAGCAAAGCGTCGAATCTCAACCCCGAAGAATGCAAAGCAAATGCAATTCTAAAAGTCGTTCTCTAATTTATTAAACTCCTCGTGTCGCCGAGAATGGCAGGCCTCCTTGGTATATATGCAATAAATAAATCCACAATCCCAGTCCCAGGCTCGGGCATAGTGCCAGCGACGCCTCCGAGAACAATACTACAAGAACAATACTACGATAACTATTGTTTGCGGAGGCTACTGCAGGTATCCCACCAATCTGGCACTGAGTGGAACTACGGGCAACCTCGGCAGAAGGCACCCGAGACAAAGATCATCGCGTGCGGCTTGAATTTGATTTCGATTGTTCTTCTAATGTAACCTCCAAACCGCTTGGCACAATTTGCTTTTTTGCTATCTAGGCACCAGCAATGCTTCACAAAACACAATATACTGTAAGTACAGTATTGTTCTTATACTTTCCCTACCTTCCCCTTCCAAAATAAAGCTGTTACATCGTGCTGGCCCAGCTGGGTGCATTAAGATTAACCTTTTACACCGGACTCCGCCACCCAGGGCCGGACTCCGTCGGTGGCTGTGTGATTTGTTACAACTGGGCTACTGACTACGGTGTCCTGCATACTACGTAGCGTAGCGCGCCTTGATCGTAGATCCTGCAGCCGGGATCAGGCGCACGACCAGGAGAGTCCGATTCATCCAGCTAAGACCACTTAACTCAGAGTAATTTTTAATTTACGGGTTCATAGAGCGGCTGTGTTTATGATTATCGGCAATTTCCGAAATAAGACACTCAACACGCTCTAAAAAAAGGGACCACGCGAGGGTTAGATCGTGGCTCGCGTGGATCGCGATCCGGAACCGGGTACTCTATTCGGTTAACTGTGTACACTGGATACAGTCGATGATCAGGCGGTCAGGAATTTTCAGGAATATCAAGGGCAATTAGACATGGCATCGCCGGGTTGTGGCGTTTAGAAGTGGTGATTGAGGTGGATGCCTGCATGAGGACAATCGGTGGGGCTTGATATTGTTCTTGTGGATATTCTGCCTGAGGGGGTATTGAAGAACGTGAATGAAATTTGTAGTCGGAACTTCAGCTCTGCAGGCTCGCCGGTGTTCTAGTGACTGCGATCGAGTGGGCTGTGTTTCTGGTACAGTGGATGGGTGCAGGGCGGGCTGGAAACGGCTTGGGGCTCTGGAATGTTACTCGATCGGGAAGAATGTTGACCGCTGGTCTGGGAGATTCTATAAACGAAGCTAATTTGATATCACTTTTAATGATAAGGAAAAGAAAAGGCCATATTATTGGAATAAGTGAGATCCATCAAGGTACTCTGAACAGCCGACATGTTTTTGGAGTACAAACACCAGCACACCAAGCTCTGGCAAGGAGTACTGTAAAAGACTGCTCGAAGTGTTGAAGAATGTAAACAGAGGATCGACCCCGCTCAACCTAATTAAGAAATCAACACGAAGATTCAGGGTTAGCTCGGCATTCTTTCCGTCTTGGTGGTGCGATCGTGTTGAATCGTAGGGCAGCAGGGCCAACCGACGCTGAATGATCACATATAAATAAAACTACGAGGTAGCTTTCTTGTGGATGCCCTAGACTTTAGACGATTTTACCTTTCTAGATAGGCAACCCAGGCTGGCTTGGAATTACCTGGCCGGGCGGGGTGGTTGGAGACAAGGGCGGGGGTGGCTCTAGTAATCCCCTAACTGTATGAGCAAAAAAGTAGAATGAAAAGGGTCTAGCCTATCCTACTCATACTCATTTCTTTATGTCCTGACTGTGGTCTAATTCACACTAGCTCCATCTCTTTCTACTATCCAGTCCCTCTCCTCTCGCCGTTATGATTAAGGTCATTCTACTACTGTCAGTTCTGCTGTCACTTCCCTTTCAGTCTATCATTACCTTATGGCCATTACCCAGCTTACACTGCCTCTGTTTTCTCTTACTACTAAGCTTATTGTCATCGTATATCACGCGTAGGGTACCTCATTATTCGTTCCGGCAACTTGTCTCTGTAAGATTGCGATAGCTAGGCGAGCGACCTCGCTCACGACCACGATCCCGGGGTGGGTATCAGAGGGAATGGCAGGGCGTTCGACGACTATCAGCATCATCACCAAAGTGAGATTCGTTTCTTGAGCCTCTACTCCGGGGCATAGCAGTTCTTGCCCGTCGATTGCGGAGACTCGGCTACTGCCGGAGGAGAAGTAGCAGTAGCTTTCTGGTCATTCGAGGGATGGGCCAGTCCGTCAAGATTGACACCGGGCACACTTCGCCGTTGTCTGGTGCAGACGAGAAGCTATTGATATCCATCTCATTATCCCAGATCAAACAGGTGATAGAAAATCCAAAATTTGTCCTCGAGCTATATATAAACCTATGAAAGGACGTCTGAGATGAAAATAAAATAGGAAGCCTGGTTACCGGAACCTATTGTAGAAGAATACGTCTATCTTAGCATATATATGATGAAGACACCTCTATTTAGACATACTCAATTCCGATGGAATAAGTCGACCACCTTGTTTAACTACGCGGGTATTCACCTGGTAGAGCTTAAAAACCGATGTCCTGCATTTAACCGACGAAATCACGCGGGACATAAACATGCGTGTAAGCGTCAAGTCCGTCTTTCTCCCGTACAACTGTGCAAGTACACATTTGCGCATCCTGGGCTCTAGACATAAATTTGTCAGGGAATCATGGATTTATCCCAACTTTTTTTTATTCACCCATTGAAGAGATGGTTGGCCTGAATAATATTATACCATTGACTCTTTCTAAGCGACATGCCGGGTAAATCCTCATTGCTCTGACTACTGCCTACCTATTCCCAAGTTCCCATTTTGAAGAGGACCACCATAAATCTAATGTTGTGAGACTTCATCAACCATTGAAATCAATTGAAATGACCTGGTCGCCCAGAGGGTAGTCCCTCGAGTCGCGGTAATCCTCGCCAGCGATGATGCTAGCTGGGTCAATGGTAGTTGTTTACCAGCTGACTAGGAATATACGGCGCGCTAAGTGGCAATCCCAATAGTACACGGAAGCATCATGCACTAAAAATTGCAGAACATTCAAGAATTGAACTAATAAATCTTCTGTTTACCTTGACAGACGCCTAGGACAGAGATAGACCGAGTATAACCCCCGCTATTCTCTTACCTCCGACGCCCCATAATTACCCACCAGTAGTGCTCGTGGCGCGCTGCTGTACCCCGCAAAATGTCTTGGCGACGGGGAGGAGTCCAGATTTGGTTCTGCTGAATATATGCCCCTGAAATGTTATTGATATAGCGAGTCATATGCTGGCTTGGAGGTATGTGTGAAAGAGGAATTTGCCCCGCCTGTCTCTTTCGTTCAAGGAATTTTGAGAAGAACAAGAGAGACCGTGAGTCTTGGGCAAAGAATTTGACCGTCGGAGTCATTGGCGCTGCGCTGCATACTTGTCGTGGTGATCCAGTCGTGAGTGTACTGCTAGCAACACTGGGGTATTCAGACCTCCGTCGGGATTTCGCTATAAAGTAAACCGACATCCCCCTCATCTGAGATCACGATGAACCTGATCATGGGCATCGCTGATCCCGAAAGGCTGTTACTAACTCATACGTTAACCAAACACTAGCCGAGCACCGTAGACCACAGTGCAGTTTCACACTCTATTCGCCGGGCTGGTTGAAACCACCATTACCCCACACGGAATTGCAGGATACTCTTGGCAAGCCCGTCTCAGCAACGGAGGCTTGGCACATCAGGGCGGAACCTTTTATTCCCTGCCACAACTGCAATTCGGGCGTTCGGAGAAGATCCGCATTTTGAAATACCGGGGCTAGCTAGCTGCCGTGACGAATGGAGGTTCTGTCCGCGATTCTGCAAGAAGGGGGTTTCCACCAAGATTGGTGGAACTTGACCCCAAACTAGGATGATCTTCGGAGGTTAGGCAGGGACGGAGCGTGGATAATGGGAATATCCACCGTTCAGGATTGAGTTCATTTTCAGAATGGAGCGTTGGGCTTCCAAGGCAAGCAGATGTGATATATTAGAGCGGTTGGCGCGTGGGATTTGTCTTGTGAAGAATTGACACGTTTTCGCTGAGATTCTCGACCATGTTCTTCTCCGGACTTGTTGTGGCTTCCCTGGCCCTTTGGGGTAAAGGGGTGGATGCTGCTTTCGGTCTTACTACTAACACTGATACTTACGTTGTTGATGCTGGGTCTAGTAACCCGCTCAAGTTTACGGTTGATCGGACGAACTGCGATATTACTTCGATCAATTACTATGGATCTGAGTTGCAGTATCAGTCGACAGGATCGCATATTGGCTCGGGATTGGGTAGTGCGACTGTCACTGCCACGCAGAGCGGTTGGTTATCCTATCACCTTTACGAAGCATTCCACATTATTGTTGCTAACGAGAGGGCTAATGGAAATAGGCGACTATATCAAGATTACCTGCACGACAAGCACGTTGACACACTATTATGTCGCACACAGCGGTGACCCTATCATCTACATGGCGACTTATACCACCGCCGGTTAGTATCATGGGAAATATACTGAGATATGGAATCCTCACTGACTTGCTCAAGAACCCTCGGTCGGCGAACTTCGCTACATCGCCCGTCTCAACGCAGACCTTCTCCCGAACGAAGAACCCTTCGGAACAGTCTCCAACATCGACGGCGGCACTGCCATCGAGGGATCAGATGTTTATCTAGTTGGCTCCGAGACCCGCAGCAAGTTCTACTCCAGCGAGCGATTCATCGATGATCAGCGACACTGTGAGCACACCCACCCCCTGAAATTCTTCGCAACTACTGACAACGACAGGCGTGTCTGGATCTGCCCACCGAGTCTGCATGATCCTCAATCAATACGAGACATCCGCAGGAGGACCCTTCCACCGGTACACCACTCCCTCTTGGTATCAACGGAAATCATTGCCAAAGCTAACATCACCAGTGACATCAACACCAACAACGTCGGCAGCTACACCGGTCTATACTGGTACATGAACTCGGGCCACGTCCAGACCGAGTCATACCGCCAGGGCCTGCACGGTCCATACCTGATGTATTTCAGTCGCAGCGGGACTCCAAGCACGGACATCGATACCTCTTTCTTCGCGGACCTCGGTATTACGGGATACGTCGCGACGTCTGGACGTGGATATGTCTCCGGTACAGCGTCCGGCGCGGATTCCTCGCTGGATTGGGTTGTTCATTGGTTAGTAGGCCCCCGATTGAACGGGTTTATTTGAATCTAGCTAATACAAGCAGGTATAATGACGCCGCGCAATACTGGACCTATACTTCCTCCAGCGGAAGCTTCACTTCCCCGGCCATGAAACCGGGCACATACACTATGGTCTACTACCAGGGCGAGTACGTCGTAGCCACGAGCTCGGTAACCGTCACCGCAGGATCAACGACAACCAAGAATATCTCCGGCTCCGTGAAAACAGGAACAACACTCTTCAAAATTGGCGAATGGGACGGACAGTAAGAGCACCCCCGGCCAATATCTCCCTCCTACCCATCCCACTCAATATCCATACTAACCATCCCTCTCCCTTCTCTCCAGACCAACAGGCTTCCTAAACGCCGCCTCCCAACTCCGCATGCACCCCTCAGACTCCCGCATGTCCTCCTGGACCTCCACCTCGACATACACAGTCGGCAGCTCCAGCGCATCATCCTTCCCAATGGCGATCTTCAAATCCGTCAACTCACCCATAACAATAAAATTCACCGCAACGTCCTCGCAAACCGGCGCCGCAACGCTGCGCATCGGCACGACGCTTTCGTTCGCGGGTGGCCGGCCGCAGGTCACGGTTAATAGTTATACGGGGAGTGCGCCGAGTGCGCCGACGAATTTGGATTCGAGAGGTGTGACCAGGGGTGCGTATAGGGGGCTTGGGGAGGTTTATGATGTCAGTTTGCCGAGTGGGACTATTGTTGCTGGAACTAATACGGTATGTCTTTCTTGTACTTGTGGAGTTGGTTGAGGGGCTGGGGTTTGGAAAGGGTGTGTTCGTTTTGCTGACCCGGTTTCGGTAGATTACTATTTCGGTCATTTCGGGGAGTTCGGGGGATGAGTATCTTAGTCCGAACTTTGTAAGTGACGTGATAAACTATCCTGATGGGCTGATAAAGGGAATTTTGCTAACGAGATGATTGTCTAGATCTTCGATTGCGTGGAGCTATTCCAGTAGATGGGTGCTGTGGCAGGGCTACAGCTAGCTGGACTAGGCAATATAGTTCACGTGAACTGATTGGATTTCATCTATTCCAAGTGAACTACACAATACAAAGTAAATCATTGAAAGATTATCATGTTGAATCAATTCAGCTCTACTGCTCTTTAAAAGCCATTACCAACAAAAAAAAGTCATCATCATAACCCCATAAGAGCAGCCCAGAAAAAGTATAAGAAAGAAAAGTAATAAAAATGTTGAATGTATACACAAGAAGAAACACCACGCGGACCAGTTAAAGGATCCACGTATAATCAAACAATGCAAGGTCTATGCGAGACTAGACCAAAGAGTTAAATCTTAATCACAACGCAACGTGGGTATCATATATCTATTCGGTATCGTCGACGGGGCCGCAGGTGCAGAAGAGGTTCTGGTCGCCGAAAGCTGGAGGAAGAGAGTTAGTGGATGACATTATGATTTAAGAGGAGTATAAAAGGGGTGAGGTGCTTACCATCATCAACACGAGTAACAGTGGGCCAGAACTTCTTCTCCAACAGGAAGGGCAGCGGGTACGCGGCCGTCTCACGGGTGTAAGGACGGTTCCACTCAGTCGAGAGCAGATCACGCTGAGTGTGGGGAGAGTTCTTCAGAACGTTACCATCACGGGGCTGCTTGCCGGCCTCAACCTCAGCAATCTCCTGGCGGATAGAGATGAGGGCATCGCAGAAGCGGTCCAGCTCGGCCTTGTTCTCAGACTCAGTGGGCTCGATCATGAGAGTGTTGGCGACGGGCCAGGACATGGTAGGCGCGTGGAAGCCGTAATCCTGGAGACGCTTGGCGATATCGATAGCCTCGATACCGCAGGTCTCCTTGAAACCGCGGACGTCGAGGATGAACTCGTGGGCGCAGCGGCCGTGGTCGTTGGTGTACAGGATCGGGTAGTGAGGCTTCAGGCGGGAGAGGATGTAGTTGGCGTTGAGCAGGGTGATCTTGGTGGCGTGGGTCAGGCCGCGGTCGCCCATCATGTTGATGTAGTTGAAGGTGATGGGCAGGATGCTGGCACTACCCCAGGGGGCGGCACTGATGGGTGGTGACGAGGAGCTACCGCGCTTGGTCTGCAGGTACTCGCTGGTGGGGTGGGAGGGCAGGAAGGGAGCCAAGTGGGCGGCCACACCGATGGGGCCGACACCGGGACCACCGCCACCGTGGGGAATACAGAAGGTCTTGTGCAGGTTGAGATGGCAGACATCGGCGCCAATCTCACCAGGGGAGCAGAGACCGATCTGGGCGTTCATGTTGGCTCCGTCCATGTAGACCTGGCCACCGTACTCGTGGACGAGACGGCAAGCCTCCTTCGCACCGGGCTCGAAGACACCAAAGGTGCTGGGGTAGGTGATCATGAAGGCGGCGAGCTCATCCTTGTGCTTCTCACACTTGGCCTTGAGATCAGCTAGATCCAGGTTACCAGTCTTGGTGTCGCACTTGATGGTAACGACGCGCATACCGGCCATGGCAGCGGAGGCAGGGTTAGTACCGTGGGCAGACACGGGGATCAGGCAGACGTTGCGCTTGGCATCGCCCTGCGCCTCCTGGTACTTCTTGATCACACGCAGACCGGCGAACTCACCCTGAGCACCAGAGTTGGGCTGCACGGTGACCTCAGCCATGCCAGTGATATTAGCCAGCTGAGCCTCGAGATCATCGATCATCTGGATGTAACCCTTGGCCTTGTCGGCAGGCATGAAGGGGTGAATCTGGGAGAATTCGGGCCAAGAGACGGGGATCATTTCCGTGGTAGCGTTGAGCTTCATGGTGCAGGATCCGAGGGGAATCATAGAGTGGGCGAGAGACAGATCCTTGGACTCGAGGTGGCGGATGTAGCGGAGCATCTCAGTCTCGGAGTGGTGGGTGTTGAAAACGGGGTGGGTCATGAAGGGGGAGGTACGCTCCAGGTTGGCGGGGACGGAAGCAAGGCCAAGAGTACCGTCAACCTCGACGGGGGAAGCACCCTTGTAGGCAGCAAAGACATCCAGAATTCCCTTGACCTCGTCGCGGCCGACAGTCTCGTCCAAGGAGAGACCAACCTTGTTACCATCGAGACGACGCAGGAAGATGTTGGCCTTGAGAGCAGTGGCGTAGATAGCATCAGCCTCGGAGGCATCAGCAAGCTCGATAGCAAGAGTGTCGAAGACGGCGCCGCCCTCGACGTTGGAGCGGGAGGGGACATTGTAACCGAGACCGACCAGCTTCTCACGGAGAAGAGAGGTCATGGACATGATACGCTGAGCAATGGACTTGAGACCGACGGGGCCGTGGTAGATGGCGTACATGGCGGTCATGTTGGCGAGCAGAGCCTGGGCAGTGCAAATGTTGCTAGTGGCCTTCTCACGGCGAATGTGCTGCTCACGGGTCTGCAGGGCCAGACGAAGGGCACGGTTGCCCAGGCGGTCCTTGGAGACACCAACGACACGGCCAGGAACCTTGCGCTTGTACTTGTCGGCACAAGCGAAGAAAGCGGCGTGGGGACCGCCGAATCCCATGGGGACACCCAGACGCTGGGCGCTACCAAAGGCAATGTCGGCACCGAACTCACCGGGGGCCTTGAGAACGGTCAGAGCCAGCAGATCGGTGGCAACGCTGAAAGTACCACCCTGGCTGTGGATGGAGTCACTGAGAGACTGGAAGTCGTTGATACCACCCTCAGTATCGGGGTACTGACCCAGAACACCAATCAGGTGGTCTCCCTGCTCCTTGACCAGCTGGAAGTCATTGGCCATGATATCACCGACCACCAGGTTGATTCCGAATCCCTCGGCGCGGGACTGCATAACGGCAATGGTCTGGGGGTGGCAGAGGTGAGAGACGACGTAGGACTTGTCAGCCTTCTTCTGCTTAGAGATGGGCATGGTGGCAAAGGACATGGTCATGGCCTCGGCGGCGGCAGTGGCCTCGTCGAGGACTGAGGCATTGGCGAACGGCAGGCCAGTCAGATCAGCAGTCAAAGTCTGGAAGTTCAGCAGGGACTCGAGACGACCCTGGGAGATCTCAGGCTGGTAAGGGGTATAGCTGGTATACCAGGCGGGGTTCTCAAGGACGTTTCGGAGGATAACGGGAGGGACAATGGTAGGGTAGTAACCAGTACCAATGTAAGTCTTGCCAGAGATATCAATCTGCTTGCGGTAGGTATCGAGCAGCTTAAGCATGTCGGTCTCACCCAGACCACCCTGGATGGGAGAGCGATACAGGTTAATGTCGGCATGGGGCTCGGCAACCTTGAGGTCCTTCTTGGACAGGATATCCTCGGGAAGGACCTGCTTGACGAACTCGTCGAGCGAGGCCGCGGGGGGATCCAAGACGGCCAACATCTCCGAGGCGGCCTCGGGGGAGGGGCCAATGTGACGGCGGGGGAAAGTGTCGAGGGGCTGGAAAATGTCCTCGGGGTGAGGATCACCGTGAGCGTTCACGGAGCTAGTATACACACCGCGGCGAGCGGGCGTAGCCGTACTAGCATGTTGAGAAGTATGCAGAGCGCGGCGAGTAATGTTCAATGGTGCAACCGAAGCAGTGCGCAGGGAGACCGGCGAAGGGCCGACACGCACACGCGAGCGCAGGGCCAGCTGTCGGCCACCACGCAGGGCAAACCAAGAGGCTGCCATGCTGGAGAGAAGCTACCGGGGGGGAAAGTGACGGAGTGACGTCGGGAATCTTGTTGAGGGGCGGTAGCCAAGGGGGGCCTCAACACATGCACCCAAGAAGCAATTGGAGGGGGGAGGGAGGGGAAGAGGGGAGAGAGTGAGGGAGAAAAGAACCAGGGTCAAGGAAATGATATATTTATTTCCTTAAGGGCAAAAGCTTTAATTTTTTTTCGGGATTCCATCGAACGCATCTTTGACCGAGGGGCGGGCAACGGGCAAAAGATTGTCGGGAAACATTTCACGGGACTGATAAGGACGCTTATCGGGCGAATGACAGTCTAGACCGGGCTTATCGGCAGTGCAAACAGGGCAAAACACCCCTGCCATCGGACGCGCTTCCGCTGGTTTTCCGACGGGAAAGTCGCCCTGGACTCACTCACCTCCTTCTTTCTTCTCCACCGATTTCCACCGATAAAGTCGGGGGATCCACATCGAGGGGGATTCCCCTCCGGCTTCGCGCTCACTCCCGGAGAGCTCTCTCCACGGCCTCCGATCGATCCAAGGGTGAGATCACATCTAGAAGATCTATGTTGCTACACTGACTACGATTACTTGGACGGCTAATTGAACGAGAATGGTTGAGAAAATGCCTACAGTATGAAGGCGACATGAACTACAGATGACATGTGATCCACCCAAGAAAACCCCCGGGTTCCTTTCTCTCCCCGCGGGACTCGCCCCGGCTCGATTAAATGGTATACCGGAAGCTGGCCTCTCCCTCGATCACCCGTTTACCCTGTTCAGCCTGTCGATTGCAGAATCGGAACCAAATACTCATCACACACACAATCAGAATAATCAACACATTGCATCTGCAGGGGATAAAAGGTCAGCACAGAACCAGACAGTTACACCGCCAGGCCAAGGGAGAATCCAGCCCTCCCGATAAGCGATCCCGATAAGGTGGAGGTTGAAGTCACTTACGCGAGCGCGGCGTACATTCCCGGCCGATACTCCGGCGCGTCCTGAGTACGGAACACCAAACTACTAACGATACCGCCCAATCCACCAAAGCCCACCAGGGTCGCACTCGAGAATGCTCGCGTCCATTGTCCACGGACGTTGTTCGCTTGATAAGCCATGCACGAGGGAATGTTGGCATTGGCGCCGGCCACGGTGAAGAACACGCCCGCGTACCGAGTAGCGTCACCCTTGGCAAAGCCCATCATGGGCAGTCCGATGATGCAGAGCAGGGCGTTGAAAATCAGGATGGGTGCGCGGACGTGGTACTTGTCACCAAACCAGGCGGTCGCGTACATGATGATGCCGGCGAAGACGTAGGGTGGAGCGACGAGGCATTGGGCTGCGCCGACTCCGAAGCCCATACCTTCCATGAGGATGATGGGGAGGAAGTAGGCAATTGCGTAGGTGACGGTGGTCAGACAGCTGGACATCTCATCAGTGGTCTGCTTGGATGGTGTCGCAGTGTGTCAATGGTGGTACTTACAAGAAGATCATAGCGAAGCCCCAAATCTTCAGGTCAGCAGCCGGCCGCAGGAACTTGACCAGCGAGAAAGCCTCCAAGTTTCCATCCTTGCGGTCATTGTTGATGCGTCGCACGATAAAGTCACACTCCCTTTGGTTGAGGAACTTCCAGGACTTGGCTGCCCGGTCGGGGAAGTCGACCAAGAAGACATAGCAAAGCAATCCGATAGCCCCGGTAATCTAATAGCAGTGTCAGACAATCCAGATATTCCAATGCAACCTCATTGACCATGGAAGAGCCACATACCACACCCTCGAGGATAAAAATCCACCGCCAACCACTCAACCCATGCTGGCCATTCAACTGCATCAAGCCAAAAGCAAGAATACCAGACAAAGCCGAAGCAACACAACCAATCAAATAGAAAATAGAGAACCGTTTTTGAACGTCATCTTGAACAGTATTAGCCATGGAACCCCCTCTCAATTGAAACGAAATCCCTTGCTCGACAACTTACATCGCGTATACCAGCAAGACAACAGATAGACACAACCAGGGAAGTATCCTGCCTCCAAGACACCGAGCAGAACACGCAATCCGACCAATTGACCCCAATTCTTGACAAAGCCGGTTCCCTGCGAGGGCCATTAGCGAAAAGAAAGAGTCATCTAAGGACGACGGCTAAACGTACAATCATAATCACCGCCCAAGTCATGATGATCGTGCTCAGGAAGATGGTCGGTCCGATTTTGCGGATTAAAATGGTCATTGGTGGTTGGAAGATGATGTAGGGGACGAAGAACATGAGGACGACGATGGACTATACCGGGATGCGGTTGTTAGTATACACGAACCTCGTGGCTGAGTAGAATACGGAGGGAGTTGATACTCACATAGCGATTTCCAACACTCAACTTCAACTCTGTCTTCAATCTAATCGATTCATATGCGTTAGCAACAAACATCTCGGAGAATATAAAACAGAAAGTAAAGCAGAACATACCCTGCAATAGCAGCAGCACTCAAATTCGTCCGATCCATCAACGAGATACAATACGCCAAACCCGTCATCGTAACCAGTCGCATATCAATCCGCCGAATAATCTTCCTCTGCTCCTCCGGCGTGAACTCCTCATCGTAATCGCTGGGAGGCGTTTCCTGGCCCGCGACATCCTCGATGCGATCTACGCTGCCTGGTTTTTCGTCGGACATGATTCGTGGCGGCGTTGACAAAGAAGTAGAATAAGAAGGGGCTTGATTGGATAATGCGTTGAAGATAATAGGTTGGGGGAAACAAGAACAAGAAACAAGGATCCTCGCGGATATTCAAAATAATGGAGGGGTAGTGTGCATTTATCTCTTCTCTGGGAACTAGATCTGGGCACCGGGGTTATAAGGTAGTCGGAGAACAAAGAACACGAACACAGCTACCGTGCGGAACAGACTAGCATAGCAGAGTAGAGTAGTAGAGTACCGTACCAGCAGATCCAACAAAGAAACCACTAGGAAAACGATTCCCCTCCAAGCCCTAGCGCCCTCCATCTCCATATCGACTCCATAATTCTCGCCCAGCAAATCTAGCCCTCCAGTCTTTAGCCAACCCCTCCGCCACCAAACACTTTCCACTAGCAATAGCCGACAGAAAACAGCAAACTACCTCGGTGCAAGACGAAATGCCCGGAGTATGTGCGACTCGGGAATGGCTGCGCGAGACACGTCCCCTCTCGACAAGAGACAAAAGGAGGGGTGTTGTCTCCACAGACAAGGCTGGGCAGTGCAAGTGTACGGGTCAGAATTAGCGATGGGCCAGGGTGGCGGGCGTGGAACAAGGTGACGATCTGGGGATGTTTGGGCCGGGGAGAAATGCGGGGGAAAAGACCTTGATGGTGTGGACTTGGCGACTTGGCGATGGAGCAGTGCGAGTGGGAGGCGAGATCGTGTCGTCAGCTGCTGCTGGATGGGGGAATAATAGGGTTGTGGGTCATACGAACCTGCGACGGGTGTGTCTATCTAAGGTTTTGAGTTTTTGAGTTTCCAGCAAAGAAGGGTCGTTGTCGGGGTGAGATACGCGAAAGGAATAGGGATCAGGGTTTAAAGGCGTGGGATGTCGAGCGTCTGTAAAGGGATGGGTGGTTTATGAGAGAGATTATTGGTTTAGATTGTCTGCGTTGGTTTCCTAGCGCTGTGTAGATACCCCAAACCCCACAGTATTCGCCCCCACAGTCAGGGCCGCCGAGAAAGTTAAGGTTTGGAGGCGGGCGAAAGTAGGCTGTTGCCTCCGAGAGCTAGCGATGGGAACCACGGGATGTATACGAGGTGCAACACCTCCTTGCTGGATTTCAACTTGTTTGAAATATAAGAGAGAAAGTTTAATAAAAAAAAAAGAGGAGTGAAAGAGCTTGGAAATTGAAATGTACCGCGGCATGTCGCGGATGTGGGTGATTTGTTGGCACTAGCCACCACTCGTGATGGTTGCATGGTGCAAAAGCCCCCATCTTGGCTGGACCTTGTCTGTTCGCTAGCCCTGTCGTATGATCTCATTACTTGGGACTAGCGTGTATCATATAGCCGACTTGGATCTTGAGCTGCAAATAAGAATGTATCGATCGGGGATTTTGGGATTTGGGACAGGGATTGTTAACAGACGAGGCTGGACAGCCGCATAGGCCCCACGTGGAGATTTTACCCCAGCTTTTTACGGGTCCAATCGGTTGGTATAAATCAGTTGGTGTCACGATAGGCGAGGACTAGATGGGTCTATACCGGTTTGTACATATCTCATGGATAACATCGCCTGTGTTGTGCAATGATATGAAAAGCGTACTTTGATTATACTTGTCTGGCTATCGACCCTGTCTTTATCTTCGCAACCAGTACCCTCGGCAAAACGACACCAATTCGGCGTCAATTCGGACCAATTATTGCATATATCCCCGCCTTTCATCCGGAACATCCGCCAGCAGTGGTTGCTCCTCTTCCTCGTCGCTAAATCCTCCGGCTCCTTCCGAGCTGACACGTTTTCCTGCGATAGATACAAACCCGACCAAGGCACATCCAACGACTAATCCGGCTAACGCCAAGGCAGCATTGATGGGAGTCGGGTTTCCGTTGAATGGGCCCTGGGTCAGTGCATCGAGTCCATACTGGGAGAAAGTTGCCAGACCCGAGAGGCAGATGATCGTTCCGTATACTCGTCCGAATGTTGCAAATCCGAAGACCTTAATGGCGTAGTCGCTAGAGGATGATGAACCAATAAGGCTTGAAGGTGATATACCAGAGAATGGTATACTTACGACATGGCAGAGTAATATAAAGGTCGTAGTAAGACAAATAATACGACAGTCACATAGCCAGCTCCAGCGGACGGAACGCAATTGACTACCCCAATTATAGTGGTAGACACAACGATAAACCCAAGTACCCTCTCGAGTCTCAGGTTATCCAACAAGTAGCCAATGATAGGAGTCGATAGGATCCCTCCTAGTGGGAGGGCGATATCAAAAAAGTCATTGATATGCTTTGCCTGAGCTGTCGAGTCGAGTAAATATGCATACTGCATGCGTATAGTGGCGATGAAATAATTCATCCGAATCATTTGTAAAATTGTCATGACAGTGATTAGAATAAACCATGGCGAGGTCATTTGCTGGCGGGCAGGTAAGTTGTGGAGGATACCCCGGACTTGGCCGGTGTGCGTTTGACTGTCGTGATTCTTGGCTCGCTGGTTTTTCTTTTTGCTAGTGCCGAGGCACTTTGTCCACTTGCCCAGTCTCACTCGAAAAAGTAAACAGCGCTCTCTGTCCCCAGTGTAGTGTTCTTCTCTGTGGTGGGTTTCATTTTGACTGGGGCGTATTTGCTCGAAACGGTTCTCTGTAAGTCCCAGTTCATTCTTTGGCAAAATACCAGATCCATACCCATCCTTTGGTATGATGCCGATAAAACCGATGGCGAGTAAGATCGGCACCGCAGTAAACCACAAAAAAAACATGCATGGTGTCAAAGACTGATATGAAGCCCTGTAAGCAACGTGATAAATCAGAAATATCGCCGCAGAGACGTCAAATGCGCCAGTTATGAGAGCGAAGATGCGCCCCGAATATTGTGAGAAGGCATTCGCAACTTGAAATGACGGTACGAAAATGCAGGTACCCCCGAGAGCGAGAAGGAAGTTTCCAACGAACAACCATCGATATCGTGAGAAATGGAATGATATTGCCATCATTCCACAGCCGAGGAAAAGGTTAATACATCCTAGGATGTTGCAAGATCGTGACCCAAGGCGATCAAGGATTCCACCTGCTAGTATGGATGATATGTTCGCTGTTGTAGACCCGATGGTATAGAAAAGATTCAGCCTAAGACACGTGGTTCAGCAGAGTTTTAACAAACCAAAGGCTCTCAAAACATAGATCAGACATACTTCAAATCTTGCTCCGGACATAAATGGCCATCGTCACGAAGATCCTCATCACCACAAAGATCGTGGAAAACACCTTCTTCGATAAGGACCGGCTTCAGCGCTGCGAATCCAAAAACGATACCAGAGGCCAGGCTACATGCGAGAATCGTGAAGACTACCTGCACTGTACGACATTAGTAGTGGGTTCAAATGAACGAAGATGGCACATGCCAATCCGCTTGATGGTGGAGTGCTTGTATGCTTGGAGACTCTTGGTGTCATTTGGGAGAGCTGTTTGAGGCCGAGTACGGAGATAGCAGTCGTCATCTCGCAACATTATTGGTGACAGAATCTCAACACCCTCTGCCTCCCTGTGGCCATCAATAACTGTGTGGACAGAACCATCCTGGAGAAGAGACATTGAATACGGTGCTCATCAGAAAGCCCCGATGGTTTGGTTTGGAGAGTTATAGCCGGGGAAAAAGTTCAAACAGAATGGTCTTATTGCACAACAGGAAGAGCATTCCGTCGATTCCGATCCCTTGGTGCTTCCGTTTTCCAGAATCAGACGGCACAGGCCCTTCTAGATGCCCTGCCCGCCATGAACAACGGAGCATGTACTGATTTGCATCACAATTCGGTTCACAACATGATGTTTGACTCTCTCAGGGCCTTGAGTGTGATGCCTATCACGGCATATTGCAGGGCAGGCAACCCCGTCATGATCAAAAGATAACATCTTATCTTGTTCAACGCGAATCTAGGTACATTGGGGTTTGTGGTTACACGGGCAGGGTGAATCTGGAAAGGTTGAGTTGATTACTAGAAATTGTTGGGGAGATATTGAAAAGCTGCGATATACGTTCTTGCTCTGTTCAGAATCTTGAGGAAGCCGATCGGTGTAACCGCTTGTGATCAGCTTAAGTACTCGAAACGTGTGTTGGTGTAGATCACTTTGGTTTGACCTTGGCTATATATATCGAGGGGGGGGTTGACCTGAGAACGAAAGCACACATCAGGTGTTGGCTCATTTTGGTGAGATTCGGTACAAATATTCCGACCAGTTGTCTTCGACATAATAGAAATTTCAGTGTCTGGTACACATGTTGGAAACACGAATTCCACCTGCCTAGTTGTCATTTGCCATGTGGTGGAGCATCATTGTGGCGAAATGTTATACACTATAGCCTGACAGCTCTAGTCTAACATCGACAATACCCCTTCCTTAGAATAACATTTCTCAGTCCGTTTGGAGCCTTGAGTATTAAACTGGCATTAATTGGAATAGCTCACATCAGATTTGATATGATTCTAAGAGCAACTTGCATCGGAGAATAAACGTTGGGGCGAGCCAGCGCCGATAAGGATGCGATAAGAATGTACAAAAAGCCTAACGTGCGATCGACAGCGACTGGAGGTGAGCTTTGAAGTGGTATGATAATAAACCATGAATTTCCACATACACCTCAAGCCTATTGTCCCTAAATGAGTGCCTGTTCCAGTGGAATTAATGTAGCCCGCGGCCAATTAATTTATCGAACCTGGCCAGTGCCAGGGAAATCCGACCACAATGACGTCGGCGCTCGAAACATGACAGCGCCAGTGACGTAGGGCCCGTTAGCTGTCAAACAGCGATCTCAACACCACCAACCTCTTTGTTAACGTTTTAATTTCTCGACCGATTCATTGGGAAAATCAACCTTCAGAACAATCGATTGAAGATTATCGCAAAATCTTCTCCTCAACCCGCTGTCTACCCGAACCTCCAGCCCGCACCGTGAACCGACCGGTGGTAAACAAACGCTAGATCTGCTACAAGTCGTCGTTGGGCGAAACCCTGGACACCAAATGGCGACTGTTTCAATCAACGCCCCCGGCTTAAGCGGGGGTCTTCTATATAACAATGGCTCGAACAATGCACGAGTATGCATTACGTCGGAGACGGGTGAATTCGATATGGAGACGATCAAAAATTGGCAGGATGAAGGGTTCGATGTCGTGTACCTCCCGTTAGATGGGGGAGGTAAGGACTATGAGGGTCGGTTGAGAGGGGTCAAGGAAGGACTGGGAGTTGGCGAGAACTATGCAGTCATTGGTAAGATAATCTCCAACAAGCGGCAAATGGACGGGTTCGTATATAGCTAATGTGAGCAGCATATGGCGAGGCGGCCAACTATTGCTTGGACTATTATCTGAAATCGCAAAATGCTAGCCGCCTCTGCGCACTCGTTGCATACTACCCCAGTGTCATACCGGACACGCGATCTCGATTCCCGCTTTCCCTCCCTGTACTGGTGCACCTAGCAGGCGATACTGTGGATGTCACTACCATTCCGGTCGCGTTGGGCCTGCAAGGCAGGAAGAAACGCAAGACCCGCCCTATCAATCCCGGAATCGGTACGGGTGAACGACTCGAGCTCGCATATCCTGCTTATACCTACGACAATGCCCAACCGGGCTTTGCCGAGCATGACATGGAGGAGTATGACCACCTTGCCGCTGACCTGGCATGGACACGTACGATCCATGTCTTGCGCAAAGGATTCTCACGACAGGCAGACCTGGAGAGAAGATGGGAGGAGCATCAAGAGGGTAGGTTCTTATTTAAAATCGACCGTACTCGGTACTAACGATACTGCAGGAAAATACTTCAAGTCCAATATCACCAAGACTATGGATGCGTACGTTTCACACAAGAAACCTGCCGTCACGTATGTGCCGACAATGAGTGGAGGAATCGGCACACAAGCTCTACGCCGTTTCTACGACCATCATTTCCTCGGAAAACTCCCTCCTTCTATGCGAATTCGCCTTCTCTCGCGAACATCAGGAGCCGACCGTGTAGTCGATGAGCTTTACGTCTCATTTGAACATTCTCAGGAGATTCCCTGGATGCTTCCTGGAGTTCCTCCCACGAACAAACGCGTTGAGATCATTATCGTCAGCATTGTCAGTTTGCGCGCAGGTCGCCTATACTCAGAGCACACATACTGGGATCAGGCCAGTGTCCTAGTTCAAGTGGGTCTTCTGGACCCGAAACTTGTTCCCCAATCCGGCAAGGGAGTCGATCGCCTCCCAATTGTTGGCCGTGAGGCTGCTCGTCGTATTCTACATGAAAACCCAGAAGAAGAGCAAGTGGATTATCACAATCGAATGATTCGACGTGCCCGGGCCCTGAGGAACCGAAGTTCGCGCGCCTCGCAGGCGGGCGAAGAGTCTGCTGTGGAGTTGAAGAGCGAGGCGGAGACCCCTATGCCCATTAGAGAGAAAAATAAGGGTAAATCGGTGCAGGAACAGGGAATCCCACAAACCGAGCCACCCAAGGCCAATAATGGTACACCTGATGAGTCAAATGGACATGAAGAGGACGACGATGGGGCAGTCACTGAGACCGAGTCCACCAAGCAGTCCAAGTCGGAATCTGCCAACCACAAGGCTTTTGTCGAGGAAGGTAGCGACGAGAATGGTGAATGACGAGTCAAATAGCCCGCGAATATTGTGCTCTAGTTGGTTCTTCTGAGCAGTTCATTTTGAACATGGATCCAAATCAGATTGGAAGGATAGTGTATTATATCCGCATTTTCTTCTTAGCGATGAGTCATAATTACCATGTTTTTTTTTCAAGTTTCCATCCGATGCTTTCGCACGAATGCCATCTCTGATCTAAGAAATGCAAACTTATTGACAAGTGAATTCGTGCCAGACATTTCATGACCAAAAATAATCTGGGACTCGACGGAAAATAGAAGAGCACGCAGACATATTAATATATCCCGTAGAGTCAGTAGTAAAGTCATTAAATTATACGCCATGTAAACCTCACAGATGAGGTGACTCAGTTAGGAAGTCTCCTCATAGTCCTAACCGGGGCCAAGCCCTCACCACCATACTGCGATAAGTCCATCACAACAGGTTCAACGTCCCGGAATCCAAACTTCTCATAAAGCGCATGCCCATCATTCGATGATTCCAGCCAGAAATCAACTAGGCCCATCTCCGTGCCTACCTCAAGGCCTTTCTTGATAAGCGCAGAACCAATCCCATAACCACGACACTCAGGAAGAGTAGCCAAAACTTGCAGATCTATACCAAGTTAGCTGAAATTCCCAAATCCAAAAAAGTTGAAACAGTTACATACGACCGAATATCTTCTCCGACATGTATTTCTTTCGCATTGCCACTGTCGAGCGAAGGAATGTATTACAGCCTTCCTGATGCGCACCAGCCGGCCACTCGATATCCTTCCAGTCTTCAATCACCTTTGGTTCGAGGTAGAAGTGCCAAAGAGAAATGGCAATGATCTTTTCTTGGCCGTTCTCGTCGCTGATTACGGCCTTCCAAATCCTTGCGCTCGGGTCATTTTCAAGTTTATTGGCAAGATCTTTTGCTCGAAATGATGAATCACCAGGTGGGCCGAACAAGACTAGCGAAAGATTATTTTTCGGCTCTGTTTTGCTGGGAGTGCAATTGGAGGTAGCCTCTATGTGTGCGACTGTCGCACAATCAGCTTCTGTTGCTGGGAGGATTTCGAAATCCAGCGAGCTCGGTTTTGATGCGGCCATGACGAAGGGTGAGAGAGTTAGAGGAATGCAATACTTGAAGTGGAAGAAAAGCCGTTGCGAGGCAAATGGGACACGTATTCGTACAGAAAATGCGCGAGCCTCGTGGTGATTCATAATAATGCTTGATTTGAGCCTAGGCCAAAGCTAGTGCCCGGGTCAGCACTAGCGTGTCCGTATTAAATGTGCCTTTGTACCCTTTTGGGTCACGAAGCCGAAACAAAATGGATCATCAGCACCGATGCTACCCAAGCGCACGGTCTTTTCTTCTCTATAGGCTGTCTTGCAGGAGCCAATCTAGTGAATATGTATTAAACTAATATACCTTGACACGTTTTTAATTATGGCATCCCGTATATCGTAGATCGTCGATGGCTGCCTGTGGATACGAATTCCTAGCGCTTCCGACCGTCTCTCATACATAAGATCCGCTCGGGGTGTCGGCCCATCGCCCATCTGTATATCATGCTATGGCCGATTGCCTATTAGCATTTTACCTATAGGGTAGATAAATATACAAGATAAGCTCTTGAGAAGAGTACTATGCACCCCGGAATGTCGAAACGCTTTCTACTATATGACTCATATTCATGTTGGGTAACTAGGGTACACGGCTGGTGCACCCCATAAACTTGTGACTATTACAGGGCGATAATTTTTCACCGAGGACCATGGTATCCGTAAACTGATTAGAAATGGGTACTGAAATGTGATTGTGTTCATTTATTGAAAAAGCCGCGACCGAGGGCACGCTCGAGCTTGGAAACACCAGTCGGAAGTTGGTGAATCTGCGCCGAGGTGGCTGATCTCGCTGTCGATTTCATAATATCATATCGACCGAAAGAATATTCGTGGCTTTTATTTCAATAATAAGAGGAAAAAGCGTATGTGACAGAATCCCAAAAATTGCTTTCATATCTCGGAATTGGAGCAAAGGAAATAAGTGTGCGAGGAATATTGATAAGGTTAATCTCGACGTTAATGTTTTTACCCGTCGTCTGTTATATTGGAAGAGGAGCCTACATGGGGCTGGGGAAGAGTTGCGGCAAAGCCTTCCATCCTAGTAACCAATTGTATAAATGTAGACTTAAAACATTCTAATATGTCGACGCATTCTTCAAAGCGTCACAGGTGGAAACAAATCCCCAACAATTCATGACGTTCCATTCCCAAACCTCACTCGCACCAAAGGGCGTGCTCGTTCCAACTCCATCCCGCAATAGAATACAATCGTAGCCTTTGCTGAACGCATCGGTCAACGTGCTTCCAACGCATTGATCGGTATTTACCCCACCAAAAAGAAGCGTAGTTATCCCCTCTTGTTGCAGGAAGCTCTCCAGTTCCGAGCCAGATCCCCATAGCCCAGACATGCGGTTCTTATGAAATAGAACGTCGGGCTTTGATCGCGCGTTATCGTGGGGCATATCCTGGCTGGAATTGTACTCCTCGTTGAAGGGATCGAAAAGTGCAGCGTTCCAGGAATCACGCATGAGAACTCGGCCTCCTGGAACCCTGTTGTTATCACTAAGCTCCACACTCCCGAGGTCTACTCCGAGGCCCTTGTAGAGTGCGGGGTTCTTGGTTCGAATCATGTTCGGTGCTGATGGGAGAAGGCGTTTCTCTCCAACATGATTTTTCCCGGCTGGAGAAGTCTCGTAACAACCGAAGCTGCGGATAGCCGCTGGTGGCATACTTATCAGATCATCCTCCGTCAAGCCCCAGCAGAGCCAGATAACTCGTATGCCGTGATGCCGAGCAGCTGGAATTCCTGCGCTAAGGAGCGCCCGCGTAGCTGCTTCTGCAGGGGTAGGCTTGTCTCCGACTCGTGGTCGCACAGCTGGGTTTAAAAAGAAATTTTGCAGATCAATGAGCAATAGTGCGCTCTTCTCTGTATCAATCTGGGTCGTCTGTGTTGTTGTTTCGAGGTTGATAAGCTGCTTTGAGCGCGATCCGCGGGAGAGATCGATGGTGCCGCTGTCGGGCTCGTAGATCCAGAAGTTCGTTGAGTCTTTCCCGATTCTTTTTGTAGGCGCCATATTGTGTATGTTTGAAGGACTTTGTCTTGGAGAGATACAGGCAAGGTTGTCCGCTAGTGTCTGTCATGTTGAAAGGGGCCTGCTCGGGGGACATATATTCTCGACTCGGCTTATCTCCGTTCCCCGCACTAGCAGCTCATATTTCGTTACAAATCGAATTGAGCACACCTTTCCTTGAGCAGCTACCCCAAATTTGCATTAGAATATCCACTTGCTAAATGTAACCCAGGCATTCGTCCTCCCTGAAGAGACCTGCCCCCTTTCCTGTAAGAAGCACGAAAATGATTGCCAAGACATCAATGATATCGCATTAGATATAACCTCAGGTCGCACCTCTTGACGTATAACCTCGGAATAGCAGGACTGCAGCGCACCCCAGATCGCAGAGACGATTGTCACAATACTTTCGAGAAGGGCAACGTGCGTTGAACACGATGCAGGGAACCCACATGACACAAAGTGGCTTTGCTATTGTTTGATCAGATGTCATGCATTGTACGTATAATCGAAAAAGGTTCTAGCCGAGAGAGTAAGTTGTCTACAACGTCGGCGAGTTGAGAGTTTCTGGCTTCCATCAGTATTGAGTAGTGGTAATATCATAGAAACGCCATGGCTTTGAGATGCCGCGTTATTGGCAAGTACTTACCTTTCATTGCTCTGAATATGAGCCTTCTGTGAGAATTCTGGAAGACGACTTGGAATCTATGTCGTTGGAAACAAAAATTTGGCAGCTGTTGCTTGTAATCTTCTTCCAAAAGCAGCCAATATATAGCCACCCAAAGGGTATAACCAGCCAGCTGTGCCTATAATACGGCATGCCTAAACCTCATACAATCCATAAAGTGATATGTTCTTTCTCAACCAACACTTACTTGTTTGTGTATAAGTACCTACAGTGACGACCGTTACTGCCTTCTATGTCAGGAAACATAGAGATACTGTTCCAAACCCTGATAACAGGATGGACAGCCTGCAGAAAGGTCACACAACAGAATTCCCAACTACAAGTTCCCCGCCTGCATGAGAGATCTAAGCTTCGGTTATATCATCTTGTACTTGTCGACTACTCCGCCTGCAATGAAAGGGTGGTCAGATATGGGCGGGCTTGCTGGTAATCGCTCAGGGTGACGCCAGTCCAAGTATGTAAGTCTCTTGAAGGTCAACTAGGTTCTACTAGAATATGCCCAAAACTCCTGAACTTTTTATTAATTTGACATGTGGGATTTCTGTGTGACATTGTACACCAATTTTGATTGAAATTTCCGTCAAGGAACAACGATCTCAAACGTTGCCTTCGGGGTGGTGAGTAAATCAAGTAGTCTGTTCCAATAAGAGCGATCTCCCTTCTCTTCACCGAAAGGTCCTAATGCTTGCCTAGCTGACAGGGACTGAACCAATTGGTTGTATGTAAGCGTACATGAGAAATTTGCCGAATCCAATGTTGATGATTTCGAAGAGCCTTTTCCAGTACGGTGTATCAACACCCCGTTACTAATGAGTAAACGGCAGTGCTCGTCTCTATCGGTCACATATAGATCGATGATGAAATCTTCTGTTTGCGCTCGAATGCCATTCAATCGAACAGCAACCGATGCCAAGAGATGGTGAAGTGACAAAGCCTCAACCAGCCCAGTCTGGTCAGACAGTACGTTGCCTTCTGGCCTCACACCACGTAGTTCCGTTGCGCCTGAAATATAAAAGTTTCGCCATGGGCCATTCTCACATCCGTAACCCAAACTTTCGTACGTCGATGCGAGTAGAGATTTGGCTTTTGTGTTCTCGGGATCGGCGAACACGGCATGGTTGAGAAGTGAGGCAGCGAATCGTAAATCCCCTTCGTCAGAGAATTCCTTCGCTTTTTGGACCACTGCTTCCACGCCGCCCATACAAGACACGTAACGCTTCGCCGCTTCGACTGGCGGGTGTTCCCATAGATGAGCCGGATTTCCATCGAACCATGTCATGTAACGTTGATAAATGGCCTTGACATTGTGGCTCACAGAGCCATAAAATCCCTGCGTGTGCCAACAGTCTCGCAGTCGAACGGGGAGCTCCAGCTCCTCGGCAATTTCAATCCCCGTTAAACCATCATTCATTAAGCGCAACGTCTGGTCATGCAAAAAAGCGTAAAGGTCACGCTGCTGCGTAAGATAGTTTAACAGAGTCTTTTGACCCCATGTGGGCCAATGATGGGAAGCAAATACGACATCTGAAGTTTCAGCGAAGAGAACAATCGTCTCGTCCAAATATGAAGACCATGCATGAGCATCCCTGACGGCGGCGCCTCGGAGAGTGGCAATGTTATGCAGACATTGGGTCGCATTTTCCGCGACGCACAAGGCCCGCCGCTGCGGCAGATAAAAGTTCATTTCCGCAGGCGCCTCTGTGCCAGGAGTGACTTGAAAGACGAACTCGACCCCGTCAATCACCTCTACTTGGCCGGTATGCGTGATATCGACCGATGGAGGTATTAATGTCACCGTTCCAGCAGAAACCGTTGCCCCCAGACCACAGCTGATTTGTCCAGACGGCCCTTTTGGTAAACGGTCGCCGTACATATATGCAGCTCTGCGAGCCATAGCGTTCCCGGCGTAGATATTCTCAGAGACAGCATGTTCAAGAAAGCCATACGGTGCCAAGATAGGCACGATGCAAGCTGTATTTGCCTCGAAGACCCCCTTCGCACCTCCAAAATGATCGGCGTGCGAGTGTGTATAGATCATGCCCATCACAGGTTTCTTCGCACGATTCTCATAATATAAGTTGAGCGCTGCCTGTGCGCATTCGGCGGAAGTGAGGGGGTCCACCACGATGATTCCACTATCACCTTCAATGATAGTCATATTTGAAAGGTCAAAGCCGCGGACCTGGTAAATACCGCTAGTGACCTTGAATAAGCCTTGCTTGCTTACGAGTTGTGCTTGTCGCCATAGTTTCGGGTTAGCTGTCTCTGGACAAGGCGAGTTGATCAAGAAATCATATGCATCGTTATTCCAAACAACGTGACCATCTTGATCTTTAATTACGCAAGGGTCAAGCTTTGCGACAAAGCCACGATCTGCATCGTGAATAGACATCGATTGATGAGCAAAGAATTGATTGGAGTAAGTAGTTTTGAAAGCGATGGTCGAGATATCGGTCGCCACATATCATAGGGTCGTTGAATTGCGCAGATATTTCCAGCCTAAAAACAAAAGATCGAGTCGATAGCCGCGAAGCCTATGACGATTACATCGACAGATTAGAATCTTGGCTTGACGACATAACGAGAGTGGTTTCAACGCAGTGACACCAGCAATTCCTCAAGCGGAAGCCTTTACCTTCCGCGTTACGCCGAATGTGTACCGTACATTCCTGAAATGACATCATTACAAATGTAAGTGATACAAGGCTCATAACGGTTCGCTACATTTACATTAGTTAAATAGCAAGTTTGTTCCTGCCTTATATTAGATAGGCAATCAAATTTCCCTATAAGGGGTCGATATGTCTTGTCGTTTTTCTAATGGTTTAAGTATTTACTTATATGGGGCTCGGAAAAGTGTGCGTCATGGACGAGGTAAAACAGGAGGTGCTTGTTTTTTTAGGATTCAATGAATACATTTGAACATGCGGACGAGATGTGGCGGGTGGGCATTTTAGTCATTTTCAAGTGGCGGGGATCGCGAATTGAACACTTTATATTTGTAGGGGATTGATAAAATGACCCCCCCTCTGGATATAATGACCCCCCCTCTGGATATAATGACCCCCCCTGCCTTAAAATGCCTGGACTTTCAGACATCAAGGCACCAAGGCTACCAACTTTTTTTCTGCCAAAAGTTTTGCCAGTACTCCCTCTCCGCTTAAATTCTGCCACCTTTTCTGCCCACCTTTCTGCCTATCACCCTGCTACTTTAGTCTCTGCAGTCTACCTTTCTGGATTATATAGTAAATCCACTATACAATCTACTGTAAAATGCACGTTTTTAACAGAGAAATTCATATTGAATTTATATGCATTTTAGTGGTATAGGAGGGGTTCAAGAAAGAAAGATTGGTGGTAGTTACGGAGGACTTAGTGGTGGTGGCGGATCTCGGGGGTTGGCGGTGAGGACGGTAAGGAAAGTGGTGAGATGGTGGTGGAAAGCGGTGTGGGCGGTGAGAGCGGGGGCGTGGAAAAATATTCTTCCATGAGCAAACAAGACAAAACTTTTGCCTTGGCGCCTGAACATCCAGGCATTCTCAGGCAGGGAGGGGGGTCATTATATCCAGAGGGGGGGTCATTTTATCAATTCCCTATTTGTACGGCACGGTCTGTTAGACAATTCGAGTGGCGTCTAGCCAGCACAATGAACGCTTCCCGGAGTACCCCAAAGCAAACAAAAGAAGACATTTTCAATTCGGCACTCACTATTATCACATGGTCGGGAAAGTTCCTGTAGACCATTTCTAGGCAAGATCATTATGTCTTTAATTTTCTTTATATGGCCAGGCCTTGAATGCAGACTCGCAGTAACTACCATTGGGTAGAAACCATCCCCACACTTGCGTCAACCTCAACCCACTCGCCCGAGACCCCCACAGGCCGTTGGTCCAGGCTTTTCAAAAAGACCCTTAAATAGACCCTGCTCCTGTCTAAACGTGCTGACTCACATACCTAGTTAGCTGGGTGGCGGTTCAAGAACATGGCATTTGCTCGGTGTACTTACCGAACTGGGGACACGGTCTGTCTTCCGCGGGGATCCGGACCCTACCTTCTCCTCTAGGTGAAGGACTATGGTCAACAACAGACCTGCTTCTTTGACACCAGTAGCAGATAGTTTGCTTTAAGCTTGGCATTTACAGGGTTAATGGGGTTTTTTTTCATTCTAGGCCCTGTGGTAGTGAGGCATACAGGTTTCGACTATATACCGAATCGATTCTTCATTATTGGCAAGTGCCAAGTTGTCTGTATTATCGTTTTATGGATACGCTTACATCTATTTCTAGAGTTCAACATAGTCAATTTGGACTATAGCTGCCGCGATCCAGGCACGCTTGCCTGATGCGTTCCAGTTTCCACGTGGAACACCATAAAAGCACGGATAATAATTGAAACACAAAATGCCGACTCCTGTTCCGAGGAGAAAGCGAGTTTGGTTCTGTTCCTGTAATCCTTGCAGGAACGCAAACTCTGAAGTCCATTTTTGGAGTCTGAGGCAAATCAGATCAAGCAAGACCTGAGAGTCCGAAACACAGAACCGCCACTGATGGAAGATCTCCAGTTTTATCAAATTCTCCCAGGGGGACGAGCGAACCATCATCTTAACCATATAGGGTGCATGGATGGCTTGGAAAACTCGGAACCACTGGAGACATTGGAGGATTACCATTTCCGGCGATGGCAACAACGTTCGAGACCATCGGATATTGAAGCAGATCCACCATCGACTCAGCTATTGGTGAACCCCATGAAATCTCAACTTAGAACAGCTTTGGCGGTTCAGGGCAGTGTTTTTGGTCTTGCCACTACTCCAAAAACTCCACCGAGGACGATATATAACTCTGGATGATCTGCTACGATGGCCCTGCTTCTCATCAATCACTACAGTCCTTTCGACAATTCATTCTTTTTCTTGTTGATTGCAACGATCTGATCACTCTCTTTCAGATCCTGTCATTCTCTTGTCAATCTCTTTTACAGACATTCTCTTGATTACCACATACTGTCCTTTTCGACGTCCTAGTCAAACGACTCCACATACAAAATGATCTTCTCCAACGTTTTCATCGCTAGCATCCTCGCTGCCACCGCCGCAGCTCTGCCTCACCGTGTCCGCGACTCTAGCTCCAGCTCAAGCGGCAACGTCCAATTCGTCAACAACATGGACTCAGACGTCTACCTCTGGACGACATCCTCCGATTCAGGCAGTATGCAAACTCTTTCCTCCGGCGGTGGTACCTACAGCGAGGGATGGCAGACCAATTCCAACGGCGGTGGCATTTCCATCAAGCTCTCCACCACCCAGAACGAGGACAGTGTCCTTCAATTCGAGTACACCGTCGACTCGGACACGCTCTACTGGGATCTGTCCTCTATCAACCTGGATTCGTCTTCCGATTTCATCAAGAGTGGCTTCTCTGTTAAGCCTAGCGACTCGAGCTGCAAATCTGCTACTTGCGAGGCAGGTGACGTTGACTGCGCCGACTCTTATCAGCACCCTGATGATGTGAACACGCTCTCCTGTTCGGTTGATGCGCAGTACATCGTTACTTTGGGATAAATATCCCGTTCCATTCTTTCATGCTCGAATTCAAAGAAAAAGTTGTTTTTCATCATCATAGCGCTTGCGGTAGATTATAGACTTTCATGATTATAGACTTTCATGACTTGCATGGACAATAGAAGCTTGCCTTTGGGTGAATCGCACACATTTCCAACATCATTTTATTTCTTATAGACACACCCGTCAGTATCTGAAACTCGACCACGGTCAGGATGGCGATCTTAACTTGAGTCTAATTCTAGTAATCTTGGCACTTCCAATTTTTCAAGTCGAGTATTACTGAACATGTCCCATGACAGGTCTCCCGTCTGGCCAGATGGGGAAGTTGTTCGGCCAATACACGTAAAGTTTATTGTTTTATTGTAGATCAATCCAGTGGTCATAAGGCACAGTCTTATCACTTCTAATGAATAAAGATTCTACCTGCCCATACTCATCTGAGCCACTTGTTGATCAATACCACCAAGTGCAGTTCCGGGTGACGTCATGTTCTAGAACCCGTTGCCCACTCTGAATGGAGATCTCGTCCCACCATTCTCTTTGTCATCTAATATATCTATCTGGCAGACAATAGTACCATATAAAGTCCCTCAATATGATCAATATCACGTTATAGACCGGGGTGGTATATGGGATTATAGGGAGCACCAAGAGTGTAAGGTAGTACGGCAGCAGTCGTGCCATAAAGGGTTTAGCTTGGCGTTTAAGCCTGGCTGGAGGGCGCATAATAAGTCCACCAGGTATCCTCATATTCGAGATAGATAGAGAGACTACGTTGAAGAGTGCAAGGTAGATGACGTTATTCAAGGAGAAGACAATTATGCCCGTACTGTAGTATCACTTATAACCTTAGACTACAGAGATAGTGACCGGGTTACGTGATTTGCGGTCTTACACGTGACAAGCTGTTGCCTCTGAATTGATTGCAGCCCAGGGAAACAAACCATCCATATCGACACATATAGCCGCCGCGCGTTCCAAAGCAACACAGTCAACACACAATCAACTCCGACGCCGTGTTCCTGGCCGTCGGATAAGATCGCGATAACAACCCCGCGGACCGCGCAGTGGAGCCAAGCGCGCTCGCCGAGGTCGGGAACACCACCGCGGGGCCGAACATCCCATAAAGCACACACCGAGTGGCACCAAGCGTTTCTACACTTACAAACAATCCGGGGAAGACCAAGGTGCATACATAGCAATAACCGGCAAAATGACCCGATCACTACGCATCGCTGTCCTGGAATGTGATACGCCCATTGCACCCATCAAGGAGCAACTCGGTGGTTATGGAGAGATCTTCACACGCTTGTTGAACAAGGGTCTAGAGGCGTCTGGGGATTCGAGGGTGGAGATTCAGGAAATCAGCAAGTGGCATGTCGTGGATAACCCGGTTTATCCTGATCCGACTGAGTATGATGCTTTTCTACTCTCTGGTAGCAGTATGTATTCTCCTCTCTTCTTTTGTGAGTCACTGTACCGTCGAGAGTATGCATTGACAAGGCTTACTAGAACATGATTCATTCGCGGATGATACTTGGATTGTCAGCCTCACGGAGTATGTCCGGGGCGTTATTGAGCAGCACAAGAAGCCCGTTGTTGGCATCTGCTTTGGCCATCAGATTATTGCTCGTGCCTTGGGCTCGCGCGTTGGTCGTGGCGATGGTGGATGGGAGGTCTCTGTTGAGGAGATTACTTTGACCGATGCTGGCAAGCAGATCTTTGGCAAGGACAAGCTGGTAAGACCCAACCTATATCCAACGTATTCTAAATCATTTCCTTACATGATCTAGTACCTCCAACAAATGCACCGGGACGTGGTCCACGAAGTGCCTGCGGGATGCATCAATCTCGGATACAGTCCCCGATGCGCCGTCCAGGGTCTCTACATGCCTAACCGGTTGTGGAGTGTGCAAGCACATCCCGAGTTTAACGAGTTTATCATGTCACAGGTGTTGAAAGCCCGGCATGACAGCGGAATATTCAATGACCAGCTTTATGAAGACGGCTCTTCGAGGGCGGCGAAGCCTCATGACGGCGCATTTTTAGCGACAGAGATTATTAAGTTTATTGCGGATGCTACAGAGGGTACAGAATAGAATAGTTAATATTTTGCAATATGAGTATCATGGTTTATGAATATATCTGTCAAAATTAGAGCCCTCAATAAAAGTCCCAAGCAATAGAGTAAAAGCAGGTCAAGCGCCCGGCGGGGAAAGTGGCGACGGGCGGAAGACTTGAGGAACGAGACCGCGATAAGCGGCGGGCACCACATAAATTCCAACATGCCCCTCCTCTCCTGTTCCTGATCAACAAGTTTCACAACACTCCTTTTCCTTCAATCTCCTCACATAGCACTCCTCTCACATAATGACCAACCAGATTCGCACCATCGACCCCGCAACCCATGAGGTCATCTTCGACAAGCCAGGAACTTCTCTGGAGGAAGCTGGCAAGATCGCCACCGCCTCGAAGCAGGCATTCCAGTCTTGGCGCGCCGTGAGCCTAGAAGAGAGAACCGCAATTGTCAAGCGCGCTCTTCAGATTATCGACTCTCGCATTGATGACTTGGCTAAGGAGCTCACCACGCAGATGGGCCGGCCCATTCGCTACTGCGCTGGAGAGATTAAGACCGCCGCTCTTCGCGCGGAGCATATGATTAAGATTGCCAAGGAGAGTCTGGCTGATTTGCCGGGTGAGCCTCAAGATGGTTTCAGACGGATGGTTAAGCAAGTGCCTTTGGGTCCTATCCTGATCGCATCTGCGTGGAACGTGAGTAATCGCAGATTAAATGCCAATCTAAAAAGCTCGTGAAGCTAATACGACCCGCAGTATCCTTATCTCACAACCGTTAATGCTTTGATTCCTGCGTTGCTAGCGGGTAACACGGTGCTTTTGCGCCCTTCTCCTCAGACCCCCCTTCTCGGTGACAGGCTATCCGAGATCTTTACCGAGGCTGGACTGCCAAAGGACGTTCTCCACGTCTTGCACATTGGAAGCTTGGACGTTCTCGACCAAATTGCTCAGTTGCCCGAGGTCCAGTCTGTTTCGTTCACTGGTTCGACTGCGGGCGGTATCCGGCTTCGCGAGGCAACTGCCAAGCAGATCAAGCCTGTAAACTTGGAACTCGGTGGTAATGACCCTGCCTACGTGCGTCCGGACGTGGATGTGAAGAATGTCGCCGAGAACTTGGTTGATGGAGCGGTGTTCAACTCTGGACAGAGCTGCTGCTCCGTTGAGCGGGTTTACGTTCACGAGAAGATTTACGATGAGTTTGTTCGCTGTGTGCAGGAGGAGCTTAAGGGGTATGTTGAAATACTCCTTCCCAGCCTTTGGAGTGGCATCTGCTAACATCATTCGCAGATATAAACTTGGTGACCCCCACGACCAGACCACGACCACCGGCCCAGTCATCTCCGCGCCCGCAAAAGAGAAGATCCAATCTCACATTGATGACGCCCTGAAGAAGGGAGCCGTCGATGCCACCCCCAAGAACTCCACATTCTCCCTCGCCAAGACCAGCCAGAAGGGCAACTTCCTGGCACCCGTCGTCCTGACCAACGTCAACCACGACATGGTCACCATGAAGGAAGAGACCTTCGGCCCCGTTATGCCCATTATGAAGGTGTCCAGCGACGAAGAAGCCGTTGCCCTGATGAACGACAGTGATTATGGTTTGACTGCTAGCGTCTGGACCAAGGATATGGCCCGTGGTGAGGAATTGATTGATCAGATTGAGGCTGGAACGGTGTTTATTAACCGTTGTGATTATCCTGCTCCGGTATGTTTTCCAATCCCTGGTTAAACAAAAAGAATACGAGGAAGATGAACTAATCTTTTTGCAGGATCTCGCTTGGACTGGTTGGAAGACTTCTGGCTTAGGCTGCACACTTGGTCCCCGTGGTTATGATGGATTTGTCAAGTTGAAGAGTTATCATATTAAGGATGCTTCTGCTTAGATTTTGTGAGCGGATAGTTAGGCACCTCGATGGCTGCTTTGTTACCACCATAAACTTAATCGGGTTTTATTTTATGACTATCTTCGAATTTAATGTCCTGGTACTCTACAAAAAAATAGATCTTCTTATTGAGTGCTTTAAATAGCCCCCCCAGCTTGGCCTCCTGCCTTGCCTGGTCCTCTCTGAAGTACTTTTCATCCATCCCATATTCTATCCCCAGTCACAACCAAGCGCTTGGCAATCTCCATCTCACAAGAGACCCACTCATCGCGGTCCCGGACCGCGCTGCGCTAATTCCGATGCGCGGTAACAACACGTGACACACTTGTCGCAACAGGGGAGAGAGTAACGTGAGCATCCCAGGGTTATCTCACAATCAATGCTATCAATGACCATCTGTCGATTAGCCTGTTGTTATCAGCCATAGTTTAGTATATCGATCTCTATACCCTGTAATCATGAGCCTGCCGCGCCGTCGGATGCAGGGCCGCGCGATCGAGTGAAATACACCACCATAGGGCGGGAATCCAGCGCTGAGCCTGGCGGAGGTGCAGACTACATAGTCAGATGGTCTGGACAAATTCTATAGTAGATATAAGTGCCTATATTTCGTTTCAATTGGCCGGGCGGCTGCGTGATAGCTCATGACTCCCGTCTGCGATGGAGAAAGTATTGTCGAGGATATATTTGAACACGACGATTATCTCCATATCCAAAACCAAGAAGATCCATTCAACACTGTACATTCTTATTCACTTTTATTTATCGACGCATAATACATATTCGGCTCACAGCACATGTTACTGTGGTAGGTTGGACTGCAGGGCTGCAAGGTAATGAGCCGTATCAACACAGCGGGATAATACACCCGACCCACACTTGATTCGCGCCGAACCGACGCAGTGAGGACATCTATGTTGCCCTTCAACCCACACGTATCGCACGCCACGAAGAAGCTTCCGGTCAAAATGGTTCCAGCGACGAAGGCTTTCCCCGTCTTAATCAAAGTCAAGACAATCATTCCTCTGGAAGTAGGCGCTGGCGCTGTCGGGCTCGAAAGTCGTCGACATCTCCGGATGAATGGTAACTCGGAGCTACAGTCGCCTTTCCGGAATCGTCGGGCTCGCTGAACGCGTTGCTCGGCAATGTAGGATTGTCTAGCAACATTTAACCGCACCACGAGAATTGCTGTCCAGGCTGTGTGGCACGGAAACAAGCATGCTGTTTTGTGTTTCAAGAGTCACGCTATATTGCCGGCTAGCGGGATTTATCCTGCGAGTATTGTTCCTTGGTATGTACCAGGCTGTTGCAGTTGATACAGAACTCGCAAGGGGGCTACTTGGCGACAATGCTGGATTTCATGTGTTTGAAATTCTAGTCGATCAGCCCTGTCCTGATCAGCTCGAGATATTTCGCTGTTTCCGGGTTGACCCTGGCCGATCTTACACAAAGCGTGTAGAGGACTTCTTTGGCAGGAGTACCGGGCGACGACAACGAGAGGGACTTCTGTCGGGAAGGTCATTTTCCAAGCGGTTGGTTCGACGAAGCTATTGAACAACACCCTGTCCGTTGTGTTCGTGGCGAGTGATGGGAGGTCGTTCGTAAATTCCATGAATTTCATCATGGATGATGGTGAGACCTGCGACCAATGGACCACGGAACTGATATGCCTCATGAATCCAGGGTCTCTCTTTGGACACAATGCCCATGGTAGTAGTCTGCTTTCACGCAAACGAGATCCATATTTGCTTAGCCTGCATTGACCGACAAATATTCCACGGCCCAGCATCACTAGCAGGAAGCTCCCACATAGCCTCAAGCAATAGCAGCGTTCTCTGCATATTCCCCAGACCAAAATGAGTCGCCATCGCCGTCAAACGCGTCCGCAGACGCTCCTGCTGCTCAGGCTTCTCAAGGCAAGACCCTACAACAGCGATCGGCCAACAAAGACCAGAATTAATCCGGGCCTGCGGTGAAATTTCGTCCAGATAGGATAGTGCCTCTGTGACGGCTGTTTGGATGAGACCTTTGTACATGCCATCCGGGGTGTAGGTGTAGCCACCCAGCGAAGTGTACAGATAAATGAGCATGGCTTGTTGGAATACTAGACCGGCTAGGTAAACCTCAGGCTCGACAAAGGAGTATGGCGACCAGCGCAGGATTTGGGCTTGGATGGAGGCGAACATGGCCATGTCGTCTGCGGTTGGGACGGTGGGCTGGGTGTCGTCCATCATCCATTGTCGGCCGAGATCGAAGATGCACGGGATGAGGAGGAGTAATTCTAGCCAGCAGCCGCAGAGATTGCCGACGTATTGGGTGCGAAGGACCTCGCGCGCGCGTTGTTCGAGATCAAAGTTTAGGAATAGCTGCCCACTTAAGCGCGCGTCGATTGAGATCATGCTCACGGTTGCGGTGTAGACGTAGTACTCGATGACGAAGTCTTTCAATTCTCTCGGTACGGCGGTGTCGCTTTGCTCGAGGAGTTTCACGAGTAAGGTGTGTGCGGCTGAGAGATGATCGAAGACTGTGCCGGTCATGTCACCTTTGGCAGTCTACCAGTCATGTTAGTTTCAATTGACGGGTTTGAGTCGGTCGGCATTACCTCTGTAAAGCACATCAACAACGCGCCAACCAGTAGCATCAACGGATTCGACTCTTTTCCCTCAATGAAATCATTGACGCCATGTCTGAAGAGTTGGATCGCTTTCGTATAGTGGGAGTTGGCGACCGCATCTGAATCGTCACGTCGTCGAAAGGCGCGGTGCGCAGCACTCTGGGCGATGACCAGTTGAAGAAGTAGGTCGCTAGTGAATGCAAGTGGCACTATCTGGACCAAAAACGGGTTGATAGGAGTGGTGCCGTTGGCCATCACGTCGGCCGTGTTGGCCAAATAATGCGAGAGAAGGGAGTAGCTCTCCGGGTCATATCCAGGTAACATCGACAAAGTGCGCGGCACCACATTCCCAACGGCCATACTGGCAACCAGCGCATTTTCATCCCCCACTATAGTTGACCGGCGGCGATCGATAGTCTCGTCTTGGGCGGGTACCTGGGCCAGATGCTCCTCGATGATAGCGGAAAGCCCCGGGCTCGACGAAGTGGAGGAGTGGCGTCTGGATAGCGGACTAGCAGGTAGTTGCATCGCATCGAGATCTTCAATCGACCCAGCGAAACTAGACCGTCTATCCGCAGGGATATAGCTTGACGAGTCGTTTTCCGGGCCCGAGTTCCTCCTCCCCGGCACTGTCGAGGGCCATTCACACCGTAGGTCATTCCGCCGACACCCCGAGCAAATCGGTCGCAGCTCGTCGCACTTCTTCTTTCGGCGTCGGCAGGACCAGCATCCTGTGCGGACGCGAACAATCCGCTGCACACGCGGCTGTCGATCTGGCGGCATCCTTGTTTTGGGGGGAGTGGGAAAGGGCAGAAGATCGGACGGAACTTGAAGGGGGGCCGGTGCTGATAAGATACGTGCTGGACTCGTGTGGGTGTGGGGTAAGCCAAAGTCTATTTCCGACTCTCCAGAACTTGTGACGATTGGGCTGAATGTTCTTACCTTGGATTCGAAGTGGCTACATTTCTTCCTTGGATATTTCAATTTGGGTTTATTGTTCTGTCATAATTTCAAGCCATTCCACGTGAGGGCATCGAATTGACTATATTTCGATTGAGTAGGGCCTTATCTCTCTTATCTCGCCCGCGTCATCGCTATCAGCACGATCCTACAATATGCGACCGCAAAAGGGGAATCTTTTGATCTTCAACGACGCATTAAGCAGAAGGATGGACACTTTCGAGTGGTGCAATCATGGCTATATGATTAAACAGTAATCAGTATCACGTTACCAGGTTTACTTGAACCAGTCAGTCATTTGTCTGGATATGGCAATGTACGGCGAACATATTCCCTATATATACATCCGTGTTCAGAAATACAATTCATAAATACAGATATCTTCTATGAGATTGACCTATAACGTGGCTAGGAGCAACACTTTCTGCTATTGGGATAGATAATAGAGAGACCTTAAAGTCTAAATATGTTCATTCCCATGTTTCATCGCTGCCTCGCCAGAATCGAGCCTTGAGTTCCAAGCACAATGAATACACAATGAGTATGCAGCGCGATTGATTAAATTTCCGACAGAGTGTTCAGGGTCGATAGCGGGACCATTATTGAGAAACTATTGCACTTTGACATAAATATGTGCAGCTAATGAAGTCATGCAGACTAACAAAAGAGCCAAACCATCCAACGACTACCATTGCTTGCATTGCAGATGGTAAATCAGGCGGTTATCAGGAGCCACTCTTATTGCTACAACCTTGCAGAATACCCCGATAAGTATATAGGACCGCCTGGCTTTATAGAAGATTTACGACTATGATGATTGGTCAATCCAAGTCGGCATTGCTCTGCCGATAGGGTTGATTGGAAGTCCGCACCGGTCCTCTCGTGCTTACCTACTTTAGCAGGCCTGTCACTCTGCCAAGAGTCATTGGCGTGGCCCACCACGGGTCAACCTAATATTTGGGAGAAAGAAAGCTCGTTGATAGGATCGAGATCCCCGGGACTGCAGGGTTTAAGCGGGACTTTGGTCGGTGTTCTAGAATCTGCTGCTCAGCAGGTCTCTACACGAGATCTGTCGTGCTCCTGCTAGATCGCATTCTAAACTGTTGTTCTTCAGACTAGGCTAGAGATTACCAAGGATTGGTTATTCGCATTTCGTCCTCCATCTGGGGTAGATGCTTTCTGATCTTCCAATCCTCGTGGGCTTCCAGTACTTATAAGCCACCCCCGAGCCATTGTATCTACGATCCTTTAGAGGCCGGGTACTGAAACTGTGTTTACAACGATGACGGCATACGGTCGCTATCAATCGACGATGCGCCCAAAACTACCATGTACTCGATTTTCTTGGCTGTTGAAACTGACCGTGAGCGATTATCACGAGATGCCGATCGTGGAAACACATCACTCTGTGTTAGTACTAATTGATATTCTAGTAGAGGTAGAAGAGAATTCTCCGAGCTATCGTATGAATATGGCTAACCATTTAAATCTCCAGCTTTCCAACCATGAAATAAATGGCCCTTTGGTCAAGGCTTATCCCTTATGAGATATGTACTAGCTTGGTTTGGTCCGTATCTTCCTCGGTTAGTGACATTGACCTCCAGAAAGAATAAACTTTTACTCTCCCCAGGCCAAAAAAGTTCAATGGGCCTTTTAGATTTCCACGTGGGAGGTTATATGGTGAGATCGATCATCAATCTGACTACTGTACAGTGGCCAGGTGTGTTTCCTGGCCTATCGGGGTATTCTGTAAGGTCACGGTCTCTCTCGCCCGATCGGCTTTAGACTGGACAGAAACAAGAAGTAATTGCCGAGCGGAAAAGCGATGCTTGACTTTCCTCTTTCCATCTTGGCCAATGCTTATGCCTCTATATGGCGTATACCATCTGCATGGAAAATTCTCGGAAGTATTCCAGTCCGCGCCTTTTCGCAATCTCCAAGGACTAAAGACCAACCAGTCACGAAGCTTTGGGGCGCAACGTGCCAGGAACGCTTATTCTCCACTTGAACAGCCCATTCACCACTCACCAATGAACGATCATCCATTATGATCCACACTGACCAGACGGGCCCAAGCACAGCCAAGCTTCCCCCGCTAACAATTCCCAGGGCGGGCACTCGCCCTTGAAGAAACAGCCAGTCAATCCCGTCTGCAATGCAACGTGCATTTCCCGTCTCCCAAAACAATCTTGTTCTCTGCCGGCTTGGCTGCGTCGGTCTCCGTCGTAGCCTCTAAGCGAAGAGGGGGCAATTAAAAGCCTTGAGATGCGAATGCGCGTCTCTCCACTGGCTGTGGATATTCCATCAGATGCCGTTGCCCGGCGCAAGGGTATAAGAATGTTGACCATCACCCGACGATCGACCGATTCCTTTCCTTTCCTCGCATCGTGAGAATTTCCCAATCTTCGAACAGACAATCCACCGGATTTAATTCAAACCCGTCACAATGTTCACCAAGAAGAGCCTCCTCGCTTTCGTGGGCTGCCTGGCTATGGCCGCAGCGGAGACCACTACCGTCGAGTACCCTACTGCTGCTGAGATTGAGGCTGCCCAGGCCTCCGTCCTGCCTTACTCGCCCGTCTCCAATGTCAAGGGTCTTGCTTTCGACCGTTTCGTCGATGTCTGGATCGAGAACACTGTTAGTACATCTATTGTGGACTATAGTCTGAATTATGCTAACATACCTGACAGGACTTTGCCACCACTGCCGGTGACAAGAACTTCGAGGCTCTGGCCAAGGAGGGTATTCTCTTGACCAACTACTTCGCCGTCACTCACCCCTCCGAGCCCAACTACTGCGCCTCCGCCGGTGGTGACGACTTCGGCATGGACAACGACGACTGGCACCAGATCCCCGCCAACGTTTCCACCATTGCCGACCTGTTCGACACCAAGGGCGTTGCCTGGGGCGAGTACCAGGAGGGTCTTCCCTATGCCGGTACGTTCGCCACCAATTCAGCCATCATTGCCGCTCAATTGGCACTTTCAATAGCTAACCAAATACTCCCCAAATATAGGATACCAGGGCTTCCGCTACCCCGAGTCCGGTGCGAACGACTACGTCCGCAAGCACAACCCTCTCGTGCTCTTCGACTCGGTCACCAACGACGCCGTCCGCCCCCGTCAAATCAAGAACTTCACCTCCTTCTACGAGGACCTGGAGCACCACCGTCTGCCCCAGCACATGTTCATCACCCCCAACATGACCAACGACGCCCACGACACCAACATCACCTTCGCCGGCTCCTTCGTCAAGCGCTTCATGGACCCCCTCCTCAAGAACGACTACTTCACCAAGGACACCCTCGTCCTGATCACCTTCGACGAGACCGCCACCTACCTGCAGGAGAACCGCGTCTACTCCATCCTGCTGGGCGGCGCCGTCCCCGAGCACCTCAAGGGTACCACCGACGACACCTTCTACACCCACTACTCCGTCATCGCCTCGCTGAGCGCTAACTGGGGTCTCCCCTCCCTGGGCCGCTGGGACTGCGGTGCCAACTTGCTCAAGCTTGTCGCTGACAAGACTGGCTACGTTAACTGGGATGTTGACTTGACTACCATCGCCGAGAAGGACTACTTCAACCAGACTGCCCCCGGCCCTCTGTCTGATAACATCTACTCCAAGTACTCCTCCGAGTGGCCCATCCCTACTACTAACGAGCGCTGCTCTGCTGGTCACGGTATTCTGAACACTGTCAAGAAGACCTATGCTGGTCACAAGGCTACCTACAACTACACTAGCCCTGTGCCTTACAGTGCCCCCGCTGGTATTAACGTTGGTGTCAAGTACTCTCGTACTCTGGTGAGTTTTGCATATGATCCCCCGTGACGTTACTAGAGGATGATTTACTAATGTATTTTTGCAGAAGAACGGCAAGAAGGAGAGCGGTATCACCAACTAAATGTGCCTTTTGCATTGAGTGGTGTAGAGCATTCGGATCTTGAGCGAGTCCTGATGATCTCGTGTTATGTTTTGATAGATTGTATATATTAATGGTATGACGAACATATTCGTTGGAACTGAGATTTTTCATCGTAGTGTATTCATTCGTAGTAAAGCAGAACATGGTATAGATCAAATGACTTTTGATATTGAAAATGGACTTCTATAATTAAGGACATCGCTTAAATAGGAAAGCGGGTATTATGCACGCAATGCAAAAAAAGAAAACACAAAAAGACAAAACAAGACATGCAACAACGTCAACCATAAACCCCCAACATTCGACACCCATCTACCCAGCAGCATAAGTACTCTTCTTCCTCAACACCTCACCAAACTTCCACAAAAAGATCGGCGCCGGAATCCCAATCGCAATCGCCACAAAAGCCAACACACTATTCCCCCACCCATAATGCAACTTGTCATACATATACGGGGCGAAAAGCGGGAACCCGAATCCAGCGAGCGATCGCATAAACGCACTAGCAGCGAGCGCACTCGCCGCGAACCTCGTGTACGCATCGACCATGTACGTCTGCATACACTGAAAGGAAATGATAGTCCCCGCGCCGAACAGGACAGCACCGATATTCGGCGCGATCCAGTGCCGGTGCGTCTGCGCGGTCCAGCCATAGATGAACAGTCCCGTTGGGATCAGGACGGCCGCGATGCCGAGCAGGGGCACGCGGAACTCTGGCCTTCCGACGCCGTTGTTGCGTGCCTTGAGACGCTTGTAGATGCGGTCGTTTAGCGGGGCGCAGAGCTGCGAGCCGAACCAGAAGCCCAGGCCGAGGGAGATGTAGTTTAGGCCGCCGATGCCGATGGATTCGTTGTAGTAGTCTTTGCTTGTCCAGAGGGAGGGGAAGGTTGAGAGGACGAGGTACATCATCCCGTAGACGTAGGCCATGTAGCAGGCGACGACTTGGACGATGGATTGGGTGAGGAGGAGGCGGAATGGACGGACGAGGGCGCTGCGGAGGACTTGGGAGAGGGTCTTCTTTTGCATCTCTGCTTCGGTCTGGTAGCTGGTGTCGCCTGTTTCTTTGCGCATGCGCTTTGCGCGGTCGCGGAGGATCCGCGGGCCGTAGGTTTCCTGGAGGAAGAAGAGGCCCATGAATTGGATGAGACCATCTGCGATAGAGACGGAGTAGAAGACCCAGCGCCAGGAGGTGTTTTCGGCGATGAAGCCGCCCGCGATGGGGCCTAGGGCTGGGCCGAGGAGGGGGGCTAGACTGTAGATTGCGATGCTCTTGCCTCGTTCTTCGGGTCTGAAGCAGTCGGATAGGACGCCGCCGCCGACGGCGAGGGGGGCACTGCCGCCTAGGCCGGCGAAGAAGCGACATACGATTAGTTGGGTTTTGGTCTGGGAGACGCCGCAGCCGATGTTGAAGACGAGGAAGAATAGGTTGGCAAGTTGGAGGACGATTGTTCGTCCGTAGATCTCTGAGAGGGGGCCTAGGAATAGTGGGCCGACGGCGTATGCGAGGACGAAGATGGAGAGCATGAGTTGGGAGATGATTTGGTCGGTGACGTTGAATTGGGCGGCGATGGTGGTCAAGGCTGGTGCAACCATTGAGGAAGATACGGGCGAAATGAAGGTGAATAGAGAGACTGTGATGGTCGCTGCCCACTTCTTCTTAGTAGGCCAGTTCTTGGGGTTTTCAGGGTCGTCGGGTCCATCCCATGTCACCTAGCAGTTGGTTAGATTGGGAGATAGATGAGTGTATATGGAGCAGGACTTACCAGCTTGCCGCCATGACGAGATTTAGTCGATTTCAACGTCTTCATTTTCTCCAGCTCGGATGATTCCTCCTGCTGGCCTCTTTCCAGGTCCACATCTCGCTCGTTCACGATTCCACCTCTTACTTCCTGGATGGTATCGACCTTGGCGGCCTCCAGTGAGGATTCATCAGTCATGTCAAGGTCATCGTCGTCGTGACTGTGATACACAGCGTTGTCGTCGGGGTACTTCGCAGAGTGAATGCGGTCGAGATCCGCATCCTTGGGGTTGGACTTGGACATGCGTCTTGACTTGACAGACTCTGCAATCCCTCGGGAAAGCGACGGTGTCCGCGATGCGGGGTCTTCGGTATCTGAAGAGGTATCCGAGGTAGGATGGGAGCGTGTCGATCTATGATCGTGCTCGTCATTTTCCGACATTGCTGTTGTCAATCAATGTAGTCTAAGCAGTCTCGAAAGTCCAGGTAATGAGGAAACAGAATGATATTCAACAAAAATCCTGCGTAGGTAAGAAAATACACGTTTGTCCAGTGTAAACCCAGAGGAAAAAGTCGGCAGACATCCTATTTATACCACCTTATTATCACCACCGGATACCAGGCTGCCGTGGATGACCAGCATAATTTCTCCGACCATGCGCACGGTGATAATCGAGCCTTAATCCCGTTCTTCAATGGAGATTTTGCCCTCCACTGGGCCCCCAGATCGCATCTACAGCCATCGTGATAGGCTGTACAGCGAAGCTTGACAGGAGACTGGCCGTCAACGCTGCTCCTGGGCCCCGCCAAGCAGTAAAAATCAGGTCAATGGCGGCCTGAACCGGCATATCTAAACTGATTTGGGGAAAAAGTGGAGGCAAATCGAGAGTTTCAAGCGGTCCGGAGGACTTTGCGGCCCGGAACCGGGATCGCTGACTCATCCTTTTCGGCATCTCGGCACGGTCACGTGCCTTGCGTATATACTGTTGGATTCTTCGTTGAGATAAGTCGATCTTCGTTATCAGAAGGTGGGTTTTTGTGCAGAGATTTATCCTTTCTATTTTAAGGTATATACGTGATGGCCAAAATGAAGCCTGACCATTGTGGGGCTTTTTTGTGCGCAATCCCTGCATATATATTCTGGCAGATGGATTGGTTACACAAGATTAGAACATAAAGTTTACCTAATCAATCTCTATACGACTGTTGCACGAAATCGATGAGGTTTTGTACATGCGACATGGATACTTCTAGTACTAATGTTAAATTTGCACAATGTAGATGCTTCACGAGGATGAGTGACTAAAGATTGAAGTCAGTTTGTTGTTTGACTGGAACAGGTGGCCGATTCGAGGAGTAATTGGACTCGAATCGACACTATCCAACATACAATTGAAAGCGTGTTGCACTACTTATACCCTAAGCCAGCTTCTCTGTTTCGTACTGCCCAGAGGGATAGCTTTAGGTAGCTATCAGTTTTATCAGTTTTAATGTATGGGAGACGAAGGAATTTCTTGCAGCTGGCGAAATCATAACAGTGAATTTATGTGATATGTTTGCTGATAGAGGGTACATTGCAAATCAGTAAATAGGCAAAAGACAAATGAAAATGCGCTTAAGCCCTGAGCAGGCTTCATAGCGCTGAATCTTACTGGATTGCTTGTGGGTGTACGGAGTAGACAAGCTAGTATAAGAGAGCTCCACGATCTTGACCCACTTACTCCCTCTCACAATCCCACAATCGCCAAGAAAATGGATCTGCTCCACTAAGTATCGGAATGTATAGCCGAACTGTGTAGTGGACGATAGGCCCATTGTTGCTGTCTCCCAAAGCTCTTTGGCGCCTGTCAGAGTGCCTAATGGCCAAGCATTCAGAATTAGCCCTAGGGGTTCAGCAATAATGTTGATGGAAGATCAGCATAAGTTCAGTGCCTTAGAATCCAGCAAGTGGTGGACATTCATGTGCAAAGTGACAAACTTTCCGAAGAATGCAGCGCCCGGTGATATTTTGTGGTAAAGGTTCGAAGGAGTTCGACGGGATTGGGAGACCTTAAGATACATGCTGTGGTTGGTCGGGATTAACAGCAATGTCCACGAGCCGAGGAATAATGGCGTGGAACTGGGCCGATTTCAAACCGGTCGGCCGAGATTCATATTCGTAAGAAAATTCGCTAGCAAGGAGCATTGCGTCCTTCGAAGAAGCAATAATACTAGCCGACCATTACTGAGCAAGGTAAGGTTAGAGATGACTGGATCCACTAGACAAAGTGCGAGATCATTCACTGTGGCGAATAATCGCGACCTTTCATAGACTACCATTTAGTTTAGATCCTTGATGACAATTGTTCGTGGGGTATATAGTAACGAACCCGACCGCGTACGGGGGCGACAGGGCTAGCCTTAATACACTACTGTACGGTCGGAACCGCCGTAGGCCCGACTCGCCCCAGAACACGTGTGAACACGTGGGGCATCTACATTTTCATCGTTCGAATCACATTTCGCGTGGATCTAGACTATACGAAATCGTCGGGTTGACATCGAGTCCTGGAGAAGCTAGTCTACGCTGCTCTGGAAGGGGTAGCATGTCGAGTCGGACCAGTAGGTGTTCTGTGTTCAATGAGTATCCACTTTCATATAGCAGCTATAGGCGATGTGTGCGTTATAACGGAAAGAAGTTAGATCTATCCAAAGACCGAACCATGGTCCCGCATTACTTGGCCTATATAAAACTCTCCAAAATAAGCGATCTACCTAATAACAGTTCGCTTCCCCTGCAGTGGACGCATCACCGACTCTAACTGACTCAGGACCCGGAGGCAAAGAAAAATAAACCAACTCGACTATTGAAAATTCCTTTTTGAATACTATCGCGGGCGTTCGCCGGCTATTCATCCCATTAAAGTACGAGAAAAATGGCTTATTTACTGAAGGCGCCAATTTGACTACTGGTGTAGCCACCCTCGCAATCGCCTACCCGCAACTGACGTTCGTCCGAAGGACGCCCTAAAAACGATACTATTACTCGACCCCAACAAACTTTATAGTGGCTTTAGAGAGGCAGCCACTTATTGTGCCTCCTTGGTGCTCGGGCCTATCAGAGGCCGCTGGGATGATTTTTGCATCTTCGTTCTAGGGGTAGAGATCTCTAGACAATTTCATGAGATTCACGTTCCCCTAAATAAATGTGTTTCCTTCATGAGGAGATGCCGACCTCTGGCACAGCTTCACATGTAAACTCAATCGAAAGGCAGTATAGCATCGATGAATCTATAAAGAGCAACCTTTGGTTCCTGCACTATTGATGTGGCGGTCAGTGGCTAATCTGGCCAATACGGTCCCTCCGGTCTGTCAGCTGAAATTAAACTACCAATCACGGGGCTCAATCGCTTAGACATGACATGAATATCGGAAAGTTGATCGATCTCGCTAGCAGCTCAGCTCTTGTACATCAATGGCGAGGCGAACTCTGGTCTAGCCCCTGATTTTAGAGAGGCTGATACTGTTTAGAACTTGTGTGGCGCTTCTTTATTTTATTTTCAGGAGAACTGTAGTTGACTTTAGTTTGGATACAGCGAGCTGCTAATTTTTGTGTCTCGCGTCATGCAAATTCGCTTCGAGAAACCTGGAGAATTAAGGCGAGGTTAGGCTAGCTAGACCACGACAGTTTCCCTCTCGCAGCATTGTTAATAGTTTCCAGGAGCGTGTATATTAAAGAGCAGGCTGGCGCAAGGTACATGAGCTAAAATTTCTGTACTCATGTACCATGTCTACACCTTGACAGCTTTTACAAATTACTACAGCTTTTAGCTACTACTTTCAAGCTTTTCACGACCATTGTTATCCTTGGCATATAATATCAAAGCTCTCGTCTTACCTACCGATGAGTCGCGCGGGAGCTCCCTGAAAACCATGCACACAATGCCCGACGAACAGGTTCTTCCGCTACCTTCTCCTTTTGTGAGCAACGAAGTATCCGAACATAGAACTCAAAGCTCAGAGAAGGGAGGCCAGAAAGAATTTTCTCACAAGCTTTTCGCGTGTCCGTATTCAAAACATCAGCCACTGGAAGATGGGGAGAGACAGTCATGCTCCGAGTCAGGTTGGACGACAATTCACCATCTCAGGTAAGGTATCCGGCCCACTGTTTATGATCGCACTGACCAAGGATCCAGAGAACATATTTACCACTGCCACGTTTCGCCGATCAAGTGCCCGAGTTGTTCACAGAGTTCCCAGTCTAGTCTGGCATCCACAAGCCGGTTAGATGTGGTGCCACGTTGTGATCGTAGTCTTTACGAGGCAGCCCGGCCCATCAGAGGGCTCGAGAATCTTGCCGAGAAAATTCGAGATACAAAAATTAGGACAAAGAATTCTTCGGAGGAAGATATCTGGAAGGTCATTTATACCAACCTCTTTCCTAATGATTCTAAGGACCAAATTCCCTGTCCCTGTGAGCACACTCTCTGTCTAGGATGTATCTACATAGCGTGAGCTGACTGATCTTTTAGATTACGAGGGAGACGAACAAAAACGCAATGGTATTCCGCCACGCGATCACGAAGCGTCGATTTCTGAAGACGACTTTATTCCGTCACAACATGAGCTTCAATCACAAGTGTTTAGCGATAGTCGGGGAGGAAGTAATGAAGGATCCGAAATCGCTTCAATCTCTACCCCGCCCACATCGGTTGCTGGTGAACACAGTCAAAACTCGCCCATCGAGGGAACATTCGAAGAAGCTTATCGCTGCAGATCCCTCCAGCTTTCGGACAATACTGAAAACATGTGCGAGTCCGATGGTGGCGTGAATGAGCGATCTCGGGCTGGAGGTATCGGAGGAGAGACTCCGAATGAGCACCAACCCCCTCAGTCTTCTCAAGATCGCCAGAAAGAGCAATCCTCCAAGAGTCGAAGGCTTAGGAAGAAGCTACGCAGAAAGACCTTGGAAGCTCAAGTCACTGCTTTCCAAGCTTGGAACAAGCCCCATCGAACCGACGAGCACATAAACCCGGGTGTTTACCGCGGGTTCTGGAAATGGCTTGCGCGCTGTTTAACCTTCTACATCCCTTCCTGGTTTCTCAAGAACTTTATGAAAATGAACGACGTTCGCCGCCGTCTTGCATTCCGACAAAAGGTACTTTTTTGCCTCCTACTTGGGGTCATTTACACCTTGATCTGCTACTTCCTCGTCATTCAACCCGTATCCAGCTGCGTGGTGAAAGTCCATATCGGCATGATTCCCAATAAGAGTCCCTTCTGCCAGGTGGTGCGCACAGTCATTTACGTCTATATGGGCTTGGGTGGTGCATTTACACTGCTGGTGGCGATGTGCGCGGCTCGAGTTCGCTATGCCAGCAGTAAATTCGAAGAACATGACACTCTCCTAGTGATGCACATACCTTGTTACAACGAAAACGAGTCTGTACTCCGCAAAACAATCGAGTCCTGTGTCGAGTCTAGTTACGACAGAAAGCGGAAGCTTCTTTTCATTGTCGCAGACGGCACGGTTGCAGCTCCTGGGCAGAAACCTACCTACAAAATTCTGTTGGAAGATATTTTCAATCACACTGAAGATCTCGAAGTTGGCATCGATAACCAGGCCCGAACATATACATCCTTCGACGCGAATGGTACTTCAGACAACCTCGCCTTTTGCTGCACTGGCTACTTTCGAGAGGTGCCCTACGTTATTGTGGTTAAGGTTGGACGAGAGGACGAACAAGACAAGCCCAAGCCTGGAAACCGAGGCAAACGCGATTCTCAACTCCTGGTCTACAATTTCTTCCACTACGTAAATTACCGCAGATTTTGGAGCCCACTCTTCGAGAACCTTGAATTCAAAATACGAATCTGCCTCAACATAGACGCCCGTGATGCTATGCATATGCTGGTCGTGGATTCTGACACGGAGGTTGAACAAACAGGGATTTCATACCTTGTCAACCAACTTCAAAAGGACCCGAAGCTTGTCGGGGTGTGCGGGTACACTGGAGTCAGCAACCCTTGGGGCAGTTTTGTCGCCTGCAGTCAAGTCTTTGAATACTGGCTTACTCACGCCGTTCTAAAGGCAGTGGAGAGTACATGCTCTAATGTCCTGGTCCTCAGTGGCTGCTTCACTATCTACCGACTGAAATGGCCAAATAATAGGCCGGCCATACTGCATCCGCTTATATTGGAAGACTACGCGGGAACATATGACAAGACTCTGCATGAACATAATCTGTTGTCCATTGGCGAAGACCGTTATTTGTCCACTCTGGCGATTCGCTATTTCGGGGCCGACTGTCGACTACGGTATTTCCCCGCTGCGAAATGCGCGACCTCCGTTCCCGAGACCCTTTCCGTGCTCGTTGACCAGCGACGCCGATGGACGAATTCTCTTATCCACTGCCACTTTGCTCATCTCAACGTCCTCCCTTTCGAAGCATCAATTTTCGCGCACCTCAGGCTCATGTTTGTCATCGGCTGCGAACTCTTTATGGTGTTTATCCTTCCACTTGCACTGCCGGCCGGTGTCGCGGTTGCAGTGATCTCAGTCTTGCTAACCCCCTATGCTTGGGCCATACTACTTGCATTCTGTCTTTTGCCGGTGTTAATATGCATTGTCTGCAATGATTGGAATTATATTCCATTCTATTTGCCATTCTTCCCCATGATCGCCATCTTCAGCATTGTCATCCCATTATTCTCGGCGTGGAAACAAGACAACATCAAATGGGGTAAGACGCGAGGTGGATAGTTGTACAATATCGATCCTCATCTTTTTGTTCTTGCATTTGCATGTCATATAGAATGCCATGCTTTTTTAATTAATAGAAGACGATCATCTAAGTTCCCTACTTCTTCTGCATATTATAGTTTCTGAAGGCCATCTCAAGCTACGCCTATGATTCGTACGTCATTCGAGTTTGAGAATGTAGATTATTACACATTAGCCAATTTTACGATTACCTCAGGCCCTCAGCCAGCAACTTGATGTTGGAATAGCCGAAGAGAGCTGTACAGGTGCGCCAATTCAATAGATCGAAGGTTAGAAATGCTGAAAGGGCCCTAAAAATACAATTTTGATAGGCTCCAATCCATGACTCATCTTGTGGACGATAACTAACTAGTTAGTTAGTTAGTTAGTTGAATGGACTAATTACTCAGCCATGTACCTATTCTGATGCGTTCCGAGGAACATCTGTCTTGGACCTCAGGCAACACAAGCTACCGCAAATTCCCCAGCGGTGTTACGTCAGCTAGAATAAAACCCCGCCATCTGTCCTACCATCTATCTTAAAAGCATGCGAATTAATCAACACCACTCTCGGAATTGCTCATAACTAAAGCCCGTTCCTAGTGGAAGTCTATGCAAGATGGATTCTGATCTCTATCCCCACCGAGGTTTCATGCTGGATACAGGCCGGAAGTTCTTCCCTGTTCAAGCTATCCTCGATCTGCTGGTTGTGCTCCACCAATATAACTTCAATGTCTTCCACTGGCATATATACGATGCAGAAAGCTTTCCGTTATGGTGGCCGGCAGATGGTGGTTTAACGAAAGCGAGCATGGAGTATCATCATACTTCCAATTCCTACACTCCTGAGGATATTCAGAGTGTAATTTCACACGCACAGAGTCTGGGCATTCTTGTCTACCCAGAGACAGACATGCCTGGTCATAGTGACATATGGTATGTCGTTGGATCATGTATTGTTTATGGACAGGATGACTGACAGCTTTGTATTAGGGGAATATGGAAGAAAGATTTAGTAGTAGGCATGCCAGACCCGAAAAGGCCGATGGCTCAACTTGATATCAGGCCACATCGACACGACATGTACAACTATATAGTTGATCTGGTTGCCAGAGTGGACAGATATTTCGGATCTCCCCTACATCACTTTGGTGCCGATGAAGTGGCGTATGTCTGGGAGACTGAAGATGACAATAAGTTATTCGAAACATTCCTGAACTGGCTGAAACAACTTCGCCCCAACAAATCACTGATCATGTGGGACGATCCTCTTACTGACGAGGAAAAGAATATAAACATCTCTAAAGATTGGATCATACAAACCTGGCATGACGGTCGTACTCAAGACGTTCTCAACAAGGGTCACCGGGTTATCATCTCCGAAAGCAACACATTCTACATTGGAAACAGCGACTACGGCAAGGTGTCCTCGTTTGTATTTCCAAAGCATGCAAACGTCATCGGTTTCGAGATTGCCTGGTTCACGTCGGATGGCGATGATCCATATGACTTCCATAAAGGTTGGGTCATAGAACCGCTCAAAGCTGCGTCGGAAATTCGAAGGCAGTGAAATGAGTAAGATGATTGATGGGGATTTCTGACAGAGAGCGGCACGCCACCTTGATAACTGCCTAAACGTCCATGCTAGTTCTAGCCAAACTGTTGCTCAGCTGTCCAATAAAAAATTTACAGCACTTGTCATATCCCGAACCCCCTATACGGAGTACAGTTGTGGCAGATTTTTAGTTGATTTCACTCAATGCATATGCAGTTCGCAAAGATACCCTAGTACATATTCAGAGAAATTCCGGATTTTGCTGTCAGCGGAATCGTATTGTGACTTTAGAGGTCGTAACGAGCTATATTTGGCCGGAATTTAAATTAACTGACACTATACTTGTACTGTAGTTACGGGCGGCACATTACAGTGGCCCGCTCGTTTATGTTCCGAGTATGTAATGAATGATCTGGACTAATCTCTTAGGACTAAGTAAGAAAGTCCCAGTGTGTACTCTATACCGTTGAAGGGAATTTCGAGAATCACTATACTGTAACAATATATCAGTATTTATATGTAGGTCGATGATCAGCGCGAAGGTCATGACAGTTGGACTACGAAGCAGCAAAGCGATTATCGTTGTATTATGGTCAAGGTGATTAATGCCTGCAAGCCAGGTATCGCACGTCACATAATGACAATCTTTGATATGCTGGAGACCAGGGAAATGCGGTGGTTAACAGTACAGAGAAGTTGACTTCGTATTTTCAACTAGTTGCGTAGATCATCCAATAAATAGTCCCAGCCACTCGCTTTCATTCTTACTACTATACAATCCGATATCCCCGCAGCGCATTAGAGCTACATAATTCAAATCTTGTAAGTTGGCGGTATTTCATAGGGCTTTTACTATACTCTGTGGCCAAAACTCAGTCGATACTGCAGTTAAGTTCATAATTTATCGATCTGTATTAATTACCTGTACCCGGTAATATAAGATCGTACCTTGTAGATACGTTGAATATGGTAGTATTCATCGTCATGTAATATAAAAGAGGCAAAGTCTGTAAGGTGGCTGAGAGAATGCAAGAGAAATCGTCGGCATAGTTTTGGCCAGACAGTGCACCGAAGATTAAACCCAGATCACAAGCTTTCTGGTAGGAATGTGTGGTAGGAATGCTTGCAGACTCTTCAGCCTCGCGTGATTAGAGGGAAACTATACTCAAAAATGATTAATAGCCGAACCTTGGAGCAGAATTATTGGGAACCTGGGAATAATAATACACGTGACTTACGGTGGTAAACTTACTGGAGTCATCTCGCAGACTAATGGATGCGGTCTACTTGGTCTTCCAGACGTTTTCACTGATGTCGCCAATCCTGCTATTCAGTCGTGGATAAAAAGTCAGTAATTGCTACTCGTTACAGGGGGTTGCCTACTGGAATTCTTCCCCAAAATCCGGACGGTCAAAACTTCAATATTGTATTTAATGAACTAGAAGAAAAATTGGAATACCTGCCTGGTATTATTCAAGAAAATCTGCGGTCGAAATAGAGAACATAATGAGAATAAATAGAGGTATTGATAGACTGATCCGCGCACCGCAAGTCTCATAAATTATATCTAATTATATCTTCTGTCTTTTTCCATTCGTGGCCTGACGACTGAGTTGCATTATTCAGAAAACTAGAATCAAAAGATCCAATATGGACAAATAGGGTTCAACACTGCAACAAAGGCGCAAAAAGGAACCACCCAGATACTGAAATTCATGGCACTAATATATTTAACACCAGCGTTTATTTGATAGAAGTAGTCGGTATATTTCATTCATATCACGGGGGAGAAATCAACAATGCCCGTGGATATGTTGAATAATCCTGAAGACGGAGCTCCTAGACAGTACAGTGTCAGTAAATGAGTATCCCAATCCCGTGTTGGCGCTGCAAGACACCATGAAATTGCACGATAATACAAACCTCGGGAGAGAATCTGCTAAATTCGGCCAGTGTACAGATATTTTGATAGTAATTCGTTGCGAGAGTGTTAGCGTCTTTCTCGATGAACCTAGTCGAAGTAACCGAAATTAGGGCGAAACCTCCGCTCTGGTGTACTTTAACCTACCCATTCTTGAAGCTCTTGGCTTTGGGAGGCTTTGGAGAGCTATGCTTGCCGTCATTGTTGTTGTTGAATGAGGGAGTGCCTGACTGTCCAAAAGGAGCACCAGATCCATTGCTAGTACCAAACGAGTTTCTGGTGCCAGATCCACTGCCAAAGCCAAAACTGGCACTTGATTCACCGCCGTTATTAGCACTCGGCTGTCCAAAAAGACTGCGAGTACCACCGAATCCACCGCCAGTGCCAGATAAGAAATTTGATTTCGCGCTGGAATCCGGAAATGGTGTCGCATTTGTAGAGGTAGTACTGGTGCCTTGACTGCGGCCAAATTGGGAGGAACCAGCGGACGCGAAGAGTGAAGTACCAAAAGCTTGTGCTCCTGGCTGTGCAGTGGAGGTCGAAAGATTCGCAAAGGGTGACATTGTGGGTGGAGTTGAGGTAGATGTTGGAACAGCGAGTCCGGCTGTTTGTAGTTGAACCATTAGATACTCTGTAGCTTGGATATAGGATCTTGGGGAATCCACTTACGAGATGCAGGTGATGCCTTTCCCGTGTCGGTCGTGGAAGCGGCATCTAAAGACGGCTGTGCGACCTTAGCCTTTTTAGCCGGCGATTGAACAGGACGGGGGAACACTGGATTATCCGACGCGGGTGGCTGTGCTCCTAAATCCTGTACCGTAGCTGTTCACCTAGGAGTCAGTTGCTGATACATTCTTTAGCCGGAGGAGAGCGTACTTCTGTGTGGCAGCTTTACCGTAACGGCCGGCTGTCGAGGGTGCGATTTAGGTAAACCTGAATGATAGTTGAACCGGTTAGCCACTTTCCAGCAAGGAAGATATCATGTCCGAGCTGGGAAAGGTATACCAAGTGTAGGGGGCTCTGGCAGTGATATCTCGTTCGGCCTGTAGGCGTCCAGGGTCTCTCTGCCCAGTCGTAGCTTCTGTAGTTCCTCGTTGAGACGACTCCTCTCCCTTTGAGTCTCAGAAGGCTCAGCCGCAATTTTCTGGATTTGCTGGTCATCCATGCCAACAACTATCTGACTGGAAAATATCTCCTCCAGAGGCGAGAGGAGGCAATTCTCAATTCCGAGGATCGCGACGTTCTGGACGAAAGTTATGATTGTGGTCTAAAGTTAGGCGAAGTTAGCGCTGATCGAAGCTTTGTTAAGGGTACCCAGAGATTACTTACGTCGTAGTATGCCTGCATCTGTTCAATGATCTCTTCGACACCGAACTCGTCATTAGATGAGTGTAATTTGTCGGCTGCTTGCTCCAAGTCCCCACTGTTCAAAACACCACCTACGGTCACGCCAAGGCTTTCCGTTAATGTGGCGAGTTGACGCTTTTTCCTGGACTCTTGCATTCTCGTGAGGAACGAGTCTCCCACAGGAAGTGGGTGCCCACGGTTGTAGTATGAACTGAGTTCCTCAAGTTTCGCCATCAAATTCTCCTTCATTTTCTCCAGCTCGGGTGAAATAAGGTGCCGCATGAGTGAAGCGCGAGTGTGGTCATCGATAAGGTACTGGAGCACGAGCTGAACGAAGTACTCCGCCGAGCTCCAGACGTTCAAGAGATGGGTTTCAGCAATCTTCTTCCAAGGCTTGCATTGGTCTCTGAACACCTTGCCAACCAGAAATTGGTTTGCGTTTCCGGGTAGCTCAATGCCTCGATTTTGGCGCGCTTGCTCTTTGAGTTCCTCTTTCAGTGACTCCAGCGTGATGTAAGTCGGAGTCCAGCCATCCATATAAGGCTTGGACATCTCGTTGAGGAAATTAAATGGAGGAATCGTCGAGTATTCAATGATCCGCTGAGATCCGCGAACGTTCATCGCGTGAGCAAAACACTCGTTAAGCTCACGAACGATCGCTCTCAGACGACGGAAGGGGAATTCCTTGCTGTTTGCCGTATTATTTTTGTAATTGTCGAAGAACTCACCGACATACGACCCGTGCAATGCCTCGTTTGTGATACGAGCAAACTTGCTGCTAATATCAACCAAGAATCGACGTTGTTCCTGAACGCTCGTTCGGGATGTACCCAGTTTTGTAAGCTCTTGCTCGTTGCGTAGGATCTTGTCCTGTATGTCTAGGATAAGGCCAGGGAGATTTCGACGGATATGTGCAAGGAGGATGGTACTGAGACGATGTCTGAGACTTTCGATTCCAACTTGACGGCGTGGAAGAGAAGCCCAGCGGCCCGCGTCGAAGAAATCCTTCTCTTGCACGTCACGGGCATCGTCGGAAACATTCATCGTCTCGAAAGAGCGGTTGCGCAGTACATGCCACCCGAGTTGCAATTTGACTTTCTCATTCCTGATGAGTTGCAAATAGTACTCCTCGTCGTCTGATCCGGCTTCGGGGATATCAGGCTGGGTCACGATTCCAAGTACTCTCTCATACTTGGGATCGAACTTTTGCGCGATGTTCAATACTTTCTGGATATGATAGTCATTCCGAGCACTAATCACAGCCAGGATAATTGTGCGGGAGCTCTTCATGTATTTCTCGGTGAGCTTCTCGACTATCTCCATTCCCGGCTCACCCTGATCATCGCTCGTAGAGTAATAGAGGCCGGGAAGATCGACAAGGGTCAACTCTGGCCGATCGGGGCCTGAAATCTCGACTTTTAACACATCGTCGCTGAAACCAGAGTTAGAGGCTAGGTTATCAGTGCTAGAAAGCCCCATGCACTCTTTCGCCGATTCAATCAAAGCGGGAAGGTCTTCGCCGGAGGAAAACGACTCTGACGTGAAGGCACGGAGTTTCTCCCGCTCTGATGCGTCCTTTCTGGAATGCCCTGGCTCGATGGAAACTTTGATTCTATTGGAGGAGTGTCGTCGAAGAACAATTTCGGTCGCAAACCGGGTGCAGACATTGCTTTTGGCAGGAAATCTCACTCTGGAGATGGCTTCCAGGACGGAGCTTTTCCCACTAGACTGGTTTCCACAGACAACGATTTGAGGGAGCTCCACGAGGCCCCCGACACCGATGGTCCGTAGCTCATCGATTTTGTCCAAGAGCTCCGATTGTTCACCTTTCAGCTGGTTGAGAACGTCCACATCGATTGCAGAGGACATGATTAGTGTTTCTCCCCGCGGGAGTCTGAGGGAGTGGAGGATAGCAAAACTAGTTTTAGGGTAGGCACGAAATTGGTAGGTAGAAAAATAGATCACCCGCAGTTAATAGGGGCGATTACACGTGATTTATATACTAAACTTGAAGTCACATTATTCTGGCCCCCATGCTGTGCACAGATGCATTAGCTCTATGCGCTAGCGTTTCGAGCCCCAAAATCTCTGCCTGCAATTCGGAAATCATTGGGCAAGCGCCACTAGATGTGCACTCTTACCCGCCGGGGCGTGCGGTGGGGCTCTATAGGTACGAGGCAGTAGAACCGCATTCTCTGAGAGCCAATTATAGATCAAGGGAGAATTCCTGGAAAGAAATTAGCGGAGTGGATTTCACTAGCCATGCAAGAAACTCCAAGTCCGAAAGACTCCATACTCGTCGTGCCTGATCTCAACCGAGGAAATTCATCTACACATCTGCTCCCTGCGAATCTGATGGCCGGTTAAATCGAGGATGCCCACAAACCCGAGCGATGGCAGTGTATAACGGTGCCGAAAAGCGTTGAGAGTTCCTCTCCATTATCTCCAGAACTACTCTCCGGCCCGGCACGGGCTGACCATCAACAGCAACGTCGAGTATCCTGGCGAGCACTATTTGTATCTTGCGAGCATGATCGTAGATCCGGGACTTCCGATCTGGTAGGGCATGGGGAAGCTCTTGAGCGTAGGATTGGAGGATCTGCATACCCTGTATCATGCCTGCGGCCACGTCCTTGTTGTAGTCGGAGATGGGGGGTTCGAGAAGGCGACGCAATTTCGCTCTCATTTCTGGGTCTGGGTTCATGGAATCGATGATTCTCCAGTATTCTTCCAAGGGTGGTGCATCTCCTTCATGGCTGGTATGGTTGTTGGTGATTTGCCTGGCGTCAGGAGTTGACATTTTGCAGGGGTTTCGACGGTTTGTATATGACAGTGTTGTTTCTCCGCGTGGAGGTCTCGTATGGATCGTGAAGTTCTGAGTGATATTGTCCTACAGTCAAAGACTTTCGCATGCGGTATCTTTTCTGATGTGCTTGCGACTGGCCGTGGGAGGTTCTGAAATCTGCGTGCGGAAATGTGAGCCTGAGAATCAGGATCCAGATCTGTTACAGACAACTATGGCCGTTCATCACTGGGAGGTGAAGACGACAGTTTGAGAACAAACCTGAGGAATGTACATTTCTGTCGAGAACTTCCTTGACTTTCTTTTCACGTCTCGAGCGTTGAAACGGAGGTCCGGCTCCTTTGAAAGGGAAGAAAACAAGTGGCTGCAGCCGCAGAAGCGATAATGAGAGGATCGCGTAACGCCAGGATTGTAAGAGAGTCTCTGGCTGTAAGAGGAAGGAGCGAGCTGGAGACAGAAGGTTTGCTGGCAGGTTGCCAGTGTTACTTCTACCCGGCTCCATTCCAAGATAGACTCATCGAGGTAGAATTGGCGTGGAAGTCTCAGTACTCGACACCTACGGACATACTGTCACGTTGAGGGGCTGCTGATATGAATGAATAGCTCTCATTCTTTGGAGATATCTTGCACAAGGATAGCAAATGTCGATGTCAAGTCATTCTCACCACCAGCTGGGATAATATTGACCATAAAAGTCGGTCCAGGGTCAAGCCATGTCACACCATTCCCACCACCACCATTCTCCTTCGCAAGTTGAAGGTCAAAGCGGAACTTCCCAATCCTCGACCAGTTCAAGCTTTTCATTCATTCCCATGGCGGGTTGGTAGCCTTGTTGGGCTCAGAACGGGGTGTACTTATCCTGTCAATGTCAGTCACCTGCTTGTGCAGAGAGTCCACCCGGGCCTTTACATATCATGCAACCTTGCGGTGATAATAATCCGGGCAATCGTAAGGTTGTGCTGGTCATCACGCGCACATCTGCTCTACTGGCGAGAGCTGCGGGTCCGCCAGTTGCTCCTCTGGCAGCCACTCCGATTGTTCAGCCCGTAGAGCTTGCCGTACAAAATACCCTGGGCCGTGTGTCCGAACGGGAAGGCTTCCTCGTAGGCCCTGTCCCATTCTTCACCTTTGGCGTCCTCTAGATCTGGTACTGTCTCCAGCACAGACTCCACGAACATTCGATGGCCTCCTTGTGGGCCAGCGATGCTGATGAAGAATTCTTCGCTGCATTTGAAGCTTTGGGCAAGTCTGATGATAGAAGCTGCGACTTTCATGTCGTACTTGTTCACGGCGTTGTCTAGGAATACTCGAAACTCGTGCTGGTTATCCTCATTTGGGCTTGTCTCAAGAAAGAGGTTCCAGTAAGTAACTTTGCCTTCCTGGGTGGGAGGTCCAGGATAGTAGGGAACGGGTGGCGGTTGAGAAGGCTGGGGTGAAAGCATCGTGGCAATGGCTGTTGAATGGAGGAGACCAATATGGGAAGGTCTTCGTAATGTATGGTTGAAAGATTGAAGTCGTGAGTCAGGGTAAGGGTGAAAGTGAGGGGATGGGAAAGGTGGAGGAAGTGAGGAAGGCGGAAGTTGTAAACAAGCAAGCCGGACTTTCCACGTTGAGCCAGCAGGTGGCCATGTGACTCTCTTCGAATCTTTCCTGGTCGGCATCGACAATCTCAGTGGCTCAAGTGACCCTAATTATGGCAGGGGTAGTACTTTGCATGCCCGATTCGTCCCCATCTCTCTACACAGAAGTGTTTTCTCGTTGATCTTCTACTAGTATTAACCAGGCTTGATTAGATATTGAGAATGATTCAAGATTCATAGTAACCGGCTTACTACTGTCGAAACGCCATTTGCACCAAAATAAGACTTATGCATAGAGTCAGATATTCAGCTCTCGATGGTATCCTACGGCCCCCTCAGCGTCGAGGATCCCATGGTCCCGTGGTGAGGATGTAACCTGCTGGAAGCCCCGGACAAGGACTGGTCCTGGAGACCTCCGTTACCAAACTGGGGGGATGGAATTTCCATCAGGGAGGAAGCAAATGTACACCTACCATATAACGCCTGCTGAAGCGTCATACTAGAAGAAAACCTTTGCCCTCAACAAACTAGGTTTGACAATCGCGTCCAGCATTGCTATTAGCTACATGGTATTGAGTCCGTTGAAAGACGCCTAGTTTTCCAGATTTTCAAGGAATGAGAATAGGATACACCACCTATCAAGGCTAGCGAGGTCAACCCAAAGTTTTCAAATGGAGATAGGGGCATACGATGTGGCTATTTGGTACTTTTACAATTCTCCGTTCCGTAGAAAAGCCTAGCCAAGTTCATCCAGAAAGAGTCCATTGTATTGAAGGCCTCTATTTTCTCTTCTCCGTCTCGTAAATCTCGATTGTGATTGTTTCACAGGTGTCTCTCTTTCTCCCAGTATGTGTTCATGTGTTGGCATCGGTTCTCAAAATTTCGGGCTTGCGTATCTGAAAGTATCCAGAAGAGGTGTATGTCGGATTCCCTGGCAGTCTAGAACACCTCGGCATCCTCCCCAGTCTTCAGGACCGTATCCTGGATACATGATCTCGGCAACCCTATTTACAGTCAGATATCAATCAAATAAGATATTCCTCTCCCAGAAACGAGCTCTCCGGGAACAGTGGGTGGAGAGCCGTTAAACGGAAAGCGCAAAACAAGTCAAAAAAAGAACCGCTCACCGATCAAATTTCGTGCTCCTCAAAACTATCCAGCTCCTTTTCGAGACTCACATGGAGACTGCGAATGAGCACCTTCAAAGCGGTTCTCTGTTGAATCGGGGTATCTTCGTCCACAGTGGCATCGATGAGAGCCCACCCAGCTTGGACATAGTCGAAAAAGAGCTTGACGGCGTCTCGGTTGGTCCGGTACACCTCCCAGTCACTGTTCATCAAGAGGGTGAACAGGGAGTTGTCTGTCTCGTGGAGACTGTTTCTAAGCAGTCTTGCGGTCTCGTCGTCCATGTCTGGCTTGAGGGCGCGAAAGACTTGCATCGCCGAATCTTGAGACACGGTTTGGGGTTGGGCTTGGTCGGACATGGTTGAAAAAAATGAAGGTTTTGGCGTAGAAAAGTGGATTTGATGGGAAAAGGATTGAGGAAGAAAGTTGGAGCACAAGGGTGGTTGAGCCTGTATATAAGGAGGAGTGAAGCAAACGAGCTTGGAGTGCAAATGGAAACATCCATCTTCCAATTTTGCACAGAGTCACGGGAACTCCCTATGAAAATCGAGCAACATCTACATTATACTCTACAGTGTACGTGCCATTAAGGGACAGTGTTGTATTGGATTTCAATCATCTGGATTTAAAACTATGCCATTCAGAATCTGTGGCATGGATTCTGTCAAGAAATACCTCGAGAGTCTCTCCCGATAAAGGCCAAAGGGATTCGCAGCCACTAATCACCTATACGTGGACGAAGACTGTCTCGTTCAACTAGCCATATTCAGAGATTGCCAGGGTATAGTGAGACATATAGAGCGGTAGTCTCCGAGAATGCAAATTTCAATAATTACGATCATTACTCGTTTACTGGATACTGGAAATGCACATTTTCAAAAACCGCATTGCATTAGGCATTCTTGTTGCGATTCCACCTGGTGATCCCGGCATAAACCAAAGCTACCCATAACATAGAAAAGGACACGATGAGCCTATATTATCCATCTCCCTGCAAGTGTTGAAGACATTGCAATGATAATGTCTTGAAAGGGGCATTTCTGATATCCAACAGGCATCAATTCAGTCAGCTTTGTGGGACGCCTTTTGAAGCTCATATTTGTAGGCTAGCTGTTCCCAGTTAGAGAGGGCCAAGTAAAAGACCTCCTCCTGTGGAAGATAGCAGCAAGTAGAGGTTCTCAGGTTGATAAGGACAATAGAGCAAAGTACATACATACCCACTGCTCGATATGCCGCTTCAAACACCAAACCCAAACTAAGAGCCGAACCAATCGATTTCTCTTTCGAGGTTGGTATGGAGACAACGAAGAACTTTCAAAGCGGCTCTCTGTTTGATCGGCGTCTCACGCGATGCAGTTGCATCACAAAGCTCCCGTCCAGCCTGAATGTAATCGAAAAAGCTTTTCAGTGCTTTGTTGTTCGGCGAATAAGGTCCGAAGTCACTCGAGATCATGAGAGCGAATAGGGAATTATCAAACTTTGTTGAGACTTTCCTCTATAATGTTCATGTCCTCATGGTGCATGTTTGGGTACAAGGTGCGAAAGATTTTCATTGCCGAAGCTTTCGACTCGGTAATGGGAGTCGGACATGGTTGATGAAGCTGCCATCTTCACTTAGATGAGAAGATTAGTCTTGAGAGAAACGACACGTTGATGGGGAATTGAAGGAATGAAGAGGATATCATGGGAGGGTTATGTTCTTATATAGACGGCGGAGCAAAGCAAATGCGAGTGCAGTGGTGCTTGGCTGTAAAGGAAAGCATCCGTCTTTCAAGAGGCATCTTAGCATTCCAATGGAAGCATAGCAGACAGTATACATCGTCCTTTGTAGTAGACGCACCATGTTGGCCATCAGGAGTACATTATGTGTCAGTCGTACATGCTACAACAGGCAATGACATGCAAGATGTTGGCTTAGCGGTCCCTTCTATAGGTCAATCAAAGAACAGCCTCCACACTCTGCCTAATAATACAAGAGACGTTTGAAGATAACTACTTAATGGATGGTCAATTCTTCGAGGGATGTGCGGTTGAAGTAGCCATGTTCGCGAGGCGTAGGCTTCTAAACTGATTCTCGAATTTGGTGTAGGAGGTTTACAGGCAAGACATGGCGGCCATATTACTTCCCCTGGGCTCTGAGGCCCGTTTTACGGCAAATTAATGTTAGCACTTCGTGCATGGTTAGGAATCGATTGGGGAATACAGGTCTACATGACGCAAAAGCCAAATCTTGTGAAGGAAGAAGGTATCTTGCAGATACAGAACAATGCTAGTTCTTTGCTCATTACTCTTGCCTCAATAACTATTACATATCTATGACAGTGGAAAAGAAACAGTCGAAAAAGAAGATAGAAGAAACATTAACGTCACCATCCCTCAAGAAGGAAGCCGGCCGAAAGTCTTCATCGACAGACAAATCAGATCAACAAGTGTTCACGCCTCATCGGCACAGCAGGTATTCGAAATAATGACAAGTAGAAGAGAAAAATACATGGTAACATGGTAGGGTAATGAGGAACAGACTCCGAGTTTAAAGAAGTTGCGGGACGAGGGAAAAAAAGGAGGAGGTATGATCGGTGCCCATGAAAAAGGGGGAGGAATAGAAGAAGGCGGTGTTAGGTATTTATCACCAGCCGGAAAAGGTAATCGCAGTCGAAATCACGAACAGTGGAATGCAACTTTTTTCAAGAACCCATTTACTCGGGCTTCTTGCCGACCATGAGGTACATGGGGGTGAACAGGTTCTTCTGAGCACCCTCGACCAGGCAGTCAGCGGCGAGAGCCAGACTGTCGGCGGTCTTCTGGGAGCCCTTAGGGAAGAGACCGATGGTCTCACCGGCACCGACGAAGCGGTGGGCAAGACCACGGCCCCACCAGGTCATGCGGGCAATGGTGAAGAAGTCCCAGACGGAGCCCATGTGCTTGAACGAACCGGCCAGCGGGTAGTACCAGGGGGTAGCGTCGGGGCGGGCAGCCAGATCCTCGTGGTGGAGAACCTCGAAGCCAGCGTCACGGATGGCCTGCAGGCCCTCGGAGATGGTAACCATGTTGGAGATACCGTCACCCTGCTCGATACCGAGGCGGATACGACGGTGCTCGGGGTCATCGTTGTTGTACTCGTCAGTCATGAGCCACTCGTAGACACCGAACTTGCCACCGGGCTTGAGGACACGGAAGATCTCGCTGTAGACACCGACCAGCTCGGGAGCGTGGACGGTAGCCTCGATAGCGTAAACGGCATCGAAGGAGTTGTCGGGGAACTTCATCTGCATGAAGTCACCCTTGACAAAGGCCATCTTCTCGGAGAGGCCCTGCTTGACGGCGTAGTGGGTAGCACGGTCAATCTGGTAGTCGTTGTTGTTGAGACCGGTGACGTGGGCACCGGAGAACTTGACCATCTCACGGGCAGGGCCACCGACACCACAGCCAACGTCCAGAACCTTCATACCCTCCGTGAGACCGGTCTGCATGGCGAGGTAGTGCTCGTGGCGGGCGATGGCCTGGTTGAAGGGCTCACCGTAGGCGAAACGGCAGAAGTGGAAGGAGGAGCCCCAGCCGTACTCGTAGAAGTCGGTAGCCAGGTTGTAGTAGCTGTTTCGAACGTTAGAAACTTGTGGCATCGGAAGGGGAATCTCGGTCTGGCGCAAAGCGCGCAATTCGAGTGCAATGGATACGGGGGTACGTACTGACGAGTCAGGGTGGCGTATTCCTTGCGACGAGCCTGTTGAACAATTCAAGTCAGTCAAAGGCCCTTTGCAAACGCAATGTGTCAAGCAAATCTCAATCACATACCTCACGGGTCTCGGCAGTCTCCTCCTCGTGGCCCTTGTTGTCCCAGTGCTTGAAGTACTCGTCGACGGCAGCCTTCTGGGCAGCGTTGTCCTTGCCGCGCAGGGCAGTCAAACCACCACGGACCTTGGCCGACTTGCCGTGCATAGCCTGGTTGAAGGCAGCATCGCGCACAACGTCCTCACGTTCAAGAGCAGTAGGAGCCATTATGAAGAATTGGGAGGAAGGTGGGTATTAAAAGGGGGTAAATCCGAAAGGCGGAAGTAATTGAGGGAATTGGAGGAGGAAAAAAGGGACAAGGGTCCGTATAATAATAACAAGGAACAGCAATTGGAGTTGATCCAAGAAGCTGTGGAGAAGCGAAGAAGAGTTGAGTTCCAAAGAAAGGAGAGGGAGTGGAAAGGTGGTCAAGAAGGATAAATAGGGTGCAATTCGAAAGACAACTTTTTGGCGGACTGGGAAAAGGGCCAGGCCAATCACGAGCCCCTGAGCGCGTACACCAGCGACTGGGCCGAAGATGGGCCAATCACGTGGGGTTGGTTAGTTGGCGGGACTGCGAGTTTCCGGGCGGTGGCTGCGTCGGAAGGAAAAGGCCCCGGCGATATCAGTGGGTGACCTGATCTTGCGGGGAGACTGATAGAGGAGATAGATGGGGATGGAGATCCAGACAAGGGTGTAGATCGTCTAGGCAGAGATATCGGAAGTTTTAGAGTATATTCCGGACTTTGATCATATCACTCCAGTCCAATGGCCCCGATTTCTCAGCAGCACATGCAAAGAGGCTCATATCTATCCCGATCACGTGTTACACCAGCCACACACCGCCACCGTCTATCGATAATCAGGTGAATCTTTGTTCGGCTTCTTCTCGACTGAACTCCGAGAGTCATCCAGCTCACCCCACCACGTCACCATGCCTCCCCAGATCAAGCATGACCTCAACCGTTCCGGCTGGGAGTCGACTGACTTCCCTTCCGTGTGTGAGAACTGTCTTCCGGAGAACCCATATGTGCAGATGCTGAAAGAAGACCATGGCGCCGAGTGCAAGATTGTAAGTTTTTGCCGCTTCCCCAAGCTCCTCCTCTGGGATACACTCAAGCTAACACATTACTCCCAGTGCACTCGTCCTTTTACAATCTTCCGCTGGAAGGCTGACCGTACCTCGCGCCAGAAGCGTACCAACATCTGTCTGACCTGCGCGCGTCTGAAGAACTGCTGCCAATGCTGTATGCTCGATTTGTCATTCGGCTTGCCACTCCAAGTCCGCGATGCAGCCCTCAAGATGGTTGCGCCGGGTCCCGACAGCTCCATCAACCGCGAATACTATGCGCAGAACCACGAGAAGGAGATTGAGGATGGAATTGGTGCTATCGAGGAATACGAAAAGACAGACGACAAGGCGCGCGAGCTGTTGCGCCGCCTGGCGAACAGTGAACCTTACTATCGCAAACCACGACGCATCGAGGGACCTTCCTCCGCAGAGGGTGAGGAGGGTGAGGAGGCTGGTCGGTCAGAACAGCCCCGGACACAATCCCGCTATGGCAATGGACCGGGTCCAGTACGCACGAACGAGGGACGTCTCGGGAACAGGCTGCCTGGTCGTGGGGGTGCCCGTGGAGGTCGTGGCGGTGGTCGTGGTGGCCGTCCTTTCCCCAGTACTGCACAGTTGCCCCCATCAGCCGAAGATATTAAGCCGCCTGCCGACCCTAACGTGACGTCGCTCTTCGTCACCGGTGTTGAGGACGACCTCCCAGAACACGCCCTCCGTTCATTCTTCGCCGAGTTTGGTCAGCTCCGCTCACTCGTTTGCTCCCATCGCTCGCACTGCGCTTTCATCAACTACGTCAACCGCTCCGACGCCGAGACTGCTGCTGAGAGATGCCAGGGCAAGGCGGTTGTCAACGGTTGCCCACTGCGCGTGCGCTGGGGTAAGCCCAAGCCGTTGGATAATATGGATCGCGAGGAGCGCATCCGCAATGCCCGCGATGGCCGAGCGGCTGCTGGACCAGCCAAGGGGCCTTCTGGCAAGAAGGCAATCACAGCTTCCGGCGAGGGCGCGGATCAACAAGAGAAGGCCCAGGGCTACACCGTGGCTCCACCTCCAGGCTCTGGTCAGGTCCAGTACGCCAGTATGTCTGGTGACTAGACGGCAACATCAAAACTTTTCTTTTTCTTTTGACTTTAGGTGATCATAAGGATGACAGTGGCTTGCATGATGCGGATTCTCAAAGCGGGCGTTTGATACGGATTGGTTTCTGGTTCCTTTTTTGTATGTATGTGTATGCAGATCTATTCAAATCGAAAATACCCCGAGACGCCAAAAGTGATACAAAAGAGTCGGGTATATTATAATACATGGTTCAGTCCCACCACAACTGGTAATTTTTGCTTTCTGTCCGTATGCCCGTCGGAGTAGATCGATGTCGCTCATTGCTGGGAGGTATATGCGGGGTGGTCAAGGATTAGGATGTATCGGATTACGAAGAGCAGGCTTTGTGGATCTTGACATCCTGATTGCCGACTTTGATTGAGTCGTTGTCGCCACGCTCGATCTCGTCATGGATCCGGAGTTCTAGATGGATTTGAAGTTAGCCGTAGGTTCCAACAGAAGAAGTCCAGACCAGGTATGGAGGTTCCAGCAATGGACTTTGCATTGCATGCAAGAAAACACATGGAATCACATACCCCACTTAGCAGACTCGTCGCCATCCTCCCGAGCGCCCTGCACCAGGTTGTGTCGCAAGATGTTGGCCACCTCGATGGCGTGGTTAATCTGCATGCCGTTGTCGATTCCAACCCGGCGGTTCTGGTCGAAGTTGCGGCGGGCCTCCTGGCGAGCGGCGATCATCACGCGAGCGTCATCTAGCGAAATATGTTAGAACTTATAGCCAACGGAGTATCATCTATGCGGAAGATGTGCAGAACCAACCTCTAAAAGCGACTCGGGTAGCACGCAGAATCTGCCGGTAGGCGCTGAGAGCAGAAATACTGGGAGCAGACATCTTGAAGAACCGAAAGAATCACAAAAACTCAATTCCGGTGAGGCGTAGACAAAATCCGAGGCAGTTGAATCAAAGACGCAGGGCCGTGATTCGTGAAGCATAACGGGATTATCCGAGTTGTGATTGGCGGGCGGGCAACAGGGGCAGAAAAAAAAGACAGGCAAAAAAACCCAACTGGGCTCCTCCCACAAACGTTCGAGACCACTCATCACACTCTCTCTACAATGGCTTCTGTCCAGGTTGTCAACGTTTCCCTTCCCTCCTTGCCTTCGGGCTGGAGTGCCGACAAGGACTTCAAGCCCGTTGGCGCCCTCTCTGCTGCCGTTCAGCGCAACATTGAGCCCGTGGGCCCGCACTTCCTTGCCCACGCTCGCCGAGTATGTTTTTTTCCCAATGAAACACTTGTCCGTTGATGCGGGCAGCGATCAATGTACGTTCTAACAACCTTATAGAAGCGCCACGCTCGCACTTTCTCCGAGGATGAGCGCATCCAGGCTCAGCAGAACGTCAAGAAGACTGAGGAGGATGAGGATGAGGACATCTCCGAGGATGAGGATCCTATGATGCTCTCCCGTGATGCTAAGGACTGGAAGGTCGGTTCATCGCAGTAATCCGAAATTCTCTTCTCATACTAATCCCTTTCTAGGCCCAGGACCACTACGCCGTTCTCGGCCTGACCAAGTACCGCTGGCGCGCCACCCCCGAGCAGATCAAGCGTGCCCACCGCAAGAAGGTCCTCCGCCACCACCCCGACAAGAAGGCTGCCATGGGCCAGCGCGACGAGAACGACAACTTCTTCAAGTGCATCCAGAAGGCTACCGAGCTGCTCCTGGACCCCGTCCGCCGCCGCCAATTCGACTCCGTCGACGAGGCTGCCGATATCGACCCGCCCAGCAAGAAGGACGTCCAGAAGGGCAACTTCTACAAGCTCTGGGGACCCGTCTTCAAGGCTGAGGGTCGCTTCTCCAACAAGCAGCCCGTTCCCCAGCTCGGTGACGAGGACTCCACCCAAGAGTCGGTCGAGACTTTCTACAACTTCTGGTACAACTTTGACAGCTGGCGCTCGTTCGAGTACCTGGATGAGGATATTCCCGATGACGGTGAGGGCCGTGACCAGAAGCGTCAGACCGAGAAGAAGAACGCCAACGCCCGCCGCAAGCGCAAGTCCGAGGACATCGCCCGCCTGCGCGAGCTGGTTGACGAGTGTCTCGCCCTGGATGAGCGTATCAAGAAGTTCCGCCAGCAGGCTCGTGCCGGCAAGGACGCCAAGCGCAAGGCCAAGGAGGACGAGGCCAAGCGTCTGATCGAGGAGCGCGAGCGCGCTAAGGCCGAGGAGGAGGAGAAGAAGAAGAACGCTGAGGAGGCTGCCAAGGCTGAGCGTGAGGAGAAGAAGAAGGCCAAGGAGGCCGCTAAGAACGCTGCTAAGAAGAACAAGCGTGTTCTTAAGGGTTCCGTCAAGGATGTCAACTACTTCGCTGATGGCGAGGCCTCTGCTGCCCAGGTTGACGCCGTCCTGACCGACGTTGACCTCGTCATGAGCAAGATTGATGTCGATGAGCTTGCTGAGCTGGCCTCGCGTCTGACCATTGCTGGCAAGGACAGCGGTGCCGTTAAGGCTGCTTGGGCTGCCGAGTCTCAGCGTCTCGTTGAGGCCGGTAAGCTGAAGGGTGGCGAGGTTAAGGCTTTCGCTTAGATTATAGATTGAGGCTTGTCCGGTATGGGCTTGCTGATGATGAATATTTCCTCTTTGATGTCCTATAGAGCTGAATGAATCTTGGAATTTTCCATGACCTTGCTGCGTGTCAAATGCATTCCCAAAGTGTAAGGTAGTTGATCAGGGGCTTCACTGGTGGAAATCCATAGATAGTCATCCTCCCCACGAGGAGGTACCTACTCGGTAGTGGCATTTCTGGTCTCGTCTTTCTATAGATCCCCCGCCTAAGTCTAATTGGAACTTTGCCCATATGAAATGTTTTCTTTTCCCCATGGCAACTCAAGGAATTGCGAAGGACCACCTCGGGCTCGACTTTCTTCGTTGGCGAAGTGGTAGCTAGAAATATATATCCGATAGTCCAAACTCCGCTTACCTTTTCTTGGAAGTATGCCCACTCCAGAGAACAAAACTTCAATACTAGGAACTTGACCTAGCAACGACAGTTAAAAACCAGACTCGTCTGATTTCATAGTCAGTTCTTACACCGTCTAGATAAATTAGAACGAGCATGTCAAAGAGTTTGACTCGAAAAGCACCGGGATTACGTGATCCGATTGCAAAATCCGCGGACCCACCGATTGGAGTCAAAGCCCCTCCCCGGGGAAATCTACTCCGTACAACTTCCCGTTTACATCGATCTATCGCACATAGATAAGGACCCCAGCTACTATGCCACCAGAGAACCAACCAGAAGAACTCGCTCATTTCGAGCACGAGCTCTTATCAAATGATAATACCTGGACATATCCTCCAAATGCAGGAACCACTGATATGTTTACAGCCGATAGTCTCCATTTTGATGGTTCTGGCTTTCATGCAGGGGGTCCGTTTGATACTCAGCTATTGGATGCATCCGATCTATGTTTCCTGGATTCTACATATGATGCCACCAACACAACTCCTGCTATCCCGTCTTTCATGGGACATGAATTAGGACCGGATAGTTTTCCTGCTTCGGTTTCTTCCTTGGATGGATTTTCAGATATGATGAATGTCTACTCGGGGACAACGAGTCCTGGGAATGGTCTAGCGCAGGACACGTCAAATACTCAACTGTTCGAGGGGTTCTCGTGGAATTGGGAGACAAGCCCTGCTCTGACAGACCCGATCATGGTCTCGGAACCTAGCGAAGAACCGGCTTCTGCACCGCTGTCACAACAACCTGTTCGCGTGCCACGCACTAGAAGTGGCTTGCCGCGGCGCAGAAGTCGGTATCTCGTCTCTCGACCTGTCGAAAGGACCCCTCCTATCCAAATCCCCACAGCAAAGGAGATGGATCCGATGCAACGATGGCAGGAATCCCCGCCCGAGGATGAACCAGCTTCACTCACTGCAATCATGAACGCTGTCGACGAGATGCCGACTAATAACAGCCCTGGCCAAGCGAGTGGCAGCAGAGTAAACAAGGCCTTCAAACACTATCGTCAATCAGCGTCAATCACAAGCGGAGAGTTCAGTGCCTCTTCTGCAGACTCGGCATACTCGTCGACAGGGCGATCGACTCCTCAGAGCGGTCGCAGCCGTCGGTCAAAGGGGCGGGTTGCTAAGAGTAAAGCGAAGCCATGGAATGATACGAAGCCGCGCATATTCTGCTGTACCTTTTGCTGCGATCGGTTCCGAAGCAAGTATGATTGGGTGCGACATGAAAAGTCTTTGCATTTGAACCTGGAGACGTGGTATTGCGCTCCTCTGGGTCCGTCGGTATTCTCCGAGACGACCGGTCAAGAGCACTGTGCATACTGCAATACCCCGAACCCGTCCCGCGACCATTTTACCCAGGAGCATAACTACGAAGAATGCCAGAACCTGTCCAAGGCATCGCGATCATTCAGACGGAAGGATCATCTCGTGCAGCATCTCCGCCACGTACACCAAGTCAACATCGTCCCGTCCATCGACGACTGGAAGCAGGAATCCAAGAACATCACATCAAGATGTGGCTTCTGCGACCTAAAGCTCCACGACTGGGACGAACGCATCGAACATATCGGTGACCACTTCCGTTCCGGCTTCACCATGAAAGACTGGCAAGGCGACCACGGCTTCCCACCGTCCATCACAGCACAACTGAGAAACGCATTCCCGCCGTACCTCATCGGTGCCGAATCCGAAAGCATGATCCCATTTTCCTCGACCAATGCACACGTTCGGGATCACTACGCGCAAATGTCCACTCGAGTGCAGGCCTCAAGGGGCGAGGGGAATGCCGGCTTGGAAGAAGAGCCTAGTACGGCTGGCGCGACGGATGCTACGAGGTCGCAATTTGATAATTTTCTGGGAAACTTTACGCGCCATTTAGGCCAGTTTGCGCGTCAGCAGATGCAGAATGGCGTTATTCCTACGGATGAGATGTTTCAGCAGGAAGCTCGGAGGGTGGTTTTTGATTGTGGGGATGAGTGGGATCAGACTATTGCTGATAATCCGGTGTGGTTGTCTTCGTTTAGACGGTTGCATTGTGAGAATGAGGAGGGGAGTAATGATGGTTGATTTGGAATAGGGAGTGTTTACATGGGCACTTTAACGATTTTGTATTTTCGGGGTCTTTACTTTGAGCCCATAATATGAGATTTTACCGGGAGGAACTAATAATGAGTCATGCAAGCATACGTCGGGCATTCACTTTTTTTTTCGCTAGACTTTTATCTACCTTCAATATTGCATACCTGAAGATAGAATTAGCCATCATCTCTCCAATGAAGTATATCACCTGGAAGTTCTTACCAAATCATACCAAACACCCCCCGCAAACCGACACTCACTAACCCCCCGATTCTCAAAGCCCGTCTGCTCATAAAACCGAACCAAATAATCATGCGCAATCAACACAATGCTCCCCCCATTCCCCCCTCCCATCTCCCTAATATACTCAATATACGCCTTAACCATCGCCTTCCCAATACCCCTCCCCTGGAACTCCGGGATCGTAACAACAGAGTGAATAGCAACGTTGCCGCCATGCGGATCATTGCCTACCGTTTCGCCGTTGACCACGACGGGTTCATGTCTAGGTAGGGACTGCCAGTTCTCTGGCATCCCCATTGATGACTCTGTGATTTGGGGGGAGGATATTCTTGCGCCGATTACATGGCCGATTTGTTGGGTGCCGGATTGCGTGGTAATGAAGAGGCCGAGGCTTAGGTTTGGGCATACCGTGAGGCGGTAGGTGAACTGTGAACCTGGTTAGTATAGATTTGAGACTTGCTGGGGAATTGACTTGGTACTTTTTCTTCGGAGCAGCGCTCTTGTTCGGGGAATGGGTTTTGGACTGTAATGCAGGATTGGACGTCGGAGACGGAGAGCGGGCGTAGGTATGCGTTTAGGCCGGTGAGGCCGGGGCATTGGGTGAGATGGTCACTTGGTGACATTTGGGATTCTTGCCGTAACAAATGCAATCGATGAGATGTATCTTGATATTAATCCTTGTATAATTTGTAGACTTTATACAATTGCCTATAGTATTACTCATACTCTACGACCCACATTTCGCGCCCTTCCGCACCTTACGCCCTAGAAGGATGGAGCCAGGGTCTAAGGGTGAGAAGTGTGATTTGACCACCATTCACCGAGGAGCGGAATATTATAGGAATGCGATAGCTGGATTCCCATTCTTCCATTTTCTTTAGGTGGCAGATTTGGTTGCGACTTGATCCCACAGCATTGGAGTAGAACTTTACCCAATGAATCGACCAATTATGAGATGGGACTGTAGTACATTTCGGAAACTGGGCGGTTCATCAGGTTGGAATGGTTTCATGTTCAGTCTAAACTCTTATGGAATTGTGCTATGGTCGATCTGTACTGGAACTATAGAAGGGGACTTGTCGTTGGCTCGCCCTGGGCATAACCTTAGGTTTCTAAAAGTATGGTGAGTCACGAAGCAGGTATTAGGCTAAAGAGCATCTAGGAATATGATTGAGTTTTGTAGTGTAATACTCAACCCTTGGAACGGCTACGGGAATCTCGGATTACATGTTCTAGAAACAATACCAAAAGTCTACGCGCTGGCATCAGCCACCTTAACCATAGGGTAGCAGAATATTATTTAGCTCACCTACTAACGCTATCACGTTCGCGCCTAGTTAAATCCGGTCTCGATAGATGAGGCGTGGAGTTGAATTATCTTTCAACGTATCCTCACGGCTTCATAAGGCCTGGATCCGGAGATATCGTAAAAAGTCGATTTCGGTAAGAGATATTTGTTTATTTTTTTAGGGGTTACGTTAACTAACTAGTTAGTTATACGAAGAGTTTTACTAACATGTAGGTGGTAAATTGTATCTACATGATCATCACGCAACGCGAGAAAAGCTAGACTACATTGCCTACGACTTGAAATCAAGAATTATCAAGACAACCCCTGCACAAAATGACGCGAAAAACGGGAAGACGTAAATAGGTTCGGACTAAAAAGATTCTCTTAAAGACCGCCTGAAATCCTCTTATTCAAGTTCCCGAAGTAGCCGGCCGCTCGTTCGAATTATTGCAGAAGAACGCTAGAAATGCCTCTCTGTCAAGGTTGCCGTTTACAAGTTTACTTCCATTTTTCACCGAGCCCCCATTCAAATGATGCTTTCCAAGAGTCCTAGATGATTCCCCATCAGCGATGCTCCCGTTATAGACCATGGACGCTTCGTCAATCTCCGTGTCTTTGTAGCAGTTGCAGGCCTGTGATGAGCGTTCTTGGTGTTCACAATCTTCGATTAAAGTACAGACACTCCGGTCGTCTGGGCAAATTAATGTCAGAAAGACTTGGTAGATCTAGCAGTAATAAATAATGACTCTCTCACCTCGTCCAGTATTCGCTTGAGTATCTTCTGAATATTGTTCGACGAGCTCATCTCGGAAGAGGAATGAACGTGTGGTGCGAGAACTGTCAACATCTCGCGTGTATACGGCAAGCCCCATTCCGCGCTAAAGGTTGTCCGGTTAGGGTCATGATATAGGGACCTGTGTTGTAATCAACATCGACTTACTCCTTCCACAGGGGAGCTGTCCTTCGAGGACATGGCGGGTCGAGCCAAGCGTTCAGAACGACGAGTAGGCATGGGAGACAGGGGTGGCGGAGGCATTTCGAACAATTTCAGCGGACATCTTTACGGAGGGTATACAAAGGGCTTTAAGTACTCTCAATTGCCTGGTCATAGCAATCGCCAAGATAACTCGGCGCTTAGGCACAGGTCTACGTGGGCTGGGGCAAGTGGACGAAAAAGTACCGTAAAGCGAACCAACCCTTAGCAAATTCGAGATTGTCCAAATTTCTGGGAACGGCTGGACTGGTTGTGGTGGCGTTGACCGTGCATCATGAGCTAGAGGGAGGAAGGAGCAAGAGGCTCTGCGAGCGGGGTTCATGGCGCTTGAGAAGACTCATCAGCGCACGAGACAGTGACGGTATCGTTCTACAAACAGAGGATTAGCCTCGTAAAATATGACACATTGGCTTTACCTATCACTGGTACAACAGAGTTATAAAACTCATGGAAAATGAACGGCTGAAAAGGACTTCAAGAGGCGAGGTATGGCTATCGGAAAGGAAAGAAGTAGCAGCTGCGTTGCTCGACCCTAAAGGGATGCGACTCGGATTTCGCGGCAAAGCCTCGCTCGCCAACCTGACAAAGGTCCCACGCATAACTAGCGCGCACTTACTATACAAGATAGGGATATCTTATTGTACGGACGAATGGCCATAGTTGCATCACAAAGTAAGAAACAGAATGCTTTCTTTTAAATGATCGGCGCCAAGCTAGCCGGAAAATGATTGCTTTGATTTGTCGAACCGACGCCCGTGCGAGGATGGCTCGACGCTAGCCTCGACGGAGCAACAGCACGGCCGAGATTCCCCCCTCCAACGAAGGCAATGTTCAGCCCATCGCACGACAACACATGGGGTAGTCAAGTGCCTACACTCATTCCCACTACTGCGACCAAAGGATGCATTAGTACGCTTTAGTGCACCCTCCGTACCATGGAACCAGTCGGTCACGTTGCGCTCTTGGCCAACGAGGGCGGCCCGTAGTTGCCGCCGAACGATCTATTTCTTTTATATCCCTGGAGCCTCCAGTGAGGCCCATGCGCTCACACTCTCCTGCTAATTCATTGCCAGTTTGCTCAGAGGGATGGCCATTGACCAGCGATTCTGGTTTTGCTTGAGCTCTTCTCGCTGCACATGGCAGACAATTGGGGTTCTATAGATACTCCTGGGGTTGGCTGTGCGCGATGGGAATCTACCGTTGACGCAAACGCGACTCAGCAGTCTGGGAACTGAAATCAATCCCTCCACCTCGCAAAGTGTTTACCCCCTCCCTTGCTCATGCGCCCATTTAGGGCCACACCGAGCTTTTACGGTTGCCGCTGGGGTAAGAACTAATCCTGGTCATCTTGACAGATGACAAAGGCGATACACCCTTGGCGTATGCTGCACGAGGGCCACCCAGGCGCTGTGGAGGCTGCTCTGTGAGCGCATGGACAAGTGGTCGAGGACTCGGAAATTTGCCTGGGAGAGAGCCTTACTTGCGTTGACCGACGGACGGGGGCATGCATGTGGCGGTGGTTGCGATGCTGATCAAAAAACGTAACGTGAATGTGATTTCTGTTGACTCCACTGGATGTAGCCCATCCCTGTCCAGTGAGCTCGAGAATAGTATTATCTTGTGTAACCTTGGTACCATGCCAATAATCAGCAGATAGACAACACATATGCGCAGTAACTCACGGCAGATACCGCTCTAACTCGAGCTAGATTTGATCTATAAAAATCTCCAAACTCGGAGGTATTTCCGAAACAACCCTTTACATAATAAACTGTTGCTGTGGGATACGCATCGCTAATGCTATATTATATGGTTAATTATTAGCGTTACATACGAATGTCCTTATGGCAGACTACTATATATATATTCGTTGCTGGCCTTGAGGCTTAGCTAGATCTTTCTCCTAGATAGCTACTTCTAGAAGTGACCTTAACTATATAGTCCGTGACTAGATATTATCCTCTGAAGCTACAAAGTAGACAAAGTAGTAAATTACACTTAAATAAAAGTATATTAATCCTTATACTTATTACCTTGTATCTGTAATTATAATAATTTTTCCACGGTATGGAATTTAATTCCTTATATCTAGGGATTACTAAATTGACCCCCCCCCCCACTGGCCTTAAAATGCCTGGATTTTCAGGCGTTAAGGTATTAAGGCTAACACTTTGTCTTGTTTGCTTATGGAAGAATAGTTTTTCCGTGCCCTGCTCTCACCGCCCTTACCGCTTTCCATCACTATCTCACCACTTTCCTCACCGCCCACCCCTAAGATCCACAACCTACTTTGACCCTGGCTGCCAGAATCCCAACCAGCATCTCTCGGGTACCCAATCCAACATCCCGGGCCCACCCGATGCACAGTCTATACTTTGCCTGCAAGCTCACTGAGTTTAGGAGCCTATGTATTTTTGCCGGCCGGAGGAGTTCGTGATCTTAGCTATGGCTCAATCCTTCTCGAATCCGATAGTGTACGGCTGTGACGGTATACAGCAAGAGGTGAAACAATACCAAGTCGTTTGATGTAGGTTTAAGGGGCTAGAACAAAAGAGTGTTCCAAAGACCACCCGTGAATTCTCATATTCTTTGCTATAAAAAGAAGAGCTACTCATCTGCAAGGTGCAAAATGTACCACACCTCGCTCGCCAATTCACTACTCGTTTCGATTTGCTGGCTGATGCTCAAGCCACAGTCACCCAACTCCTTCTCCCACTCGTCAAAGTCAAACAATTTCAAACTCCAGGAGTGCATTTCCCGAGAGACAATTTTTCCGGTAGCAGCCTTGACGACAGTCAAATTGAAGGAGTCGACAGATCTTCCCTCGTACTTTGAATGCGTTATTTGAGACATGTGATACTCCAAATGTGGCCATCGCCGGGAAGATTTTCGCATTTCAGTGCTGCGGTCTTTATCCTCGGGGATAGCTTGGTCTGTATGCTTCTCCTCGAGATTATTCTCATCTTTCAAGATAGAAATCGCGGCAACAGAGCGATGTGCTTGCGAATGATCCGTGTCGCGGAGTGCTTTGACAACTTGCTGCAAGAACCTCTTTCTTTCCCCGTCTGCTGTCAAATGGCCGATACTGCCTGCGGCGAAAATGATCAGGTCTACTGCGTTCTCAAGTTCGGGATTCTCGTCCACGAAATTCGCTGCTGTGGTGTTACGCCATGCAAGAGTTGTCGAGGGTTGTAATTTGCCCTCTAGAAGGCCTTTGGCGTGATCAATCATTGCTTGACTATGGTCGATACCCCAGATTTCGATCTTGCTCTGCTGATCAGAAGACGTCACCTCTTGTGCAAGAGACTCCATTTTCCGCAGTATGCCACGGATGACTCGTCCCGTCCCAGTCGCCATGTCTACCCCTCGCACAGGGCTCTTAATGGAGACGTTATTTGAGAGGAATGGAGAGAGTAAGCCGAAGAAAAAGTCATCGTCTTTTGCCAGTGCAGTCGGACCGACGATATCTTCAACCCACATATCGTAAAACTCGGCCCAGTAGGGACTGGTATAAGCATAGCTCTCGCCGTGGGTAGATTGTTGTCCGTCCATTTTCATGATGCGTGGTTATTGAGGCAGTGGCGCTGTTTTGACCAGACCGGATAGATTCATGCTGCGAATTGGTTGTTAATGATTATGAGATTATATAGAGTGCCAATGATGGTAGAATCTTGCGCTCAATACATCTCGGCATTCTATGGCGATGTCTGACTCTTTATTACTCATACTATTGTCATCCAATGAGAACGCGCCGAGCCAGTGTGAATACGAGTGGTTTATTTTCATTGCGCTTATCTCAGCCTCACCGATTTCATATACTCGATGAAGACTTATTTGATGGGGTCGATTTGGGATGTAACTTAGGACTCCTTCAAATGATGCATTGCGATTGTTTGAATTGTGATAATTCGGTCTTGAGATACCCGCGGAGTTGTGCCAATGTTGTATCTTCGTGGTAAACATGGGAGTCGGCTATATGAAGCTGTACTTAACACCTCTGCAGGTATTTTCAGGCGATCTGTCAGAAGCATGCATCCAAACATGTGTCCTGTCAACGATCAAAGACAATGTACGGCGTACTCCGTATAAAAGATCTAACTTGTGGACTACCCTCTCCGACCGGTCTCCACCGCCCGAAACAAATATAGAAACATCTTACCTTATTGTTTGCCACGAGTTTGGATCATTGATTTCCGATTTTATTTCTCGTTCTCCATAGCATAGTCGAGCTTCGACTCTCGTGTCTGGCCAAACTGTTTCAACCCCACCGGAATCCGTAGACCCTGTCGACGATCGCCTCAAACACACACTTAACGGCGTGCTCGAAGGATACGTACGCCCGGTACGTAAGAAGCGGAGCATCGAGGGGCCAGCCCCACCGTGAAATGGGTACCCGTAATGATCACCGCGAATGACCTCATCGGAATGGCCGTTGGCTGGGTGAGAAGGGGACTAGATGAAGTTGAGATGCATTAACCCCGGAATTTCTCATGTGTGCACAGTATTCTGTTGCCAGGGTTTGGAGTATTGGACTGCTATTCGTATTATTATCACCGTGGCATGTATACAAACCTAGGCAGAGTACGGAGTACAATGTACAGTATATACGAAGCATGCCAAGCCGAAGTATACGTACGCCTGCAGGAACGCCTGCGCGGCTTGGCGGACTGGCGATCGGCCGACCAGGCCCTGAAACATGGTGGCTACGGAGTTTTGCGAGGTTGGGGGGACTCCCCCGCCACTGTTAGCTGAAGATGCCAAGTTATTAAACTGGGGGCTTGGCTGCTGTCAGTCCACTTTTTTTCACGATCTTGCTGCTGGGCAGATTTGGATTCTTTTATCTGCGTTGGACCCTGATTGTACCTCAACAGTCTACACTTTGATCTTACTTGTTCTTCGTGCTGTGATCTTGGTATGTATAATGGACTACTATGAATAGTCTTTATTATCTGATTATACTAACAATACACTGACAGATCTCATCCCTCTGTACTCCTACTCTCATCTTATCGAGTGATCTCTCTACTATAAACCATTACCACAATCACCATCACCACCACAATCATGCCATCCCTCATCCGCCGCCTTGCGACCGCCGCATTCCTCTTCACAATCACAACAACCGCCTTCCCCCTCTTCCCCCGAGACGTCCAATGGTCCTTCGACCTCTACCCAACAACATCCTGCAACGGCACGGGCGAACTCCACGCCGGCAGCGGCAGCACCGGCTGCCGTGCCGATTTGAACACCGTCGCCTCGGCCTATACACTAAACACGATCGCAGACGGGTGCCGCATCGAGTTTTTTGATAACACTATGTGCGATGGGAATGATATTTCAGATGTTGCGGGGCCGATGACCAGTACGCAGACGTGTCGGGTGCCTAATTTGAAGAGGCAGTATGCTTCTTATCAGGTCTCCTGTGAGAAGGACGAAGTTTGAAGGAACTCTGAGATGGAAGATGTGTATTTGGATTTGGATTTTGATTTGGGTTTTGGATATGGAGTTACATCGTTATTGGAGTAAGGGGAATACTTGGGAGGATATGATATGAATGATTTTTGACATCCCCGGGCTGGTCCCTGGGATTATGGTTAGCGATAGACATTTGGTTACTACTAGACTCGGCGAACTGGACATTGGATTCATCATTTACTGTTACTCCAATATGAAGACGAGAACATACATAGAACAGCCGGGACCATCCCAAGCTGAAGACAAAATCTCTTCATGAAGAGCGCTTCATTATTCCTCGATGATCTCAATGTAAATCCATCTATCCATCACATCCTATACCCAGCGACGACTCTGATTGGCGACGAGTGGCTAGTCCCAACCCCCTCAAACCAGCCCCGCGTCCGCCCGCCAATGAGGGCTTGATGCATGCCCGGGATGATCGCGATGGAACACCTCCGCAGGAGTGATTGAGTTTCGGGGATGTAACGCCTTGTTTCGTGTTTATGCCTTTGATCGTATCGGCGTTGGATATATTGAATTTGAAAAATTTTAAGAGTGAGGGGTTCAGTGTGGAGGTAATTGGCTGGGTTGGCCCTGGATAAAGGCGATTGTAGATGTGATACATCGAGTGTGTCGCCGTTATGCAGGGAGGGCGAGGAGCGTTGAAATTGGTGCCGCACATGGATGCAGTAATTTCTCGAGAAAGGTCACAGCAACAGAAATTCATTAAACCCCAAAGACGGGCCTATTAATACAGCGAAGGGGCAAAACCAGCTTCTTTCACAGCCCTCCCTTGTCTAGGTCCCATATTTGAGTCTAGCTAGGAAACTGAGTATTATTTTACATTTCACTAATAATCAAAAGCTAGTAATCTTAGAAAATATTGAACAGTACAAAAAAGGACAGAATGTGTGGTTAACATATGCAAGTTACGGCCAATGCCCCTGTTTGTCATCGTTCTTGTTGGTTGAGTCCATTTTTCGTAACAAATCTCTTACTCTTTCGTCGGCAAGTATTAACAGGCTCTCCGCATATTCCAGCAGTTTTCCGCTCTCCTTAGCCCTGTGGACGTCAAGCGGATCGCCTGCATTAAGCAGCTGTGTGTAGAATTGGCGCAAATCGATCCTTGTTCTTGGATCTAGCTGCGGCGCGAAGCCATACTCCTGTGAAGCTTCTTCAATCTTGGGAAAGCCTCTTAAAGGCGTGTTGTGATCCAAGGCTAAGAGGTGCTTGAGTCTCCACACCGAAGGGCGTAGTTCATGCTTTTCCACGGGAAAGGCCATAAACTCTCTCAAATGATGAAATCCAACTTCGCGTCCCAATAGATCTCTGGTGCCCCTATCAAATTCATCGCCAATACCGTACTTGTCGAATAGATCTGCCATACTGCCATCCCGCCATGCCCGCCAAAACTCATCAAAGGAGCAGGTAGGTAAGTTGGCAGGGCGATTAGAAACAACCCCGAGACTTCTCTCGTAGTCTCTGAAATATTTATTACCACCAACAAGCTTGCTGTAGAGTGTGCCCAGAGTCTTCTCGTGGTGTTCATCGGTGCATAAAGCAAACCCAAAATCGTACCACAAGTCATATTCAACCCAATTCGGGTTCGGGCTTGAGCTATCCAGAGCTAAAGCGTAGAAGACGAAACAATACCGCTTTTCTATAGGTTGAAGCTCACTGAGATCTTTGTCGCGATCTCCTGGCTCTAGGTAAGGCCTTGCAGCATCGAGAGCTTTCAGGATAGGGTTTTCTCGGCCTTGAAGCTGAGGAACTGCGTTGAGTTGTCGAGAACATGCTGGTTTCGAAGAAACCACGGGAAGTATTTCCCTCGGCTACGTTCGGGCACGACACAAAACCTCTCAATGATCTCGCTCGTAAGCGTGCCGTTCTTTTGCCATTGGTTCAGCGTAACCGGACTTATCTCGGGGTCTTTCGGGTATAGAAGAAGACCACGGTAAAGGCCTAGAAGATGAGATTCTTCCATCCAATGGGAACATCGGCTGAATCCGAACGCCTGGCGGGTTTCTTCGTCCTTTGGACATTTATCTTTGATGACATCGTCAAATAGTATGTCGGCAGTTGTTATTGAGCGCGCAGAGCACTTGGCAAGGTGAGCCAAAGACATCTTATCTTGACACCTCTGACTGCAAAACCAATCTCGGTTACAGTGCTCACAATGGCGATAAGTCTCTTTACCGCATGAATCGCATTCCTCTCGCGCGGGTGTGAACTCTGGTATCGCCGCCGAATCAATATTTTCTTTTTGCTCAGCGAGGAATGGGACATTAGCAGTGTCAAATAGATCATCGCTCGCCAAATCCTGACTGGACTCCTGTTAGCGGATCCTAGGAATAGATATAAATGTGCCTCACCTCAGGGTTTGGATATTGTCTCTGCTTCTGATTTCAGGTATTCTGTTCTCTCGTTGAACTTCAAGATGCTGCGAGACGAGCGACATGATGTAGGGATTGTCAGAATGATGTGTTACGGTCGCCATGGAGGAGCCTCCAACAGTGGACTCTTGAGCTTGTCGAAGCTCTTGGTTATGACTATCAAGGAAAGAACTTTTCATGTCTTTCTCAATATCTTCGAGGATCTCGACAAGCCGCAAGCAGCTGCCTTTGGCAAGCCATGGAACTTCGGGTACAGTCCAAAGATCGTAGAGCTTACCATGGCATCCTCGCGAATCAAATTGCCCATATTTTTGAATAAATTTATAGCAAAGAAAACAACTTCGCTTACTGCAGCCCACATAGTTGAAAGTGGATGCCCCTGTGCAATCATGCCGGGTTGCAGCTAGCAACAACTGTACTTCTGCGTGTACCTGGAAAACGGGCGATTTCAGGTCGTCAAACTTTTGGAGTAATCTTCTTGTTGTCCAGGGGTTCTTCTTTTTCGTATTCTTGAAAAGCGATTGCACCGTTCGGTCATTCAGGCTGAGGTCCAGTGCGGAGAAAGTCTTCGCAAGTGACCAGCGATGCTTTGGGTTCCCTTTCGACTTCAGTCTACCAGTAGGTAGAACTGTCACCGGGAAGATCTGGAGGGCACGAAAGTTTGGAAGTCGTTCTGCAGCTCTAATCAAAGTTTTGAAGCACGTATTTAGCCTGCCTAAAAAGGCAAGAACGTCTCTAAGCTTCTTGCCATTGGAAGCTTTATCCGAAAGATTGTCGAAATCATGCTCGTTGTAATTGCGACAGATAACATAAGCTCTGTGAACCGATTCCTCGAGACCATCCTGTGTGGATAAGTGTGATGCATCATTTATTAACACCCGGAAGTCCTCGAGGTGCGAGAGAACAGACGACAGGTGATCATGCAAATCCGGAGGTAAACCTTCGGGGACACTCAAGTCAGTTTTCTTGAAAGCTTGCCTAGCTTCGCTAAGGTAGAAGTCTAGCCGAGGCCTATAAGATTGTATCAAATAAGTCCAAAACTTTTGTAGAGCACCAATGGCAATAGGATCTACAATTCTTTGTCAATTCCTCATTTTGCAAGACGGAACTTCACACCGACCTCGGCGATCAAGCATAGAGATTTTACGCAGATTCGACGCTATAACCTCTAGCATTTCGATATTCGACGCATGCTCCTTGTGCCCAGCATTTCTTGACACTAGAATGTCGACTCTATCGGGCCACTCGATCATTAGTGACGACGCGACATGTTCGCCTCCTTTTTCATTGGCAACAAGCTCGGATATTCTGTCAAGAAAAGCTCTCTTCAGTTTGTCTTGGTTGAATTCGGATAATATGTTGACGTTGGCCGAGTCAATGCTTTCCAAATCGGATGTCTCTATCGCCTCGCTGGGTATATCAATGAAACCCGAGGCTTCTTCAACTTGCCTACCACTCCTTAACAGAAGGAGTTTTGTGAAAGCTTCGAAACGGGACTTGTTCCATCCATCTAGCCCTGAGTGATGCGAGATACTCATATCTGGAAGCAAGCAATGACGATAGAGGAGCTGCTTGAGGGGTGCTAGCTATTCGCGGTTCTATTATGGGGCCATAAGGTAAAGGGGATTCTTCTCACGTGTTGCATGTCAGCCTAATGCTACAATAAGATAGGATCAGGCATCAATACCCCGCATTTATTGAATAGCCCATTTGCATGCCAGAAACAGAATCCGTTCAACTTATTCATCGCACAAAGCCGTTCGTATTGTCTCCCAAAGAGAGCGGCGGTCACTGAGGCGGGACTTTATTTCGCTACCCTCTACATGTTCGCCAGGACTAGTATAGGATACTGTCGTCAATGTCCAGTTGTATCTCATTATCGACTGAACTATCCATATCTGGGTGGAATGTGCCCCTTTTCCCTTGACGAGGGTGTATTGTACGCTGTACTTCTGCTACGACAGCCCGTAGCTATATTAGGCAAAATGATCGTGGTAAATTGTACAAAGGTCCATTTGGATCCACCCATTCTCAACAGTGGGGCCCAGAAAGGAGTAATGAATGCAAATTGGTGAAGCTGGCTTTGCACTTCTCTGTACTGCGTGTCAATACTACAGGTCCGAAGAGACGGGCAGGTATACAAAAATTTCCAACATCCGGATGATCCATCCACAAAAGCCGACCGGGTAATTCAAGTAAAAATTGGCTTTCTGGGCGAGGACTGACGGATAGTAGAAGGAACTAACACAGAAACGCCTCGGACCGGATATATGGAAATATCTTCACTGTAGACGGAGATCTTTTCTCGGGCTTCACTCAGCCATCGGTCAGCACAAAAGAATTACCGAGTCTATTCACACCCCGGCATAAATCTTATCCTAAGATCAATAGAGCAGAGTATCCATACCACTTCTTCTCCACGCTGATTGGCGCGCTCCAAAAATAACGTTGATTATGGTTGTAAGCCGTCGGAGTTAAGGCAGGGCTTTCCCAAAACGGCATTTCCCCGAAGTATCCCTTGAATCGCCGGAAACGGCTATCAATGACATGATTCTAATATTTCTGCTGCTTTAAAATGGAGCGTCGCGCACATTTTGTGTATGACGTGAAAAATACAAGCATTTTCTAAGTATGATTTCTGAAAAGGCCGAAGATCAAGTTGTAGCTGCGGTGTCGTTTTTCGACCCTGCGTTGAAAGAGGTTCGACGACGGGTGTTTTATCAATGGAGTCGCACTGGTATGGAGCGATATCGATCTTTCAAGCACTTGGAGAGATTTTTATGACTGGACTAACAGTGACACAGTCTTCATCCTCTGCGTCTTTGTGCTGGCCGTGCTGTCAATCTTCTGGGGCTCCCAATATAGCACCGAGAGCAAATATAGGGAGCTTAAAGTCTGGGTTGTCGACTTTGATGGTCAAACGGACGACTACGCTACGAGCAATCCTGTCGTTGGACCGGTCGTTACAAATACGGCGCAAGATTTCATCGACTCGTCCGACCTGCACCTAGGCTATATCATCAAAAATGCCAGCACCTTCAACAATGACCCCTGGGCGGTCCGCCAAGCAGTCTACGACGAACATGCCTACGCCGCAGTCATCGTCAACCCCAACGCAACCGCCCTCCTCCGTGATGCAGTCACACAACGAAACACCAGTTACGACCCCATCGGCGCTATTCAGACAGTTATCATCTCGGCTCGCGACCAAAACACATACTACACCTACGTCCTCCCAGACCTAGCCATCTTCCAAAGCAGCGTCCTCGCCTCCTTCGGTCCCGATTGGGTCCAGACTCTAATCACCAACGGGACAAATCTAACCTCTGTCCCGTCACAAGCCATCAACCCAGCTATCGGCTTTACAAACATCGACCTCCGCCCCTTCACACCAGCAGTCGCCGCACCAGCCGTTACAATCGGCCTAATCTACCTCATCATCATCGCCTTCTTCAACTTCCCCTTCCTAATGCCCATACACGCCCAACTAATCAAACCATCCTCCTCAAACCCGCCTCTCAAAATCCCCCAATGGCTCATCTGGCGCATCTGCTCCAACATCGCGGCATATTTCTTCCTCAGTTTATTCTACAGTCTGGTCAGTCTGGCCTTTGGAATTCCATTCTCGAATTCGCCAGCTCCAGACACGCTGTCTGCGAATAATCCGAATGCGTACGGGAAGGGCTCGTTCGTCGTCTTTTGGATGCTCAATTGGGTTGGTATGACGGCGTTGGGTATGCCGTGTGAGAATATGGCGATGGTGCTGGGGTTCCCGTGGAGTTCGTTTTTCTTGATCTTTTGGGTTATTACGAATGTTGCTACGGGATTTTATGCGGTCGAGTTGGCGAGTGTGTTTTATCGGTGGGGGTATGCGTGGCCTTTGCATCGGAGTAAGTGCATCGCCTTTGACGTGTCGTGTAGCGTGGCTGTGGGATGTTTTGCTAATATTTGTTCTAGTTGTCGAGGCTCTGAGGACTATTTTGTTCGGTACGCATTCGCGGATTGGCCTTGATTTTGCGGTGTTGTTTATTTGGATTGCGGTTTCGATTGCGTTTTTCCCCGTCGCGAGCTTTATTATGCGGTGGAAGATGAAGAGGGGACTTGCTTGATCGTCTAAGATTTGGATGATGGGATCGAGTATATTACTTGGACCCTAATGGGAAGCGAGTGGTTTGGTCCTCCCTGCAAAAGTTGAACGGGATTCTCCCGATAATATTTCTTGTATATACTCCACTCTTCATGTTACAAAAATAAACTTCGCACAATTCTATATGGATCCAATTTATTTCACCTACTCTACATCCCCCTACATAACCCACTCTATATAAAAGAGATCCATCTACTCCGCTGGCGCCCCCATCTCATTCAACTTATCCTTAGCACCCCGACGGCCACTCTCTGTGACGCGAGGATTATGCACAGCCCTAGACGCGATCAGCAGAGGTTCTGTTTAAGGTCTTTTCTCACTGGACCAGTTTTGCGGATGGGCCAGAGGGCTGGTGTACGTACGCTTTCAGTCCGCGCTTGACGTTCTCCTCGTGACGCTCCTCGTCACTGGTGTAATTGGAGAGCTTGTCGGCTTCTTGCTGGGCGTGGGCGCGGGCTTGGTTTGAGACACGGGGGTTGTGGGTTGCGCTAGAGAAGGGAGATGGGATGTTGTTAGTATATAGAAGGATATAGGATAGATGGATATAGAAGGTAGGGTGGTTGGGGGTTAGGGCAGGCTCACGCCTTGTATCCCCGCAGCTTGTTCTCGTCGGTACCAGTGTTTCGGCCCATGGTGGATGGTGCTCTGGATGGTTTGGAGTAAACCTTCACTTTTGTTGATGTTTGAGAGTAATTTTGGAGATTCTTGTGAAACCACAATACGGGTTTGACTCGGTTTAAGTATGTGATTTGGTGCGCCACGTGTGGCCAGGGTGGAGGCGGGGTGTTGACGTTTGTGTGATGGGGGGATGACATGTAGATGTTGGATGAGAGGGAACCGTGGAAATGGGGGGATTGGGTAGATGATATTACTTGGCGATGTTGGAAATATAGGGGTCCACTGTGGCAGAGGGTGATGCTTCTAGACCAGAGGAGAATACAGGTGAGGGTGGGTATGATTGTGGTATGAGGATATACGGTGGCACTTGAAATAGATGGCGATAATATAGGGGGAGGGAGGATGTCAGATATAATAGGTTGGATATACGATGAAATCATATTCCAAAAGTCCAAGTAGATGGTGTTATGGGCATATCATTTCTATATTACTGTTCAGACTGCTGTTCTAGTATCACGTATCTATAATGCTTAATGTTATGCTATGATAATATGCTAATATAAGGTTTGCAACTGGCAGGTGCCACCGCGGGAGCCAGGAACGGGCCCCATCGTTCCTTCCATTTCTGGCATTTCCTCTACTAAGCTGCTCTTACCCGTGCTCCATTCTCAGTCTCCAATTGGCCAATTTAGAAGTATGAGCCTCGAAGGTTTGGCGGCTCTTAACACGTACCCACCGAGTAACACGACAATACTTTGCAATGCAAACAGAGTAACAACACTGATATTTGTTTCTCGCGTGGATCGGAACCATCCTTGTTGTCGGCCCTGATTCACCGTGTAACCGTCATCTCTCCCTCGCTTATCCTCCGTTCCAATCTCTTCCTCCACCCTCTCCCAACCCTTTTCTCTTTCCTCCTTCACCACCACCCCTCTTCACTCTCGTTCATCACCTCAATACCTTCATTCAACTCCATCATCACAAAGCATCCGTCATGGCCTCTCACGACTTTGATCCGGATGTCGAGGCCGTTCCGCCTACCGAAACCGAGCTCTCATCGGTCATGGACGCGAATGAACGCCGTCGTGCTGCCCTGGCCCGCATCGACCAGGCCAAATTCGGCTGGCACCATGTCCGTGCCGTTGTCGTTGCCGGTGTGGGTTTCTTCACTGACTCGTACGACATTTTCGCCATCAACCTGGCTGTCTCCATGCTCGGCGTCGTCTACTGGCAGGGTGCCAAATCTGGTGCTGGCAAGCTGCCTTCCAGTGCCGACACTGCCATCAAGGTTGCCACTTCTGGCGGTACTGTCATCGGCCAGTTGTTCTTTGGATGGCTGGCGGACCGCATCGGCCGAAAACGCATGTACGGTATCGAACTGATGATCATCATCCTGGCTACACTGGCTCAGTCCCTGTCGTCCGCTTCCCCCGGTATGTCCATCGTCGGCGTGCTCATCTTCTGGCGTGTCATCATGGGCATCGGTATCGGTGGTGACTATCCCCTGTCTTCTATCATTACTTCCGAGTAAGTTCCATTGCAAGACACCAGACAGTTTACAGCTCACTAACTGGGAGGTAGGTTTGCAACCACCAAGTGGCGCGGTGCAATGATGGGCGCTGTGTTCGCAATGCAGGGTATCGGTCAATTTGCTGCTGCTATCGTGGCTCTCATTGTCACTGCCGGTTTCAAGGAGTCCCTTCAGACTGCCAAGGACGTTGCCCACTGCAGTGGTGTCTGTCAGCTGGCCGTGGATAAGATGTGGCGCACCGTTATCGGCTTCGGCGCGGTTCCGGCCTGTGCGGCTCTTTACTACCGTCTGACTATCCCCGAGACCCCTCGTTACACCTTTGACGTGAGCCGGGACATTCTGAAGGCCGACGAAGACATTCGGGCGTACATCAAGGGCCACCCCGAAGGTCACCCAGACGAAATCCAGCGCATTCGTGTTCTGCGCAACGAGAGCATCGAGTTCCTGGCACCCAAGGCAAGCTGGGCCGACTTTAGACGACACTACGGACAGTGGAAGAACTTTAAGGTCATTCTGGGTACTGCGGGCTCCTGGTTCTTCCTCGACATCGGTAAGACTCATCCACACATTCCCTCTACGTTTGAGATACATGATCTAACATTACCTTCCTCTCTATAGCGTTCTATGGTCTTGGTCTCAACAACTCCATCATCCTCAGCGCTATTGGCTGGACCGGAGGCAAGAATGTGTACGAGACCTTCTACCGTAACGCAGTGGGCAACCTCATTTTGGTCTGCGCCGGCGCCATCCCAGGCTACTGGTTCACCGTTGGTACTGTCGACACCCTCGGCCGCCAGCCAATTCAAATGGCCGGTTTCCTGATTCTCACCATCATCTTCTTTATTATTGGCGGTGCCTACGATCATCTCAAGAAATATCACGGTGGTCTACTGGCACTGTACGTGCTGGCACAGTTCTTCTTCAACTTCGGCCCGAATGCAACCACTTTCATCGTCCCCGGCGAGTGTTTCCCAACCCGCTACCGCTCTTCCTCCCACGGTATCAGCGCAGCCGCTGGCAAGGTCGGTGCCATCATCGCACAGTGTGTCTTCGGTCCCCTGGTTCACAAGGGCGCCAAGCCAGGCTCCGGCGACTCTCCCTGGCTCAACCATGTCATGCAGATCTTCGGTGGTTTCATGTTCTGCGGTCTTCTCACTACTTGGTTGATCCCCGAGACCAAGCGTCGCACTCTCGAGGAACTGTCCGGTGAGGATCAAAGTTCTCACCACGAGAACTTGACCGCTCGAGTACAGGAGAAGCCCGAGGAGAACAACCTGCCCAAGCAGGTCCCTGCCACCAACACCGTGCAGGGTGAGTAAATGCACGGTGTAACGCAACACGGAACTCGTCTGCAGGCCGCCACGGCCGTTTCGATCGCAAAGGCATATGCAATTCCCGCGAGGGGGATGCTTAATGGGTGGTTCGGTGGGAATGCTTTACGACAGAAATGCGCGGGCTTGAGTTTTCCTTTCTGGTTTTGTCTTTTTTCGTTCTTGTGTTTTCTTGATCGCACCGCTCCAATGATATCTCAGGTCCGGGATGCAATGCGCTGTCTAGATACTCTTATCTAGTTTACCATAGTATCCATACGCAGGGCCTATTCGCTGTGCCTCCTAGCTACACAGTGGTACGAAAATTAATTGCTAATATGAGAAAGTAATCTGGCTCTGATCTCTTTCCGTATTTTGGAGAGGTTCCCTCGTAGAATTACCTGTCGAGGTAACTGTGGGTATTCTGTCCTGAAAAGGTATGTGTTCAACCTAAAAAGTGTATTGCTAGTCATTCTCTATGAACTCCTGCAAATATGGTAACAGGGCACTCGGAGCGTTTCCTTTCTTGGAGGGGTGGTAGGACTTGTGTGAGGGTGGGATACTACCACGCGAGAATGCACGTGCTTGATGGCGTGGAGCGGGGACTTTTTGTGTGGATGGATAGTGTTTTTTAGGGCGGTTCGCATTTCTTGGGGTCTTGGCATGTTAAAATTTATCGGCATATAAGTACTTGCTGGTGATCCTCTTCGGTGTAAAGGTAGGATGTGGACGCGGGGATTGAAGAGAAGAGGGGTTGAGCGTGTCTGGGGATGTTTCGGGTTGTTGGTACACTGGTTTCTTGAATATGGGAGTTTTGGATTCTTATTGTTGGGGTAGACTAGTTCTTTGAGCGATTTATTAGCGTGGATTTGGTATCAAGAAATCAGACGGCTGGAGAAAACGTTGTGGTTGGCTCGGGCATGATTGTTCATGTTGCCGGTAGCCGAGGTGAATATATATCGATGTATGTAAGATCAAGCGGGAACCACTAGAGTAGACTGATCAAAAGTTTTAGCGAGTGTAAGAAATAGGTCCACCCAGTCCGCGCGTAATGTATATAAGCATTACTGGAAAAGAGGAGTAAAATTCGACGGAGATCAATCCCTCACTAGACGAAGACAAGACTGCGTATCTGCAACAGCCTACACCGTTCATTGACTCACCCTTAAAAGAATAACTCTGACAACAAAAACCAAGATGGGAGCTTGCAAGTAGGAAGTAATCCGATTAATGTCGTATTTGAAGTCCCCGGTACATCTTTTGACATGGAATAGTGGGTGAAGTTCTCGGCTCGGGAAAATGCTGCTTCGCCGAGACCTGACGTTTAGTTTAACCTTGACCATCGACCAATTGAGAGATATGATCTAGCAGAAATTGATACCAACTGGGTACGAATTTCTCGGTGTTCCTGTGGATTTAGAAATATCCGGCTACTTCATGCCCCCTCCGTACGTCAAGCTTGGCTTTGGTTAGGCTTCGTTCGGGTTAATTATCTTCTGCCGACTATCTGAAATAGTCGAGGACTAGCTTATGAATACTAATCACGACTACCAGTCCTTACATTTCAAACCTGACAGTGCATGAGGTTTCTCTCTTTTTGTCTATCCATCTTCGTTACACCTTGATTGATATTCACGTCCAACTTCATCTTCACAAGACAGCCAGAACGATTTCTACAAGCACAGAATGACATACTCCTCAGCAATGACGACCGTAGTCAGAAACCCACAGCTCCGTCTACTCAATGCTTTACGAACAAATTCAAAGCCTATAATGACCTTTCTAGGCTTGCCATCCTTTCGGGCAGCGCAAATTGTTGCGCAGACTGGCGTTGATGTAAGCTCTCACACCGAAAAATCGGTACTCTCACTGACAGCCATCAGGGTATAATAATAGATTGTGAGCACGGTCATATTAGCGATGATTCCATGCATAGTGCAACTGCTGCCATCGCTGCTTTGGGGGTGTCGCCGCTTGTTCGTCTCAGAATGACGCATCATGATTTGATTAAAAGAGCGTTAGATGCTGGTGCACAGCAAGTTTTCCCTCGGTATTGATTGAGCTGTGCACATGCTAATTCTGGAACAGTGGTATTGTCGTACCGCAAATAAACACTGCTGAAGAAGCCCGGACTGTTGTCTCGCATGCCAAATTCCCTCCACAAGGAGTCCGGGGACAGGGATCGGCTTTTCCAGCTATCGCACATGGCATCGATTTAGCAACTTATATCAAGACGGCCAATGAGACGCTTATTACCTGCTTGCAAATTGAGTCGAAAGCCGGAGTTGAGAATGTCGACTCCATCTGTGCCGTGCCTGGTGTCGGTGAGTTACTGAGTTTTCAAATCCTGCGAATATACGTACTGAGAACTCAAATAGATATGATATTTATTGGTCCCAACGACCTTGCATTATCAATCCTTGGATATGTGCCAGCTAGAGGAGACGAACCCGAATTTGTTGAGGCTATTGAAAAGATTGTTGCTGCGGCTAAGAAGCACGGCAAATGGGTTTCTAGGTTATCAAATACCGGGGCATTGTGCAAGGAGCATTTGAAGGTGTTTGATAGTGTGGCGTTGAGTTATGATGTTCGTGCGATTCAGAATTGGTATACGGCGGAGTTGCAGGCTGCACGGTCGTGATACCTTGGGGAGGATAATAGGGAGATGTTCGATAACACATATATCCTGGGACAAATTATGTATAGTTATGCCAAGAAACAACATTTCTACCCAAGAGCTGCCTTTAAAAGACAGTAATCAATACTTGGTATGTTTTGATCTTCGATTTTGTTCATAGTATAAAGGGTAATGAATGGCTACTCTGAAGCAATATTGAAACTCCCGTGAGCAACTTTCGCCGTGTTCCTCTGTGTTGCTGTGAAATAGAGAGCCATCCATCTGAACTAAGAGATTGACTCCAATACATTCAACGATAGTCTTGACTTGCTTCTGATATATGCTGGTTCCTTACTTAAAATGCCATTTCTGAGAAAAAATTGAACTACACAGCTCGTATGACAATTCCAGCAATTTGAGATCCATATTTTAGAAAGGCTCATCGACCTTCTAGGCCTTGCGCTGCAGAGTATGATAACCAAGCTTCTCCCGCGCCTCAGCAATCGTCGCTCCACCAGCAATCATCTCACGAATCCCATCCTCACTCTCCTCAACCTTCCGCGCAACCTCAGCAACCTCACGAGCACGAGCCCTCGGCACAATGACCACACCATTCGCATCAGCAACAACGATATCTCGAGGCTCGACTCGGACCTTTCCAATACCAACCGACTCATTGACACCTCCCACCTGCACCCGATCTTTGCCAGTTCGCATCCAACGACCAGCAGTGAATAGAGGGTAGTTATCATCGATAGCGCGGTTGACATCGCGGCAGACACCGTCAATAACGGTTCCAGCAATATCCCTCAGACCGGCGTATTGAGTCATGATGTCGCCCCAAACGGTACAATCCGTGCGACCGCCGTTGTCGATGACCACCACGTCTCCGACAGCAACGTCGTCGATGAAATCGCCCACACTGCCGGGTGGATTGCTGGCGGGGACGTAGCGAACGGTGAATGCAGGTCCGACGGTGACCTTTTTGTAGTCGGTCAAGGGCATGATGTTGAAGGCTTGTCCCGGGATACCCAGTTTATCCAGGGCATCGGAGACGCCGGGTGTGTCTGAGTCTGCGAAGAGGGCTACTAGTTCTTCGTCCTCGGCAGAAGCTCTCTTGGGATTCCCTCTGAAAGTGGGCACCACTTCGGAACTGCCTTGTTCCTGCGAAGACTGGGCCTTGTTGATAGCGTCGAACTTCGTGTCATGCATTACCTCGGAAACAGGCTTGCCAGCCCGAACCTCTTGAACCATAATATTCTGTCGTCGATTGATACGCTCACCCAGGTCAAGAACATCCTCCATGCGTTCAGCAGGGATAAATACTGTCCCGCAGTTATCGGCGATAACATAGTCGTCCTGCTTCACTGTCACACCACGCACCTGGATGGGTATCCCAGAATCAACCTGCACCATGCGGTTCCGGGCACTGATCATAGTGACACCCCGGCCGTAAACGGGATACCCAACGTCCCGACTGCCGTCGATATCACGACTCATGCCATCGATGACAGTTCCACGGATGCCCTTCACTTTCGAGGCGTTGGCGATGATATCACCCCAGCATGAGATTCCGTCCAGACCGCCGGCGATGACCAAAATGCGGTCATCAGTTGTGACAGCGCTGATCACGGGTGTTATCAAATGAGTCGTTGGTGCGGTATCAGTCTTCGGGCCAAGTTGGACAGTACTGGCGCGTCCGATGATCTTTGGGCAGTTCCAGAGTGGTCGGAGGCCGTATGTGGCGCCTTGGAGGTTGAGGAAGTCGAGAGCATCGGATACTGTGTTGGTGTCGAGAGCGGAAAGTCTCTCGAGAATTGAGCATTGACTCATATTTGGTATTAAGTCTGGTATGAAGTGGTGAGTAATGAACGTGTACTATGTCTTCGCCTGACCGAGGAGAGTCGTGGTCTTTTATTGATGAACTTGTTCGTCGGAACCGTATACGAAGGACATGCAATGCTCGGGAACAGCATGAACACCCCGACTTTGACTCAAAGGAACATGTGCTACTTTCAAAATGTACCTACCGTGAGAGAGACTTCGGCTTGGTTGTGAGTGCGTGGATGGCTCTTCGGCGAAATGGTCTCTTGCCGAGTTTCGCCTCTCCTGGTAGCATGTCCGCGGAGTATCCCACAGAAGCAGGGTTGAACAAAGTTTTATGCTCTAGCATGATTCAAAGCAAGAATCCTGCTATCCAATGTCACTGGCAAATTCACGACCTGATATCGGACTTCCACGCTGGCGGCTAGAAGGAGCAGAAGCAAGAAGCTGCATATCTTGTTTGGCGAGCTTCTTCGGCGAGTGCAGTTCGAATCTTTTGAGAGAGTCTACAAAGATTTCATCACCGTTCTTTAAAAGAGAAGGCCCAGAAGATTGGTCTGGGGGACGTCTATTTCGGTGAACAGAGGAGATGTGTTCGAGGCGAACGGCTAGTATGCCCTCATTGAACATTGCCATAGATAGAGACATCTGGAAAGACTTAATAGACGCGATACTTGTCTATTTCAATCTCCGACGTGTAAAATGGAAAGGAGCGTGTCTGAATAAGATTGCGGAGAGAACAAGCCTTGACTTTTCTGGCAAAAGTAGGGCCGGACAAACTCAAGTTCCTTCTGAGTTGAGAGGGTTTCCAATTTTGTTTAGCTTCAAGGTCAAACGAGCGAGTTAACTCCATTCTGGAAGGCACGAAATCATCGCTGCCTCGTTGTTTCCATCTTCCCCACGAATCTTTCATCTCCTTCCACACCGACAACACTCTTTCCGCCTCACCTCACCACAAGTCAACCCGTCAAGTGCAAGTCACTCCCTCTCGCTCCCTTTACACCATTCACAGTATCACTGACCAGAAAGCCATGCCTAGTACCTCAATCTACAACACTGAGGAAATGGCCCGAGGACGAACGCGGTATCGCGAAGATGACGCCCTGGAGACAATCACATTTGATGACGCACTAGGCTTGTCGCTAGATTCACCAGAGGAATCATTGGAGGAGGACTCCGATGACGAAGGTCCAGCTTCAGTGACATCCAAAAACAGGGATTCATGGCCGTCATGGCCGGAGACAACGTTCTTGAAGACCTATCCTATGCGTTCCCCGGTTGAGTTCGACAGTTCCGGGATTGACTTTAAAACTTCCCCGATTAACTTTAATACCATCACCATGCCGGATGAGGATTCACGTATCACAAGCATTGCCACAACTGCGAGCGAGCACATCACTGCCCTACGACTCGTCGCAGATTCAGTCGCACAGCAGAGACAACTCGCCGCCCGGGCTATCCTCTTCGACCCCATCTGCTTGGCCTTGTTACCACTGGTGCCAGCGGGGATGTACTACTCACCCTACAAAGACCGCATCGACATACTCACTATCCTGCTGCTCAGCACCGGTGCTCTCATGGCGTTCGGGAGTATCGTAAAGTGGTCGCTGGGGGGATACCTTGATGCAGCGGAGAGAGTTGGCACGTGGAGATGGCTATACGGATTGGAAGACGACAATGCGACGAAGATGCGAGGTCACTACCAGGGAGGTGTGTCCAACAAAAGATACGACGGAGAGCAGGTGCAAGTCCGGAGCATCCATTCAAAGCGGGATATCGTCCTCGTCACCCGACCTGACCCCTTCGGCGAAATCATCGGTACCATTATCCTCCGTATTGTCCCCATAACGCGCGTTTCAAGGCTGTCAACTGGGTCAAACAGCTCCCAGAAGAGGCGTCTGAACACCCCTCGCTCCATGCGCGATTGTAAAGCGATCATTCGTGCCTGGACCGTCAAGCAGAGTCACCGCGGTGCTGGGATCGGAGCGTGGATGCTCAAAGACGCTATCGAGCTTTGCTTGCAGTATGGATGGGTGGGGCCGGAGTTTGCGATGGATCATGCGAATTCGGTGCGCGTTCTCCCACAGCTGTTCAATGGTTGGTTGGATGCGATGGAGGCTCGAGCGAAGAAGAGGCTACGGCGGGATATTGCGACTCTGACTGCGGCGCTGGAGGTTGCGGATGGATCAGCCATGCCGGGGGTTCTATAAGCGTATGGAGCACAGGATGAATGATGCCATGGAATGGGAATATCACTCACAATATTCGAACTCTATCAGGATGAATATTATTTCTTACTTCGGATTATATCTGTCCTGGAAAGGGCATTGGGAATGGTAGTCATAGGCGAGAGTGTCTAGCCCGCAATGTGTATGAATATTGAATCTCCCTCTTCGTGGTTGTCGAGATCAAACATAATTGCGTAGCCCATGTCGATAATTCAAAATCAATATCAACTGTAGACAGAAAATAACTCGGAATTTCCAAATCAGGCTATGCCGACCGAGGCTGCGAGAGTCTCATTGCTGTACAGGAGGATAACTGCGGTCGGACATAAACCCCAGTCACGATACACGCGTCCAACGCACTATGTCCCTCCTCCGCCAACGACGACAACATCCTTCAACTCCTAGTCTTGCATCCCGAACAATCACCGATCCCAAGCCGAAATTGATCCCGAGTCTCCCGGTACGACCAAAGATTCCATTATTCAATCCCGCCTAATAACCCCGGAGATTGGCATTTTAGCCATCACACAAACAACCATACCATCTTCCATCCCAAGAAGCCTGCCAATTTGCCGGTAAACCTACCCAGTTCCATGTTTTTATCCCGGGTGCGTCTTGATCCGCCCTAAGCCGATTCGCAGGACGCTAAGTTCTTAGAGTCTGGGCGGCGGGTGAGGCGTGCAGTAGGGGCGTCGGTGGCGTGTTAGCCTGTTGGCAGGTGCAGAGTGACGAAAGGTGTGAACTCCCGGCTAAATTGGGTTCAAGGCGACATCAACCGTGCACAATGTGGGAGAATGTGGGATGTGGGGATTTGTCCTGACTCCTGGGGGTTAGGAGACGGTGGATGGGGCTGGATTGTTTCGGTGACCTTATGAAGAAGAGCTGGCAAGTGTGACTTGGCTGGATGTATCAAGACGAAGCTGACGACATCTAGAGACAGTGGTCGAATAACCAGGGGTTTCTTTTGCACAACGAGTATCTCCATGCTCTTTTCAATATCTATCCCTTTCTCCATTATTCCCTCCTCCATCCTGCTCGACCCGGGGAGTATCCGCAATTCCCAGTGGACCCGACCCTTCGGCTTCGCCAATGAGCCCTCGTGCTCGGCCCTACCCCGTTCAGAACGCGGGCGATACCGACAAGTCGAGCGTGGATGTGCCTTTCGAATTGCGTTAACATCTCCAATCCAAGCATCTTCATCATACAACCAGAATACCCATCACTCTTGGCAACAACTCGGAGTTCAAAACTCGGACAGCTAGTCTAAACCCTAACACCAAGCCACCCGAGCCGCGATCCCGAAGCAAAGCAGAATCCCGGGATCTGCTCCGTTCCCCGAATCTTCTCAATTTACCCAGCAATTCACCCGGGTAATTCCCCGCGTCCCACATTATAGCGCTATGCCGGCCTAACTGCTGGATGCAGCCACTGACCGTTGCAAGTCGTGCCCGCAGCCGACCCGGTTCCTGGCCGGAACACGCGGTGCTTCGGCTTGTCTCGGTGGAGACTCGTGCCATTCGAGAAGCACGCTGATTGAATGTGGACTGATGCACCCCTCCGCTCTAGTGTATCCTGTCGGACCATACATAGGCTAGAATGGGAGATGGCCCCCGTGGGGATAAAGTCGGGGAAATTTAGCCAGTCGGAACTTGCAGGCTTCGGGGATTCCCATGTAATGGTATGAATAAATAGAGCGCGAATCCCCGGGAGTCTGGCGTTGACGCGTCTCGGTCGGTCTACTACTTTCATTTCTTTTGGCCTTAAGTTGAGATCTGAGAGATTGAACCCTTCGTGTCAGGATATACCCCCATACAATTCAATATGGTTGCGCCGCTTCCTGGGGGAGACGGCCATTTCGGCCAAGCGGGCCGAACTCGCGGGCAAAGGTGGAATATGGGGTCTACTGAGCAACAAGAAGACCTCTGCGATTGGACTATTCGCCTCTCTGGGTGGCTTGGTGTATGGATGTGAGTCGATCTCGTCTATCTCGCAACAATCGGCGTGATTCTAACTCGGGAATCAGACAACCAGGGAATGTTCGCGCAGGTCTTGACCATGAACTCATTCCAGAAAGCTGTATGTACCACAGCCCTGGGTGTTTATGCTGGGTACTTGACATGTCTGACTTTCTATAGACGCAAGGATACGCTGCGACTACGAGTATCCAGCAGGGCATGTTAACCTCAATTCTCGAGCTCGGTGCTTGGGTCGGAACTTTGTTTAATGGTTATCTCGCCGATGCTGCCGGTCGTCGACTCACTGTGCTGATTGCCGTTGTTGTGTTTTGCGTCGGTGTGATTGTTCAGGCATGCACGCAGAATAAGGACTATGTCTTTGCGGGTCGGTTCGTGACTGGTCTGGGTGTGGGTAGTTTGAGTATGGTTGTGCCGCTGTATAATGCCGAGCTGGTGAGTGATATATACTTGAGGAAATTGCTGTCAGTGCTGACCGATTACAAGGCCCCTCCTGAGATTCGTGGATCGCTCGTTGCTGTGCAGCAATTGGCGATTACTTTTGGTATCATGGTTAGCTTCTGGGTATGGCACCCCCTAACCTTTTATTATCAGTCCACGACTAACGAGTCAGATCGGCTACGGAACAAACTACATCGGCGGCACCGGCGACTCCCAATCCAACGCGGCCTGGCTCATCCCCATCTGCATCCAGATCCTACCAGCCATTATCCTCGCCGCCGGTATGATGTTATTCATGCCCCAATCCCCACGCCATCTAATGAACACCGGTCGTGACGAGGAATGTCTGCAAACTCTGGCCCGTCTGCGCGGTACCTCTACTGATGACTTGCTCGTTCGAATTGAGTACCTGGAAATCAAGAGTCTACATCTCTTTGAAAAGGAAACTGCTGCTGAAAAGTATCCCCATTGGCAGGATGGATCATTTAAGAGTCGTTTCCAGATTGGTTTGCATGATTATATGTCGCTTATTACGAATCCGTCTTTGTTTAAGAGGACTACCGTTGCTGTGTGTATCCCCGGACCCGGGTATGTTTCCCTACTGACGGAGAATAGTGCATGATCATGGTCTTCCAGCAGTGGAATGGCATCAATGCGATTAACTACTACGCGTGAGTCAAATATCACCGGGCACATCTTGTTTGCTTTACAGTCTAACAACTACCAGACCCTTCATCTTCGAAGACATGGAACTCCCAGGCAACACAACAACCCTCTTAGCAACCGGAGTCGTCGGCATCGTCGAATTCCTCTTCACCATCCCTGCCGTCCTATGGGTCGATCAAATCGGACGCAAGAAGATCCTCATCGCCGGTGCAGCCGGTATGGCCATCTGCCACTTCATCGTGGCGGGTATCATCGGCGCGTATCAGCATGACTTTGGCGAGCACCGCGCTGCGGGATGGACTGTTATCGTGTTTGTGTGGATTTTCGTGATTAACTTTGCGTATTCGTGGGGTATGTATATCGCTATCCTTGGAATCCACAAATCACCAAGATGAGAAGCTAATCAGTGTGTTCTTGAAGGTCCCGTTGCATGGATTGTCACGTCGGAAGTCTTCCCGCTTAGTATGCGCGCCAAGGGCGTTAGTATCGGCGGTAGCAGTAACTGGGTATGCGAAATCTACAATCCCATCTTTCCCCTTGGTCTGCTCACTAACTTATTCGCAAGCTAAACAACTTCGCCGTCGCAACTGCTACATCACCCTTCCTCGACAAGAGCGCCCTCGGTGCATTCATCTTCTTCGGCTGTGTGACTACCATTGGTATCGTATATGTGATCTTCTTCGTTCCTGAAACTCGCGGTCGCACGCTCGAGGAGATGGATGAGCTCTTCGGGACGGCTGGTATGGCTGCTGCTGATGCCGCCCGCAAGGCTCGCATTGAGAGTGAGATTGGACTTTTGGCCCTGGTCGGTGTTGAGAGTCCGGAGAGTGAGAAGAAGGTGGAGGAGGTTTCGCATAGTGAGGAGTATGTTCGTGAAGACGAGGGTGTTAAGCAGACGTAGGCCTGCTCTTTTTACTCGATGTGATCAAGCCTCGGGTCGAGTTACACAGCGTCGTTTCAATCTAGTTTGTTGCCCTGGATTTGGATGCAAGGAGGTAGCTTTTTCGACCTGAGCTGACGTACGCGAGGCGATCGTACTCCATCATGAATATGAATGGAGAAGTAACTGTAATAGACAGAATCATATTGTATCGTTCCTGCCACACTATCTTCCTATATTGATATGATCATGAGCAGAATGCGCTACTTCTGTCTACCTAATTGAGTCGATTGTCAGAGCATTCAACTTTCCTATTGTAATTCAATCGACAATCATCCACCTTGCGAGGCCAGATGTGGCGTGAAACTAGCCGACATGTCATGCAATAACGCCCATCCCGCATGGTACCCATCACACAAGACCCATACAAGTGCCGAGGAGCTGTCGTGCATCTGATCCGTCATACAACCTCCTATCGCGAGTAGAACATACCATCCAACCTTTTTATACTCTTTGGTACTTACATGAACGAAAGAACCTCCCAGTTCAAGCTCAGCTCTCGAGTAAACATCCCCCAGCGACCCTCGCTAATTCCCAGAAGAAAATCTGACAACCTCCAATTTCAGCGTGTTAAATATAGTACTCGGTGGGTCCTCGATGGACTTCCCCACAAATGGGCGTTCTGCTTGATCGGGTACCGACCTGAGACCTGACGATCATCAGCCAATTAAATGGCCTAATACGAGCTGAGGCTGGGCTGTTGGGCCTGGTTTGTCTTAGTTGAACCTGTGGGTTGCTTGTGATTGATTGATTGCATGGTTTGATGGGTGTGAGATGTACAGTGTACGTACGGGGCTGAAATGATGGAGAAATCGTTTCAGGTCGATGCCTTTTTTCTTTTTTCTTATGGGCTTGGGCTGCTGCCTTGTTTTTCTTACTTTTGCTTCTCTCTGATTTTTACCTTCTTCCTCCTCCATCCAACCTATCTCCATCAAACCTACCAACTACCAACTACAAGACTCTCCGCTGCAAACTCTTGAACACCTCCTGCTTACTCGTGTCACCAAAATCTACCTACCACCTCCAATAAATCCTCCACACCAAAATGGCCGCCATCTCAAACAGCACCTGCACCGGCAACGTCTACGTCCTCCCCAACGTCACAGACGCAGCCTGCGGCGCCCCAATCTCCGGAAACATCACTGACGCCTTCGACTCCTGCTGCAAGGGCAACTCCCCCGTCAAATACGACAATGACTGCGGCATCTACTGCCTGGCCCAGGACCAGACCGTCGACGAGCTGACCAAGTGTCTCGAGAAGGAGAGCGGCACTTACTCTATCTTCTGCAACAAGCGCGGCAATGCAACCGCGACCGCTGCTGCGACGACCACCAAGGCCACTTCTACTGGTACTTCGACGGGTACCAGTGCGGCGAGCACTAGCTCCGGTGCGGCAGTCGTGAACCAGCCCGTTTCTAAGACTGGTCTTGGTGTTATGGCGATGCTGTTCTGCTCGGCGCTGATGGGTGTTGTTGCTTGAGGGAGTACAGTTGGGGGATGAGATGCGGGGTGGCATGATGATAGGAGTCGACGGGCATGCGATCGTGCAATTAGCGTGGGATATCAGTCTGAACTAGGCTGGCAATGTTGTGATGCATTGCAGGACTGCGCTGAGACACGGAAAAATATCCTGCGCCCGTAATACCCCGGTCGGTCAGCCTGATCTCACGATGGAGTCACTTTTCTTTTGTTTCTATTACCTTCTCGATGTACAACTACGCGAGCCACTACATAATGAGTCTAATCCAGTGCACTTTAATGTCTCTATTCATACACCGGAAGAATAACTCACAAATTGACCTATAGCTATCTACATCGATGACTATCGTGAGCGGACATCTGCCGATCCTCGTCTCCCCACACTTTCGACAGCGCCCGTTTAGGCAATTTTCCGGGGTCACTATAGTCTTGTCTAGTTTACCCCGCTGCAGGGTATTATTCAGGGACCTGAAAATGAGGAGGTGGAAGACATAAATAATGGACCTGGCAGACGAATCTTTCATCATGGTCAAACAAGATGTACAGCACTGCAATTGTTCTGTCCGCTTTGGTGGCAGCGCCTCTGGCCCTTGGGGCTGCTTTGAGGCCGCGACTTGACAATGGCGTCGCAAAGACTCCTCCAATGGGGTAGGCCATTATCCTACCAGTTATGGAGCAAAGTACTGACTGTCGCCAGGTGGAATACCTATAACCACTACTCCTGCACCCCCAATGAGACCATTGTCAAGTCCAATGCGAAAGCCCTGGTTGACCTTGGCCTTGCTGATCTAGGATACCGCTACGTCACTACTGATTGTGGCTGGACAGTCGCCAATCGTACTTCAGACGGGTCGTTGACGTGGAATGAGACCCTGTTTCCGAGTGGGTTCCCAGCACTCGGGGAGTATATCCATGGTCTGGGGCTGCTGTTCGGTGTTTATGAAGATGCCGGCATCAGATCGTGTCAGACGGACATGGAGCAGGCGGGGAGCTTGTGTATGTCTTAACGGTAACATGGAGGATCTGCAGCACAATGTACTAATAATTGTTTCAGATCACGAGGCTCAAGATGCTGCGTTATTTACTTCTTGGAAGATCGATGCGCTGAAATGTAAGTGGCCCCTACCATAGCATACGCTCCCCAACCCTCTATACCACGTCAGCTAATGTCCACCAGACGACAATTGCTTCTCTGACGCAGCGACCGGCTATCCAAACGTCAACTACGAGCCAAGCACATCGCCGAGCGCGCGATATACAAACATGACCAAAGCTCTCGCCGCGCAAGGCCGCTCCGTGCTCTTCCAAATCTGCGAATGGGGTGTTGATTTCCCTGCTCTGTGGGCGCCAGCTCTGGGCAATACATGGCGCATCGGCAACGATATCATCCCAGCCTGGCGAGCTATCTACCGCACCTTGAACCAAGCTGTCCCGCAAACATCTTTCGCGGGGCCCGGTCAATGGCCTGACTTGGATATGCTGGAAGTTGGCAATGATATCCTGACTACCGCGGAGGAACAAACCCACTTCTCGCTCTGGGCTATACTGAAGAGTCCACTTGTTATCGGTGGTGCTTTGAAGGATGAAGTCACTTCGATCAGCGATGCATCCCTGGCCATCTTATCCAACAAAGATGTTATCTCCTTCAACCAGGACTCACTTGGTGTCAGTGCAACCTTGAACCGTCGGTGGTCTGAAGAAGGGTACGAAGTGTGGAGTGGTCCGCTGTCTGGTGGCCGGACTGTTGCTGCGCTGATAAATTGGGCTGATGAGTCGCGCGAGTTGACCCTTGATCTCCCGGACGTGGGTATCCAAGCCGCGGGCACAGTGAAGGATATTTGGGCTGGTAAGACTGTCAGTAATGTCAAGAGCTCTTATACGGCTACTGTAGCAGCACATGGTGTGATGCTAGTGGAGCTCAGCGATACCACTGCATCTGGCACTTACCCGGCTTCCAAGTTCGGGACCTCCAAGGGGTGAGTTGCCTTTCTCAGCAGGGTCCCGATTCAATACTAACTCGCTATAGAAACTCGGTGACATTCAACTCGATCTATGCGAACACAACAAGTGCCAATCATACCCTTGTGGTCGCATTCTCCAAGTCATCGTCAAAGGCAACCAGCATTACCGTGCAGTCCTCATCAACGCAGAAGAAGAGTACAATCAACGTCCCAGCCTCTAGCAAGACAGTCTCAGCCTCCATTTCCCTATCCGCCGGCTCATCAAACACAATTACCATCAGCTCAACACTCGCAATCGACTCTATCCAAATCCAATCCCCAGCTGGCACATACTACCCGTCTACTTCCTTCACCCTCGCAGGCTCAGCAACACTAACCCAGTGCGGCTCGGGCTTCTGTCAACCCGTCGGATCAAAGATCGGTTACCTCGACAGCACAAATACCGCCAGCATCACAGTTTCCGCTACAGTTTCCGGCACTACCTCGTCCAAGTACCTTGAATTGGACTACATCAACAACGACATCGCATTCTCGACTTCCTGGGGTCTGGGCGCAAACGCGCGCAATATTACTGTCGCTGTGAATGGTGGAGATCCTGTTAGACTTGAGGTTCCGTTATCTGGACAGCATAGTGAGCTCTTTGGACCTGGGCTTGGTTGGTGGGATACGGCTTCGCTGGGTGTTGTGGTTGATGGGTGGAAGGATGGTGATAATGAGGTTGTTGTGGGGAATGTGGCTGGTAGTGATGCGTTCCAGACTTGGGGTGCTGATTTTGTTGGGTTCAGGGTTTTTGACTAAATTGAACTGAGTTAGTATATATTTAACATCGAACAAGTCACTAGCGCTAGACTACGTATGATGGGCAACAGGAGACTATTCATTCTGCCCTCATGACACTGTCCAATCATCAAAGATACTGACCTTGTGGTTACACAGCTTTCAGTTATCACATAACTTCCTTGCCTGAATTATCTCTCTCAATAAAGTGACCATCAGTGGGCTACCCAGAAGTAGTTCTCGTAATTGCTGTCACTGTTGTATGCGCCGCGCTATATTCAGAAAGGAAAGCCGCTTCAGTAGCTCCCGCAGCAGTTCAGACTGGCCGGCCGGTCTACACAACGAAGCAGCTACGAAATATGGACTTGGAAGCAAATATAACGAGCAATATTGAAGAAGATATCTCGCGGGAGGAAGAGGTCAAACTGAGTAATGCAACTGCTTTGAAGTATGGACGATGGGGATCATGATCCACCTCAGTGAAGCTGGAGGTTTTTAGGAAACTTGGTGGCGGAACAATCTTCGGAGATATATTCTACACACGGACCTGTCCAGCAACGAAAGAAATTCCTCGCAAGTTCCAAGGTTGGGTGGAGAAGACGATCAAATTTTTTTTAACACGTACAACCCGTATACGGTGTCCATAAGATCCTAACTAGGGTTCAGAATTACTAGTACTATGTACAATAAAAAGTTTCGGAGGGGATAATCGCTGAGCTTCAGATTGCACCATTCTACCATCATCCAACTCCCAAATTTTCAACCACAACCCAATTACCCCAATTTTTCCGGGCGCATTTGTTTCGTCTCACGTAAATCTGGACAAGGAAAGCGTTATAGGCAGACCATATCAGTAGTAAGGGATGTTTCCCTCGAATTTCATATCCATAAAATACTGAACCGCAAAGTTGAAGAACACCGGGTCTTCAAGGAGAGCATGATGACCGACCTGCGGTAGAATCAATTGACCGGCATAAGGAATCCAGGCAGCCATGGCATCTACTTGATTTCTCTCAACAGCGGTATCATGGTCTCCATCGACGATCCAGACTGGACATTTGATTTTGGCCATTGCCTCGGGGCCCCAACTAGGTTCTGTGTTCCACATACTAAAATGCATTATTAGTCTGAATTCTTTTTGGGTTTGAGGATTTGAGAGGAAACATACGTGTCCACGCTATCTTTCATATCTTCGCAGCGTGAAGGTAAAGGACTAAGACTCTCGCATGTATACGGGTTGCACTTATCGCGTTTGCGTAGTCGTGAGGTATCCGTAGAAAATGTAGTACCGTTGGTAGAAAAGTCGGAGTCGAGGCTTCCGGATTTGGAGTTAATGATCGGATCATTTGTACCGGGGATACTCATGTTCGCTTGAATGTTTGCGCCGTGGGCGAATACGCGCTCGATGCGTGAGGAGTAGTTCATTGCTAGGTCGAGGCTGGTAATAGCGCCGTCGCTCCAGCCAAGGACTGCTACCCGTGGGATGTGTAGATGGTCGAGTAGAGCGATTGCATCGCGGGTGAAATCATCGTAGTGGAATCCTTCAAAGTTGGCGTAGGGACTGCGACCTTGGCCTCGAGTACTATGGAAGATTGTTATACAGGTGTTTCAATTGGTCGAAGGATGGATGGTCATACTCTTGAAGAATCACCCGTCGAGTCTGGGCGAGCATGTTCGCTTGGTTGTACATTTGGTTGCTGTTGCCAGTGCCGCCGTGCAGTATAAGGACTGGCGTATGCTTCGAATCCTCTGGACCCATTGTCTTATACCAGAGATCAACTCCAGAGGAGAGGTTCAAATATTGACCGACATCTCCATTTGAAAAGGGGCCTGAATTTGGCTCCCACTCCCAACGAAGTACTGAAGCATTGTAGGTTGGTTTCGGATCGCAAGGGTTGGCACTTGTCAAACGATGAGCATGATGACCGCTGTCATGTATTAAAAACACAAATAAATGCTGTTCACATACGCGATAGATAGCCCACCAAGCATCAACCCTACCAGCCCCTCGGAAAATAGCCGGTTTGTTCGCATTTCGCAATGGGTGTTTTTACCTTGGCCTCGACACTTTGACATTATCAAACCAACAGGGATATATCCGTGTATATATGGTAAATTTCCTACGCGTTGCCATTGCCAATGGATCTGATGCGTACGATTCTAAATACTAATTACAGTCCGGAATGCGGGGCCTGGGCCAATTATCGATGAGTACGGATAGCTAGCGAGTGGTGCCAGCAAAGAATAATCGCGATTAGTGCCGTTTCCGCGGCGCTAGGGGCTCGCCGGGATTGCAAACTAGTCTTAGATAGCGCATAGTACTATCTATGTAGGAGGACGCCTTGGATGTTGGTCTGCTCGTGGATTGCTTAAAGGGGCATGGAAGAGGGTTATTCTGGGCCTTTGGTGATACGAGAGGTAGGACACTTTGAGGGGTAGTACTCTTGATGGGTCAAAAGTAGTCTATAGGAGACATAAATCAGTCTGCACTAATGAATTGCTTTCATGGTTTATACGAAATGGGTGTGAGGCTCTGGGGAATCAAGAAAGGTTTGCTGAAATCAACCCGACCGTGGAGCGATGGTCATTGCGCCACTATCCAGCCTATCTCCGTGATAGACCCTCTTCTAGCACGAGGAAGGTCTGAGATATGAGGCTCTGTGTCTTCCACCGTCTTCCACGCACAGAAGCAAGTAGTTCATGGAGAGTTTCTTGGCAACCGAGGCTTAGCTGCCCCCGTTCACAGCTTGAGATGCTGTCACAATCATGACGCAATGCCCAGCCCATCCTTGGCAGTATTCCTGAACTTGGCCAGAGAACCAGGGAGTAGGACCAATGCCTTGACGTGGTTACTCTGACTTTAAACAAGTATATAAAGAACTTGATTTCTGCATCCACGATAATCCAGATTGTCCCATACTGTATTTCAGTTTCCTTGAATTGGCACTTCTATCTCCTTCACTCTCATACCTTCCCCAATCTTATCACCACGTGATCCAAGATGCTCGGCCAGACTCAAAGACCCGCCGTGCGCGTCATCAGCCGAGTCCGCTGCCGGGTCAAACCTCGTGTCTACAATGCTCGTTTCCAGTCCACCTCGTCAGGCGCGGCTTCTTCCGGTACCAATTCCGCCTTGATTGGCGGTCTTGCTGGTGGCGCTTTTGCTGCCGCAGCCGGATACACCTGGTACTCCTTCTCCGGTGCAAAGACACTGGTCGACACCAACAAGCAAGCCAAGCAATACCTTGAACAAGCGAAGCAGAAGATCTCCGAGAACGCACCCGAAGCCAGCGAATCGTATGCCTGGTTCAAGAAGACCGTGACCCGCTACGCCGTGTTCATCCCCGGCGCTCGCGAATATGTCGATACCGCGTTCAAGGATCTGGAAAAGATCAAGGAGCACCATGGCGAGGAGTTCGACAAGATTACCCAGGATGCATATAAGGAGTTGAGCGATGTATCGAAGAAGGGCGGTTTCGATACCAATACGGCTTTCGAGGCATTCTACGTTTTGCAGAAGCACCTCGATCGTCTGCTCGATCTGGCTGGAGATGTTGGCGAGGATATTCTGGATAACCATCCCAAGGTCAAGGAGAAGCTGGGCGGTAGCTTCGACCAGCTGAAACAGATGGGCGATGCGTATGGACCTAAGGCCAAGGAGGAGGTGAACAAGACATGGAGTCAGGTCTCGGACATTGTGAAGCGCGGCGCAAGCCTAGATGCGGTCGCGGAGATCAAGAAGTTGATCGATGAAAAGAAGGAGAAGCTTCAAAAGCTAGGCGACGAGGCCTGGCAGAAGGGTCTTGACGAGTCTCACCAATTCCTGGAGAAGAACCCCAAGCTGAAGTCGCTGGTCGAGGAGAATGCCGACGCGCTTAAGAAGGGCAATTTCCAGGATTTGTGGGGTATGCTGAAGGACAGCGCTTCTTCGGGCAATACCGAGGCTGTGGAGAATTATGTCAAGGAGAAGGTCGATCAAGTGAAGAGCAGTGGGTTTGGCGATCTGGATAAGTGGTTGAAGGCGATTCCCGGCGGTTCCAACATTATCCCCCAATTGCAGACACTACAAAGTGTTGCACAAAAGAAGGGAGGCGAGGCTGAGAAGGTGCTTAAGGAGACATTTGAGGAGATTCAAGAAGTCTTGAAGAAGAGAAAGGAGCAGGTCGAGAAGATCGCCGAAGATGCGAAGAAAGAGGCCAAATAAACTCTACATGACTGTACCATAGCATTTATGTACAAATAATATCATTTGAACAGAACATTTACTTCGAGTATCCCCTGGGTATATCCATGCCAATCTCATCTTTACATCCAAGTAATATAACGGGTGTGTGCACTAACAAACTTCCTTCCCGTCCATAGGTCGTCCAGTCATTGCGCTTCAGCCAAGCCCTATCATAGCGCCACTGATGTTTCAACGTCATGATGAGTGCAAGCGCAGAAGTTTGATATCCTGGAGAACCCACCAATCAGCATCGAGATTGCATCTTCCATTTCGAGGAAGTTGCGACATGGCCTCTCTTTATTTATCACAGCAGCAACACCGATCTCTAGACACCATCTGCCTGGATAGATTCTTCTTCCAAATATTCTAGACCACAACTTCCATTCTTCAACTATCTACGGACATCTAACCATCCCCAAATGGATCGCAGACCCTCAATCAACCACAAAGCAGCATCAACCAACAAAGTCCCAACACCACACGCAAAAGCCCCCGTCACACGATCATTATCATACCATTCACCACAAGAGTCTCCCAACGCCTCAGGTCCATCAAAGAGCAACACGCGAGACAATGGAAACTACAGTCGCCAACTACAGACAGCTTCCACAGAACTCCTAAACGACGAGAGAGTCGGACTAGGTTCGAAAGCGGGACGAACCCTACAAAATGTCCTCATGGACACTGAGCATCGTTTGAAAGAGCAGAGGAGGGAGTCGCTTCATCAGCCAGGTCATAAGTAGGTGGACCTATATTCTACAGTTTGGCTCTATGGGTATTTGACCGTTCTCAAGGACGTTGGCAACTGGCTAGGTTCATACCGAGATATGATGGTCTCCGAGATACATACCACCCATATCCAGATAGTATACAGCTACGACTGAGACGGGTAGTTGCACGGGTCGAATATGGTCAGGCAGTTCTTCCATAGCAGGTATACGGAGAATGGGGGTGGATAATGGCTTATGATTATTATTGAAACGATTCACAACCAGAATTTATGAATTACGGGGAAATTTTTCAAGCTTCGAGTATCATATAAAATAATGGACATGCTGTAACCTTAGTGGACATGTACAGTGCCTCCCTGGTGACATGATTCGGGTGTCATCTAATGAGATGTCAAGCACTACAGGCTTCCCCCCTGTTGAAAGGCAATCGGTATATAATCATTACCCACAAGCAATGCAGCGGAGTATTCACTAGCGAGTGGCATATGGCTTGTAGTAGGACTTGAAATACACACAAAATAATCCATTATATATGAGAATACAAATGGCTCCAGAAGAATCTATATACACGCCAAGTTCCGGGACAGCCCTTCGTCGCACAGGATCACCAGCCCCGTAGAAAATATCATAAATCTCAAATCCACACATAAATGCAAAGAAAATGCAAGTTTACTGCCCAGTGGCAGACTTCACCATACTCTCAAAGTTAGGTGTTCCCAACCCACTAACAGGATCCCAGCCCTCGGTAGCATTCCAGCTAGCGTAGGGCACGACGGGACCACCGTTAGCAGAACCACCGAAGCGACTGTTTCCATCACAACCAGTGCTTCCACCGGTAGTGATATCGTTCAGGGCATCGGTGTTCGAGTACAACCACGGGTTGAGGAAGCCCATGCTTGGCTGGCCAGCCTTGATACGGGCATCGTTAAGCAGAGCGATGACACCCGCGAACGTGGGCGCAGAGGCCGATGTACCGTCCACCTTGGTGAGACGGCCCTTCTCGTAGATAGCGTAGTTCTGGCCCTGGGCGGCAACATCGGGGAATGCACGGCCGTTGGGGTTGAAGAGGCCTGCTTGACGGGTGCCGAGTTTAAGGAGGTAGGTGCTGACGGCGGCGGTTTGCCAGGCGGGGCGGTCCCAGAGGTCGGAGAAGCCGCCGGAGGAGAAGTAGACGGCCTTTTCGGGTGCGGTGTGAGTGGTTGCGCCGACGGCGGTGACCCAGGGGCAAGCAGCCGGGAATTGAGGGGGAAAGTGAGTCGTGTTCTTGCCGTCGTTGGTCTGGCAGGCTGCGCCGACGCCGGAGTCGCCGGAGGAGAAGATTACGGAGACACCACGGCTGCCGAGTTGGGCGAAAAGGTTGCAGACGCTGCGGGCGTAGCTGGCAGGGACGCTCTGTGAGAGAGGTTAGTAAATGGTATTGGCTTTATGGCTTGGTAGTTTTGCTTACCTGCTCGTCCTCACCGTAGGAGGTAGAGATAACCTGGGGCAGGTCCTCATCATCCATCTTGACAACGTTCTGCAGGAAATCCAGGTACGGCTCATTGTTGTTGTTGTTCGGGTCAGGCTGGTCCAAATCGGGAACAAGGGGTGCACGACCACCAGTGCTGAACTCAGTGACTGGGACGGGGGCGCTGACACCGACAATATACTGCAGATCCAAGTTGGCCTCGCTGCTATCAGCTGCGGAGTTCTGGTCGTTAAGACCACCGTGGTACTCGATGACGGTGAAGTTCAGGCCCTTGGCATAGGGAGCAATATCTTGCTCGAACAGAGCAAGATCGGCGTACCGCGCATACTGCTCCAGGTAGCTAGCAAAAGCAACCTTGTTGCCATTGGAAGCACCGGCCTGGTAGTCACCAACCTTGTACAGATCCTTTAGACACTGAGGAGTGATAGCGCTGTTGCAATCGGAGCTGGCAGACATGGCAGCCTTACGGAAACTCTCGTCGGCGGCCTTGGCCTTGCCGTGTAGGGTAATGCGATTGGGGTGGAGCTGACCGAAGCGAGTGGTAGGAGTCACGAGGTTGATGTGGGAGACGAGAGACTCGGGGATGGAGTACTCCAGGGTACGCAGACGCTCGACGTGCTTGTAGCGGTTGATGTAATATTGGAAGTTGGCATCCAGGAGGTTATTGGCCTTCTCCACGGTCGTCTGGAACGACATCCAGTCGGCATCTTGTTGGATATCGGTGATTCCGTACTCCCTGAGCCACTCGAGAACTGCATCCACGGAGGAAGAAGTGGGCTGCAGCATGCGTTTCATCTCATCGTGAGTGCGGAAGTGCTTTCCATAGTTGGGGTGATCGGGTGTCGACATGTCCAGCACGGCTTGCTCGAACCCGGCAGCGTTACCCTGGGTTAGGGCAACCTGCAACTTGATGGGTTGGTCTCCACGGGGAGTTCGGGAATAAAGCCATCCTAGCAGAGAGGCAACAAATTAGCCATAGCCACCAAGGGAAGAAAGTACTCCTTAAGTGATTCTACCTTCAGGAACAGCAGCGAGCTTGTCAAACACTTCAGCCGCAGCAGTGGACGCCAATAACGAGACCACTGCCAGCGACAAGGCGCCTCGGTTCATCAGAGACCCGAACATAGCTGGAGACAAGGCACAAAATGAAGGCACACGACTCCTAACTAGTCTTCACTGCACCACAGGGATAACCCGAGGCGAAGGTCCACAGTATAAATAACCAAATGGGCCCCGGAATGACGGAGACGAGAGAGAGGGGTGGACCCGCGTAGGAGTATTTATTTATTATGATCAATTATGGTTGCATTGGCACAAGGGAATGGGGAACAGTGGATCAAGAATGTGGTGCAATGAAAGTCTTCAAACCCCAGCCAAGCCAGACCAATTTGGCAAGCTTTAAGTTAAGCCACCGGGTTGAGGGCTGCCCAGCCGGACCTCCTCTTCTTGGCCGTGCAGAGTCTCATCGAACGGACATCGGTGGACCCTGTCCAACGCGGATGCCCGTCGGGGGCGTTGGAGATTTCAGGGCCCAACGGCTCTCGCCCAATCGTCCATCTTGCAGCCTGCGGTGCTGCGGCGGCCTGCCGCTAGTTACCACATATTCAGGTTCAGGTTCTCGTAGCATCGTGGTACCCGTTGGGAAATGATGCTGCCGGGGGTATCGCCGGTGATGTGATCGAGAACGGGGGCTATCAGGATACCTGCGTCTCTGGCCCCCATCGCCTTTCCTTTTTCCTGGCTGAGACATTTGTGACCCTACTGCGCGGTTGCGCAACATCAGTGGCAGCGGGACCCCCGGCCCCCGGTTTTCTCGCTGTCGCGATGATCGGCAGGGGAGGAGGACCCACAATAACAACAAGCGAGGGGCCGGGAGTCTGCTTGAAGGATCGAGAGAGGCTGGGCTTTGCAGATAAAAATAGGGAGAGCCAATCAGGCGTATAGACTGTGGGCGAGCTTTGCGAGATTAGTCCCGTGTTGATTGTTCGCCTAAACGCTTGACAATGTTGTCAATCGCTTTATGATGGACAAAGTAATTCAATAATCGCAGGCCCTGCCAAGATCGCATCCACTTGGCGTGCTGAATCGGACGAATGATTGCAAGGCACGAAGACTGATCGGCAGGGATCCACAGCAGTGGTGTTGTAGGCAGCTATCGGAGAGATGCGATCGAATCGATTAAACTCCGTGGTGATGCATCGGAAAGGACGAACAGGTGCATCATACAAGGTAGGCGAGCTGCATCATCTTCCTCGGGATCATGTCAAGAGGCGGTCGTTGTGACTGTCGGTTTGGGGTGTTGGAAGAAGGCTGGTCCAGAGAGTTCGACGGAATTTCCAAAGTCACCTGCCCCGCTGGCTAATGAGCGGCTGTGGCTGGATAAGCAGCACTTCAGCCCTCTCCCAATACGCCTCGAAAAACAAAGACCCTCGGACACTAGAGGAAGGTTCGATAGGTACAATAATCCCCTGCACTGGTCACGGCCCTTTATTTAGCGTCCAGTCTTTATTACGCCATCTCTAGTCCTACCTATCCGCAGTCAAGGTACCAGTCCCGCGTCCTTCCGAGTTGTGTAGTGTGACCAAGGATATGTTCGTGTCTCGCTGGTCTGACGATGTAGAACGACGGATTTAAATATTGCGGGCTGCTGGTAAAGTTCAATGGTACTGTCCCACGTACTGTGCACCCATAATGGTTGTAACAGGGAAACGGCACGGGTGGATTGATGCAGGCATTCGATAATTCTAATTCCAGTTCCCGCGAACGAGGAAAACAAAGTTAGAAGGCTATCGATTGACTAACGTAGATTAGTTCCACTTTGCTATAGCTATGGATAAGGCTAGTGTTCATAGCGCTGGAATCGTAGATAGTCAAGTATTTTACTAGAAGATGATGGGCTTTGCTCAGAAAAGAAGCAAAATGCCTGCGGAGACTAGATAGACACTCGCTAAATTAGGTCATAAAAGCAAAAATCCCTAGTCCGAGATGGCGAGGATGTTCGAGGATAAACTTCTTTACAGATGATAAGCTGACCTTGGATTTGCTTTTGCTTCTACGTATTTGGTGGATACCTGTGTTCGGATATTCCAGATAGACCACATCTAGCTATTGAATACAATGTATACCCAATGGCCCTATCCAAGCCAATTATTGATTTCGAATCATGTACCGTTTGCTTTTTATGCCGTGTTTGTTACTTTATTTTCCAGTGGTGAGCGGCGTGGGTCGATATATATCGGGCATCACCCGAGCGGGTCCGAGATCCAGAGACAAGATAGCGTTAGCTTTATATAGTGGTGATCAGTAGGACATCACGGACTTATGTGTCTCTTCACCTGACATCAACCTTCAGCCGGTCTTCTGGATTAGGTCGGGAAGCAAGATTCTTAAGCTCATCATCCAGCGACAGACAAAGATTTAGGTATTATGGTTAAAGTATAGTAACAGCTCGACAGGCTCAAAGTCGAGAACAAGAGAAGTCTCACAACAGTCTTTCCATTGGCTCTCCGGAATATACCACCAGGTATATCGACCAGATCCGGAATCTAGATCATCCATGCCGCCAATCCAACGATACCACCCACAACACCCTTGACAATATCCGAATTGGAACCTGCGACTCGAACAGCAGCATTGGATGTGCTCGCACTGGCGGCGCTCGAACTCGTCACCGACGCGCTACCAGAGGGTGTGTTGCTCGTCGTCGCAGCTGCACTCGTCACAACCGTCGTCTGAGTACTCTTCGACTCGGCACTGGTGCTGCCACTGGTGGAAGAAGCGTGGCCCGAGCTGGTAGTCTTCGCCGTCGCGGTTGTGCCCGTCTCCGTCGCCGTCGTCGCAGTGTGACCAGTAGCCGTGGAATTGCCCGTCGCCGTACTTCCCGAACCAGTTGCCGTCGACGAAAGACTCACAACCTTGAAGCCAAGGAGACCTTTCGAAGCCTCTTTGGAGAACACATCGGTGGCCATGCCCGCTGCATCGCCGGAGCAGGCACTGTTGGTGAAGAGAAGCATATTGATATCCGTCGCGCCTTGGGAATCAATTTTGAAAAGGTGACCCTTGGGATTATCGATTTTGATGCAGTCGCTGGGGCCCGTGCCGGACTTGGTGTGGTTATTGCCATCAGCGTCGTTCCATGTAATTTCCCATGCGCCGGCGAGAGGGAGCAGAGACGCTGCCAAGGCGAGAACAGTTGACGACTTCATTGTGGTGTCGTAGTATGTGTATCCAACCAAAGAACTTTTGTGTGAGTGTAACAATTAAAGTAGGAGATCGTGAGAAATGACACGAAGATCGCCTGGTTCAGCGGGGCATCTCCCCTTTTTATGCGAAATTGCTTTGGTGCCTCTTGTCTTGTCGCGACTCCTCGTTATGCCGAATCTGGGGTCTCGGCACGCTGATCCTCGTATTCATGCACCCAACAACCAGTTAGGATGCAACTTCAAAAGCCACGGTCGCGGCTGAGCCGCTTGTCGTGAGATCATTGGTGAGAAAGACATTTTGTTCCTGGAAGGAATTGGGGGTTGAGTTGCCTAACGGATGTGCGGAGTCTACTCCGTAGCATTATGTACCCCAAATTGGCTTTCATGCCTTGCGGGGAGAATAGAGGCCATATCAAACGCAACGCGAAGGAGATGACCACATTGCAAAGTTTCCAGTGTCGTCGATCGCAGATCTCTGTTATGGACCAAGTAAGGGACTCTGCATGATTAAAAAAAAGCTTTCGCAACCTTAAAATCCTTGACGTGTGCCTCTCATCACCCCGCATCCTGTCATCGTGTCGGCCATTTTTGGAGCACCGACTTTATGTTGTCCTACCAACTTTAATGACTTTACACGACCGCACATTATGGCTATCGACCTTTGCGTATACAGTCTCAGATAAGATTTCGAGTTGCTAGATGTTGCGGCTGTTTTGTCTGTGGTATCGTTCCCAGTTTGGCCCACCGGAGACCTGAGACGAGATCAAGGTTTAACTTTGCTCCCCAATGAGTGCTTCATCCAGGGAGTGTAAGGGGCAGAAAATAGGATGGGATGGTCGAGATACATGATCTAAGTCCGTCGTATTTGCCCAGGGCCTATATGATGCTATCCCACCCGCTGTGGGTGCAGCCTTCCCAAATCAAGCGACTACATTTGAAGAGTCACTCAGATGCTGGTTTAACTTTTTAAAGTCTCCCTCCATGGGCGGGCGACCTGTGCTACTTTTCCTTTACGTTGGCAATAGAAATAGCACTCGGAGGATGATTGTTCACTGGACTTGATTGACAAACCTCGTAGTTGTGAGACATGGTTATCCAATGCAAAACGCTAAAAACAAATGTGTGCTGATCAACCATCAAGGTTCAAACCCTCCATTTCCCACTCCAATAGCAGTATGGAGTTTTTCACAGTGTCAGGATGAGCAGGACCCAAAATTCGTTCCTGCTTGGCCACGCACACTAAGAGCAAATCAACCGCTTCTGAGCGCCGGCCAGTAGCTTTACATGTGAAGGCTAGACTGACCACGCTTGCAATCGCATCGGGGTGACCTGCACCAAGCTTCACCATTGTAACCTCTATCACATGATCTTCGAGCCGCTCGCCTTCCTCGTATCTTTCTAGCTGGAAGAGAGTCAAAGCCAGGTTCAGCATACTTGACAGCGTAGCGTGATGGTCATGACCAAGAGTCTTCTTCCGAATGTCCACGATTTGGACCTCGAGTTTCTCAGTCTCTTGTAAATTGCCTTGATTGGAGTATACCGTCGCCAAGTTGGACATAGTCGCTAATGTGCGGGGATCACTTTGACCGAGTCTGGTTTGACGAGTCCTTAGCGCAGGTATAAGGAGTTGACGCGCTTCCTCCCATCGGCCCTGGTTCATGTACGTGGTCGCAAGATTACCCATACTAATGACCGTGTCGAGATGGTCTTGACCAAGGTTGACTTTGCGATGTTGCATAACCTTCACTTCGAGGCATTCAGCTTCCCCCCAACAACCCTGTGCCTTATAGATCGACGCCATATTGCCCATATACTTCACCATATCTGGATGACCGTCTCCAAGACTGACCTTACCTTTCTGCATGACTTGCAATTGTAGACGGCTAGCTTCCTCTAATCGACCTTGTTTCAATAAGGTCGTTGCTAGGTTGGCCATACTCACCAAGGTATCTGGATGATCCGTCCCAAGCTTAATAGTGGAAATTCTCATCTCCTGCATTTGAATATTCTCCGCATCATCCCATCTACCTAGGTGCATATATGTGCCGGCTAGGTTGGCCATGCTTGTCAATGTTTGAGGATGATCCTCTCCGAGTTTGATTTTCATGGTTTGCATAACATGTAACTGTAGATGCTCGGCATCCACCCACCGAGATTGTTTAGAATAAGTCAAGGCTAGACTAGCCATACTTGACAAGGTATTTGGGTGATCCCTGCCGGTTGTCTTTTGGTTTGTCCTGAGAATATGTAGTTGTAGCCGCTCGGCCTCTTCCCACTGGTCCTGTTCCCAATATGTCGCCGCCAGGTTGGCCATGCTTTCAAGAGTACGGGGATGCTCTTCACCTAGCTTGGTTCTCCGCGCAGCTGTCGCCTTTGAGAGTATCTGCTTGGCCTCTTCAAATCGACCCTGGCTTATATATGTTGCACCTAGATTTGCCATAGCCATAAGAGTATCGAGGTGATCCAACCCCAGCGTATTTTGGCGAACTTTGACTATTTGCACTTGAAGTCGCTGAGCGTCGTCCCATCGGCCCTGACACCAATAAACCAAAGCCAAATTGCCCAGGTTTGACAACGTTTCAGGGTCCTCATCGCCAAACTGGGTGTCGAGGGCCTCAACCGCGTCCTTCAGCAGCTGCTCAGCCTCTTCCCATCGGCCTAGGTCCATGTATATCAATCCGAGTGTGGCTTTGGATAAGGTAAAAAGATGATTCTCGCCGGTCCTCAAGTTGCGAGTCTTTATGACCCCCTCCTGAAGCTGTGCTGCCTCATTCCACCGGCCTTCTAGCCGATAGACTTTCGCTAATAGCTCCGTGCAAAGTAGTGCGTTGTCGCTCTCTGGGCCGCCGGTTTTTACCTCTTGTTCTCTCAAAGTAAATGCCATTTTTCGTGCATCTGCCAGATTTCCTATTCGCATTGCGTAGTATGCACCCTGATAAAGAAGCCATGACCACCTTTCAAGAGATTCAAGTGATAAGGGACGTTGAAAGAGGGCCCACTTCACATGCGGAAAGAGTGATTGGCATCTCTTCCAGTTCTCGTATTCAACGACCGGGAACTGGTAGTAAAGGCTTTTGATGAACTGATCCTTCCACTCTTCTAGCTTCTTGTTTGCATTCAACCATGCGCGCACTGTCAATTGTACGAGCCGATGCATCGTGAGAAATGCATGGTCTGACCCGACGGCGACGAGTGAATAGTCTCTGAGAGTTGTGATATCATCCATCAAGCGGTGGTGCTTCTCATCTATAGAGGTAGTATAATCAACAACCCCTGTCGATGAATCGTCTAACTCCTTCGAATTATGATATTTATGAGCCAGTAGAAGGTCACGAGGAATCCCTTGACGGTCAAAAAAACTCATGAGAGAAAGTAGATCAGCTGCCGAAGGCTCGACCCTTCGAATGTACTCAAACGAGATTTGCCACGTTATCAACACGGAGTTCTTTGCTTCCCAATCCCGACAGAGAAGATCTGCTTCTTGATCTAGTAACAAGACCGCTTGGTGATCGCTGTTCTGAATCGCTTGCAGATACTGTGATACTGAACAAAATGGTGAACGATGAGTGATGTAGGCGGCGGCTTGTACAATGGCCAGCGGGATAAAATCGAGGGCCTCGACTAAGCTTTCCATAACCTCGGGCTCCGAGGTAACATTGAGCTTGGTCTTTAACAGATCCACGGCTTCGACCTCGTTCATCGGCTGTACGTTGATAAGGTTCTTGTGACCCACTATATCTAATGCCACCCCTTTGTTCCGACTTGTGACAATGATAGATCCAGAAGAGGTTTGGAGAAGATCCCTGAGCGGTGGCTGCGCTGGAACATAGAGCTGCTGCTGCATGCTACTATGGTTATCCATCCCCGTCACCCTTGGTAATGGTTTTCGAAGAAGCTCATCATCATCGACATTATCTAGCACAAGAATCCATTTACCAATGTTCTCGTCTTGTAGCCAGTTCGCAACAAGCTGGGATATATTGATTTCCAGATTGTGTCGCCGAGGAATTTTAAGTCGATCGGCAAGATCGTGGAGACTTTTTTCATAGCGGGCAGCATTGCTCGCATGGATCCAGAGAATCCAAGTATCCGGGGACCTTTCTCGAACCTTATAGCAGTATTCAATCGCGAGTTGTGTTTTCCTAGCACGATGTTAGCTTGAATGATTCATCCTAGCACCGTGTTATTCTTACCCGACACCGCCAAGACCAACCAGCGCTAGTCGAGACCCCGCTATGGAGGCTTTCTCGTCCATTCGACTGATAAGTCCATCGCGACTAACAAAATCGGGATCTCTTGAGAATGGCACGGTCGACAAAGGATCGGGGCGGATTTCTGGGAGCGCTAAGGAAGGGAAGTCGCTGTCAGCATAGCTGTATGTGGGGTCGCAATTCAGACTTACCTTGTGAGTCAGAAACACATATCGATCCATGGTTGATTCCCACCTGGACGCCCGAATTTCCGTCTCCTTGTACTACAGACCCCATCATGACTATACCATGGCAGCGAACTGGGTTTCTTTAGGAGATGCACCCAGCGCAGGTAATGTGAAGTGATCAGCCCCGGATCAGGTGACAGTGGCGCTTACTGCTCTATCTTTAGCTCAGGCACTAGCCAGGCCCATGGGCGAGACCTGTAGTACAACTCCACCCTCTGGGGGTTTACTACAAGGTATATTCTACCCCTGTGTCTGTATGATATTAATTTCGGGATCTAGTTGAATTGACATTGCATATTTCCTGACTGTTGTGACTTAGCTACCCCTCCATTGTCTTTCCGTGCACTATTACAGCTTCTGTAACATGGACCACTAAAGCCGTGTGCCAGTTAGAATGACTACTATGACCTTCAGCAGGCGAGTAGAAGAATTTGAAGATACTCTTTTACTGGTCGCATGCTCTAGGTATATTTGTAGAGTGGTGGGTGCAGAGAAAATCCAATACAGTATATAGATGATGAGATAGGCTATATGTGGCCGGTCAAGCAACTGGTAACAGAAAGGCCCCGACACTAGGCATGAAAGGAATCAGCAAAGGTTTGATATGGGCCGCAGAGATAAAAAGAACTTACGATATGGCCGCAAAACAAGCACACAAGATGGCTCCTTCCAGATAGTTGGTCTTTCCCTTGAGTACGATGAAGCTGACCAAAAGGACAGAGCCAACTAGAGTCACGATCCCAAAGTAATCGAAATGTAAGCTCATAGGCTTGTCAAGCGCCCATCCGGCTAAAACAATCACAGGTGTGACCAATAGCCCGATTTGGATAGCAGAACCAAGGGCAATGCTGATTGCGAGATCCATCTGATTTTTGCCCGCCACGATTGTGGCCGTAACATTCTCTGCAACATTCCCTGCTATGGGAATGACAATTAAACCCACGAATGATTCGCCGAGGATATGCTTGTCGTTTAGTGTTTCAAAGCTTGAAGCGAAGAATTCGGCGCACACAGCAATGAGAAGAGTTGAGCTGATTAACAATGCTATCGAGATGGCACGATTCGCAAGCACCAAGTTTCGACAGTAATGACCGTCTGGATTCTCTGAGGTATCGTACGCGTGACAGTCATTCGACAAAATCGGAGGAGTGTCGCTCCTCTCCGCGGTGTCGATGTGTACCATGGGTAATCCTTGACCTGCCTGTATGTCCGCTGGTGCCGAAAATTGGACATGGGGGCATGGAACCCGCTCCATTTGCGATGGAAAGATTATGTTTGCTGCTGCCGTATCCGGAGATCCTGTGTGTGACTCTTCATCTGAATAAACCTCATCGTGAAGTCGGTCGTAATCGATCCGACTGGATCCGTTGCCTGAGAAGGGTGTTTTGGACGGATGAGAATGGAAGAGATGCGGATGAGATCTAAACTGGAAGAACAGATAGAGAAAATAGATTCCCAGAAGAATGATGGATACACCCCGACTGAATGACAATGCCATATCGTCTGCCGAATGTGTATTTTTGACACTCCCATAGAAAGCACTCTGTATTGGTCAGGTTAATATAAATGCGAGAAAGAATGGTATATAGCCACGAACCGGAATCATCAGACAAGACACGGTGAGGTTTAGTAATCCAACAAAGGACTGTGTCAAATCGGTATTATATACTTGGTCAGGAGACAAGATACTCCCTGATATGATGGCAGAACCGAGGACAAGAAGCAGATTGACGAGAACAGAGCCAAGGAGGGATGCTTGAACAACTTTGATATTGTCTTTCATCAGGGCTGTGCTGTCGCTAAGTGTTAGATTCTGTCTTTGGTGCAATGTATGAGATCCCGAGAGCTTACACACTAGAGACTGTTAGCTGACCAACTATTTGGGCATAATGGTGATGAAGGCTCACAATATGATCATTTCTGCCAGATTGCCAATGCTTATGTTCAGGAGCGCACTGGCCGTTTCCCCCAGATCCTGGCATAGTCTTTCGGTGGCAAACGTCAGGGTCATTGATAACGGTACAATGGCAATCAAATTGCTGATGAATATGACTATAGCAGGAGCATCGCTAACAGCAATGATAATTGCTAGCAAGGAGACCCCGAAGGAAAACATTATCCTCAAATCAAGCAGGACTTTGCCATGATGGCGAAACGCCAAGGCAGGATTCTCGCAAAACTCGCATCTTAATGGTGCATGATGAACCTGTGTGGTACCATCTTTTGAAACAATACCTCTTAGACATTGGAAGATATCTGTTACTGCGTGCGGAATTGAGATATGGTCTTTGTTTCACGACAAATATGATAGTCAGCATTATCAAGGGTGATTTATTGTTGAGACGGGAGATTCACGATCGGTTTCCCATTCCCCAGGACACTCCCTGGGTCTGGTATTACTCCCAGATCCATATCCAGAAGTACATTGTGAAGAATTGCGAGAATGGGCACAGAGAGAGCTAGTTGGTTGAGGTTTGTCGTGCTCATGAACGGTTCCGTTCTCGACCATGACGATAATGCTCCCAAAATTGAACCGCCTGGTGGATTTCAGAGTCTGATGTTAAATCTCAAGGAACAGGAAACGGAAATGAATACGAGAGTTAGGGTACTTATTGAATAAATATACGAAATTTAGCATCGTGCTGTGGTAATTGCATATGGGGCTAAATAGGGGCTGCGCGATTTGTTCAAAAGGTTGCCCAATCACCGGGAGTAGCGAGTACGATTTAGAGCGTAACTAAGCGGCTCGCGGGCCTTTAAACACCAAAAGTTGACTATATTTCTTGGCAAGTACGCGTCTACGGCGGACGACAGCGGCCACCCTTTGGCAAGTGGCGTTTTTATTAAATTTCAACGGCAGAATTCTCAACTAGTTAGATCACTACTGGGAAATCTGAGAGACTGGTCTACTCACACCTACTGGGCATTAAGCAAATTCTGCTTTGGGCAATATGAGGCCACGATTTTGACGGTGTATTTCAAGACGGTTTGAATTAATTTGAATCGCTTTGAGATACAATCTTAATTGTATGCGCATTGAATTCAATCATGTACGCTTTCAACCACCTACCCACTTACCTACTTACCGACCCCTTTCCTTCTACACCCTCGCCTAAATCTTCTTGTGGACCCTTCGCTGGCTCCAGAGTACTGGAAAAGAAGCATATGGCTATCTCTTCGACCGGACAGCTAGCTTGCTCCGAGCCAACGGGGTGTTACGGTAGCGGTATAAAGGATACCTAAAGTAAGATGACAGATAGAAAGATATAGAGGGTAGAAGGATGCGGACATTGCAGAGGGTAGAGAGAAGTAAGGGGTTGGCGGTGTGATAGGGGGTGGAGTGATTCTATTTAAATATACATAGACCATTACGCAATTAGGACATTGGTGCCTGATATCTAAGGGGATAGGGCAGGCGGTATCAAAGGCGGAATGAAAGACGAGACCTACCAAAGAGTGGCCGCTATCGTCCGCCGTACGCATCTGTCGCGCGGGGGAGAGGAAATAAGAGGTCTTGTGGATATATTAGCGGCTCGTTGACACTAGGTTGATTTAGCGTATGGGCATGGTAAATCCCTCATGAAGTCACTTATCACTTGGTGAGGGGATCAAAGAGCTCGAGATGACTGCAGCTGATTAGGAAAATGGAGTCATCGTAAGGTGATGTTATTTCTAGTGCTTACATGGAGGTATGGTGGGTGAAACGCTTCGAGCAAGATCTCATGACTGGCAGACAGAGGTCCCGTGGCGTCTTGAATTAGTCCATGATAGTACAGGACAATGAGCTAGTAGACCCGCAAATGGAGGCAATAAGCTCTTGAAACTCGTAGGGTAAGTAAGACCTGATCGTCAGTGAGATCCTTCACCTGTCACTAAAGAAACGACCATCGCCCTAAAAAGACCATAGAAAAGCTCGCATGGAGTATGCATAAGTCACATCCCATGGACTCATCACTGTAAACACGGGCAGTATCCGTTACTATGTAATGTGGTGGAGGAACTTCATCTCAAAATTGTGATCAGTTGGTATCGATACTTAAAATTTAAATTAACGTTGTTGATAGATGATACAAGATCAAACGCTATACTTTATATACAAACAGGCAACACGCCTCACAGTCTAGCCCCAAGCCAGAGACAACACCCGATCTATCCAACCTGACCGTCTACATAGCCCCTTCCAAACCCAATCACAACTCTAGTTCGAATCCGCATCCGAGCGAGGCTCAACAGTGGACTCGGCATTCTCCAGGTGCTGCGCATAGAACATCTGCGCAATAGCGTCATCAGTCTGGAGGTACGTCCGGCTACCCTGGATAAACCAGAACGCAACGGCAATAACCAACATGACACCAAATACGGCAATGGCGTAGTTCATGTCGCTAGGAGCCGGGTTGGGGCTACCAGGGAACAGGAAGAACACGGTCGTGATAATGCAGTAGATAATACTGGTCCAATTAAGCCACGGGCCCCAGCGACCGAGACCAGCGGAGCCACCGTCGGGCAACTTGTCGCGACCGACAACAAGGAGAGCCATGATGGGCATGGCGTAGGAGACGGTGAGTGCGATGGTGCTGACGGATAGAATGGCCTCGAGGACAGTGTTGGCGAAGAGGTAGAGGATGCCGACGATGGCGATGACTACGCCTTGACCCCAGAGTGATCGGACGGGGACTTGCCACACGGGGTCGACGTGGCTGAAGTAGCGGCTGAAGGGAAGACCACCGTCACGGGCGAAACCCCAGGTTAGACGAGAGGCGGTAGTAAGGATACCGATACCCTGGCCAACGCCGTTGAAGATGAATAGGGCAAGGAGGGTGGTCCCGCCCTTCAGGCCGACGGTCTCCAGCATGAGTTCCATGAATGGTAGATCGGCGTTGGTGACGTTGTCGACGCTCTGGATGCAGAAGAGACAGACCACCATGAAGATGAAACCCGTGATAGCGCCGAAGAGCACGGCCATCCAGATCACACGGGGCGCGTTGCGGCGTGGGTTGGGGATTTCCTCAACCATGTGGATGACCGAGTCGAATGCGGTCAAACCGTAGGCAGCCTGGACAAGACCAGTGAACCAGGTGATACCATCGGGCCAGCCGGTCTGGTTGATCCATGTACCGAACACGAACTTGCCCGGTTGGAAGGACAGGTCGCTCTTGACGCCGACGCAAATCAGCATCACCAGGGACATGACCACGAACAGGCCGGCGAACCAGACACCGACGAAGTTGTTGATCCACGGGAGGATCTGCTCACGACGACAGCTGACGACGTTGATCAGGGTCAACAGGAAGACGACGCCGATGAAGACGACAAAGTTGAGCCAGCCCTGGCTCCCGCCGGCCCAGTCAGGGTTGAACATGGTCCTCATGCCGAGGATGAACTCGGTCATGAAAGCGACCTGTGACGCAGTAAGGGTCCACCATCCAAAGGTGTTAATCCATGCACACATATACGAAACGAAGCGGCCAAGAGGAGTGCTCCAGAGTCGGTATACCCAGTATGCCTGGCCGAGGGCTGTGGGCATGCTGCTGGTCAATTCACCCAGGGAGAGCGCCACACATAAATTACAGCCGGTGACCAGCACCAGGCCCCAGAGAATAGTAATGGGACCGCCATTGGTAAGACCACTGCTGAGATCTTGAGCAAAAGTAGAGTAGGTTCCTGTCAGGGGGGAAGGAATAGTTAGCCAAATGTTCAGTAGTCGCACGCAATGCCGCATCCACACACTCGATCGACCGAACAAAACGACACAAACGACATACCTAGAACACAAAAAGCCAATGCAAGCATGCTCCAGATATTAAATTTGCGGGTCAATGCCTGGGCATGGCCCATGCCTGCCAGGTCGGTGGCATCTTGCACATCCTGATCATTCTCGAGCGGCACCTTAAGGGGAGGCGAGTTTGATTCAACGTCCATAACTTGGTGACAATTCCTTCAGCCGGAGGTAATAAAGGTGGATTCACGGGGCAAGACAGTAAAACGCGCGCCCATTTTCTGCCTGCAAGTTGAAGGGAGACAAAAGAGGGAGAGACGGAATGGGGGACTAGGCGGCGTTTCTATATAGCTAGGCCACACGGCGTGTGCGTATCGATCGACCCCCCTCTTTTTCTCCTGGGCGTATCTCTCGGTCACCGATTTTCCTCCACCGAAGGAAGCTTTCAGTGGAAAACCTAGGGAAAGAAGGCTGGGCTAAGCGGCAGCCAGGCCCTGGTCTCTGTCTGGTATCTGTCACTGGTGTGCCCCAGGGAAAATACGGGGGCGGCGCAAGATAAAGCTGGGGAGTGATGGACCAATGAGGATGCTCCCTGTGACAAGAATTCACGGGGTCAATAGTCGAATTAGCAGAGATTGGTCATGACCTTGAGAACTGTTGGTAATGGAAATGCTCGTCGCGTGTCGACTGGAATTTTTTTTTTGCGGGGGGTTACGTTCCGCTCTCGGCAGGACCTCCTTGAGTGGGCCGAAGACCCAGTCTTTGATCTTGGGAGGCGATCCACCATGATAACCAGGGCGATAGGCATAGAGTTCGAGTGTAGAAGGTAGTAATTGTCTTGAGTAGAAACAATTATGGAAATAGTTTGAAGATAGCAGTGTAATGATATCGAGCTATATTGGCATGTGTACAACGTAGTATTTGTGATTCCAACTACTGAGCGCTATACCTCGGTAGTACATATGGTATGGACTTGCCCGATCTCGAGTAACGCTCTAATTACATGTAAAACAATGTAAACCCTGCCCTACAGCTCCTTCAAAATTCTTCTCGGCGCCTCCAAAAACCCTGCAGCCGCCCTTCAGCCATGCAAACATCGCTGGGTCAGTCAGTGGCAAGGCCAACCTAAAAGAGCAAGTCCATGCGGGCCGATAAGCCCCGTTATCGCCGCAGCGGCTAAAAGTCCGCTTCAATGTATGCGACCGATACGACGGGCGCTGTGGACAACGTCAACGTCGAAAACGATAACATGCCTATCGAGCAGTGTGTCAAGTATTCACTTCTTCAGATAGTCTCCATCACCAGTGGAGTCGACATATTCCGATGCCGGATCGCAGCCCAACGTCCATATAGAGTATGTACAAGGATTATAAACTCAATTGCTAGGCGCACTTACTAGAACTCTACCCGAGACGCCAAACGCCTAGCTTGAACCATGAAGGCTCGATCGCGTGACGAAATGTTTTCCGGGGGAATATCGCGCAGCCAAGAAAACGGGGAAAGATGAAACGATGGAATATTCCGACCAGTCAGGCAGCGATGCTGACTTCCCTGGTTGCCGAGATATCTGGGGGAGACCCAGACTCGGAGGATCCACTTTCGGGGTTCACGAGAAGCCCAATGTGGGATAGGGTAGCTTGTCCGAATGAATATTGAACGTGGCAGACCGATCAACATGAGCTTGGCTAAATGCCCATGTTAATTATTACACATAGAATCTAGGAACCTATGAGGTAATCGTGGCCACATTCAGCATGCAGCTAGGGCCATTATTCTGCACCCAACCAGCACTGCTAGTCATTATCCTCCTACCTGGGGGTAACTAACTACCCAAGTTTCTTTTTATGTTCATTCTACAAACCAGATCTCATACGCGAGCATCAGACATCACTTAAAATACATAATAAATGTCCTTGTGCCAAGGATACAAACTCGATGGGACTTGTAGTTTCGCATCAAAGAAACTATACGCACCTTACTCACCGAAAGGAGTGCCAGTCCACCGAAATCATCGTCTCAAAGCTCAAGACGCAGAAATATCGCGGAGGTGGGTACTTTTGGTAGAGTTGTCACAATGCAAGACATTAGGCCGAGTGTGGTCACCTTTATTCCGAATCCAATCCTATTTGTTAGGTATGTGGTATGCTAGCAAGTCAGAACTGGCTTCCTACCCACTTAAAGTAACTGTTAGTGGGCCTATGGAACCGATTACAATATTTAACAACGCTCGTAATGCCTGCACAACAACATTGTCGCTTAGTAATTGAGGATTTAAGATAACCTAAGCCGGAGATCTTAGAAAAGATAGCATTATGTGGTAAACTGTTGATAGATATCTCAGAGCACATCAATCAAGAACGAGACACGGGAAATGAGAAAGCCCCGCAAGTAGACGAATTCATCTTATTTGAAGCAGATGGCTCAATCAGATCTGAGACTATGTTCGTCGTGACTGGTGATCTGTAGCAATGAAGCGCGCAATCCGTAGTTCAATTCAGTACATATGAGTTAATCAAGCTCGCTCAGATCGTCACGTGGCGACCCTGTGTGGTCATTCCAGTGGGATCGAAAAAGAGGGTGACATTCACGGAACTTCTGTGTGGGAGTTCTGAATTTATGTTTCTCGAGAGCCAAGGATGGCGCTTCTTCATCAGATGATAGGCTCAACACGTCTTGAAAGCCGGCCAGTGATTTCTGTGAGTCAGCAAGGTTGCTGATACTCAAACGGGTGTCAGGATGCTCTGGCCCTAGAGCTTTCTTATAGCCCTCTAGTGCTCGCCGGTGTATAGCTTCAGCCTCCTTATATTTACCCTGGTCGTGAAGCACTAAACCAAGGTTATTGAGACTTATCAGACTATTGGGATGCTCTGGCCCTAGAGCTTTCTTATAGCCCTCTAGTGCTCGCCGGTGCATAGCTTCAGCCTCCTTATATTTACCCTGGTCGCGAAGCACTAAACCAAGATTATTGAGACTTGTCAGTCTATCAGGATGCTCTAGCCCTAGAGCTTTCTCACAGCCCTTTAGTTCTCGCCGGTGTATAGCTTCAGCCTCCTTGTATTTGCCCTGGTAGCGAAGCACTGACCCAAGATTATTGAGACTTATCAGAGTATCGGGATGTTCTAGCCCTAGAGCTTTCTCCCTGCCCTCTAGTACTCGACGGTGTATAGCTTCAGCCTCCTTGTATATGCCCTGGTCGTGAAGCACTAAACCAAGATGATTGAGACTTCTCAGAGTATCGGGATGTTCTAGCCCTAGAGCTTTCTCCCTGCCCTCTAGTACTCGACGGTGTATAGCTTCAGCCTCCTTGTATATGCCCTGGTCGTGAAGCACTGACCCAAGATTATTGAGACTTGTCAGAGTGTCGGAATGTTCTAGCCCTAGAGCTTTCTCCTTGCCCTCTAGTGCTCGACGATGTATAGCTTCAGCCTCCTTGTATTTTCCCTGGTAGTGAAGCACTGAGCCAAGATTATTGAGACTTCTCAGAGTGTTGGGATGCTCCGGCCCCAGAGCTCTCTGGCGGACTTCCAGGTTTTCGATAAGCAGAGTCTTGGCTTCCTCATATCTCCCATCAAGCTCTAATGATCCTCCTACCCTCGAAGTAAATTCGACATGCTCAATGTGAATATCCTTGAACTCTCGACTGTTTGTCAAATAGAGTGCGTGAGAAAGGTACTCTCTCCATAACCCTTTATTCTTGTAGTTATTGTCAGGGAATACATAATCCAGTTGTTGTGTTGCTCTGCGTATCCAAATATCGAAAATTTTGTTTGCCCTCATCCAATTCCTCGTGGCGAGATGCACAAGTCGATGAAGGCTGAATGAGCTCTTGCCGGCGTGTTCACTAATGAAGGAATACGCACTCAAGAGCCCTAGTGCATCCACCTGTCTCTTTGCTGAAGGTGCAGGCGGAAGGATTGACTGGGGTATATCTCGTGGGTTGATGCAAGCCATGAATGACAGATATTCGGCTGACAGTTTATCAAGTTGTTGGATCTGTTGGAAAGAGACCAGCCAGGTGATGAGGACGGGGTTTTGAGTTTGGTCGTAACGTCCATCATCCTCAAATTTCTCACTCAAAAGCTCGATTGCGCTCGTGTCTTGTTCTTTTAGCAGTGCGAGATAATCGGATAGCGTAATTTCATTTTCATTGATGTAAGCCGCGGCTTGACAAATCGCAAGTGGAAGGAATCCAAGCTGCTCGAGAAGAGCCATTGTTGTGTGATTATTATGCAGCAAACCCTGTTGGATCTGTGATTTTTCAAAGATTTGCATGGCAGTGCTTTCATCCATGTCGGGAACAGACAGAACATTTGGTGAAGCAACTCTAACGGCAAGCTTTCGATTGCGAGATGTGAGGAGAATATGCCCATTCTCGCTGCGAGGGAGAAACGTCTTGAGTGCTGGCACAGCATCGTTCCCTCTAGTCCACATTTCAATGTCGTCTGCGTTGTCAAAAATGAGAAGCCACTTTCCAGCGCTGTCTTGACTGAGATGAGCCCTCACTTGCTCTTTCGCCTTCGCTGGCTCTATTCCTGGTATATCCAGAATCGAGGCAATGCTGAGGTAGGCTTGCTCGACACTCTCAGAGCTGGTACATGGAATCCAAAAAATGGAGCATTCAGGGACCCTTTCTCGCACACGGTAGGCAAGCTCCAAAGCTATCTGTGTTTTCCCAATTCCACCTAGTCCATGAATAGCGGCCTTAGTCTGGCCTGTTGCAGAAATGATCAAATTGTCAAGGTACTCGATCTCCTTTTGACGGCCGACAAACCGAGGGTTCCGAGCAAAGGGTACCTTCCAGTGACCTGCTTCTGTTTTCTGATTCTCTTGTCTAGAGCAGTGTAGAGGCACTACTCCTAGAAGAGCTTTGGTGTACAACGCGGCTGTAAGAGCTGCATATCCCTGCCAATCATCATTTTTGTGGGAATCGCAATAGTCGCACACTCCTCTAATAACGAGAAATGGCAATTGATCCATGAGGCCGGCTGCTTCCATTTCGAAGCAGAGAATATTCAGCTCCTGGGCAATAGCGTCCCGCGCTGTAGCACTTTTCATAACCCGGTTCCCACACGCAATCAGACCATAGTGAACCATAGGCTCATTAGTTTCTCGTGTTGTCCGCTTGACTAGATTGGTAGGATCACACTTCGAGCAGTCGGCAAAATTTCTCTCATGGTCATAAATCGCCTCAAATAGCCAGTCTTTTTCAGGGCGTGAAAACTGCCTTTGAAGCGTTTCGTGATTCCGAAGTATCTCCGAGGAGGTTTTTTCAAGCGCTATGTTTTCAACGCAGAGTCGACTGCGGACCTGAGAGACCGCAGTGAGCAAATATTGCGGTGGCTTGTTGAGCGACCCGGTACGCTCGAAACAACCATTACGAATTGTCTTCCCGTAGTCATATTGAATGACGCCTCCAGAGACCGCAGTTGGCATGCTAACCACGACGTCACCTAAGCGAATATCGACGTTTTTGCTCGGTACACCGCCGCCGATGCCTACCATCAGTCCAAATCGAATGGCTGGAAATGTCGGAAGCATCTGGGCGAGTACAACTGCTGCTGATGTTGTCCCGTACACGCCTGACGGTAGACAGGCTATAACCACATTGTGGCCACTCACGCTCCCAAGTGTGTACGCATTATGGTCATGGCTAGACTGGGAAAGTCCAGGGTGGTTCTTGTCCAGCATCAACTTGGCCGCTTTCATCTCGAGGGGTAACGCGCAGATCCACGCTACTGTGTAGTCATTGTGTTTGAACGACATTCTTGCTGCTATCGGCAATCAGAATAGGCGGAAAGAATAAAAGATACACCTCCAGTTAGTCTTACCTATGGAATCCGCATACGGAGGCGTCTTGAGTTGAATGAAAACCGCTTCACAATGTCAAAATCTGAAGGGAGGGGTAACTAGCGGGTGACTACCCATAGCGCCTAATCCGTTACGATCAAGCCAAGGGCGCTTCGTGGACCAATAGTTCATCATATAATTGACAAAAGCAAAAACAAGGCGTCCCGCATCGCATTACTTTGAATCTAGCACAAGAAAAGGCAAAGAAGCGAACACCATATTGGAAGTTAACGTAGAGTCACTTCAAATTAGAAACCTAATCTACATTATAATGCCTTCGATCTCCGACTTCTTTGTGCGCTTATTGGTCCTAGACTTGGGCATCTCCGTCCTACTTAGATCTAAACCCAGTCCCTTTTGTCACGTCTCATCACTGTCGCTCCAAATTCAGTTCAAAAGCGGTGATTAAGCAGAAATTATCCAGCCCAGAATGTGGAAAAATGAAATAGATTCGGGACTGGATTCTGTGATTGCTATTGATCTCTTACCGGGATAGGGTATTGGCACTCTATCTTGCACAATCTTTACGCACAGTTGATGCCACGTGGCGACGCAAACACAGACGAAAAAAAACCATGGATGGAATGCCCGCACCTCTAGGGCAATTAATGAAGCTGTCTCTCCTCGAAATCCACCTCACCCACCCAATCGTCCCCATACTTCACTCACAACTTAATACAAGGTCCCACAGTGCCAGTTCTCCGCATGGCTAGTGTTACCACTGCCCTTGTACAGCGCGAGCTGGGGATAAGGACAGATAGGCCTCTGAATCTCCACACCATCAGCAGGATTATCATTCCACCACTTAGTAGGAATGAGATAATCCGGCGCAGTCCCGTTCTCTACCCAGTTCATAATAGCCAGGACAACGTCATGCTCGGGATCATTGAACCCGGGCACGCCCCAGTGATGACCACTCAACGAATCACCTTGGTTATCACCATTAATGTACCACGGGGCATTCTGATCTGACGGCGTGGCAGTGCAGTGTTCCATACCCGGGATCGGGAAGAAGCGGTAGAACGAGTCAATAGGGATATTCTGAGGCTTGAGGGCCTCGACAACGTGGTTGAAGAAATAGAATGAGGAGCCAGTTGCGATACTTGGGTCGGAGTAGCCGTGATAGTGGATCAGTTTGCCGCCCTTTTTGTAGAAGGGGGAGATGTCGAAATTGTCGGCGGTCGCGTTACCGGGGTTGATCTTCTCGGAGAGTGCGATGAGTTCTTGGCTGTTCCAGTCTTCCCATGTCCAGTCACCACCGATCTGGAGCATGTATTGGATATAGGTGACCAAGGCTGAATCGAGGCTCGGAGCGCCAACTTCTGTACCGAGAGTGTAGCCAGGGAAAATGAATGTATCGTTCGCGTCAACCCAGGGGTTGAAGAACTTGTTGACAGTGCCGATCTGTGGGGACGTAAGGCAGGTATCGTTGGTTGAAGTCGAGTTGCAGACAAGGGTGGTGAGATCGAAGACGCAGCCGAAGGGATTCTGGAGGATATTGTCCTTGACGCCGTCCTGGGGATCGCACTGTTTCAGTAACTCGGTAGCGACAACAGACATCTGATCGCTTGTGACATGGTAGTCTGCAGTTACGGGGAGATTCCAGACGGCGGTGATGACATTCCACAGCTGCTGATGGGAAGTCCACCAAGCAGGAGCACCAGCGATAACACCGTCAAAGTCATCGGGATATTCCTCAACCTCCTTCAAACCCTGCTTACCGCCAGCTGAGCAGCCGCGGTAATACGAGTAAGATATTTTGTCCCCATAATAACCTTCAGTCACAGCTTTCCCATTCACGACGGCATTGTGGAGAGCAAGGTGACCCCAGTTCTGGAGAGCCTGCTCATTATGGTATCCGAAACTACCGTTATTTCCCTCGTGGCCGAGATCAGAGGAAACGACAGCGAAGCCATACCAAGAAGCAGAGATAATGGAGTCCCAGCTGATAGAACCAGCGAATTCGCCATTACCGTTTGCGAGGAAACGACCGTTCCAATCGTCGGGCAAAACGAAGCCAACACTATGCTGGGTGTTGTTGGGCAAGGTGATGTTTGCTTGAGCAATGCATGCAGCGACGGGGAGCTCGTAAGCACTGATACCCATGGGGTTAGAGGTTGCACCATAGTTCAGGCTAGTCGGGGGAGTGAAATTGTAGTGAGCTGGGTAGTCTTTGGCATAGTAGACAGTTGCATTTTGGGGGAGCAGCTCTGTCAAGCGGGCCACGGTGCAGTTCTTTACAGCGTAGACACCAGCCACCAATCCAGCCAGAGGGAGGACGGAAGACTTCATTTTTGATTGGAAGATCTGATGGTACCCAAGGTATCAATCCATCAAGTGGGCAGGAAGCCGATTATTTATGAATTGAGAGTAGACAGGACCGGATGTGCAATTGCTCCGGGTGACAGGAAGTAATGCTTCAAGACTCGGAGATTATCTGATCCGGCCATCCCACTTCAATATCCATAATAAATTGCATTCGCGACTTGCAATGCAATAACTCGGTTTTTGGTCTCTGAACACGCGTTCATTGTCAATATAGACTACAGGTTTTTATCTTGATGCGGGTCAAGATACGTCAGGAAAGGAAGATCTTCCGTTGATCCGGAGGTTCTTCAGGTTTAGCATACTTTAAAAAGGGGGAAAGGTTTACGTACCTGCTTCAGATCAAGACTAGATGAACTTGAGAACGTTAAGCATGCGTAAGGGAGCCAATACTGATGGCTCTCCTTGAGGATCCATAGTCTGAAACTGCGGAGACTAAGCCTGATGGGGTAACATCGGTGGTGACCTCCAGATCCCTCAAAGCTTAGTATAGCCTACTGTCATGTATAAACGCAGCATCCGTTTCACCGATGATATCCTTTCGAATTATGACTTCTAGAAACTCCTTCAAGTCGAACGTGGAAATCTATCCTGATCCTTACTTCGGGCCGCACCAGCAATGTGGATTATCAAGGCCACGTAAGTTTAGACAGGAGCCATCTCTGCTTATTAAAATTCTCATGCTCGGGTCAATCTCCATGATGTCATTAATTTTTTAGTCTCGGGCAACTCTCCTTTCAATCAATGTGGCTCTCTTTTGAATTTAGGCGGCTCTTTGAGCCTCTGAACCATTCTTACCGTGAACTGGCACGCTGTGCCTATTTTCGTATGTACAGAGATGCCGGATACCCTGAAGATGATGACGATTATTTTGCAATGTTCCTAAGGCAGCAGCCTCTTGGAGAGGTAGTTAAAACTATCTATGCAAAATCATCGACTAGCTATGTCCAGATTAAGGAGGCTGTGGTCTTGGGTCTAGCCGGGTCTAATATGCCCTTGGACGATGGCATTGTGGCGATGGAAAAGTCATTGAAAGTCGAGTTTGTTCCAGTCGCCAACATACCAAGCATTCCTAATAGCCCCATCAGCCTCACCTTACGGGTAATCGTTTCACAAAGTGGCCTCGGGAGCGAAGGCAGTGGGATGCAGCCTGAAAAGGCTTTGGGACGTGAGGTTCGAATTGTACAGAGAATTTCAGCTCTCCAATCACTATATGTATCGAAAAAGCTATCAAAAGGGACTCAAGTCACGCGCGAATCGCCATAGTGTCATATGAATGGTTACATTAAGGAACAGGGATTGGCTATCATCCAATGCTAGCGTTGGAGTTGAAGATCATGTTTAGCCTTATGCTCCAATATAAATACTAAAGGTTCCAGAATTACAGCCTTTCAATCCTAGAGGGCGGCTAGTCAGTACTACTAACTTTAACGTGGTAATTCCCAGCTAAGACGGCTACTCGGTCGAGCGATGTTAAAGATACAATAAAGCCTGGCTTTTATTACGCCTCGTTCTCTGTCGGAGCTTTCGATTCGTTAACCGATATATTCCATGATATATATTTCGGCATAGTGGACTACTCAGCCCAGCCTCGGGCGATGGGTACTTTCACTGGCCCCCAACGTGACACCCCTTACCGTAAACGGCTAGCCTACTGCCTAGAAGGGCTTAGTTTGCTAATTGATACAACGGATTGGAGGGTAAAATGTCAACAAGTTCGCAGTTGCTCGGACATTCGTAATTTGTATGAGGAATCTAATTTTGACAACGTATGTATGTTCGTAAACTCAGGAATTCACTATAATTAGGGCCGTTTTAGCCAGGCTATATTGTACTAAAAATGGCTGGATACGAGAATGCAACCTCGGATTAATCGCACTAGCGTATTTGCCTATGAATAGCAGCGTAGGGCAAGAATACGAGGAAGTAGGCTGGGCAATACGAGGATATCAAAACTCCAATGTTGAGTATAAGTACACCATTGTTCTGCAAGAGGATCCCACGATAGAGCAAACATTAGTTAATAACTAAACAAGATGAAGTTCCTTAGTCTCGCAGTTACCTTCCTCCCCCTCCTGGCCGCCGCCGCCCCCGTCGCGGACCCCGAAGCCGAAGCAGATGGAGAGCTAGACCTTGAGAAGCGCACATCAGCGCAGACTTGCAAAATCGTCAATGTCGACCATTATGTCAACTGCCGGTACGATGCGAAGTTGGACGCGGGCGCAATCTTTGGGTTTCCCAAGGGAGAGAAACTCACCTTTGCGTGTTGGAAGCATGGCGATTGCTATAATGGGGTTTGGTATGTTTGATACTAAATTATGACCTGCTGTTGGATACTAACTGGAGTAGCTCCTGGGATCAAATTACATATCTAAAGACGACATGCTACGTCAATGGGTACTTTACGGATAGTAATTGCTCGAGCAGTAGGTCACCACTTGTCTTGCTGGTGTTTGGACATGACTGATAATGTTAGAAAAACTCCCCAAATGCAAGTAACTGATATGCAAAACTCAACACGGGTTTCATCAGTTACGGCCAACCTCCCCCTTTTGCGAGAGTTTTAAGGTCGGCCCTGGTGCTAATGTCAATGACTTGAAATGGGAGGCTCGACATGGGTTTGACAATGAGGTTGCTAGATACCGTGCGTATAAGGGTACGTGGACTGGTATGTGGCAGAAAGGCCGGAACTTGTTTTGGCTGGCGAAACGGCTTTTATGGGCTGGAAGTGTGACGGAAATCAAGGCTTGGAACGTGTATCAGGCCTCGACTGCTAATGAAACTTCACTTTCGCTGGTGGGCATCGCGCAGAACCGGGCATTCGAGACGGTGGTTGATCTAGGGTCCACTGGGTGCTTCCTCATGGATGGATTTAAGAGTGCGAAATCTTCCATTGTTTGCTCTGACTAGATCGCATCATTAGACACGATATGTGTCTTGTTATCTTAGCTGAATAGATGTCTTGATCGATCTCGGTCGGCATATTGGTGACTTAGTAGGTTCACTTTGACGGTATAACCATACTCTTTTGGAAATCAACGAATGGACTCGATTGTAGAGTTGAAACCGAATCAGCAATATCAGTCCTACAAGGAGCCAAAACACCTGACAATCGCAAAGCCAAGCTTGATAGAGGCGGTAAAACAGTGGGTCGCCGATGGGTGCAATATAGAGAAGGCCAAAATAAATCTGGAAAAAAAAATTAATTCCAAGATTCTCCCAAATCCCATTTCCACATATAGAGTATGTAACACAATCGTATGCCATGCTCGTCGTAGCTGGTTGAGATGAAATGTTAGTGCCGGGAGGAACCGAAACCCATCCGGGCGTTATCATTGGTCTTTATCGCCGCTCGGCCTTGAGGAATCTCCTCCTCTTTCCTTTTTCGGGACATCTTTTCAGAAAAGATTGGGGGGTCGGGTGTATCCCGTGAAGTTCAGATAGACTCGCGATCGATGGGAATGGAATGCGGGGTGAGGGATTTCATCACACGGACGCTCGACGTTAACCTGTCTCTGGGGTATGCGAACTGTTCACCTTCACGATATCTCCCGAGCAGTTCCGGTATTTCCTCACCGTGAATAATAATAATTTTGAGGCTTTTTGTTATCCTGGCGATGATCAGGTACGCTCACAGCCATGCCAACCCCGTTTAGGCATGTACAACCACAATCAGCCTCTCGACCGACCGAGTCCGATACCCGCACCGGCGGCCTGAGCCCTGAATTAGCGGCGAGATCTTGTTGCAAGCTCCAATATCATGAGTAATCGCCATGAATAACACTTGCGGTGTCGTTCCAAGTGGATTATGGGATTGAATTGTCACTTGATGCGGGAATTCTGCGTTCTGTGATGTGGCGCTCGCTGGATGGCGGACTTTCTCGTCGGGCACGTCTATCGATCCGGAGTATTAGCAATGGAAATACTTGCAAGAGTGTTTTGTGTGACTAATTCTGTGTGACTAATTGATGGCCTTCTCCGAGGAGGATATGCGGATTCTGCCGTGGATCTGGGGAAAGGGGGGGAATGCTGGTTTTCTGCAGGAAGGTTGCTCTTGTAGAGTTGACTCCTTGTGTCTGATCCGGTTGCACACCCGTTGTGCTTGAGGAGTTGGGCTTTGTGTGACTGGCGATGTGGCACAGCATCAGCCTTGGAGGATTGCCCTTGCTTTGAAGAGCCTTCTCGGTGCTGCTTTGTTGTCCACCCAAGCGTGCTGGTATGATTTGACCTGATGGTGAATCGAGAATGTCGAGGAGGTGATGGTGAGCTCAGCTCCCAGGACTTTCTCACGGATAACAGGGACCCATCGCAAGGAAGAATCCATCCCCAGCCTGACCAATGTCTGGCCAGCGCAGAAGAAGAAGGAAATCATCATCAACGAGACTTACCATCAGCCTTATATGTCCAATCCTCCCAAGGCTGCACGGCGCAACCATTACCGAATCGGGAAGGCCGGGGACACTTCTGCAACGATCAACTCGAATCAGCTCAACTGAGTCAACACTCGCTTAACTCGGAAAATATCTTCACTTGCCGTCCTCAGCACGATGCCATCGAAATTATTCCCATCCTCACAAGCCAGTCAACACTACGACTGCCATCTTACCCCGTGACTTCCCACAGGCATCAATACGACAGCGAGGAGCATGCACAAGGTATGGATCATGAGAGTCTTGGTAATTAAATTAATGCTTGAACCACTATCGGACAACACCGACTGAAACATGGAGCAGGGGAATCTCGAACACAGAAAGGCGAAAGCCAACGCACAAGCACAAGCACGCTTTTGTTTTGTCACCAGGACCCGAAGATGACACAATAATCACGATGATGATGGGAGAGTGGCCGAACGACCGATGCAGAATGGAAAAGCAACCACAGAAATAAAACACCAAAGCCAGAGAGTATCCGAGTCTCTTCGAACGCCGAACCGAACCATGAAATCAAAACAAACCGTCTTCATGACCATGACCCGAACGAGGCGAAACCAGAAATGATAAAAACTCCATCCGCCAGCGGGGATTCCGACGATTGTCTAGTTTATATATCGCACGTCACGGTCATGAGGCACGAGCGCAAAACAAAGAGCACAGGCGACCAAAAAAGGGAGAATCAAAGACCATATGCACGATAGGCAAGTCAAAGGGTCAAAAACAAAAGTCACCTTCACGAGCGACCCTGCTTCGAACTCCTCCACATCCCACCCGGAACAATGCCCTGCTTCAATAACGCCAACTCCTTCTGCACCGCCAGATTCTCCTGCTGAATGCGCTCGATATACGCCAGTGCATTACTCAGGATCTCCGACTTTTTGAGCGAGCCCGCGCCTGCACGGGAAGACTTTTGCACTCCAGCTGGGGAGATAGCTTTCTCCAGAGCCAGGAACTTAGCGTTCATGTTTGTGCGGTAACGCTTCTCGATGATATTGTGGGCGGCGCGTTTGGCGGCGTTGCGGCCTTGGGGGTCTTGTGGGGCTGACGCTGGGGCTTGGCCGGAAGAGGAGGTTGTGGATTCGTCGGAGAGGGAGCGGGTTTTGCGGCGCTTGTCGGTACGTGGGGGGTTGTATTCTTGGGGTTTGATTTCGGGGCTGGACGACCAGCGTGTTGATTTTGATGTTGATGTGTTGGAGGTGGAAGTGGAGGCGCGGGTAATTGGTTTGTTTGAGGTGGTTGTTGGAGATGTCATGGTCATATCGATTGAGGGGCGGGCACTCATGGACCAGGATTGGTCGTCGCTATCGAGATCCTGCGAGGTTGGGGGTTAGTTTTGGTTGTTGCTGATGCGGTGGAAGGTGTCATACTGAAGAGAGCGAGACGGTGTCTTCGGCTGTGGGCATGCTGAATCCGCTAATGGCAGTTGGTGTACCGAAGGGATCCATGAATAGATCCTTCGAGTCGGCGCTGGTCATATCGGCAAAGTCGAAGGAGACCGGGTCCATGTCGGCGGGGTTCAGGGAGAAGAGGTCAATGGCGCTGTCGTAGGACCAATTGCCGGGCAGAGGGTCGGAGGCCTTGGTCGTGGGGAACAGCTCCATGGGGCGAGACTGTGGACTGAGTTGTTGGTTGAGATATCTCTCGTCTTCGAGAGATAAATTGGATAGAGCGGTGCGGTTAAATGCCATGGTTGGACGGGGATGATAAGAGGTTGCGATCATGCACGGAAGATATTAGGCAGGATGGCAAATGGCGGGGTTCGAGAACAGGATATAAATATCTGCGCACAAGCCTGGGATGATAAGCGTAGTTGTAGCTTGTAGCTTGTAGTGGAGAGTAATTGGTTGTTGTTGTTGTTGTTTGTTGTTTGGGTGGCGGAAGCTGAGGAGGAGAATTATAGATCAAGATAATTCAAGGCCGATGAAATGTATTCAATGATGAACCATGGAAATAAAAAAGAAGTATCCGATCGGCCGTGTCCGAGCCGTTATATAATGGTCCCCGATATTCGATCGCACATCGAAAACAAATAGGGAAAATAGAAATGCAAAAATCCACGGACAAGGGGGCCGGACCGGGATGACGACTCAGTTGGGACCGAGTCTCCCAGCCGAATTGACTTGTGATGTCAGGTTTTTGGGGAGTCGAAAAAAGAGAATAGACCCGATTGAAAAATAATAATGAATTAAATGATAAAATGATAATGTCCACTCCGCCAGTAGTAGGACCCTGTTCTCCCGGCCGTAACTGGCGTAGGTTACCGGCAAGCTCTGATCTTTGAAGTATGCGATTCGCTCGGTGCAGTCGAGCCGAGATCACCTTAGCCATCTGGGAGCACGTTGACAAGGTCCACGGCCGGCTCCGAAGGGGGGCAGATCAGCCGTGAGTAATTCCGAGAGTTCATCTGTAGTCCCGCGTTCATGAAACCGTTGAAAACACTTTAGGGATACGGTACTTTCTCTCCGCTAATAATCCAGATAGTTACTGGTTGTACTCCATCGACTCCTACTTTAAACGGAGGCAAAAAAATGTCAGCGAAAGTGGGGCCGAAAACCCGCGAGAACCAGTGGAAGAGTCAATGCCAAGCCGTTCTCCGGCCGAGTCTCGGGGCCGACACTTTACATAGTTGACAGCATAGCCTGTACTATTGTACTATTGTACTGTGTTCATATCTTTTATGGCATACACTACCGACAAAAAGTCTTATTCTGTAACATTTTACCAATCACCACTTCCTAATTGACTCGCTTGTTTCATCCCCCGACCGGAAAAATTCATTACCTGGTACCTAGCCTTGACTATGACTATGACTACTCTATATTCGGTTCCAATTGCAACTGACTCGCCCGGGTAGCCCTGCATGGCGGCGATCCGCTGCACCTCAACCTGTCAGGTCAAGTATGACACATGCATATTCACGTAGACATGCTGGTTACAGATTATCAACTTTCTGCAGTTGCCCGGGATCAAATCATGTATAGTATTTTGTCAATAGCAGCTAGCTATGGAAATAGATATTCATACAAACTTTTGAGTTGCATATTCCATTGTGCAGACTGCATACGGGATACTACATACTACCAGGGCAAACGTCGCTGCAGATAGTCTGGACTCGACTCGACAGGGGTATATTCGAGTGCAGAAATGCAAGCACTGTGCACACCTAGTAGCGGACCCGACAATCCGTTCTAGCAGAAAGCCACTCTCATCATAACTCGGACAGGGTTCGTGGAACGCAACATCGCTTAATTTCTTCAATCTATCTTTATGGAATTAACCTACCGAGTGGTAGTCGTGGCCAATACTGTAGTGGCCTTGTCAGGCGTCAACCTCGGGAACCTGACACATGACGATATACTTCCAAGGTTGAACCGTGGCGAGATCATTATTCGTGCGAGAAGGATGATACAACGAGATTATACTATTCATTCGTACGAGAAAAGTGATGAAATGGAAACGTTCCATTCATCCGTACCAATTCATTTCTCTCCTCCTTGTATTCGTACCAACTTCTGTCTCCTGAGGATGTTCCAGGTACCGCCCAACCTGCAAGTCCTCCATGCCCCTCCTGCTACGACATACATCTAGACCAACATTTGCGGGACTAAGTAGCTGCGGGACCAATTCCGACACCGTGCATCTCACCCGTGCAGTGGAAACAAGTGGAGGCAGGCTCTCCGTCAACCCTCCACCACACAATATACACATTGTACACACTCTCTAGCGCCCTCGTGAAAGCCCCATCTACAGTAACCACCTGTACTATCTCAAACCTCCCCCCGATTAGGCCCAACCTATCGCGACACCCCGTCCGCAGTGGAACCTCTCTAACGGACCACTAGCAACGCCCATAATTCCCGCTGACCCAGCCCTGGCGCGCGCCCTAGGCCTCAAACTATATTCCTATTCCCGTACCATTGCCACTTTGGGCCGTGGGGTGATCCGGATGTTTCGTTTCCTTTTTGTGTTGGCGCTTTGGGAGGCTGTTTGGAGCCCGATGTCTACCGACGGCTCTGTTTTGGTTGTGTAGGTGTCCTCGTGACACTATCTGGTTTTTGCGACACGAAGTGTTTTCGGGATGTGAGGTTAGGATGGGCTTTCTCGGTGTACGGTTTGGGTTGTTTTGGTTAGAGGGAGTGAGGGAGTCTCCTGATGGGAATTATTGTTGATGTAATGGAATTGTGTCGCGATCTGGTTTCCGTGATAGTAGGGTTGGGATTGGGGTGAATAAATTTCGGATTGTTGAGTCTGGCATTTCAATTGTGTTCACACTGTGATTATTCTGATTATTCGCAATAGGGATGTCTCTATCATTCACAATTATACATCTCTGCACTGAAAATCCTATTCTATACAATATTTACATCAATCCAGATCTACGATCTCTCAAAACAAAACCCAAGCCGCCCTAAACAGCCCGCCCCGGCACCGACCCGGGTGGATCACAGCCGTCAAACTAACAAAGTCCACCCTGCAAGCTGACCGTTGCCCTAACTCCATTCCAGTAACGTTCCCCTCCCCTTTTTTCCGAAAAAGAGAACTTTTTTGGGCTAACCCCATCCAGTATTTACTCGCTAGGGTCAGTCCACGCGGCAAGCTGTCGGTCCGGGTGGGGAGCTGTCATCGCCCGGGCCCTAACTAAATACCTAAATTGAAAATCGTCAGCTGGGCCTCTCCCCGTCCACCGGATCGAGAAATGGATCGCACTGCCGATATAAGGCAGTTTTCCCCGGATTATGGCTTCCGTGGCGGGATCTACGTCGGCAGCTACGGAGATGTGGCTATTAGGGGTTTGTTTATGGGGGGATAAAATTATTACCGCTGTGATGTCAGGCTCGTGAGAGCTCTTCTTGGGCGCGGCTCTTAGGGGCGGGTCGTCAGATAAGAGGGGGTAAGTTATGATACGTGCTCGGCATTTTGGTGGTTGCCTCACGAATTTGACTCGCTTTGCGAAGCGTGATATATCATCCGGTTGAAGAATGACTCAGATGACTGGGATTGCAGAACGAAAGGTCTGCAAAATATGATGTCTCTCTTCTAATGAATTTGCAACTGACGAGAATAATCATTTTCCAGTGATCGAGTGCAAAGTTATCCTTCCTCCCTGCATGCTCAACTTAACACAGGCCTCATCCATTTGAGATAGTGTTGTTTTTATCTAAAGTTCTCGCTGCCAGGTACCCCGCAACCATTGATCCCTAACGATCATGCCCAAGTGTGAAGGCTCCAGAGAACCAGTCCCATCGGCCCTATAACTGGTCAGAGCAGTGACTCTGTTCGAGTAACTACTTACTTATCCTTCAAGACCAAGTTCTACCAAACAAAATCGGCTCCCTAGAATCTGACCATGGGATACATTGCTTCCGCCCCGCACTGTGAGGAGATACACTACAACCGGGAGTTTCGATATTGACATTCTATTAGAGTCACTAACGCGGCACTTTAAGTCCGTTTTCGACTACTTTTGCAGGCATGCAAAAAGGGTTACGAATCCCAGATCGAGGAACTCGATTTCGACCTTGACAGATTCACGACTCTATCGATATTGAGGCTGTCTTTCCACGTGTGTGAGAGCCGCATGGCTAGTGGAAAGCTAATTTGAAACTATGCGGTCCGAGTTCGATGCTAACGTTGGTCCCTCCGATCTTTGACTTCAGTGAGCCCTTGCACAATCCTACCTGAACAGGTGCATGGTTTCCATGCGGCATTCCCGCGATACCACTTATACTTGTTGCTAGCCTCTACGCCTGTTATGCGCAATCTTCATTCTATGGAGTTTTCGCGAGTTGGCTTGCTAGAAGTGCGACATCGCACTTGCAGCGTCACCATCCTGGTGATTGGCGCGGGGTAAAAAGACAACAAGTCTTGCCAGGGGGAGGGGTTGGCATTTAAGGTTAGAACCCAACACCTATCCAATGGGAGGGAGTATTTCATATGAGAGCTGGGTTGAACTGGCACTGTATTTATTTGTCAGGAAATTCTTGTTACATGTCCTCTTCGCTTATTTGCATGCAATACTTGATGTTTTCAATACTCAACAGTACATACATGGTCCTTGAGATAATCGGCTCATCTAATCAAAGCTTGGATAGTATTTTCGTAGCTTTCTGGCTCCCGTCCAAGGATCTCCTTGATCGCCGGTGACACCACAGCCGTTTCTCCTTGTTTGATGGCCTCCCAAGCGGTAGCCCACTCCCTCGAAAGGTTAACTCCATGGTACGTATGCTTGTCCCCGATTTGAGTAAGCCGGACATACTCGTCAACAGAAATCTCCCTAATCTTGAGAGGTTTTCCAATTGCACGACCCAAGATATCCACCGTCTCAGCAAGAGAAATTGCCCGTTGACCCGTGAGCAATACCTTTTTGTTCAAGTAATCGAATTTCTTAGGTTGATCGATGTAACCAACAATCAATTTCGCGGTCGCTTCACCAAGCTCGTCCCGTTTGACCCATGACACTCCCGGTCCAGCTCCCGAGTGCGGAATAGTGATTTCGGTAGGAGGATTAGCGGGATCTAACCACGCCGTGTAAATTGGGAACGATTCAGAATAAAGTCCTTCCCGAACGGAAGTATACGTGACTTTATCCGTGATTTCCGCGAGAAACCGCTCTGTTTCGAGGTGTGCGCCCATGACATGAGCTACACTGTGGTCGGTGAGATCGCCGGCGAAACCCAGAGATGAGTAAAAGATGTGTTTCACGCCACTTTTTATCGCAGCTTGAATTGCTAGTTGATGGACCTGAGATTGTTAGTAGTGGTTGATTGCGGGGAGTAAGGCTTCTTACTTCCACTCGGCGTCTGATCTCGAAGGATGCATATGAAATGAGGATCAGGACGTCCACTCCATCAAAGGCATTATCGAGGGTAGAGGGCTGGTCATAGTCTGCTTTTCGCAATGTGGCACCAGCTTGACCTAGTCTGGTCCATTTATCCGGGTTGCGTGCGATCAAGACTAATTGAGACGCTGAGACGAGTTTGGTAAGGTGATTGACGATGCTTGTTCCAAGGCCACCAGAGGCGGGGAAGACTCCAATTCTAGGAGACATGGCGAGGAGTTGAAGAGGGTATTCGATGAGGTATGGTTGGTGATGTGTGCCTTTTTGAGATAAGTTGCAACAGATGATGAACTTTTGTAGTTTCCTATTTCTTGGCGCCATGCAATTTATCAGCAGTTGATTATAAATGGCTTCATTCGGTCGGACATATCGGCCACCGATGATGGTTGGTGTTCTCTAGCCATCGGAAATACCCCTCGGAGTTTAAATAGCATCTTGTAAGACGTAGGCTTTGTACGAATGGTACCCTAATTCCAATATTATGAATTCGTACAAATATCTCTCCAGATAGCCTGGAAGAAGTTGACAACAGATTTGATCCATGTGTATTTAAGATCCACTTGACAAGATCCCAATAAAGGACATCATTAGACCCAAATCACACCTTGTATGAGAGAATAAACCTCCCCTCGTCATACTCAGTCACAGTATAATACTCCTTGCGCACAGGATTATAACTCAAGTCCTCATTGCCGGCCATAAACCAATTAGTGAACTTCGTCGCAGTCTTACCCTCTTCCCAAGTAAACAGGTCACCAGCATTTGGGTCGCGACCATTGCTTCGCGAGAGATAGAATTTCCCATTGTAGGAGACACCACCTTGCATTTTCAGAATATCCACGCAATGGGCCCAGCTGGCAGTTGCCAAGCCATTGCTGTCTGTGCGAAGTCGGCGAGTCGTCGAGTCTAGCTGGTACTTGACGAGCCGGATCGGGACGGGGTCCTTGTTCGTGTCTACTTCGCCGTCACGGACGAATTCACCGACGAGGAGGGTGTCGGGTTTGTCGCTGCGGTCGAGGGAGATCCAGGAGAAGCGGAAGGGAGATTTAGATCCGGGAGTCCATTTGTACCAGCTGTAGATAGTTATTAGTGATGACCCTGAGAGAAGCGACTTGAGTGGACATACCGAACTTGAGGAAGGACATATTGATATCCATCCGCTGAATATCCCTTTCCATCCTTCATTTTCCCAACGCCATCCGCAGTTTCAACTTCCCAGATGTTATCCAGGTCAAACGCGCGAATTCCATTATTCGTATCGACAACATACAGCAGGTTGCCATACCACATAATACCCCCAGCATGGATGGCGATGGACTTAAAGTCATCGTCCGCAGAAGGATAGACAAGGAGGACATGGCGATACTTGTGTGTTTTGCGATCGACAAAACTCACCCGCACACTGTCACCTTTCTGATACCAGCTCACAATCCATGCTTCGTGGTCATTCCATTTTCCAGTGCCGAGTGCATCGGCAGAGCTGGTGATACCCTGTGGCGTCCACTTGGTAGTCTTGTAGTCGCCAGAGTTCCATGCCCATGCTTCATTAGGAGATCCAGTCCCGACTGATGGGTGACCTTTGTTGAGGTCTCGGTTTCCAGAGTTGAGGACAGCGGTAACGCTGACGTTCTTGCCGGTGCTTTCGAAGTGTTTGGCTAGTGCTGCAAGGTGTGGGCTGTCGGCGGATTCTTGGAGGGTAAAGTCTTTGGCTTTGATGACGTTCTTGTTCATGCAGTAGCGGGAGTCTGCTGCGAGGGTAGATGGGATAGTAAAAGAGAGGAGGGTGGCTGATAATTGAAGGATTGTCGAGTACCGCATCTTGTCGGTTTGATACTTTTTGTACGACTCTCGTGTTGAAACTTTGGAACAGATGGTGGTTGACCAGCGTTATATATGCCAAAACTTGGACTAATCTCCCGCATGCGCATGAGTTATACGAGTTTTTCTGGACCCTGTAACCACGTCTACCTCTTCAAATTCCATCCTCGGTCGTATTTTGCTTGCTGTAAATCAAGGTTGATGTATAAAAAGCTCTATCCAAGATGAGATCGTCGCCGATACGAGACTTGGCAGGCCGCGGGTACAGCCAAGCCCGGGCGGACGGCCCAAAAATAGCCCCGGCATGGTCACAATCCCCTCGTAAAGATGGCTAGCGGAGAAATTGGCCCCTTGGCAGTGGGGCTGAAACCTGGGGAGTGTCTCGCATATTCAAGTCTATTCCAGCGTAGTGATCGCCTACCGGTTTGATGTGGACTAACTTGAAGAAGTGTCATCTCGCGTGATTTTAATTCGTAATTTCGTGAATTGATTCGATTCTATTATATGGAAAGGAGAGAGAAGAGAGGTATCATACAAACGCCGGTCTAATCAATGAAAATGCAGAGGGAAAAGGGGGCCTCTTCTAGTTAATGCCGCCAGTGCCGAACAGTTCCATCTTGATGCGGTCGGCAGCCACACCTTGTTCCTTGAGAGTGGTCTGCATGTCGGTCATGAACTTGTCAGGACCACAGATGTAGTATTCCGTGGTGGAAATGTCCATGAAAAGGTCCTTGTTGGCGTCCAGCTTGCTCAAGTCTACGCGGCCGACGTAGTCAAAGTCGACGCCCTGCGTCTCAGCTTCGGTGGGGTTGCTGGTGAAGAAGGTAGCCTGGAGGTTGGCGTGGCTCTTCTTCAAATCGGCAATGTGGTTCTTGAAAGCGCGGGCTCCAGAGGTGCGAGCACCGTGGATGAAGTGCAGCTTGCGCTCGGTAGAGGCGGTCTTGGAAGCCAGGGTGTTCAAGATGGAGGTCATAGGGGTCAAGCCGACGCCAGCAGAGAGGAGGACAACCGGGGTAGTGGGTTCCACGGCAGTGGCGGACAAGAAGAAGTCACCGCAGGGGTGAGAGACCTTGATGATGTCACCCTTGTTGTACCGGTCGTGCAAGAGGTTGGACACGTAGCCAGGGTGAGTTGCAGCAGCCGAGTCGGTGGCTGGCAGGCCCTTCTCCTTCTTGACACTGATGCGGTAGTAGTCCTGGGAGTGCTGGTCACTGAGCGAGTACTGACGAGGCTGCAGGCACTGGAGCTCGGGCACGTTGACCTGCACGGAGATGTACTGGCCAGGCTGGAAGACTGGCAGAGGCTGGCCATCGACTGGGGCCAAATAGAAAGAGGTGATCTCCTCGGACTCCTGGACCTTGTCGGTGATCTTGAACTCGCGCCAGTTAGTCCAGCCCTTGCTCTCCTGGTAGATCTGCTTCTCGCGGCCGATCATGATATCAGCGAGTTGCCAATAGGCGGCTCCCCAAGCCTCCTTGATCTCGGGGGTAAGGGCATCTCCGAGGACCTCGCCCATTGCCTCGAGGAGAAATTTGCCAACGATCTCATACTGCTCAGGCTGGATGTACAGAGAAGCGTGCTTGTGGCAAATCAGCTCAACGGCAGGGCCCAGAGCTCCCAAGTTGTCCATGTTGGCGGCATAGGCGAAGAGGGCGCCAGCAAGGGCACGGGGCTGATGGCCATTGCGCTGGTTGGGGACGTTGAACACGTTATTCAGCTCCGGGTGGGCAGCGAGCATGTTCTTGTAGAACACCGTAGTGATGGTCTTGCCATGCTCAACAAGGACCGGCACGGTAGCCTTGATGAGTTGGAGTTGGTTGGGAGTTAATCCAGCGACGGAACCCATGGTGGATGTAATTGTGATTTTTGTGGTGAATATTTGAAAAGAAAAAAAAAAACGAAGCCGATCGAGGATGCGTTGCACGGTTTATACAAGAGCAATATTGATTAGGTGTCTCCACTCTGGTATGAAGTAATCTGTCTGTAAGAACAATATCCCCATCAACAAGCCGGGCTGGTAGCCAGCTATTTATCTTCACCCCAACGCAGGGGTTTGCCGCGCAACGCGAGCAAAGCCCGGTGGAAGCAAAAGCGCCATTCGACTCATCGGCGTACCCGCTGGGCGTTTCGAAATGTCGAGAATTGTGTGCCTGTCCAGGTACCAGAGTATAATGTTCCTGTGGTTCGGTGTGATTGAGGACGATTTGACCCGAGAAAAATAAACATCTCCGCGGAGGAGGCTTGATAAAGCGGTAGCAGAGGCTCAGTGTGGTTCGATGGCTCTTTCGCCCGGCTGGAGTTTTCTCGGCATAGGGTCCATTTTAGCCATTTTATGACACCGGAATTCGGGGAATACAAATGAAGGGAACAGAATAGATGTTGCAAGCGACCGGAAGAAAGCTCTTCACATAAATTCATGATGGTACCTATTGGTACCTTAGTAATGAGAAGTATACTTTCTTCAAGGAAATTCCAGGTTTTCTCTCAGCAAAAATTCACGAGCTGTGATATCATTCAGTACTTTTTCCTCAATCTTAGTCCATCCTTAATCCCTGCTATTTGCCTATCTCGTCCTGTCCAAGCGTATAGCAGAGTCTATAATAACCATAATGACGATATCGAGTTAGTAGACATTACTACTCCGCATAGCCCTACCTGCATATCCCTTCCTCTCCATGTCTATTTAGTCCTCCATCTCTATACCCCGTCATAGAACCAGCTTACTCGAATAGGACTAAACCCCGTTTGCCGCTCGGGAGTGACCCGTCGCGTCCTCCCCGAGCCAACAAATCGAACTTTTTCTGTTTGTCACGCGGCGGCCGCCCAATACCGACCGTCAGCCCACTCGACGAGAATTCTTAGGAATTCTTAGCAAAAACCCGCCGACTGCCGCGTACCCGGTACTAACGTGCGATTGAAATTTTTCGGACCAATAATAGTCTTTAGATTAGCACGCAGAGAATATGCCAGGGTCAAACCAGTAGCGAGTTTAAAGCTCAGCACTGATCACCAGTTCAGCAAGACATGTTCAAGCACCTTATCTTTGCTGCTGCATCGCTATCAGGATGGCGGGGTAAACCCAATCATGTCTTGAGATGATGGGGAAATGCATGTACTTAGGTTTGCATCGCAACTAGGGAGATTTCAATTTCAAGAACATGCGACTGGCAGGATTTCGAATTTTCATTATCGAGGGCTCCTGGTGATCGCTTGGTGACATCCGGGACTCCGCGGAGTACTATTGAACAACAAATCATGATCTTGAGATCACAGGCGATCACAGGGGATGGAAAAAGTGTCTAGACACCTGGTATATTTTCTCCGTCTTAAATGATTCAGTGCTCTCTACGCTACTACTTGTCAGGTTTCAGGCGCATCCATCGAGAATCAATGGCTTTTCTATGAACCCATGATCGTAATTGTAGCATTAATAGGATTAATAGGACCAATCAAAAACCAGCAGTCCACCTGTCGCAAACCCTTATAGAGATGATCATTTAGTGGGAGTCCATACAAAGAACTCGCTAGTGGTCCTCGACAGTCCAGACCCTTCCGTTTGCGGAAAACGGAGTCCTCTCCACCCAATACCAGTCTGGGGATTCAAACACATAAACATGGGACAACTACTGATATTGACCTCATCACTATTTGTCTAAAATTTGCGATTCGACCATTTATGACTACAGGGCTCAATATGGATATTGCAATTCCAGGCAAAAAGGCTACTCTGAGGCGATGAGATCGCTCGGCTAGCTGACTCGCGTATCATCTCCGCTTTCAAGACCACATCGATGATACTTGCATTCGATGTTTATCTTGGTCGGAGTGCTGATAGTGACGTCTGCGATGAAAAGAGCTATTGAATAAATATCTCGAAACTGGGTCGGAGAGACAGTTGGTACTGGGAATCTTGACTATTTGAATTGATTCCAAAACTGTCGCTACATTCCGAAGCCCGTTGAAGAAAGTCTTAACAAGAAACTAGCAATTGTCCAGTTGAAAGATCTCAACCCGACAAGATGATATTCCACAAGCGAGAGTCGTCACAGGCCTCTTCACTGGCTGGGCCGCCTGGCCCCGGAGGTCGTGGCCAGCTGCCTATGCTCCAGATGCCAGACAGGATGCGCTTCAACGTTCTCTGTATGGTGGGAGAGTTTATAGGCACATTCCTGTTCCTCTTCTTCTCGTTCGCCGGAACTCAGGTCTCCAATACACCTGCGCCGGAGCCGGGATCGTACCCGAATACTTCCAATCTCTTGTACTCGTCTCTGTGTTTCGGTTTCGGTTTGACTGTCAATGTCTGGGCTTTCTTCCGAGTCACTGGTGGTCTTTTTAATCCTGCTGTAAGTCAATCTCAAGCTCTAAATGTTTCAATTTGAAGCTAAACAACCTAATGATATCCAGGTCACACTTGCACTATGTTTGACCGGTGGCATGCCCGCACTGCGTGGCCTGATGGTTTTCCCGGCCCAGCTGCTTGCCGGCATTGCTTCTGCTGGTGTTGTCAGCGCACTGTTCCCGGGTCCTTTGAACGTCGGCACTCGACTTGGCGGTGGTGCCTCCATCTCGCAGGGTCTCTTTATCGAAATGTTCCTCACTGCTCAGCTCGTGCTCGTCATCATCATGCTGGCTGTCGTCAAGCACAAGTCGACCTACCTTGCACCCGTCGGTATCGGTCTCACTTTCTTCGTCTGCGAGTTGGTTGGTATGTTCTCACCATGAATCACTCTCCTACTTGCACAGATCTAACAATGTCTCTTTCTAGGTGATTACTACACTGGTGGTTCCCTAAACCCTGCCCGGTCCTTGGGTCCCGATGTTATCAACCGCAGCTTCCCCGGATACCATTGGATCTACTGGGTCGGTCCTCTGCTCGGATCACTGCTGGCTTCTGGCTTCTACCACGCGCTTTGCTATGTCCGCTGGGAGAACATCAACCCTGGTCAGGACTATAATGAGTGGGAGACCAAGGCTCGGAAGGACTCTATGGTTGCTTCAGAGCGCACAATGACCGATGGTATTCACAATGGTGTTGGCAATGGCACCGCTAATGGTAACTACACTAGCAACGGTGATGCCACCAGTGGCTTCTTGCGTCCGCCCACTTCCGAGACTGCTCCCGAGCAGCAGGTTTAAGGACTAGATGCGGATGTCGTCATGTTCGGATGATGCGATACTCGGTGGAGCGGGTAGTTCGGGGAAATATGATGACCTTGGACGATATTGACTGTGAGGGACATTCAGAGGTGTCAATGGGCTTATATTGTTGGAATGGAGGAAAGCAGACGCGATGTTTCATTTTCGCAAGCTGTATATCCACTGTTGATTTTGTTCCATGTGAATTTGATACTGTAGTAATTAATTAATTCTCAACTCTGGCACTGAGCAATACTGAAACATTGACAAGAATGTAAAAGATTGGGTAAAGAAGCACAATATGCCGTCGATAATCTTTTCAACGTCAGCCTTGGCAAAAGCTGACTGTCTGATTTTTGAGGGAGGTTCAAAATCCCGTACTGTAATCCACAAGCGCAAGGCTGCGCGCTAGCTTTGTGTAACCTAGCGCAACCCGAAGAGAAGATTATTGGTGGCACCATTTACCACAAACGATTGTTGGCGGTAGAAGATTGGTCAGGATTTTCCGCTAGCGCAATAGTTCACGGCTAGAGCATCTGATTTGAAGGTTTGGTTAGTTTGGCAGCGCCAAGCAAGTCAGCTCGCAATTGACTTTTGAAAAAGCCTTCAAGGTGATGGCACTATTTAGTAGTTGTAGAACCCTATTCACGGAACTGCAATGCCTGCAGAGCTCTTCAACATATACCCCATCCGTATTCTAGGTGTAGATCGAGATATTCTACTACAACGAGGGGCTAGCCACCTGATTAAGCTATAGTACAACTTGCTGACTGCAGCACGGTTAAACTTGCAACAAAGCCGCGGCAGCATAAAGAACAAATAAAAGCAATCAGCCTAATTCTATCGAATTGTACTACAAAATTAATACTATCTTTATTCTTAGCGATAATCCTCCTCCAGGCACTGAGGTAAGAAAAAGGGGTGCATGAAAAATGATTATCCACACACATCTGGCAAGCCGCTCTAGCAAGTCTCCACCCAGCCACCATCAGCCTTGCAGTCCAACAAACATGCAAGGATCGGTCCGAGAGGAATTCGGTAAATGGCCGATACGAGTTTCAGAAATCTCGACTTTAAACTGAACCTGCCCCTTAAAACCCATATCTTCAGAGACAACGCCTTCTATCCGCCAACTCGCCCTCCCCAGATCTCACCCGTCCGTACCCCGGTCCCTTGTACAGTAGCTCGGCCCGCTAGAGACGAATCGAGGATTTGCAGGTCCACCGACTGTCCAATCTCGCCGATTTGCGGGCATCCCTGCATGCTTTGATTATCAAACAAGGTTCTCAGCTGTGTCTCTCACAGTACATTCGGGTCTCGACGTGTCCCTCGGTCGACAGTATAAACATAACGCTGCCCCTCCGCCATGTTCGTTGAGCGTACCGACCGAGTCTAAATCGCGTCTCGCTATGCATTCCACGCCCCCAACCGGAGGAGATGATGGGACTTCCGAGGCTGGCGGCGTGCCTGTCGCGCCCGGACTCGCGAATTCGAGTGATTTACAGTTACTAGGTGAGTTTGCCATTGCGGGGGATGCGAAATAATCCGGTCGCGTGTTGATGGTTTTGGTTGCGCCAAGCCAAAATGGGGTATAAGCAGGAATTGAAGCGACAGTATTCCACGCCGCAGATGTTTGCGATCGCGTTTAGCATTATGGGCCTTGTACCGTCTATCGCGTCAACTATCGCGTTTTCGCTTCCGGCGGGTCCTGTTGGGATGGTTTGGGTAAGTCTGCATCCACTATGTTGTGAGATTGCTCGTCTGGTGATTTGCTCACCCGCTAATGCGCGATCGGGATAGGGATGGTTCACGGCGAGTATCTTCATTATTGTGGTTGCATTGGCTATGGTAAGGATGCCATCTCTATGGTCTTCGAAAAAGATCGAGTTATTGACAAGTTGTAGTCAGATCTGGCATCTGCCATGCCCACGGCCGGGGGTCTATATTGGTGGACCCATTATTTTGCTGGCGAAAAGTACAAGAACCCTCTAAGCTTCTTGATTGGATACAGCAACACGTTGGGTCTGATTGGCGGTATATGCTCAGTAGACTGTGAGTCGGTCCACATAACCTTGACACGGGTAGTTCTAACTCGGTTGACTATTCCAGATACACTTGCTCTCATGATTCTATCATGCGTCTCTATCTCTCGCGACTCGGACTGGACAGCATCGCGCGGCGTAATCTATGCTGTTTACGTGGGGTTGATCCTCTTCCACGGGTTGTCTGCGGCAGTCACAGGCCGTGTGATGCCCAAGATCCAAACAGCCTGCATTTACATCAATATCGGGCTGGTAGTTGCTACAGTCATCGCATTGCCCGTCGGAAAAGTGACTAGAGGGGGATCACTGAATTCGGGAAAATATGTCTTCGGCCATGTTGACAACGAAACAGGATGGCCGACTGGGTGGACTTTTATGCTTGCGTGGCTTGCTCCAATTTGGTCGATTGGCTCGTTCGACTCTTGCGTGCATATGAGCGAGGAGGCTATGCATGCTGCCAGGGCTGTTCCGCTTGGTATCATGTTCTCTGCAGGTTCAGCCCTTATCTTTGGGTTCTTAGTGCTGGCTGTGATGGCTGCTACTATGAATCCAGACGTGTCGCAAACTCTGGGAACCAAATTTGGGCAGCCGATGGCGCAGGTGAGTACTGGATTGTTCTGTCTAGTCCGGGCAACCAAAAGCTGACCCAATGCCGGCAGATTTATTATGACGCCGTCGGCAAAGATGGCGCTTTAGCTTTCATGATCGTACTGTGTATCGTTCAGTATCTAATCGGTCTCAGCTTGGTGAGTTCTACTATCCGGATATAATAGATGATCAAGCAGTGTGCTGATGAATTAGCTCGTTGCTGCATCCCGCCAAGCATGGGCATTCTCGCGCGATGGCGCATTTCCGTTCTCCAACTTCTTTCGCCATATCAGCACACGGATCCAATATCAACCCGTACGCATGATTTGCGGTCTCGTCGTGATATGTCTCATCTTAGGCCTTTTGTGCCTCATCAACAACGCTGCTACCAATGCACTGTTCTCGTTGTTTGTTGCCAGTAACTATCTATCATGGGGCATGCCGATATTTTGCCGGGTGGTCTGGGGTGAGGATCGATTCCAACCTGGAGAATTTTATACCGGTCGGTTTAGCAAGCCGATCGCTTATATCGCTGTTGTGTATTTGCTTTTCGGTGTGGTTTTATCCATGTTCCCAACCGCAGGACCGAATCCGGATCGTACGTTCCTTTTCTTTGGCAATTATTTTCAGATCAGTATACTAACCTTGAGGCTCGTTTAGCACCTGACATGAACTATACTGTTGTCATTAACGGCTTTGTCTGGATCGGTTGTATGGCCTATTACTTCCTCTTTGCCAAGAATTGGTTCACTGGCCCCCGGATGACGGTTGACGAGAATGGCTCGATGGAGTCGGAAACCACCATAGCCAACCCTGTCTTCGAAAATTCGCGGTTTTCGAAAGAAGATTGATTCCCTTGCGACGGGCGCCTCCACATAATGATGACGAATGGATGTTTGTGGAATTGCTGAGCTTTTTGACGAGCTTTCTCTGGAAATATATATCCGGCCAATTAGCCTATTTCTAGTCCCAGTAGCCGACATAATTGTCTTGTTTCTCAATTAGGTGTGTTTGAAGTGAGAAGGACTGCATAAGTAAATAGCTGAACCATCAGCGGTTGCCTACATAGACTAGCAATGACCATCAATCTTTATCGCGCGAAGGTGGATCTCGCTAAAAATAGGGGCCAGATATGACGTCGAACCCCCACACTTCCCCTCACTCCGAAGCCAAGGGACACATAAACTCCGCAACATTTGACCCAGGAACACTGAAAACCAAGCCTAGGCACGTCTACAAGACAGACGATCTTACATTAAAAGGCTCGGCACAGTCATGAGTCAAGACCACGAGGGTCCAGGGGAGCTGGAAGACAGCGACAGCTACGATCTCACCCAGGCACCAACCAGGGAAACTAGGGGTTCAACTGAATCAGTGAACCAACGACAACAAAACATCCAATGGAAGCCTTCGTCAAGGACAGTCGAGGAGACGCTAGCTGAGGGTCTCTCCAATGAGGATCTCTGGCTCTTGATTCGGCGATTTAATAAGGTATGCATAAAGACTAGCTTTGAGGTTTTCGGAGCTAACATGTGATCAGCAAATATACCATGTGAAGGCGGTTCAAGATGCGACCAGTCAGAATCTAGATTTGAGTCGAGCGGAAGATGAACAGTTCCCGCCCGAGAAGTTGCGCATGACTATTGAGCGATTCTATACGTCTGTTATTGTTGGTGTGATCGAGCTCTTTCGACATGTTGGGCGGTTGAGGTCTTGGAGAGAGCCCGGGCGGACTTCTGCATTTACGTTGGTATGTCACTTTCCTGCTAAAGTATTATTCTACGCTGATGGATCTAACGATTAAAAGATCTATTTCTTTTCATGGTACATGGATTTATTGCTTCCCACCATACTAAGTGTATTGATGGCGTTGATCATGTTTCCACCGATCCGACCAGTTCTCTTTCCCGCTGCTCCATCTTCCAAAAACAAAGGTTCATCAACTGGGAAGAATGGACAGCCTCAATCTCAAGACAATCTCACCGGAGCACCGGAAACGCATAAAGGTGAAGCGGCTGAACAAGAAGCCAAGAACATGATCGATAGTGTCGCAACTATTGCTATGGAAAGTGCTGCCGGCAAGTATGGCCAAGCTGTACCCCAAGATCTTGATGACGTTCCATCTCCCTCCGAAGCAATTGATGTCGCGGATATCTCCGAGGAAATTGGGCTAGAGGATCCCACTGACGACAAGACGAAAAAGCCTGTCAGGAACAAAGTGTCCCGGGGTACTGATAAGGCCATGCGTGTAATCAGTGATATCACAGACATATACGAAAAGTTTGCAAAGTGAGTCAATTCTTCGCTGATATCACGTCAATCAAGTCCTGGACTGACGCAAGAACAGCCTCTTGTCTCCCACACCACCATTTCTCTTGGTCACACCACGGCTGCGTCTTTCGGGTATCCTGGGCTTTGTTTGCTTAGTTTTCCCTTTTATATCCAGTCACAGTATCATCAAGGCGGTAGGATTCATCATTGGAGTTGGATTCTTCGGTGATCCACTCTTCACCTTCGCAATGGGGATGTTGAATCGAACGATGCCCAACTGGCAGGATCAAATGGATATCCAAAAGTAAGATCGCAAAATTTCGCAAGTGATTTATACTCTACTAACGCGAGAACAGGACATTATTGGCTGGTGTTCCTACAAACGCGCAATTGACACTGACACTATTCCGAATCGGAGAGATCAATTCCGCTCCACTACCACCACCACCAAACTCCGGCGACAATGAGCCATCATGGCCAATTCGCCGCAAGAAGTCCTCGGCTAAGCTTCTGACCCAAGGCAGCAATCTTGACGCTTCACTCGGCACCCAAACACAGGGTACCAATGAGCCTCTTCCGATGGGCAAGCCCAAGAAGAAATGGATTTACAAGGTATTCAAATTCGTCCGTCGCACTATCGCAACAGCTATTCGCGGACACATTGCCTTCGACCGCGCAATGGCCATCGCCGGATCAGCCCACACGAAGAACTTGATCACCATGCTCCAACAGAAGGCTTTCTCCTCAAAGCCATTCGGCCCACTCAAATTCGACGCTAAATTCATGAAGAAGCGTGGCGCAGCAGTAATAGACTCCACCCAGGAGCCACCAATCCTGTACTTCACGACTTATCAGTCGGCGGGACTGGACGATCTCCGTCTTGAGAGTCGTAAGAAGAGCTCTGTTTTGTTCCAAATTCCCATTACGGAGATTCGGGAATTGAAGAAGACTGAGGGTTTGGGTTGGAAGGGCAAGTTGATTGTGGAGTTGACGGCTGGTAGTAAAGAGGCTGCTGATGGGTTGGTGGTTATTGGAAAAGAGGAAGGGCAGTCGTTCCATCTTACCGGGATGAGGTCGCGGAACCAGTTGTTTAATCGATTGGTGGCTATGGATGCACAGTTTTGGGAAAGTAGGTGAGAGTTTGTGCACATGATACAATGTAAATAGGCAGCTACGAATTGATACCAGGTTGACGTGTTTTGACATTTACTCAGCGGACCACCTAGGTGCCCTTGGAAGATGGTTTAATGGAAGGTGTTTGAGAAATCATGTTCAGATCATGAAAAATATGAATTGCACTATATATACAGCCAACGCCAGTATTGTACCCATATTTCTAGCCGATGCAAGCCGAAATTTATCAACAAGATGAAAAGATCATAAAAAAGCGTCGCCCACCCGAATCTTCTCCAGAAGTGATCGCAAATAAGACATTATACAGTGATCACCCGATTTAAAGGGCAACCATGACACCGAGCATACCAGCAACACCGGCAAAGGTAGCACCCATAGCCTCAGGGCGAGCCATAGCACCACCAGTGCTAGTAGAAGCAGCACTGGTGGAAGTGCCAGTACCGGTTGTAGAGGCAGAAGGAGCAGTAGTAATTGTGGAGGCGACAGTGGTAGTCTGGCCGTTAGAGTTGGTAGTGGTGAACTGGGTGATCCAGGTGGAAGCGCGGCTAGCAGCATCCGAGCCAATGGACTCGGCGGCAGATTTGATAGAAGAGCCGGCAGTCTCGGCGGCAGAGGCAATAGAGGCAGCTTCCTTGGTGATGGAGCTAATAGCAGCGGCACCGCCGGTAGAAGCAGCGTTAGCAAGCGAGGTGGCTTCAGCAACGACGTCAGAGCCAACGGACTGGCCGCCAGAGACGGCGGCAGAGACAGCGCTCTCGGCTGCGGAGACGATCGAGTTCACGTCAATGCCATCGGGGTTGGCCAGGGCGGCGGTGGCGAGGAAGAGGGCGGAGGTGAGGATGGTGAACTTCATTGTGAATTGAGTTTATTTGATATGTGTCCTGTATTGAGGATGTGTGGATGTATTAAGCTGAAGTAGAAAGGAGATCGTTCAGGGTCGTGGATCGGTTGAAGGTTGGATATGTACACAAAAGCGATGGAGGAATTGGGCCCCGGGAGATCTTTATATCTGCCGGAAGGAGGTACCCAATTTCCCACCCGAATATAGATAGAAACAGGGGAGAGTTTGGTTAACCGGGCTGTGGGTTTGGTAGTGGCAACATGACCTCAGCCTGGCTTGGGGAAACGAAACGGAGCAATTCCCTCTGGACGATCTTCACCACCAGCTGGGCTGCGCCGAATTGTTACCCAAATTAACGGCACGGCTGTAGTAAAAGTCAAACTTGGTCAAGCCAATCGTCATTTCAAAGGGTCCACTTGCGACGTCGGTGCGGCCGGTGATTTGTTTCAATATCGTTTCCGCCCCAGTCGACCGCGGGCCGAAGGTCCTGCGAGATCCAAGCCCTGCAGCTGGGGATCTCGTGCTTGTTCTGCTAAACTGCATGAACACGTTATCCTGCCGACACAGCCTGGTTGCCAGAACTGATTTTAGAAACAACAAATCGCTGGATATTCTGCTGCCTCCAGGCCGTTCCCAACAAATTCGTCGCGGCCGGAACCCACCGCATCTGTCGCCCGCCACAGCCTCCAATTATTCACCCCCTGAGGTGGAGATGAAGCCCATCGGGGAAGATCTCCACTGATCAGCCACTGATGGAAGGATGCCACCGCAATGTTGCTGGCCTGTGATTGAGTCTTACACCCAGTGGATCGCACCGGCTGCTGTTGCGTCACGTCAGCTCGTGCCTTGTCCCCAAATAAAAGGTCTCCATGTTCGTCGGTGATTCAAAATTCCTGCATTAGGAGCTCGGTTTCCGATGAGCTAAGCCAAGCAGCCAAGAGCCTTAGATGACGTTTCCATTTTGGCTGGTCGGACCGCGAAATGGAGCACCAAGAAGAGTGTCAGAGTGGCCTGGATCTTTTCCGGACGCCACCGAGAGGCAAAGCACTTCGGAACCCATCGGAGACTCTGGCCTCAGGCAGCATTTTCACAGCCACGGTCACGTGTGTCTAAAAACAGAACGGACACCTGAGGGTTCAGGCTGTAATTACAGGAGGACGCAGCCAGCATGAGATCCTTTTAATTTCCATGGGAGGCCTGAACGGACGCCTGAATAGGAAAGTTTTACGTCGGTGCATAGAGCCTATCTGGTTATCGTCGCACCTAGTGACGCGAGGGCATGGACAATACGAACTAGGGACATCGTAAGTATCCAGTCGAAGATGCGTTGTCCACATATTGGACCAGTTCGAGTGCTAGGTGAATCGCTTTCCATTAATTTTATTGGTATCTAACGTCTCATTCATCCCATGCGATATGTTCAAAGTTAATGCTATAGACATGCCAAACATCCAAACCCTTAGTCCTAACCCGCAAATTCACCATACGCCTGAATGATACCCTCCCATCCACCAGCATGATTATCCTCCCTCGGATTACTCTTCCCATCCAACACGATCACCTCCGTCATGCGCGTGCTAATCGAATACCAAACGAAATTCTGTGGCGCTCTGGTTACTCGCATCATGTTTGCTTGGCACTTGCCTTGGCACGGCTCATTATAGAGCCCATTCCAAGAGCCGTCGAAAAAGGCCCATGCGGCTGAATTATACAGAGCGATATTCGATCCTCCGTCGACGTTGGTTGCTAATGCACTTCGACATTTCTCATCACTTGGTCCACACCAGGAGAAGTCGGGGTCACCTAGTTGCGGATCAACGGTCCAAGGAGCTGGTGCCTTCTCGAACTCGCCCGATCCTTGCATATATGGGGATTCTGATTGCAGCAGACCTGCAAAGACGTTGGATGCGTTGTGGAAGTTATAGTTATAGAGCCAGTGGTGCTCAGAGCCGGTCCCAGTGAGCCAGGTTCCCTTGGTAGACTCGACGAGAATGCCACGACCAGTGGAGATGATGGTGAAAAGAGACTTGCTGTCCAAGTTGTGATCTGCAGTCCATCCCCAGAAATTCTCGATATATACAGAGGAAGTCTCGGTGAGGTGCATTACCATAAAGGCAGCCATGCAATCCTTAGGATCTTGAGAGGTGCACATGGTGGATATACTCGTTTCAGCAGTACCTCCAACCATAACCATGGTGTTCCAGAGTCCTACGTCGCCGGGTTGCTGGCCCGCCGCATTGATCTCAACCACCTTGGCTCCAGGCAAGATTTCAGCGACGGAGAATCGCATATCCTGGATCTCGATAACACCCACGTCGCCGGGATTACCGACTCGAACGACAGCCTTGGGGCTATTCTGGTTCTTGAAGGCATCACCATATCCAGAGATAACAGACCACGCCTCACCGACGATGCGAGATCCGACCGGAATGAGGAGCGTGTCTGAAACTCTATACACTCCAAAAGGAATGTATGTGATCTTGCAGTTTGCCGCATTCTGAGCTAGGATCGCGTTGAGGGCCACAGTATCGTCGGTGAGACCATCGCCCTTGACGACATGTCCGGCAACAGTCTTCACGTTGACAATATCCTGGTCACTGAATCCAGCATACGTGGGTTGAGGCTTGGTGAAGTATTTTCCGTTGACCAGCAGTTGAGGAGGCCTGTGAGTATTCCACGCTGCGCCCGGTGCGTACGCGCCAGGCACCATAGTTCCCCAGACCCACGTATCAACGTAAGTAGTTGCCTCCAAGCGGGTGTGGCCATTGGTATCAACAGCGATTGGCTCCTTGGAATTATACTGCAGGTTCTGGATCAAGAACTGGCTGTTTTGGTAGCCCGGGTCGTGGGAGGAATCGTAGAATCGAATCAGTGGGCCAGAATTTGTGGATGTCGAGTCCAGAATCACCAAGCTGCCCAGGGCGTTGGTTGTCATGTTGACACCCGTGCCGCACGATTCGAAGGTGGTTCCCTGTAGGAGCACTGTCCATCCACCCGATGCTTCGAACGCAGTGTTACATGAGATGAAGTGGACGTTCTTGAAGTTGACTTGCTGGTTTGAGTTGATTATGCCGGTTGCGCCCCCAATGATAGTCTAGGATTGTTAGTTGAGGTTCCAGGACTGTTGGAAGTGTCTCCTGCTTACCACATCGGTGACTGCGATTGTCGAGCCTGCCACGATATTGATACCAGTGTGCCGACTGGTCCCAGTGGGCATACGGACTTGAATATTGGTTAACCCGGCACCCTGCGCGACACCCCATTGCAATGCAGTAATTGACTGGCTCGATGATACCGAATTGGTGTCCAGAATGACGTTCTTGACCAACATCATAAAGCTGGTCTCCGGGTTTCCATTCATCTTGTCATAACCCATGATCAGGAACTCCCCTTGGAAATTGGGCGCGGCTCTGATGATAGGAGGATTGCTTGGATCACCAACAATGATGGTACCGACGGTCAGCGTAAGCGTACTGCCAAGTTGATAGATACCTCCAGGAAGAAAAACCTCGGCTGGATTGCGAGTAACACCACTTCCTTTGCGGCTACCTCCAACTCCATCATCATCAATTGCTTTTTGCAGTCGAGCTGTTTGGTCACCCGAGCCGTCGTTGACAACGCCATAGTTCATCGCGTTGCGAAACACGGGATATTTGTTGGGTTCGCTTGTGAAAGGTGCATAGCCAGCCCCCGCACCATTGTGATCTTGGGCACGAAGCCAATAAACGTCTGACGAGCTCTGCGCTGGACCAGGACACGTCTTGACTGTTGGGGTCTCCGATGGACTGGTGGGAGGTGTCGGGTTCGCACTACTCGGATGCGCGATTTCAGTCGGGCTACTTGAGCTTAGAGGCTCAGGTGTGCTTGATGGAATTGGAGGAGTTGATTGAACAGGAAGAGGTGTTTGATCAACCGGCAGTGACTGAAATGGGGCCGTAGTTGGTTGGCTAGAAACAGTCGGAACAGAGCTGGTATCGGTGGGTGCTATCAAATCAAGTCTATGAAGATATTATTAGTCTCATGTCATATCACGAAGCTCAATTCATATTGAAATCACATACTCAGCTGCCAAACTCAAGAACCATGGTGGCACACTGATTCTGGCCGCTTCCACAGGCCCACCAGCACTGCCTGGCACCTTCGCAATAGGAACAACTGCGCCAGACACTGATGCAGTCAGAGCTGCAATTGCAGCGAGAGATAATTGTCCCCGCATCTTCGATCAATCTCAACCTCACACTCAACACCGTGAAGAAAGGTAGGGAAGAGGAGATGGAAAGGAAGATATGGACCACGGAATGGAACAAAATAAAAGATCTAAGGCCCAGATTCCGGTCACATAGCAACAGGTACTTCGGTTGTGCGGAATCCATCTAGACTGGTATGCCTGCGTGGGGATATCGCCCATCAAGAATGTGGCTTTACGGCAATGCGGTTACGCCGCAGAGACGGTCCGCGTCAATGCCCCTTGCGCGGCCCGTGACTCTAGGAACGTGCCTGAGCGGGATATTCGATCCAGACAGAATGGTCTTTTCGAAGAAGAATACTATCCTTGGAGATTCAGGGTGTGTTTATGGGTCGGTATTTCCGTTCGCTGGGGTCGAGACGTTGTCATCGACGGGGTGAAGTTTTGATTTTGCCTGATTTGGAAGATAGGATCAATAGGTAAGAAGTAGATTATCTCGCCGCACTGCTCAGTCGCTCTATTCTCCATCAAAGTATACATCAAAGTTGTGATGATTGGTTTAGACTGTCATCGCCGCTTTCTTTTTCAGATAGTGAGACTGTGATATTCTAACCAAGATCGTGATCGCTATTGCCGGCGTTGGGAATGGCTGCTTGATGAGAACCAAGGTCTACATCATCACCGAAGACTGAGAAACCAGGCTTTTTGCGATGACCGACGATGGAATCAACTGCCCCCTACTATCTCCTAGATCAATAAACATTCATCGGGGTGGCTGTTTGAAAACCATGGACTCCACCATCTCTGATGTGAGATAAATGGGAGGATATCTCAAATATCCCATATCGGGATATACTACTTTCTGCTTATCAGATGTTTTTACCCATGTTATTTACGTCCAATAAGCCAAATCGAATCCCCCATAATTCCTACTAGACAGTACTATAGATATACACTTTGGTTAATGTGACGATGGCATCGGCTAAATCTCGGCTCTTGTTGCCGTGCAGTTACCCCTTGCGCCAGCGATAATTTGTTGTCTGAGTTTGGCGACTAGTAACATGCCACAGAACCTCTGTTCAGTACAGCGCCATTCGGAAGACATCCAGAGAATGTACCAGCCTAGCGACAGAACGAGATCGCACGAAGCGGAGAGCCACAATGTACGCCCAGCTCAACCACTTGCAAGTCAAAGCGATCTATGAATATTTGTAGCAGACGAACCCGATCGGACTCTTCGCTCAACCTCGAGGCGTGGATATAGCCCCCAAATCACATCTCAAAGAAGCGGTTGGTCATGAATTGGAGATTAGAGAGTGACAAGCACCAGGAGTAAAAGATGAGGTGGGAATAAATCGTCTCTTGCGTTGTCTATCTTCGGCCACTCGCCAAACCCATTACAAAGCCTAGGGCTACGGACTTTTAGTAATCCCCAGTTCTACAAGCATCAATTACAGTGACTAAAATTAGGACTAAAAGCCTAACTGCGGATTCGCAGTGTCTTGGATAAAATTACTATGCAGGAACAACACCTTCAGGCGGGCTATTTGTGCCCAATACATTCAATCAATTTGAGACTGAGAAAGACATACACGCATCCCCTGGGGCTTTGGACCTAAGACCAAGTCTTTTCTTTTGGCTTAGCAAGACATTTTCCTTTGAATGGTAAGGATCTCCAGGTCAGGCTCCCCGCTGTCGGTTTGAGATCTGTGCTGATTGGAGGCCTTAAACGCGGGTATCTGCCACCCGGACCACCAAAATAGAAGAAAGATCTTGATAGGACCTACGAACGATCGTTCATGTTTGTGGCTGCGGCTGGCTTATGCTGGCGCAGTAGTTTGTATGTGCTTGGCCTATGAGTATCCAGCTGTCCACTGGTAAGGCTCGAGACTGACACATTCTGTCTCGAATGATGGTCATCTTGGCAGGGTTACAGGAATAATACTCATCTCACGGCTGGATGCCTGATTAACAAGTATATTCTTGGTCTTCAAGTTGATTTTGTTAGTTCACGAAGGCATAAATATCGAGCTTTGCCCGCACGATATCTCCTCCATCAACCAGCAAATTCACAATAACTCAACAACATACTTCCACCTCAGCAAACCAATACCTTTACTCAACTCATTCAAAATGAAGTTCACCATCCCCACCATCATTCTGGCTGCCAGCTCAGCTTTCGCTGCCCCAGCCGAAGTCAAGCGGTCCACCCAATTCCAAGTCACAGACTTCTGGGCCATCGCATCGTACCCGACAAGCAGCGCCTCTATGCACTTTGTCCTCACCGACCCCAACTACCCCGATGATACTCCCACCGACTGCAACTTGCTCTGGTATGGATGGCTTTCCCTCTTTTAGGTAGCGAGGCTCGATAGCTAATGTTGAACAGGACTTATGGCAACTCGCCAAAGCAGAGCGCCCGATGCAACAACGGAGAGTACTATATCAAGTTCCCGCAGGGTGCCCCTGATTTCAACCTCTTCACTCTCGAGCTTGAGCGAGTCAACGGTACCATTGCTGAGGACCGTCAGATCCTGCTGAGCTCCAACGCAAATGGAGGCGCTCCTGGCACCAAGTGGATCTGCAAGAACGACCCCTCAGAGGATATTCGTATTCGCTGTGACTACGACGGCACTCTGGAGTTCTGAACTTGATGACAGACTATGGTGTGAGAAAAGCCCGGTATCCGATGATGTTTTGCCTATTTGCCTGCAATAATATGTCTCTCCTTTACTGTTTCTACATAGATCAGGTTGCAATTCTTTAACTAAGAAATCGATTCTCATTGTTGTTTTAATTATGGAAGTTCCAGGACTGGCTCTTTCTGCGAAACCATATATCGTACATGTAGCACCGATGCAGAGCAGTGTAAATGAAGGTAGGATTAAAAAACATGCAGAGCAGTTGGAACACAAGCTTTTGTCGAGATAGGGAGCCTTAAGCCGGCCAATATATCAAGATTGTGGCATGTTTACGACGTTCCCTACTCCAAGAGCCGATCATTCCCAAAGGCTTAGCAGGACGGAGATTATTGTAGACTATTGAGATGCTTGATAGCCATAATCAGCAGCTTCAAAATTTAAATTGATATAAATGAATGTCTATCGTTGAAATCGTCTATTAATAGCGCACCTCCTTAACATCCTCAATCGTCTCCCGCGGTTTGACGACATCATGAAATATGACAATCAACACTGACACATATAAACCTGCAAAATCAGGAGTCGCATTGACGCAATAGTTAAACAAATAGTTCTATGTTCTTCCGAATATTCCCTGTGGGGTCACCGATTTGGCCGCGAGCGCAATAAATCCACCTAGAAGTGTGACGGAGCCACTGAAATATGACATCTCAGCAAAGCCATGATAATGGTTGATCATAGCTCCATTAACAGGAGGTCCAATCAAAGCAGCAAATGAAGCGAATCCCATGGCCATCCCCATGTAAGTTCCAATCTCTTGAGGGTTTTCGATGCAGATGGTAAGGGCTGCAGATCCCCCAGAAATGATAGTTCCAGACGCAAATCCCACCGCGATAGAGTAGACGACGATTGCAGCCGTGGATTCAGCTTGGTTAAAACAGAATATGACTATTCCTGTTGCAAACCCGCCAAACATGAAGACATTCAGCCGGCCAAACTGATCAGCCAAGATCCCCGGAATAATCCGACCAAACGTTGATGCTGCGTTGAGAATGGCAAGCATATACGAGGCAAGTGTAGCATCCATGCCTCGAGACACCGCGTAGGTAGGAAGGTAAAAAAGCGGGGCAAACATCCCAATAAACATGAAAAACATTGCGGCGGTGATGAGGTCGAATTTGACGTTCTTGAATGGCTTGGACATGAAGAAAGCCGATTTGCGTGGTGGAAGGCGTGCCGTGACCGTGATACTTGAGAAGGCAAGTATAGGGATCAGCATAAATCCGATTACTCGTACAGACCATCCAAAACCCAGGTTGGTACTGTTTAGCATTTTTGAAAGTGCAATCGGCATGACCACACCACCAATTGAGGATCCTGCTACAACTGCTCCCAGAGCAGCAGCTCTCTTTTTGTCGAAGTATTGAGTCACAGCAGCCATGGCTGGAAATTGAATCAGCCCCATTGCGGAGCCCATGAGAATACCTTGTGCAAGGATAAACTGCCAGTATTCCTTACACAGGCTTGTCATCATGATTGCAAAAGTGTAAAGAACGGCTGCGGGCCGAATGACCTATGGCGATGTTAGCAGAGCGGCTTTAATCATGTTACCGTCGAAATTTAACGTACCCAAGCACCGTATCGGTCAAACAACGGACCTCCAAGTGCTCCAGCAGCGAATTGAAGACATGTAGCCAGAGACCCTATCCAAGCCACATCATCTGCGGATTTTCCGGCGAGCTGGTGCGACAGATAGTACTCTTCAAAGACCCCGAATGCATTGGCAAATCCCAAGGCAGCAAAAAAGATACAAGCGCCTCCAGCTGCAGCTAGCCAGGCTTTGAGACCGCCATCTGGCGCATCTGGTAGGGTATCTAAGGAGATCTTTTCGTTTGTAGAATGTGGCATGTCCGTCACGGAAGACGCTGCTTGTTCAACATCGGTGGGGGCCATTTCTGGGAAAAATATATTTCGAAAGGTGGTTGGGGGTGAGGAACAATGCTAGGATGAAGAAAGTACTGGGAATTCCTGAACTAGGAGATAGCGAGGTATGGTGATGAGTTCATGTTGACCTGCATGGGAATATACCAATGTTTATATAGAACAGACTCGATGGCAGAGATTGCTTGTATACAACACCCCAGCCGGAAATCTAGGGCTCCGCGGTACGCCCGCGGACTCGGACTCGGTAAATGGTAGACGAGACGGACTAAAGACGCAATTCCCGAACGCCGAGCTGACAGCCTCGCGATCCCCTCATGCGCATCCATGGTGAGTGTTTAATTTTTCTCACAGTCTCGTCAAACACTTAAGGGTGCAGCCGACCGCGGTACCTCAAGCGCCAAGGGAACTAGCGACATTTTTTTCGTTGAGCATTACGCCCTGCGAGACTCGTCGTTCATGGCCGAATCCGAACGCCGACGGAGGAGGCCAGCTGTGTACGCGACGCTCCGGAAAAGAGCAGTTAACCTTTGCTGACTACTAAGAATCCAGCTCATGCACGCTGTGTCGAAGACGAAAAATAAAATGCAATAGGGAGTCTCCATGCAGCAATTGTATTCGTTCTAAGAACTCCAACTGCGAGTATGGGTCTCTGTCGCCGCCGCCGAGACGTTGGCGAGCGGCAGCTAGCCAGGCGGCTGATGTTCAACGGTCGGCTGGACCAAAAGAGTCAGAAACCTCCAATGTCACCGAAATCTCATCCAGCACATGTTCAGAAAATACTTTGCCAAGTCGGCAATCAATGTTGCCACCCCCAACATCATCAACAAGCCCTTCTACACCAGCTAGCCTGGGATCAACACGAGAAGTTGAGGTGCTAAGAAGACAGATCAAGCAGCTCGAGGACCAGCTGGTTAAAGCGGCACGCCGATCGATCACTTCTACGCCCGGAACTCCGAGTGTTGACAGTCAAACGATAACGTCACGTCTCGCTGGAACATTTCACATGAATCAGGAAACTCCTTCCGATGGCCATAAACAGCCTATATCACGGTTTATGATGCACAAGACTAGGATATTTGGACAGAGTCACTGGATGTCAGGTGTCGCCCAGGTAAGCAGTTCTTTTACACCTGTGCTTTTTCCATCGAAGCCAAAGGGGTCTTACCATGCTCCAGTTTGGGGATATTCTTCTTATGATTGATCCCATCATCAACAATGAGACTTCGAAAGCAATACTTGACATGCAAAAATGTAAACATCTGAGCAAGATTATCAAGGAAAGGCGAAGGCCCCCGTGGCCTACACCTCTGACCTCGGACCTGCCCCCGAAGGAAATGGCGGATACGCTGGTGGACATCTACCTGCGAACGACAGAGACTATTTATCGGGTTTTCCACATTCCAACGTTCAGACGTGACTATGAATCTGTCTGGTCGGTTGGAACATCGCCTGATACCACATTCCTGGTTCAGTTGAAGCTCGTATTAGCCATTGGAGCAACAATGTACGATGACCACTTCACCTTGCGACTATCTGCTATTCGGTGGATCCACGAGGCACAAACCTGGATCTCAGAGCCGGAGTTCAAGTCCAGGTTGCATATTCAATTTCTACAGACCCAGATCCTACTCCTGCTTGCGCGTGAACTTGTGGGTGTCGAAGGAAGTTTTATGTGGGTTTCTGCCGGGGAGCTCATTCGAAACGCTATGTATATGGGCCTCCATCGAGACCCGGACCACTTACCTCAAGGGACAACATTTGTGTCTGAGATACGCAGAAGGATATGGAATACTGTATTGGAAGTTGCACTCTATTCTAGTATGGAGTCTGGTGGACCGCCTCTTCTCTCGCTGGAAGATTTCAACACCCACCCACCGCAGAATCTTGACGACGAGAAAATAATGCTCGAACATACGATGCCAAACACGGAGCAGTCATTCACGGATATGTCGATCGCGCTGGCTCTAAGAAAGATGTTCCCAACTCGACTCGCGATCGTGAAACGCCTGAACGGAATCAGTGATCACAGTGAATATGCAGAAACTCTCCGGCTGGATGCAGAGATGCGGGCATCTTATAAGGATGCTTGTAAGCATATACAAGCTCGCGGTGGTGACGGTGCAGCCTTACCGTCACAATTCCAGATGAGGATACTCGACTTTACCCTCCGTCGTTATCTTGTCGCACTTCACTCACCTTACTTTCGCGCATCGCAGCATGAGACCGCCTACGCATTCTCAAGAAAGGTTATCGTCGAAAGCTCTTTAAAAATGTGGAACTGCGTTTCCCAACGAGTTTCCCCGGATACAAGCGTCCAAGATCACGATGATTTCTGGCGAATGGCACTCTGCGGCAACGGGAGCCTAGGTTCATGCGCCGCACAAGTCTGCTTCATGATAGCTGCCGATCTGAGAGCGCAGTTAGAAGAGGAGGAAGGTCTCGGCCCCGTGACCCTCAGGCAAGATTTGCTATCAGTTGTGACTGACTGCAAGTCCTGGTCTTTGGAAACCTTACGAGCAGGGGAGACTAATTGCAAGGGGTTTATGTTTCTTTCAATGGTTTCAACTTTGTTAGATGGGCTCATGCGCGGGGTGCAAAAGGACCAGTTGAGCCAAATGCTCGTGGCAAGCGCCGAGGCGGCGCTGGCAAGTTGCATAGAGGTTTTTGAAACAGCGCTCAATGAAGGAACCGACGAGATTGGAAGTTCGCTGGATGATATGACCGATCTGACATCCTTTTCGTCAGCGGACCTTTTAGGAGATTGGGGATTCCTGGTAAACTTTGGTTCATCGAGAGTATCACCTTTGGATATGCTAACACCAAGCCCAGGGCCAGCAGAATCAGTTCGACTTTGGGGTTACCGAGCCAATGAATTGGGTATACACTGGATATTCCTAATTTAAGGAGCATCCTACGCCGCGAGAGCACAGTCAACACGCTACACTCGGATTAATCTGGCAAGTTCCGAATGGGGTAGGTTGTTGGGGTAGTCGGACAAGTATTCCGAAGGAATGACGTTCAACTAGCCTGTAAACTTTAAACCAGCGAACGGAAGTCTAAATCCTTCTGGATCCCCGGATGATTCTTCGACCTGCCCTCATTGGTCACAGGCATGATCTGGTCGTTTATTGGACTCTGGTGAGCGGGAGTACGCCCGATGACTGCCGCCATGAGCTCATTCAAGTAGCCATAATGGCCACTCGCACACAGTATGCCAAAACCTGCATCCCAGCCTGAAGCGCTGCATTGCCGTTTTAATATCCAACAATAAACCTAACAGTAACGGTCGCGGCTACTAACGAGGGGGAGAACACACTGCATAGTAGGTGTCCAAGTCGCGTGGCATGTGGTTTGTGCATGATATCCAAACTGACTAGCTGAGTCTCGCAGACTGTCCTGTCAAATCACCGATGTTGTACCTGTAAGGCAATAGTTGGCTACAGCTGGGATATAATCGCCGGTCGTCATGTCCGAGTCAGAAAGGACCAATGCTTCTTCCTCGCCCGATGGCCAAAACTCCAACAACAGCGGAGATGATAAGAGATCTATCTCACCTGAGAAGTTGAATGGGAGGAGCCAAGGCCAAGATGAAGAGCATGAGGAACCAGAACATGGGCGAGATAAACAACGGGACAGCCCACCATCTGCTCGACATATTCAATTTCGATCCCAGGCCAACCTAGCGCAAGAAGCACAGCGAGAACAGCCACGTGAAGATCCTCGCGCAGAATGGGACAGATCACACAACCTAGTCATACCCCATCGCCCGTCGATGCCTTACTCTCACGACTCAGCCGATATAGCTGATACACCACTGGAAGACCGAGATCAGGGTAATCAGGAGGGCGAGGCCTCAAAGGAAAAGCAACCCGAAGAACCACCCCCTGAACAAGCACCATCCGAGGAGACAGGTCCAGAAACACTGAGTCTGGCATATATAAAGCGAAGCATACGGTCAGCAATTGACAAGTTTAAACAAAAGGCCTCGGAAATCGGCGAACGACTGGGCCGGCCAACTACTGGTGGGGATGATCTACATCCCGGTGTGTACCATGCCGACTGGGCGTCCGGCAGTCAACCACCGGTGTCGGACGTAACGGACAACAAAAACAAGACTGATCAAGAGAAGCGACAAAACCAGGCTCAAAGTAGCTCCGAGGCCCATCGACTAGTGCGTGACTTGACGCAGAGTCATTCCGGCAAACGGCGCAAAACGCGGCCCAAGCCATACCCGCATGGAGGAATGAATTATATTGGGGGTGAGGATGAATCGGCTATGGAATCTGGGTTGCGATATCGTTCTGGTGGTGGTGGAATTCTTTCACAGCTGATCAAGTTGAACGGTGGGAATGAGCAAGGAGGGGGAGGAGGAGGTATGCCATCACGGACACCGAGTCAGTCATCTTTATCCGGGGCTGCGTCTCGATCTGATTCCGAGTCTGGACGAGCGACGCCTGGGAAAAAGGCTAAACCGCCGAAGTGGTACAAAAGGCCCCCCAATACATCGACTTCCACTCTAGTTGGGGCGTCGGGTGACCTGAGCGGCGCTAGTACGCCTGTCTCGAGCGAAGTACTATCAGCTGCGTCACAGCGTCGTGGCCAGCAAGCCGAGCGCAAGACGAATCTGGAAGACGAAATTAGAGTGACAGTTCACATCGCGGAAATTATCTGTCGGCAGCGATATATCATGCAACTATGCAGGGCGTTGATGCTGTTTGGCGCACCCACCCACCGACTGGAGGAATACATGCAGATGACCGCCAAAGTGCTGGAGGTTGACAGCCAGTTTTTGTATCTGCCGGGTTGCATGATCATGTCATTTGACGATCCATCGACGCGAACCACGGAAGTGAAGCTCGTTCGCGTGGGACAGGGAGTTGATCTTGCTCGACTGTCTGATACCCACCTCATATACAAGAACGTCATTCACGACGTGGTTGGGATCGAGGAAGCTGTACAGGAACTCGACGATGTCATGAAGAAAAAGCCCCGGTATCCAAAGTGGGTTGTCGTGTTGGTGTACGGTTTAGCGACTGCCACTGTTGGTCCCTTTGCATTCAGCGCTCGCCCGATCGATTTACCAATCATCTTCATCAATGGACTGTTGGTAGGACTCATGCAACACCTGGCTGCACCGCGATCAGTTCTCTACTCCAATGTCTTCGAAGTGACCTCGACCGTGGTGACATCGTTTCTCGCTCGTGCTTTTGGCAGTATCCCACGGACGGTCATCGATGGCAAGCGCCAGTATATCTTTTGTTTCTCGGCGATTGCCCAATCGTCGATTGCATTGATCTTGCCCGGGTTCCTGGTTCTGTGCAGTAGTCTCGAGCTGCAGTCTCATCAGATCATCGCTGGGTCAATTAGGATGGTATACGCGATCATCTTTTCCCTTTTTCTTGGCTACGGCATCACAGTTGGCACTACGGTCTATGGTCTTATGGACAACGGAGCCGTATCAGACATCCAATGTCCACAGACTGGCGCATTCAAGAATCCCTACGTGCAACGCTTTCCGTTCGTGACGATAATGACTGTCTGGCTCCTGATCATCAACCAGGGGAAATGGAAGCAGCTCCCGCCAATGACAATCATCGCACTGTCCGGGTACATCAGCAACTACTTCAGTACGAAGAAGCTAGGTTCAAACTCGCAAGTTGCGAATACCGTTGGTGCATTCACTGTGGGAATCATGGGAAATTTGTATAGTCGTCTATGGCACGGTCACGCTGCGACTGCTATCTTGCCAGCAATCTTCATTCTTGTGCCATCTGGCCTAGCAGCTACAGGCTCTTTGATCTCTGGTGTCCAGTCTGCAGACCAGATCAAGCAAAATGTCACTTCCCATGGTGCGGCGAGCTCGGCCCCTGGAGCTGGATTGGCATCAAGTAGTTCGGTGTTTAGCTTGGGATTTGGCATGATTCAGGTGGCGATTGGAATCACCATTGGTTTGTTTATTGCGGCGCTGTGTGTGTATCCATATGGCAAGCGTCGGAGTGGATTATTTAGCTTCTAGATTAACGAGATGTGAGTTTCGATATTCTGAGCAGACGATCGTAACCCCCTTTGAAATAAAGAGTATCAATTGAGCGTTTTCCGCATTGGGGTCCTCCTTCTGAACACACTTGTGATCCAGGTGCGAATACGAGGCTTATATCACACGGTTCCTGATCCTTCATCCAGCTAGCCGAGATTTCCGCTACGAATCAGCCCTCTAACAGATAATAGCTGGTACACGTGGACTATGAATACGAAAGCGAGCACATAATCCCCATCAGCGCCCGGGAGAATAGCACTGTAAGCGAGGGTGCATGCATGCATACTGCCGTATGGAGTAGATCTACACATCTTGCAGTTCGCATAATAGAATCTCGGATCTAAATCTGTTATCGCATAATATCATCCGATACTGTCGATGAAAAATCACACTCAATCTTGTTCCTGAAGCACCTGACACCCTTCCCTTCGCCCAAAGGTAACGCAAACCAAATCCGAATCCGAATCCCAAACATGACCATCACTCCAACCCCACCAGAAACCAAGATAGCCAAGCATCACGCCAACACTAATACTTGCTAAGACTAGCATTAACTATTGAAGACCACTGCGGGGCGCAGGGCACAACTTCTTCAATTTCCTATCCAAGCTAGCGCCCGGGATCAGCAAGCGAATCAAACCCCCCCGCCGAGCATGTCATGCCGATCACGACGGTGTGTGGTCGCGGGGGGCCGGTCGGAGGATTCCAAGTTATGCAGATGCGAAGGATCGAGGTGGTATTCGGATTTTGATTTTGCGGTTAGACCCGAGGGGTTGGTGGGGATGTTGACGGATACCAGGAACAGATCGGCGGGATGAATAACGGATACACATTGGTGTCTGTGTCTAGTGATGGGTATTTATACCCTAGTTCGGCCCGGAATGGTAGGCAATTAACTCTGCATTTTGAGTACCTTTGGAGCATTATATTATTTGTTCTGTTTTACAATATTCGGAATGGTCAAGTTCATTCCCCTCGCTACCCTGGCAATTGCCAGTCTGTCCGTCGCCAGCCCAACGGTGTACTTGATCCGCCACGGTGAAAAGCCCGATTCAGGCAATGGCTTGAGTGCGCAGGGTTTAGAGCGTGCGCAATGTCTGCGCAGTGTTTTCGGTGCCAGCTCGGAGTATAAAATTGGGTATATCATGGCTCAGACGCCCAAGAGTGGTACGTCACGTTCTATAGAAGGAGTATCCACGTGGTCCAGCTCATTCTAATGCCATTCTCTGTAGATGGAAAGCGTCAACGCCCCTACGACACTGTTGAGCCCTTGGCCGAGGACTTGGGTCTCACCGTGGACACCTCCTGCGATCGGGACGATCCCGAGTGTGTGAAGGATGTTGTCGATGGGTATACCGGTTCTGGCAATATCTTGATTTGCTGGGAGCATGATGCGTTGACGGATATTGTTTCTGAGTTGGGTGATAGTGATGCGCCGAGTTATCCGGATGATAGGTATGTATAGCAGCGATGCGGGTAGCGAAGAGGAGAAAAGGGAAGTGGAAATGCTGACGAGATGATAGCTATGACATTATCTGGACGGATCCATCGCCGTATACGGCTATTACTGCTAAGACGAGTGAGAACTGCCCTGGCTTGGATAGCTAGATTTTTGATTGTTGGAATATTGGGCGGGGTGTTAGTACAGTGGTGCGATGGATACAGGCCTGAGAACATGTAGGGGGATTTTTAGAAGCATTAAAGCATGGATATTGAAAGCTTCTCTGCATTGGTCTAATTCTTCAGATAACGTCAAATATAAGTGCATTAGAACGCACAACTTGCGGTGGAAGGAGAAAAAGCTGAATGCACGCCTAAGATAGGCAACACGTCGCATCTAAATGCTGATCAGTCACTCGCCATGCTATGCGATGCCAAAGTCAGTCCCAAAGGCGACTCGCCAAAACAATTAAGGGAAGATGAAACATAGTGGGCCTGCCGTATCCATTAGGTAAACACGCCCAAGGAATTAGTTAGTGTCTATCGCTTCTCCTGGAGCACTAGCACAGGCATCGGTCGCATGGGTCGTTGTAGCGGTCTGGTCCTGCCAGACAGCGTACCCGAGTAACTCCAAAAGATGACGCTCGCGATATGTGAAAATCAAAACTCCGTCTTTTTGTAGAAAAAGCTTTGCATGTGCGCGAAGAATCTCCGCGTTTTGGGAGGAGGAGGAAGAAAGGCGGAAGAGGGCGTCTGTCGAGATAGTAATCTCATGCAGAGTGGTGGAAGTTGAAGGAAGGTCTTCGAGAAGGGCTCGTGTCTGCTTGTCTCGAGTCAAAGACTCGCAGTATCTTTCCAGCATGCGGTTGCGCATGATAAACCGTAGCATTGAATCCAGCGAGTCCATCTGCACAAGCGCCTGCGGGAGGGACGTATCTGGCTCTGCGAGCCCCCGTTGCATGGTAATCGCATATTCCAAATCTTCGAGCAACGGGGTGAACTGCATCCGTGCAAGTGACACATCCGTCAGAAGCGGCCTATCATAACCGAGCTTTTTGCGCCAGAAGAAGTTCACCGCGATCAGGGAAATGATACACGGAATCAACACGACATATCCCCACCATCGCTCTGCAGTAACCATGGACCCCGCTCCTGCAACGAGACCATTAAGCCCGTTGATGAACGAATGCCATTGGAACCGGCGAATACGATTGTGCAAGCGGCGCCGGATATCATCACCCGGCTGAGAGACTCGTACAGCGTTGAGATGGTGCTGGAACCGACGGATGAGGTAGCCTGACCAGACGGCGTTGACAAGACCGAACATTGCAGCAAGACCATTCCCAATATAGCCCGATAGCAAGTTGCTAGCCTTAAACACTCGTCGATTGGCACCTCCAATGGCCATCAGCGTGCCAATTCCAACAAGCACTGACCCGAAACCCATCAGGAGGTCCATCACAATGCGATCCACAATCTCGGTACCCATCTCACGGTCACTCACACCCAATCTACTCTCCAGAAGTCGCACCACCTCTGTATTTTTGCTGTGATACTGTCGTAATCGTTTCAAATTCTCCCGCTCCATCCGGAGGAGCTTGACATTCCGCATACTCAGTCGGAAATCTTGTATGGCAACGAAGACCATGCACAACGCACACGTTCCACCGATACCCATGAGCACAGCCGCAAATGTTGGTACGGGGATCTGATTCCACACGTTGGCCGCAAAGTCGGCGGCATTCGCTAGCTCGAGGTATCCAACGCTCGCGAGCAGGCTGTTCCTGAATTGCTGCTGTGATAGCAGGTGGAAACGACCACGACGACGGACGAGTGTGACGGTGTCTTTGGTTGCTTCTAGTGACTCCTGCCATGTGATGTCACTCGCTTCGCGTAGGAGTTTGGGAACAATGGGCGGTGCGGACTCTAGCACTGATAACTCGAGGTCAGATTCGGCTTGTACTTCCGGGCTTGTTGTCTTTGTGTGCATCGTGTGTTGGTTGGAGGATATATGTATCTGTGCGAGCGAGTAGGGTGTGATAAGGGTGTCGGAGGAAGCCCCCGGAGTTGCCATGATGGTTGTGGCCGGCGTGGTCAACTGGATGATGGACGGTTCCTGATCATATATGTTGTAGGCAGGCAGTTTCCCTGCCGGTGCGGGAGGTCGCACAGCCGACCTAGGAGTAAATTGGGTCGGGCTGAGCGGTATAGTAGCAGGGGCGTATAAGGGAAGAGAAAGAAAAAGAGTATGAAGAACCAGGAGCCGGAAGATGGGGAAATGGAAAAATGGGGGAGACTGCAAGCGGGCGAGGCGGTTGTCGCTGACTGGCCAGTTGAGAGTGGAGCCTGAGGTGGATCTCCTTGGCGTCGCCCTGTAGGGCTGAAGGGGTTCCTAGGCTGCAAGCATGGGTTTACTCGGTAGACTTGCTAATAGTATCATCATCATTATTATTATGATCGACATGACACACAGAGAAGCTGTTTAACTCTTCAAACGTGTAATTATACAGGCCTCTCCAATCTATTGTGCAATGCTCGACTCCCCATGATACTCGCCACAGAGCGCAATTCTAGCAAACTGGATCCGGCGACCCGCCGTGTCCCACCTGATGATACGCTGTAATAACAACAAGCGTAGTGTAGTAATAATAGAAACAGTAGTAATAAATGATTATCATATTCCAAACTATTCATTCGACCCCCTAAATGCCTCCACGCGTCATCATTCCAGGCCTTGGACCAACACAATCCGCTATTCAGTTATTAGCCTTAGAACTCAACCCTTCTATACAATAGCTATGCAGAGAGTAGAAGTACGACTTTATGGTAGCAGAGTTGCTTTCTTTATCTAATTTTTATACACTTGGAAATTTCGAACTCCGAATAATATCATGAAGAATATAATGCAGCAAGATGCAGCAAAAGGCAGATAGCTAATGCAACCCACACCTAAAAACGCCTTATAATATGCCGACCACCTCAAACATGATAACAAAGCAAAGCAACAACAACAACCATCACCCCACGACTATGCATGTTTAACCCTGTTTAACCCCCTTACCCTCGTTCCCACTCCTCCCCGCAGTCAAAGCACGAATCAGCTTGACGCCCGCGTCCGCAGTATCGCACTCCCTCGCCTCCCAAAACTCAGCCTCCCGATCCGATCCCCTCAACACCTCATCCTGCGGCTGCTCGCTCGTCGGCGAGGGCGATCCATCCGCTGACGCAGTATCACTGCTATACACGTTCACCCGTTCGTGGAAACGCACACGCTGGCGTACCCGGGACGGCGAATCCGGCGAGCGGTATCGGGACTGGTGTGCTTCTAGGAATGTCTTTCGTACGGCGTATCGACCAGCTTCTTCGCGGCGGAGGGTGTCGCTGAAGATCTTTTGGAGGGCTGTTGATGCGGTGAAGCGGATGCCAAGGTAGACTTGTTCGGCGATGAAGACTGTCAGGAGGAGTCGGGAGAGGCGGACCTCGGACATGGGGCCTCGGTAGAGGTGGACGATTGCCGCTGTTGAGAGTGTGCCCAGCCATGCGAGGAAGTCTAGGCCGAGTAGACAGGGGCCGATCGAGTCTGCGCGGATGGGTGGTGGACGCTGGCATTCTAGCGTGAGCTTGAAGAAATCACCGCGCACTTCGAGCCAGTTGTTCAACAGGAAACCGAGAGGGACGAGTGGCCATGCGACGCCGAAGAGAGCCAGGTAACCGAATTGCACACACATCTCCAGGATGTCTTCTTCGACTTTGTATTCTTCTGCGTCTGCTTCGCTGCGAACTCGTTTTAGGAAGGATGATTCTTCGGCGGCGTCGATGAGGAGGAGGTCAGTTGCTTTGGAGAAGCTGCGTTGACGGGTAAGTCCTGCTTTGCGGTCGCGGTAGTTTTGCCATTTTTGCCAAAGGACGTGCTTGACGTAGGGTAGGACGATCTCTTCGGCGAAGCTGAAGACTTGCGCTGTCATAGAGAGGTAAATAACCTCGGCCTGGAATCGGGAGGTGTCCACTTCAAAGTCCTTATGGCTGGCCATGTTGATACCAACTCGTCGCAGGATATCCAGATGTGGGACTATAGCATGGCCGAAAGGAACGTAGACGTAGGCCGTGAGTATTGTCGGCAGGAATGAGGTGATAAAGTGCATGACGAAGGTCTTTTGTGTCTGGGCGAGATCGTACAGATCCTGCGTCCGGTAGTTCTCGTACTCGGTCAACCTGTTCGCGATACTCGTGAGGAAGGAAGTAATCGCCGGTAACGAGAGCGAGAATAAAATCGTGGGCACAAACTCCAAATAGCCCTTCAATGGGCCATTGTATACCTCAGAGATAAACACCTCGCTAGCAAAGGTGACCACAATCAAAGTCCCCAACGCGACACTAGCCACACTCGCAAATGGCACCAGCAACATCTGCCGTATGAACTGTTTCCATCCAGGAAAGGTGTGCGTTACTTGGCCCGAAACTGGATCTTTCACTTCTTTCTCCCATTGGTACTGGGTGCGATTGACCTTTAAATGGCCCACGCCCTTGACATTCCATCGCAGACTGAGGTCTGCTTCGCGGATCTTCCAGAACTCGACGAAAACGATGCACCAGATACATAACGCACTGCCGTAGATGATCGAGTACGGACCGAGGAACCACCATCCTAGAATTCCTAGCGCAGCTGGGAAGACCAGGAAGATGGAGTAACAGTGGATGAAAGCGAAATAGAATGCGACCTGTCCCGACCAGGAAGACAAATGTTAGCCTCTTTTATCGAAAATTCAGAGTATTCAAAACATGCTATTATTCTCACCTTTTCACCAAACAGCGCCCGAATTATGTCCAAATCCTCGGCCGTCAAATTCGTCTTGCGATTCCATTTGCTTAGCAACTCCGAGGACGCATCCCGATCATGCAATGGGAATGATGCAGTAATATTCTTCCACTTGCCGAACTGTGGCGTAATTCCAGCGCCACCGAGTTCTTTCTTCCAAGTAACGGCGTGATAAACAGAGCGAATTTCCTCGGATGGCGTTTCAGCTGTAGCGACGGTATTTTCGTCGCCAGTCGGGAGGGTGTGTGTTATGCCGAACAGCCAATCTTTTATCCTGAATAAAGATCAGTTTTGGGGACGAATATGATAAAGGAAACATAATTCTCCGAGAGATCGTATTTTTCAAGTTGGTGTAGTGCCATACCTTGATTGATGTACCATCTTCCCCAGATGGTCTCTGGGTACACGAATGCACACCAACAATGCCGAGCCATGGCCATGGCGGACCTGCACTCGATGGCCAGCTTCGGATAGGTCATGAATAAGTGTGCGAAACTCGGATATAGCTTGTGCCTGATCTATGCGATCGTCAGTTTTTGTCCATTCCAGTTTACTATAGAAGGTGACCAGCGGATAGAGCCGCATAGAAGGAAAGGCTTAAATCAAGAACGTCATGTCTTGCCTGCCTAATCTATGCGTCTCGTATTGCGCTGTATGGTTCTCATAGGTCTTACCAATGTCTTCAAACTCGTACTGTAGCACCCAGTCCACACCGAGATTATCGCTCTCGTCATGGCCATGCTTCTCCTGCCCCGCGAGCCAAGACATCTTGCTCGGGCAATGGGCGACGTAGCCAAGCAGAATTATATAGTCGGTCTGCTGTCAATTGGTGTTTTTTTAAGGGTTGTACCTATTCCGTACTGAGTTTGCTGTGTGGGATGAGTGTTTAGGCGATCTGGCGGAAAAGACGGTGAAGAAAAAAGTCGAGAATGAGAGGACAAAAGAGAAAGATAATTGGAGACGCAAAGAGGGGAAAGGGGAAAGGACTGTGGGGGAAAATCCAGCCCTGTGAAAATGCAAATGTACAGTACAGAGTGCAGTAGTGTGGAAACAGGAAATGGGTTTAAGAGCAAATTGCTTCTTGATTAGGCACCGGAGTCGGGGTTAAGTTGTCAATCTAGGGGGTTTATTGGTTTATTGGTTCGCGCTTTCCCCCTTATAATCCCGGGCTCCTAATTATAGGGTGGATAGGTGTGTAATTGCTGTATTTACCAGCATCAGCACTACGTATAGACTCCGTTCTTCCACCATTTTAAAGGGCCTTTGAGGGAGTGCCGATCGGTCTTGGTTTCGGTGAGCTTCTTTTCCTACAGGCTTCGATCCTAGGTCGCGATCGCCGGTCATCGAGAATTAGATGATCAACGGGATAGTGCACTGGTGGGCTATGGCCTTAGATAGGTCTAGAATTCGGTGTTGGACCGTAACTAATCGACTTTCTTTGTCGTAAAACCCCTCAAGTGCCCGGGGTTAAGCCAAAGGCCAAAGGCCAGGTGTTTGCGTCTGCTGCAGGGAGGCGCTACCAGCGATCCACGGATCCACGGGCCAAGCTTCAGCCCTACAGGGCGGGAAAATGCACGGGGGAAAATCCTTGCCATGATGATGGTCATCTTGCCATCGGAGATGGACATCGGCACGATGATCTCGCTCTTCCGGATTCTTGAAATGACCAGTCTTGAGTCACATAGCAACAACAATACTATAGAAATGCCAATAGCTGCAAATATTACTGATCTTGCACCCCTATATGCCAATCTTCCATAGCCTGATTCCTGCCGGGCTGACCGGAACTCCCCGCAAAGGAAAAATGAAACCCTGCAGCCTCTGCTTATTTCTTCCCAGCCTTGTCCGCTTGTTGAATAATAATGTGTACAGTACTGTAACAGGCTTTTCATCATTGTCCGTGCCCCACTCAATCGGTTGAGGGGCGAGGACAATCGGGTATTACCTCTACACCCAAGTATAACTATTCCAGGTCAACATCTAGCTCATCTAAAGTTGATTATTGAACATTATTAAGTCGGATGTTTGCTTTTGTATGGCAATAGTAGAGAGACCGAGGCTAAATCCATCCAGAGTAACCCTTCGCGCCGCAATTTCGCCCTTCCGAAAAAAGCTGCTGCCTGAAGCTATTCGCGCCAAGAGCCCCCCGATGGGGCATTCCGTAATTCCGTTGTCAGGCGTCAAAATTACCAGACCCATCGGCTAAATTTTGACTTCCCCAACGGAGCGCGATCAAGGCCGTGGCGGATATGGTTCCAGTAATATGTATGCAGAACTTGAAATGCAAAAGCCTATCAATAATAGACGCCACCACCGGGGTATCTGATAAATACCAACCGTAAAAATAAGTACGGGCAATCTCCTTCCGGGCGCTCGGAATGGCGCCAAGCCTACTGACTTTTCTGCTGGGTCCATGACGGCATCGCCAATTGGTGTTCTTGTCGACGCTTCTGCCAATCCTGCATTGAATAAATCGAACTTGCTTTCTTGCGGTGTACAGGCATCAACATTCAACTGGCCGCGGCTAAGGACATGCGTTAGGAATCGTGCGGTTCCCAACATCCGGCGTTTCCAGTCCGACCTTGGCGTCTATATATCTTCAGGCAAGGATATAGTCTAGGTACGCAGCGATCGTTCCCACAAAGTCCCTGGGGAAAGCATCCTTTTTATGCCTTTGAGCAGGACCCAATCGCAGTTTTACATTGAGCTATCTTGCCCGGTCGTCATCGGACAGCCTTGCACTGCACCTCGCTGAAACCTACAATACTGGAAGACTAATTATTGGCCGATGCCATTCTCCTCAGTACTCGACATCATGGCTCGTCGATTTCTCCGCGGGCAAAACATGGCCTTTGGGCTGAGCGTATTCCTGTTCACGTTTATGTTTCTCCCGACGTTATTGATCTTGTTAGCCGTCGTGGTCTTTTTCGTGTTGGCTTATCCACGGCTGCGCAAGTCCTATACTGTTGACAATGATCAATTCGATCAACATGTAGAGCAGGAGTGAATGATGAATTGGATCAATTTATTTTGCCTCGGCTAGGTGAGCAGACGATCGGCTTTGTGACTTATCTTTGGCTGCGACTGACGCTGGTATCCTAGGGGTTTCCTTGGCCGGACTGGGCAGCGTTACTATGGAGTCTTGCGGATATGCATAACGTTGGATTTATTTTCTCGATATCATCTGTTATCGTGCGAGGGGCAATGGGCAGGGAGTTAATGGGGTTTTGAAAATTGCCATGAATTTTGCGACATTTTTATGTATGATATAGCGGCGAGGGATACAGTCAAATACTGATGGAGTGACTACGTGGATAGCTTCTGCTTTGACAATGAACAGCATTTCCTCTAAATGGTATACTGCGATAGTCTTCTGGAGGATGGAAAATACACAATTCTTGTGTATTTTATAATTCCTTGGCCACCCTTCAATTGGTGATGCCTGGAGCCAAGATCTCGGACTGAAACAAAAATCGGAGCCGCTTTGCCGGTGCCAGAGTTTCCCCCGAGGACCTTCTGAGCGCCGAGGGACCCAGAAAATCTTTCGCCATCGTCAATATAGGATATATCATTGGATACATGTTTTATTTTCCCCATCTTGACCCTCAGGGCATGTGGGTCAACGGGTAGGGCTGGCAGGGGAGCGCTGGTGTTGGTCTCCCAAATTGGGAGACCCAAGGCCTGGTCTGGAGGAGGGTGGTTAGGCCCCGGGGCTAAGAGGTATATTGTGTTGCATTTTGGTTTCCAATTGTTGTCCACTTTTCTGTTTTGTTTCTCCTTCATAATCCCTCCTTTGACAGAGGTTTATGGGCGGTTTATCAGTCATTCAATTCGCGTTGTAACTTCCGTCTTGAGAAGGCGTTCACTAGATTCACAACTCTAGAATAGGATGAACGATTTGATCGTTCCCACTGATGACCAACATTCACGCCTCTCCAAAACCGAACTCCGTTGAGACTGACATCAACTCACCGATGGCATCATCTCGACGGTCTGCCCATCATATCACCCCCCTAAACGCCGTCCTGTGATCGTGAAAATGAAGACGCAGGCGCAGCCCGAAAAGCCAGCGGTCCAGGAGGCATCGCAAGATCGCTTCAGTTTCTTCTCCTCGGATACCCAACAGGCCACCACAGCATCATCCTGGACATCTCTCTTCCCAAACGGAAACCAGGATCACATCTTCCAGGAAAGCCAGAAAGCCCGCCCAGACCCCTCCTGCCCTGTTTGGTGGGTCGACGTCCGCAATGCCACCGAGGAAGACGTGGGTATCGTCGCAGAGGCCCTGTCCATCCATCCGCTGACAGTCGAGGATATCGCTATCCGTGAGCCTCGCGAGAAAGTCGAGGTCTTCAAGAACTACTACCTCATCTCCTTTCAAACCTTGGCCTCACAGGTCACGGAGGGCGGGGAGCGACTGGGAATGCCCTCATCGGCGGAGATATACATCCTGGTCTTCCAGTATGGAGTCGTCACGTTCTCGCCTAGTGGGTGTAGCCATGTGAGCCGCGTTCGGGATCGAGTTCGCAAAATGCATGATCCTTCCATCTTGTCTAGTGACTGGATCTGCTACGCATTGATGTAAGTATACGACGCAACTCGACGACAACTACCGCGTTGGTCATATTGTATCTAACAAACACCAGCGACGACATCGTGGACAGCTTCGAGCCCTTCACTCGAGCCGTTGAAGCCGAATCCGAAGCCATCGAAGATCAAGTCTTCATCGCCCGGATCGACGACGTCAAAGAACTAATCCCACAAGTCGACATTCTCCGCAAGAAAATCACCCACATCATTCGCTGTTTACACGGCAAAGTTGACGTTCTCAACGGCTTCGTGAAACGCTGCCAAGCACCCGATAGACTCCCTGTCTTCCCAGATGGTGATCTACTGCTGTACCTGGGCGATGTGCAGGACCACCTTGTGACGACGCTGTCCACGCTAGCGCATATAGATGAGATTATTGGTCGGTCGCAGGGTAATTGTCTGGCGCAGTTGAGTGCGACCAATTTGCGGATTAGTTTGACGATTAACTCTGCTATGAGTAAGGTTACTGTGTTGGCGACGATTTTTGTTCCTTGTCATTTGGTGACTGGTATGTTTGGGATGAACGTTTATGTGCCTGGTCAGGATACGCCTGGGTTGTCGTGGTTCTTTGGGATCGTGGGTGTTTTTGTGGCTTTTATGGTCGTTTGTATGGGGATGGCAGCGAAGTTTAAGCTGTTGTAGATCTAGAACGTACAAGGTGACCGCATTGCGGGTGCTGTGATGGATAGACATTAAGCATAGACCATATTAATAGATTAGAAGATATTGGCAGATGTGAGAGTTCTATTCGTAGGGCCATGGGCAAGCATTATTGGGTATTAACCAGGGATGATGGGATGCCTCGTTTTGAACTGATGAAGCCCGTCCATACAGCGGTGGTGGATAGTGGAGGTTCGTCTTCACACATGCTGAACACGATGAAAAGACGTATGGAAGTCGGAGAAGAGGTTCCTTCCTTCAATCCAATATATCAGTGACTGCCGGTTTTATAAACAGCGAGAAATGTTATATACAACAAACAACGCAGAAGCTACTAATATCACCGTTCCTCCTCCTGGCTTGGTCTCTCCAGCAAATGAGCCGACTCCTCATGTCGCAACTGTCGCGGATAAGCATCAAAGTTGAGCTCGCCAACTAGCTTTCGCATATTACTACGCAAGTCAGCCTTCCATCAGCGAAGCAGTCCACAAGGGCTATTGCACTTACTCAAGGAGATCCTGCAAACTAAAACTAACGACAGACCTCAGAACTTCAAGGGCAACAAAGGCCGAGAAAGATGGATCCTCGACATGTGAAATGTTGAGCAGCTTGTCGTCAATCTTCTGCATTCGCCGTGCGAGCGGGAAACTTTCAGGTGTCGAGAGATACGGCGGTAATGGCTGGGCATTTGTAATCGCTGCTGAGAGATGGCATAGCAGCGATGTGATTCGATGAGAATTGAAATCGGCGGATTTTAGAGCAATCTCTGCGAGCCGTGCCATCCACGGTCTATCACTGTCATCTCCAGAATTTTCCGAATCAACTGAGAGAGCGTCCAGGTTCTGGGTTGTATGTGCCATCAGCGACATACTTGTGAGGATGCGCTGGATTTCAGAAATGATGTTGTCGTATGTTTCCTTGGGGAATTTGCCGCCGATGGGTGGCTCAAAGGTGCTAAAGTGACTATGCATGCGCAGGCCGGTGAGTAGCATCATCTCTTCCTTGAATATATTACGTCGCGACTTTTGGAGGTGATGAGCTGGCGAGTTCTTGTCGTCTGTGTTACCCAGTTCACCTGCGAGCCACAACTCTATTGTCGAGTGCATGGCACTGTAGAACTTGGCGAGTACAAAGAGACTCCGGCCAAGGAGCTTCCGTAGCTGGGATTTTGCGGTGATCGGGTACGGGAAGATAACCCAGAAGAACGATATGGCACAGCCAGCGGCGACAGCGGCGAGCTTGTAGGGGCCGAATAGATAGATTGGGTAGTATGGTTGACCGTTCTCCTCGGCTGCAGTAACTCCCAATTTGGCAACCTTCACGCGTGTTAGACAGGCATTAGGCAGGAGGTGAGACGAGACGTACCTGCAGTTCGTAACCGACAATCACGTTCAACGTGACGATAGCAATGACAGATGGGCCAAAGTACTGCGGTAATTTGACATAGGGATAGTACTATAATTGGTCAGCAACTGTTCACCCGCATACACGTTTCCAATACATACCGCAATCACGTTAGCGATGAACAGGAAGACAATAACGCCTGCTGTCTTGCCGTCCACAATATACCACACTATGAGACTCAGCACAAGGGAGGCTGTAGTTGCAAGAATCCGAGCAACGAATCCAAACATTGTCTGGCCGCTTGTCGGACTCATGCCAATGACAATGACAATCATGGCCCAAATACATCTCTGACGAATGAAAAAGTCTTGAGTCTGATGCAGATAGGCGAGGATTCCGACGGAAAATGAAGCTGCAGATACCCGGAACCCAAATGTGCTCTGATCAGACTTGATAACATGCGAAATGGTTCGCAGAATCATACTCCCCTTTTCCCAGATATTTTCCGGTGGTAGATGCTCCGGATCGGGAAACCCAGTTGACATTGATGCACGATGGATATTTGACGGGTCCACATGGGACGATTGCCGACTAGCCTGTAGATCCTCCTTTTCCTTCTCCTTTTCGCTGTGTAGTGAGAACAACTCCCGGATGGAACCCTGCCTCGGAAAGATCAGACGGGACTTTTTCATCGTTCCATCAGCCACCTTTGCGTCGGCAAATTTTACCAACTTCAACGTGGCATTGAGTAAGTCATCCTGGAGATGACCCATGTACAGGATAAGGAAGAATTCCTGACGCACATCAGGGTCAGCCGTAAGAATTGGATGCTTCCGGCCAGGCGCCGTCACGTCTGTATATTTCTCAGAAGCCGAGAATGCCTCCAGCGAAGCTAACGCCTCTGGTAGATGCTTCCTTCGTGAGTAATAACTGCGCAGATCACGCTCAAACTGTGACACAAAGTTCGGGTCAAGAGGGCTAAGTGTTTGGCCCCTTGCTTCTTCATCCCTAGCCGTAGATCCACCTTGATGCGGCAATTTTTGCTTGTCCAAATGCTTAGCTGAAATAAGCTCCAGGGACAGCAAGAAGTGAGACAGTCCCAGCTTGACGAGTTCAGTGGCATCCACAAGCCGCGCGTGATGAGTCTCCACTACTTTCTGGATCTCCGATTGTTTCAGCGCATTCTCTCCTGTCCCATTGAGACTGTCTGTCTCATCGTCACCATCACGCGGCCCTTCATTCTTGATAATGGTTTCCAGTATCTCAGGCAGCATTGACATTCCAGCAAGTGGAAGAAGCAAACCTCGAAAAAGTGAAGCCATTATACTCAAGTCTTCGGATGATAGCTTGCCCCACGCGATCTCCTCCTTAGAGTAGAACAGATCAGCGTGCAGTTTACTATGCAAGCCATTGAGCTTATTTATGGCTGCCTGCAGCTGTTTCTGCTTGGATTGTAAATTCGTGTCGCCCTCGCTCTGCATATCTCGAGTGCTCATTGCGGTCCGTGCCCGGCGCAGGAAACCCTTCCCCGAAAACAAGCCGGTCACTGCACTACCTTCGGCGAATGAAATTTGTGCCTGCAACACTGCTTCAGCAGACGAGACGTATTCTTTGATGTCGTGGAAGACATTTCCCCGGCTAGTGATGGGAAATATGAGAAGAGACACGCCAGTAGCGATCGCGAAACCTATCATGAAGCCTTTCAACAACCTCGAAATGAATTCTAGGCCCTCTGATAGGGTGATAAATGTGCCAGCACGGGTAATAGTCACTGAAGCAAAAATGGAGAAAGCTACCATTGGGTCCTGCAATTCCATAGGCTTCAGCGCACGCAGTGCATTGGCGCCCCTAAATGTTGCATATTAGAGTTATAAATTAATTTAAAACGCCCTAAGGGGAGCCACTCACCAAATCATGAAAATAAGCCAGACTGCAGCCACCGCACAAGCATCGCTACTGTACCCATTGCGCACAGCCTCGCTGGCGTCAGCAGGAGTATTATGCTCCCTCGCCTTGACGGCGCAGAAAACTGCTAAACAACAAAGTGAAGCAGATACGCAAGTGGATAGTAAGTCAAAAAACATGATCTTCATGAACTTCGCCCGGGGCATCAATCCTTGGGAAAGCACCGAGATCAAGGCTGACAGATAGCCAATCGTGGTAGTGATATTTGAGATAGCATCACTCTGGTATCTGGCAATTTTTAGTCGCGTGCGGCAGAATGGGGTCGTTCGGCATACATACATGGCAATTGTGATTGTAGGTGCCAAAGCGCCTTTCAGCATCATGAGAAAGCTTCGAGAATCGAGATCAAGCTTTTCCAACCATTTCAACGGATTCAAGAGACTTCTATTTTTCTGTTAGAATATTTATGTATAGCAGATTCAAGACTGTACCTACTTGACTCTCCCAGGCGTCCGCGCCTGGGGTTTTTGGTCAACCATGGGATGGCTATGCTTGTACCCCAAGCTCTCAGAGTACCATCCGGGAATTTGAGACTCCTTTTCACGAGGCTGGCAGTTCTTCTTGCGAGTCACTTGTTGTGGTGTTGACAATAGGAGAGTAAGATGAAAACTTGACTCGATCTACGCTGCCGGAACGTAAGTGGCTGCACTCGGATCGGGTTGCCGTGCAAGTCGCTTCGTACCGAGCCAAGTGCCGATGGGGCGCCGAGACAACCACTATCGGGCGTCGATTGATCCTCCACCTTTTACTCAATTTTGAGCGCCAATGGAGAGTCCTAGGCGTGTGATATTTCTCCCCAGCACTCGTGCTGGACAAAGTTTGAGGAGAAGGTTCGATGGCGGGAGGATGAATTCGGAAGTCACGTGAACATGGTCGGCATGAAACTATTGGAAAAATGGCTTGGCATGAGAATCGAGTTCTCTCTCGAAGTGTTGGTCTCTGTTTTGGATATGTTTGTGGCCTTTTTCTCCTTGAAATTACAGAGGCAGATACTTCAAAGGATTGTATGTATCCCCCCTGTTGAGTGGAGTTTACTATCGACCAGGTGGGGCGGAATGGACTTTTCCCGTTGCCTGCCGTATGAACGCCCGCGGTTATAGACTGGCCACAAGGTGGCATTGTTGAACTCACGACTTTCACTTATTGATCGCCTATTGTGTTTGGTTCACTGTCAAGGACTTAATTCAATAAAAGTGCGGGGTTGCCACCTAGGTACCATTCAAAAAGGTCGCATCTCCCGAAGATTGGGCCGTCCCGAGCAGATATATATCGCATCCATTCCTACGGTATTGACTACACCATATGTCCAAAAGGGCTAAAGTGTGGCCTGCGACACTGAAGAGACAAGATGACACGTGGAGAATCGAGTTTTAGATCCTCAGAAGTTCAGTAAGCAGCAATGACTATTTAGTTCCCCTCAGCACCTTGAGCATGGCAAAGCTTCTCACAGTAATAGGTCATCTAGCAAATAGTTAGTAGAATTCCAACACAATAAAATGATTCTCTCACTTCGTCTCCACCAATGTGCCACCCTGCAGAGTTACAATATGTGCCATCCTATCTCCAATTAGCATGAAATTACTTGATAAAGCTATAGATGTGAAGCAAGAATCATACAAAGGTACAGTCGGGGCACGAATCCCACTGCTTATCGCCCGTGTGACGATTCCTGTAATAGTCACAGGCACACTTGGTCTCGGCGGGGAGAATTTCGTAATTGGTTGACCAGGTATAGCTGGGGCTGAAAGGAGTACCGCCAACCGGCTGGGATACTCTGTCGGTCACGCAGACTGCGACGTTGTGCAGTTTGGCAAGGGCGCTGGAAATATATGGATTAGTGTCAGGCGAATGATTCAAATGGAGAGAGTCGATGATGAGGTCTATGCATACCCTCCTGAAAAGGCAAGGAAAAGGGGGATCGAGGTGAACTTCATTTTGAAGATGGAGTCTTGGGATACAGTACAATCTTAGAGACGGCTGTGTGTAATGAATTGGAGAGCTACAGGGGAAGTATTTAACCTAGACGAGGGAATAATTCATGTCACCGAATTTATCGCGGCTGGCTCGCAAGGTATCATCTACCTTCGGGATTCCAATAGATAATTCTGAGACCGAGAGAAACTTCAGGATCGACTAGATCAGCAGGTGGCTACTTACATCCAGCCAACGTGTGATCAACAGGGTCGGGATGCTACATACAGTAACCGTTGCAGCGATCGCCTTGTCTCAGAGATTAACCTTAAAGCTCAGCGTTGCCCGATAGGGCCTGACAAAAGAATCGGTTGGGTATTATTTGGGAGGATCCTTGCCTTTCTGCAGGGTACCTTAATCTGGGGAAATTTCGGGGAAAACCAGACCACCCGTTCGGAACGGTTAATTTATATCAATTGGGGCTGGAAGTGAGACAGCATGTGTTTGATTGTAGATCTCACCCTGGTTGGATGTAGGGTCTATCTCTCTGTGGTATAAGATCAGCGTCTTAAGCACTGCCTCCATGTGTGAAAGTACGGGATTGAATCTATCTAAGTTTTGCCAAGATGAATACCGTTGCAAATCTACGACCGGGCGTAGATGGGACGACATATTCTGACTTTCTGCAGAGGAAGAGGTCTCACTTTTGAGATCCTGCACATCCGCTATTCCAGCAATAGGAGAAATTTGTGAAGCCACGCACTGGTATTGTGTGGATATTTACGGCTCCTTCAGGGAACGAGGTTTGAAATGTTTGGTTGCGTCTGGAGAGCCGTTGAGGGATTTGTCTTGAATTCGAACTTCAAGGGCCCTGGGGATGCAAATCGAAACCATATCAAGTAAATGCCCTCATATTGCGAGACCCACTGGTATCGTGCACCAAGTCTAGAGAAAGGACTCCATGAGATCTCAGCATGCCAATCGACATAAATGGTCAACTTTCCCAGTAGCATGGAAGGTATGTAGGAGCGAGCACCAAGACCTTTTACAAATTCAATTACCTTGTCTTTACACAGAACAATGCTCTTCAACGCTCTTGTCGGCTTTTCGTTGGCCACTGTCGCCATTGCGGCTCCGTTGACGGCATCCGGCCTCAACAGTACCCAGTGGACACCGGATCATATCCTCCAGCCAGATGAAGTTATCTTGTACGGAGAGGGCCGAAGTAAGTATTCTGTGGCAGCGAGAGTTCTTATAAGGGTTTTGCTAACGCAATTCCCCTCATAGTGGAAGTTGTCCACGAAACCGTCTACCACGCACTCCTCGCCTCGCAAGAGATTTCGCTCGACGTGCCCGAGGTCGACGATATCACCCGCAGTATCGCCAACAATGGCCGCAACGAATCCCACCTGAACGCCCGAGCGGACTGCGCATTCACTACGGCCGTGGTCACCGACAGATCCCAGACCTTCATCGACTGGGACGTGCAAATGTCCCCCGTCGTGATCGGCACTGGAACCGGCATTGACGTCTACGTCAGTTCCGGATACACCGTAAGCAACAGCATCAATGTCAGCGGCGGCCTGGACTGGAAGGCGATCAAGGATAAGCTGGGCGTTTCTCTCGGAATCGATTATACCCGCACCTGGTCTACCCAGACTGTGATCAACATCAAGGGGAATGTTGCGGATGGTTATTCTGGAGTGATGATTACCAAGCCTATCAAGACTCGCCGGTTTGGTCGCGTTTTGACTGGTTGTCTTGGCTCGCAGACTCAGAGTGGAACTTTCCAGGCGGACTCTTATCAGGAGGGTTCTTATGCTGGGGTGAAGTGGGTTTCTGGTGCTATTACTATGTGCACGAAGAAGGAGTTCCCGCTGTCTCGTTGCAATGGACTTGGAAACTTTATTTAAATGTTTTTGGTGTGGATTGTATCATCGGGGCTGGCGTGTCACGCTATTGGTGCTGGGCCTGGCTACATGGCGTGAATTCAGGAGCGGTGACCTTGAATCTCGATGAGAAGGCCCTTCAAGAGCGCTGAAGAAGGATCCTGACATTTTGATCGTTAGATGTAAAGATGTAGGCATTTGGTTGTTGACAATATTCCGGTTGCTATTCATAGATGTTCCAGTATTGCCATTTCGGGTCTTCCTTGCACATCGAGAAAGATACCTCGGCAAAGGTTCTTCGAGCCACAATTGTCTCTTTGTGAATATGGACATTTATGCATTTAGCATAAATTCAACCCTGCGTCATCACGATTGCAAGTGAGTCAGACTCTCGGATTCTCACACTATTTCCACTTTAATCAGATGGGATGACTCGAAGGCACCCATTTGGAACTGTGGCGATGCTAGTGGGAAACACAGCCACACTGCCACAGCCACGAAAGTGTGGGCCACAACCCGCGGTTGAACGAGCTCGAAATTGAGTCGCGTAGGATGCTCTTCCAGGCTACCGAGGAGATAACAACAACATAAGCTGCAAACGGACTATTCCAGATCTAGTAAACTTCACGTAGAATGACTCGCGAAGCTGTCAAAACTAGGTCACTTCCTGGGGCTAGCCAGCAGAGCAGCTTTGGATGACATCATGTGGACCACTGGCTGGACTTTCGACTGTGGCTGTCACTGGTCCGCTCCGTTCGTATCGCCAGCATGCAAGATACGAAGCCGACTAGAGTGTTTCAGGGAGGAGCGGAGTAACGGACTTCTGGCTGCGGCACAACGTTGCTATCCGTAAGGCTCGGGCATGGACACCTAGGCGAGTGTCTTTGCGGAAGGAGTTGCGAAGTCTGTGCCGTCGGATAAGCTCGTCAAGCCTTGCCGAAGAAGAAACTGCCCGTCCAGTCCAGCGGTCTCTCTGAGCTTTACCGTTGGCCGCGCGCGAGACTGGCTTTTCGCACAATTTCGGGGCGACCTCTCACATGGCGTCGATCGTGTGGGGACTATCGAACCAATCAATCGAGGCACGGCAAAGCCAGTGTCGGACATTGTCCATGGTGGAGCCGGATTCCCTGCAAAGGCGCACCTTGGCAACCTCCGAATCCCTATAGGGCCCAAGGCTGGAGAACGCGTCATTAGCCATGTTCCTTGGGGTGCTGGGGAGTAAGGCGATTGAAATGAAGATATCACTTGACATCATGGGTTTTTACGAGACAATGGAGACAATGCGAGGGGGATATACCCACGAAGTCAATATTCTGCAAGAAGAATGCGCCTGTCAACAGTAGAGAACAGTCGTCAACATTCGTGGATCGCCGGGTGATCTGCCAGCTTGCTTTTTTGGGTTACCAGACTGCATACTCCGGCGTTTTGTGGAGAGATGTAAAATCTGGAAATTCGGTCGTTTTGGTAGCCAGTCATAACGGTCAATTATTGTCATTGTGTTGAGAGGAGAAGACTCAAGACTTGCTTGATTCTGGAAAACACCCCGTCAGCGCCAAGACCCCGCCAAGGCTCGCGATAAATAAGGCCAGGCCCGCTCTTCCTTCACCCCTGATCTTTTCTTTCGCTCATTCCTCCCCGGGCTTTGTCTGTCCAGACAACTCCTTCACATTCCTCCAGGCTTGACTGCCTTGCGCCTTGAATCAGCTGCTGGTTCCTGAAATACATGCGTAAGTCTTCTCTCAATCCATCATTTCAAGGTCCTTGCCACTGGCACGACGTTATCGGAAACCGCGCAACTAACTGTCAATCACAACAGACCGTATTAACTCGTGGGCGAAAGCTCACGCCTCTTCTCGCGGCCTGCCAAACCAACCCTCCACCCTCCCCGAGGCCACGAGCCAGATTCCCGAAGTTGATCCGTCCACGGAATCTTCTTCCACCCTCAAGGATGATCAAGTGACTGCACCATCCGGCGGCCCTGTCACTACGGCAGGGCCCGCAGAGGAAGAGAAATCTCAAAACCCGGGCCTCGTCACCCGCATGCGCAACGGGACGGGCCGGTTCTACAATCACACCAAGGATGCCCTCTGCCACAGCTGGGTCAACGTCCTGCTGGTCTTCGTACCAGTGGGTATTGCCGTCGAAGCTGCCGGCCTCAACCCAGCTGTCATCTTCGCAATGAACGCTGTGGCTATCATCCCTCTGGCGGGTCTACTTAGCCATGCTACCGAGAGTGTGGCTAGCCGACTGGGCGACACCATGGGCGCCCTGATCAACGTCTCGTTCGGTAATGCCGTCGAGCTGATCATTTTCATCATTGCTCTGGTCAAGAATGAAATTCGTATCGTCCAGGCTTCCTTGCTGGGTTCAATCCTGGCAAACCTGCTCCTGATTCTGGGTATGGCGTTCCTACTAGGTGGTCTGCGATTCCAGGAACAGATCTACAACAGTACTGTCACCCAGATGAGTGCTTGTATGCTCAGTCTGGCCGTGACCAGTCTGCTTCTACCCACTGCTTTCCATGCCTCGTTCTCGGACGCTGAAGAAGCCGATCGACGAACTCTCAAGGTTAGCCGTGGTACCAGTGTGGTTCTCTTGCTGGTGTACATCTTGTATATCCTCTTCCAGCTGAGAACCCATTCCTACCTCTATGCCAGTATTCCACAACGCATCATCGACGAGGAGTCGCACCCCGGTGTTCTGGCCGATTTCATGAACAGCTCTTCCGATTCCTCGAGCAGCTCCAGTGACGAATCCGTTGACACCACGAGCTCCTGGACCACTGCCAAGCGCATCAAGAGGGCCATGAAGAATCGCCGCCGTCGCAAGTCCAGTACCAGCTCCAAGGGCACCACCTCACGTCAATCTGTTCAGAAGAAGGTTATTATCGACGAGAATCCAGCCTCCGTTGGTAACTCGATCGCCAGCAATGAAGCTAACTCCTGTGCTGTCGACATTGGTGAGGAGATCCGCTATGATGCCGATGACGATGCGGGCCAGGCCTCCGAGTTCCGCTCTCGTGACTTTGGTATCGCTATGAACCGCATGGAAAGTGCCCGTAGCGAGAAGGAGCGCAAGCGTGAACGCAAGAAGCGCAGAGAGCAGAGAGCCGAAAAGGCTCGCAGCAAGCCTTCCGGCCAAGCAGAGCAGTCACAGGATGCCCGGCCTTCGATGAAGGGATTCACCTCGACCCCCAACTGTGCTGGCGTGCCAGGCGCCGGAGAAACTGAACAGCGGAAACGCTCACCCTTCGGCCCGATTCCTTCTCTATTGTCCAACACAGTTTTCAGTTCCCAGACTCCTGCCCAATCCCCTCAGCTGGGGACTGCCGCCTCGCGCCCTGGAATCTCTCGTAGTAACTCGCTCCCCGCTCGTGTCAGTCGTCAACCCCCCGTTGGCAATGCCGTTCAATTCGCCCGTGGTGCTGCTCGCGTGGCTGGCCCCACCGACGCAGTGGCCCCTGAGACTGCCGTCGTGGAGGCTGAACCGGAGATGTCGCGTACCGCTGCCGTGGTCATGCTGCTCCTGTCTACCGGTCTGGTCGCTGTCTGTGCCGAGTTCCTCGTTGACGCTATTCCCGACATGGTCGCCAACTCGTCCGTCAGTGAGGCATTCATTGGTTTGATTATCCTGCCTATTGTCGGTAATGCGGCCGAGCACGTTACGGCCGTTAGCGTGGCCATGAAGAACAAGATGGATCTTTCCATAGGTGTTTCCGTTGGAAGTAGTATCCAGATTGGTATGTGTTTACTCTCTACAGGGACCTGACTCAAGATTCTTGCTAACTCTTGATGATACAGCCATCTTTGTCACTCCTCTCGTCGTCATCCTAGGCTGGTGTATGGACAAGGACATGTCCTTGTACTTTACCTTGTTCGAGACCATTTGTCTGTTTGTCACTGCATTTGTGGTGAATTTCCTGGTCCTGGATGGCCGGAGTAACTATCTCGAGGGTGCACTTTTGCTTGCCGCCTACATTATTATTGCGTGAGTCCTCCCCCCTGCTGCCGATTTCTCATGACCCTTCTAACGTTTCTATAGTTTGGCGGCTTTCTTCTACCCAGGCGACAACGAGACTAGCACCCTGGCTGGCTCTTAATCCCGAAGTTAATCGTGCTGGACATGGCTGACCCTTTGCTGCGTGATGCTGCATCGAGAGTAGTACTTGATACAGAGCACACGGACTCTTAATGCACCAACATTACCCGATGGTATTCCGATCCTGAACAAGGATTTCGTTTCATCGAGGTCAGGCTGGTGATTGCCATGTCATAACTTTGCAACTTCCTCTTATTCCATGTAATCAGTTCCAGATTGGAGATATTTATTACCTGCGTCAGCAATCTATTACTTGCTACCTAGGGGTGTCTGCATGACTACCCTCAAGGACTGACCAATTTCCATTTCCTTGTAATCCACTCTCGCACTGTTATCTTGGCTCCCTGGTCCGTAGTCCGAATCCAACCTTCCGGTCGTACCGACCCACTTATCCCCAATAACAGAGCCCTTTGGCGGGGATTTATCTCGCTTCCACCTGCCAAGGGTCCTGTCAACCAGCACGAGACACCTCCAACAACCCCATCACACTCGCATCTCCCACACACCAGCCACGTGTGATGCCACGAGTGGCTGTGTCTTGTCTGCCTGAGCCACATCGTGGCTCGGCATACCTGCTAGCGCCCGCACTAACCGGCAGACTAGCTGTTTAGTTCTTGAATGTTCCGTCAGAACTAGCGGAAATCGTGGTAAATGCTTGTAAAACCTGTCCTGTAATTATTCACCCGTCCTCTTTCCGCTTTCCCCTTTCCCCCCTTTTTGGGGGTCTTGAATAAGGGACTGCAGGTATGTTTTTGGATACTCCACTATACACTCCTGGAGGCGTTATTGTATTCTATGGTTTATATTGGAAGATCTCTTGCCTCCTTTCGAGTGCGTTATTTCTCCTACCGATCAGTAAATCCATGGTTAGTATTGTGTTTTTGTTTGTTTCATGTTATGCTGTGGACGGTAAGATTCGCTCGGCTACGCGGGTTGCGTTGATGGCTGAAGGGCTGCAGGAGCGGTGCCCCGAGCGTTGTTTCGCCCTACGCACTTCCGGTACGGGAGTCGGGAGGCCCTGTTGATCGCTTGTTGCCAAGACTTGTCGTGCATATAGTCGTGTTGGACGGAGTATAGTAGATTTTATTCTGTTTAGGGGTGTGCGAGATATTTTGTTTACATTTCCGGGATTTGTAGTTTCTTATGCAGTATCTTTCATTGTTATACCCCTTTGATGGGTTCTGTTTCGACCCCCCTTTTTCGGTATTTACTTATGACTATATCTCCGCCGAGCCTACGAGACTTGGCCCGGTGATGGTGACACATGGAGTGTCCACCTTGGCGCGTGCTGACGGGAAAGTACTGTACATAGCTAGGAGGGGATACAGTATTCTTCATTGTCTGGTCATTCGTTTGGTCATGGGTATGATCGGACTGGACTAGTCTCCATGGCTTCTAGTAAGAACATGTAATACTAGCCCGTTGGTATGGACTATGAGCTGATGACACTCTCGTCAAGGGTATTTTTCATTGAACCCTCAAACCCCTCGGGTCCATAGAATGGATACAAGAGGGTAGGGTGCCCTACGGAGAACATTAATGCCAAGACACATCAAATCGCATCTGCTTAGTCGGCCCGGGCCAGGACTAGGCGCCGGAATTAATCAGTCGTAGAGCGTACTCATTCTACATACAGTGGGAGTATGTACTGTATTGTATTATTATTTGTTGGTTCAGAACAACTCACTAAAGGCTTGTTCGGCGCTAAAACACCCTGTGCTCTCCACAGCCCTGTGGATCGTGGCCCCCCGTTATTGTTTTTTTATCCCTCAACGTGGCTCCGAGGGGTTCCATGACTCCTCATTTTGCAACTATGGGCTTGGAGCTGTGGAGGTCCCGGTTCCGGGCGGAATAAATAATATAGGAGAGAGGGGAGGAGGTCCTCCGTACAGTTTCCTATATTAATGTTATCTGTCCCTTCGTCTCATGTGCGCTTGTACTTGTCCTTGTACTGTTCCTGTTCCTAGTCGACCTTTTTATAGCGCTTGAATCGGCTCCCCATCATTCATAAAGCTTCCACCCCCCCCCCTGACTTGATTACTTCTCTTTCTCTAATTTCTCCTCATTCCTCCCCTCGCACACACATCCATCACAATGTCTTACTACGGAGGCGACCCCTATAACCGCCCACCCCCAGGCCCTCCAGCCGGCTACGACCAACGCCCACCCTACAACGACAGACCCCCCTACGACCGCGCCCCCTACAGCGCCCCTCCACCCATGGCCCGCCCCCCACCAGGTCCCCCTCCCCCGTTGCCCGCAGGCTGGCACCAAGAGTGGGAGCCCAACATGCGCCGCGCCTTCTGGGTCGAAGATAACACCGGCCGCGCGCAGTGGGAGCCTCCCTATCAGGGACAGGGTTACTATGATGGTTCGCGCAGTGCGCCCCCGCCTGAACCCCAGGGCGGTTATTATGCGGCCCCGTCTGGACCCCCGCCTGCTGGGTATGATCAGCGTGGGTATGGGGGTGGGTATGAGCAGCAGGCGCCTGTTGTTGTGGAGGAGAAGGAGAAGAGTAGTAATGCGGGCAAGTATCTGGCTGTGGGTGCGGCGGGTTTGGCGTTGGGTGGTATTGCGGGTGCTTTGATTGAGCATGAGCGTGGTGAGTTATGATTTCTTCGGAATTTTTTTTGATGGGACTCAAAGATGTCGTTTTGTGTTGAGTCCTTGCTAATATGTCATATGTAGATGAGGATTCGGAGCGCGAGGATATTGCTGAGGCTCGTGAGGAGGCTTACTACGAGGGTCGTGAGGACCAGTATGAGGATGATGGTGGTTGGTGATAGAGAGGCAGTATTCTGAGGGATTGATTTCTGTACTGAATGTGATTCCTCGATTGAGGGTTTCATATTCAATTCGAGACTGGGTTCTCATGTCGGTTCTAGCATTGCAGCGATGATTTAGTTATCCGTTCTTCTACTATCAGCGTCATTTCGCGTTGGATATCCTTTTCTCTGCTCGAATTACACTATCTGGTCACGCGATTTGCAGTTCATGATTTTGGATCGTTCCATTCTATTTTGACTGAATCCGACTTTGCAGGCATCTATCACTAAAAGTAAGGTCTATACGAACAACTCATGCATCTAAGATCTTCCCGGGATTCAGCAACCAATGCGGATCCAAACTCCGCTTTAACGTCTTCATCACGTCGATAGTGACAGGCCCCAACTCTTTCTCCAGACAATGCTTCTTCCCCAATCCAATGCCATGCTCGCCCGATACTGTTCCATCCATCTCCAACGCACGATCAACCATAGTATCAACGCACTTCTTCACGCCATCCACTTGTTCTGGAATGTCAGGGTTATACATAACTGCCTGGTGAAAGTTCCCATCACCAACATGTCCGAGTACGGTCGAGAATAATCCCAGTTTCGATGCATCGGTCTTCGACTGCTCAACGATGTCGCCTAGATTGGAGAGCGGGACGGCGACGTCCGTAGACCAGATCTGAGTTCCTTCTGGACGCACGGAGAGAATCGCCCAAAGGGCTTGCTTGCGCGCTGACCAGAGTGCCGTCATGGTCTTTTCGTCCAGTGATGCGACGAACCTTGATCCACCGTGTGCGTGTGCGATTTCCCGAGCCGCTGAAATACTATCCTCGACAGCTCGTTCTGAACCGGAGAATTTGATGAATAGAGTCGGTTTCTCGGACCACATTTTCCCCCCAGTGCCGCCTGTCTGATTAATCACCCGCATTTGAACATCATCCATCAACTCCAGCGCTGCAAGCGCAACACCACCCCGAATCATCGAGGTAGCAGCCCTCGTAGCCGCCGCAACAGATGGGAACGCCGTCGTCGCCACGCCAAAATGCGACGGCACGATAGCCAGTTTCAGCGTTACTTCCGTGATAATCCCCAACGTCCCTTCAGACCCGGTAAACAAGCCATTGAGATTATACCCGGCCGAAGTCTTCCGGGGCCTCCGCCTCGTCTTAAGCACAGTTCCATCCGCCAAGACAACAGTAAGATTAATAACCCAGTCTTTCATAGTCCCATACCGCATAGCATTTGTCCCACTACAGTTTGTTGCAACCATACCCCCAATATGCGCCGTGGGACTTGGGTCTAGCGGTAAGAACAGACCAGTGGATTTAAGCGTGTCGTTCAGATTCACCCAGTTCACGCCTGGTTGCACGACCGCGTCCATGTCTTCTTCGTGGATGGCGATGATCTTGTCCATGCGGGAGAGGTCGATGCTGAAGCCGGAGTAGGGGGTGCTGAAGTGGCCCTCGACGCTGGAACCGGCGCCGAAGGGGATCATGGGGATTTTGTACTTTGTGCATATCTTTGCGATTAGGGAGACTTGTTCTGTGGTTGTCGGCATTATTATGGCAATTGGTCGGGCGGAGACGTTCGATGTTGATGCTTCCGAGTAGCTGTGGCTCTCTAGGTCGTCTGCGTCCATGCTGACGGCGTCTTCGCCGAGGACATCTTGGATTTCTTTGGCAGCCTAGATGATGATTAGTATGAGTTCTTGATTGAGGATGTTAGTTACGTACTTTGAGCATTGTGGGCTTATCGGCGTATTTAGGCATATTCTTCCCGATGCTCTGCTTCGTCTCGGTGTCACTCCAGCTGTAGTAGGCAACGGAGGTACCAACAGCACCGACAGCCAGTCCAGCCATAGCAGAGAGTACCGGGCTGGCCCGATTAGGTACTGCTGTTGACAGCCTGCGTGCCGCTGCGAATTGACTATTTAGCAGCCTAGTCCTTGCACGCAGCAGATGAGTCGTCGTCCTCGATATGATTCCCCTCATGCTTCCGGGGGAAACGCTGCGCCTGATCGGATTCAAATAGCGGATTGGGAGGCTAAAAGGGTGATGCCTTCAGGCCGAGATTAGAGTGTGTTGCCTGAGTAATTTGAAGACTAAATTGACCGGGTTTCTCCTTTCACCCAGCCTTGACGGAAAAAAGGAGTCGAGGTTGAAGTTCCCAGCCTCCTCAGGAGATCGGAGCCGAGGAAAGGCACGACCCCGGATTTTCCCCTTTTGTGGCGCTGAAGGGTCCAGCCACAGCCCCACTAGAAAGTCAATTCTGTACAACTAGAGTAGATATATTGGTAGTCTATCCTGCGTATATCAAATTAGACAACCTTCTAGTCAATTCTGTAGGCGGGACAAGAACATAGGGAAGGATTCAGTGGTTGAATTCTTCCAGGCAGCGATGGTTGAGTGGAAAAGTATCACGAAGAGGAAAGTCCCAGGAGTCAATATCCGCCTGATAGCAGCTGCCTTGACCAACTTCCCAGAACCTATCTTTTTTCCATCGTCAAAGTTAAATATCCTTCCTAACCCACCATCCTCATCACCTTTATCCTCCTGATTGTACCACAGTTCATCCAAACCCGTCAACCAATATGGCACCAGTCCGCCTCACCCCTCAGGACCGAGGTCCTCCCAGAAGGTCCTGTGAAGAATGCAAATGGCCGAAAAAGCGATGCTCTCGCGATAGGCCTCACTGTTCTCGTTGTCAAACTCAAGGCAAAGAATGCAGATACATCGAAGACATCGATCTCACGACGGAAGCCGACAGTTCAATCATAGAGAGCAGGCTGGATGCTCCTGCTACAAACGCTCATGCATTTTCTACACCAGGTCCCTCGATCGGTTCAACTTTGCCTGTCAACTCGGGTTTGTTTAATCTTGGGATCTCGTCTGTCTACCACACTGCACCGAGTCAACGTTCCCCAGCGGAGAACACTACTACTCAGAATACTCTAAACTTTGAGAATGTCACTCTACTCCCGATGCTGGATGCTGAGGAGATTCGGGACCGCTGGTTAAAGCCACACCTAATGACTGGAACTGGTCAAGCACCCAAGCACTTCCACGTCTTCACTGTTCAATACCTGTCTTGCGTGTTGCGATCGTACCCCGGCCAGCTCCTGGAAGAGAACATCATCCCGCCATTCATCCACCCGATGCAATTGACCCGCCAGCCCGTTCCCCCCGCCTTGGCCAATTGTTCATCCATCGTACGGCTGTGGATGAATCGAGCTCCGGGCAGCGAGGAATTAGTCCTCATGACTTTGAAGAACGAGATTGATCGCTTGGTCGCCCAGGTAGGATATAACCAGCAGAAAAAGCTATACACCCCAGCTTTTCTGATAACTAACACGTCCTCCAGAAACAGTCAATCGGCGACTTCGAGCTCCTCTGCTCCTTCCAAGCCCTCCTCATCTACATGATAATGGCCTACTTCTTCCCAATGAGCGATACCACCCTCCTCGGCGAAACCGACATCGCGACACTGCAAGAACTCGCCTTCTACTCGGCAAAACGAGGCCTTGCCTGTCCAGCCGAGAGCAAGCAAACCCGTCCAGACTGGGAATCCTGGATCGTAGCCTCTGCCAAACGACGCACTCTGGTTGCCATATACCTTTTCATCAACATCTACAATGCATCCAAGGACATGCCGAGTTTCGTGTCGAATGAGTTGGCGGATGTCCTTGTCCCCCAGGGCAAAGCGTTGTGGTTGGCGTCTGAGCGGGCGGGCTGGGTGACGGAGTACAATCGTCATTTGGCTAAGTGGGAAGATGGCATGTTGGAGGTTGCCGAGTTGTGGAGGGCTCCTGGGGTTGGGGTGCAGACTGAGAAGAGACGGGAAAGGATTGAGAGGTGGGTTAGGTCGGCGGATGAGTTTGGGATGATGCTTTTTGCGGTGACGGCACATTTGCATGGGTGTTGATAGATGTGATGCTGGTGTGGAGATGGCACAGTTACTCTTCTACAGAGGTGCTCGAATTAGTTGCGACGAATATTCCAGAGACTGAAATGCTGACAGCAATGTAACCTGGATGATCGCTCTGTGTACTTCCCCGCAATTCCCTTGCCGATCCCTGTTCGGACCACGGATTTTCCGATGTCTGTGCGACGCTCTTTAAAACCCCTGCCCCTCTTTGGTTTCAGCTCTCCTTCTTACACTCTCCTGACTGTATTAGACTTATGTCCTCAATGGTCAAATTTCGATCTTGGTGGTTCTGAATAAATTTCGAAGATCCTGCCAGTCCATCCTGCCCTCAGCCTTGTGACGAGACCATTTATCCGAACCACAACAATGACGATGGCTGATGTGCCTGTCATGTTGCGATCGGGACTTGACATTAAACGGGCTGCTGGACAAGAGGACCACCACAAGTATCCCCTTTCCAATAAACCCTTCATATCATTTCCACGGTATCAAACCCCGGCGACGACAAGCTCCCACATTTTCGCTTTTGTGCGGGTGTCGATTGCTGTTTGCCTCTAAGTACCTATATCAATTCCAGAAGACTACACAGCGCGTTTACATGATGCTCCTCCATTTGTGTTTACGCGAAAGTCAGTCGTCTACATTTACATAATTACATAGTTGTCTTGTGGTGCACACTACAGTCTGGATGACGCAGATAATACGCTTTGATATTCCATCACATAACTCATTCCATAACTATTCGTTCAACATGACCCCCACCCTATCCCCATCCATATTCAATCTAGCAAGAAACAAAGTCATCATCACTGGCACCGGTGTGGGTAATCACACCAGCCAACTCATCACTAGTGTTGAAGATAACACGGTCCGCACCGGGGGAACCGCCATCGTACACATCACCATCGCTCAGAATCGGGAACTCGTAGTAGGTGCCGGAAACGGGGAAGTCGAAGCCCTCGTAGTTGTGGTAGACGTGCGGGTAGCTGTCGTCGGTGGAACCGGCCTTGTACAGCTTGTAACCTGCGGCCTGGGCGGCGCTGACGGCGCTGCTGGTGTAGCAGACTGTGCCGCAGGTGTAGGCGCAGGCGCGCTTTTGGGGAGCGGCGACGGCGGTGGTGATGAGGAGGGTGGCCAGAGCCAGGATCTGGAGGAGTTGTTAACATAAAATTAATGGTGGACATTTTGATGGGAGTGTTGGTTTATAGTACCTTGGAGTACTGCATTTTGATGGAGAGGGATTGATAAACTTCAAGATTGAGTGGATCACTGGGGTTCTGGGTTGATCTGCGAGACTTGATTCTCCAGTCTATCCGGGAGATCATTGCCAGTTTATATAGACACGAGAGAACATCCCGAGTCTTCTAACCGACATCTCGACAGTGCATACTGCAGCCCGAAACACCGACTTCGAACAATGTTACATCTGGTCATCCATCAACAAGACAATCTCATTGGCATTCACAAAATCAGCTACTAACGGCCTCCAAACCATACTCTAACAGGAATATCCGCCGATCTGCAACACCCGCACTAGAACGCTAGGAAGGAACGCGGGCGAGGTACAACCATGCCATGATTGGTCGAGACGGCACAGCGTGAGAGATCGAGTGGTGATTGGGACTTTTGCAGCTGCCCAGCGCCCTATCCGAGCGTGTGGAAAGGAAATGATCGACCGGGTTTGGCACCCTTGGGGCGTGGACCCTGGTCGGTACAGGTACAGCTTAGATGGGGTCGAATGTCTTGTTATCGGGCCAATAGGTAGCGGCCATTAGGGGCACGATGTGAATGGAGTAGTAAGCGGACTTTAGGGGTGAAGGATGTGGGGGTAATTTGGGGGCGGGAAAATAAGTCGTTGAAGAAATTGGTCCGGGTAAATCGTGCAGATGATGAGATTTAGCGAGGTGGTTTATATGATGTGGACAGAATTCAAGTACAGGTACCCTACTCAATCTTAACGTTCATCGGAGGTTTCGGCGCCCTCCGCTTCATGGGGTACCGGCCTCCCGTCGGAATCCGTGTTTGTCTACATCTAATCTTGACTTGGCAGTTGGATAAGATGCGGATGAGATTCGGCAAATTCCCTTTCCTGCATTGCAGAATGGATAGATTGCTAGGATGATTTGACATGCAGCATAAGCGTGCAGGACATGCAGACTACCCCACAACAATATCACTAATGCGAGACCACCATTGCCGAGGTTTTTGTGGCTGCGACTCTTGTTCAGCGAATTCTCTCCTGCCAGTCCAAATATCCATGTCCTCCAATTTGACCCAGCGAGTCTTGTTCCAGGCCTTGTATACAGCGACGAATAGCACAAACACGGGAAGCAGGATATAGTTGATCACGAAATCAGTCGAGCTGAACGGGTTCAAGAAGCATGTATACCCCTGGAAGAAGATCAGGAAGACATTCGCTGCTAGTGAGAAATAAGTGCCATAGGGATATAGCGCAGCCTGGAAGGGCAACCCAGCTGGGTCTTCTCCCTGCGCAACTAGGGCACGACGGAACCGAATGTGGCAGACGCCAATGACGGCCCAAACGATAAATGTAGCCACTACGTGCCTTGTGTTAGCAATTCCACTCCCAATTGGCTTATATCGAGTATCTAAATACCTCCAGACAACGTAATCAAAGCAGAATACACCCTCCCAGCGCTGGATGACTGTCCCAGGAAGACGATGCAAGCGAAGATGTTTGTGAAAATGAGACCGACCCAAGGCACGCCCGCGCGGTTGGCGCGCCCGATGAATTTTGGAGCTTTGCCGTTGCGTGACATGAACAGGAGTGTTCGAGACGCCACATATAGGGAGCTGTTTCCTGCGGATATGACGCTGATAACGATCAGAGCATTGATGAGATGTGCCGCGGGCAGAATTCCCGCGTCTTGCAGGGCGATGGTTAGAGGGGAGCTGGCTGTTTTCGAGGTAGATCCGAGCAATCGATGGTCATTATATGGAATCAGAATACCAATGAAGAAGATTGTTCCTGGTAAGATTAGCTTTGTGGTTGTCTCGCTAATTGGGTCTTACGTACCAATATAGAAGATCAAAATGCGCCAAAAGACCTGTTTGATAGCCCTAGGAACGGCCTGTTCGGGATTCTTCGACTCTCCAGCCGTGATTCCAACCCTAAAGTCTAGTTAGCTTTCAATAATCTTCAGCACTGATTGTCAAGAGAGAACTTACATCTCCGTGCCGGCATACAAAGTTCCAGCAACGACAAACGTCTTCGCCACTCCATTGATGGAATCCGCAAATGCTCCAGGGTCATGCCAATACTTGAAACCGATCTTCTGTGGCCCAATGCCTCCAGAACTGATGCAGATAGCAAGAATGAAGAACACTATCAGGGCGATAACTTTGATTCTGTGTTTTTTGTGAGTATTATGGTCTCTAGATAAGACGAGAATGAGTACTGACAAGGACAGCCAAAATTCCATCTCGCCATAAGCTAGAATGCCCAAATTGGACAGACCGAGGAAGAGGAACCAAAAGATGAGAATCCATCCCCATTGCGGTACTGCTTCTGTCCAGTATCCAATAACGAGAGAGATTGAGTTGTACTCGTTTGCGAGGACCTAGCAATACTCAGAGATTCGTGAGTAAATCTATCCATCGAGTGTACCTTTCAGCAGGAGAAGCTAACCGTAACCCAAAGATACCAATATGCCCAACCCAGCGCAAACGCAATAGAGTCATCGATAAAGCGCTCCGCATATTCTGTAAAAGACCCCGTGACTGGAATAACTGTCGCCATTTCACCCAACGATTGCCTGTGACAATTAGCAGCGTGCCAAGCAGCGAAGAAACGGGACAGCGACTCACATCACGAAAAATACGATAAGCCCAACGAGCGAGAAACTGATCAGAGCTCCTGCTGGACCTCCTTCGTGGAGGGCATTTCCTGAACTGACCAGCAGGCCAGGACCGATGATTCCTGTCGCGCGTGTTAGTGATGCCGCACTGTGCATGGCTTTAAAACAGCAGAGACCAAATTCGGGCGACTAACCTCCAATTGCAATCATCTGTAGATGTCTCGACTTGAGCTGCCGCTTCAACGGCTCGACAAATGGATCTTGAACCCCGGACTCATTGTCGCTGCGATTTGTCCTACTTCCCGACCGCAAACTGTTTGTATCCGCATCCTTGGCTGGAGCGCGATATGCGGTAGCGGCGAAGTCGGTTTTATCTGCCATCGGGGCCGGCACGCAGCTATTATAGACTGCTTTGATAATCTGGCAGAATAGAGAGAAACGCAGGCCTTGGAATCGACCCGGGTCCCTCGAGAATATAAACTCCGAAAATTCAACATCGCATGCCTAGAAAACGTGGGGCATAGTGTGACATCGCGGTGACCACTTTCGGGCTGCGTTCATTTGCTGCTGATGTCGTGATACGGCCCGGTCGGGGGCAAACGATGACCGTGGGGCTTGATGTGGCCTATTAGTATGACCTTGAGCTTCACTAGAGGGGATACTGATGCTAGCTCACTAAAACTGATTATTCTAGCTTCTTCGGAACCGTCATCCCTTACCCAAGTAACCACTATAATTTGCAGTGTTGGTTTCGGGCGGTCAAGAATTATCAGATCATGTTACCGCATCGAGCGTAGCGCTGAATGAATCTTGGTAGAGTGGAGCTTCGTGCCTGGCGAGCCTTTTCCGGTCGCACGCCATAAACTTACGGATGAGATCACTGCTTAAATAGGAGTATAGTCTTGGCAATGTGGGCACTATGCACTCTGTGATTCTGTTAACTTCAAGTCCCAAAAAAACTCCAATATTATGCTGCTAAATTGATAATTGATGCACGGGAATACCTTTGAAAGAGAACACATTGAAGCTTTGTGAAGTTACCGAAACCATCGCGTAGTTGGTTATTACCAATAACGGTGGAAAGGGGCATACCCCTGATAGAATTCTATCGATCAAGTTAGTATGGCGACACCGTCATTCTCTCTTTTTTGATGATCGACCTGTCGTTTCGCACAGCCGTTCAACCAAGTGACCAATCCCGACACATCTCAGACACTTTCAGGTCATCATTTCTCAGACCGAAATTCCAATACACTTAGGCCATCATTGATGGAGGGACTTGTCCAATGCGGCGATGGGGATAGAAGACAGGAGAGTGAACCTACCAGAAACAAAACCTTCAGTAAACCAGCAGTCTCTATTTGGGCTCTCTGGTGGTCCAAGAAAGTTGCACACTGTACCAAGGGAGGATGGAAGCGCGGTCTTTGGGCGCCTTGAGATTTTGAGCATCCCTGACTGTATCAACAACATATCAGTGTTTCAAAAAACCCCAAATTGACGACTCCAGTATAAGTTTCACCCGGTTCATATTTTGCTGGCCTCATGAGAGAAAGTTCTCTCTGGTCATCTCCGCTGTCAGGCGTACATATTGAAATATGCGAGGTTGCGAGAGAAGGTTCGGAAAGTTGCGTTTTCTTGTACCGGTGAGGCTCTGTGGGTAATGGTATGTATGGGGAGGAAAAGTAAAAGTTAGCCCATGGTCATAGGTAAAGAACGAATCTGGGGAAGGACAGCTGGTGTACTCGAATAACAGACTGGGTCCTCTCTGGTCAGCAAGCCGGAGAAATCAAGTTCAACAACAACGAAACACGGGACCCAGGGGCGTTGGAGAATTTAGTGGGATCCGTGGATGGGAAGGACTCGAAAAATGTGTATATACTTTGAAAGACCCTCAGACTGGCGTTAATCTAGAATCATCAGAAGCTTCAAGAGATGTAGAGTCATCACAGGGTTGCTTGGACCAATGGACCGTGCCAAGCATGGGAATAGGAGTAGTTCCAGGGATTTTTCGAGGCACGTTCCGAAGCTTTGGAGAAATACCGGCAGCGTTGAAATGATACTCAATAGGAGAAACATCTCGACTCACAGTGAGACAGCCGTCTCAGACACTCAGTAACCAATTGACCGATCCCGAGCCATCAGCCGTCGGAGAAAATTGTTACATCCTGTAGCATTGTATCGGCTTGCCGCAAGGCAGGAGGAGGCTAAGTTCTAGAAAAATAATATTGTTAGCAGATGTCCCATTGAAGTCAAGTGTGTTGCAAACCGGCTATAGAAGTCAAGCTGGGAGATTCTAACTTACCCATGACAGCCACAATAAATTTCGTAAGATATGATCCATTTCCAATGGATCATTCTCATAACGGGCTGTTCAACCAGGACGAGAACGCTCGAAGAAGTTAGCATGAATGATATAAATGTGAAAGCCAGAATGACTAAGGGGACAACTTAATTGATGCTGCGGGGATAAGCCGTCAGAAGAGATCTTTCGTTAACCATCACAGTTTCAGAGTAATCATATTTCATCACTCGGCAAGACTCCGCATGGCTCATGTAAAAACTTCCAGAAAAGGGCAAAGGATTCTCAATTCACAGCGATGTATTCCCATACCTTTTCGTATATTTAACGAAACGACAATATGGAGACACCGAGGCTGGCTTTTGGAAGATCTGTGAGATATGTCAGAGGGTCACTCATGGCAAGCAGGTGGCAACTGTGTCAACCACCGTACTCACCACAACATATTCCACAGCTCCCATTCTTATTCTGCGCTTGTCGTTCCCTTAGACGATATCGCTCGAGTTTAGGTTCAGAACGGGCAGCGAAGTACTATGGTTCAACTGCGATTAGCACAGTCTCCAACTTGAAATGAAATTGACTGGAGAATCTGCACATGCCTGATTATCCGTCGATGAACCGAGCCCCCGCATCGAATACGGAAGTGGACGCAAGATATACACCTGTCAACTCGGAGGCAGACTCGAAGCAGATGTATCCACTGTAGCTGTTAGCGGGATTAACTGAAAAGGTATAGCATTTGGTACACCACTGGGCCATCAGAGCGACAATAAATTGTCATCATCGGTTCAGCCCCTCGGCGTGATCATTATTTGGCCTGCGTTGTTTCCAATAAGAAGCAGAACATCTTTGCCATGTTAATAAATCTAGAATGAGGGAATGAGGTATATACCGTGTCTTAATGTTCGTTTGCGTCTCTCGTACCACTGCAGGCAATTGGGCTCCAACTCAGTGGTATCCATGAGCATTGCTGATGGATTTGGAAGTATTTGGGAATGTAGCCAACACCAGTGGGTTAAGCAAGGCCAACCGTAATCGGACGCAAAGAAGCAGGCAATTCAAATGGCTAGAGACAAATATTCCCTACTTCGGTCAGCTTCTGTAAGTCGACATGTACTTGTCAGCATGAATACGGCCGAGTCAGATCGTGGGACAGACCTCGATTTCGCTTTGGGAAAAAGGGTTCCCGTGTTTCATAGCAGCCATACCAAGACACTTGACATGGGATATCATCAAGGAAGATATTCAAGCCCTGGAATTGATAATTGGTCAGGATGTAGAGTTGGTAAAATCCCAAGACCATGATGGGTTGAGATACCGATACATACCTTGCAGCTTACCACCAACCCCTAATTCACGACCGGGTGTTCTCCTAAGATTTTTCTTGAGACTGCACTGTCAGTAATTTTCGTTGGTTCTGTGTTCTAAAGGTCAGTTGGGGCAGGTGTTCCATGTCCTCGGTCAATAAGACTCTGATTCAAACCTCCACGAAGCATGACAGGTCTCATATGAGAAGAGGCAGTTATAACACTGCTATTGGGAGAGTAAAACTCCATTAACGATGGGACATGGGCGAATATGAAGGATTTCCGTCTCAAGTAAATACCTAAGAGGCAATGTCAAGACAAAGAATAGTTAGTTTTCATTCAAATAGTACATAAAGGGAACCGACGTTACAAACGGAGAAATCCACATTTGGACGAAATACACACCTAGAACCCAAAACATAAGAACAAATATTGAAGAACTGCTAAGGCGCGTATATAATGTGGAAAAATCAAAATATGTTTTCGTAACGCGCCTGGTCGCCATCAACGCGTCGTTTCGAAAGATAAACAAGAAAAATAGAGTAGGCAAAAAGAAAGCAGTTTGAATCATGTATTTCCAAATATTAAACAAGTTATCTACCATCAGCAAGTCAAACACCACGACAGAGCAAGAGTAGCTCACCTTTGGCACAACGCTCAACATGTCTGTCATCCCGTACACAGACCTCGGAGTAAATAAGAATGACGGGAAAGGCAGCAAATGACTGGGGGTAAAAAGATCACAAACAAGAAGCAGCTCGGCCTCATACAGGACATGTCACAAAATATGAAGGGGCTTGAGGGAGCAGATGTGACTGGGGATGATGTGATTGCCAACGTAAAGCAGCAAGGGAACAGGTAGATAGTGCATCAGACCAGTAAGGTATTTCAAGTCATGGACCAGTGTCGAAGGGCCTCAGCAAGAAAGTCAATGTTTTTGGGGTGGTCATCATTGCACTATACTATACCTTGGGGAGAGAGAAAAAAAAGCAGGACATTGCGATTAGGTTAGAGATATTTATGTTTGAATGCCCTCAGTTCAGCGCATCTAGATCACACGCTAGCGGTTAAGCGAGATCTAGTTAAGCAAATCACAAGGCAGCATTGTACGTGCCTTCCTAATTTACAAACCTTTTGGTGTGATGCTGGCTTTGGAAGTATAGAAAATGCTACACTGTCCTCCGAGTCTAAGCTGCTTCGTGATCTCCGGCGCTACATATCGAATTACAGTTTCAAACTTTCGAGGTCGTAGATAGACCTGCATTACATTCTATATCTCAGAATCGAGCTTCATGGTGATTCGGGAACGTTGGATCGAGCAGGGCAATCATCGCGAGCTGGACAAGTTTCCATCAGGTATACCCCAGATTTAAGATCGGCGCTAGTCAACGCTAATCACTAGCGTCTCGCTTAGGGACCCACCCTTGCTATTTCAGAATGCAAAATTTCGACTTCTATTGCTTCTTCCTCTTGTCTTGATAGAAATAGCTCTATTACTATACAGTTTGTGGTGTGGAAAATCGCCGGTCTTGTTCTTCATGTTACCATATCCCTCGAGCTTCCCGGCCAACTGCGGAGCTAAGAACCCTCGAGATCGCAGCCTTGATCGAGAATGGCCAATGGCACGTCCATCGACGGCTCGATGGCACAAGGCAATCATGTCAAAATCTCAAGTTCAAACGCCGCGGCCTGATGGGGTGACAAACGACGATTGTTGCTTCGATGACTAAACCCGGGAACCCCCGCGGAGTCAAGGCATCGACCAACGCGGCCTGAACACATCTTTTTCACAAATATTTTCAGTTTCTTCCTTTCTGTATCGTCTCCTCTTTCTCCTAACACACTTTCATCATTACCTATCATCTCCTTGGGGGTGGAACACCCGGGACATGATCAACATGGCTTCTTGCGCTGGCGACAGCGCTCTGCCAACTTCTCTGTAAAGGTTTGACCCCATTTCGCACTACCACTGAGTCAGTAACCGATGTCTAACATCTTACAGTGCTTTGGAGATATTTCAAGCCTCAAATCGAGTTGCGTGTCAAAAGGCCTTGCTCACCTGGTATGCGTATTCACAAAGTCTCTCAAAAACTCATGCTTCCGCTGACGCTCTTCGGGTTCCAAGTTCAAAGCTGCGTACAGAGCTTCTGACATTTCAGTCGTATTGGCTGGATGGAAGGGAATGCTTCCATCTCTCATGAAAGTGGCTGATCCCGCAAATTCAGAGAGTACGAGGACACCCTTCTTCTTGTCTTGGCAGGCCACGTATTCGAATGAAACGAGGTTCATGCCATCCCGCGTTGATGTCAGCAGGCATACATCAGCAACAGAGTACAGTGCAGTCAGCTCTGTGAAAGGCACTGATCGATGCATGTACAACAGGGGGGTTCCCTCGGGGGTGGCTGCATAATATCAGACCGGGTCTTCTGTGACTTAGGGTAAGTTTACTCTACCGTGCTTCCCGTTGATCTTTCCGGCCAATGTACAAAGTTCTGTTTCTAGATCTTGATACTCTTTGACGTCCTCACGACTTGGAACGGCGACCTGGATAAGAACAACCTTGTTCCGCAGCTCTGGGTGGTCATCCAAGAACGAGTCAAATCCTTTCAACTTCTGGGTCAATCCTTTGATATAGTCGAGTCGATCAATTCCCAAAATAACCTTGACGCCCTTATATCTGTCTTCAAGTGTCTTTATGCGGTCTTGAACTTCTGGTTTCTGCAGGGTATCTGCAAATTTCTGCGGGTCAATACCCACAATGAACCGACCTGCACAGACTAATCGGTTTTTATACTGGATCTGGTTTGGAATCTCGGTGCGTGCTCCACTAACAAAGTCAGTCATTTTCGAACATGCAATGTGGCACGGTGGCAGCTTGAACACGAGGCTAACTCTTACAGATTGCTCGCACAGGTGTCGATGAAATTCTGCTTATACTCATCCGTGTGGAACCCGATCAAGTCACTGGACAACAACCCCTCAATCAAGTGCCTCTTAACAGGCAATGCTCGCCAGAAGTCGCCGGCTGGAAATGGAGTATGGAGGAAGAACCCGATGGCACAACTTTTGTTCCTCTCTTGGAGGCGATTGCGGAGGAGCTCGGGCAACAACATCAAATGATAATCGTGTACCCAGATCAGGGTTCCCGGTTCTGCTGCGTCAGCGACCGCATCGGCGAACAATTCGTTGACTCTTCGATATGCCTGCCAAGGGCCGTCTTCATAAATCACGCCTGACTGATAATGGAGAATGGGCCACAAAATTCGATCTGCAATCTTCATGAGATGACCGCCTCGGGATGCGGGGTCGAGGAGTTAGGGCTTACTCGAGAACATGTTGTAATGTTCGTGCGCCAACCCTTTATCCAAGAAGATCGGCGTCGCATCATGCTCATCCAAGCTTTTTACTACTTCCTCCCTCTCCTTGCTGTCTTTAACCTCGATACCGGGCCATCCAAACCAGCGAAATTGGGTGGACTTTGTCAACCCCGACAATGCAGTGACCAACCCGCCACTCGAGATCGACGATTGATATGCGCCATTCACACGTTTAATCGACAACGGCAATCTGTTTGAAACAATTATCAAATTCTGTCTCGATTCATGTGAGCCCATTCTGGATTTGAATTCTTTCTTTTCCGGGGTCCAAGATTGTCGGCTTGTGCTGTGTCGGGCTAGCTATATTGCGATGTTTGCTGTCCTGCTGTCAATTCCGACTTCCCATTCACCTGCGAGGGGAGAAAAGAAAAGGCACAATCACAACGCCAAAGTCTTTCATAATGAGGAGAGTTCAACATTGCCTCTTGCCCCAGATGGCAACTACGTCGTTCGGAAATCGGATCCGGCGCCACATCGGGAACGACTACAGCCAATTGTCTAGCTATCATCTATCTACCACGGAGCATTGGGTTTGGGAGGGCGGGGTTCTGTGATAGACTAGAGATAGACATAGATCGACTTGGTCAACTTCGAGATTTGGACGATTAGAACGGTTTGGCAATTGCACAACTTGGGCTTTTGGACAATTTGGATTTTGTACAGTCTGGCTATCTTCTCACTACCATGGAACATTGGGTTGGGAGGGTGGGGTTCCGTGGTCGACTTGGGAGACTTGGGAGACTTGGGAGACTTGGGTGACTTGGGTGACTTCGAGATTTGCACATATTGTGGATAAATTTGGGCATACTTGGCAGTTGTACATAGATTGCTGGGACTAGGAACGATATTTGATTGTACATACAAAAGTTCGTTTTAAAGAATCACTACGACAAGGCTGTGGCTGGTTACCTGAGGTAATATCCTACTGTCTTTTGTAGGATTCTGGAAAAGAAGGTGAATTAAAATGCCGAGACAGTACAAAAGGTAAAGATGAGCTTCTATGAAAATTCATGGATGTATTACTGCTCTATTGCATTTATTTTCATTCAACTATTTTGAAAACGCTTTTAATAATGGCGATATGTACATATTCCGTCATATGCATGTCAGATGTCAAGCCCGCAGACTTTAATGCTTATTTCCACTCCGCCTCTGCAGCCACATAACCAGCACAAAACAAACAATTCCGGCAGCATACGCGCATCCTGCAAAAGCAATCAGTCCCCAATACGCGTCTTGACAGCGATGCAGAATTTCTCCTGCGATAGGCACACCGGTCAATGCACTTTGAAATCGTCAGCAACGTTCTGTATTAACGCCTCGACAGAAAGAGACACGAGATGGAAAGACTTACCCAAAGCTGACAATAGTATATACAGTCGTATAATACCGTCCATAATTCTCAACGGGACATAGTTCCCCGACACAAACAGGGACAAGACTGATATTACTCCCACTGGCGAAGCCAAATACCACCGAGAAAATAATGACAGCAACCACGTTTCCACCAGCAGGCATCCACACCGCCAACACAGCAACCAAACATAAAATATTCGTCAGAAGCAACGTATTAAACCTTCCAATTCGGTCTGCCAAAATCCCCGGCAACCATCTTCCCGGAAACGAACCCGCATTCAAAAACACAACCATCAAATACGACAGTTGACGCGGGATACCACTAGCAAGAGCATACGACGCGATATACTCCAAGGGAATAAAAAACCCCCACTCAATAAAAAACACACCCAACGTCGTCAACGCAAGCACTGGATCTCTCAGAATCGTCAAATCCGGTAGAAACACCTTCGCCGACGGCGGCGAGGGCGCCTTCGGCGGCAAATTCGCTCGAACAAGTAAACACCCCGGAATCAACAGGACCAGCGTAATCAACCCGATAATCCTAGTTGACCAAGCAAACCCTATCTTCGGCGCAAGATTCTCCAGAACAAGCGGGAATATCACACCCCCAATACTCCCGCCCGACAACGCAAGACCCGTCGCGGCACCACGTCGTCGACAAAAGAAATGGCCAATACTAGCAACGGGGACGATAAAAATAAACGACGTCCCCATTCCACCCAGAATCCCGATGACGACTAGGAAATGCCAGTATGCAGTGCAAAACCCCATTAACACGAATGTTAACACGATCAGCGTTGAGCCAAACCACATTAAGAAGTGGGGACCCTTGGCGTCGAAGATAGGTCCTATTTGGATTCCGCAGAAGAAGACGAGGAAGTTGTATAGGCCGAATATCCACCCGATTTGCCCGGCGCTGTGTGTTGCGAGTTGGTGAGTTGATATCCAGGCTTGGTAGATGCCGATGCTGTTCATGAGCCCTAGGCCCCCCATTATGGAGCTGAAACTGCCCAGGACAACTAGGTTGGCACGTAGGCCGCCTTCGGTGTAGGTGTTTGCATTAAGGTTGATTTTGGGTTCGTGATGCATTTGATGTTGGGATATATATTTTTAAGAGGGCGGGCGATGGCTTTCGTCAGGTGTATTTGCAGTGCAGATACTGTAGTGTAAATCACTCCATTTGGGGTTTGATGCCTGCTACCTATATACTTATTTCATTCATAATCCACTAAATCATGGTTCCTCTATCTATTCGCTCGGCCATGTTCCGCCGCTACTGGAGGCAGTATAGAAAGCCGAAGCCCGAGTCCATAGACAGAACGGGCTTCCATTTGACTCATTCATACGCTATCCACCACATTCCGAACTATCCAACTAGAATCAACAATCAACGGGAAACATTTTCTCGTAAAAGCGTAAACGCCATGAAACAACTACCAAATCCTTCCAACGGTTCAAAAAGCGGCGAATATGCCAAGCCTCGGCCGTGACGGCCGCTCGGCGATGGGAAGTGGGTCGGCCAGATCTCGGCGGACTGTTTTGCCTGCGGGGAGGATATTTTGGTTTGCCGAGTAGGAGTTGGCCGAGGAGATTGAAAACAAGTTCATTTTCTGACGGAAAGTCGTCATTAATTGAATACGCTTGTTTATACGGGAGTTTTAAGCCTGTGGATTGTTTACTTGGGAAGAATATTGTGATTGGCAAGCCCTATCATTGCCGAATAAGCCCGTATCGGGTCATCAAAGAGTAGAAGTAAACACAAGAGTAAAAGAAAAGAAGAGCGTGGAGCCACCATCAACAAGACAAAAAGAAAAATACAAGAATCGAACCGAAAGAAAAGTAAACACCCAATGATGGTATACAAGAGATATGCAGTAAAAACACCAATACCCAAGTCCGATCCACCCCTAACCCATCCTGATCCATGCGACCTGTTATGCTGCCGAAACCACGAGCGAGAACTGCTCCAAAAGAAAAGACGCCAAATGGAAGTTACCCATGATAGGGTAGTAGTCCATCGAAAATACATTATGCAAATTGTCGATGCATACGCTTCGAAGGACTCGGCGTACGGAGATGAGTCTCTCGTTCACGGGAGCGCTCAGTAACAAAGTCCATTGATCGGGTGTTTTCGATCATAAGCGGTGCATCTTCTCTCTCGGTGTAGTTTTTCGTCGGGGATGCCCGGGGGTCTTGCTGGCCGTAGAAGCCGTAGGCCGGGTTCTGTTGCAGGTGGAGGGGTTGGCCGTGCAGGTTTGGATTATATGATGGTGGGGGTGGATAGTCATGCTGTGGGTAGCCCTGGTTGAGGCGGTTGTTTCTGAAGGAGCGGAAGGACCAGTTACTGGCCCAGGCCACAGTGCCAATAGTGGCTAGGAAGATTATCTGGATGGGGCAAATGTTAGTGAAAGCGCGAGAAGAATGGGGAGGGGGGACTTCGTACAATAGCTTTCCAGGAAATGGGCTCAATGAAGCTGTCAATTATTTGAGCCATCGTCCTGGCTGATAGCATCGCCCGTCTGACGTGTGTCGGATCCGTGTCCATGCACTTTCTGTCGGCGGCGCATATAGGCACGAGACCTGGTACGAGGTTCCCAGCCGCGCATTTGTTGTCTTCGTATCGCTGCATACACTCGGCGATATTGTGCAGAATAGAGTCCATCTCCTTACTCGCGACGGCATCGAACTCATTGCGAATCTCAGACACGAACGAGAAAACCATCCACACAGCAAGCGAGAACAGGGATAAGTTCACGACAAGCTGCGCCCACCACGACAAGATGGCAGGGACGTTGGGATGTTCTTCCAGCAGAGTCAACAACTGCTTGAAGAATGACATATTCGATGGTGCTTTCTGTAAGTCCGGTGTCTTTTCTTGTTTCCCCGTCCTTGTTGGCGGTCCTTCGCGGCTGCTGGGCCTGTCGCTCTCATCATCATCGTACTCATCATCCACCCGCATCCTCTTCCCAAGCGCCTTATCCCGTCGTCGCCTCTTGTGTATCCGTCGCGCCACGGCATTCGAAAAGTGATTCGTCCGCGGGATCTCCCCCCTGCCGGGGCTAGGAGCAAAGCGGCCGTAGATATTGAACAGGGAATTGCGTCGCGTGCCCTTCGACTGTTGCTCCGGGGTTTCCTCGTTATCAGCTACCTCCGGCGAAGACAGATTCTCGGCGCCCGATGAGAAATCGACTTCCAGTTTCCGCGGCGTCGTGAACGCTGGTTGTCCGAATACGGACGATTGCGACGGGAGCGCTGATTGTTGCTGTTGCCGTTGCGGGGAGAAAAGGAAGGAGGACTGCGAGTTTGGAGGGCGGAGAGCTGGTATGGTTGGCTTTTCGGGAGAATCGAAGATTTGATGGGATCCTATAGGATGAAAAATGTGAGACAGTGTGCACAATGGGGGATAGAGGAAGACTCCTGGCTGACTGAACACATACGCTTCTTGTTGTCTTGCTGCTGTTTCCTGACTTGCGAGAAGGGAGAGGTAAAATCGACTGGGCCTGCGCTTCCACCGTGCCATTCGTAGTCCATCGGGATGACCCCTCCAGACTCAGTGCGTGATTCCATCATGGTGGACGCCCGGGTGGATCAAGTCTGGGGATTTGTGGTGAGGAGGGGAGCGGGATGGTGGAGCGGGAAGTTTTTTGTTTGGGTAAACAGACTCCCTCCGGAGCAACCTGGGCGGAGTGGCGGGATGGGGATGGCCGAGGCTGATGCGTTTGCCCCGGGCTGCGAGATGTACATTCATGGTATAGATGTTTGTATTTTGTTTCTGATTTATTGATTTTCTATCTATATTTTGAATGCTCTTCTATTTTTGATTTGATATAGCTAGAAACTGCGTGGTCGTATGGCTTGCAGCTCCATCTGTATGCTGCCGCATTTATGCAAGAAAGAAGCTGAAGCAAACCATAGCGAGGCATCTATAACGAATTCGATGATGCAATACACAAAAAGGATATTCATACATTCATACAAAGCGAAATGATGACAGCGTTATTATCAATCATAATGAAAGGGCGCCAGCACCCAAGATAAGCTGTATACTCCAACCACATGCAATACCACCCCCCATTAAACACACCAAGGACCTGCCTAAGCCCACCATTAAACACCGCTACTCATCCATCTGCCACTGATAATCCAACGCCTCAAACCGACTCTTCTTATTCCTCGCCGCAAACCACTCCTTCTCAAACCCAATCGACCGATCCACCCCATCCCACCGATGCCCCGGCCGAATCCCATACCGATTCGGCTGAAAAGCACCCTTATACAACGGCTTACCCGTCACACTCGCACCAGGACCCTTCTTCGCCGTCAAAAACTGCGCCGCAGGATCATTCCACCGCGCCACATCCTTCAACTCCTCATTCAACGCCTCATCCTCAATGCCCCTCGCAACAGGTATAGCCTTAATCTCTTCTAGCTCCTGCCTCCTGCTCTGACGCTGCTGGCGCTGGAAATCGCCCATGAGCGCTTCACGGGCAGCTTCCTCTTTAGCTTTCTTCTCGGCTTCCGCGCGGCGTGCTTCGGCGCGTTTCATTGCGACGTTGATTATTCGGCCCGAGGCGTCTCGGTAGATTGTTTCTTTGGATTTGGCGTCTGCGGCGGCGGGATCGCGGTAGAGTGCTTCTTCGGCCTTTTTGCGCCGTTCTTGCGCTTTTACCATCGCTGCTGTGTCGGCGGCTGTTTGGAGGCCAGCGCGGACACCGGATTCCATGCGTGGACCCTCGTCGTGGTCGCCGTTTTCGATCATCGGCGCGTCTTCGTCTTCGTCGGCTTGTCGGGCTGCCCGCTCGGCTGCTGCTGAGGCGAGGATTGCATCTGCGGCTTCTTGGTCGGAAGGCTGAGGGGCAGTTGTGGATCCGCCGAGGGTTTTCCAGCCGGATTTCTTGGTGCGGCGGAATTCAGCGCTTGTCATGGATGTGTCGATTGAGGGTTTGTATTCGTCATCTTCGAGGGGGCGGGCGTTGCCGAAGACTGGGGCGTCGTCGTCGGCGATGATTAGACCGTCGCCGGCGGTGTCGGTGGTTTTGGTCTTCTTGCGCTTCTTTTTGGGCCGGTCTGGGGCTGGATCTGCATTGAGGTAGTTCTTGGCGAGGTAGTCTGCTAGTGAGCCCGGCATGATGTGTGAAGGTGTCTGCGTGTGGGAGAGGTGTGGGTGTCGAGCTGCGGAGCTTGCTGGAAAGTTGATTTGAGTCGACTTATCGATAGCCGGAGGAATGTTTGCCCGAACTGTATCCAGCCTAGTCTGGTGTCTGTTCTGGAAGCATGTCGGTCCCTACGTTTCTCGCTCATTTGCGATCAGGTGAAGGGATCAGCTAGTGCTGGACTGGGACCAAGATGCCTCGCTCGGAAGAAGCTGAATGGTGGGCTAATGCCGTGTATGCCGCTATCCAAGAGATCCCCGCCGGCAAAGTCACTTCCTACGGACATATCGCCCTTCTTCTCGGCGAACGTATGTACCCACCAGGCCCACGCATGAACTAGTAGCTAATGGGTTGAACCACACCAGCCCAACGACCACGTCAAGTCGGGGTCTGCCTCAAGTCCCTGCCCAATGCAGATACCGGTGCCCATTTCAACTCCAGTAATGTTCCCTGGCAGCGAGTTATTAATGCTAAGGGGATGATATCTCATCGGTAGGTGCCCAATCTTGGATGGTCATTACGTATACAGGCTGCAACCGTGATTTGATGTCTTCTTTATTGTCGTGTTTGCATATTGCAGGTTGCTGATCGGTCTGTATAGAGGCCCTGGCAGCGCTGAGCGCCAAGCAGAAGCGCTCGGGCAAGAAGGGGTTGAGGTCACTAGGGATAGTATGGGGGAGATATACGTTGATTTCTCGCAGTATGGCTGGTTTCCAAGTAGGTTACCCAGTGAGGAAGAGGAGGAGAATGATGAACAGTTGTTCGTGCAGGATTCATAGATTCTCTCCCATTCGCAGCACTCATGAACAGAGCACCTTGATACCAATGAACCACGTACAAGCATCATCCACTTCAGTTCATTCGATGCCTTAAATTTTGTTTCTACTTGATCCTGTACATCGCAAGCTCTGTACGGAGTAGAGAAGTAAGTTTAATGAGTCCTAAAAAATGGAAATTTGCCCGAGATTGAAAGAGTACGCCCAAACGCTCAGGTCATACAGTCTTCGTATTTCTAACAACTCGATACGCAACGCAAGTCCCCGACAGCCACCCGAAGTGCGACCTATGACCACCCACCTCGAAGGTGAGGACCGGATGGCTGCAGGGTTTAGTGAACGCGAGACCCAGTAATTCGGAGGCTATCCACCCCACCAGGCACAGACACAATAAAAAAAGAAGAGAGCATCAAGCTGGAGCACGGATTTCTATGGGCGTAAAGTAGGCGAGGCGGACGAAAAGGGCTAGAGTGGATACTTGGCACGACATCTTCTCAATGACGGCCACATTCACAGAGTTGCGAAACCACAGATGAGTCGCCGGGGAAGATGATTTGGAAAAGGAGGAGACAAAACGAAAAGAAGCACATAGGCCGACCAGTTTGCATCCAAAACGGAACCCAAAAGAGAAAGGATCGTTAAGACTCGCATATCATCAATGTTGTTTGGAAGGTAGGTAAAGTAGGATAGGGTAGACAGGAAAGGTAGATAGGGGCATGAAGGGGAAAAAGAAGAAAAGGATCATCCAGCAAAGCAACTCCGACAGACCGTCCCGTCTAGGGTCCTAGCCCGTCAAAGATGAAAAGGGGGGAAAGGGGCAAAGGCGAAAAAAAAGTAGACAAGAAAGCCGAGGAGACCAAGAAAGGGGAAAAAAAACTCGCTGAGATACGACAAATCCTGTCACCCTTGTAGCACGGCTCTTCTAACGCCGCTTGACTTCGGATGCCCACCCGTCAATTCCTTCACCTCGTGTCCCAGGTGTAATACCCAGACTGACCCCCGCCATGCCCGGCGTATCCTGCATCCACTCGTGCGAGGCCATGCCACCGGCATTGGCACGCTTCTCCGGTGAGAGATCCAGCATGGGTAAGAGGAACTCGCTGATCCGCATGGCTTCCTCTACGCTGTAGTGATACTTCTCCCGAAGAACGTCGGGCAGAGCCCAGTGACGCAGACGGTGGATGTTGCGCAGCTCGCCCTTGCGGTTGAAGATCTCTTGCGACCATTTACCGGAGAGGCAGAGTGATTTGGGGAACTGTCCGAGCAGCTCGATAATCTGGGCGATATGATCGTCGTCTTTGCCATATTTAGTGCCGGACTGAGGGTCGAAGAGGTAGTCACCAGTGATGAGCTCGAAGACCTGGACTGTGTTAGAGGGGACAAATTCGACCAAGTCCTCGAATCGGAGCGATCTTACCATGCACGCCATACTCCACACGTCCGTGCTGGCGCCCCATTTGGCGCCAAGTATAACCTCCGGCGATCGGTATTGCCGCGTCTGGATGTCATTGGTGAAGTGGTGCCCAACCCAGCATGCGTTACCCAGGTCAGCAATCTTGACGGAAATAATGCTGGCGTCAATCTCCTCTTCGAGAGACTTTGTTGAGCTCTTATCGAGAGAGATACCGGACACTTCTCTCTCCAGGAGATCACTGCATGACATTATTAGCTTGGAGTACAGTGCGAATGGCGGGGGAAGGGTCGACCTACGCTGTCTTCTCTCGCGTCTTCTGCTGTTCATCTTCATCTTTGATGCCCAGAGCCTCCTTCATAGAGGTCTCGTTTGGTGCTAAAATCCAAATGATCAGCAAATAATTCAAAAAGAACACTCCTTCTTCAGGGTGGTCACTCACTCGAATCGTTCACCATCTGGCTCAAACTGCTGTGAGAATTGGAAGAGCTGTGTTTAAAGTCGAAGCTACTAAAGCTGGTGTTCAGCGGACTCGGCAATGGTTGACTGCCCGTAATAAGTGTGCGCCGGCGCCGCCGTCCATTCCGATTGTCCTCTTTCTTCTTCTCCTCGGCCTTCTTGGCCTCTTCTTGCTGCACATGGGCCTTGACAATCTGCTCCACGTCGCCAATCTCAATCAACACATTCTCCGGCTTGAGATCGGTATGGATGATACCACACTCCCGGTGTAGATAATCCAATCCCAGTAATACCTGCTTGGTAATCTGCTTAACCAATGGCATGGGGATACCTCGGTGGTTCCATCGCTTGATCAACCCCAACAAGTTCTCACCCAGGACCTCAAACACCATACATACGTGGACACCGTTGGGTCCCTTGTGTTCGAACGAATCCAGCAAGCTGACCACATGCTTGCGACCTGGGTGAGAAGGCTTGGCTTGGACGATCCGGTTGAGCAACTTGATCTCATCGATGGCGGTCTCGGTATAATGGGCAGCGGAGCGCACAACCTTCAGCGCAACGTGCTTGCCCGTGGTTGTGTCCCTCGACAGCCAGACGGTCGAGAAATGGCCCCACCCAAGCTTGCGCACCACGACGTAGCGGCCATTATTGTACGTTTCGCCCACGGCCACCGGGTGATACCCACCCTTGCAGTAGTCCTCGGAATCCTCCTCTTCGGCGGTGGTTTCAACCTCGTCGCCCGATGAGGTCGAAGGTGAGCGCGACCCTGCAGCCCCGGTTGTCTTGGAATTTGGCGCAGCGCCGCTTCTGTTGTCGGAGATGGGAAAAAAGCGATCAGTTTGAGGAAAAACAAAAACAAGCGGGAAGGGTGTCAAACGAAGTCGCGATCGAACATTTGGAGAAAATCGCCCAGATCGTAGATCGCGCCTAGCTAGATGGTGTAGAAAAAAGTAAAAAAAAAACGGCGACTCACGATTCTGTGGCTTCGCCCGCCTCGCCAGACTTGCCATCATTGGTGACGATGGGCTTTAAGTCAGTGCCCTTTCTCCTCTTCTTGCCGCCGTTGCCATTGGCAGTGGACGCAGCGACACTGGCCATTTGTTTACCCTTGTTCAACACGGCCTTTGTGAGATCAATGCCCTCCATGTTGTGGAGTTGGAAGGGAGGTGGAGGGCAGCTGAGAGAGAGAGAGAGAGAGAGGCGGGGCACCGGGATGCGAGGTGGTTGGCGGGAAAGGAAAAAGAGGGCGGTGCGCGGAGAGGAAGAGGGGGACTTCCAGTGGAGAGAGGGAGATGGATGAAAAAGAAGAGGATCAAGATCGCAGAGCAGTGGTAGAAAGAAAAGGAGTGAGGTGGAAGAAAGTGTTAACGTTTAGGTGTTGGGACCAAGACGAGAGAGAAGTTGGGTGAAGGAGAGATTCCGCAAGCAGCCAGTTGGTTGAAGGTTGGTGTATGCGACGGATGTGGCGAACGACGCTTTCGAGAGAAGCCGAGAGTATTCCTAACCGAGTAAAAGGGAAATAGAGAAGTAAACAGAGAGATGGGAATCAAGGATCATGGAGTAAAACGATGGATAATCCTATTATTCTTCAAGAGTGTCGAAAGACAGAACCATCAGGCTGGAGGGGGAATTATACCGAGATCGCGATGTGGTGCCCAGCGGGGAAAAGGTGGCTGGTGATGGCGCCAACCAGAAGGATTAAATGTGATGAGACTGGGAATTTACTGGAGATGTGATGACCCAAGAATACTCGATCATAAGTGTAAACATAGTTCTAGTATTCATGTAACTATTATCCCGAGACCCCTCTCCTCTCCACCGTCATCACTACTCTCTCTGGATCCTCCTGATGTCACCACCGATCCTCCCCGCCCCAAACTCTCCAAACTACAAAACTGTCAACATCCAACCAGAGCTCAACCTCCACTATCTCTCCTCCTCCCCCAGTCCCCCACCATGTCCAACCCTTATTATCGCCGTCCACTCCCAGACTATTTTATATCCTCCCCCTCTCGTCGCCCTCGTCTATCCACTCCATCAAATCCTCCTCCGTCTGCGTGGTCCTCCCCGGCTTCCACCTCCAAACGCGAACCCCATCCGCGTCGTCTGTATCTCCGACACCCACACCCTCGAGTGGCCCGAAGTACCAGATGGCGACCTCCTAATTCACGCCGGCGATCTCGCCAACGACGGCTCCGTGCGCGAAATTCAAGCTGCAGTAGACTGGCTGCGCTCGCTGCCCCATCCCCAAAAAGTCGTCATCTGCGGGAACCACGATAGCTACTTCGATGTCCGCTCGCGCTGTGAAGAGGACCGCGATGAGCAGTCCTCTGCCTCATCATTCGCCGCGGTCTCCGCGTCGACGGCGTCTATCCACTCCCTCGAGGAAATCACCGCGCCGTCGCGCATCGACTGGGGCGATATTCACTACCTCCAACATTCCGCCGTGACACTCTCCTTCCCTGCTTCCACAGACGCATCCTCCGTCTCATCGACAACTCCACTTACAAGCTCGCGCCCTCGAGAACTAACCATCTACGGCGCTCCCCAAATCCCAGCCCTAATGGCCTTAGGCCCCGAACACGCCTTCACATACCCTCCACACCACGACGCCTGGTCCCGCACCGTCCCCTTAGACACAGACATCCTCGTCACCCATACACCCCCACAAGCACACCTCGACATGTCCCCCCGTCTACTCAACGGGCTGTCCGAACCTCCTTGCCGAAGCCTGGCGCGTACGGCCTGCCCTCCACGTCTTCGGACACATCCACAACTCTGCCGGTCGCGAGCCCATCTTCTGGGACGAAGCGCAGCTCGCGTGGGAGCGGCTGTGTGCGTCTAGACGACCCCGTGCGAAGTATACGCGCTTCGTCTCGTTGGCGGGCTTTTTGCGGGATTTGTTTGATTTGTCCGGGTGGGCTGATGCGGCGCGGGTTGTGTTTTATGGGGTTATGGGGGTGGTGTGGTCGAGGGTTTGGGGTGGGGAGACGCATGGGGGTGGGTGGATGGTTAATGCGGCGTGTATGTATCGCAGTAGCGGCCGACTCGGGAATGCGCCACAGGTTATTGAACTTTGAGAGGGAGTTGATTATTTGTTTTATTTTGGTTGCATTAAGTGTTGTTTTGGTTGCAGCGTGCATAGCGAGTACTTTTATCTTCAATCTACTGCGGCATGATGGCCTGTTATTTGTGGGCATATTAGCCTGTGTCTATTTCGAGGTCTCTGCATTCACCGATCGGTCTATCTATACGAAGTAATCGGTAAACTTTCATTCTAGGTATTTTCTGAATAGTCCTCTTCGACATGTCACGTCATAGGCCGGTTCTGGTCCCAAGGAACACTAATCTACCATACCCGATACGGCAACATAGCTCTTCAAGATTAGCATCTACTTCTAGTTTAGTAGATATCTGCCTCTGGCTTAGTATATTTTGAAGAAGGAGATACCTAAAACTCTATTCCCAAAGGCAAGTTTCATTTACCATTCTCGCCTCTACATATTTCTCTCTTCCACCATTCTCCAATCTACACGAAAACTATTTCCCAACATGGAAACCGAATCAGAAAAACGCTGGAAAATTTCCTGCAAGAGGGTGGAATGGATCCTTAGATCCCTCACTCCTCTCAGGTCACATCAAGAATCCTGCTCAATCTTCTCAACAGTATTCTCCCCCCACATCTCCGACACAGAGCTCCTCGACCTGGGAATCCAACTTCACCATCTGGATATAGAAACCGGCAAAACCTCACCTCGCGCCATCCCCTACTTTCTCCCAAGAACCGATTTCCCCAATTTCTTCCCCGATACATCAAATGGCTGCAAGAAAAGTCTCATGCTTAATTCCGTTTGGAGAACAGCAGAACGAGAGGCAGCTGACCCGGAATCGAGCAACATGATTCACGACGGCAGATTTACGTTTCTCCCATTCACCCTGGAGCCGACGTACGAGATCTACTCGTTTGAAACGGGTCAGGATCTCCAAGGAGATTCTCGCCATCACTCTTCCACGATGTGTGTACATGGATGGGTTTGGGACCAGTAAGTTATCAAAAAAACACCTATGTCGTGGCTTGTGTGTCTATCGCGCTCTGTCTAACTACCCCATCCGCTTGTTAAGTGAAAGGGATGCCAAAATTGACGCTGCGACGTGGACGAGACGCTTCTGTCCTTCCAAAAATTGTCTCCACGAAATCGGATTCGCCGTGTTGAACGATGTGCCTATCCATCTACGATGCTACTCGAAGAAAAGACTTGCACTGGATTAACCCATTCTAAGACCAAGGAAGAGCCCTTCGCGGATAGTCAGTGCCACGCATGGGGTACAGCAAGTATCCATGAGTGCGGTACGGGTTCCCGGCCTTCGAGAGATGAGCTTGGGGCCTTGGTGTGTACTATGTTGGAAACTATGGTTTGCGAGAAGCCGTTCAGCGATGACGAGAGACCACGAAAGTACGACCGTGTTTTCCCGGTAAGATTCCTGGTCAACTAGCATCCGTACTTCCTTCATATAGTGCTGACATAGTCGGGCAGACACTGCTTGTGGTATTTGATAACTCAGGGCACACTCGCGTGCTGAGTGGATACTTTGATGGGAAACTCCACGTTCAGTTCTCTCGGATTTTGGATTTCTCGGAGTACGCCAAGGTACCGCCTAAGGGAACGCCATATCTTGAGAGTACCGATAAAGAGAAGTTTTACGAGATGATGAATTTGTTGCTGAAATGGGCTTGGCCACTTACATTTGGGATTACGAATAAGGAACAATATATTCCGGTGTTAGTGGGTCCTTGGCGGGATGATCATGAAGATACGATTACGTCGGATGAGAGAGACGATGAAAGCGATGAGGATAGTGATGAGGATAGTGATGAGGATAGTGATGAGGATAGTGATGAGGATAGTGATGAGGATAGTGATGAGGATAGTGATGAGGATAGTGATGAGGATAGTGATGAGGATAGCGACGAGGATAGCGACGAGGATAGCGATGAAGACAGTGATGAAGACAGCGATGAAGACAGCGATGAAGACAGCGATGCAGACAGTGATGAAGGCGACGAGGAAAGTGACGACAATGATTGGGTAAAGGTTTGAGTCGCAATCGAACAGATATCAAGCAACGTTGCGCCAATGACGAGGACAGGCTACAGAGAAAAGAATTTGGATGGGACGAACTCTGAGATACAAGAGATGGGGTCGTATTATCTTGCTCAACTGTTGTTATTGGAATACTTCGGAAGGAAAACTCGCGTCAAAGCGTGACGAATTCAATGTATAGCTTAGCTCAAAGTTCAGCAGTTTGACCCTGTTTAATACACATTACTACTAGTACTCTGAAACTACTTCGTCCGCTCTTCTCAGTCAAGCTACGGCGCATAACTCATCTATCCACGAGACACACTAGAGCACAGTTATAGAGTGCTAGGTCCACGGCCGACGGGAATGTCTAGATCATAGTCTGTCGTATTTCTATCGTGGCACTCAATGCCTAATATCAGACACGGGTATATACACATGCATCCCACAAGCGTGGGGATAAAATATTCAACACAAATGCTCAATAACACAAAGGAAACCCCTCAATAACGATCAAGCCAACTCTTTATAGCTTGGCCTTCTCATTGAACCGCGGTGCCTGGAGAGGGTCATACGCGCCCAGACCGAGCGTATCAGAAGGAATAGCACCGGCGTGTCCACCAAGCAGACCCCGCGTATCCAAGAAGCTGGGGTTGAGATCCTCGACACGAGTCGCGCCGATCAGACGCATGTTCATCTCCATCTCATCCTTGAGCAACTGCATAGCGCGGTTGACACCGTCAACACCGTACGCGGACATGGCGTACAAGAACGGACGACCGATACCAACACCCTTGGCGCCCAGGCAGAGCGCCTTCACGATATCCGTGGCGCGGCGTACACCGCCGTCAACGTAGACTTCAATACGCTTATCCCAGCCACGCTCGCGCAGAGCGGGCATAACCTCGGCAAGGACCTCGATACCGGAGCGGGCGGTCTCGAGTTGACGACCACCGTGGTTGGAGAGAACGACACCCTCGACGCCGGCCTCGACAGCGCGCAGGACGTCCTCGACACATTGAACACCCTTCAGCACGATGGGCATCTTCGTGATACTCCTGAACCAGGGGATATCCTTCCACGACAGCGCGGGGTCAATGAAGGAGGAGATAGCGCGGGCAGCGCCCTGGGAGCGATCAATTCCGTCATCACCGGACTGCACGTCAGAACCGGCGTCGCTGAACTTGGAACGCATATCCTTCTCGCGACGACCCAATTGCGGTGCGTCGACTGTGATGAAGAGGCCCTTGCAGCCGCGGGCTTCGGCGTGTTCGACGATCTTACGGGTAATCTCGCGGTCCTTGTTGACGTACAGCTGGAGCCATTGCACTTGGTCGCCCTGCTTGGCATCGATGATCTCGTCGAAGGAGCATGAGGCGAGGGTGGGAATCATCTGGATGACGTCGTGCTGGTGGGCGGCTTTGGTGAGCACGACCTCACCCTCGGGGTGGCCGAGCTTGCCGAGTGCGGTGGCGGTTACGTAGAAGGGGATGGAGCAGGGTGTGCCGAGCATGGTGGTGGTCATGTCGACGTGTTCGACGTCGACGAGGACGCGGGGGCGGAACCAGATCTTGTGGAAGGCGTGATGGTTTTCGCGCATTGTCTGGTGGGAAATAAGATTAGTATGGGGTTTATTTGTGTTCGCATATGAGAAAAGGTTGGGTTTGTAACGTACGATCTCATCGTCTGCTCCGCTGGAGTAGTACGCCCACGCCGTCTTCTTCATGACCTGTCGAGCGACGGCCTCAAAGTCCATCAGGTTGTAGCATGCGGCGAGCGGGGGCATTTGCTTGACGCGCTCCAGACGACCAGCCTCCTCAGGGTCAAACTCCTTCTCTTCTTGCTCCACAGTGCTCATGTCGACCTCACCGAGGTGCTTGGACTGGTCGAGGTACTTGTCCAGGGTGTCAGGAGGGTGGATAGGGTCGAACTCCTCGGTCGCATCCTTGCCTGCATACTTGAGAATGATCTTTTGACCGCCGGGGTGTTCTAGAATATCACAGTTAGACTATGCGACAGGCATTGATTCGAAAGTACCGACCTGGCAGGAACTCGGTGACATCGTAGGCTTTTCCGTGGACAATGACCCAGCACGAGTCCTTGGAGTTGTGCTCGGCGACTGCCGCGCCGGTCAATTTTTGGCTCATGTTGACTGCGGAATGTATGTGAAATGGACAGCGTCTAGTACTATCGCACGCAATTTGTATAGAACTTGCAATCAAGACAATGTGAGAAGTGTCGAAAGGGCAGGGATGTTGGAAGAAAAAAAGGTGAAGTTGAAGAGCTCGGGCTAATGGAGTCCGGGGGAGAGAAAGTTGCGGGGAGCTTCTCGGCCGACTCGGGTGGTTATGATTCGCCGCAAAATCTCCAGTGTACAAGATTTATTTGATCCCGGACTCGATCGAGAGGATCGGGCGATAAAATAACCGTGGCGCGGGATCTCTTGATCGGCCGAACGACCGCATTTCCTGCGGCATCTATAGGTCCTGAATAATCCTGTCTCTATCCTCTATACGAGAATGATCAGCATGCGACATGGGGTCCTGATGGAAGCCTGAGGCCAGCAACAGCCTCGGCACAATTGACAGCGGGTGGGCCACTCACAATCAATACATTACACCTTGAGGCCCGGGACTTGTTGCACCGAGCAGTTCGTGCTTTCGTCTTCGGATGCCGTTTTCAGGGGAATCCTTATCTATAGCGTCAACAGAAGTCTACAAATCACCAATAGTGCCCACATACCACTATTCAATTCTAATGTTCAACAAGTGCCGACCCGAAATTTGGCAGGCGGGAATCGACGGCCTGCCGAAAGGACACTCTCTGCCTGAGGCAACAATCGGAAACCCATCTCCTCCGTTATTTGTGCCTGAGGCAGCGAATTATTCGGACACCGAGAAAAGAGACGAATAGCAGTCTGGCACAGGACCTAGTATCCTCTCCAGGGAGAGTGACAAGAGCAAAGCTCAAAATGTGTGAGAAGAGTAAAACGTATATTTACAAACTTGTTTGCTTGAACCTTTCAATACGTAATAACAGGTTAGTAGTGGGAAAGGTGATGTCTTGCTGTTCGTTGTAACAAAGAAAATTTTGGACTTATAATCTAAGCTATAGCGCTAAATGTAGTCTACACACGTTCTTTCATTGATGGTCTAAAAAATTTTAAATGTAGAATACTTGAATATATTCCTAAGAATGCTATAGAATAAATCAGTGACCCTTTCTTCCTTCAGCCCGTAAGGGGTTTAGCGTATGTAGACTATTTCGCGCAAAATAAATTCCTGAAAAACTTTCCGGCAATCAGAATAGAGTTAGTTCTACGGGATCTGATTAGTCGCCCCGTGCATGCTCCCAGCCTCGGAATCTAGGCGCATTCCGTAAGCCTCCGGAGTTCTATGGAGAGAGAGAGAGAGAGCGAGAGGGTTCTTGTCACATTCCAGGCAACCTGTCTAAGTGCTTATTTATAATAACAAAACCTAAGGGGTCAATTAATGACCATGAGCGGACTTCTTATAACACCATCCACTAGGGTAGGACATAATTGATACCGTATGAGCAGTACGACAGGTTGACAACTAAATTTCTTTCATCTTAAGCCAACGCTTATTTAAAGATGCGCTTCGCTCTTCGTACCCTCTTATGCTGCGCTGCTGTTACTGCGCTCTCCGGAGAAGATGCTCTGAAAAGGTGGGGCGGCCCTAACGGTGAGGGTGAGGTTTCCCATGGGGGTAACAGTGTTGGAAATGGGAATAGCGGCGGGATTGACATTATCACCGGGGGTGGCGATATTGGGAAGATCGGGGTCGGGGTTGGGGGTGGGAGCGGGGGGAGTTGCGACCTGGCCACTTGTGACGCTTAGGTAGGCCACGGGAATGACCGAAGAGGTTGTATGAATACTGATATACTGATTACCACAGTGTCGAAAATCAGGGAATCAATCTGGATCCTGCGACAACGGTAGTGGATCTCCTAGTTTACTTGGACTTCTGCTTGGACAAAATACGCCGTGAGTCTCGATCTCTGATTCTCTAAAACTCCAAGACTGCAGAGCTGTTGAAAGCTAATATGAAATAGGGGTTGCATCTGTACACCAATGACAGGCTGTGATGCTTCTTCTATTTGTAATGGGCAATGTGTAGGATACCTAGAGACAACATATTTGAGGTAATAACAATAACTAAATAGTGCTCGACAGTGCGCGTCCGGTCTGACCTGTTGCAATGGAGTCTGTACCAACCTCCAGAACAGTCCTAGTAACTGTGGTACTTGTGGAAACAGTGTGAGTTGCTCCTAACCTTTATGCTTATAGATTTACCATTGTGGGGTTGTTCTTATAACTAATGTGATTAAATCCTGCGTCTCTATAGTGCCCGTCTGGATCGACTTGTTCATCAGGCTCCTGCATATGTACTGGATCAGGAAGCTTCACCACTGACTACTTCGCTGTAGAGTCTGCTTCATCTGGTGTTACAGTGGGTGACTTCAACGGAGATGGCCATCTGGATATCGTGACGTCGAATGCCGGCGATGGCACAGTGAGTGTCTTGCTCGGGACTGGATCAGGGAGCTTCCAGACACAGGTCGCTTTCGCTGTAGGGTCTGGTCCATCTGGTGTTGCAGTGGGTGACTTCAACGGAGATGGCCATCTGGATATCGTGACTTCGAATACCGGCGAGAATAACGTGAGCGTCTTACTTGGGACTTGTGTGGATTGACTAAACCAGGGTAACTAGTCAACCTGAAGAATCCATGTCCTTCAATAGCAGATCTATCTTATTTCATAAACAAGAGGTATACTCAGGGCCGCTCAGGATTAGCTTCTATCGTTCCCCTTGCGTAGTTTATTTGGTTGAAGATCGTTGAAGACGCGTTATACCGGCAGTTTCTAGATTATAGTAGCCCCTTGATCTTGGCTGTCATAATATTCAATGACTTCACAAAGTCTAGACCTTATGTAGGAAAATGCAGGTCTGGCTAAGACTTTTTTCAAATTTCAAAAAAAAATAAGCATAATAGAGCTGCTTTCGAGCGACCCTGTATAGGGAGCTGGCTACATAGCTATCGCGTGTTCTGTGTGATCTGGGTATTCTGGCTCGTAATCGATCTGTTCCTAGGGACTAATGTGACCTCCACAGGACCAACAGGATATTCCCTGGGTCGGCCTCAATCCATTCCCCTTGGCGCTGTAAAGGTTGCCTGATCGCCAAACTAAAAATACCCTCTCCTTCAACTCCTTCAACTGAGAAGCAGATAATTTCTTATAAAATACAAACGAGGCACTTTCCCTTGTCTATGGATTCGTTATTATTCTGCGGCAATAACGATAAGACTCTAAATTGGAAATAACCAGGGATCTATCACAACTAATTTTTATCCTTAGGATAAATCAGGAAATCCGACTGTAGTTAGTTAGGTCGACGCTGACTAACTAATCGCTCCTTCCTACTCTTTAGAGCAGTCGGAGACTCCACAGCGTACTATCGACAGTCCTAGATACTGCAGAGGGTCAGGCACATATTCTACACCCATCACCAATTTACAATACCGTATAAACTGCATTTTACGGTGGTCCTCAATTCACTGCGGGCAGATCAATGATTGATCTACGCTAAGGTCTTGGCAGTGGGGCCAAAAAAGAGTGATTGAGTGTGTATTGGTCAAGCCGATTTCGAGAACGACTGTACTAGTTATCTACCCAGTCTTCATCAATTCAACGGGCACAATTAACCCCACAAGACCCCATCGTCCTCAGCGACTGTCAAAACTCCAAAATCTTGGCTGACAGCCGCTAGTGTCGATCCCATGTTAAGCGTTGCGGCCTCAGTTGCCTCCAATCTAATGCTTGCCAGTCCAGCACTCACCAACAACAGCCGCTTCAAATCCGGACATCGGGATCTAACTGTATCTCTCCGGTCTACCTTCCACGCAATTCTTGAACGATGATGGGCTAGTTCCGTCGTTGCTGAACGCCCCTAGTGTCCCCGCCTCGATGAATAGGTGTTCGCAGCTGTTGATAGTGACGGGTTTCAATCACACAATTCGCCCTTCATTGCCCCCTGTGATAGTACGCTTAGTGACGGTCTTCATTGAAAATTCTCTAGTATCCTTAAGAAAGTCCCATTTGGTATAGCATGCTTTTGTTGATGCTGAGCCCACCCTTGAAGACACATTGGCAAATAAAAGCACCGTGGAGAATGGCGCTTCTCCCTGAAGCGATTTTTGCAGCTAAGTTGGCGTGCCCCATTTAGGGTCTGTATTGCATTACTAGCTGTTAGTGATTACTAACAGTGGATTACACTAGTATTTCAAGTATGGATATAGAATCGGACTAAATACTAGATAAATATCAACTTCCTCTGATGTACCGGCTCCTTTCTAATATTTTGTGAATTGTGTTTCTCGGTAGCTCATGTATCAAATGTTTTTCGATCAAAACCTTCTAGCCGTTATCCTCGTAGGGGAGTATACTTCTAGCGCTATAATAAAGGATCCATCAGAATTGAAAGAGGTAGACGTATTGACTATTTACAACAAAAAATATCGCCTTGCGCAAAAGGGCAGATATTCGTGATCCACGATATCTTTTACCAGGGCGAAGATGGTGCGTACAATGGCATCCCTATATTACTATATTATACAAGACTGGGGACTATTATAATTTTGACTGCGACTTAGGCTTCGCGGTCGGTTTGGACAGACAGGCATTAAGGTGCTCCTGCCAGCCCTTAGGGACCGAAGCTCGTGCTTCCGGCGTGTCGTCCAAACAGCCTTCAAGAATGCGCGCTTCATCCTCAGACCACCGACTGACCTCTTGCTTGAGCCAGCCCGCAGTCTCCTCGCAAACACGAGACACGTTCTCAAAGGGCAGTTGATGCCCCGTCTTGGGGATTGTAATCTCCTTCACCCGATTATTCTTCCAGCCACCACTGCCCCCAATGCCCGTCCCTGTCCGTGTCAACTTTTCTTCGCGAAGATCCGGTGTTGAGACAGGGCTGCGATCGCCAAAGAGATAAAGCACGGACGGGCGGACGTGTCGTAACAAGTTCCACATCAAAATCGGCTCGTAGCGATAGAAGGGATATGTGGCGTGGGCGGGACCTATAATGTCGGCGTGAAAGCAAGGATCGTGTTCGCTCAGGGTAGCAGGATCATTTTTCGAGCCCAATCGTTTCCGATTGTCAAAGTTAGGACGCAGGTAGTACATCACCTCTTGATCGCGGGAGGTTGTGAGAGTGACGGCATCCGAGTCGGGAAGGCTGCGCAGACCGTATTGCAGCCAGCGCTCGAGTACCCTGGGATCCCAGGTTTTGAACTGCTTCTTGAAATTAGAGGCCGCCTTTTCACGGGATTCCCATGTATCTTTCTTGTCTAGAGAGAGTTTGACGAAGATTGGGCCCTTTCCGGTATACATGTCCTTCTCGATGACCGGTTCAATGAGCACCAGAGAGGTTAGCAAGCGTGGGTGCAGCATTGAAAGAAGTACCCTGGACGAAATATTGTTAGCCGGTCGTTTTCTTTTGATTTGATACTCGGACAGTACTGTGACTTACAGTTGGCCTGCCCCAAGACTATGTCCAACCCCAACAATCGGGCGCGGCATGTCCCTCTTGAAATGGTTGATCATGTAAAGGAGGTCGCGGGCATGATCAAACCACGATGCTAGTTACCTTACTTAGTTAACTAGAACACTCATTTGGCGAAGACGGATGAATACTAACGGTCGTTTCCCAGGAAATCCCCGTTCAAGACCCCGCTTGCTGCTTGGTTTGCAATATCTGCTATCCAAATTGACCGGACGCGTATTCCCTTGTCATTTAGTTGCGACAAGACCCCTTCCCAGATCGGTTCGTAGAGTTCCTTTTCTCTTTGTGTGAGTAGCCGTTGTACCAAATTGAAATATGAGGACTACTCACCTTGGGAAATCCACTTCCATGGGCTCCGATGATGGTCAGGTCACCTGGCTGGGGATCAGGATTCGATTTTGGGGTGTATTGCTTGACAACTAGCTTCAGAGCATCGTCGCCCGTTCTCGTTGCCCGGGGATATTCTCGGACATGCTGCGAGTCAATCACATGCTCGGTGATGAGAAATGGTGATGACGATGCCATAGTAAATGCAGTGCCACAGAGAGATAAACTGTAAGAACCTAGTCCCAGTGCCGGTCAATCCGAGTCCGGGGCTGTCATCATATATGTACGGGACCTGCGTATCCTTAGCTCGGCGGGTCGAGGCAGGGACAGACCGTCTATCTACACGCTAGACGAACTACGATCAACCGTACAGTAGAGGTGGCCCCGCCGATGTGGAGAGCTGAGAAAATCCCCACCGGTTTTTTTTCATTATCGCTTCCTGCTACGTCGGTTGTTTGGCTCCGAATTCTTGTAAAGTCGGGCATGCTCCCAGTTTCAGTTTTCTTGTCGGCGACCCCGAAGCGATGTCATGCTGTCTCTAGTCTTGATTCAAAGATGGAGAAAAAAAATACTATACAAAACATAGTAGCCGAGTGGCTGAGATGTCAAGGCGTTCGGCAATTCATATTTCATCGCATTCGTCAAATAGGTCCAGATAACTAGCGTGTGGGCTCCCTGTCAGAAATCTTTTACCGATAAGCCACGCGGTACAAGCTTGGGCGCAAACACTTCCGGAGCTTGCCGTTCGTTGGTCTAAACTTTACTCCTAGCCAGCCACAACAGCTGTAGCGCCGACATGGCATCAACCACAATTTGGCATGGCCACTAATAAAAGGCAAAAGTCATTCGGAGAAAAGAAAGTAAACAAAACAGAGCCAGGATAAGATCGCAGCCGTGAGCCTTATCCGTATCATTGAGCCGAGCCCTAATTCAAGCCTTTCTGGCAGGCTACCAAACACCTATCGACTTGCCGGACCCACACTAGCATGCTCCGAACCCGCCGAACCGAATGTGGCTCCTTACTATTTGACGCTTGCTGTTTGTGGCGTATTAGCTACGCACTAGGTACCCAAGTAGTCGGAACGAACGATTCTGGAAGCCATGAATCTAAGCGGCCTAAACTTCCAATCACTACACGGGATAGAAATGTGAACAAAATGAGACAACCTCTGTTTCCGGTGTTGTGTACAATTGTGCATTGCTAAAGGACGAAAGCCTCCTACAATAATACCGACGGACGATCATCCTGGGCGACCCCATCCAGACAGAAAGCAGAAACTTTTGTGTAAATAATACTGAGTTCCGTGCTTTGGAGGAAGCAATCTCGATACACTACATAGTCCGCAATATCAAATATTTAGCGTTAACTATTCCTTAATCTTATCACCTAACACAATTCCCAGTGCAACTGTCAATTTCCGTGTTGTAAATTATATCAAGCGAGAAAATCAAGTACTACGGCTTAGTGTGCGTACGTAGATTGTAGGTACATAGATTGTAGCCTGATTCAGAAGCGTGCCTATTCGGGTTTAGCACCGCTAGCTAACCTCTCGTCCTAGTACATGTTTCTATACATACCCCTTTATCGCTGCATTAACATTTCATGATTTTTTCACCCTTTGTGCTCTTTCTTTCTCCCTATCTCGCACGCGTGCCCGGCTAGCGAGGCACTTTTGCGACTAACCCGGATCACCGAAACTTATGCAAGTTCATAGGAGGTACCTGTGTCAGGACAGCTCGGTCGATTTCTACTGAAAACCATTATATAGAAATGGTATCCCATATCATGCCTACAGTCCCAGCCTGGCCATCCACCAAGTCCGAGACGCTCCTGAGCTATCGCTATGCGAATCTCCCTCAATTGAGACCGAACACATGCACAGATTTGAGCTCGTAAGCCATACTAAGAAAGGAAAGTAAAGATTCTCCTGCTGGGCTGTGAAGAAGGACTTCCTTCTGGCCGACTCTGTGTGGTGCCTGTACTGATCACCGTATGCCTGGTTTGCGGCACTTCGCAGAAGGCCAACTGCGGATTCGAATTCCTGGAGGGCCTCGAAGTATTCCAGGCCCTACCCAGCATGTCAGCAATGAATCTGTCTCCAATGGGCGTTCGGCTACAGCACGGTGCGATGAAGGGACAACTGACATTGTCATTGGCCCAGTTCGCGAAACTTGTATCTTGGCCTACTTTATGGCTCTGCTTGTCTATCTCGTTTTACTTGACGGCCTTGGTGTGCTCCGCTGTGAGTTTCTCGGAGGCGGCGGTAAAGGTCGCTTTTGCTTGCTGAAACATCGCCTCCATTCCCGGGTTGCTGGCATGCAGCCCGTCCACCTTGGTAGCATAGGCCCATAGGCTGGTGTCGATCGGGACTTCGGTGGGAGCCTGTGCGCTCATGGCTGCTTGCGAGAGATTGATAGCTAGGGGTAAGAATAAAATAAAGGAAATCGATTTGTGTAAGTGATTTGCTGTTAAGACGAAAGGGAAGTAGTCGGAGGGAGTAGGAACTGGTATTTATGTCGACGACGGTAGCCGTGATCAATAGACATGTTCACCCGCTGAGGGGCAGAAAGAAGGCTTTCGACATGATAGCTGAATATCTGCAGCTGTGGGATCTAACCGCACTAGTAACCCCACTTAGAGTACGCCTTCTATGCTTATTTTAGTTAAAGATCGGCTTGCCGCCGAGCTAAAGTGACGCATCCGAGATTCACTTCTGCATCAGCCTAGGTGTCCACGTTCCTACGCCGTCAGGTGAAGGACAAGTCTCAGCTGTCGGATCCTTCACTATCCTGAGCCACGCTCAGATATACAGTCGGGCTCCCTGACGGGGCAATGAGCTGAGAGCAGCCAAGACCTTGCAGCAGGTCGAATCATCCAACTGGCTCTGTCGGAGGAGAGTGGGGGGTTACAGAACTGCGCACCCAAGTCATGGTTAGATTGATCGCAATCATATGTCTACATTCGTCTTCAAACGTGTCTTGACTGCACGAATTAGAAGTCCAGGCTAGTATCTTCTGTGGGCGTGTACGTAATTTCTGCAGAGGGGTAGGAATGAGTCGATAGAGCGTCTTTATTGGAAGATGATTTGATTGCCACCGCGAGTGGTGTGTGAGGGTGCTTGGTTGCGGATGTTCTCACTATCTATCCCATATCGGTTGATGATGGAGAGAATATCGGGAGAATCGGTGTAGGAGCCGTGATTACAGTACTCTCTCAGATAATTGCTCAAGTGGGTTGTTCAAGCTATGCAATTTTCCCTCGTACTCGCGACCACAACAGAGACTTCGCAAGTATACCATGAATGGTTATCCTGTGATGATACAATTCGAGTGTATTTGTTTTGTATAATTGCATTTGGTATGATGGGAATTGCCTGCTCGAATTCTCGCCTTCCAGAGCAAGTTCTAAAGGCTCCACTCACACAAGCTTAAATGATGTAATGTAGATATCACGGAGACAACATTAAATCGAGATGAGTTCGCCAGGTCATGTTTTGACCGTGAAAATAGTATCTTCTGACTTCTCCCGAAGCACCCAAATACCCTTAATTGCCCAAATACCCTTAATTGCATTGGAATCACGGACGATTGCATTCATTTCTCCTTTATGCAACTCGGCAACCTCCCAACCTAGTACACATATTCTGCTTCTGAAAAGGCCCATGTGCCACAACGAATCTGAGTATCATTAAATATCTTTTGCTATTCATGTTCTACGTCCCCGAGATGAACCTTCCCACCAATCCTAACAAGTACGCTCATTCGTTAACATATTACCACATCGAAGGGTCTCCGCCTAATCTGTAAATGAAAATCGCAAAATTGTCAATCAGTCGCCAATTTTGAAAATAGAAACTTGTCCTGATGCATGTCCCAATGCAAGAATATTGTCTTTGACTGCCGAACAGGAGGGCCGAGATTCAGGAGGTAGCCATAGTGCCTTGCCACTGTGTGAGTTGAGCCACCGGTCTTCCGCCAGGAATATATTCGTCATTGGCCTCCTACTCAAGGGGAGACTTTCTGGCGACAATCCGATTTCAACATATCCCAGATTAGTACAGAGGTATGAACCATCTGCAGAGAATTCCAGGTCTGTAACCCTTCCGTTGACCTGTAAGCTCTTTTGCAGAATTCCCGTGGCCACATCCCAGAGTCCCAGCATGTCACCATTGAAAGCGGACGCTATAATCTCTCCGTTAGGGGAGAAGGCTACCGCGTGGCCATCAAGGCTGTGCAGAAATGTGCCTGTGAGGGTATTCCATAGCATAACCCCGCTATTGGACGAGGCAAACACCAAGACTCGACCATCAGGTGAGAAGGTCAATGAATCCAGCGCAGTAAAGTTTTCCCGAAAGGTGTGCTGCAGGACACCTGTGAACGGGTTCCAAAGCCGGATTGTCTTATCGTAAGAACCGGACGCTAGGAGCTGACCGTCAGGTGAAAAAACTACCGACTCTACCGACCATGTATGACCGGTGAGAGTCTGCTGCAGATTGCCTTTCATTGTATCCCAGATCAGGATATTCCCAATACAGCCGGAGGCAAGAAAACGGCTGCTAGGTGAAAACGCGACCGAGTATACGTCTCGTGAAGACCCGTCTGATCCTAAACCATCAAACTCACGCCGGAGGGCTCCTGTGGCTGTATCCCAGATCTGGACTGTTCCAGATGACCCTGCCGACCCTGTCGATAGGAGCTGACCATCGGGAGAGAATATCACCGTCCGGATGACATTTGAACGGCTCTTGAGAGTATACTTTAGGGCACCCGTGGCCGCATCCCAGAGACAGACAGTCCCGCAGTTAGTCTTAGACAATAGTAGCTGGCCGTTAGGCGAGAATATAACAGATTGTACTGGTTTTGGACGGCCCTCGAGCGTCGGCTGTACGTCGCTTACGGCCACATCCCACAGCCGGACGGTCTTATCGTAAGATGCGGACGCCAGCAATCCACCATCAGGTGAGAAGGCCACTGATGCGACCGAACCTATATGACCCTTGAAAGTCTTCTTCAGGGTTCCCGTAGTAACGGCCCAAAGCCGGACGGTCTGATCAGTATGGGCGGACGCTAGTAATCGACCATCGGGTGAAAAGGCCACCGAGTAAACAGTCCCTGAATCGCAATCAATGACTCGGTGCAGAGTCCCTGTGGCCACGTCCCAAAGCTTCAGGGGCTCATCGGGAAGGCCGCGTAAACCGTTGGAGCCGGAAGCTAGTAATCGACCGTTGGGTGAAAAGGCTACCGACTCCACAAAAGTTCTACCCCCTTCGAGAGTCCGCCGCAAGTTACCCGTAGCCGCGTCCAAGAGCTGGATGGTACAAGTAGAGGCAACCGCTAGGAGCAGGCCATCGGGTGAGAAGGCCAACGAGTTGACTGGACCTTCATAGTTCCGGAGAGTCTGCCTCAGGGCGCCAGTAGCCGTATCCCAGAGCCGAACCGAGTTATCAATCTTCTCGAATCGCTCGCCTGATCCAGATGCGAGGAGCCGGCCATCAGGCGAGAATGATAATGCGTTCACCGAATTTTGATGGCCCTTTAGGGTCCGCTGCAGTGCCCTCGTCGCCACATCCCAGAGCTGAACAGTTTTGTCACACACCGAAGCCAGGAGCTGACCACCGGGCGAAAAAGCTACCGAACAAAGCCTATTTGAGTGACTCTCAAATCTCTGTGGTTGCAAGGCACCCGTGGACGTGTCCCAAACCAGGAAGGCCCGATCAGAAGGTTGGAGATGATCTCGTGAACCGGATGCCAGTAACTGGCCGTCGGGCGAGAAGGCCAACGACGTAACTATATCGGAATGGCCTTCAAGGGCCTGCAGCTCTGCGCTCCAATCTCTTGGGGTATTTGAAAGCCTGCGTATCCAGTTTGGAAGCTCTCCTTGGAATTGCTTGCGAACTATCGACATTTCAGGTGCAAAGAAGATACACGAGGTATAAATTTGAAGGGGGAAATCATCTGCTATTTGTCCGTACTTGAGAACAAACCGCTTTGCATCGTGCAAAAACCTTGATATGTCATTCCCCCTGTCAACCTATACAGATTAGCTTTAGTAACAAAGACACTTCATAGATACTTACATGTAATACCGACTGCAGTAGGGTAATAATTTTCGCAACTTCAAAGGCGAGGCCTAGAATGCTCATTGCTTCCATCCAGTGCAGGAAGTGCTTCTTAAGAAAGAAAAGCGCATTGGCCATTTCCGAGATAGATTCATTGCCTTGTATTAGATGACGAGCCCAATATCGACAAGCGTACTGCATTTCTTGAGAGAAATCGTGGTCGATTTTCCACCGATCAATGCGCGCGCGTTCTGTATTGTCGCTCAGTCCGCACATATTGCTTTTCAGACTATCACCGATGTTGAGACATCTTGCAGCCAAATTCCGGTGGGCCTGTTTCTTATCCACCCATAAAGGGGGCTCATGACGAGTAGCTGGATCGAGAAGATAGTCTCGAAATGATCGATCACAAAGCTGCACCGGCTCAGTCAGATCGCTGGGTATAGCGAGAACCGGCCGTAGTGACCTAATTCTCCGGACTATTGTTTCTTCGCTGAAGCCAAGAAGCTTAGAAAGTGAAGTAACCGATAGAGGGCTCTCAAGCACCAAAATTGCACCGATGATTTCCTGGTGCTCAAGAAGCAGCAACCTTTCCTTGGGGTTGGGCTGTAAACTGAGATTTTGACTCAATCTCCCAAGACCTGTCATATTGGCTTCGGCTTGATCATTCCAACCCATCAGATCACCTTGTGGCATCGAAAGTTGTCTGCTGTAGGCCGGTGGCGGAGAGGTGACGGAAATGGCTATAGCTGCTTCATAGGTAGGGGGATGCTCGCTGTCCTCTTGTTGAAGGGCACTAATAGTATCATAGGTGGCAGCAGTCGAATCTTGGTCTAGCACCGGGGGCAGCCATCGGGTGGGATAGTACTGCCACCAAGGGAGAACTAGTCCCCATCGGTACCTAAGCTGTTCCATCTTGAGTTGCCAGTTAGAGCATTGTGAAGAGCTCTTGAGGGCAAGTATATCTTCAGCAGGCAGCGATTGCAATGCGTTATAAAGCTCCTTGCACCGTCTCTGGGACCTCCACGGGGTAATGTTCAAGGTCAGGAGATGATCAAGGCTGGTGAACCCGAGACCGAGACTGACGAAAAGGATAGCCTTCTGAAAGACCAGGTTTAAATGGGAGCCTAGAAAAATTGCCAAATAGTCCGGGCAGCTCATTTGCACCGCAGCCAGCTGGCACGCCGTTAAGATCCCAGACAGGATGTACCTGGGGAAGCAGTAGAAGAACGGGTGAGAGGGGGGCAGGGACTCCGTATTCGCCAATTTAAGAGCCTCTCTCAATACCCTCCACCACTGAGTGCAGCGGCGGCGAGATGTCGAAGTGCCGTGTCCTCGCTGAATGATCCGACGGACGATGAGTTTCAGAGCGAATTCCTTGTCTCTGCGACTAAAGTTGTCTTCCGCATACTCTCCCACCGCCGTCACATATTTTCGCAGCCCCTGATCTCCCCGCTGCTGATCCAGAATGCTGTCCATGGCTTTTTGAATCTCAATTTCAAGCTGTTCATTTCTCCATTTCTCTGTAGTCCGCTCATCGCTATCTGGCGGATCCTGCAGTTGCTGCTGCTGACGCTGACGTCGACACTGCTCCCTCCATTGATCAAGCGCCTCACTCTGAGCCTGAAAGACGGTAGAAACCCAAAGAGCAATCTTCCTCCCGTTCTTCCCTTCCTGTCCTGGTTCTTCTGGCCATACGTCACGACCGGTAAGCACGATCCTGAAGAGCCTCTGGTACGTTCCCCCTCTCGTAGTTCCCGGGCTCCAAGAGCAAACGTGGCGCGGCCATAATGTGAGATAGCCAAGTGCTTTCCATCGCTCTTAAGCAGTCAGTTTTAACCTCCCATTTAACTTCTCTGGGTCTCAAGGCACGTGTAGCTGTGGTAGAATGTGGGTTGAGCAACTTGGCCGCCTCGCCAGCCTCATGGTCATGCTTGCCAGACATTTTTTTTCTTTTGTGATTGTCGTGTTTATCGCGTGCGAGAAGAATATCGTCGGCTGCGCGCTCATATTAAAGGGGGGAGTGTACTGTGCCGCAAGGATACCAGGCAGCCTTGTGAGGCTCACGGCCCGAAGTTGATACGAGATGGGCGTCGATCGCTCCAATACCAGGCCAGGGCGGCTGCACCCAAACCGCTTATGTAGATATCAGCTGACCCTTGGATCGAGTGAAGAGGCCGAGTTCGGTCGGACGAAGACAGGATTTCATTGTTGAGTATTGGAACCTGTTTCTTCGGAAATCAACCTATAGCCTCTTGCACTTGATTCTGTTAGTCCTGTCTTGGCGATAAACCCGCCATACACATTTCTCAACCCTGGAGCCCGAAGAACCCGGGCTTTCTGGGCGAGATACAATACAGAGAGGTGATATAGAACATTAAGTCTTTTTCTATGATTCGTTAGCTATGAAGCGAGGAAATGTTGAAGGTGTTTCAGTACCAGGAGGGAGGGGTAGGCCAGCAAGGCGGTGCGAAACCTCCACAGGGTCGGGAGGATATGCGATAACCACTTCTCGGATTCATTATAAATTGCCCCTCTTTGTATGGGGAATAAAACCCACCAGGTTTCATTTTGGGATTGCAGAAAATACACTTTTTTTTCATTGGATCATGAAGGAAAAAGACGAAAAAACAAATGACCAGACTGGGGTTCGATCCCAGGACCTTATCGGTGTTAACGATACGTGATAACCAACTACACCATCCGGCCAGTTATAGATACTGGACTATCGTTTGAATGTATTGAGAAGGACCTGAATAAGAGATATCCACAAGAGAGTACGTTTGCTATTTGCAGCTTGCTTTCTTCAGCCCGGGGGATACTTCTCAATTCAAATTTGCATAATTCGTGATTGCTTTCTAGCTCCCTAACTTCTCTCTTTAGTCAATTAGCGCCTCAAGCTGCCTCAAGCTCGCTCAATTCCTCTACTACTCCTACGAGAGGTTAAGAGTGCTTTAACAACGATGAGTCTGTTAGCCTTAATCTATATAGAGAGAGCGGTCAGACAACTTTCAGTGATCACAACATGGAGGGATTCTATCTTCTTCCATGGAACGTCGTGCCTATAGATCTTCTAGCCACCACCCACACTCTAACAACAACCTTTGACTTATAAAACTATGGAAAATTTCTTACCTACAAGAAGAACTACAGATCGACCATAAAGGACCACTATTTACTAATCTTCATTTACCCTATAAGCCTATTACTACAATGTCGCTAGATAATCTCTTTCATATTCTCCTATTGTCTAGGATATAGCGACTTCACAATTATCTTATAAAGTCTATCCCTGTTGGAAGACATGATCTCTTTACTAATTTTGAGCTACCAAAATTAATAGAGTAGGAAAAGATATTATCTCCAGAGAAATCGACCCTATCTCCTCTTTATGAAGAGTATCCAGTGCTAGGGCCGCTAAAAGTCGATCCTAAACGGATTAAGATAAGGTCTCGGTCATGAATTTCTCAATATTGAAGATATTAATCCCTTATAGGTATAAGGCCATCTTTTCGGAGGAGATTATGCTCTAGAAAGACCGCGCTCTCAATAACAAGGCTTCGAGAGATATACGGGTGTAAGGATAACTACTTGTAGGGTAGAACACGTGTTGGTCAGGTAAGGTTGAAAGCACCAGGTCAGATTGTAATAAGACTGTTTCTTAAGGGGTTCGAAACCTACTCCTTATAGTCTTGATTTATATATTGTCTTCTTATGAAAATTAAGAGAGGATAGGACGCCCGGGCTAAGGTTTATGTAACCTAGGTAACGTAGGTAATCTATAGGTTACCCCCCTCTTTCCACGAAATGTAGAATGAGAGCAACCGATAAGAGGAGACTAAAATTTTTTCACATCCCTTGAGCCCATCTGTTTCCACTTACATACATCCCAGAAATTAAAATAATTCACGCATGCTTGATTTCACATGTCAGCACAGCCTTTCCACCAGGATTGGCAACCATAGTACTATCAGTAGTCTGCCCCAAAAAGGTGTTACAATGGAAGCCCGAGGCATGAGTGGCCGTAGTAGGTTCCAGATCATCGGGGACATCGAAATTGCAAATTAATTTGGTGTTCCCTGATGAGGTGACGACAGAATGGCCATTTTCAGTGGAGAGGCCTGGGCCAATACCACCATTCAGCGTGGGAACAAAACCAAAGCAGATGAAGTCTTTTGTAATTGATGCTGCATTGCTAGAAGGCTGGGCTAGGATGCCTAGAGGAATGGAGATCAAGGTAATGGTAGCGAAAATCTTCATGTTGAGAGCCTTGTCAAGCTCTGGGGGAAGCATAAGGTGGTGTTTGTGGTTAAAAGGTTGGTGGAGAGGAATTGACTCGAGGGTAGATAGGCACCGAGGTTGTTGAATAAAGGTTAAGATGAAGAATTATAAAGAACTAGATGAATAGGATCGATTCAAGCTCCGATTCCTGAGGAACTAGCTCGGGTGAATCAGGCCTTTTATAACTAAAATTTCTCTAGATCCATACACACTTGTATACAATCTCGGGCTGCTGGTGGACCTCATTAGTATGCACATAATAGATCTAGGTGAGTCCATTTCATCCGATAGCATGAAGTATGGAGCCTCCTATTGGCAGCTTCATGATCATGATATCGTCACTCTAATAATTGGATATTAGATCATGCGTCATGTAAACCTTATCAGGTATTAAGGTTTATTAAAGATGGTTCTTACCGTTATTTTGGTAGTTGCAATCACGTGCTTCCTAATTAGCGTTTTCTTTTCGCATCATTCGTGGGATCTGGCCACTATCGGTCTGGTCGCTGCACAATTCGAGTGCCTAGATTTGGCACCTGTGTGTGACCCTTACACTTCATCACTCTTAACATGACAGAGATAAAGATAAAGATCCTGCACTTGGGGAATTTCTTCCGAGTCTAGATTCAGTCAATGTACAGATATGTGGTAATTGAATATGTCATCTATCTCATTCGAATCTCGTGCTCCTTAATCAATAATCTTTAAGCGAGTTATGCACTGGCGAAGTCCAACCTATTGTTCATTACTTTGGCTTCCAGCTTTTCGATGTTCAAACACGCAGTGAGTATCTGTCGGGCCGATATAAACCAGACAGAGTCAAGTCAGCTTACATTACTAAAACAGAAAAGGGTTGATACCCCTCTGCTACCGCCTTCCTGAAGCAGCCTTACCGCCCAGTACCTTCAGTCTTTGATTAGCGGGGGCTCAGCTGGCAGAAACACCACTGGATTCTCTTGTAAACTAGATACATGCTGTAGATCGGACACCTCGGTACCCCACCTCCCGAACATCTTCCTGAGGGAGGGCATATATTGACGGTCAATCACGGATGTTCAACCCAAGATCTATTTTACTTACATTCTCTCCTAACGTAATTCACGGCTGAGAGAGTCACCTATCTCGACGCTCAAATTACGCTGCATTTTATGGTAAAATATCGAGATAACAGTTGTCGTGGAAAAGTGGAGAGGTTAATTACAGTGACATGGGATTGATCCATATCCAGCTCAGGTTTCCGATGTGTTTGTATGTAATATGCGGGTAGCATTTCGACATTTGTATTGTCACATGAATACTCTGATCTTCAATCAATCAATCTTTCTTCTGATGATTCCGGTAGTTCTCATTCGGTCATATGTATACTAGTCTATACTAATTCAGCTCGCTTTGACAACAATTTAATGGCTTAATCTAGATATGCTACTACCGTACTTAGAAATGCATATACTGAAGTAATAAAAGAAATAAACATCCAGTGGTTAGAATATAGACGAATGAAATATGGTATATAATATGGTGTTCCTTAGGTGAGTATCGACCGTGTAACCCGCTTCGCCGTGGAGTACGTCACATATCTTCTATTTGAGTCATAATATCATTTGAACGCGAATTTAACCTGCCGTTTGCTGTCATTACTGAAAGGAACGCTCGATCCTAAGCTTCCCTCCGAGATCAACCTTTAGATCCACGGCTTTGGCTCTGTATATCGTTAGAAAAGTAGAACCTCGTGGACTTTTTGACCTCAGTGCCATTGATAGATGACTACAGGACAGATTACTAGGCCCCACGTGGATTTCTGGTCAGGCACTTGACCCATTCTACTTGTCCTCTCTTTAAATAAAAGACACACGACGAATTCTACCACTTGACCAATGATGCTGGAGCCGAAACCATAACAAAGCAAGCCTTATTAATGGAGACGTCTCTCAAATAGCGGAGATCAACGCAATCACCACCAAGCCATTCAGTCCTCTGTCTGCCAGTCGTTCATCACTCAAGAGAACAAACAAACGGCCCCTACTCAGCTCCAATTTGCATGACACCATTGCTGCCCTAGGACATTTTGCTTCACTGGCTCATGTTGGCTGTTGGTCCGGGTTGCTGTCCACATATGTATCCGATAAGCCATCAGTTTCAAGAAGTGCGTTATCAATTCCTCGTCTTCATAATATTGGAGTTGTGTTCGTTCAGCAGGCTGTGGCCACCCTATATCTCCCGTGATCGTAGGGGAATAGTCCCCGGTGACTTTGAAGGCATAGTCCATCGCAGGAAATGAAGAAAGCTTTCCCGTTGTGAAGCTCCCCCAAACCCGCCAAACATGGACTCCCCACAAGATTACAAGGGCAACACCTTCCAAGAACAAATAACTTATAAATGTTGCATTGTTAACAGTTATCTTGAAGGAAGTTGTATCCAGTGAGGCTTTCGTGTGGAATTTGGGTGGAAAATTATTAAGGCTTGGATTCACTATACCATTCTCGCTGAACCCCACTATCAAAAATGCGGACATGCTCTTTAATGCCTCGTTAGCTTTAATAGCCCAGTCAGTGGTGCTTAGAGGCTAAGCATCCCAGTACATCTAATTAAGTGAGGTGATGTTTGGTAGGCCAGCAGCGGTAAAATTGAGTAGCCAATCAAACCCCGTGAACAGCACATCGATGCCGACAGATTCTGTTGTGTAGTTTGCGAGGCTAGAGACCGAGATGATGGTTTCTGATGACTCGACCCTGTTGACCTCGACTACTCGGTCGTTTGGTCATGCGTCCTCCCGTTTACACCTGCATAGATTGCTCTGCAGGTTTGATGGTTCTTTCCAGGACCGACGCTGTTCTTTGTCTTGTAGACCTATTTAGGTCTTTCTCTTCTTCTTTTCCTTCTTCTTCTCTAGATCATCTTCATCATAGTCTAGGTAGACATTGATTCAGATCCCCCTTCTTTTCTGCTTCCTCCGCGTAGGTGTCGATGACACCATCAGTTTCATTTCCTTTCACGCTGGAAGAGTTGGCTACTAGTGTAAACACTGAGTCGTACCCACAGTATAAAGCTGGCTTGGATTAGAGAAAACGTATTTTCCATTCAGATTGCCTAAATCGCAGCGCGTAATACCTTCTTGAAGTATCAGTATATAATGGAAGTGCCTTTGGGAGAAAAGCTCATACTTGCAATAACTGACTCATTCGAAGCGTTACTTTTTGCTAAGCAAACCCAAACACCCAGATGACTCGATTTCAGCGTATGGCTAAGCCTCTCCCCATACATCCGGCAGTCTGAAGATTGAAGCCGATAATGTGGTGCCCAGCCTCTTTTGAATTCCATCTGGATCGTAGGGGCATCATAAATAGTGACCCGAGAACTATCGGGACAATCCATAGACGTATTCATTGATGCCGGCGTCCCAGGAAAGATGTACGAATCACAACGGTCAAAGCAGGACAGGGGCGGGGCAGTAGCCGCGTATGCACGGTTAGTGACCAAGTCATAAGAATATGCCAAGGCGGAATGTGGAACATGGTGGCTTGTATTGTTACTTAATGCCGCTACAGCAGAACCATTGAAGGAACCAACACTAGCTTGAACGGACTGAAAGGAAATCAGCTTATAGACTATCCCAACCGATGTCTTGACTTTTTTGCATCTAGGATATCAGCTTTGGCCAAATCCTAAGCGGGATATGCTCGCTTATGGAAAAGAACAATACCACTGACCCACATCGTGGATGAGAGGAGTATTCTAGATATTGAGAGGATATTCAGAATTAATTTTTGACTAGACGATGCACATTTTACTTGACAATATCAACTCACCTTGCGCTTACCAAACATCGAACTTTGTATGATGGCTCACGGCCAGTGAAAATTCTCCACAACCCCACGAATCCAGTTGTAGGAGCAATACTTAACATGGTAAGGGGGTTGACACCTCCTGTTCTCGTTGCAAGGGACCAGGCAAGTACTTCAGAAGTTTGGTAGATAGCCCATGTCGTCACAGTTAACGTAAAGCTCTGGAGAATTCTTGAAATTGAGAGGGTAGAGCTGAATTTTAAGTGCACAAGTATTACTGAGTTTGTTGAGACGGTGGCCTTTGCAAACCACGTAGTGGCAATGAAGGCTATTGTTGCTAAATCGGTTGATAAAACGTGTCCCGAACTCTCTCGAAGTATCTTCACTTTTTCGCCCATGTCGATAGAGACAAATGATTATCATGAGATGCAGAACCATAATACAATCGCGTAGTTCACTGAGTTTAGGTCGGTGCTCATCCCCTACAAACCTGCACCGGTTGAAATAGAGCTACTTGTGGTAGGGCTTGGAGATGGAGGGTCGAAATGCCCGCCTGAGCGGACCCTATCTAAAGGGGATTGGTATAGCGACCCCCCTGTCATATGGTGACTCCCCCCTGCCTGAATTCTTAGGTTTTCAGGCACCAAGGCAAACATTTGTCTTGTTTGCTCACGGAATAATATTCTTCCACGCTCCCGCTCTCACCGCCCTCACCGCTTTCTACCACTATCTCACCATCTTCCTCACCGCCCTCACCGCCCTCACCGCCCACCCCCAAGATCCACCACCACCACCAAGTCCTCCGCAACCACCACCAATCTTTCTTTCTTCGCGTAGGCGTGGTGGGCGTAGTAGCCCTTCGCGAGAGGATTCGGAAGATGCGGAGGATTCGGAGGTTCTGGCAGAGGATTCTGCAGAGGATGAAGAATCCACCATCACCCGGGCAACCAGGAGATCTGCCAGGTCCACCAGGCCTACGCAGTAAGGCAACTAGGACTGCTTATACTACTGATTGTAGTACTAATTAGATTTGTATGAATATAATGTTCTCTGTCAAAAACGAGCATTTAACGGTAGATTACATAGTGGATTTACTATGTAAACCAGAAAGGTAGACTGTAGAGACCAAAGTGGCAGGGTGATGGTGGGCAGAAAGGGTGGCAGAAAGGGTGGCAGAATTTAGGCGGAGAGGGAGTA